GCTGCCCGCTCTCCCTCCTCTTGAAGCCCCTCTCGCTCCTTCGCCCACCCCCAAGCACGTGCGTCTCGCATGGCGCCTTCCTGCATTCCTCTTTCTAACACCAGCCCATGTCCTCGTACTACATATAATCCATAGTTCCAACCCGGTGTGCAATACCGGTATTCATCCCCTCTTGATTCCCCAATACCCCCCCCCCCATGCCATACCCCCCATGCCATACCGCCCATGCAATCATCCCCCATGCCATACCCCCCCCCATGCAATCATTCCCCCCTGCAGGCGCCTGCTCGCTGCCGGCCTGCCCGTGCTGCTGGTGGAGTACAAGCACGTGTCGCTGCGGCTGTGCTCCATTATACCCTCCGCGGATGACATCGCGGGGGTGGTGGTTGGGCTGCTGGACAGGCTGGGGGTGGCGCAGGTGGGGGTGGGGTGGGAGCGTGTGCGCGTGTGTTGAGAAACCTGGCCGCGAGTCGGAACGTGCTGTGACTGCCAGCAAATGATGTGAGAGCGAGCGTGTGTAAACAAAACTGGCCGCGAGTAGGAATGTGTGTGTTTTGATGGTTGGGGTCATGCTCGTACGGCACCTTCCTGGCCATTGACCCTTTTCGCAAGAACCCCCGACGTGGGACACCCTGCTTTCACACCCAACCCCTCCTCCCCCCATTGGTATATCTCTGACCCCGCCCCCCTTGTCGTACGCTGACAGGCCTGTGTCGTGGCTCATTCGTACGGCACTTTCGTGGCCTCCCGCCTGGCGCAGTGCCACGCGGCTCGACTGCAGAGCCTAGTCATGCTGGACCCAGTGTGTTTCGGGTGAGTGGGGGCGGGCAGACCCGTGGGTCGCGGGATCTAAGGATCCAGAAATGTGCTTGTCATCATCTAACTTCCGCTAGCATACCAAGCCCAAGCTCTCAACAGTATGACTCCACAACCCAGCACCCTAAAAGGTCCATCCATGCCAGTCACCCAGACAACGCACCCAAACCACCCTCTGCCCTCCACCCTCCGTCCTCCCTCCTTGTTAATCCCCTCCCCCCCCAAACCCCCCCCCCAGCATGTTCCTGCCGCACTTGCTCGCAAACTTCATCTACCGCAAGCCACGAACCACGAGCCTTTGGACCTGGATAGAGGTACGTACGACAGACTGCAATGCTGTTACGGTACACAGGTTACTCGTACTCTCCTTTCTCGTACTCGTACTTTGGTACGGCAATCGGCAGTCGTTCCGCCGCACCTTCCTCCTCCTCCCCACGTGGCGCGCATTCCCAGCGTTTTCCCCTCCCCCTGAAAAGTGATGAATGCGCCGGGGAACTTAAACCACATGTGAGGGGCGCTGTGTGCAAGGCCTTGGCAGTGCAAGCAAGCAACACTCGCCACCCTGCCCCCGATCGACCCATGGGTCATACACTCCTGTTTCCCTCATCACTCCCCACAGGACCAGGCGCTCTCCTTCGTGTCTCGCGACCTTCACTGCGCCGCCGCCATGTGCCGCCGCTTCTACTGGTCGGACCTCAACTTGTGGCCGCAGGTGGGGAGGGCGGGGCGCGGGGGGTTGGGGGAGGAATTCCATTGTGTGGTGTGCACCGTGTGGTAGTGGTACATTAGCTGACAAGCCCTGATGGAAAAACCATGAGAATCGAGGGGGGGTTAATGACCTTAAAGAGCGAGGAAGCAGCGGAGAGACCTTGCGATGGGGGACGGAGGGATAGGGGAAGGGGGAGGAAAAGGAAGGGGAGACCAGGAGAGGACCACGCTTATGTGACACGCGGTGGGGTTTAGGGAGAAACCAAAGCAGCAGTGGGGAGAGAGGAAAGGAGGAAAGGGCTGCAAGTGTGGCCGCGGGCGAGGGTGTGGCTGGTGGGGGAGGTTGGGTGGGAGAAGGGGGATTGTGTTTTGGTGGCGGCATGACCCAGGGTGGGAACCGACGGGGGGAGAAGGACAGTACATATATACGAAGTATGCGGATGGGGTAGGTAGGGGGATCAGGTGAGGGGATGGGGAGTCGAAGAGGGGCTTTTCCGAAGGGGAATTCCTGAACTGAAGGGTGGGGTATCCACGTCCTGATGTTTCCCTCGCCCCTCCATCCCTGCTGTACCTCAGGACCTGCCGTTCCGTACCCTGGTGGCCATTGCCGGACAAGATCAGCTGATCCACGTGGAGGCGGTACGTGTCGTACATTCCGTACTGCTCGTGCCTTACATTGACGTACATTGTTATTGCTGCTCACTAGTCAATCCCTAAATACCGGGTATGCATGTCATACTCCACTCGCATCCCATTATTGGCGATGTTGTACGGCAAACGAACATTCCGTACATTCACTCCCCAGGTGATGGAGTTCGTACGGCACTACGCCTCCAAGGTTCTCTTCCACCCGCAACACACGCACGCGCAACTGCTCGTGGACTCGGATTGGGAGCAACAGGTGCAGGGGGTAGGGGGGTAGTGACCCGTGGGTCGGGGGTGATGGGTTAGCAAAGCAGCAAACAAGGAGATGCATTATAGTAGCTGAGGAGGAACGTTGGCAGAGGGTATGACGCCAGCAAATGCCCGACAGTGAGGTACCCAACCATCGTACAGTGTTGCGACTACGTTGCCAGTAAGTAATTACTCTTCGGCTCCATTGCTTGCATATTCACCCAGCCCAACCCCGGTAACCGTATTGTCGTTAGATGACGACCCGGTACCCGCCCAACCTTCCGGCACCCAACCACCGCCCGTTCGTAGATCGTGGCCGACATCCTGTCAATGGCGAGTTCGGGTGGCGGCGCCGCCGGAGCCCGGGAGGTACGCCGCCGCCTCACAACTCCCACCACGCAGATGTCGCTGCTGCCGCCGTCGTCGTCGCTGCCGTTGTCGCAACACCGAATGCGGCAACGAACCGACGGCGGCATGGTCCCCGTTATGACGGCAGCGGCGGCGGCGGCGGCGAAGTCGCCGCCGCCGCCAGTTCGCCCCGGTGTCGTACGGCGACGTTGGACGACGACGGGTGCCGCCGGCGCCGGCGGCAGCCTAGCGGGGGAGGTGTCGGAGGCTGAGGCGGCGATCATCAGGGCGGCGGCGGCGATGGCGGCACCGGGAGTTGAAGCGACGCCAACCGTCGGCGGCTTGATGGAAGACGAGGAGACGCTGCCGCCGGGTCCGCAAGGTTTGACGGCACTGGCGGAGGCGTTACGCGCCGAAATTGCCAAGAGGGAGGGCGAGGAGGTACCCGCCGCCGCCGCTGGTACGGCAGGAGGCGTGAAGGCGGGGGTGATGGCGCCGGCGGGGCCGACGGAGGCGGCGGCGGCGGCAACGTCGCCGCTGGGTGCTGCCGGCGGCGGTGCCGCCGTCGGGCCGCCTTCCCCTGTCGTACAGCGACGTCTGACGGGGACGACGCGGCTGGAGGCGTGGTGAGTGATGGGGTTATGCGGGGGTGTATGTCGGTTTGGGGTTGGTGCGGGGTGTGGGTTTGGGGTTGGTGCGAGGGAATCATGGGGTTGGGTTGGGGACAGGAAAGGGAAGGTGAAGAGGTGGGCAACGATCGTGGGAGCTATGTGGCCTTCGTACATGCGCGTGCGTGTGTGCCATATGAGAGCTGCGTATCTCACGTACGTAAGAGGGTAAACTATACTTTACCCTCTTTTCAATAAGTGCCGTGATCTGCCCGTCTTCCCTCTGCCGTACAGCCCCCATGCCGTTCATCCTCATCTCACGCCTCACCCCACCTCGCAGCTCCAAGCCCTGGCCTGGACCGCTGGACCGTTGCCATTTGGAGTTGGCAAGCGCGGGCCTCAACAAGGCAATGCTGATTGCTGATAACGGTAACGGTAACGGTAACGGTAACGATGCTGGCGGCGGCAGTAGCAGTAGCGGTGAGGGAGGCGGCAGCAGCACCAGCGGGGATTAAAATACCTTGGGAGCGGACGGCGGCAGCAGCGGGGGTGGTGGCAGCGGTAGCTGTGAGGAGGAGAAAGTTGGGGAGCAGGAGCGCTCTTTTGTCAGCAGCTGTAGCTGTAGCACTAGCAGTAGCTCTTTGTTGGCAGTAGCCGCAGTGTGAGAGGTAACGGGAGAAGGAGAGGTAACGGGAGAAGGAGTTAGTGGGGGTGGACCTTCAAAATGTGGGGTAGCGGTGGCCGTAGCGGAGGACATTTGAGTGCGCTGCAGCCGCAAGTAGCAGCAATAGCGGCTAATGGAGGGTAACGGGCAGTAAGTAAGCTTTGCAACTTGGATAGATTGTACCACTCGGTGCCTTGCGTACCGGTATTTTGTGTCGTGTGATGTGTCGCGAAGAAGGGCAAGGAGAATGCGTCCGTTGCTGGCAGTTGACCGTTGGGCAGGGGAGGTTGCTGTACTGTTGTAGTTCCGTTCGTCACCATCGTGTGCGCATTACCGTAGCTAGGCAGCTTTGTACGCATCACGTTTGGCAAGATTGTGCAGCAGGTCTATCTGGTAGGGGGCAGTGCGTGTAGAAAAACAGTGTGTTTGGCGAAACCGACACATAGGGGGGTGGTTGTACGAGCTAGATCTTAGTGGTTGCATACTGGACGTCATGTAGCTGTCCATCTTGGGGTAGGTCCTTGTCCTGTGTTGTGAAGTTGAGTTGTGTGCTTTGGGTTTCATGCCTTGAGCTCGTACCCCTTGCCTACTTCAGCCCACATGCTCATCGCTGCCGCATGCCAGGTAGGCCTGCTCGTGGGTATGTGGGGTGAGGGGGGAAGGCACTTGCATGCAACGTTGGCGGGCTGTTTGGTTTGCCAGTAGGCTTGTTATAGCTCTGATGTGCTGGGTTCTTGTGGGTCGCCAGGCGTGCTTTCTGGAGTTGATCGTCTCTCCATGAGTCATTGATGGACATTTGACAGCCGGGATAGAGAGTGAAGGCGCGGTAGGCAGACACGCCCTCGAGGAATGTGAGACGTTGACTAGACATTATTGTGCCAGAGGCGCCGTAGTGCAGTAACTTCGTATTTTGTCCCTAGATAATCATACAAGCAGTGCTGCCGTAGTCAGCCGTAGTGTTACTGTGTAACGGGTTGTTACAAGTCATTTCATGGCGACATACTGCTGTACAGCAGCGTCCACACTCGCCTCTCCGCATGCACCATCTACCGCACCTAAAGAGACCCATGGGTCCTCATCTGCCTGCATGCATACTATCATTGCTATGTGACTCTGCGCATGCTGGCACATGCGTAAATGTTCCCTCTCCTACCACTTGCCTTCCTTTCCCTGCCTGCTCCAAGCATCGTATCAGCACCATCCTTCCTAAAAGACTAACCAAGCCCTGATCACACCAGGACACCACCACCAGCACACCTAAAGCATAGACACTCCGCCACCACCATTCCTCTCTTCTTTCATCCCACCTTCCATTTCAAAAGAGCCACACGGCTCCGACACATGTACGACAGGCGCACGTCATGTACGGCAAGAAAAGCAAAAGCATCCAGCTAATAACATCGCCTCCGCCTTTCGCTACTGGCGCCGCATGGCCGCCGTGTCGCTGCCAGTGTTACTTTCACCGCATCCCCCTCGACGCCCTTTTACATACACACGCTCGCGCATCCTGTGTCTACTCCTCACCTCGAAACCATGTGCAACTGCCAAAGCCAATCCTGCCGCTTTCCTTATGCGCTGCTGCTGCTGCTACGGATGCAGATGCCGCCATAAGCGGTATACTCACTTTCCCTTCCCATCCCGCAGCCACTTGCCGCCGTCGCCGTCGCTGTCGCTGTCGCTGGCGGCATCAAGTGCCATGACGCTCCGTAGCTGCTGGGCTCGTGCGATGAGACGAGCCTGGTGGGGAGGGGAAAGGAAGAATACCCAATGTGTGGGGGGGAAGGGGGGAAGATCAGGTGGGTGTCAGTATGATTAAGGAGGGAATGGGGGTTGTGGGAGGGGGCCAGACAGAAGCACAACACCCAAGCGACCCGTATGGCCCCGGCCTTGCGGATTAGTGCACCTAGAAAGTAACCCTATGGGGCCTAATAGGCCGTGTGGTTACTCACGCTGGTTGACCTGGGGTCACCGCATGGAAGCCCTCCCGTGTGCATTCCTGCCTGCCCCGGTGCACTACACCACCCCGGCCTCAACCACCTTCACCATTAACCACCCCCACCCCCACCCTCAACCACGCCCACCTGGGGGTTGCCGGAGGGTAGGAAGCCCCCAGCTGCCGCTTCCGCAGCAGCAGCAGCCGCGGCTGCCTCCGCCGCTGCCGCCTCCGCAGCCCGCTGACGACCCTTGCGACCCGGACCCGCCTCTGACCTGGACCTGGGGATTGGGAGGCGAGTTGGGAGGAGGTGACGGGGGCAGGGAAGGGATGAGGGTGTTAGTACGGTGGCGCGGCTCCAGCAGCAAAGACCGGCGTTAGTACCAGGAGGCCTCTCGAAGCGCACTTGCGACAGACGCATGTAATACTCTTGCAAAACAGTTCCCCAGTTACCTGGAACGCAGGTGGAAGGCGCCGGCCTTAATGGCCCCCAGCACCTCATCCATGGCGTTAGCGCCGCCGCCGCCGCGACGCGCCGCCGCTGATGGCGTCGCCGCCGGCGTGGCGACTGGCGTCGATGTGGGCGTCGTGGTCGCCGTCGGCGGACGCTGCCCATCCGCCGTACTGCAGGCAGCGGCGGCGGCGGCAGCGGCAGCGGCGGCGGCGCGTTTGGCTGCTGCCTGTTCTCGCTCGTGGGGCGGTCGCAGCCGAAAGTTCCCAGACTTGATAGCCTCTAGGGCCTGTGACATAGCGGCGCCCGGGTCGGCGGCGGCGGCAGCCGAGCTTTGCCGCGCACCGCTGCCGCTGCTGCCAGCGCCGGCGGCAGCGGAAGCAGGGGCTTTTGTCGCCTTAGGCACAGAGATACCGGGCGGCGGCGGCGGCGGTCCCGGCGGCGGGGGTGGCGGAGCGCCGCGGGGTTTGTTTGGAATTGCTGACGGGGGCGGCGGCGGAGGTCCCGGCGGCGGCGGCGGCGGCGGAGCGGTGCCGCGGTGTTTGCTGTGTGCGCCGGCGCTGACGGCGCTTTCAGAAGCGTTTACGGCTGGCGGCGGTGGCGGCGGGCCCGGGGGCGGCGGCGGGGATCCAGCTGCGGCAGCAGCTGTCTTGACGCTAGGCGGCGACGACAGCGACGAAGACGACGGCGGCGGCGCATCGGTCTTGGTTGTTGTGCTGGTGCCAAACGTTTGCGGCGGCAGTGGCGGCGGCGGCGGTGGCGCAGCGGAGGCTGCCTGCTCAGTGGGCAGTTTGCCGCTGTCTAAGCTCGTATCCCTTTCTACATGCCTGCTTGGTGACGTCACCGTCGAAGCTGGTAGCTCTGGGGCAAGCGTCAGGGAGATCACAGCTGCAATGCCAACCTTCCCGCCGTCGTTACCACCGCCGCCGCCGTCGCTCGTTCCTGCCGTAGTTGTCGTTTTCGTTGGCGTTGATGCAACCGACGCCGCGGCAGTGTGTGGAGATCGTGGCGTCTTTGAGGACGACCGAGGAGAAGACCAGGCGCCGGGCCAGAACCGGGAAAGCCAACCGCCGCCGCCACCGCTGCAACCGACGGCGGCGCCACCGTCGCTAGTGTTGTCGGCGGCTGCCGTTCCGGCTCCTGCACCAACGCATTCAGTGCTGCCTTCATGGCATTTGGCAACTGGGGTTAACTCGGCAGTTGTTGCTTCTTTAGGCGTCGCTGAAGTCGCTGTCGCGGATGCCGCCGCCGCCGCCGTCGCAGGACTAGCCGGTGCGGGTGCGGAGGCGATTGTCGGCGCGGCAGCAATAGGGCTATTGGGTCGGACGGCTGGCGGCGGTGGTGACGCCACGGAGACGGCAGCAGCAGCAGTGGAGCCGACGCCGACGGTGCCGTCAGAGAGTATATCCCGGGCCACGAAACGCGCCGTGAGCTCATCAAGCGTCGCTTGTGCGGAAGCCGATCTTACCCGGCCGCCAGGCGACGGCGTCTTTGCCCGTGTCGGCGGCGTCGCACTCCTCGTCGGCGACGGCGACGTAGGCGGCGGCGGCCACTGTACGGCAGAGCGTCGTCCGGTCACTTGCGTTGCTGCAGACGGCGACGATGATGGCGGCGTCGCCGCCGCCGTCAGGGCCGCCGCAACCGCCGCCACTGTCGTACGACTCACATTAGACCCGGCCCTGACGCCGCTGCCCCCGTCAGCCCCTCCCTGAGACATCGCCGCCGCCTCTCGAGGCTCCTGCAGCGACTTGACCGCGCCAGCCACAACACCGGGCCGTATTTCCTGCCGTACAGCTGATCCAGGGCTGTACGGCAACCGCCGTATGGCTGCCAAGTCAGGGCTGACATCGCGAATCGGCTCCGCCAACGTTGCTTCCCCCGCCGCTGATGTCGTAGCACCAACGGCGCTACTGGCGGCAACTTCAGCTGCGGCAGGACTGCTGACGGGTTGTTGCGGCGGCAGTAGCGGTGGCAGTTGCTGCAGCGACGGCGGACGGGCGGAATCCGACGTCGCCGCTGGCGGCGGCGGCGGCGGCTCCTGGCCGCCTGCGTCGGACCAAGATCCGTCGGAGGAGGTGCCGTCACCATCGCGACGTGAGGCTTCTGCCTTCTGGCGTTGATGGTTATTGTGAAGCTGGTGATGCTGCCACCACGCATCTGTGCTTGCTGCCGCGAGTGTTGCCATCGCCGACTCCGCCGCCAGCGGCGGCTCTGGCAACGTCACCTCCGCCTCCGCCACCGCCGCCGGCAGCTCCTCCTCGACAGCTGCGGCAGGTGCGGTGGAGGATGGTGCCGCCGCTGGGACTCCCTGCAAAGTGCCCGCCTCCGCCGCTGCGGGTGCCGTTGAAGCAGCCGGCTGCGGCGGCGGTGCTGCCGGCGGCACCTCAGAGCCGTCAGCCGCCGCAGACTGCGCCTCTGCTGCTTGCGGCGTGCCCGCTACCGCTTTCATCGACGCCGACGGCGCGGGCTCCGGTACGACGACCGCAGTGGGTGCCGCAAGTGGCAAGGCTGTTGCTGGAGGCTGAGGCAGCGGCGGCGCTGAAGCGGCCGGGGGCGGAACCCCCTGCGCCTGTGGCGGCGACGGCGGTGGTGGAGGGACATGTACGGCATCTGGTTCAGGCGGAGGCGGAGGAAGACTCTGCTGTACGGCATCCCCTGCTGCTGCCGCTGTTGCTGTGGTACTTGGCGTTCCTAGACGCGGTTGTATCTGTTGCCGCATCCAAGAGGGCATTTTGGCGGCAGATAGCTGCTTGCGTTGTGGTGGCTGGCTGCTGCTGGTGGTGCCGCCGCTATTGGGAGCGTGCTGCTGAGCCTCATGTTGCTGTTGTTGTACCTCTTGCTGTAATTGCTGTTGGATTCGCAGCTGTTGTTCCGCATAGCCCGGAGGGACCGTTGGTGTTTGTCGCATGAGCTGTTGCTGAAGAGGGGAAAAGGGTCGCTGTTGCTGCTGCTGTTGCTGCTGCTGTAGCTGTTGTTGTTGTATTTGTTGTGAATGCGCCATCGACAATACTGGCTGCTGTTGTTGCTGTGGCGGCGGCTGCAACATGGGATTTGGGTTGTTACCAGGCAAGCCGACCCTGCTGCTTCGAGCCGCCATGCCCGCACTTAACGGGGCGTTGGTAATCGCCGACGGCTGGGGTGCGGAGTGCTGGTGCGGTAATAGCTGATGCTGCTGTTGCTGTTGCGCCTGCGGAATCGCGGATGACGACGAGTGGCCCCTTTGATCCTGTGGCGGCGGTTGCTGCGCCAGTTGTTGCTGTTGCTGTTGTAGTCTGGTAGCGGTAGGGCGGGTGTGAGGCGGCGAAAGGGGGCAAGGTTGCAGATATGGCCGACGTGGGGTTCCAAGGCTGGAGGGTTTAGGCTAGTCGGGGGGGGGGTGTTGCGATGCTTGCGGTTGTGCTGCATGCAAAGTGCCATCGCTGACACATCCGTTGACGCATCCGTGCCAGCTTAGCCAAAGGTCTGTGGCGCCAAGGTTCGTGCCATGCAACAATTAACCAGGTGGCACGGGGGGTTCCACCCTCTTTTCAAGAAACCCCAACACCCAGCACTGCAGCACCCCGCCCCACCTGGCTCGCTGGTTTGCCCATAGGTTGGCCTAGGGGCGGTCGCAAAGGGGCAGTCACAGCAAGCGGGCAGGAAGAAAGGGAGTCAGCACGTGCAGACGGAGGGCCAAGCAGGGACCGTGAAGCCCTTCCCTCTGCCCTCTGTATCCACCACACACACACACACACACACGCGGCCAGTTATTTTAACACACACACCCTACCACACCCTAACCGCCTTCCCCACCTGCAACGGAGAGAAGGTCAGCTCCGGTGGAAACTCTCCCGCCGGGAATCCCCCACCGCCGCCACCCGCCCCGCCCCGACCCAGATTCGCCGACAGCGGCGCAAAAGTGGCCATGGAGAGCGAGGAGGCGACGTTGGGGGCTGCTGCTGCTGCAGCTGGGTATGCATGCGAGGACATGGGCATGGAGGTGTACGGCATGCCGCTGCTGCTGCTGCTGCCAGCACCGCCGCCGCTGCTACCGCAGGCGCCACCGCCGCTGCCGCCGCTAGCACCAGCACCTGCGGCGTTCCGGCTGCTGCCGCTGCTGGGGATGTTGTTGGCTGCACCACCGTGGTTGATGCCGGCAGGAGGGGGCTGAGATGCGGGTGCGGTGGAGGGTGTGGGCTGGGCCGGGAAGGGCCCAGCAATGCCGGTACCGAAGCCTGCTATGGACAGAAGGGGGGAGGCACACGAGGAAGGTGATGAAGGGGAGAGAAACGCGTCGTCTAGGCCGCCTCAGGAGGGAGGATTGGTGGCGACAAGTGACGCGCGTGTTGGCCTCGTGAGGTTACTAGGGTTCGCGAGACAAGAGGAGTGGTGAGGTGAGTCACCGTCTGCTGCAGTTGGCGCGTGATAAGGGTTCCAGGACTGGGACACAGCATTGTAAATCTTTACGGGCGGAGGGAATATGACCCAAATGGCTCCTCGACATTCCCTACGCCTGTGGCCGTATCTTCTTTGTTTGTCTCCCACTCGGGGCCTGTCTATGGTGTGTATCCTTGCCCCTGTGTCCATGCAAGTTCCCCGGCTGCTGATCCTTGTTCCTTACGCCTCAGCCTCTACCCCCGGCCCTAGGCTTCACCGATATCGCCCGCTGCTCCTGCCCTGGGCGCGGTTCCCATGTTTCCGTGAACAGTCCCGCCCGTGACGTCGTTCTCACTGCAGCTGTCTTTCTGGATCCATAGCACCCAAGGCTCACCCGGAGTCAGTCCATGTGGCCGGCCCTGCTGCTGTTGCTGCGCTGCAACAGCGCGACTGCGGTTGAGGGCTGCAGCCAGAGGCCCGGGAGCAGCCATTGCAGGTGTGGATGAGGTCGAGGCAGACATATTCCATGGAGCTGTTGATACTGGAGGCACGTACTGCGGCTGCTGCTGAACATGGAGGTGCTGGTGCTGTGGGTATGGTTGGGGCGTGCTGGCCGATAAGGGATGTTGTCGCGGATGTCTTCCACTGTCGCGATCTGGCTGCTGTTGGTAGTGGTGACTGGCTGTATCGTATGGATGATGTAGTATTGGTTCATGCTGGGGCGGCCCAATTGTTGAATCGCGGCCTCTTGGCGGGGATGTCAAGTTAGCAAAAGCGTGGCCAGCTACATCACCGCCTCCGCCTGGTACGTGGAGCCCTTCCGTGGCCATGACGTCTCTTATGACGTCTGTTGGATGCAGAGGTGGTCCATGCCAAGAGTCCCGTGGAGATTGTTGCATGAAAGTCCGTCACCGGCGGGAAGTGTAGGATGATACAGTATATAATAAACTTAAGCTTCCTAGTTAAATACAGAGGTATGTCACAGATATTTCCAGACCTCAAACGCTACTCTGGCGAAGATGTATCATACCACGGAGGAAACGTGGTTTGATCAAGATTAAGGCATAGGACCATATGAGGTATTGCTGCCTATAGGTTAGGTGCGAGAAACTGGCTAAAGCGAGTTTATTATGCCGTCAAAGTCTTAGGCTTCAGCGGGATCCTGTTGCGTCCGGAACTCCGAGATTGATTAGTCGCTGAAGGCAACACGCAATTGTCATGTCTGTTGCAAAGTCAAAGAAACATTTCAGATTAGTTGGCACTTTCAACGGAAACGGCTGGGAGAGGTTGTCATGAAGGGGCAATTCGTGCATTAGAGCATTATACCGACGCGAGAACCATGTAGCAAATGGCCCTTTACTGCTATGTCGTTGTCGGCTCGGGTGTCGGCAAGTATAGCTCAGGGCTTAGCACAGACGTTGTTCCCCTTCGCAAGGGCCAAATCGGAGCTTAAAGACGTTAATACTAGTAGTTCTTGACACAGAAATAGCTGACTGCTTAGGCCATTCGCTGGGGGGCATCGACCGGATGGAGACGGCCTTAAGGGAGACTGCGCCGAGCAAAGTTCCACCATCCAACAGCCGCTCAGGCAAGGCACCTCCATGCGGGTCAAGGCATGATTACAACCAGCGACTGCGGATTCCATGAAACCTTCGAACCGTTTAAATTCGTGTAACGTGACGTACGTAGCTGTGTCGCGCCCCGTTGCCGGCATGTTCATTCTGTCGACAGCGGCAGGTGTCCCGCGGTTCGGTCAAGTCATGGCTGCAGGGAGTGCTTGTTATAAAGATGACAAGTGGTTCTGAATATATCATAAGGTATTGTATTGGCTCCTGTGCTTTGGGCCTCGCTGTCTTGCAGAAGATACGTGTACGGCGTATCGCATCAGAGTGTCGTACGGGTGGCTTTCCTGTTAGGGAGCGCGACGCCCGGGCTAGGGCGTTGCGCGCAGCTCGCAGTTACGCAAGTTGTAAGGGCTTCCTACCTCTGACGAACGCGTCACGGATTCTCCGCAGACCAAGTTTGGTCGCCACGTTCGAAAACCCGCACGTTACGGTGCATTCCTACTGAGTTTGGCTTGTGTCGCTCGGTAAGGTGGTTTACATGGGATGGCGGCAACGGGGGATTCGGCTGTATGTCTGGACGAGGTGTTCCAGTGCCTTCACACCAGCCCCCGTGCGCGCCCCCCTGTGTCTCCCTGTGCAAGTCCCACATGCCCTGGTTCCGGGGCCCCTGCCGCATCCTGGACGGATGCAACGCCAGCAAGTCGGACGCAAGTATTGACTTACACGTGGTAATGCCAGGTCTGCTTCAGGTTAGGCCGTGGCAGGTGGCATCCGAGCCATACCGGTACTAAATGCTTACGTGCGTCCAAGCCACGTCACAAGCCCCTAGTAAGCGCATAGGCTGTGGCCTGGAGTTGCTATAGAGCCCCATGCCAAAGCCGCAAATTGTAGGCGCACATTTGGGCCGGGGCTGATAAGCAAGCACGAGGGCAAGGGCGGGAAGGCGTTGCACCGGTTAAGCGTCCCATATGTGCGCACTCCTGGCGACTTCTCGTCCTGGTTCGGGAATAATCATTAAGGTATAATGGGCGGGTTCAGCCGCATGCATCCAAGGAGAATCATGGGTGGTATAGAAGTTGCGTCCAACTGTGAAGCCTGGGTGTTGCGCATCTATCCGGGCTTTCTTAACGCATGCGGCGCGCTACCAAACATACAGTTGCTGCTGTGTGGAATTGTGGAACACGATGGGACGCAATACCAGCGAACCGGCAACTGTTGCGAATGGTTGCCGTTGACTGCACAGCCTGCTTCGCGTGTCGGCAGCACGCCGGTCGTTGTCGTTCTTCTGTACATAGTATTGAATCAGCTGCAAGGCTAGCATAAGTCTATTGAGCCGCATCTGTAGTTAAAGGTAGTTAAATACGAGTTACGACGACTTACGACAATGGCGGGCGAAAAAACGAATAGATTAGAACCCTCATAGCTGTGACTCCGCTTCACAAATATGTTTAGGTAGAACGCTTACGCCAAATACTGACGATCTCCCAGGACTGATAAGAGTGCCTTGTAGTTCATGCTTCTTATGCTTAGTGTTTCCTACTTGTCAATTGCTCCCTCCACTTCCGCTATTATATGGAGTTGCCTATATGTGAGTAGTTTGTGGCAGGCATAGCAGCTATCCTTGGAATTCGTCGTCAACGGGCAGTTACTGGAGTGGCGGGCGCGGCTATAGATGGTAAGTCTCTGCGGCATCAGATTGAGACCAGCGCAAACTGCTTATGGACAAATATTACTGCAAGTAGCACGACTTCTCCGAGATGTGGCTGTTTTGGATGGCTGCCCTATTGCTATCCGCTTCGGTGCAAAGCTTAGGCTGGCTGTGGCCCTGACGATTATTTTATGGCCCGCCCTGCCCTATTTTATGTTTTGTCCGTCCATATTTGCCTTCTCTCGCTTTGCTTTTCAGGGTTCGGCATTTCTGCAACTGACCTCACACCAACACCTGGACGTCCTGGGCCGAGTGGAGCTGTCCACTACAAGATACTAATAGCTTCCGTGCTGGAAAGAGGCCCCAGCAGCAGCAAGGAAACGAGCGGTTTCGTTTTCGTTTGGCAGTTGATTCTTGACTTCAGCCTGAGACGTTGAACCAAGCTTTTAGTAAAGTAAGGAAATCAGCCTCTTACGGTTTGGCGGCGTTCGAAACGGCAATCGCTAGCGCCTGAAATGCAGGAAGTCATGGAGTCACAGTATTGGTGCGTCCGCGGGCAGCTCGTTTGCTAAGACGCCCTGCCGATGTTTAAGAATATCTGGTGCTAGTTATATGGATTCTGAGCCATCGCTTTCGGTCAACCCATCCAGCCGCAGACAGCAGCGTTAACGGATCGACACGACAAGCCCGGACAAAATGGGTGCAATGGGTAATAGCAGTGGCAGCATCGAGGACACAGCTACGCCACTTGCTGCTCGTCCGCTCTTTGGGCCCCGAGGGCTTGCTAACGGCCTCCAAGACAACCGGGCCATCACCGACCCCAGTTGTCACATCTCCGCCGAAGGACAGCACCGCCTCTCCCGCACGCGCGCTGGAAGGAAGGCGTTTCCAGAAGCCAGCGCTACAAGCAGCACCGGAAGCAATAACAATCATGCCGATGTTGAGCACGATGCCGACAGTGGATCATGGCCAGGATTAACGCCGCCCGCTGTTGTTGCAGCGGAAGCAGCTGCAAACCTACCAGCAACTATGCCATTCGCATGCGGGGTCCAAAGGGTGGCCACGAGCCCACGACTGCCGTATAATGCACGGCTGGTCTCTGGCCACTCCGTTTGGGCCTATCCCAACTCCTACTGGCACCCTGCGAACATGTACCAGTATAAGCCCTACGGCCATACACTTGCTGGCACCGAGTACTGCGGCATAGATATCGAACCAGTGCGAGTTGCACGGCGACAAGACCGCTACAGTCCGTACTCTGCACGACCACATCTGCGCTTTGCGATCGCAGCTGGCACTGGGGCCAAACCGTCATCAGCGGTAGCAGCCCCACACACCATCCCGCCTCATTACTGCTACTACCGGCAGCCCCAAACATTATCACCGCCGCCGCCACCCTCACCGTTGCCACCCTCGCCAACACCACATATGTCGTCGGCATCCGCGATCCAGTACCGACCGGCAACAGCACCGCTGCTGCAGCTGCAGCCACTGCACACACAGCAGCTAACGCCGGTATATCATGCACCGGGCAGACGAGAAGGAGGGGCGCCAGCAGGAACAGCAACAGCAGGAGCCCCAGCCGCCCGATCATCACCAACACCCGCAGTTCAGCCGCCGTGGCTACAGCAGCGGCGACCGGTAATTCCTCTGCAGTACAATTTGCAGCAGCATCAACAACATGGCTTTAGGCGAAGGCCAACTTGCCCGCTGCTGCCGTACCCTCAGTATCCTTGCCACAATCACTTTGTCGTACGGTACAGCTCACGGGCTGCAGCTTCTTACGCTCCCGCTCCTTCCCCCGCTCCTGGTCATGCTTCTTGAGTCTCACAAAATGGGATACAGCAATAGCAGCAACTGGAAGCATCAAGTAGGCCCGCGGTACGGCAATCATATGACGGCGTTAAGGTCGTACGGCAGCATGTAATGGACTATATGGATGGCGATTTATTTTGATGGCAGGAGCCGCGCGCTAGAGCTAGTGCTAAGGAAAACGGGTGCAGTATAATGCATCGTTTCGCACAAGTACTAGCGGAAGGTAATTAAGACAAGTAATGCGTCTAGGATCTGGTGCTTACAGCATATGTGCCGCATGTGGGAGGAAGTGTGCATAATCCACAGCATGTAAGGCAGCAAGGTGATTAAGCGGCTGAGTGACAGAACACTTCTGCAGCTGCTGGGGCTGTGTGCTAGCTTATGAGGTTTGTTTACCTTGAGGACTGGTTTGCTATTACCAGTGTGACTTAGATGGCTAACGGCGGGGTGCTGTGGATGGCTAGCCTTAATTACCTTGCCTAAATACTCAATTGTTTTCAGGTGGGATGGCCAACTTACCAGTCCTTGTTGGGTTAATGCCAGTTCTGTAGTGGTTGTTTTTCACGTACGCTTGGCATGCGCTATGGTGCTTTCTACCTCTGACGCAGCGCTTTCAACGAAGTTGGTTGGCCTTATCAACTATCTAGTATGTGTGGGACTGCTACGGGATGCTGTGGGTACGTCGCTGGATGACAGCAGGCGATGTTTGGCTTGCTGCTGGATAGGTCTGCTGGAAGGGATTGCCACCACGTGTCGTAATCTAACCTTTATCCTAATCAGGCGCAGTGGTGCATGGGCCTTACACTGATGGCAGTGGATGCCGCTATGGATTTTGCAAACAGTGATTGTGGGGTTTGGCTACAACTAGAAAACTTTGGGGGCTCGCATGGGGGTGTGAAGACCACGTGGTCTATCGGCATATATGTGACAGCATCTGTGCGCTGTGGAAGTAGTGATGCGTGGGGCTGGGCAGAGCTGGCAGAGCAATGGATGGAAGGACCTTGGAGCGCAGGGCGGAGGAGGAGGGGCTTACAGGTTCTGCGTCCGCGGCTGTTGGGGGAGTGCTGTGCTTATCTTCGGGCCTTGACTGCCATGTTTTCAGACGTGAACAATAACAATATTGGCTTCGTTTTCCAGGAGAAAACACAGGTAGTGAGCCCGTTCCTACACTGCATGGGCGGCTCACGAAAGTATTTTCTTCTTCGTCGTCGGTGTGCCCAGCGGCTGTGTCCCTTGGCGGATTCCGTGCCCAGTCTGCTAATGCTTATTGTGCTAATGACTTGCGTTCGTTGCTCGCTTGGCCCCCCTGCCTTAGTCCGATCCGCGCGTTTGTTGGTGCATTGCCCTTGCCGGTGGCTTGGGGGATACGGAGCATGTGCGTTTCAGGAATTAGCCACGCACGTATGTTTGTTCACATAACTGTGCGCATAGCACACTAGGAACACGACGGCAGCGGACGTAGAGGTTCCTTATTGACGAAAGACGACGGCATGGAGAGTAAGCAACATGTGGGATCTGAGGAGGAGAAGAGTGTGAAAGGCAAGATATTTCTCATGTGTTGGGGACCGGGGTATGTATTGTTCCGGGCTGGCAGAAGCAGATGTGCTTTCCATTGTTTAAAGGGAAGGCCTGCACACACGCGGTAACCCACGTATGTGCGCGTGAATGTGGGTATGTTGGTTTTCGCTTCTTATCTTGGTGCTCCGAATGCATGCGCACACGCAGACGGCCAGTTTTCTTCTGCACACGCAGACGGCGCCAGCAACGCCCTGTGGTGGCGTCCAAGGGAATGTTTCTGCGTGTGTTGCTGTGGCTGTCGTGCATGCACGTGGTAGCTTAGCAGCTGTCGCCTTGAGGCTTCTTCCAAAAGTGGTGCCGCTGTGTCGGATGAACGCTTGCTTGCTACGGTATTTATACCTGCCAGTCTGCTTACCCTTGCCTGCTAACTATGTGCACCCAGGCGTGCATAGAGACATAGGTATTAAATACCGTGGAAGATTTTTTGTGAGACTTGTGTGCACGTCAACACGTGCACTTGCTTTTGCGTACCTTTGCACTAGAACATTTTTGTGTGGTATGAGCAATGGACAAAGGTGCTTGGACGAGGCAAGCACGAAGGAGGAGCGTAGGTTGCGGAGGAGGGACGACAGCACGAAGGTTGCATGGCTGGAGGAGCTGATCCGCATGCCTACCTAGTTGTTTCTCTTTGCGGCATGCAATGCAGGAATTGTCTGTAGGATGCTGGCGGGTGTTGCACGTTGTGGTCCTGCCGCTGTACTTACAAACAATGGCTACACCCTTTCCGTTACAGGGGCCCCGTGTCCCGTACGTTGCGCCGTTATGTGTTGATCCTTTCAGCGTTACTTTCGATACCTTTATGTTGCGTTTTTGCGCCTATGCTGTTCAGTGTTACCCCGGCTAGGACTTCGTGCCCCGTGTCCCGTTTAATGCTCCTTTTGGACAGGTTTGAGGAGGTTTTGGGGACGACCCAGTGCTACTTTGCCGGTTGTTGGCAAGAACTTAAGCACGGTTTTGGTAGGCGCCTCCCTCCCTCAAAAGACAGTGAGGCAACGTCTGCGTGCTCGTGTTCTTATCATCAGAGTTGGGAGCTCTGAGCTGGGTTAGAACTAAAACGTGCCGGACTGTATTGCTTATGTCGATGATAATTGTCGTACGAAGTCTAACAAAGCCGTACTCTTAATTTTGGTCTGTTCCTTCTTTGGACCCAGAGCAGGCTGGTATTCAAAGTTTTTTGGACATCGTATTATTACTAACACTGCCTGTCTTCCACCTTATTCGGCAGGTGGCGCATCCGCTACCTGTTCCTCCCCTCTTAGAGCGTGATTTGTGTCCTAGTGCCTGCACTTGCTTATTGCGAGAGCCGAGGTAGGACAGTCTTCATTCTGTTTCCAGTGCACTGGGCGTTGTACGGCATGGTAATTAACGGATGTTATGAGTGTTACCGCGGTCGCCAGGGACAGCCCATTGACCTGCATGCGGGCGAGCTCTAACCAAGGTTTCATGAGTGTGATGAAGCGTGTGCCAATAGTGCGGTCCAGCTTTCCCATCAAAGTGCTGGTAACAAGTAGCGGCTTGTAAAATTGGATGTATTGTGGTAACGCACTTGCCATCTGCGTGTGCATACTTGTGGTGCATGAAAACAATGATTGCCGAATGAGACCAGCCATGTAGTACCGTATCGGAACAAGAGGCGCTCCAGCCACCAGGAAAGAACGTTCTGCGACACAGTTGAAGTTGACGCTCTCCTTAAAATGATATCCAGTGATACAGCGAAGTGGTTACTTGTAAGTTGTGTGTGAGATAGCTGGTTACAAGTCCTAATTGTGCACGATGGCTGAGCATGCACAAAATCCACCCTCCCCGAAACCATTTCGTTCTGCCGCATAATAAAACAGTCTAAGGCTTTCGGACAGAATAGTGGAAGGAAACACTTTCAGGATGAGGTCGATTTACTTCTTGAGCCTTATCGTTGCAGCTTCGTTGTTCGGAGCTGCATGCGTAGCCAGTTCCGCTTTAGAGGCAAAGGAATTGGCAAGAAGGAGTTTTGCAGGAAAAGACTTGCGGCTTGTTAGTACAAACAGTCCTTTCCTAGCAAAGAAGTGTGTCTTCATCCTTGCAACCGGGCAATCTGGGTCGACAGCGCTAATGGACGCCCTCAACCAGCTGCCCAATTATCTCATACGCGGAGAACAGTGGGCTGCGCTCTGGAACATCTATGAGTCCTACATGTGGGATACCCGCTGCCTCCACGGGAGGGCTCGCCGATGGCAACCTGGCCCTCTATGCCGTAAACCACCTTCGCAGAAACTTTAACTGGACAGTTACAGTTCCCCTCAGCCAGAAGAAATTTAACTGGTCGGAGCACCAAGAAGCATCGTTTCATGGGATTAAGCACCTGTACGACGAAGGAGCTGCCGTGGAAAAGCTGTCTTGGTTCAACGAATTTTCGACCGAACGCGTAATGGCAGCTGCGCGGTCTTACTACGCAGTGCTGTACGGATATTATGGCAAGAGTAAGCACCGTACTTCCTGACATGCGTGCTTTTCTGTCATCCGCCCTCCGCACGGCCTGCGCCCAAACTTGCTGGGACCTACCATGTCACGTAACAGCAAGAGTCGTGCTGGTCACGTGCTTACATGGTTCTGTTCCCCTTAACCTCCCCTTCTTGCCTTATCCTGCAGACTTCGTGTCCGGTTTCAAAGACAGCAGGTATGTATGCATGTACGTCATAACATTGTCATACGTGGCAACACAGTGTACGCATTTGTGCTTGCAATGGCAGACGACTTTTAACCCACATGTGTACGATGCAACACCGGGCCTGCGTGCATGCTATGATGTACAGGTACGTTTGCGGACACTCCTTCCAATCCGGCAGGTGCCAAGAGGTTTTCTTGGGCTTCATGACCTTCCTTCGTAACATCTGCCTAGACGTCAAGGTATGACAACAAGTCAAGCTAACTGCACACAGCAAAACATTAACGTGTCACGTTGGAAGGGTCATTTAGAATGGGGCCCGGCCCCTTTCAATCTTCTGCGCTGTCCATGCGCAGCCTGACTCGTTAAGAGCCTCAAGCTTGTTCAAGCTACCAACCCACTAACGCACGCAGATGATCTTCAACTCCCGCGCATCGGCTTCGTTTGGAGCCAACAGCAAGCTGTACGACAGGGAGCCGCGGAATACCCAAGAGGCGTTTGTACGTGATCTCAACGAAACACATGCGTTGTACGACGCTTATGTACGGAGCAACCCGGATCACGCGCTTCGCGTCTTCTACGAGGACATGTATGATGCCGAGGTGGGTTGGAAGAAGTTGGGACCCCGCAACTTCGTGGGCTGAGTTCGCGGGGGTGGGGTTTGTGAAGGGTAGGGAATGATGTGGTATAACGCACACGGTTGGGTGGGAGGAACGTGAGTTACATGCATTGGTGGGTGTGCGGAGGCAAATGGGTTGCATGATAAGAAATGGGACGGCGTGTATCACAATAATGCACTTGTACGGGAGGTCTTGGGGAAGAGAGGAAGGTGCCTGTGTAGGATTTTAGTCGCAGCTAATGGACATAGCCGGGGAACAGCAAGATGACGCATTGGTACGTCTGTTGCTGTAGACGTTTACGGAGGGTGAGAAGCCCTAATGGCAGGGTGGCAACCCATGCGCGCCCATTTGCAGTACCGACACCTGTGAGCTTGCGAGCGTGCCTTTCCCCATAACTGGATCCTGCATCAACATCCCCTGAAACCCCCTAAGCAAACAACCACCCCGTTGCTTTCGGTTTGCGACCCATACACCTCCTCGTTCGTGCCTACCATACACATTCCTACCTAGTGTCGATTCGAACTGAATCTCCGGACGATCCTGACACCCCCGTTCCCTCTGATCGCCTCCTTTCCCCCTTCCTTTTTCTCCTCCTTCTCTTGCCAACATGCAGAAAAACGCGACACTCGTACGACAGCTGCTACAATTCCTTGGGGAGGACAACAAGCTGCCCGCCAACCCCATCCGCTTCAATCGCATGCCCCCGTCATCAACCGTCTAGTCAGCAGGGAGTGCTGCGACGCCCCGGGGAGCACCACTCACCCCGGGGAGCTCGGCGCCACACCTGCCTCTCCGCCTATGGCGCGTGAGAGCGAATGCAAATTTGCATGCATGCAAGTTACACGGTCGACGGAGGAGTGCGCCATTTGCTTCCATGCAATTAGGATTTTTGTCGCTGGTGGGGGATGGTCTAAACGGCAAATTCAGGTTCAAATCCAAGCCCTGTTGGGCGGCTCTTTGACACGGGCGATGCACGTAGATAATTGACGTGAAGTGATGTGGTGGCTGGTAGCCGTGGTAGGTAGATTGACAGACAGGTTATTAGCTGTGTATTCTCGTCTCCCATTTCCACGTGTGTATGCAAGTGTCCGGCTTATTCAAAACTCGCGTGCATGAGTCGTGTGCGGCACACATACATGCACACGTCTTATTTACCGTTATTGTTTTCACTAGAAAGGCACTAGAAAGGTTTTACTGTAGCAATACAGGGTAGGGCGTGGCAGTACAGGACTGAGTTGCGATGAGGACGGCGCACCGGTGCCCTGCCGTACACATACCGTTGTACCGCCTTATGGCAGGCAGATGAATGCATGTAGCTGGTCGGTTGGAATGGGCTGGGTTCGACCTTTTCTTCTTCGCCGTGTCGTCTTCAATTCCATGGCTTTCTCCCTGTTTTTTCTTTTCCCTGAGGGCAGATACAGCTTGCAGGAGGGGTGTAGTTTTGAATTCCTTTTATGAGGTGCGTGGAGCGCCTTTGAGGGCTGGATGGCGGTGGTTAGTTACTTTGTCCTGGTCTTTCGTCGCCGGTGAGAGATTGTAATATGCGAATGAGAGACGGTGGTGCCGGATGGTCGGCCTGACTTACGTAGGGTATTGCTCGTCGGGTTTATGTGTAGGCATTGCTGCGTCACGCTGTCCTAATAACTTGCGCTCCTGATGCACGGCAAACGCCATTGCCTGAGCATCATCCAGGGGGCTGCACTGCTTACAATTACAGATCATTAGGTACGGTGCCGATCTAGGCATTGTTGGGTCGTGCTGCCGTGATGCTTTCTATGAACTGGGGCACCAGCTAAGCGCCACTCCTCGCCCTTATAAGCGTGCGTGCTTCATTTCTGTCTATGGTGTGTTGTCACGCATGGGGTTTTCGCCTTTCCCAAGCCTGGGGTTTGCACTTTCCCCACCCAGGGCTTTTGCGTTCGATTGCTCCTTAGTCAGCCAATACTAATTCCATCTGAAGTTTACGGTGCAATTTGGGGTGGCGGTGTAGCAATTACTCGAGCATCCTAGACAGGGAGCGCTAGCTGAGTATCGCATGTTACCGGTAGCTTGGGTTGGAGGGGCGAATACATGTAAGAAGCCTGATACACACTCCCTTCCGAAGCCCCATGAATAACAGTGTAGAGAGCGCTTACCATCCTGGTAAACAAGACAGGCAGACAGGCCTTGTAAGGGTTCCCTTGCGCAAAAATACTCCATGCATGTATTTCTGGTAGATGCAGGGGAGCTGATGTTATGCGCATGCGGACCCACCATCGGGCTTGTGACCAGAAGGGAAGCTAGGCCCTGGAAGTTAAGTGAAGCACACAGCTGTGTTCCTTCAAGCGCTGAGCCGCCCACGTCTCTCATATCTCTTTCGCCTTTTACTAAAGAGATCAGCGAGTGCGGCTCACGAAGGCGCATATCCCCAATATTTGCAAGGTCTCTTGACCTTCCCCAAAACATTTACATTCTAGGTACTAAAACATTTGCAATAAGCAGTTCCTTAACAGTGTTAATTGTCATGCAGGCTATGCAAGCTATGATGGATAAGGTTAAGACATGCATTCCTCCATTCCTTCTAGCTTGGTCGTCTTCCGGCACCTATCACTTTCAGGTGTCAAGATTATCCCCTGTAGCGCCCACAACGAAACCTCACACACCCTAACCACCTAGAACCCTTTGGAGGCGGTCTTTGGCGGACAGCCAGGGACACAGAAAGCAGTTGTTATCTGGGATGGTACATTGCATTCCAAGGATTGAAGCATACAGGTAGCCTTCAAATCCCAAAAGCATTGTGAACAAATCGAGGTTTATACTGTGTTTAGCAGTTTAGTGCGCGTAGCAAGCTGCCGCAGATATCGGTACTCGTTAAGGGCAATTTCCAACAGGAAAAGATGAAGGTGCATACAAATTAACAGAGAAATATGGTAGGCTGTGTTTGCTCGGGCGTAGGAAAAGGCAAGTCTGACGGGTGACGGGATAACTTCCTTCACTGAGGCGAAATCCAGAGCTGTCGGACAGCCCAGCAAGGCAGCGTCCACGGACGACCCTTATGCATTAAGTAACAGGCAGATTTATACTTTACAAGATACAATATCATATTTGGTATAAAGCCGGGACTGCTCAAAGCTGCTACCTTGCGAGGTCCCACGTCGCAGTTTACACCACGTTTCAATAGTTTGCGAGGCAGTCCTAATAATAAGGTTGCAGTAGTTAATTGGTCTTCCTGTGGTTGCTGGCCTACCTCCTGACGGCAACGACAACAACTTCTACTGTGCAGTTACCGGTTCCTTTCAGGACATCGCATCGGCGTCGAATGCGACATGCGTGGAGCGCAAGTCCTACTACTACTGCTTGTGGCTCTAACTCTTGGCCCCGATGCCAGAGGTGCGTTCAGCCATGTCCAAGAGTCGCATCACCCGTTACTCCTCAGTAGCTAGCAAGCGACGCGCACTGTGACAAGCTAATCATTATCATCATCACAAACTCAACGTATGCAGCGAGCCGGTTGTAGCCGAAGACTCATATATATTTGCTTCAACAGCACAAAATGCCATTGCTCGTCTGACCTCGTTCGCATACTGACATCCGCAAAACGATTCGCTCCTGCGGTTTCACAGGTTCCTTACAGGCAGTTAGTAACCACGAAAGCGGTGACTCTCAAGGCAATGCCGGACTCACTAACCAAATGCTCAGGGGCAGCAGCGGAAGCGGCTGCCACCGCTCGGACTGCACCGCCAATAACGAAAGCGTGCTCAGCGGCAACGATGGAGACGCGAGCAGCAGCGGAGGCCTAACTGGTTACCATCCGCCGAAGGCCGCGACGGGTCTATTGGATGGCTTGTTGCGTCGGCTTGGTGTTCACAGCAGTGCTACGGAGGATGCCCCCAAGGGTTCAGGCGCCCCACACCGGCGACGTCAGCTGAGACGACGCTTACTGGAGGAGAACCAAAGCGTTACAGGTGGAATGCTAGGAATGGAACAGGAGGGATGATTTTTTGCGCGTTGCACGTTCGGATATACACTAGGTTGGGGTCCCATGCACAATATGGGTCAGGGAGCTTCCTGCTTGAATGCCCTGTAGACGCTTTGTGCAATCTTACGGCAGTACCGATAGCACAGTCCTGGGGAACAGTCCTGTCGTTGATGTGGGTCGAAAGGTGCACATGGGTCTCCTGAGGATGTGGGTCGCCTTCAGCCTTGCAGCTCCCTTGCCTGCCCCCTGAAGCAATTATGCGCGATTTGGGTCAGGAAGTAGTCAACGGAAACATGCTGTACTTTTTCCTGCTCTCATAGGTTTAGCCCTTTGCCACCTTGAGTCCTGTAAACGTTCACACGCGCCCCTGCACACTATCCCCTTGTATTAACGTAACTCTCCTTATACCCCGGGGGCCATCCAGGTCCTTCATCCCCGGTGCCCTCGCATCCGCTGGCACCCCCCAGCCTCGGCGCCTCACCGCCCACTTACTACTACTCATCTTCATCTCCACCTCTTCCGGCACAACCCCAACCCGCCTCTAGCCCACCACTGCCGTCGCCATCTTCCTCGCCAACCCCACCGCCGCCGTCACCATCGCCATCAGCGCTTCCCAGCGCACCTCCATCTCCGGCGACCAACACGTCGCTTTACAGCCTGCCGCAATCCGCAGAAGTCTCGCCGTCGCCGTCACCGCCATCACCATCACCGTCGCTGCCACCGGGCCCCCCGCCGTACTACCTTTCCGTTGTACGGCATACGACAAAGGTGCCAGATGCCGTGCTGATCGCGGTGCTGGCTTTCGTCGGGGCCGCAGTCCTGGCGGCCTCTGTCGTGTCAACGCTTCAAATTCTTCGTATGTACGGCGCGTATCTCCGACGGAAGCGTTACGAGGAGACGGAGGGAGGTCCTGACGTACCGGGTTGGGCGGGAGCAAACAGCATGCGGCGATCCCCTCGTGTAAAGATCGAGGCTCTGACGGCAACCGGCGCCCGTAGCGGCCGTGCTGTTGGCGGTGATGATGATGGTGGCGCGAGCACTCGGCGTCGCCCGGGTTATGGCGTAGAGAAAGGTAGAGACGGTGGTGTGCCGTACCGTGCCGTCAAGGACCGCCGTACAATGCGGGGCAGTAGCGCCGGGGGCATGCCAGGCGGAAGCGGTGTCGTCAATGATGGGGAGGCGGAGCTTGGGGAAACGTGGCGGCGACGGCGACCTTCGGCAGCTGCCGCTGCTGCTACGAATGCTTTCCCATCTAGGGTTGCCGACTCACCTGGAACACCCCGTCGAGCACGACGTGGGACGGAAAGCGACACCCAGATGGTCAGGGAGGGGGCTGGCAGGAGGCTGGAGGTTTCAACACCGCCCCGAGGTAACAGGCGGGGAGCGGATACGCGCGCGAGTTCGAATAACACGTCGCCTTCAACCACAAACACCAACACCAGCAGTACGGCAACGACTCCAACGAACTCAACCCGTCACCTGACTTCCTCCCCGTCCACGAGAACAACCGCCAACGCAGCAACCGCTGGCAAAAACGGTCGCGGCAGGGGCGCCACCGGCGTATTTCACATGCAGGGCCCCAAGGATGCGCGGAGCGATATCGGTACGACAACCAACATCTCCCAAGGCCGCGGCGCCGGTAGTCGAGGCCGCGGTACGACAAGCACAACCGCAACCGCCGCTGCCGCTCGTCGTACAGTTACCATCTACGCCGCGACGTCCGAGGACTTGCTGCCAGCGGAAGGTTTCCGCGGGCTGTCCAACAATAGAGGCGCCAGCAGCAGTGGTGATAGCAGCAGCAGCGACAGCGACGGTGACGGCAGGTACGGCAATCCTCGCCGGGCAGGGACGGTTGCAGGCGGCAATCGTAAAGGTATCGGCGCAGCAGCAGCAGCAGCTGGTGCTGCAGCAGCTCTTTCGCCTCCTTCCCGCAGACGCCCCCTGCAACCACCGTCATCAATACAACCCGCAACAAGGCCAGCTGCCCAACCAGCAATCCTCGGCTTCCTCGGACGCCTGCTGCGACCGGCCGCGGGTGCCGCGTCCAACTCAGGAGGGCTGCGGCCTCCTTCCGGTGCCGCCCGGGCCACCTACGCCCCCGCCAACGGCAGGGTCCCTGCAGGCCCCAGAGCGGCCGCAAGGCTGGGACACGCACGCGAGCCCTCGGGGGCGGGGGGTCCTAGACAGGCTCCAGCCGCCTCCAGAAGGAGAGTCCCCTCCAGTAGCGAGTCTGCTGACAGCAGTGATGAGGACAGCGCCAGCGGCAGCGACGGCTATGACGATAGACAGCCACCCGTGGCGGCCAGGCGAGCTGCCGCTGCCACTACCAGCGATGGTGGCGGTGGCGGTGGCGGCAGGAAGGCACCTGTGGCCAGGCGAAGCGCTACCGCCAGCGATGGCGGCGGACGCTATGCCAGTCTGCAGGCATCGGGAGCCGGTCGGACTGCTACCGTCACGATAAAGACGTCTCCCGATGCCACTGTGACCCGTGGGTCAACAGGAGGAGCGGTTGGCGCTGGTGGCAGTAGAGCAGCTGCGGCAACCTCCTTACCTTCCAGATCAGCAACAACCGCAACTAACACACAGCAGGCTGCAGGGAGGCAGCGGCAGCAGCAAGACGTGCGGCCTCCGCCTCCGCCGTCGCCGTCGCGGCCTGCGCTGGCACGTAGGCCGCCACCGCAGCGGCAGCGCAGGTCCCCATCCTCTTCCTCGGCATCTTCCTCCACGGAAGGGGAGGAGAGCGGGTCAGGGTCTCAGTCGGGTGAGGAGGAGGAAAGGCCGAGAAGGACGGCTGATGGGAGGCCGGTAGGGGCGGCAGGGGGACCGAGGCGAGGCCAGGGCCGGGGCCGGGGGTGGTGAGGAAGGGTAGGAAAGCGGTGAGGGAAGGGCTCGGGGTTGCTGAGGGCTGGTGCCAGGATCGCGGGTTACCGTGGAAAGCTGGTGAAAGTAATGGAACGGATCAGAAATGCTGCGCTTCTAATTTTACTACCTGTATTGCGCACTAGTACCGTTTGCAGGATGCAAGGGGTCTGCATGCACGTAGTGATGCGATTGCATGAGACCTAGACGTGACGGCAGATTAAGGCATTACAAGGCACAATAAGGGCCGGCTTGCTGGCTGTGTATAGAGTAGGAACAGCGGCATACAGCTGCAGGGCGGGGTTTCTCTTTAGACAATTTCACGCATGGGACACGAAACGTCTTTGGCGAGGTTCGCAGTACGCAGTGGTATTTGGCATGGTTCTTTACGACAGCGGGTTTGCGCAGGTTGGGACACCTTGGGCGTATTAGACCCATATCATTATGCTCAGTGTTTGGGCATTGGATCTTACTTCACGCATGCACGTGCATCTGAGTCCTTTATTATTATCATCCCGTGTCTTCTATTTACGAGCAGCAGTAGCAGTGATTATATCCGAATGCGATGGCAGTTCCTATTTGGTTCATGGTATGGAAATGTAGTTCCAGCAGCTGTGGGTTTACGCGGTAGGACGGGCGCTGCCCTTTAACCTTTCATAAATGCAACTGCATGCAATGCCGCATATTATACAAGTACGACTAGGAACGCACTACACGTGCAGACATACGTGTGCACGTGTCGGCATGCAGTACGGCAAACCCCTTAGAGAACCCCTTCCACGGCGCTAATCCACGTTGAGAGTGTTTACATGAGATCAGGAGAGCGTATGAGCATGGTAACAATGCCTCTGCCGTCTGCCCTCGCTCTGGTGGCGTGATAAGAAAACTGGCCGCGTGTAGGAACATACTGTGATTGTGATTGTGCGACAAGATGACTACATATGAGTGTTCACGAGTAAGGGGAGTGCGAGAGTTGTGGGCTGCGGAGGGTGATGTGGATAGGGTTAGATGTATCCTGGATGCATGGCCTTAAGTAGTGTCAAAGGATGCTGCATCGGTCGTGAAGCATAGCAACTAAGCTCCTACATATTCGGGTGATTGAGGCAGCGCTTATAGTCCTAGACGTGCATTGTCGTACAGCTTAAATGTGATTGTGACGCGGTTGTGAATCCTAGGAGCTTACATGCGTAAAGCCTTAGAGCGGTTAGCACGGGCTGGGATCTATCGCCTCCTCAGGTGTCGTACATCTAGAGCTTCGTGCATGCTTTCGATGTGTTGTTTGGTGGGTTTCGGTTCTTATGCCGCTGTTTGAGTCCCCTTGCTGGGTAGTGCCCGTCGTCAGGTGCTGTCACTGGTTAGGATTGTAGCGTCGATCATGGGGCAAGCAAAGCAGAGGTGCGTGCTATGCATGATCAGAGGGCGAATCGGCGAAAAGGGTTCTCTCATACAATACCGTATCCTTACCCAAAGGTGCGTTTCTACAAGTATAGGATAAGAAATAGCCGTGTTAAGGTGCGCATCCCCCAGACGTTCGCCACCTACCAACAGATGCATGCGTGCCTGGCCCCTTTGCCTCGAAGCTAACGTCCCATGTTGGCCATGTTCCCATCATGCCGCTGATGGAGCACAATGGCTCGATATGCTTCCAACAGTGGCTTTCAAGCTCGTCATACTCCTCTTTGCAGGACTTCCACGAAGCCCTCCAGCCGTATAGGTGCTCTGGCAGTTACACCCCCACAAGCTTCCATAGGGGCTAGCGGCACTGCCCACCCTGCCATGCGCCGAACACAGGTACCGCTACCAGCCCCACTTATGAGCAACAAGCAGCTCATTACACTCAGCTACCCCGCAAATGGACCCGCGTTGACTACCGTACAATCGTTCGTTGCCATCACCCGCAGGACAGGAGCGATCGAACACTGGCCCAACAATAGAGAAATAGACTACCAAACCGGTGAAACCGCAACATAACATTGTCGCTGTTATATAATCATTCATGAATCCTGCCGCCTGCAAAGGTTGGCAACTGTCCTGTTTTGAGACATGGAGATAGGCACAAAACCCCCAATATGCTCATAATAATGAAGCAAATGCAAACAAATACAAAACATCCCCCAAGCTGCACAATATGTAGCCCGTTCATTGGATAGGGCAAGTAAGGCACACAACCGTATAGGTTATGGCGCGCACCAATGTTGGTATGGTGTTGAACGGTAATGACCGTACGACCAAACGTAATGGAAAGTCCCCTCACAAGTGAAACTGCAATCGCACCTGCAGGCGTCACACGTCAACTGAATTCTCTCCAGTGTTAATCCATTACTGCCCAGCACCACCCACAGTTCGCTCAAACAGCGCACGACGCCTCAAGTCAAAGCGCAGGGCATTGCCCAGATCGTGACCACCCGCCCATCCCACTCGCAGCATGGCGCGGAACAGTACGCGTGACATGCGCACACATCCCGCATCCACAACAACCTGCGATAGCACTCTTAAGAATCGCAAATCGGCTATCGTACCCTCATCGCCACGACAGGTACTGCCATAACGAACTAACGATCTTGGAAGTACACACATGCACGCAAGCATGCCCCCGAGCTTTCACACGGCTCCTGAGACCATGCAACCCTCCGAAACCAACGTCATCATCCGCACCGCTCCTCGCCATTGCCACCTGTTGTTCATTGTCCGTCGGGCAGCTTCGCCTTTTCCTCGCATCGCAAATCCTCTCACGCTACTCGACGTGTACGGCACATGCATCCTGCGGCCGCGCTCATTCTAGAAAAGGTGTTTTCACCGCTTTTCAGCGAGAAAGTCTCAAATCCAGAAGCACAAAGAAGCGAGTTGTAAGTAGCGAGCCAGCACCGCCAACATGGCCCCTCCACCCTTGCGATTTCAACCATGACCCGTGGGTCGCGTAATGCTCCCCAGCGGCCAACATCCAGACAATAGTTAGACATTGAGGCTTGCTCGCAAAGGCGAATAATTAAAAAGTGTAAGGAGGCCACAAGAGACTTCAACGGACAACCGGTGGACTGGCCAACTAACCAACAAAGCAACAAACGACCAACCAGCAGTTCAGGACAGTGCGTTCGGTTTTACCTCTATTTCCGTAAGCATAGCCCGCTAATGAGCTCAACGGTGGTTGACATATCCTCCTCCAGGCAAGCAGTGCATACGGCAATTGTACGGCGAAGGAAAAACGATCTTCTCATGGGAAGCCGTACGACAAAAAGACAACCAACGGAACCCGCCGCGCCCCCCCCCCGCGTGTTCGTACTTAATAAATACAACAGTCGTGTTTGTCTTGAATCCAAGCAAGCAAGCGATTGACGGACCCTGCGCGCTTCACATCAGTTCTTGGACACCCGAGCCCCCTTCACCACACCAACTGCTCCCAAGTACAGAATCTTGCGTGTGTACGTAACAGGACACATAACGCACGCACACACGCCGCCCGGCCTTGATGGGTGCAACACATACACTTCATCAGCCTCTTCCAACGACGATGACCACAGTGTGAAATGAATTTGACTTATCTCAGCAGGCAAATCAGGATTCTGCAGATACGGCTGGTTTCCAGCCGAGCACTTGCACAGCTCAAACAAACTCGCAAATAAAAAGAACCATACCACACCACCACATCAACTCCGCGCTCTGCGAAAAGGGGCTGCGTTTCTACAAACCGCCGACACACAAAAGGGCTTTATGTCCAACCCCAGGCCCCAAGACTCCCGCGCTGTATCTTTGTATCTTTATATGCACCTTTCCTTCCTTCCTTCCTCAAACACAACATCCCCGACGGCATGCAACGGGCAACACCGTATTATGCACCTCCGTACCGCCGTACAACACGAATACTACAAACTACCCTGGTACATGTGACAGTCACTCGCTACTCCATGCGATTAGAAGTAGATACTGATGATAGAAGTTGGCATGTAAGATACCTACTAAGAAGTGTGAAACCCTACAACGCAGCCACCTTTGCCGTCGCTCCTCTGAACACTCGAACCAGCTTTGAAAGCATGCCCTTGCTGCTGCTACGCCGCCTCACAACGCCCCCGCCCCCAACACCGCCACCACTGTTACCCTCTCCGCCCTCCACTCCTCCGCCGCTGCGGCCCCAAACAGCCCCCATGCCAGCCACCCGGTCCATGTTACCAGCCAACCCAAGCACTGCAGGAGCAACAGCAGAGGAGCCGCCGGCCGCTCCCGACGTGTAACGGGGGCTGGCCCACATCTGGCCCATGCGCCCAGATCGCCCCGTCAACTGCTGCGGGTGGTGCTGATGCTGGTGGTAATAGGGCGAAGGGGCACAGCCAGGGCTCGAGTTGGGGAACATGTCGGTAGGAGAAGACTTGGCTGCTGCTGCTGCCGGTACCTCTGCTGCTACTCCAGCCACCTCAGCAGAAGCACCGTACACCTTGCATGCGGGCTGCTGTTGTTGCTGCAGCTGCAGCAGCTGTTGCTTTTGACCCTGCGGTAACGTTTGTAACGTTAGACCAACCAGAGAGGGCGTGGAAGTTGAGCCTCTCTTAACGCCGCCGGTTATGTCGCCCGTTGCAGCGCCCGCACCGGCACCAGCATTACCCGCAACGGCAGCCAACACCGCCGATCCGATGGGTGCTGATCTGCTACTGCTGCTGCCAGTGTTGCTGGCAGTCGTGGCAGCAGCAGCAGCAGCAGCAGCAGCAGCAGCACCCATCACTGCAACATCTCCAACAAGAGGCGCAGCGGCTGCTGCTGCGGGGACGTTGGTGGTAGCCGCTGCGATGAGTCCGGAGACACGCACAGGCACCAGCACGTGGTGGTGGTGTTGCTGATGTTGATGAGTTATCAAACCACCAACGGTTGCTGGCGCATTGATACCGACATGCCTTGCATGCGGTTGTTGCTGCTGTAGCGGCAGCAACGACCGCGGCGTTAGCAGCCCCTCCGCTTCGCTGAAACGGTGTCCATCACTGAAACGACATGCGCCGCTTGCACGACGACCAGCACTGCTGCTGCTGCCGGGTGTGATGCCGCCGTGAGAAACAGCACCGCTGCCGCTGCATCCTGCAGCGGCAGCACTGCCCGCTAGAGCTGGTAGCAACAACGGTTTAGGAGGAAGCGGACCGCTGCAAAGCGGGCTCCTGTTGTTGTTGCCACAACCACCACCTTCTTCGTCCTGCTCCAAATCCACATGTGCAGCAACGGCCGCCGCATGCCCCCCTGCTGCTGATGGTGCTGCTGTTAGCTTTGAAGGCATCTGCATGCCCGCGCAAGGCGACGTCCGCACCAACGATTGAACATGTGAATGTGGCTCACCAGGCTCTTCAACAAAGCCCGGATGACTCCAAGCAGCGACACCGCCCTCTGATGACACAGCCGCGGAGGTTTCGATTAAGAGTGTTGTAGTTGCCGCTGTGGCGGCTGCTGCTGCTGCTGCTGCGGCGGCGGCGACAGCATTTGACGATAGCCCGAATTGCATGGTGGTGCTTCCAGTATTCATTGGTGTTAGGAAATGTAGGTGATGGGGGTGGTTGTGGTGGGGTTGTGGACCGTGATGATGGTGCGCCGTTATGGCCGGGACGAATACGGCTTCGCTGTTGTCGTGGTGTTGTATGACAGTCGAATGCGCTTGCGTTGGCGTGTCACCCTGTGAGTGGTGATGCTGCTGCGCGTGTTGCTGCTGCTGTTGCTGTTGCTGCTGCTGACAAATGGTGGTAGGATGTAAGGTAGGCAGAATGACAGCCGGAAGCAGCCCTTGTCGGGGTTTGCAGCTGGTGGTGGTAGTGGTGACATCCCTCACCTGCGGGTGCAGGTGCGGGTGCAGGTGCTGCTGTTGCTGATTCGCGTCATCGGCATGTGACTCAGCATGGGCATCCCCATTGCCGCTGGGCCGCATGAGCAGCAGCGCAAAGCGGCTCCGGTTGTGGCCCAATGCGGTATGCTGGTGCGGGTGGTTGGGGTGGTGGTTGGGGTGGTGGTTGGGGTGGTGGTTAGCGAGGTGCCGGAGGTGGGAAGGATGCTGCTGCAGATGCATGAACTGCTGAGTGCCGGTGCTGCTGGTGGCGTTGAGGGGTTGAAGGTGGTGGTGGTGCGGGTGCTGGGATGGAACGAGGGGGCCAGCGGAACGCCCCCCAGCCGGACTCGCAGGTGCTGCTGCAACAGGTGCTGCTGCAGGTGCTGCAGGCGCAACATGTACGGCGCCAGCAGGCGTGGCAGTGCATGGCGACACAGACACAGGGGGAACAAAGGTGGAGTTGGCGACAGCAGCTGCAGTATCAGCAGGGGAGGCTGCTGGTGCCACACCTGACAAGGGCGCAGCTTCGGTTAAAGCTGCTGCTGGCGGGTCATTAGCGTTGCCACCATGGTCCTGGCACTCCACCTGCTCCGCCCGCTGTTCTGGTTGCTGCTGCTCCAGCTGCTGCGACTGCTGTTCCTCTTTTACCGAAAGCTGCCGTACCGAATGCTGCTGCTGCAGGTGCTGCTGCAGCCGCTCCGCCTCCTCGCGCACAACCCCTTCCACCTGCGCATCCTGAGCCGCTGCTGTCGCCGCATCATCCGCAGCAGCCGTCTCCTCAGCAGCAGCGACCGCATCAGCAGCACCAGCAGCAGCAATGCCGCTGCTCGCCGCCAACATGCTCCTCCTTGGGTGCTGAACGGCAGGAGGGGCCGCACGTAAGTCATGCGCAGCAATAGCAACAGCAGAGGCAGCAACGGCAGCACCACCGGAGGTGGCGTCCTCGGCTCCAGATGCCGTTCCTCCTCCGCCCTCCGACTCAAATGGCAGGGATAGCGCCCTCAAAGCCGGCAACAACCGGTGCTCCAAGGCGTGTAGGCCAGCGATCAAGGGGGCTGGCAGGGAAAGGGTCGGGTGCGGGTGATGGGGATGAGCAGGAGGGTGAGGTTGCTGCTGCTGATCCCCTTCTGGATGCTGCTGCGGGTGCTGCTGCTGTTGCTGGCAGGAGGTATGGTCGTTGCTGCCTTTAGCAGCACTGCTGCTGTTGCTGCAATGCTCCTGGTGCTGCTGCTGGTGGTGGGTTGGGATGGAGGCTTCACAGCCTGCAGGCGTAAGAGCTGACACAGCTGACCTGCGGAAACTGGGAAACAGGGAGAAGTGCAGGTGCTGGTGCTGCTGCTGCTGCTGCTGGTGGTGGTGCTGGTGATGGTGGTGGTGCTGTGGCATCTGTCTTGAAACAGGCCTTGTGGTCGTTGCTCCCCCTGCTGCCGTACCCGTTGCCCCCATTGCCGGCGGCAGCACATCCCATTCCGGTTTGTGGTGGTGGTGGTGAGGCTGAGCTGTTGCTGCAGCGGTGGTGGAGGCAGCGCTGTTGCATTCACTACAGTAGCTGCCGCGACCCGCGTCAGAGTCCCCGCCGCCGCGGACGCAACTGCCGTTGGGGGCCCTGGCAGCAGCAGCGGCGGTGGCAACAGCTGCGAATTCCGACAGGGAGTGCGGGCAGCTGAAGCAGTAGCCGCTGCTGTAGTGCAGGTGATGCTCGTTTAGGAGATGCTGGTGGTGGTGCTGGTGGTGGTGGTGAGGGTTGGGGTTGGGGAGGTGGTGGTGGTGGTGATGGTGGTGGTCATGTTGCTGTTGCTGTAACAACAGCAATTCCTCCTGCTGCTGCTGCAACTGCATTTGTACTTGCACCTGTTGCATGTGCAGATGCAGCTGTGGATCCGAAAAGTACGGCATCTGCATGAGATCTCGTACGGAGGGACGAGCATGTGGATCTAAATGTAAGCACGCCTCAATTAACTCGTACAACTCGGGATGCAGATCATGCAACCGCTCCTTTAACGTCGCGGTTTCATTGTACGGATTGTTGAATTGATGACTACCGGTATGCCCGCGGCGGAAGGAAGTGCCGGTGTTCCGGCTTCCCCTGCCAATGCTGAGCAAGTTGCGGCCCAGAGCAGGAGTTGGGCCGGTTGAGGCGGCGGTTGATGTTGTAACGGCTGGAGCATAACCGCTAACGGTTGTCGCACGACTGCTATTCGTTGGCGTCGTACAACGGCCGGCTGACAGAGCCATGTCACGCAGGTGCGGATCTGCTGCGTGGGTGAGTCGTGCGATTTGGTGCCAGGGGAGGGGTCCCAGGCACTGGGTGATTCGCCAGATTTGGTCGGCCGTGGAGTCGCCTGGGGGGGGGGGGGAGGGAAACGGGTGGGACGGGTGAAGGATGCGAGGAGAAGCGTCAATAAGGGCAAACGGGGTTATGACCGATATTCCGGAAACGCTGTGCACCAGGAGACCCGATGCGGGTTAGCGCCCCAGGCAGGCGCAACCGCAGGGCTCGCAGTTGAGCTGTGACGTGTTTGGGGACGTCAAGGCAGATCAGTTTGTCGTACACGCCCTTCCCGCTGTCGTACCTTGGAACAGCACCCTGCCAGTGGCCGCCTCTGCCAGAGTGCAGGCGAGGCTCCATACCTGCAGCCCATGTGTCGCCCGTACGGCAGCGCAACATGTTAAGGTAGAGTGCCGTACACGCCGTACTTCAGGGGGAAACAATGCAACAGGGACATCCTATCCACATGGACAACCTTAGCGGTCATGCCTTGGACATCCCAACCCAGGTTAACGCTAACGGCCACAACGACCGAACCCAGGAACAACCAACCATCCGCACTCACATCCGCGCTTGGACCGCAGTGGTCATGCACCAACACCTCTGTGAAAGAGAGAGGGAAGGAGGAAAGGGCGCAAGGGAGCGGGGGGGGGGTGAAAAGGGCCACTACCGCTACTGGCAAACGGCTCAGTAGTGCTCGACACCCACGAGCACCGTAACCCTAACACCGGTAAAATGCAAAAACACAGCGAGAGGCAGGTGTGGGGTCGGGAAGCGCCGAGGGAAAGCGCCAACTGGCGACCGATGGGACAGCGAGTTAGCCTGGTAAACACGGGCATCACGTCCCTAGGGTGCTGCAGTGCTGCGCAGAAGCAAGCTTAGAATGCAGGAACCGCAAAAACACAAACCCAGAGCATGCTCTGCCTTGTCCCATGGGTCAGTCCATCGCAATCCACCCGCCTCCTTCCATCCCACATGTTGCATCTACACCCGCATGCAGGGCCCCACCCTCCCTCCCTCCTGCCCCCGCCGCTGTGTACAGTACTACATGGTATGCATCGTAAGTTTATACATAGTGGATGCAACAGACATTCACAGTGGGAGGGAAGTGCTGCCGTAATTGACCCACCCGGTGCCCGGTACCAGCGGGTCACGACGTACGGCGTGTTGGCCACCCCCCCGCCTCCCATCATCGCATCCATGTCAGGCCCGCAGTGCGAGAAACGAGCCAGCCCGAAGTCGCACAGCTTCACAATACTGCATGCAGCGGCAGCACCGGCAGCGGTTGTGGTTGCGGTTGTGGGATTGCTGCAACCGCCGCCGCCGCCGCCATCGTAGTCACTGCTGCCGCCGCCGCCGCCGCTGCCGTTGTTGTTTATGCTGCTGCTGCTGCAGCTCTCAAAGAGGATGTTGGCCGGCTTAATGTCCCGGTGCACGATCTGCACCAACAAGCGGAAGGGAGGACGGACGCGGAGTTGCGAGATAGACGCGACGCCAGTAACAACGCACATGATGGTTTTCAGTCGTGCACGCGGGTAGTACCTACCTTAACTCGCGGCATACTTGCCTGCCGCCATCCACCCCCCTGGACCCTCGGCCCTCAGTCAGGGAGTCAAGCTGTAGCACGGACGTGGTAACGCAGCGGACTGGCGCATGCCTTGCATGACACAGCTGCCGTACATGCACATGTTATTTGTCGTACACGGAATCAAGGCCATGTCGTACACCCTCGTACCTTGTGGTCATGAAGGTAGGCTGTAGCACACAGCAGTTGCCAGGCCAGTGCTTTAAGTTGCGCTGGAGGCAGGCCCTGTGGGTGGCCTGCTGCTGGTGCTGTTGCTGATGTTGTTGCTGAAGTACTTGATGGTGGTGGATTGGGGTTGTCGTGTTCACTTCTGCCAGCTGCCGATACAGCACCAGCACCGCCACCATCACCACCACCAGGTCCGGCGGAGGCGGCAGGAACGCCGCCGGAGGTGGAAAGACGAGTCAAAGCAGCGGAAGCTCCCCCTCCCCCTCCCGCTTCCCCTCCCGCTCCACCACTTGGGTCCAACAGAGACGACAGGCTGGTCTCTGAATACTCAAACACCTGGCGCAGGGAGAGCAGGGAGAGCAGGGTGGGTGCAAGGGTCGCCGGAGTCAGGAAAAGGGGGTTTTGACGACTGCACCCATCTATCCTGCCGTGTACCCGTCGCATTCCTCCTCCATCATCATCCACATCAACATCATCCCCCAGCACCAGTCAGCAGCACACTCGGCCGCCTCCACCCCTTCTCCTTGTTGACACCTTATCATTCAGTCAGTTGTTTCCTCTTTACCCCTTCTCCTTCTTGTTCCTTACCCCCCCCCCCACCACCACCCCCCCCCACCAGCCCCCCCCCCAACCCACCATGTACACCCGGCCGCCGGTGGATCGGAACACGTGCAGCAGGCGAGCCAGGTTGGGGTGGCTCACGGAGCGCAGCAGCTTGGCCTCCCGCATGGCCAGCCAGGTGACCGCCGCGCCGTCCTCGTGGTGTTGCGGGTCGGAGGCCTGCAGCAGGGGAGGGGTGAGGACAGGTGATGGGGTGAAGGCAGGAAGGGGTGAGGGCAGGGAGACACGGGTAATGGGGTTTTGATGGGGCGGCGTTCAGGCGGTTGGGAGCACGCAAGAAGTGCCGAGCAGGCCGGTACGGGTTGCTGTGTTACCGTTTCAGCCAACGTGTGCGCAACATCCGCTCTTTGCTGACCCTTCCGCAGCAGTGTTACAGCAGCTGGGCTGGAAAACGTTCCCAGCAGGTAAGTGCATGCCGATCCTAGCGGTCAGACGCGTATGGGATTGAGTGACGGAAAGGTTTCGGAAACCCCATGTGGGAGGGAGCCAAGATTGCCGAAAGGAAAAGCACTTGCCATTATTCCCTCCTTCATGTTCACCGTGCAAGTGTAGGAGAATCATCAAACATACCTCGCAAGCACCCACAAAAAGCACCTTTCCCTTTGCTGCCCATGCCCTGTTTACAGGTGGCCACCTAAGATCGAGCCTAATTGCAGGTGCATCATATCTCCTTCACTCCCACACCCTGCTTATGTCAACTTTCTTCGTCCACACCTGGTGCTTAAAGACCCGGATGGCGACGATGCGGCCCGTGCTGCGCTCGCGGCACCGCCACACCTTTCCATAGCTGCCTTCGCCAATTGTAGAAATGTACTCATAGTCCTGATCGTTGGGCACATCCGGCACTGCTTAGTGAAAAGTGAGAAACCAAAGGCGACGACGCTGCAGGGCTTCATTCGGCATGACAGGGACCAACCCAGGCCGTGCATGCACCCTAAAAACGTAGTCGTCCTCGGTGTAGTGCTTACTGGTTGTGGATAATGTTTATCATACCAAAAGCGCCCATCACACCTGTAACATGTCTCTTCGTGCCGACAGCCAATTTCACTTCGCTTTTTTTACTGTCAGATTGATACGCGTTGCTGGCATTCAGTGCTCGCTGCTAGTAGTGTGACACGTCCAAATTGTCAAGGGCTGTGAGGTACAGGGTTTGGTAGCCGTGGCTAGTGAGGTAAGCATAGGTAAATATGATTAGGTACAGGTGTAAGCCTAATGGTGGCTTCGGCAGGCTCCCAGCCCGTTTGCCCAACTAGGCCCTAAAACGTCACTGCTAGGGTCCATTGTGTTCGGGTACTGCGGTACAGCCGCTGCTCAAATGCGCTTCCGCGTCTGACTTTATGCGAGGCTGCGAACGTGCGACACTGCGACAACTAGCCGTTGGATTCGTTGCCGTACATCTGTGGAATGCTCCAATAGGAAAGCAGATCAGTTGCAACGTACTCCAGATGTCAAGGGTGTAAGCAAGGAGCATTTCTGCCTACGAATGGAGCTCTGAAGCAGCGCATGCGTGCGTATTACCGCACTGGCAACGGGCACAAGCGACGGGCACAGGCGAACAAGACAGTAAATGGAAAAGCCTTCCACTGACGTTTGCAAGAGAGCTGCTCCGTTTCTCTCACATGGTTGCGGGAGTTCTGGCACTGGGTTTCTTCTAATGCCGTACAATGGTGACGGTCGTTGGGCGTAGCTTGGCGGAAAAGCGCGGCATAGCTTGGCGGAAAAGAGTATGTAATCGGGAAATCGACATTCTATATTAAGCCTCTTTCCAGAAGTTGTTTCCTACCGGTAGTGTTTCGTAATTCGACAATTCCGGCATGCTAATTGGTTATTAGTATTAGTACCAACAGGTCTGCAACATATTTTCCTTGTTTACCGCTCATTATTTAGTAATTGAGCGGCGTAAGCCGTCTGGTGGCGGCGACAATGATGCCAAGGTTTGGCCAGGCAAGTTGGCAGTGGTTGGAATCAATTAAGCTTCTGAAGTGTTTCCGATGAGATACAATTTGTCAATTTTACGTCGTCATCGAACTGAATAGCGTTAAGCGAAAGCGTGCAATCATGCCCCGCACTTCTCTTGCACGCGATTGCGTTACTCGTTCCCAGGCCAGCAGCTGGCATCCTTGCTTGTATTCGCCACCTACCTTCCGGCTTTGAAATACGCAGGCGTCCATGCGGCATGACTGCACTGCTGCCGCAACTTCTTCACATGCATCGCTTTCCAGCCACAAGTTCCTACAGCTGCGTACGGCACCGGCTAGTGCTGTCGCTGTACCCCGTCCTCTTGCCAGTCCCTTCCTAAATCACATGGGTGCTAAACGTGGTGAAGCCATTGTCCCAAGGGTAGCAGCGCCGGCGCCACCATCTCCCATGGAAGCCGTAAATGCCTCCGCCGCTGTAGCTCCGATTACTACTATCGCGGCTGGCAGCAGCAGTGGCTACGGCAGCACTGATAGACAGGGCCAGGACACCACCGGATTCGTCCCTGGCAGCAGCAGCAGCAGCAGCACTGGCATTGCTCGAGGCGGCAGCGGCGGCCGGTTCCCTGGTCGCGGGGGCCGCGGACGTGGGGCTCGTGGGGGGCGTGGTGGACGCGGTTATGGTGGAGGTTACTATGGAGGCCGTACGGCAGGACCAGATCAGCTGCTGCATGCGACCCATGGGTCTGTCCTGGTGGCTGCTGGTCAGCAGGGCCCGGTGGTGGTGGTACCTGGGGAGCTCGAGGCCATGAGGCAACAGGTGGGGCCGGTTTGCGGGCGTCTGGGACTTGCTGGGTTATTATGAGGGACTATTGGTTGCAACCGCTCGTCCTACCTTACCCCGTCCCGAGGTGGGGTTGTGTAGTTGAGCGGAAACAAGAGCAAGCAGTTGGGATAAGTTCGCATGTGAACCGCGAGTACAGGTAAAACAGGGGGAAACAGAGGTAAACAAACCTGAAACGTAACTCATCGTGGGGTTGTGTGCGGGCCTGGCGCACAGGTCCTCGCGCCTGGGGAGGAGGGGCGCAACCTGCACAGCTGTGGCAGCTTGGATCCACCCACGGCGCCACCACACCCAGCCATCCCCTCTGATGCCCGCTGCCCAGTACGGTCATTGTACTGGGCAACGGGCATTGGAATTCGGTCAGACACCCTCCTCAATTCCCCTCTCCCCCCTCCTTCCCCCCTCCCGCTCAGGTGGCCCGGCTGACCGACCTCCTAGCGGAGCAGCGGCAGCGGGATGTCGAGCTCAGGAGGCAGCACTGGGAGCTGCGGAAGCAGGTGCGTGTGTGTGTGGACTGCGAGTGTGTGCAGTATAGGTCTTGGCCTCGGATTCAGCCTCTGGAGCTCCTCACTGGCCCCCATCCTGCCTCCATGCTTGCTTGCGTTTCTGACACCTCCCACCCTCCCTGCTGCAGCTGAACACCCTGCTGCAGAGCTTCCGAGAGGCAACAGTTCCGCAGCCGCCCCTTCCACCGCCAGCAGCAGCAGCAGCAGTGCCAACGGCTACTGCCACCACCATCACCACCACCGCCGCCACTGTCAACCCAGCAGCTGCAGCAGCTCCAACCCCGACACCTGACGCCGTCGCTACCGCTGCTGCCGTCGATGCGCCCGTCGGCTCCACAGCCGCCGTACCCGCTGCCATGGACCTTCCGTCGGAGGAAGCAGTGACCGCATCCGCCGCTGCTGTTGCTACTCCTGCTGCTACAGCTTCGGTTTCGACAGGAGCAACATGGGCGGATGAAGTAGCAGCAAGTTCCCCCGTCTCCGCCCCTGCCGCTGCCGTTGATGGCGACGCCCCTGCCTCCGCCCCCGCCTCCGCCCCTGCCGCTGCCGTTGATGGCGACGCCCCCGCCGCTGCCGCTGCCGCTGATCGGCTCCAGCAGGAGTTACGAATGCTGCTAGCTGCGGAGCTTGCTACTGCTGCTACTGCTGCTTGCGACAGCAGCGGCGGCGCCGCCGTACAAGCCACCGGCGTCGAAAGCGTCAGCATTGCAAGCGACACCTCCGTCTCTTCTTTGTCTTCGTCTTCTCCGCCGGGCATCCTCAGTGGCGGCTTGGGGCCCACGGGTGCTGCCGCCGCCGCGGCGTCAGCGGCGGAAGAGCCGTCACTGCCTCCGCCGACTCCCTGCTCGTCGTACGACGACGACGATGATGACGTCGCCGTCGCGGGCACTGACGTCGCGACTGCTGACGCCGCCGCCGCCGTCAGCAGCAGCAGCAGCAGCGACATCAGCAGCAACCCCCCTACCTGCAGCAGCGGCGCCAGCACTACCGCTGGCGCCACCGACCTTGACAGCAGCACCAGCACCGCCCCCGCAGCCACAGCCGCCGCCTCCGCTGCCCCTAGCGGCCTCCCCCACCTCCAAAACGAGCTCATGCGGGCGATGATGGAGGAGCTCGGCGGCAGCGGCGGCGCCGCTGTCCAGCCTGACGGCAGCACGGCAGGGGTTGCAACGGCGCTGATGGCCGCTGATGCGCCCTTCCCGTCAGCAGTAGCGGAGGTGACGTCAGCTCCTGATGCCGCTGCACCAGTTGCTCCGCCGACTGACGTGGCCGCTGCTGCTGTCGTACCTCTCGTACCTGTCGCCGCCGCTGCCTCCATGGCTCCTTCCGCCTCCGCCGCTGCCGCGGCCACGCCGATTCCGCCGAGGGATGTGGTCGGCGCCGCCAGCAGCCCTGACGCCACTGCTGCCGCGCCCTCCCCTGCGGAGGTTGCCGCCATTTTGCAGCACCTCCGTAAGATGTCCGCAGCGCTCACGGAACTGGCGCGCAACGCATCTGAAGCGGTAGGTAGCACGTAGCACTCGTACGACAGCCGTTAGGAAAGGTCGAACTCACAAAGTACCTGGTTGGGAGGATATGCTAAGAGAGGGGTAGGGAAAGTGGGGCGGAGAGTTTCGAATCGTGCGCTAGTCAAGGTCGGAAGCTCCTTCTTCCTCTTCTCCTTTCGCACCGGTATTCATTGCTCGCCCCCCGCCATGCATGTTTGCAGGGTATTGAAGTCCCGGCCGTCCTGCTTCAGCCCTTCCCTGGAGTCCCCATGGGCCCGGGCAGCAGCAGTCCCGCCGCTACCACCACCCCTGTTCCTGCCCCCACCGGTGTAACGCCAGCACCACCAGCTGCACCGCTGACGCATTCGGTCAGCAACAACAACAGCAGCAGCGGCGGCGTGGCTGACACGTTCTACCAGGTTTCTGGCCGGGGCCGAGGCCGGGGCGGCGGTCGCGGTGGCCGGGGCGGCCGGTTCGGCGGCACCAGCCGCGGCGATCTCGCGTATACTTTCCCGCGCTACGACGACATTGTTAATGGCGGCATGGGCCGTAGTTGGGGCCGCGGCCGTGGTAGGGGCTTCAGTGGCAGGGGTTCGCAACCTGCAAGGGAGGGAACGACAGGTGCGGCGGCGGCGGTGGTGACGGCTCCGCCGCCGCCAAAGCTAACGGAGGAGCAGTTGGCGGAGCTGCAAAAGATGCCGTCGTACATGTTTGAGAACTTGCCGCGTCTGCCGCACGAGTCGTCGTCGTCGGCTGTTGCGCAGCCGCCGTCGCCAGCATCGTCGTCGTCGCTGGTACGACCGCCGGCACGACCCGGATTGACTCCTTGAGTGGAGCTCGCTTTTGGTTTCCTTGCAACGTCAGGATTGATGTTTGAGGTGAAGTACGGTAATGCGTAATATGAAAGGCTGGCGGTGCTGCTGGCTATAGGAGGATGCAAACGCCAAGTGAAGCGCGTGATTGTGGCCGGCTGCTTAGATGCTACACAGCTGGGATGGCTTGGCTTGGCGGGGTTGCGGGTCTAGGCAAGTTACCGCTATGCGCAGTACGGTACGTGACACAATGACTTGGGCTAAGCTGTGAAGGATGACACTTTGGGGTTGGAGTCACGTTGCCTGGTAGGTTTGGAAAGTCGTGAGGTGACTGAAGCATGCGCCGAGCTGCAGAGGAGACGTGCAGCAGCATGTCAAGATTCGTGGGTTTGGCTCCGGTTGTAAAGGTGATTAGATGAGGCAGGTGTGATGCACATTATGTGTTTCAAGATCGGTTAGGATGGTGTGGCGTTCAACTAACGCTACATGTGGAAGGACAGGATCATGGCATGGGTCAGAGATACCGGTAAACCAAACCGGGTGTATAGCGGTGGAAAAGCCGTACAGTCTTCGTACGGCCGTACCTGCGCCGCCGTACGAGGCCTAGATGGGCCATCCGTCCTGTCACACATCTACGTCTTGGCTGGCATATTTGGGCCGTACGCGTGTCGTGCCACTTGTGTGTTTCACTCCTCACTGCCTGCCCGTTCCCCTCCCCTTCCCGCCGGCCCCTTTCCTAGCTCCTGGAGGCTGCGTGCCATTGCACATTCGTGGCGGCTGCTGCTGAGCTTGTTAGCGTGGCTGTCGACTTGTACTCGTCGCTGGCTCGTAACAGGGAACACATACACATGCACAGCCGATTGAGGTCAATTAAATTAGTACGCACAGGCATCTGCAGCAACCGTTACAATGTAGCGTGATGAACGGCGCAGGGCGCTGCAGTTCCGCACCCCACTGGTGAGGCAGGTAGATGAGAAAGGGTGTCGACGGTAATGTATGAACCAAGATGACCGGTAAAAGCATTTCACATTGAGCCTCTTTCACGGTTGTGAGCTGAAGCAGGGGACCCCGGCCCTCCTGAAGGCCAGACATGACCGAGCACTGTCAACTCGTGATGAGATCACGTATAACTAACCACTAGTTTGCATATGTTGTTCTGATGCGAGGAGCAAATTCGCTCGGTGAGATGCATCCATGTCTTCACTATTCCACACGTCTATAGGCCACACCTCAAGCCCTCCGAAACCCGGCTTCGCAGTTACTAACTGCCGCGCTTTAGTCAATGTTACTACAGCTGGACTGGGTGATACAACTGCGATGTAATACCGTATGCAAGATTACAAATGGTTATCATTTCTCGCACGAGTCCAGTGAACGTGCGCTCTGCGGTGTGCTAAACACTTTGATTCCAACGCTAACCGCTGCGACTGGAAACGTGTTACGTACCCAAACTCCACTCTCTGGTCTAGTAAGCAGCAAAACCAAAAAAAGGACTCAGGAGCTGAAGCTCTGAATCTGCCGTATCTCGTATCTGGAGGTATCGAGCAGCTGAACGCTATGTTGCAACTGCATCCTGCGTAGGTAGCTAGGCATTTACTGCTATCAACTTAATACCTAGGGTAGAAGTTGATTCAGGCCTAACAACCATGCAGCTTACACAGCAGCGCCTTTCGGCTGGAAGCAGCCGCGTTCGCAGCGCTCCTGTCTCTCGTCGTGCTGTGGTTGTGAAGGCCACTGCTGCCCCACCGGCCCCGGCGGCAGGCAAGGACCACTCTAATTCAGTCGGCGCCGCAGTTCCGTGGGATTGTTTGTTGCTTATCGTCGCTTTCCACGCTTTGTGATGTAGACAAGAAGCTGTTCCAATTTGATGGCGCGCTGTCAGAGGTGGACCCTGAGATTCACTCCCTCATTACCAAGGAGAAGTCCCGCCAGGTAGGGTTCACTAGTAAAGCGTCTATTGCCCCTAAATGTTTTTCTTTTAAGCCTGTAATGGTCGCGAATTATCTTAACTCTCTGTGCCCGCTTTGCGGCGGCGGCGTGGCAAACGTTTGACGACTTGTTTTCCACTTCCCCATCGCAGGTTCGCGGCCTGGAGCTCATTGCGTCTGAGAACTTCACCTCTAAGGCGGTGAGTATATCCGTGAAACCATTTAGGAGCTGTCGTGGTACTGTTTGTAACAAGACATGCTTGCGGCATGCCAACCGCTTCTCGGATCTGCTCTTTTTGGAATGACCTGATTGGTTGTGATTTCTTCGCCTAGGTGATGCAAGCTCTCGGCAGCTGCATGACCAACAAGTACTCGGAGGGCCGCCCCAATGCTCGCTACTATGGTGGCAACGAGTACATTGACCAGGTCGAGCTTCTGTGCGAGGTAAGTCCTGGCAGCTCCAACCGTGTAAGCCTGTTCCCCTTAGCACGCAAGCACCCCGCTCTAGCTATTATAATGAGCTTTCCGTGAAGCCATCCTTACCATTCCAACCCCATCCCTCCCCTTGCATTCGCCCACCTCGCACCCTTCCCACAACAACAACAACTACTACTCCTTCGAACCTTAGAAACGCGCTCTGGAGCTCTTTGGCCTGGACCCCAAGGAGTGGGGCGTCAACGTGCAGCCGCTGTCGGGCTCCCCAGCCAACTTCGCGGTGTACACGGGCCTGCTGCAGCCGCACGACCGCATCATGGGCCTGGACCTGCCGCATGGTGAGCCGCGGGGAGAGGAAAGGGGAAGGGGGGGAAATTGAGGGGGCAAAACACACACGCATAGGTTGTAGCAGCAACAGCACGGCCGCGTTACCAGGCTGGGCCGGCCTCATGGTTAGGAGCAGGGCAAGGAAAGGTGCAGGAGCAAGGTAGGGAGGAAAGGGGAGAAGGGAAGTGGAACAGGCGAGGTGGCAGCAACGTGGATAGCATCGGCAGCGGCGCAGGCGGTGTCAGCAGCAAGCGCGGAGGCCAGGGCTGGAGCGCAGATAAGGCAGCAGCATCAAGGACACGTTTAGCAACAGCTGCAATGCATTGCTGCTGCATCCACCCTTGCGTCGTGTTCCGGGGCGTCCCCGTTCCACCACACTCTGGCAAACTGTGGCAGCAGCGGTGGCAGCTTCCCAGGTCAGTTCCGCACTGATCTGGGTCGGGGGAGGATCTGTGTGTATCCTGCGTCGGTCGCCGCGCTGGTCGAGGAAGGAGCACAACAACAGCAGCAGCAGGCAATGTCACAAGCGTGGCGGCCAGCGCAACAGGGACAAGCCACGCGGGTGTTGCTCTGCAGCACTGAGCAGCATTGGTCAGGGTGGACAGCGGCAGCAGCAACGTGGCGGGGCACCGGGTTGCAGCGGGTGGAGCAGCAGCAGCACGGGGCGGGGCGGGGTTAAGAGGGCGGGGCGGGGCGGGGTTGAGAGGGCGGGGCGGGGCGGGGTTAAGAGGGCGGGGGCCTTCAAAAGGGTTTTGTTCCTCCCTGAACCCCCCACCCTCCTCAGCCCTGTCCCTCCTCCTTTCCCGCCCGCCCCTCTAGCTACACCTACAGCGCTACCATTCCGGCACTGGCAAGCATCCAACCCTTCCCCTCCTCCTCCTCCGTTGTTTCACTTTTCATGTATCCTCTCCTCCCCTCCTCCCCACCCAACAACAACTACAGTTATATGCTAACCCAACTATCCAGCCTAATGCGGATTCCGTTTCCAAATTACCTGTTTCCACCCCTCCCCAAACAGGCGGCCACCTGACCCACGGCTTCATGACCGCCAAGCGCCGGGTGTCCGCCACCTCCATCTTCTTCGAGTCCATGCCGTACCGCCTGAACGAGGAGACGGGCACCATCGACTACGAGGCGCTGGAGAAGTCCGCGGCGCTCTACCGGCCTAAGCTCATCATTGCGGGTGGGGTGCGGGCCTGGGGGGAGTTGGGTGGGGTGGGGTGGGGTGTGGGTAGGGGGGAGGAAACTGCAGGCACTGGAAGGTAGGCGAGTAAGGAGGGAGACACTTACTGGCCTGGTGGGAATGTCGGGTGGCTGGGTGCGGGTGGGACACGCTGGGACACCCACTATTGCACATGGGCTGGTTACGGCGCTGTCCTCTCGCCTTGCACGTCCCTCCTCTCCTCGCCCCCCCCGCCTCCTTGCCTTGTGTTGCAACTATTACTGAATGCCTGGTTTTCCTTGTTCTTTCCCCCTTCCCCCCCTCCTTCTTCCCCCCTCCTCCAAATTAATCCCCTCCTCCTCCCCTTCCTTCCTCCACTTAGTTGTTTGCATTTCTTATATAATTTTTCTCCCCTTCCCCGCAGGCGCCTCCGCCTACTCCCGCAACTATGACTACGCGCGCATGCGGGCGGTGGCGGACGCCAGCGAGGCCTACCTCATGAGCGACATGGCACACATCAGGTGGGGGGGGGGGAGGAGTGGGGGGGCTGGGGAGGGAGATTGGGAGGGAGGTCAAGAGGGAATACGGGAGGTGGGGGGCGCCCTAGGGGGAGGCGGGGGTTGCATGTGCTGGTTCAGGAATGCTGGCCGGAAACGTGTGTGCGCGTGTGTCTAGCCGGCCCATCGCGTGAGTGGTACCCGCCCGCTGCAGACGCTTGGCTACCCGTTACCCCTCCTGTACACCCCACCCCACCCCTCTACACCCCTTCCCCACATGCAGCGGTCTGGTTGCCGCTGGCGTGGCTGACTCGCCCTTCCCGCACTCCCACATCGTCACCACCACCACCCACAAGTCACTGCGCGGGCCCCGCGGCGGCATGATCTTCTACCGCCGCGAGCTCAAGGACAAGATTGACCAGGCGGTCTTCCCGGTACGTGGCAGGCAGGCGGGGGGTGTGCGGCAGGCGGGGGGTGTACGGCAGGTTGGGGGTGTGCGGCAGGGTGGCACACACAATACACGTGACAACAGGGCGGGGTGGACCGCATAACGGGCATAACCTTCTCATCAGCGCCTCCTCTTAACCCCTTCCCTCTCCCCTCCTCTTTGCGCCCTCGTCCCCGCCCCTCCCCCTTATTCCCTCCCCGAACCACAGGGTCTGCAGGGCGGCCCCCACAACCACACCATCAGCGCGCTGGCAGTGGCGCTCAAGATGGCCAACACGCAGGAGTTCAAGACGTACCAGCAGCAGGTGGGGGGAGGGGGGGCGGAGGAGGAAACTGACGCCAGTTATGTGACATGTAGGCCTCTGACCACGCTCCCATTACCGCCTCGCTTCCCCCCTCACGCCCCGCCCCCTACACTCTCCCAAACACCATTCTCCCCCCCACCCCACCCCCCCCACCCCACCCCGCACCCCCACCTCCCCCCAGGTTGTTGCCAACTGCCAGGCGCTGTGCCAGCGCCTCCAATCGCATGGCTACAAGGTGCGAAGGAGGGCAGGATAGGATGGGATGGGATGGGCAGGTCAGGATGGGACAAGACAGGATGAGTGGGGGGGAAGCTTTGGGTACCCGTTGGGGGATCCGCCCCGGGTGCTGATGAAGCCTCCCCAGCCCCCTCCGCCTGTGTTTACGTCCCCCCCCTCATCCGCATGAGCCGGGATTTGGGATTTGGGATTCCGTATCTGCACATATCTATTATTTCACCCCCTCATCCGCCTGCTCCCGCAACACCCCGCCCCCTGCGTCTCGTGCCCTCCAGCCCTGCACCCTCGCCCTCTTGACACCCCACGTCCCCTCGACTCCATCCTGCCTCCCCTTCGGGTTAGGGAAGGCGCCTCCCACACCCACAAGCCACAACCTCCCTATCCTACCCCACCCCCCTCCCCTACCTCCGCCTTAACAACTAATCTGCCACGATCATTCAACACGTGGTGTTCCCTCATTTCCCCCCTCCCTCCCACCCTGCATGAGTCGGGATGTGGGATTTGGACTCCGTTGCTGCACGTGTATTTATTATTTCCCCCCCCCACCCCACCATGCCTCCCCCCCCCCAGGTTGTGTCCGACGGCACCGACAACCACCTGGTGCTCATCGACCTGAAGCCGGCGGGCATTGACGGGGCGCGAGTGCAGACGGTGCTGGACCAGGTGGGGGCGGGGGCGGGGAGGAGGGGAGCAGAAGGGTAGCTGTTGTGCTCCCAAGGGGGGAGTCTAGCATCCCTGGTTTACTTTTCCACTATCACACGGCGGAACGTAAAGAGCTATCCGCGCTCATTCGCCTTCACCCCACCCGCACGCAACCCGACCCCTGCCCTACCGGTACACAACCCCTCTCCCTCCTCTTACCCCCCCACCCCTCTCCCTCCTCTTACCCCCCCACCCCTCTCCCTCCTCTTACCCCCCCACCCCTCTCCCTCCTCTTACCCCCCCACCCCTCTCCCTCCTCTTACCCCCCCACCCCTCTCCCTCCTCTTACCCCCCCACCCCTCTCCCTCCTCTTACCCCCCCACCCCTCTCCCTCCTCTTACCCCCCCACCCCTCTCCCTCCTCTTACCCCCCACCCCACCCCATCCCCCACACCCCCCCGCAGGTTTCCATCACCCTCAACAAGAACTCGGTGCCGGGTGACAAGTCCGCCATGGTGCCCGGCGGCATCCGCATCGGCACCCCCGCGCTGACCACCCGCGGGTTCCAGCAGCGGGACTTCGAGGCGGTGGCGGACTTCATCCACCGGGCCATCGTGATCGCCAAGGACTGCCAGGTGGGGGGGGGGCGTGAGTGGGAGAGGTGAGGGGTGGAAGAGGGAGAAGGGAGGGGCGGAAGGGGGAGGGGAGGTCGAAGAGATGAGGTGGTGGGGCAAAGTGAGGAAGAGGGGAGGGGGCATCGGCGAACTATGCCGGCTAGGCAAAAGCCCGCCCGCCGAGCCCCACGCACATCAGCCCAGCCAGGGCAACGGGTGGTAGGGGTAGCAAGGGGAAGTGGGAGGGGGGAGGTTAAGGGCGCGTAGCGCTATGTTTATGAGTACAACCCTTGCTCAACCTCGTCCTCCCTCCTCCTCCCTCCTCCCATCTCTCCCCCCCCTCCTCCAGGCCAAGACCCCCGCCCCCGGCAAGCTCAAGGAGTTCAAGGAGTACGTGGAGGTGGCGGGCGCCAGCCGTCCCGACATCCTGACCCTGCGGGCGGAGGTGGAGGCGCTCGCGCAGAGCTTCCCCATGCCCGGTCTGTGAGGAGCAGGGCGGGTAGAGGAGCGGGACGGGAGGGGCCGGCAGGAAGCCCCTGCTCAGGGTGCCCACCTCGGCTGTGCTGTCCTGCGGGGTTGTGCCCCTGGGCCCACGCGGACTGTGAGAGAAGCAGAACACAGACACACGCGGGCTGAGGTCTTTTGCGGCTGCTGTGCTGTGCTCGTTGAATGAAGGCCTGGTCCGCGAACTGCAAGCAGGAGAGGCGGGGAGAGTGGTTGCAGGCACCTGGGCGTGCTGTTATGGCTGTGCTAGTGGTGGGGTCGTGGTGACGGGCGTTCCGGTTTCCGGGGTGGAGGCGCTTCTGCAGGGGTGTCCGGTGGCAGAGCTGCAAGGGGAGAAGGAGGAGTGTATTTGCTTTGCATGGTTGGGAGAGGTGGTGGAAATGTGGAGCGTCATGGTGTGTTAAAATAACTGGCCGCGAGTAGGAACATACTGGGATGTCGGAAGATGAAGTCCCCACAGAACCGCCATGGTGTGTGTGTGTGTGGCTCCATGTATCTATTAGTGGTGCGCTTGCTGGCTTGGCTAGTTGAGAAGCACTGGCGTGGCGTGTCAAGGAGGCACATCGGGTGGGTGTGCCTTCCATTAGGCGTTGACGACATGTCCCCATACTTGGGGTCGACACCGGGCTTGCTGGCGGCCGATTCAAAGGCTGAAGCTTGCATGCTTGTTTTCTGTCGCCGATCCTGTGCCGTACATTAAACAGGGTAGACTGGTATATACCATCCTTGTGACTGCTTGTTTGGACGGGTTGAAACACTCAAAAGAGTGCATCTGGGCGTATGGAAGAAGCATGTTTGAAAGGGAAAAGGGGAAGGAGGCCCTTAACGCCAGAAGATGGGAGGGACGAAGGCTTCTGACTGCGTCGCTTGGTTGTGACGACAACGCAGCAGCTGCAGAAGTTAGATTCCGCGGGGTGGTCAGGGGGTTAGGCGCTTTAATGGCCTCTCGACATCACAATAACAGCCACGGGAGGATTGTTGTGTGAATAACGGCCTAATGGTGTGGGGCTTACGTACGCGTGTGCCAACCGTGCTTGCAAATGTACGACAGTCTGTGATGCTGTGTGTGTTTGACGGCGTACGTACCATCTGTGGTTTGTCGTACTCTTGGGAGGCGAGGCGACCTATTATTGAGTGGAGGAATGCCGTGTCGTGCACAGTACGCACGGCATCAGGCGAGTGTGTTCCGTACGGTTTGCGTGCATGCATGTACACGGATGCGCTTGCATGCGTGCGAACCCTTTTTTTGTTGCGTGGGTGGGAGGGTGCAGATAAGGAGGCGATGGGGCTTGCGGACGCGACATTGGCAACAACCCTTGGCAACTGTTCCCATGCGTGACACGTACATGCACAGGCTCTGAACAGAAGCATAAGTTACTTCGCATATATTTCTGCAGATCCTTAAATCAGCATGAGCACGAATGTGCTGCAAGCAGCTAGTCACCAGATGCCTGTCATCGTAGGCCCATTTAGCATGTACGGACATCTATCTGCAACGACGACCCTAAACGCGTCCAGGATTCGGTCGTTAGAACCGATTACGCAATCGCGTAATCGACCCCACCACCGTGCTTTGCCCTAAAAACTACTTGTATCAATTCAAATCCGCCCATACTCGAGAACGCGCTAAACGCCTGGGCAAAGCACTCACATGGCACCACCGGACTTGCAAGACACCAAGTCTACTGACTTTCACACCATTTTGTGCTATACTGGCTAATGAGCAATGTTGGTTTGCAGTAGGAAAGCTCTGGCTTGCGTTACATAGCGAAATGTGAATGACTTGCTAACTGGAAGCTTAGACTGCATACTTAAGGCGTTTGCGCCGCTTTAAGCTTAAACCTAGAGCCCATATGAAGAATGAAGCAGTTAATGTAAGTTGCCGATTGTGGGTGAACGGGAGATGGACTCGTGCAAGCAGGGCTTGTAGACCTTGCATTTTTCCGAATCCCAGGAACGTAGCCCATTTCCCGTCACCTTCTCACACGCAACGCCCCCCCCCTCGTCTCCCCCTTGCACCCATCGCCCATGCTCCCTCCCCCCTTCCTGTCATATATCCGCTTCCTTACAGCCTTCACCGCCGTCCCCCCCCCGCATTCTAGGTTAGTGTCTCCGAATGCACTCACTGCATGAGTCGGGTTATGGGTCTGGGACTCTAGTTGTTTGCATTTATTATATTATTCCCCCCCCCCCGCGCCCTCCTGGTTCTGTCCCAAGCAATCCCGTCGCCAAACCGGCCACGTACTCTCCTCCCTCCGCTTCCCTGTGACTCCCCCCACCCGTCCTGTACGACCCAATTCACCTAAGCTGCTATATCATCACGTGGCAAGTGCTTTCAGTCCGGATCCTCCTAATGACGTCGTTGATTCGATTATACAGCGCCTGAGAGCGGGAATGAGGGGTAAAGGGGGGCAGGGTGTGCATTCTCCTCAGCAACCGGCCCTTCCCCGCGCTGTACCTACCTGTCTCCCCATGCCCTCCCCATGCGGCTGTCCTTACACGCGCGGCCCTGCCTCCTTATGCCCTTCTCCGTGTGGCGCCCTTGCAGCCTCCAGCCTTCCTGTCCTCCCCCGTGGAAAACCTGCCTAGAGTGCCTACAGATGCCCTCAATCCTGTCGTATATGTGTCAGTTTATGAGCAGGACGGGGGCATGGTGGGTATGCATGCATTGTAGTGGTGCCAGTTGATGGACTTGTGTAACACAGGTCCTAAAAGGCCTCTCGAAATGTCGTGAGGACTTATAGTGTAGCTTGGTGCGCTGGTAGGTTCGGACGAAATGCCTGGGTGCAGGCCCTTAGGCTAGGAAGCCTGGGGATGAGAAGGCAGCTACATGATGAGGCGTGTTGACTTCGAGGATATGTGGCTTGTCGAGTAGGGACTTGAAGCAGGGCAGGTGGAAGCGGGCCCTGAAGATAGCAGTGGAGAGCATATAAAGATACGCGTGGGGATCTGTCCTGTGCTTCTGTGGCCTGCTGTGTCGCTAGGCTTCGCACATCCGGGCTTTGAGGAAGGGGCGTTGGCCTGCGCAGCAGCGGTGGCAATCGCTCTATCTAGCGCTAGCGGCGTGCGGACGGGGCTGTCACCGATTCGCCTTCGGCTGTTCACCCGGAGGGTGAAAAGCGAAGCTAGAAGCGCGAGTATGCCTGCGCATGCAGGCGCCGGTAGATGGATAACGAGTGGAGGGATGCCTCCCTATGCCTTAACCCGGGCTGCGCCTGCGTCCACCTGCCTTTCCCGGTGCAATTCCTGCCTCCCCATTCCCTTGCCCGTGCGGCCGCCCTTCCACATGCGACGCCTCCCTGCCCTTTGTGCAGTTCTTGCAACCCACTGTATTCCCTTTTCCGCGCGGCTGCCCCTACCAGCAACTGGCGTACGGCCCCCTCTCCGTCCCCCAGCTCACGCTCTGCATCCCTGTCTTCCTCCTACCGCTGCCCCATGCTCCCTTTCGCACGCAGCGCCCCTCCCGTCACCCTCTCGCACCCCTCGTCCCACCCCGTCGCCCCTGCGCAGCCCCTGCCCGTCGCCCCACGCACCCCTCGCCCCTGCCCGTCGCCCCACGCACCCCTCGCCCCTCCCCGTCGCCCTCTCCCCCCTTCCTGTCGCATTTCCGCTTGCTTACACCCTTCTTCGTCCCCCCCCCCCGCGCTCTCCTGTGTCTGCCCCAAACGTTTCTCGTAGCCAAAACGGCCATGTCCTCTCCTCCCTCCGCTTCCCTGTCACTCGCCCTCCCCGTCGATTTAAAAGCCCCCGCTCAGTCCCATGCAACACCGCAATACACATAGCCGTTCCTGACCTATCCCTTCACAAGCCCCCGCTCAGTCCCGTTTAAGCCTAGCCGTCGTACACTTGCCTTGATGTGGGGCAAGGCCGCGTGCTGTTCTCCGCAAGCCATGTCACCAGCAATTTGCCCTCGGGCAGTACCTTCATTTGGTTACCCCAATCCTTGCAATCCGCAACGCTCAAACCTCCTGCCTTGCAGAAGTAAAACGGTGTGCGGCTTCCTTCCTTTATGCAGATTACGTGACCCTCCCCCCCTGCCATTTCTCAAGGTCGAAGTCAGCAACCAAGGCCAACTAAGGGGCATAGAAGTAAACATACTGCCAGAACTGGACCGAACGAGTCGCGTTGGCTATGGAAAGCGACAGCCATTTTTAGATCCTAAATAACACCATAGGTAAGGCTCGTAAAGGGGTCCCTGTAACATGTATCATCGGCAAAAGTCAGTGGACTTGGTGTCTTGCAAGTCCGGTGGTGCCATGTGAGTGCTTTGCCCAGGCTTTTTGTGCGTTCTCGAGTATGGGCGGATTTGAATTGATACCAGTAGTTTTTAGGGCAAAGCACGGTGGTGGGGTCGATTACGCGATTGCGTAATCGGTTCTAACGACCGAATCCTGGACGCGTTTAGGGTCGTCGTATCTGCAACGCCGTCATGTCGTGCATCAACACAGCCCCAGCCATGGCAGCACAAGCCTTTCATCTCAGTCTTTCTCTATATGTTGTCGAAACTAAATGGTTGCAGGTGGTGCCGATACCATTTAGTGCTCCACCGCTGTCATCTGCTGCTGCTACCGGTACAGCGAGTAAGCCTTTGGTTACAGTGTGGGCGCATTTTGGCATGTAACGTCTTCTGAGCTGTCAGGTACAGCTTGCAAGGGACCGCATGTCCTGCATTTTGGCGGTTGGATGCAGCAGTAGCCAGTGACCGACCTGAGCCAAGCTAAGCCAAGCTGGCCCTCCTTGTCACCGGACGTCAGCATGTTCGTGGTTTCCTTGCCACTGGACGGCTTTCTGTCGGGAAAACATTTCTATGTGTCGGTTACTGCCGGTTCATTTACCGCGAATACTGTCAAGCTTCCAGCAACTGCTTTCACGAAGTGGGGATAGGTAACCCTGGATTACACTATTAGCAACTTAGCAAAAGGGTATACGCTAGGAACAACTAGAGCTCTTCGGTGATTCTGGTTGTGGGGAATGCCGACGGGCATTTCGCTCCTGACATTTTTGACAGTGACCGTTTTTCTGCTTACGGCATTTGAGAGCCAAGGTGACTATGCTTTAGGCGAAGCAAACCACTTCCTTGCTACATATCGGTTCCTTGCTAGTAGCGGCTTGGGTGCACATTGCACATTGGCAACGGCATGCATTGCGAAGCTACCATTGGAGGAACTGCTCAGTGCAGGCACCTTGACCCGTATAATAATGTTGGCGAATAGTTTTAATGCATAGCCAAGCAATAATGACCTTTGCGGCGGATAGCTCCTTGCTTTCCCGCATTGATTCCCGTAACGACGGGAAGCCCTAACGCACACCATGTAGGCCCTCCCCACCCACCTTCGATCTCTTCATCCTCCATTTCCCCGACGTGTCCCTCCGCCCCCTCCCACCCCCGCAGCGGTGTTTGACCGCGCATCTCCCCCTTTCGCCCCGGAGCCCCCTTACACACCCGACAGTCCGACAACACCCTTTCTGAGTGAGTGGTGTTGACTGGTGTGGTGGGTGACATCCCACCCAAGTGTGTTGCGCCTTTTACTCCTAACCTTCGTGCAGAGCTTTCGATAACCTCAACCCTGCTGCAAATATAGATAGCCAGTATGCCATATCAGTAGCCACTAGGGAACCAAAGGCAGCAGCCACCCCCCGCAACCAAACCCAACACCGTCCCGCCCTTGCACTACAAACCTTGCGCCATCTACCGGTATCCACCGGTGCCCCCACAGGTCCTGACCTACCGTTACCACCACCATTGCAGCCGCTCTCACCTCTTCGCCCTCCGCCTTCACAACCACCACCCCCGCCCTTACAACCACCACCTCCGCCACCTCCAGACTCACCACCATTACCACCACCGCCGCTTCCACCCTCACCACCACCCCCACCGCCACCAACAGTACCGCCGCCTCCGTCGTCTCCACCACCGCCATCGTCCTTGGAGCAACAGCAACTGCAACAACCACCGCAAGGCCCCCAACCGCCGATCCAACAACCCCAACTACCCCAACCACCCCAACCGGCCCCAGCACCCCCAGACGCACCCCCACCCACGTCATCCCCCCCGCCCACCTCGTCCCAACAACCCGCCCCAGCACCCATTGATAACAACGTGCCGTCGGCGACGCCCGTCACCGCGGGTAAGCTTCTGGGAACCAGGTGCATGCCGGTTGGGCGGTATGTTGCCATAGTCCGCATAATGCTTGGCTAAGCGCCCACCACCATTGCCAAGCGCCATGACAGACACCTCTGCTCTCTCCCATCCTATCCAACGCCGTACCCTCGCCTTCCCTGCCCCCCATGTCCATGCCCCAGGCTCGCCCCCACTCCCCCCGCAGCCGTGGCCTCCCTTCCCTCCGCGACCACCCAGGCCGCCCCGGCCCCCTCGCCCGCCCAGGCCGCCGCCTGGTGAGAGCTTCTCCCCTCTCCCCTTTGCCTCTGCCCTGCCCTCCTTGCCTATTTCCTATCCAATTATCGTGCTAACGCCCTTTCATCCTTTCTAGTCTCAAGCTGCTCCGCTAATACGTACGTTAGTTGCTGCCCGGTAGACTGCAACGTGACCTCAGGCGCGCTCTGCCACGAGCGCTACGTCATCCCAATCGTCCGTAATATTGGTTGTCGTCTGCAACTGTCGCTCACTCCCCATGCGCGCTCCTGCTTGCACTGCTGTCCCATTCCGCCTCCACCGTCCCCACAGGACCCCCCAACCCGCCGTCACCTAGCCCACCGCCGCCGTCACCACCCTCCCAGCCGTCACCTCCGTCACCTCAGACCTCGCCGCCGAGGCCGCCGCCGTCGTCGCCAGTGCCCCCAACGCCACCTCCGCTCCCGCCGCCGTCACCTCCGCCGCCTCCGCCACCACTGGTACCGTCACCGCCGTCGCCGTCGCCTCCGCCACCCTCGCCACCTGCGCCCCCTACGCCACCTTCACCGCAGCCCTTTCCGCCACAGCCTCCGTCGCCTCCGTCGCCAAAACCCTCAATACCACGGCCGCCGTCGCCACCGTCACCTCCACCATCACCACCCTCGCCTCCGTCACCACCGCCGTCGCCGCCCTCGCCTCCGTCACCTCCGTTTCCGAAACCCTTCCCGCCCCGGCCGCCGTCGCCGCGGTTACCTCCACGGCCCCCATCACCTCCGTCACCACGGCCAGCGCCGCTGTCGCCACCGCCGTCGCCGTCACCGGCATTCCGGCCACCGCCAGTTGTGAACAACCCCACCGCCGGTAAGGAAATACTGGGAGTCCGGAATCTCTCATAACTTCCAGAACAACAAGGATACACAACAAGAGACACAGCTCCGCATGTTTCCTTATGCCAGCCAGTGCATCTGCCCAACCCTACCAGCCCCTGGAGAACATCGCAACGCATGCAGGCTTCTATACATGCATTGACTGCATTCCGCGTTGACCCGACCTCATCCAAATGTTTTCGTTTCCCTTTATCGACGTCCACCGCCCCTGCCCTCCCCACCCGTCTCCACCCGCCCGCATCCCCTACCCCCTCCCCTGCAGAGCCTCCCCTTACTCCTCCTCTGCCACCATCACCACCACCTCCACCACCATCAGGCCTCCAACCACCACCGCTGCAACCCCAGCAACCATCACCGCCCAGCCCCGCACACCCCACCGTCCATCCCTCACCGCCAACGCCACCACCACCACCTCCCTCACCAGTTCTAGCCCCACCTCCTCCACCTCCTCCACCTCCACCTCCACCCTCACTGCCTCCTCATGCGGATGCCCTTTGGCAGCGCTATCCTCCCTTCCCGCCCCCCCGACCCCCCGTCCTGCTAGCTAGCACCCATAAGTCCGACGGAACATTGATAGGCCTGCTGGTTCCTTTGAGCCTGGGCCTCGCCACAGTCGCGTTTGTCGCGTGGCGGGCGGTAGTGCTGCGAAGGAGGGCGAAGATGACGGGCGACACAGCAACCGGAGCTGCAGGTAGCATCGGCGGCAGTAGCAGCAGCAGTGGCAGCAGGCTGAGGAGGCTGCTGGCAGTAGCAGCAGCAGCGGGAGCAGGAGGTGCAAGGCGCAGGTATGAGGAGGTAGATGAGGAAGAAGAGGACGTAGAGGTTGCCGCTGCTGCTGCTGCTGCTGGTGGTGGTGCTAGGAAGTACGGAGGCAGTGACCGGGGTGGTCAGACCGGCAGGGTGGGTCGTGTTGGGGCTAAGAGTGCCGTCGCTGTCTTGCCTGGCATGCGCGGAAGCAGCGGCGCCGGTTACGGCGGTGGTGGTGTCGGCGAGGGTAGCATTAGAAGCAAAAAGAAGAAGCGGCGGCAGCAGCAGTACATGCGGCACGGCGATGATGATTATGAAAACAACGAGGACGATGAGTATGCAACAGCAGCCACCGGGCGCGCCAACACTCGGCAAAGTACGACAGCAACCGGAACAACGGTAACTGCCGCCGGTGGGCGAGGCAGCACCGTTAACGGCAGCAGCAGTCGTAGTTACCGCCCCGATCATCAAACGCTACTGCCCATTACAGCATCCATTCTGGATCGGAGTAGCCGTTCTGGAGTCACTGCGGCCGCTAGCAGCAGCGGGAGTGGCAGTGGCGACAGCAGCAGCAACTACGGCGGGAGACACAGCAGGGGCAGAAGCCGTAAGAGCCGTGGGGGATAAAGGCGGGTGAGTTGCGCTGCCGGCGGTTGGTGTTGCAGCTGACAACGGTGTGTTAAGAAGACTGGCCGCGTGCGGTGTGTTAAGAAAACTGGCCGCGAGTAGGAACGTATTGAATGTGTGGGGATGAATTACTGAACGAATGACCGCTGCCTTAAAGAGGCAAGGGAATTACGGTTAGCAGGCTTAGCGCAGGGGTGACGAACCCGGCCATAGGCAAGGGGCCATAGGTTATTGATTTACTTAGCTCTAACAGTGCAGAGAAAGGGCAAGTGTATATTACGTTTCGTTGGTACACGTCCAAAACCTTCATGGCAAGCAAACTAGCAGCCGCAGCGGCAACCGTTGTTTTCATAATGCTTCGGTGGTTACGTACGAGGGTGGTAATTTATAAATAGCTGATGGCTTCCATGCAGCAGAGGCATGCTGTAGCAGGATGGGAGATGCCGCTTTCATGCGGGTGTTCGGCAGCAGGATGGGATATGTGTGTATTGATACTGGCCACGAGTACGTACATGTATTGCAGGGTGTGCGACTTGGGTAACGATGGTTGGGAGGCATGTTGGGAGGCATGTTGGGAGGCATGTTGCCCATGCAGGCCTTGGGGAGTGGCTTGACCCCGCTCCTCAGCTTTGTCGGGGGCCCTCGACTCGGACAGTACCTCTCGTATAGGTAAGTTGTATTAAGGATAATAACATGGAAACGATGTTCGGTGTTGTCGAGCTAGCGACGAGGAAGCGAGATACAGCGTTTCCCTCTGGCTTCGGAGCTAAGCGGGTACCCGCTTTGTCAGCCTGCAGTCATCCGCCTGTTTTATGCAAATCGGGACAAGCTGTCCGTGTTGCTGTTATTAACCCTTGCAAACAGAACCATTGTTTGCAAAGGTGTCGCATGCGTAATTGACTCGGAACACAAAGCCGACGAGCAGGTTGTAATTCTTGATAAAAGTAAGACAACTAAACAAGGGTACCGTCTATACTGCCTCCATGCTGTCGTCTTTCGTTGCGGCGCGCCAAGCCGCGCTCGGGAGCGCTGTTTCGAGCTTGGCTTCTAGCGCAGCATGGCGCAACCAGGCGTCTGGAATCGGTCTAGAAGTGGCATCTTGCGTCCGCGGGGATGCGCTGTTTGGACAGGCTTCATCCCAACAATCACCGCCACCTTCGGCTGCAGCAAACGGTGCTCAGCACGCCGGGCTTGTGGTTGCAGCTGAAGTGGATGCCTGCACCAGCTGTAACGGGACCGAACCCTGCCTGGGCAGTGCTTCAGCAGCCGGTTCTACCCCTGCTACGCTAATGAGGCCGCAGCCTTGGGACCGCCTTATGCCGTCGGCTACAACTACATCAGGTAATAGACGCTGACGCGTAACATGCTGTCATTATAAGAGGACCATGTCCGGTACTGATTGTAACATCTACCTGGGCTGGCAGCATGCCCTGTTCACAAAACTGACGGGCCTCCCTCTTGCGAGCCTTTAAACAAAGCGCATAAAGAGGATTTTGATGCGCCTTGGCTTTGGTTCTTAGTACCGGCATCGGCAGTGGCATGCTTTGCAATCCTGCTTCTGCCGCGTAGTCCTATACTTCCTCACAGTGTCGCTTTCCTACAACAACCTGGTTACCAAAGTTCGCGTTCATAGCTGCCACCCATAATGCAATTCACAAATCTGAGTTCTATGCTAGGATTGGGGAAGCCCGGGATTACCCGGCGCCCCGGATTTCCTTCTCAGGCCTACCACATCCCAACCCTTGATGTTGGTCCATCCTCTAGTCCCAGACCCCTTCCTCCCTTTCCTCACTTTACCCCGCCCCTTCTTGCCCTTGCCTTTTCCCCCAGCCGCCGGCGGCTTCCGCTGCCTCCACTCCTCAGCCGCAGCCAGCGGCGCCGCCGCTACCGCAGCCTCGGCGGCTCGTTCAGCCGCAGCGGCCGCGCAGGGGGCAGCAGCAGCTGCTGCAGGCGGGGGCAGGGGCCGAGCTGGTCGGCAGCAGCCGCTGTCTCCGCACGCCAGCGAATTCCAGCGGCGGTTCTTTCAGCTGGTAGGGAGAGAATATGACTGGGATGGGGTACGGTTGGGTATTCCGGCGAGAGCATTGTAGGACACGTATGTCGCCCTATCATGTCGCACCACGCACCTCGACCCCAAACCATCTGGCTCCTAAGCCTCCATGCGTTTCCGGCCCTTCCCCCACCCCCACCAAACAACGATCACAACAGATCAACAGCGGTGCCGATGCTGCTACCGCTACCGGCGCCTCCGCCGCTGACACGTACACGACAAGCTCCCAGGCCGTACGGATGCTGCTAGCGTGGCTTGAGGAGGGCCGTACGGCATTTGCGGAGGAGCAGCAACAACAGCTGGCAGCTGCAATCGAGGGCGGCACTGCTGCTGCTGCTGCTGCTGCTGCGGGTGCAAACGGTGTGGCAGCTCCGTACCGGCTGGAGCAGCAAGTCATTGACCGGGCGATGGAGGTGCTCTGGCGGTGAGGGTGGGGGCGGGCCCGTTGAGGAGGCTGGCGGGGAGGGTGGACGGCAGAGTGTTTCCATGCTTGACTTGACGCCCGGTTGTTGATTTGTTGTGTGGGGGGGGACATTTGGCTGCTCGTTACAATAGTTGTGTGGCCCTCATCCAGAGTGCCCTTAAGTCCTAAACTCTTAACACCCTTTTCCGCAGCCTCTACTACCGGGAGGACTTGCTGGTGAAGCGCGGCGGCGGCCATGAGGGTGGCAGCAGCGGCGTGGAGGGACCCATGGGTCTGCGGGAGCTCATGACGGCGGCGGAGGGACTAGCGGCGGCGGCACCCGCCATGGGCCTTACGTTCAAGCGGCAGCACTATGACCTGTTGCTGGAGGTGGGCGGAGGGTTGCGAGCGGCAGGATGGTATGACCCGTGGGTCATTGTGCATGTGGCTGCCAGGGCACGGGAAGGGTAGCGGGGGCGGGGGTGTTTTTTCACAACGTGGGCTGGTAGCTTGTGTCATGTTCGCTGATCAAGGCCCCTTGACAATTCGTACGGCACCCCTTGCCTCCCCTTGCCCTTGCTCATGACGTACGATATGCAGTTGTACAACAAGCAGTCGTATGTGGATCCTGGTCTGGGTCGCGGCCTGGCGCAGCGGCTGCTTGCTGTACGGCAGCAAATGGTGCAGCAGGTATGACAATGGGCTACAACCGCTTCTTCGCTCTTGCTATGTCCCATGTTTCCTAGGAGCAACGTTGTGAGTCCCCTTCTCCTTCCCTCCAGCTCACACCTCTTCCCTGTATGCCTTGTGCCGTACACCTTACTTTGTCGTACGTCCCAACCTCCCTGTCGTACGCCCGTACAGATGCTGCCGGTGTCCCAGGTGTCCCTCAACCACATCCTCTTTGCCGTACGACGCGATCCCGAGATGACGTCAGCAGCCAAGATCTCAACCGCACTCAAGTAAGCCACGTCGCCTCATGACGCTGTGAAGTACCGCCGCGCCTGGCTCCCTGTGGCAACAACACCCCTGTCAAACCCTCGTCCCGGGACGCCACTCCTGCCCTCCTTCCCTCCCCCTTCAATCCACCCCCCTCCCCTTCACCAGGCTCATTGAGCGGGACCTGCCGGTGGTGGCAGCTGGTGGCGGCTCCAGCCCCGCCCCCTCGGACACGCTGCTGCGGATGCTGCAGACGTCGCTGCATGCACTCATGAGGGACGCAGCCAAGGAGGTGAGGGGGGGGAGAGGAGTGAGGAAAAAATTAAATGAAAGAGCCGCAATGAGTGAGGGGGGCCGGGGAGTGTTTCGTTCTTCCAGAACATTAGGTGGACTCGGGAGATGTTGGGGAGGATGTTGGGGGGCGGGGATCGCGTATGTTCTTTCCCCTAGGCTGGCTACCACTGTTCGAGGCTGTGCTGAGTCCCTCCCGCCCATGCACACACGCCATACTTATATATGTACATACGCTACCATATTCCTCGGCTCCTGCGGCGGTTCTGTGGGGACTTCACCTTCCGACATCCCAGTACGTTCCTACTCGCGGCCAGTTTTCGTAACACACGTTTGTTTTACTGAACTACACACGTTTCTTCTTCCCCCCCATCCCTCCCTCAGGGCGACTGGCCCGCCTACCACAAGTTCGAGGCCGTACTGATCTCCCGCACACGTCAGCTGCCGCCGTACGACGTGCTGCTGGAGGCACTCACCCGGGCTGCGGCGGGGGGGAAGCGGGGGCTGGCGGCGGGGCTGATGGCGCAGATGGAGGTGAGGGGGGAAATTATATAAAAGTGAAACAACGAATCCCAATCCCATATCCCGACTCATGCAGTGAGCGCATTCGGAGGCACTAATAACACGCATCTCAAATTACTTACCGAATCGTTGCTTACCGTAAACCGAGACGACTTGAGGAAGAAGCCGCCTTGCGTGGTAACACTAGGGAGACATGCGCCGCGCCGCCGGTCACGAAAAGCAAAGCAACACGCATATGGGGTATACGAGCACACATGTTATCGAGACGCGTTACGGGAAACTTACCTGGAAAGGGAAAGCCAATTGCCAGGGTCCGATGGATTGGAGGCGCAGACCAACAGAGCCGCACCAGGGTCGTGTCCAGTGAGGGGGGGGGTTGAAAAGGACTTGAAAAGGGCTTGAAATGGAGGAGAGGGGGGGGCCTGCGTGAAGGTAACTGACCGGGAAGTACACGCGGGGGTGAGGTTATGTTAGAGGGGAGCGGGAGCTGGCGGCGGTGTATGTGTTCATCAGCTTCATCAGCCCGTGTGACTAGAATTTTAGTTTGACGAATTGCACCGCTCAACATCCCCACCGCACAACCCCTCCTCATGTGCAGCAAACGGACGCTTTCCGACAACAGCAGCTTCAGCAGCAGTTGCTGCAGCTGGCACCACCAGCCACCATAACCGCCGCTGCTTCTGCCGAAAAGCCATCGCCAGAGCGGCGGGAGTTGGAACAGACCCGTAAGCAGGTGGCGTGGTTGAGGGATGAGGTACGGATGCAGGGGCGTCAGGAGGCGGATTCGCTCAAGATCCTCATGCGGTTGGCGGTTGCAGAAAAGGACGAGCAACTGGCAAACAAGGTACGACATGACAATCTGTACGGCGAAAAGCCTTTGCTTTTGAAAAGTGGCCGTTCCCATTTAATGGGATGTGTTTTTGAGATTTTAACGCCTTTCACAGCCTTTTATGTTGTCGTACACCTTACATTGCCTCCTGTGTTCTCGTACCCCCCCCGTCGTACGCATTCTCACAGGTGTACGACCGCATTCGTGACGTACTCTGGCGCCATCTGGATGCCACCGCCCGCTTCATCGCGTTCAGCGACGCCATGAGTTTAGGCTCCTCACCTTCCGCCGCCTCCTCTTCCTCCGCCACCCCCGCCACCGCCTCTTCCAGCTCTGCCGAGGGCGCCGCTGACCCCGCCCTCGGCGAATCCGCAGCTTCGTCCTCCTCCTCATCCGCAGCGGCCGCGACGGCTTCCGGAGAGGAGGAGGCGGAGGCGGAGGAGGGCGGTGCTCCGATTGGGGCGGTGGACCCCTCGCTGGGTCTGGCGGCGGTGGCGGCGGCTCGTCCGGGTGAGTGGGTCCGGGAGTGAGGAGAGGGGAGGGAACTGGGGTGAGAAGGGGAAACTGACGAGCAGTATGACGAGGCTTCACTAACTGGGTTGGGTTGGGGGGTGGACGGTGATGAAGGAGAAGGGGGCGTCCGACGACAAAGATGCTTGGGTGGGAGCACCACCTTGTGAGGAAAGCTAATAGCTTCTTGCCCTTGCGTACCTCCCTGCTCCTTCCCCTGGCGTCTCCTTCCCCCCCATTGCCCTGCCGTAACCTGTGGTTTCCTGTGGCCTGACATGCTCCTTGTCCCCCACGCCGCTCCCCCGCCCGCTGCTGTCCCTCCCATCCTTGTCAGCCCCCGCCGATGCGACCCTGGCGCTGCTGCCGCTGTCGCTGGCTCGCCGCGACTGGCGGCGGGTGGTGGAGCTGGTGGTGGGGCTCGCGGAGCTGCAGGTGGGGAGGAGGGGAAAATGTTAAATAAGTGCAACAACACAGTCCCAATCCCGAAACCCGACTCATGATGCAGTGAGCGCATTCGTAGACACTATTCTAGAAACACGCAACTCAGAGACTTACCAATTGCTTGCTTACCAGAAACCGAGATGACTTGAGGAAGAAGCCGCCGGGGAGGAGGGCGGGGGGAGAGTGACCCACGGGTCATTGGTTGGAGGTTTGCCTGGTTGGGGGGTGCCAGGGGACCGAGTGGCGGTGGAGGATGGTGGGGTCCCCTCTTCCGTGCCTCCCCACTTGCATGGGTCGTCACCTCCTGTCCTCCGCCGCCCCCCCCCCGCAGGCCCTCTACCGGCGCCAGGCCAGCCCCAGCGACCTCACCTGGCTGGTGGGGGGCGACTCCAGCGCCATGGAGCGGAGCAGCTCGGCGTACGGGGGGCTGGGGTGAGGCTTCTTGGGGGGGCGGGGGTGAGCGGGGGGCCGGGGTTGAGGCTGCTGGGTGGGTGGGGGGTGTATTACCGTGCATGCATCGTTGCATCTAGGGACTGCCTTCTCATCTTCCTCTCTTTCCAAGTACCCCAAAGACCAAATTTCTCTCTCCCCCCCCTTCCCTCCTCCAGCCCGCTGTCTGAGGTGCTGATGGGCAGCGATGCGGACACGGTGGGCTATTACTCGGAGGTGAGGAGGGGGGGAGGAGGGGGGGAGGGGGGGGGGGAGGAGGAAACGTGGGAACTATAGGAAGCCACAGGTTAGGGCAAAGCATTGGAGATAGGAGGCGGCAGGGTGCCACACGGGGGGGAAAATTAAATAAGTGAAACAACGAGTCCCAATCCCATATCCCGATTCATGCAGTGAGCGCATTCGGAGACACTATACTAAAGGCACGCATCTCAAATTACTTACCGTTGCTTACCGTAAACCGAGACGACTTGAGGAAGAAGCCGCCTTGCGTGGTAACACTAGGGAGACATGCGCCGCGCCGCCGGTCACGAAATGCAAAGCAACACGCATATGGGGTATACGAGCACACATGTTATCGAGACGCGTTACGGGAAACTTACCTGGAGATGGAGGCCAGAAGTGCCATGGCCATAAGGATTGGAGACGCAGACCAACAGAGCCGCACCAGGAGCGGGTCCAGTATCCAAGAGGAAGCGGTTGTCAATATGCGGAAAAATAGGGAAAGAAGTAGGCAGGGCGCGTTAAGGAGGGGGTGGGAGGGAGGGGGTGAGGGAGGGGGCGGGAGGGAGGGAGGGGGGAGGGAGGGAGGGAGGGGGGAGGGAGGGAGGGGGCGGGAGGGAGGGAGGGGGGGAGGGAGGGAGGGGGCGGGAGGGAGGGAGGGAGGGGGAGGGAGGGGGCGGGAGGGAGGGAGGGGGGAGGGAGGGAGGGGGCGGGAGGGAGGGGGCGGGAGGGAGGGAGGGGGGGAGGGGACAACCAAAGGACAGCTGGGACAGCTGGTGGGCTTCTGGTTCTTATGGTGGATGGGAGGTTCAGGACACCGCACTTTCCCTTCCCATTCCCAACATCCTATGATCACACACACCCCACCCCACCCTCGCCCCGCCCCGCCCCAGCTGCTGCGCTGCATTGCCGCCGCCGCCGCCCCCGGCACCGCCGCCGCCCCCTTTGGCGGCTCCGCACTGCCCTTCGGCCCCGCGCTGAGGGCGGCAGCGGCCCGCCGGGATCTGTCCTCGGTGGCGGAGATCGTACGACAGATGCGCGGACTGGGCTGCAGACCGGATGCGGACTCGTACGCGGCGGTGATTGACGCGAGTTTGAGGGCGGGGAAGGTGAGAAGGGGGAGGGAGGGAGGGGGTGTGTGGGCTGTGACTAGGCTAGGCTGGGGGGGTGTACGGCAGCTGTGCGACAGAGCCGTGTGAGGACACGGGATGGCAGTTGACTTGGTGTGTATGGGCAGGTGTGGTATGTGTTCACACCACCCGCCTCCCGCCTCAGGTTCGCAGTGCTTCCCCTCCTCCCCCCTCACCTAACACCCCCTCGTGAAGCCCGCCCTACGCTGCCTACCTGGCCCCTTCACACCTTCCCCTCTCTCCCTCCTCCTCTGCTGTCTCTCCTTACAGTCCAACGTACCCCTCTCTCCTGCGGCCCCCGCCCGGACCCCCTACCCTCTTCTCCTCCTTCATCGCAAGCCATGCTAGAATCTTGCCACATGGCTAGTTACCGTACCCCATCTCCTCTTTATAACCCCCTCCCCTTCCCCCCCTTCCCCTTCCCCCCCTTCCCCTTCCCCTCCCCCCCCCTCCCCCCCCCAGCCGGAGCGTGTTGCGGGCCTGCTGGAGCTGATGGCGGAGGAGCGGATGTACCCCAATGCGGCAGTGTGGGAGGTGCAGCTGGCGGCGGTGAGGGGGGGGAGGCGGTGGGGGCATGGAGGAAGAGGGAAGGGGGTTTAGGGAGGAGGCCGGAAAGGCCAGGGAGGGAGGAGAATAGGAGATACGAGGGAACGGGGAGGGTTGTATACCCCCCTGTGGGCGCGCTAAGAGCGGGTAGACTGCTTCTTGGCGCGCCCGCCTCCCTTCTTTCTTCCTGCTCGCATCCCTACCACTGTCGTAAACAGCTTGATTTTAACCCCTCTTCCCTCCCTCCTCTCCCTCCTCTCCCTCCCCGCCCCAGGCTGCCGAAGCGGGCGACAGCGCCGGCCTCACCTCGGTGGCCCAGGCGGCACTGGCGGAGGCGGACAAGGGGCGGGTCAGCAAGCGGGGGGTGGCGGCAATCAGGGCAGAGGTGGGTGGGGAGGGGAAGGGGGGAAGGGATGTGGGAAGGGGTTTGGGGAGGCATGCGCGGTTCAAGGAATGGAGCGAGTGGTAGCGATGGGTAACAGGAACGGCTGCAGTTGGGTTGTGGTTCTTGCGTGTCTTGGGCCCTTTCCCTGCACACCTTTCTGCCACGTCCCATCCTCTGCTTGTCCTAACCCGCCCATATCTCCTGCAGCAGGCCTTTGCTGCCGCCACCGCAGCGGGTCCCCCGGCCACTCCGCCATGCCCTCACGCCATGCCGCGCCTAGACCCAGCCCTTTGCCTGCCATGTGCCTTCTCCTAATCCACCACCTCTCTTCCTTCCCCCCACCTCCCCCCCTCAGGTCCTCGCCGCCGCCAGCGCTGCTGCCGAGTCGCGGGGTGACTCCCGCGCCGCCGCCGCGCTCTCCCTCCTCCGCAGCCGGAGCCGGGAGCTGGCGGATGTGGAGGCGCGGGAGCAGCAGCAGCGGCAGCAGCGGAGGTACATGCAGCAGCAGCAGCGGCAGGGAGGGGGGTATCAGCAGGGCGGGTACCAGCAGGGGGGGTACCAACAGGGGGGGTACCAACAGGGGGGGTACCAGCAGGGGGTGCGGAGGACGTATGGGGGACAGCAGCACAGGAGGCAGGAGCGGTCGTGAAGTACCCGGGGGGGTGGCTTAGTGGCAGCGGTGTGAGGGGGAGTGGGGGGGAGGTGACGCGGCTGTGGACGCATGATGGAAGGTATGCTTGAGGAGCAGCAGGGGTAGGGTGTATGGCACTATAGGGTTTAATGCTCTACCGGCGAGGACGCAGCAGCAGTAGCAGCGCAGGAGGAGGGACGATGACATGACGGCGGTAGCGGTGGGGGTGTGATGTGAGGGGGGCGCGCGGCGGGGAAAGGAGTCTCCTGGTGCTCTGCAGAGGCTTCCAGGGGGAGGGGCTGAACTGGCTGGGTGTGGGCATCTGAGGACGGGACGTGGGGGTTGTCCTCTCACCGGGGGGTGGTCGATTGCCTTGGATGCCTCGGTGGTTGTGTGAGGCTGGTGTCTGTGTTTAGACGAGGATTGTGGAAGACTGTAGAGGGCTGGGGGAAGGTAAAGAGGGAGGGGGGGGCTGGGGGCCAGGCATGATACCAGGTATGGGTGGTGTATGGCTGTTATGGAGGAGGAGGAGGAGCTGAGAGGGGTTCCGTTGGGGTTCCTCCTTTAACAGGTACCCGAGTCAAGGTGGAGGGCGGACATGGGCGACGAAGGTTGTGACGAAGGCATGGGTGACGAAGCCGGTAAAGGGCAACGAGGGGTTCAGAGAAGAGGGGACAGGTGGAGGGGGTGATATACGAATGGCGTGACAAGTGGGGTGACCTGGGGAGACCTGATGTGATTATATCTGTTGTCTCTCTGTGTTTTCGCAAGAAATACACGTACCGGGATGTGACGGTTCGGACCTGCGCCGGCACGCATGTGTGCTCGGATGCGCTGCTGTTGGTGCTAAACGAATAGCCGTATGTGCTACACCAGTATACGGTTGCATATACTGCTGTTATGGGTATAGTTGCCACCCGATTAAGGGGTTTGCGGCGGGGAAGTTGCAGGTGTGTTTTATGAGGTGCACGACGCTGTGATGTAGGTTCTGTGTGGACGACCCACGACGCCCACGACCCATGGGTCAGTCCCTGATTGAGTGCAACACAGCTGTGATGTGTTCGTGGCGAACGTCACGAGGCCCCCAGAGGAGGTAAGATGCGGATTGGTTCCGGCCGGAAAACTGCAGCCCACAGAAACTAATCACCAGGGTGCCAGCCATGGGTACTGTGTGAGAGGTGAGCGGATAGGTCCAGTATCCGAGCGGTAAGCCGTGGCATCGTTCTTAGCATGCACTATGTACAGCAATATACTGGCGTCGAGGATCCACCATTGTACACGCAGTGGAAGCGCGATAGAAGTGTGCTCACCTACACACAGTTTTTATACACACAGTTGAAGCGCGATTACCACACGGGCTGCTATCAAGGCCGCACTACGAACCCCTATCATGCGGGCAGCTCCTATCTCTCTCGTCATAGCAGCAGCCCAGGGGGGGATGCGCCCTCTCTCTTGGTTCCTCCTCTCTCTTCCATCCTGCCCCTGTCGCATCCAAATCGCACACGCACGCTCACATTCCTCCACATAGCCGTATGATAGTACCGGTAATGTTGCGCAATTCAGTTCATTATACGCACAGCCGATCCTCCTCCCTCCAAGGTCAGTGCCAGATGTGCAGCCAGTCATGGTGACACACACGCACGGCCTTTTTTCCACTCTCGTGCCGTTCTTGTGAGGACTTAATCTTTCGGATTTGCTGTACGTTCCATACAAGCAAGCATACGGCGCATCCAGTTTTACGTCCCATCGCCTGTTGCCCTAACCCGCCGCCCGATACTTCCTTCTGCATTCTCCTGCATTACTTCAACCCTACTCATCTCTCTTTAGACGTTCGCATCCGATCATTCGCTAAATAAAGATCTGTTGGGATCAGCCGTACAGCGCCCCTCCTCACGCATACATGGCCACAAGCGCATCGATCTGGGAAGCCGTCGGCAGCCCCTCCTCATCCTCCTCCTCGTCAACCGGGTAAGCCTGTTGCGCCTTGTAAACGCCACCACCACCGACACCACTTCCGCCCTCACCGCCACCCTTGCCGTTGTTGCGGCCAAGAGCAACGCCCGCACCAACGCCATTTCCGCTAAAGCTAATGCCGCTCTTGTTGCTGCCGTTGCCGTTACCGTTTCCATTGCCGCACGAAGAAGAAGCCATCATACCGCCGACGCCCTCGCTGACGTACCAGGCCGCGACGGTGTCGGCAGCGGGGACGGCGACGTAAGCGGTGGTGGCAATGGTGCCGCCGCTCTTGGACCCCTCGCCATCCATGACAGCGCTTCCATCCGTGATCGCGGCCGGCGTTGCCGCCACTGCACCGCTTGTAGCTCCTGCAGCCGCCGCCGCTGGCGCCGCTTTCCCCGGCCCCGCCGCTGCAGCCGCCGCAGTCGACGGAGGGGCCGACGGCGCTGTCAGGGTTGGCCCAGCGGCGGCGGCGGCGGCGGAAGCAGGGGCCTGGAACTGAAGTGTCTGGGTGTTGCCGGCTTCACCACCGCTGCCGCCGCCGCCGACCTTACCGCTCCCGCTGAAAGAGGCATTGCGGACGTCACCATCGCCGCTGGTGAGACCGCCGCCGTCGGTGTCTTCCCTGCCGCTGCCGCCGCTGCCACCGCTAGTTCCACCTCCAAGTTTTCCTTCGGTTACGTGGCTCGTCTTTTGCCGCTTGAATGGCGAAAAAAACGGCTTCCGCTTCCGCTATCGCGACATCTGGCGCTAACCCATCTGACGCTACCTCGTGCTGCAGCCCCTGCTGCATCTTGCCGGGCTGTGTTGGCGGCAGCGGCAGCGGGGCAGAGGGCCTACCGGGGCCGCTGACAGCGGGAGCGCAAACGGCTGGGGCAGCGGCGGAGGATACGTCAGCAGCACCGGGGGCAGCCGCCACATCTGTAGCAGCCGCTCCTAGGTTAGTCCCCTCAGTTCGTACAATAAGGGGAGCGGACACAATCCCCGCCGAAGGTGTTTCCGCCGAACCGGCTTGCCGTGACGGGATGAAGCCCAGACCACCACCGCCGCCGCAGCCGGCGGCATTGGGGCCCTGAGGAGTGATGACGGCAGCACGAGGGAAGAAGCCCGTACCGCCCGCAGACGTAGCAGCAGGCAGCGGCAGCCTTGAAGTTGTCGGCTGCTGCGACGTTGACGACGGCGCAGTCAACGGCGGCATCTGGTGGCGTTCCAGCGGCGCCGGCGGCGGCACACCAGTTGCCGCCAGCCATTCCGCCTCCGTCGGCACTGCGACGCCGACGCCGGGAGCGCTGTGCGCCGCCAGCGACGCCCAAAGCCGCCCCGCCGCCCGACAGCGGCTCTTCTCGCCGTACACCGCCGCCTCCGCCGTCAAGACGCCGCACACGGCTAGTAATGCACGTCGTACGGCAGGGTGCGTCGGCGGCAGCCGTACGACGGAGGATGACGACGCCGCCGTACCGGCGTACACGCCGACGTCGTTGGCGAGGAATGACGCCACGTAGTACAGCGGTCGTACGGCTGTGGCGGTTGTGGCGGTGACGGAGGCCGGCGCAACCGCCGCTGATGCACCCTCCGGCGCCGCCGCTGCCGTACGAATTCCGCCGCCGTCAGCGGCGGCGCCGTCAGGTGCTTCTGAAGGTACGAACGTGTTGTGGTCGTCGTCTTCTGCGCCCGCCGCTGCTGCCGCTGCCGCCACCACCGCCGTCGAAGCTAACCCAGATCGCCGTAATGCAGCCGCTGTCGCCGCTGCGGGGTTGCCTCGCCCAGCATCCGTTCTTGGTCGCAGGCCCATGCGCGGTGCCGCCGCTGCACCCCTGCCGCCGCCGGCGCCCTTCCGGCCTCCGGCTGCGTTGCCATCATTGTGCAGCACCGCAGCCCCCTCCGCTGCGTTGCCCTCTGTCGCAGTTGTTGTTGCTCCTGATACAGTCGCAGCCGCATCAGAGGGCACAGCTGCGCAAACGAGGAGCGGTGTGCCGTCGGCGGCGACGCAGCGAAAGGGCTGTCGCGTTACGACGCATCGCGTCCCCGCAACCTCCTCGACAAAGCAGTGAAACGGCTCCTCTTGCTGGTGCTCTTGAACTCCACGTTGCGTTTGCTGCTGTTGTCCTTGTTGGTGCTGGTGGTGCTGCTGGTGTCCTTGTTGCTGGTGGTGATGGTGGTGTTGCTGTAAACATGGTAAATGGTTGTTTCGCGGATGTTGGTCGGGAGCCTGTCGCAAATCTTGTGGTTGTTGATGCTGCTGCTGCTCCTTGCGCTGTTCTTCATGCTGCTGCTTTTGCTCTTTAGGCTGATCTCGAGCAGCTGACGAATCACCAACAAGTGCAGTTGCAGAGAGGCGCTGCTGCTGTTGATCCTGTTCCTGCTGCTGGCGCTTAGCTTGCTGGCGCGTTAAGCGCTTCGGTGCCATTCCGCTGTGTTCAAAAGGTCGCTCCTCTTCGTGGCCTTTTCAATGCCTTGCCACGGAATGATGACAGGTCCGCAAAAATGAGCCTGCTGTTCAAACTCCTACGTCATATCCTCTAACAAGCGGAATAGCCGAGAAACAGAATAGCTGAGACTCAAGGCGCTGGGGCCTCCGAATGTCGGAAGAAAGAACGTCCCAGGGTTCGCTCACAAGTTATTTTACTACCGGTATCACGTATAACTGTTATCCATCACGCAACGCCGCTTGAGTCTAACTACCCAGTTCATGCTGCCCTGGAATGCCGCGTCTTTTCTGCATGGATCGGCACGGGAACTCGGGATTGTACGGGCAAATCATGCGTTGTTGTTCGTTGGCTCGAGGACGGCGCACGTTACACGCTATACATACCGCATAGCCAAATACCGCATAATCTGCAACTGACAGGCGCGCAGCATCATAATTCGGCAAGTGTTCAGGCAACCACCACCAGCACCTGCTCGCGCATTGATACTAGCTACCGGTGTGCTTCGATTCCAACCAGAATACGCCATTGTCCAGGGAGAGCCTGACATAACACAATTTGGGTGTGCAACTCTAGTTCCGGAACCCTCCCGTACTGCATCCTTGGAAAACCTACAAGCATCCTGCTGCAATTACATTTTCCGCATGATAACTCCTACGCTATGCTCCACAAGCGCGCACCATTTTCAACCTGCAACCTCTCGATGCTATAACCTAGCGTGGCCTACCCACCGATCGCCATGGCCAACAGAAACGTGCCACACCACTTAAGCTTCCTACTCTCTCAGTCTTCCCCAACTCCCAACCCAACCAACATGTCATCACACGGCAGCTCATTTCAACGTTTTTCGTTCATATTGTTGCGTTCGTTGTTGGTCGCTGTGTCACCCTTCCAGTCCATCACGCTGTTCCCGCTGCTGTTCCCGCTGCTGTCGTCTACTTGGCTCGGTACTGGCGGAAGGTGAGGTTGAGCCGCCCCGGTCGCAACCCCGTGGCCGCCAGCAGCTGCTGGGGGGCCGTGTGCGAGTGCACCCGAGAGACGGAGTGGAAGATCATGCGGCCGGGGCCGCCGAACACAAGCAGGTCGCCTGGTTGGGTGGAGGGACAGAAGAAGGGGGGAAGGGAGAGAGGGGGTGGTGCGTCAGGGTGCATGCACGCGAGTGAGGCGGAGGGAGGGTCATGCAGACTATTTATGAGGAGAAGCGGGAATACAGCGGGTAGAGGGAGATGGATGTGGTCGATGGATGGAAGGAGGGCATCTCATGAGGCCGCACGTCCGCGTCCTGCAGGGTTGATGAATGCCTCCGAAACCAACCACCGACCCACCGACCCGGGTGTCCAACAACTCACCTGACTCGAGCCGCACGCTCTTCGCCTGCTCCACATCCCGAGTACTGCATGGATGCGGGTACGCAAAGGGGGCGGGGGCGGGGCAGCATGGGAGCGGGTTAGGGGGCTCCGGAAGGACGTCAAGTAGGATGTCAATCACATGCAGGGTTTGGGGCTGGGCCGGGGACGTCGGAAAGGAACAGTCGCGTAACTAGCCAAGCGTGCATAGATCCATTACGGATGTGGGTTAGAAGAGAGGTGAGCCGGGGAAGGTCGGAACGACCGCAAAAGCACCACGCGTGCAGAAACAGCGAAATATGTCAAAGCAAAGAGGTGTCCATGTGGTATCAGTATGACTCCATCTCACCTGCCGTACAGAAAGTCCGCCGCATCTCCAATGGAGAGTGACACGACGGGCAAACCCGCACGCAGCGAGTCGGCCATCTCGTCCTTGTCCTGCTCGTACGACAATAGGAATGTACGGCAACGCAGGGTGAGAGTGTAGCGGCTAGGTTTCATAACGGGCATGTGCGACATGCAACAACACGGCACGATAATGCACGTAAGAAGCAAGCACTCGCATAACATGCCAACAGTTTAAGGAAGCGACCCACGGGTCCCTCCACTCCTTTCAAGCCCAGAGTCTCAATGGTTGCGTCAAATACCGCAAGCACGCCACAGCACGCTGGATTCAAATATAGAACCTGATGGAATGTGGAATGTGTTTTTTTCATTATCCCGTTCAGGACCTCAATCAGGCCCCACCTGGTGCATGCCCAGCTTGCCGGAACGTTCGTAAAAGTTGGCGAGGCAGATGTCCGGCACCATGGAGGGAAAGCGGGTGAAGGAGGGGGTGGCGGAGCCTGAAGAAGATGACGCGGCGGAGGACGAGGAGGAAGACGAAGCGGCGGCGGCCGCGGCGGCTGACGCGGCGTCCAAGCAACGGCGACTGAGGTCCACGAGCCAGGAGGGAATGGCGGGTGGCTTCGCTCCGTCGTACGATGACCTGAACGCAGAAGGATGTACGACAGGATCATTTGTACAGATAGGTTGTACAGCAGTCAAAAGTATGGGAACACCCTCATGCGGGGCGGAATTACCACAACCAGCATGCGCCTGCAGGGCATACACCTGCGGTCCGTACATGACTGAAACGATGGAAGGCCTAAAGGTCTGAGAAGCCGCATGGCAGCCCGCACCGTATATCCCGTAACCTGGGGTCACTTGTGTCGTTCAGTATCATACCCGTGCAGTACAGCGAACGCATTGTTTCATTTAGAGTAAACGTACCGTGTGGTTTCGTACTTGCTCGTACGGGGCTCCCAATGAAGCCCCATGCACATCATCTTGAGAGACAGGCGAGCTCCCGTATTGTAAGACGGAGTGTAGAATCCACCGGGCCCTACGCCGAGATCTCGTATTTGCCGTACGATGCGGATTTGCTCGTCCAGCGACAGGTAGCCCTTTAGCAGTACAACTCCCGGCGGCAGGCCTGGTACTGCACGCGGCGGTTTCGCTACAGCCATTCGATTTCCAGTGCTTTCGGCTGCATTGTACGAAGTTGATGTGCCGCCGGCTGCAGCAGAGGATCCAGCAGCATCCGGGAGACAAATGTCGTACGGACCGTCCTGCATCATCCAATCATGGAAAGTGCAAAGGGTGTGCCCCGGGGTTTTGGTCAGAAAGCATGTAACATGTTGATTAGCGGGCGAAAAATGTAGCAGAAGACCGGCTGGTGGCGCACTAAAGGGGTTGGTGGGCCAAGGTAATCCCCCAAGTGCCCGTCAGGCCAAGACGATAAATCCAAAACAATCAACGGTCAGTTCGACGAGCGGTTGGCAACATACGACCTTTCTTGCTTGCACGGTTGTCGCATGAAAGGCACCATCTGCCAATGTTCCATGTCTCAGCGCTAAACGCCTCACACGTTGCTGCCAGCGTCGCTTGGGTCGTGTGCCTGGTTGTTGCTGTACGTCAAAGTCTTCTTGTACGGCGGCTGTTTCCTGCACGACTGCCTCTCTAGATTCGACTGCTTCCAGATCTAAGCAGCAGTCAACTCGGCAACAACTAAGTTCAGAGGCAGATAAGGAAACAGCATATGGAAGAGTCGAAGCTGGCGCTGAGGGTGGGTGCGACACCTGTGCAGACGCTGATGTCGATGCGATGGGCGTTGTCGCCGTCGCGAATGGCAGCCAAGCCGCCATACCGCGTGCATAACTCAATAAGTCCTTTGTGGTAAGCAATGTTTCCGTGGTCGGGTGAGCTTGTGCTTGGTTGTAAGCGGTAGTAAGTGTGCTGGTGCTGCTGCCGAGGATGGGATCCTGCTCAAGGGGCCCGGCGGGCCCGCCGGTGTCCTCCATAAGCGCGTGTCTCTCCTAATAATCCGACGGTTAAGATGCACCGTTATATAAGCTTAAGCTCATGACTGTTGCTGAGCGTCACGACCATGAGACGTTCGTTTGCTGTCGGCTTGGCGAGCAAACTTAACTGCCAACACGCACAGCGCATATACTAGTATGCATAAGCGGCGAGGCGCACTTTGGGCTCTTTGTGTACAGCATAGTGGAATGAGGCAAACAGTTAACAGTGAACCGTATCGTCTTTCGCAAACGCCGAATTGCGGCAATGTGCATGTAAATTATCGGCGAATGTCCAAGTGTCGGGAAGTATGCCCCGTTCGTGCCCTTTGAGAAGCACAAAAGGATTGCAATGCACTTGGCTTAATGAGGCCATCTAGTCCGCCACGAGTTGATAAGTAGGACGCAACGTGTTTATAAGTTTACGATTCCATGCAGCTTAAGACATCGGGTGTGTGGTGGGCAGACCATGACGATGTTGCATTATACGGTATTGGTTATCACCAAAGCCCTGACAGCCAAACATACCTCCTCGCTCTCCTTGTTTCCGTCCATACCGCCCGCCATCAGCTCCTCCAGCGCGACCTCTGCTCCGAACAGGTCGAACTCCGATCCCAAGTCATGCTGCACACGGCTGTGGAGGGGCGCGCGCGCTCCTGTGGAGCGTGAGGAAGGACGATACGAGTTATCAAAATATATTAATGGCTGAACGGAGGAAGTATGCAGGTGTCGCCAACCGCACCACAGGCACGCGCAAAGCATCCAGACTTGCCTTTACGCGTAGCCGCCGCCCCTGCCGGCCCAAACCGCTGCTTTGCTGCTCCCGAAGATTTCGCAGAGCTGCTAGCTCCATGCGCCTTTGCCGCACCCCCACCACCGCCTCCATCAGTACCCTTCCCTGCTACTGCCGTCGTCGGAAGGAACAACGGAGCAGCTGAGGCAGCAGCTACAGCCATCGGATTAGCAGTTGTCTTTAACCGCCGAAGGGAATCCAACGCCGCCGCCAACTGCTCTCGCGTGGGTCCTCCTGCGCCTCCAAGCGTATTGCCTGAAAAGGCAACCCCGTTGCCGTACGCTGATCCCGCAGCGCCGTCAGTGTTGCGCAGCACCTCCGCTGCTGCCGCGGCGGCGGCAGCAGCTTTGGCGGCAGCGGCGGCTCGGTCTGCCTCTGCTGCCGCCGCTGCCTCGGCCTCTTTCCGTACATCCTCGTCTAGGACAACCTGTTTTGGGGGAAAACAAAACAGGACACGAAGGAACGAACCAAAACAAAAGCTAAGGATCTGAGCTCGTTTACGTAGGCAATAATGCGCCTGGTTCATTGTTCTGCCGCTAACCCTGGCTAGGGATAGCAGCCACCAGCGAACAAACTCCAAACAGCAGGGCATTACCTGTCTAGGTATCGAACCTGTGTAACAAACCCACAAGCCGTATACTTACACATACACAACCCACACTCCTACTCGCGGCCAGTTTTCTTAACACAACCCACAAATGCGTCGTACCTTACGCCCAATGAGGTCGATCGTGTAGGTTAACCGCTGCCGTCGCGCCTTTTCAGCTTCTTCTTCGAGTTGTCGCCGCCGCCGAAACTCCTCGCGTTCCTACGCCAGGCAGCAGCCGTGAAGGAGCTCTGGTCACATGGTACGTTACTCCCTTCCTCTCCCTCCCCCTCCTCCACACCTCGTCAGTTTCCTCTTTCTACAACCCTACTCCGCCACCTATTACTCCATAACTATGTGCAGGCATAACCGCATAAGCCCCGACCCACATCCCTCCAACCCACCGCTGCTCACCTGGTCTGTCAGCCACGCATTGGTGTCGATCTCAAAGTAATCACTTTGGTCGTCAATGACTGTCGTACGTTTTGCAGCATTCCTGTCGTACTCCACCAACCGATCCTAGGTAAGGACGTGAGGAGTGAATACACAGGGGGAGGACAGCACCAGCGCAACACATGCTTAGCCTGGCCGTGCGCATATGCTCAGGCATGTCCTTGCGGTGCAAGGTGAAAAGATACGTAGCCTTACTTCCGTGCTCGTATCAAGTGACCTGGTTGGACGCGTCGTACAGCAGTGACAACATGCCGCATGTGCCGCGTGTGCAGGGGGGGGGGTGCAGTGGTGGCCTCCCCGGGGAAGACCCTGGGGGATCCCTGGAGCCCCACCAGCGGGTGATGCCGTGTGCCATGTGCCGTGTGCCAGGCATACACGTGCGGAGATAAAGAGGCACTTGAGCCGGGGCACTGTCCGGACAGCAAAGGCATTCAGCCGTGTGGGTCCTGAGCTAATGCAAGTAAGTCATTGACGTCGACAAAGAGGGAAGGAGGCCTCTTTCCCTCGGTTGTCTGTCCTCTCTCACGCGCATGGTTCCTTACCTTGAACGCCTTGGCAGCAGCCGTCGCAGCGTCCTCCTGGGAACCCCCAGCAGCAGCAGCAGCAGCAGCAGACGGAGGAGCCGTGGAGGCAGCGGCAGCAGCTGCGGCAGCCGCTGCAGCGGTGGCGTCGGCGGCAGCTGCAGCCGCTTTTTGACGGTCCTTGTACGTCAGAGGTACGGTATCTCCGCAAAACGTACAAACGCCACCTCGATCTGTACGATGTTCGATTTGTAAGGAAAACCGTACATATTGGATTTTGGATAAAACATGTGGATGGGGTGAAAACGTGACCGTACTCTCTGATATCCCGCTCACCCTCCAGTAAAACCCTGGCACGCCGCTACTGTACCGATAATAATTGGCGTCCTCGCTCAACCTGTCACCTCACGCCAAAAACCGGTTCGTTGTACGGCAACCCGATCCACACCTCCAAGCTCCGCACCTCCTCAGCCCACACGCCTCCGAGCCGTGTTTCACTGCCGGCATCTGCCCACCCCATCAGTGGTCGCCCTCCCAGCCAGATACTTACCCAGCCAGATCCCAATCAACACCCCAGCACCTCACCACCCCGGCCCCTCCACGATGACGCCTTATCACACGGTCAGGACTTGTTTCCCCTTTACCCCACCACCTCGCTACACCCACCCAGGAAGCGGATGATGTCGTTGGTTGCGGAGCGGCAGTCGTAGATCTTACCGCAGCCCAGGCAGTTCACAACCTGGCGGTGTGGAACAGGAAGGGAGCGGAACAGAATGTCGTTGTCCATGAAAGCAGTCCATGAAAGCAGGGGAAAACCGTAGCTGGGGGCATCGAAACGTGAGGGGCATCGTTGAGAGAAAGATATTAAGTGTAGGCCGAGCATGTGTTGCATGGGGGGAAGCCCCTCTTGCCGTGCATCTGGCGTCCACCCGGGAGATCCACGTCGTGTGCGCAGCGCAGTGCGTCTCATCACCAGCGGGGTGGGCTCAACGGGGTGCATGCGTCATTGCCTTGCTGATATCAACGCCTAGCCCACCCGCCCACCCGCCCACCCGCCCACCTGCCGCTCCAGGGCTGCTGCCAGCGCCAGGGCACCTCCGTCAGGGCCCCGCACCCCCACCGGCTTAGCTGCGGGGGTTTGGAAGGAGGAGTAGGAGAGTAAGGACGAGGCCAGCTGTCGAGTACCGCTGCCGAGTGAAGCCGAGGCATGACTCCCCGACAAAGAACATCACCTCCAATCCAACAACACCGCATCAACGCACCTGCAGGCGTCTTCAGCCGCCCTCCCGCCTTGAACATGCCCAGCACCTTGCCGTTGCCGCCACCCATTGCCGTACCGCTGCCGCCATCCGCAGGGAAGGACTTCTGGGGGGGTGTACGGCAGGATGTAGGGCAATGCAAACGTGACACCGCAGTTGTAAGAATCGTACCGGTACTCCACTCCGCGGCTACCAACCCATTGTGTTCCAACTCACGGCCAACTTTCCGAACACATGGTGTTGTGTTGCTTACACACGGCCGCACAGCCGCCCACCAGGCGAGCCAACCCACCCAGCCATGATCACAACCCAACCTGACCTCCACACCCGCATACCCGCCTGGCTGCCCGCCTCGAGGGCAGTTCCCGGGGGGGACTCAGAACACATGTTGAGGCCCTAAGCCTCCACCTCCGCCCCTCCCGTGCAAGCACCCCTCGTCATTACACGATCCCCGCATGCAACAGCGCCTACCTCTGCACCTGCTGCACCGGCCTCTAGCTCCTGCGTGGAGGGAGGGAAGCGTCCCAGGATTAGAACAACTTGAGGCAAAGAGGTGTGTACTGGGACAATGGGTATAACGAGAAGACACGTGGTGACCCATGGTTCACTGCTACAGGTAGTAGCCCTGTAGCCCAGTATCCCGGACCATCGGCACCTACCCTTACAGTATACTTTCTTTCCAATGGTCGTTCCTCAACGACCCGTGGGTCACCCTAATAGAAGCCAGGCCAGGCCAGCCCAAGAACACACCTCCCATTCCGGTAAAGGGACCTGATACCCAATCTTTGCCTCGTTTGCCCACTCACCTGCAGATCTCGGTTGCTACCCGCCCTGCCGCCCCCAAATCCGCCACCGCCCTTCCCTCCACCGCCGCCACCAAAGCCGCTTGTCGTACGATTGTCCGTCCGGACGAACTGACCAAAGTCGTCCGCTTTATCACCTCCGCCAGCACCTGCGGCGCCACTCGCCTTTCCGCCGCCGCCGCCGCTGCTACCCGAGCCCGCTCCGACGGCAGTACCGCCGGCGGCGCCGCGCCAACCGGTCGTCGCCGCCGCCGGCGCTGCACTCGCCTTTCCGCCGCCGCCGCCGCCACTGGTACCCAATGCGGGGTTCGACGTCGAGGCGGATGCAGCGTAGGACTTGCCGGCTCGGGAAGCGGCAGCGGTGGCGGCAGCAGCAGCTGCTGCAGCGGCGCTAGCATTGCTACTGCCGCCAGCAGCAGTAGCAGCAGTTGCAGTGGCGCGGTTAGGTTGTTGTTGTACGGGTGTGGCCGTTGCTGCTGGTGCTGTTGGCGACCACTGCTGCTGCTGCTTGTGTTGCTTTTGCGAAGCTGAAAGGAAGTCATTGATGAGGGAAATGCCTGCCGGACTGTCCGCCATGAAGTTCTGCAGTACAGACAGAATGTACGGCAGAAGTACGACAAGGTTGGGTTGTGCAGCGCATCAAAGGGGAGCGCATAAGTCATGCTTCCCTAGCTTCTCTAGAGAGAGAAACAGAGAACAGTAACAGTCGAAACCAGTCCGGTCGGGCATGACCGAGTCCACAACCGCTGCTGCCACGCAGGCATGCCTCGACAGCATGTGCGCTGTATCATTCCGACCCAAATCCATTCCTGGATCAACCGCGCATCACGAACCGCTAACCGAACTCACCTGAATCATCTCGTCTAGCTCCTCTCGGTCCCCTCCAGGCCCCGCGGCCCGCTCCACAGTGTCCACCAAACCTTCGACGATAAGCTCGTCCCATCCCAGGACCTGCGTAGAGTGTACGGCAGCGTTAGTAGTTGAACCATAACAGCCCCTGCCGTACGGTTCCGTCCTTTCGACAAGTAATACTGGCGAGAGGATGTGTCCAATCTGTGGCATGGATTAGCAGTACACCCCCAATCCAGTAACGCTGTGGGGCTGTGGGGAAGGCTTTTGACCCAAGGCACAGCCTGCGCTGGACCACCTACTGCTACCTACTCTGCTCATCCACCATGCCTGCCCATCTTCGGGACAGGAAGAGCTTTTTCTTGCATAATTGAGTTTTTTTGCATATAAGGAAAGTTTATAATGGTCCAAGCCCCAATTAAGGACGCAGATGACGCACCCGCACCAAGCCCCCCCTGGCCGCCATTCGGGGTTGCCATCCCATCCATCCAGCACCGACCAAGCACTCACCTTTGAGAGCTGCGCCGTTAGCCACTTCGCGTCCCGTTGCTGACTCCCCATGGCTGACCGGCAACACGAGCTGTGTTGCGGTGGCGAAAAGTGTCGGGTATGGATGCCTGGCGATGGAACGTCTGCTCCAGGCCCCCGCTAGAGTCTTCGGCCCCGTAAGAGCTGAGGAGCAGCAACCAGGTATCCGAATACAGGTTAATTTGAGCGCTAAGTGGCAAACGTTGTTCCTCCGTCGGCGACGGTAAGTAAGATTGCTAACAAAGAGGACGGGGTAGGCGACGACGGTTTAGGCTAACTCGTTAGGTTGTGTGACAGTCTGAAACACCGCGTTCCTAGGTAAAGTGGACACGTTTATTTGCGTATCCGAATGCACAGATCGGACACCCTCCTGGTCGACCTTTTGTGTAGACAATAAGGACAACCCATATACACGTTCTCCAGCATGTGCAAGAAAGCTTGGATGTTGCTGCGTTGGGATGCCGCAGCGATGCACGGCAAACGGAAATGCAACTTCTGGATTCCACCTGCTGCCATTTCCACCTTTTACTCAATAGCGTAAAGTTATAACAATATGATTGCTTGAATACTCAACAACCAGTATATCGCTGTTGGCGTGGCGACCAATCATTGACAAGCTTGAGGTAACCACAGATAGAAAGCTAAAATTACTTTACATAAGCAATCCTTGCCACTGGCTTGCTATAACCATAGCGTAACAAGTCATCGATATACCGCGGCACGCGTTAGTGAGACCTGAACAACATACGCGCTGGGTTCAACAAACCCTGCTTAAAACAGCCTGTGGACTTCGTCTACGTCTACGTGCTTAGCATTAAAAAGCGCTGCTGCTTGGGGACAGCGCGTACGTAAGCCAGCATAGCGAGTCGCCGCCCATCAACACCTTCCCGTCTCGGCGGGTGGCTTTGGCTTTCAGACAGAATAACATTTAGCTAAGCCATGGTGGGTTTGTAGCATTTGCTGAATGTTTTAGTACTCTTCTTGTGTCGGGGATGGCCATCATGGCGGCGTCTGTCAGCGTGCTTGGCTGAAAGCTTGCGCGGATGCGATGATGGTTCAGAACAGCTCAATTGATGGCAATGAATACCGTCTTCCACGTTAGCTTGTGCGAAAATATCTTCGGTGTGCGATTGTTCAGCAACGCTCGCTTGACTGCCGCTAATGATAACAATGGTCTTTACGCTTTGCATGAACTGCGTTGGGTTTCCTTCTGGTTGTAATGCAACCCTCTTCACCTAGAACAACTGCGTCATGGTTGCCCATTCCCCCTGCATCAGGCCGCCCGCGTAGTAGCTCAAGTGCTTGTGGCGGGTGCTACGGTGCTCTTCCGCGCCGCCACGCAAGCTTGGGGCAAGGCGCTCGTCAGTAAGTTGAACGCAATCGGCGTTGAGCCCGCTTGAAGTATGGAAAGAGTCGTGGCATTGGGTCTACAGGGTCATCGTGTCTTTCATGCCGTGGGCACTTCAAGGGAACGACAACACTGCTCATGCCCCCTCCCCGTTCCGGTAGACGCCCAAAGGCCGTCTGTGGCGTTCTGTAAACCGTGGCCACCGCCCCCACGCATGCCCCACCGCTTCACACGCTCACGTTCTCCTCCCCCTCCTTTCATCTACTACTTATTTTCCCCTCTTCCTTCCCCTCTCCCTCCCTCTTCCTCCCTCTCCCTCTCCCTCCCTTCCCCTTCCCCCAGACGCCCAGAAGTCGGGTGTGGCCAGCGAGGCCGCCCAGGCCGGCGCCTCCGCCGTCAAGAAGACGGGCACCATGGCGCTGCAGGAGGCGCAGCTGATCCTGGGGGTGGAGCAGAACGCGCCCTGGGGGGATGTGGTCAAGGTGGGGAAGGAGGATGGGGGAGGCGGGAAGGGTGTGGACGGGGGGGATTGCCGGTTGGCAGCCCAGCTATTACGTTAGCAGGTGGGGTTGAGGGGATGCGGGGGGGGGGGAGGGGTGGTGGGGAACACGGTGGGGAGAAGGCAAGGGGCCCCGTGAGCCACACATCCCCCCGCATGGCGTCTCCGCTGTATACACGGAGACGCACCCGTTTCCCCTCCCTTTCTTCACCCTCCTTCACACCACCTCCACCTCCGCCTCGCAGCGCTTCAAGCACCTGTTTGATGTGAACGAGAAGCACGGCTCCTTCTACCTGCAGAGCAAGGTAGGGGGGAGGCTTTTGGGGGTAAAAATTAAATAAGTGAAACAACGAGTCCCAATCCCATATCCTGACTCATGCAGTGAGCGCATTTTGGGGGTGGGGGGTTGGACGGGGTGCGGGTGAGGGACCGCATGCATGGCTGTCCGCGGCTGCTTGTGTTGCACCTGAGCGCTTGCTCGCTTGTCCCCCCCCCCTCGTTACCCATTACCTTAACACCATGGTAACGTCCCCATACACCCCTCCCCGCCTCCCCACAACCCCCTCTTTCCCCCACCTCCTCCCCCCAGGTCTACCGCGCCAAGGAGTGCCTGGAGGACGAGTACAAGCGGCTAGGGCTGTACTCTGCGGAGGAGGAGCAGCAGGTCATGCAGGCGGGCAAGGAGGGGGAGCAGCAGCAGAAGGAGCAGCAGCAGCAGGCGGGCAAGCAGTAGGGTGCAGGGACGGTGGTGACCGGCATGGGAGGCTAGAGGGAGGAGGAGGGGGAGCCGCGCGATGATGCTGCAGCCAGCAGCGGAGTTGCCGTTAGGTGCCCAGGAGGAGGAGGAGGAGGAGGAGGAGGAGGAGGGGCAGCAGCCGCATGGCCGGCAGCACCTGAGCAGTGTGGTTGCTCGGCTGGCGCTGTTGCTGTTCCCCTGGGAGGAGGGCTCTCGAGTGGGCGCGGTGGAGGCAGGCAGGAGCTGGGGGCACTGGAGTGGGGGGAGGGACGGTCTGCGGCTGAAGGACCGGAAATGGCCCCCTTGTAATGGAGGAAGGAGGAAGAGAAGAAGGGGGAGTGGCGGGCGAAGAGGAGGAGGAGGAGGAGACGACGACAAGGGAGGGGAAAGGACGTGACGTGGCAGCTGGAAGGATGCCGTAACGCGCCGTCTGAACTGTAGCGACATTGGCGGCGGCGGGGGGAGTGTAGCTGCTTTAGCGGTGGTGGTTGTAGCGGCCGAGTGGCTCGGCTTTGGCTGTGCCGGTGCCTGTGTGGTGGGTGGAGGTGGGGGGCCGAGGCGAGGCGGAGCTGCCTCGGGAGGAGGAGGACCTGGGAGGGATGTGGGAAGGGGCGGCCTCCCGACACCACTACCGGAAGAAGCACGGAGTCTGACGGAGAGTTTTCTTCGAGCTATAGGAAGGAAATCTTTATTACTGGCCGTTCCTGTCACCTGCAGTATCCGGATTGCGATGGCGCCGGGGGCGGGGTAGCAGCCGCAGTACTGTGGGGGGTGAGGGGCAACGGTGAGGCAGCGATAACAAGACGTGGAGGTGTGGGTTCCTCGCTGTCCCGGGGGATGTGCTCCTGATTTCCCTTGGTTGCTGCTCCTCATGCGAAATAGCGCTGCGGTACCTGTATGCCCGAGTCTCCTGCAGGAGTTAGGGTCCTTTCGTTCCAGTAAAGGGTCCTTTCCGCAGATACATGTGGCGTTTGCGTCCTGATGCTACTCCTGACGTGTACGGATACAGCTTTACCAAGGTTTGTCGGGAGAGGGTATGACGGGGTGTCAGTACGGCAGGTCGTACGGCCGTGTCGTGCAGGGCTGTTCGAGCTGTGAGACATGTGACCCGCGGGTCGCTGCGCCCGCGTGACTCTCCCGTAACGAAATGTATGTGTGATGACTGCTGCTCGGAAGGCCCGATTTGCGCACTGCAGCTGCGCCCACTTCGCTAATTGCTTTCTGTCAAAGAAGAGCAGAAAGCCACGTACAGAAACGCATGTCGATGCCCCTCCCGGCTGCGTGCAGCATTGACACGGCCAGTTTTATCCCTTTACCAGCAGCAGCAACAACACCAACACCGGTGTTTGCGCAGCAGACGCCTCTAATCCCGAGGGCAGCAACGGCGACACCGGCATTGCTCCCACTGCTGCTGCTGCTCTCGGTCCCGCAACGGTGACGACGCCGAGCAGCACCCCCGAACCCGAAATCGAAGTCCAGTTTACCACCCAAAACGCTTGTGTGTGGATCACCAATGCTTCCCGCTAGCAACCTCAGCAAACGCCACCAAGGCCCCGGGGGCTGTTGCCCCACACCCACATGAGAGGGAGGAAGCTCCTTCCTCTCCTACCAACTCCCGAACAACGCGCTGCAAGAGGAAACCTGTCAGCACCGGCAAACGGACTAAAGACAAGAGGCCAACAAGACCGCATGTGTGCTCGGTATGTTCCCTGCTCTCCTCACTTCCTTAAAACGGCGTGTGTAGTTGGTGTTCACATGTAAGGACCAAATGCTCACACCACCACCACCACGCCCGCACATTGTTGCTCTCAGATCACTGCAATGCATCAAACGCCTGGCCTAACGCGCAGCCGTATGACACGCCACGCTTAACCCCCATCCTAACCCCGTATGCAATGTACCTCGTATGCATTGCTGTGTCTCCTCGACTCCCAGCAGGCGGCGCTTCGGTTAGCAGGCGCACCGCGGCAGCACTGAGGCTACATAGGTAGCCCCCGTAGCCCCAGAGCCCCCGCAGGTCACGACGCGCCTCTCAACTAACTGCCAGCCCCGCACACTACACACACACCACCCGTGCCTCACGCTGCCAGGGGCGGCAGCACTGTCATGGGTGCGGACAGACTGTTGATGGGGCCAATCACCTTTTGGTACATGGCGGCGTACTCCTGCGGGGCAGGCAGAAGAGGGGAGGAGAGGGAGCAGACAGGGAGCGTGAGGGAGAGGCGAGGAGGGGGCGACAGCAGCCATGACCCATGGGTCACTTCGACCCCTTACTCCAAAACACGGAAAGGCTCCCCCCCTTTCTCCTCACCCCTCACGGAGCTCCTCTCACCTCCATGAGCTGCGCCTTGGTGTTCATGTCGCCCGCGCAAGGCATGTGGTAGTTGTACCACTCACGCATCAGCTCCGGCTCGCATATGTTGTCTGCCGTACGGCGAGGAAGTTTGCCGTTGTGGAAGTACGGCACTCCACGCAGATCGCAACCACATGGGCCCTAATTACGAGGGAATTGGATGCAGAAGAAAGGTCAGTACGGCATTTACTTGTAAACGCACGCGCCAAACGCAACACGCACTGTTCCTTTCGCCACTGGACCCCTAAGCCCCTGGCATCCACGTGCCATGTCACAACAGCAACAAAAACACAATCCCTCAACCATTTCCTTACCTACCTCCTACCAGGCTTCATACCACTGCCCTGCCGTACTCACCATGCACAAGTACGGGAAGAGATCCGAATGCAACATCGCCATGCTCATATGCCGTACAGTAACATCTCCGGAAACCGTCTCAATCGCTCCGGCAAAGGTGGTCTGGTCCCAGGGCTTGTCGCCGCGTCGAGCGATGTTTGCGAGCCATAGGGCCCAATTGTAGATGGCGCGAGCAACCATTGCAGTTGGCCTTATTGTGTGAACCGATGCGGGCACCACATGCGGGCAGTGACAAAGGGTAGAAAGAGGAAGGGGGAGACAACACAAGGGGTGGGGTGGGGGGTGCGGTACTCAGTGAACCCAACTCATGGGGTAACTTGCTTGGAGAGCTGGGTGAAGCGGAAAGGCACCACCAAGCTGGCCTGCGAAGCCGAGGTCATCCGGGACCCAGGCGGAACAATGGAGCCGTGAGCCCCACTGTACCATACTGCCCTGCACCCGCGGACATGCTAAACCCAACATTCCTTCTTTCCACCCAAAATGCAGTAGCCACTTGCTCCTCCCCCCGCCTCTCCCTTCGGGATTCGGGATTGGGACTGTGTTGTTGCACTTATTTATAATTTTCCCCTCTCCCCTCTCTCATCCAGGTTGTCAGCTTTCCTTTATTTTTACCCCCTGTCCATGTCAGTTTTTTCCCCTTATTTCCTCTCCGGCTCCCACCTGAAGTACACGAACCCGATGTTGTTGTTGATGGGCGGCAGGCGCTCCATGGGCGCCGAGTCGCCGTGGTTGTGGCAGTCGCCGCTGACCAGCACGTCCGCCTCGCGGGCCAGCAGGTAGGGCAGCGGGTTGCGGAACATGACCTGGTCTGGGGGGGAGGTGAAGAGGAAACAACTAACTGACTGACTGAGGGATAAGGCGTCATTAAGGGGATGGGAGAGGAGGGTGCGCGTCGGTGTGTTGGGGGGTGGGGGTGGGAGAGGGCGGTATTGTGAGGGGCTGAGGTAGAGAGGAACAAATCACCGGTAACATGACGTGGAGCCTGGGAAGGGAGTGAAGGGGAAGATGGGCAATGAGTTGAGAGGGGTGTGTATGACACAGTGCTTCAGTTCGCTTCCTTTCCCGCACCTCCCGCCCCACCCACCCCTCATGGTTTGGTCTTCTTGGTCTCACCCCCCGCCGCCCCCCCTCACCTCACCTGCATCCAGGAACAGCACATCCACCCCCAGCGTCAGACCATCCAGGATGGTGGCGGTCTTAGTAAAGCCTGGGGTTGCAGGAGGGGAGGGTTGCAGGGTGGCAGGAGGGGGGGAACGAAATTCCAATGTGTGGCAGGAGGGGGGGGCGGGAAAGAGGAAACAACTACCGGTAACTGGCCGAGGGATAAGGCGTCAACATGGGGGGGGAGACAGTTGACGTACGGCAGTGCCAACAAGGGCCCCAGTGAAACTACCCACCAGTGAAACTACCCACCAGTGAAACTACCCACCAGTGAAACTACCCACCAGTGAAACTGCCCATTCAGTTCGCTTTCATTCCCGGCTCGCCTTGTGTCCATTCCTCTCTCCGATCTCAAGGTCTTTTGCCTGGTTTCGTGCCGCCAGGGCACCCCCCTATATCTGGGATGGCCTTGCATGTGATACCCGCCGTGTCCATCTTCCCCCTTTTGTCGTAACTGTGCTTTGTTTGCGCAGCACACCCACCCATGCCGTACAATTGGCACTGACGTGTCGCGTGTACTGAAATGCCGTACAATGGGCACTGACGTGTCTACTCCCACGCCCGGCCCCACCACCCTTCACGCACCAATGCCGTAAAAGTCGTTGGAATGCACGTGGAAGTTGCCCAGGGTGAAGGCGCTATTGCCGTACGGCACACAACTGGATCCGTACTTGTCGGCAACCGCCGTACATTTTTCTGTACTTGTGGTTGTCTGCACGGGGATGGGGTGGTGTTGGGGATTGTAATAGGATTATGGTTGGCGGACAGGGAGGGCCAGCGTTGACGTTGGGTGATGAAGGAATGAATCACATGAAGGACTGAATGCCTGGACTCCGCAATGAACACACAGGGGCAGCGGCTCCAACGTCCATTGTGTGTCCCCAGGAGCGGGGGGGAAATGTAGACAAGTGCATAAACGGAATCCCAATCCCGAAGGTCAAAAGATGCAACGCTCCCCAGCATCCCCCCGAGAGCTTCTTCAACTGCCCTTCAGCTGACCTGCAAGCACCCATGTGGTCTCTGTTGTGGGTGCCATTCTCCACCATTCTCCAGCCGCTTCCCCATTTCCAACCGCTTCCGAAACCCAACCTTTCCCAACCGCTTCTCCATTTCCAACCGCCCCCCAACCGTATCAACGAACCCCTACCATGACGTTGATCACGAGGTGGCGAGCTAGGTTGTCCTCGGACCTGGCGATGCGGCGGGGAAGGCGAAAAGAGGAGAGGGGGATAAGATTACCAAATTACAATACCATATGGTACAATGATGAGAAATTGGGAATGAGGGACGCGGATGAAGGCATGGAAAGGGATACCAGACATTCAGTATGGTGAGGAAACAAGAGCCATAAGCCCAGGCCAGGCGTGTGGGCCCCGGATCTGCCACCGCTTTCCTCTCCACTGCTGTTTGTAGGCTCCCCCTCAGCTTTCATCTCAGACCGCACAACAGCCCCTTGGCCCTTCGGTCGAACCCTTTGCCACCCAGGGGCTTCCGCTCGCTCCCGTCGGCTGCCTTGGTGGTGAGGGGGTTGAAGGGTCCCAAGGCTTTTCCCAACATGCATGCCAGTGCTGTGTCACCCAAAGCCTCCAAACCGCACTAATCCTGCCGTCGTACGCCCCTCCCTCCTCACCCATCATGTGCCTTGAAGGTGATGTTCTGAAGGGACATCAAAAAAACGTCAAACATGCGTTGGAACGCAAACTCGCTGGCGATGGACATCAGCACAATCTCCCGCCGGTGACCGAAGGCATCCTGTGATGGAAAGGAAGAGGGCGGAAAGTAACGGTCCAGGTTAGGAGGACGTGGAAGGTAATGGCGAGGAGAAGCGCGAGGTAGTTGCGTTGACGAAACCTCCCGGTAAGGTTGCGCGATGGGGTAGTCCTAACCCAGGCAAACACTACCCCAGACGCGCAGAGAGCAAACCAGCTCAGAACATTCCCAGCTTATTCAGATCACTGTTTAAGGACATAAGGTGCATCAGGGAAGACGTGTAGTCCCGGGGCCAAGCAACATGTTCCAACTGAAGCGCAACGGCGTGACCCCACCTACCAGTACAGGCAATTTTGAGCGCGTGACAGCCTCCACCAAAGCCTTCGATGGCAGTTTAAGGCCTAAAACGAGCAGCACCAGCAGGGCAGTAAGTGCAATTCCCGTTTCAACGTAGTCCTCAGCAGCTACCCCTCACCATTTGGCGTCCAAAAAGAGTTAGCTAGGTCTGGCAAGCTGACATTCGTTGGTGCATCTGATAACACAGTCGGTACAGCCACCAGTGCCACGAAAGGCAAAAGCCAGGCAACCGACTTCATGATTAAATGATACACTTGCTGTTTATACTAACAAGTTAACATACGTTGCTTAGATGGTAAGATGGCATCGAGTCACAGGGAGAGCGGTTTCAACGCAATTATAAAGTTCCACTTCAGGAGGGTAGACTAGCGGTGATAAATGCGCATAGTCACATGCATGTCTACGTAACACTATAGAATTTACAAAACATGCCATGCGGTTGTCTGCCTTTTAGTTTGGCAGTTGTCATGTCAACGGTTGACGTGCTCCGATCACAAAGTCCTTCAGTTGCAATGTGAGTGCTCCCCTCCGCAATCTGTGGTCGGCAGTATAACCCATAGCTCTGCCACACCTCTTCTGAAAGCCTTCTCACCTGTACATGTCTGCCTCCCATGTCTATCGCTTCCTGCTACCCAGGTTGCTACCGCTGCGACCCCTCCACGTGCGGGGCATACTCGCGCGATTAGCTTATCCCTAGGCTCCAGCACTCGCAATCGAAGGCATTACACTAACTCATGCCGTTACCCCTGCTCCGGGTGTTTCTTTGGCGTGCCTCGACCTTTGCTAACTAACCTTTTTTCTTTACTCCCCGCCAGTCATTAAGCGTCCTCTCCATTCCTGTAGCCTAAGTTTGGCGTTGTTGGTCACGGCAGCAATAACCGTCGCTGGGTTAACCTGGCATTGTACGGCAGGGCACCCCAAGTCAAGCACCAAACCCCTCCCAATGAAGAGTCGACCCTTACCCGCAAGCATCTTGCAGTTAAGGGAAACAGCCAGAGCACTCAAGCTGTGAGCCATGGCGGGGACTAGGGTGCAAACCACACGGATGGACTGACGTCGGCCGAGCCGCTGTCTGAAGACGGGTGCCGCACTGACGCCGACGAATTGGCCCGACAGAAACGGATCGAGCAACTCTGGCAAGAGGTGAATTTTCTGTCTCTGTAACGCATCGTGATAGTGAAAACAAATCTGTGTGCCAAACTCGCAATAGCGTTGCACTGCTGTTGGATGCAAGTTCGTACTGCATGGTCGTAATGCTGAGAGGATGACCTCATTGCTGTTGCACCCATCATTACCACGCCTTGTTGTTGCGCTTGTTTGTGGAGTCACACGAGCGCATGCCGTGCCATTCCAGTGGTAGTGTTACGTTCCTGTACTGAAGAGGAGGGGCTCCGCCCTTTTCCAGCTTCGAGAAAGCTGCCCCCCCTTGTCAACAAGGCCTCTTGGACAACTGAACTCGTATACGTACCGTCTCATTCCCAAAGGGGACATGGCAGCTTGTTGGAGGTTGGAGGAGACTGTTGTACGGGAACCCAGGCAACCCAGGGACTCGGCTGGCAAAAGGTCCCAGCCTGGCGTTTGGCGGCGGCCGCACGAATTGGGAACGCACGTGGCATGAGGCGCCCCATTCTTTGTCTTAAGTTACAAGTTAACCTTCACATTGGAGGTCTTGGCATGCAGCCATGCACGTCCCCATCGCTCCACTGCTGCTTGTTCAGCTAACACGCTGGTGTCAGACAATTGCACAAGGGGAAGGAAGGGAATGCCCCGGGAATACCCTGGAATATAAACCTTACTAGACAGAATCACGCGTTTCGGACCCCCAGTATCACTGCCCAAGTCGGAAACCCCTAAGATGATGACCCCAGGGTTTCTGTGAGCAATTGTGCGTACGAAATCAACGATGACAACCATCAATATGAATGCCGTTACGGCAACCGACAACAATAACAACGTTCTGTCTGTATACAACAGTTAAGATACCTGATACGCAACGCGACAATAGATAAGAGGTCACAGCATATGTCCCCTCTCATGCGATAGGAATAGGTAGATATGGCGTCAACTTCATCTCTGTCAATACGGTACCCCTAATGTTCCGCTAATACTTACCAGTGGTAGTAAAAGAAACACAAAATCACGCTATAAGAAACTCGTTACTAAGTGATGCTACATGGCATGCTGCATGCGACGCCTAGTCAACCGCATAATAACTCCTTTCATTCCAACCATCAAGATCTCCCCTCCTCCTCCTCCTCCTCCTCACAAGGCCCCCTAGTGTCCCTCCACCCGCTGGGAGCCCAAAGAGAGGACCCCATCCAAGCGTTGACAGGCCGCATCAGCACCCCGCTGAGTCAGCGTCACCAAAACATCTGGTACGGCAGCGCTACGAGCCCGGTGTACGGCATCCTCCGTCGCCGCCACATTGGCTTCATCCGCAGCGGTGGTGCCGGTCTTGGCCGACTGGGTGCCGACCCATGGGTCACCGCCAGCGCCGCTGCTTTCGGAGCCGTTGTACGGCACCTGATGTAGATCCAGGAGCCCTCGGTTCTTGAGGACCAACATGTCGTAAAAGCACCTGGGGGGGGTCACAAAAGGGGTGCCAGAGCACCTCAGTCCGTGCCTCAGGCGGCGCACGAGGACTGCAAAGCCTCATCATGACATGGCGCACGACAACGAACACCTGAAACCCTAGAGGAATCCCCCGCCCACCCCGCCTTGTCATCTCTCCCTCCCCTGCCCACCCTGCTTTGTGCAACTTGCCCAACCTCACCAACCGCCGCCACCCCCTCCCTCCTCACCTAGCCGCATCCTTGCGCCGCCGCCCCCTCGTGAGCTCAAGCAGACTTAAGCTCCCAGCAGCAGCAGCAGCACCGTCAGCACCCGCCGCTCCAGTGTTGCTCTCGGCCCCGGCCCCGGCACCGTCCGCCGCCGCAGCCGGGCGCTGCTGAGTGCAACCTTCTAGCGGCTGTGCTTGCGTGGGCAGCTGGGTCAGCCGCATGCGATGTTGGTGTTGGGAGGCAGGCAGCAGCAGCTTTCCGCCGGCAGGAGCGACGTCGGCGGCGGCTGCGGCGGCCTGGGAAGAGGAGGCGCAGATCAAGGCAACAGCGTCGAATTCCTTGAGCGTCCTGGGAAGCAGGAAATCTTCGTTGCCCTCGCTCAGGTATCCCGACCCTTCGGTGTTGTTGCCGCTCTGACGCATGATGCTGGGGGTCATCGTCGTACGTCCGCCATGGAAGCCGTAACCACCATAACCACCAGCAGTTTCAGCAGATGCCATATCCTGTCTCCGCTGAGAAGCAGTTGCGAGGTCGTTGTTGGCGCCGTCCCGCATAGGCCCCCCAGAGCGGCTCGGCAGGTTGGTGCTGTTGCTCTTCCCGCCGTGTGACCCATGGGTCAGTCGGTCCTGCTGCTGCAGCTGCTCTTCGTTTGCTTCTTGGGAGCCACCACCGCAACCACCCTCCATGGCGACCTCGTCCAAATCCAAAACCGGATCCAGATCCATGCCCAGCCGAGATCTCGATCTCTGTTGACGAGGGCGCATCATGGACCCCAAACCCAGACCTCGGCAGCTCCCCATGCCCCCCTCCTCCTCCTCCTCTCCCTCGCCACCACCACTGGCACCGCTTGCTTGACTGCGTTGCCCTCCTCCGAGCAGCTGAGAAGGAGGCGTTCCCGCAGCAGCATGCTGGTGACCCATGGGTCGAGGCCCGTGCAGATGCAACCGTTGCTGCTGCGAAGCCGTTGCTGCTTGGGGTGTACCCACCGCAGGTCCTGCTCCTCCGGCGGAACCCTCCTGCTGCTGCTGCTGCTGGGAGTGGTGCTGCTGGGAGTGAAGATGCTGGGAGAGGTGATGTTGCCCGGAGGCTGCCTGCTGCTGCTCCTGCTGCTGCCGAGAGGTGGTTGGCGTCGACAGGGATGCTCCCCCACCGCCGCTGCCGCCGATGCCAACGTCGTAAGCTCTGAAAGCGCTGTGGCTGCGGCTCCCATGCAAAGGCGTTGCCGCACCTCCCGCCGCCCCTGCCGAGGCAGCTGCCAGGGACCCATGCGACCGGTGCGAGGCCGCAGGTGAAGCAGCGGGGAAGTATGAAGCCTGCTGCTGCTGCTGCTCTCGGAGCCCCTCCTGCGCCATGCCCTCCTCATCCACATCCATGCCGTCAGGAGCCTCTGCTGCTGCAGCTGCTGCTGCACCAGGGATGCCCTCTACGGCTCCTACTTCAGCTCCCTCAGCTGCATGGGAGCCCATGTCAACGTCCATGGCATCTACCAGGCCGCCGGCTTCCTGAGCTGAGCAGCTTCCCTCTCCCGCCGCCGCAGCAGCAGCACAAACAGCAGCAGCAGCAGTTCCCACACCGCCCTCCTTGCCCAGCTGCTGTGCCTGAGCAGTCGTAGGGGCAACCCGCTGCTGCCCTAATGCCAGTGGACGAAGCGGACTGGCGCCCAAGAGCACACGGCCAGCAGCACCCGGGGTTGCCGCCCCTCCTGCTGCCTTCAAGGCTGCCGAGCCATGCAACAGTCCAGGGGTGTGCTGGCACTGGTGTGCTGCAAGGGGGTCGTTGTGGTGCTGGTTTTCCTTGTTCGAATCACAGCTACGGAGCCCGCCTGCACTGGGGGTAGCACTGTTGGTGTTGCTGTTGTTGTCATTGCGACCAGCCGATGTGGCACCGAGGACGCCCTGAGGGGAACCACTGCTCGGACCGGCTTCGTGTCGCATGTCGTACCCCTCATCCGCATCCGCCATCATCCCCACATCCTCCTCGCCTTCAGCGGCAGCACCTCCGTCACCCACACCCGCGGCGCCGCTGCTGCCCCCTGCTCCTCCAACTCCCCCCGACATAGCACTCGTAGCCGCAGCAGTCCCCTGTCGTACTCCGCCGCTGTCCCCACGGCTCCCACTGGACGGAGGAGACATGCATGTAGCAGTTGCTGCAGCTCCTGGAGACATGCCGTACACGCCGCCAGCGCTGTCGCTGCCGTACCGTACGGCAGCGGCCGTCGCCGTGGCGGGTGTTTCTGCCCCCGCGAGCCCCCCTCCAAGGGCTGCGGCGGCGGCAGCAGCCCATACGCTGTAGCCCCCCTCACGACCACTGTCCGTCGGACGTCCGCAGCCTCCGCTAGCGGCAGCAGCGGCGGCGCTGTTCGTCCTGCCGGCGGCGGCGGCGGCCGCTGTCCCTGCCGTACACCAGTGGCCCACTGCGGCGGCGCCGCCAGCGGCTGCTGCTGCAGCTGCGCCCAGTTGAAGAGCGTACTGAGGCGCCATTTGGCCTGTGGGGTGGTCGCGTGCGCATGTGTCATATTTGCGTCATGGTTGGGGCAGGTTAGGAACGAGAGGTACGAGTGACAGTGCCATTAGCATGAGGGAGCAGCTTCCGCCCCAGTGACAAACCATTCCCGTCAAATGGCCCAAGCAGCTCCAAGCCAGCACCTGTTTTTTTACCACACGCACCGAGGAGACACAGGCACACCGCCTGGATCACCATCACCAGTCCCAAGATCACTCCCTCTTCTAGCACGCGAAAAACACCAACCACCCCAACCAGCACACAGTGCAAGATCAACCTGAGCCAGGGACCTACCGGTGGGGACACGGAACAGCGCCTGAAGGGCCGGAGCCATGACGACGTTCGCCTCCCCCGCCACGGCGACCGCTGCTGCCGCCGCCCCCAAACGTCGTACGCGGCGGAAACCACCTGCTGCCGCCACCGCTGCAGCGGAGAGGGCCGGGCCTGAAGAGGGTTGCGCAGAAGGGTTGTTGCAAGGGAGATAGGGACAACGAAACAAGGCGGTTAGCGTTGGTGGATGGACGTTAACATCATTCTAATAAGGAGAACGGGGGTTTGGAAAATAGAGCCACACAACAACGCGTGCCGCTGAGGAAAACGTGGTGCCTGGCCACCGGCAAAACTACATAGCTGCAAACGCAAGTAAAAGCAGACCTAGGTGAATCCAAAGGTGCCGTACGACGTCGTACGACGGACGGATCTCTCTGCCGTACCGCACGAGGAGATCTCTAGGCGTGCACCCGTCGTACCTGCCAGCGGCCAGTCGCCAAGCGCCGCTGATCCAGCCGCCATCAGGGCTCCCGCATCCACAAGACCGGCAGCTGCAACCGCCAACGCTGTTGCTGCACCACCGGTGATCTCAGTTGCAGCAACGGCTGCTGCTCCAGGACCTGCGAGACGAGGCTTCTTGGCAACACGTCGCGCACTGGCTCCCGCGGCGGCGGCGTCAGGCAGGGTTGCACGCCTGGATGGATCCAAGAGCTCTGTGCGATCCTGCAAAAAGCAGACCCATGGGTCGCGGGTGAGCGTGTAAAACTACATGAGGACGACGCGCGCACATGACGTCGAGACGTAGCGAGCGTGGCAGGTATACCAGGCACGTGGGAGACGCTAGCGGTGCTGTCCGGACACACAAGGGACGACATCCGCTACCCGAGTTGCAGGTGTTGCGGTTTGATGTTTACCTGGAGCCAAGAGCGAAGCACGCTGGTAGCAAGGGTGGCGCCTGCAGAGCCGATTAGAGGAGCAAGGATGGAGCAGTTTTGTCGAATGGCGAGCACTGGCACTGGACTGAAGACGCCGGAAAGGGCAGCATTGTCATCAAGTGTACACACACAGCGGCCTACTCGCGGCCAGTTTTCTTAACACACAGCCGCCTCAACGCTCTCATCCCCATAACCGCCTCACCTTCATCGTCCACCGTGACCACCCTCCGGGATGGCACTCGCCGGCTGCCCGCAGTCGCATTCGCCGCCCTCGCCTTCCTCTTCTGCGGCCCCCGTCCGCCGCCAACATCAGTACCGGCCTCCGTCGCCACAGCACCAGCAGCCCCAGCAGCCACGGGGCCACCAGCTGCAACACCCTCCTCAGCTTCCGCTGCGGTCACTGGCTGCTGCTCTGCCTCCGTCGGCGCCGCTGCTGCCGTATCTCCTTGCGGGTCCTGGGATGCTACAGCGGCGGCTTCCGCCGCGGCTGCAGCCGCCGCCGCTGCCCTACGCGTCATGACACGGCCGGCAGGCTTAGGCGTGTTGCTGGTCGTCGGGACGGCAGTAACACCCGCGGAGGTCGCTCCTCCGCCTCCTTGGCCATTGCTTGTGGCTCCTCCGACCGATACGGATGCTTGAGGACGAGGAGGAGGAACACCAGCAGCAACGGGAGGAGGAGCCGAAGCCGCTGCAGCCCCAGCACTAGCAGCAGCGCCCGTTGAGGGTGCCGGAAGTGCTGCTGCAGCAGCTGAGCCCCCAGCGGCAGCACCAGAGGCCGTTGTTTGTTGTACTACGATACGTTGGTTAGACCGTGATGGGGAAGTACCGTTACCACCGCTTCCAACGCTGTTCTGCGGGCTGGTGTTGCCGCCGCTGCCGCCACCGTCGCCGCTGCTTTGGCCACCGGTACCAACAGCAGCAGCTGCACCAGCAGAACTCATCTGGCGAATGCTCGGAGAAACAGCATCCTCCATCTCCACCTCCATAGCTTCCGCACCGATACCCTGATCCTCCTCCCGAATCTGTTCCAACCCCTCCTCCTCCGCCTCCACCTCCTCCTGAATGTCGTACGGATCTGCATTCCCCGCTGACGCTGCACGATCCAGCGCCTCCGCTGCGGCCCGGAGCTCCTCTGCGGTGAAACTCAGAGCGCGCGGCAACACAGACCGCTCTCCCCCCTCGCCGCCGCCATTGCCGCCGGCAGAAGCGGAGGCTCGGCCACCGGCACCGACACTCTCATCCGACAAACCGAGATCCAAATCCAGATCCAAGTCGCCGCCGCCAAGATCCGGCAATTCCCCGCCGCCAGCCGCCAGCAGCCCCGCCGTGGCCGCCGTACTCTTCCGTCGTACCGCCACCGCACTTTGCAGCCCCCCCAACGTCAACCCGAGGTGACCCGCGCTCTCTCGCTCCCGGCTGACGTCACCCGCCATGCTACCGCTGCTTGGACTGCCGACCCCCTCCTCCGCAATTGCTGACGCCGACGGCCGTCCGCGACCGCCGCTAATGTCGCGACCGAGGAGCGCCGCCAGGTCAGCGGCGGCGCCGCTGCGAGCCGCCGCCGCGGCTTCGGAGGCGGGTACGGCACGCAGTCGCTCGATCTCCACCTCCTCGAGATCGAATTGGAACGCGTCGTCACCTCCGTCGTCGTCGAATACCTCCATCTCCATGTCGATCGCGCCGCCGCCGCCGACGGTTGCGATTCCGCCGGCGGTGGCGGCGCCGCCGAGGCTGTACTCTCCTGACGGGGCTAGGATGAGGCCCAGACTGTAGCCGGCCTGTTGGGGTGCAGGATTTATGTGTCGCGGATTGCGGTTGGGGTTGATAGGTTAATCCCCTGATCCGGTTTGGGGTTGGGATCATGAGACTGAGTCACAAGGTAACACACTTCCTCACCTGTTGAAGGCCGCTGTCAGTCCCCCTCAGCCCCTCCTCATCCGCCACCCCGCCGCCCCCCGTGGCCGCCAAGCTCTGCCTGCTCTTCCGCCGGCCTCCACCCGCTGCCGCCCCTGCCCCCATGCTGCAGGCCGCCGCCTGCACCTGCGCCTGCAGGTCCGCCATGACCGCCTCCAAGGCCATGGCGGGCTGCAGGGCGCGGAGGTCAAACGTCTCGCCTGCGGAGGGGAGCAAGGTGACCCGAGGGGTGAGTTAGGTGCGGGGTTAGGGGCACGAGGGGCGAGAGGAACACGCATGGAGAGAATGTCCGGGGGGCAAAGTGTCCGACTCGTACAACTGGCTCCGCCCATCTCACACGCCCCTCCTCTATGCACTACCTGCCCTCCGCTAGGCATCCCTTGTCTTGTGGCGCCCTGTCGCCTCCTATCCTCTTTGTCTTGACCTCACCTGTGGCTCGGTATACCTTTGACCCCAGCCTCATCACCTGAAGCCATGCCCACCCTCATCAGCAGTGCACTCCCGCACCCACCTGCCAGGATCTGGAGCTCGTCCAGCCCGTCCGGCAGTGTGATGTTGTCCAGCGGCAACGTGTGAGCTGCGGGGGCCCCCTCTCCTCCCGCACCTGCTGCTGCTGCGGCCGCTGCTGCCTTGGTGAGTGCGGCTAGCTGGTCCGGCCTGTTGGGGAGGAGGAGGAGGACAGGACAGCACAGAAGAGCAGTGTTGGGTAACAGGTCCATTACGGGTTTGATGGGGTAAGGAGCAAGGAAGCGGTTTGATGAGGGTATTTGCTGCTGCCGTAGCAGCAAAGCGACAGCGGAGTTACCACAGCCCACGGACACACCTGAAGGCGAGGCGGATCTTGACCAGTGCGTCTTGACAGTCCTGTACCAACAGCGCAGATGGGTACGGGACCGGTTGGGGACATGACATGCCCATCAAACGTATCCATCTCCCGCCCTAGACATCTGTAACAGGTATGTAACAAGTAGCTGACATTCCTATCCCTGTTGTTAGTCCTTTCCTCTTTACCCCATCCGCACTCCACAACCCGCTCAGTCTAGGCAACAAAGGAGGGGATCCCATCACCAACCCAACCACCCCGTCCCCCTGCCCCCCCCCGCCGTACACACACGCACCTGCAGCAGGTACCCGACCTTCCTCGCGTAGATGCGACACACCCCCAGCAGCAACTGACCGCTCAGACGCAGCGCAAGGGGAGCCTCGGGGGACAACAACACATCCACGGTGCCGGGAATGGACGTCTCGTGGACCTTGACACATGGGGGTTGTTGTGGAGTGGGATTTAGTTGGTTAGTTGGGTTAGGAGGTGGCCGATGTGTGAGTTGGGTACACAACTCTTTGCTAGGTTTTGGGAACATGAGAGGACGTGGGGGATAAACCTACGCCCCGCTTGCATGCACTCCCCTTCCCCAGCCGAGCCGTCCTTCCCCAGCCGCACCTGGCTTCGCTTCAGGTTTCGATCCATGTGCGCAGCCATCCAAACAAGTCCGAGGGGACCCTTGCGGGCAAGAATCTGAGTCGAGTAGAACATGGCTGCGGTCGCTGCTGTTGCTGACTCGGCAAGACTGCTATAGTTGCTAAGAGAATGTTGTTATTATTAGACGATGCTGATGTTGTAGGGTCACACCAGGTATGCGGCAAGACTCTATAGGGTCGTTGATTGTTGGCAGCTGCTTTGACTTGACAAACCAGCTGTGGTAACCAGGAAAGGTGCAGCGGGGCTGACAGGATTGCCTGGCATGCTTTAAGGTAGGGGCCCGTGGGACGATGCTGGTAAGCTCGCACGCAACTGAGGATCTGGCAAGCCGACAAGCTGTAGCTAACGTGCCCAGTGGGCTCCTGCTAGCAACGCCCGCGATGCAAACTGTGCGTCGTCGGGGGTTGGTATGACGCTACGCCCTCAAAGGCTTCGCTTCCAAGCAGTGAAGGTTACAGTAACACCTGCAATGGAGGCAAGCCTTAGCGTTCGCGCGATGATGCACGCATGCGCGGGTCAACTATGGCGAAAATGCCTTCCGTTACAAACCTCGAGCATTGTTACATGCTATAGCTTATAAAAGGAAAGCGACGGGGAAAAAGGTCTGCAAGCTAACGATATTTACGACCACACCGCCGAGCCTTGCACCTTTCGCAGGTGATAATGCTAAGACGCTACTCTGTTTTCATTGAAGTCCGCCATACCTTAAGACAGCAGCACTAAGCTATTCGCGAGTTCGGAGCCTCCGTTCCGTGCAATGGCTGTAGAGCTGCGGTCACCTGTCGACGTTCTGACTAAACGACCCAAGAGAAAGTAAGGCCAGCTAGAACAGGGTGTAACAGTATGGACTAGTGTATGCAATGTAATGGGAAAGCTACAGGCCCGCGTTTAATGGCTCCGGTTCAATAACTCGGAGCGTCGACAGGCAGAGCCAATTTAACCAGCTAAGCGACGGACTGAATGCACTGATATTTTGCCCCTGCTTTTTGGCAGGTGTTAGGGCTTGGCATAGTCTGTACGCATCGTCGCGCGCGGGCCATCCCAGCCGTACACAACGTTTGAACAGACTATAAATTCACGTGCGGCTACACTGACAACCTTGACGCGCTGGAGGTAAATACATTCAAAATCTGTGATGCTTGTGCGGTTCTCCTCACCTGCATCCCACAGTGCAAGGGCTTCCCATCCTGTGAATTACCATCTGCAATGAACATAGCGCTGGCATTCGCTATAACGACCATTAAATGCGCACAGACCAGTTGTGATGACTGCATGTCAAAGCAAAAGCAAAGCTCTAAGCTGTCAGTCTTAGTCGCATCGCCCACCCATTAAGAGATCTCCATGCGGCCTGCAGAGGAGGGCCCCCTGAAACGTAAACAGGGCGTAGCCCACCTTCATTAAATTATTATTATGCTTAAATTAAAGCGGAACGAAGCCCTGATTTCAATGGCAGCGTGTCAGCAAGTCTAACCCGCTGGGTGCTGCATTGTCGATGTCCGTGCTGAGAAGATACATGCAATCGCCCGTCCTGAGCATGTCCAGCATGCCATCCACGTCCATCATCTCACTGTACATGGCCACTTCTTGTCCACTTCTGCCACAGTTGTGCTCTGACACACAGGCACCCCTTGGTGTACCTGGCTAGGTTCGGCGAGCACGCATGCCGCCCAAAATGTACGGCAAGGTCCTAGATGCCGCATGCCGTAAGCAGTCGAGAGGGCGTGGAGGCAGCGAAGCAAAGCTGATAGTATGGGCTTGCAGGCTGCGTCATACTGTAAAAGCGGAGAGGGTGCACATGCGGAGAGTGCTGCTGCAAGAGAAAGGGGTAAAGGGTGAGAAGTAGTAAACCGTGAATCGCCATCTCATCCACTGCAGTGCCCGATCCATCCCCCCTCCTGCATGCAGGGTGCAACACAACCTATAACGGTCATAAGACACAAAGTTGGTTGAGACAAATAACTGTAACGGTCACTTATGAAACCTAGCACCCGGCAAAGCCCGATGCTCCTTACGTCCTTGTGACCTATGTGCCCCTCGCAACGGTCCCGATAACAACCTTCGTACGTACAACTTATTTAGAACCGTTGGCTGCTTCTGTTGCAACAGGCAATGCAGTCCTCAGGAGATCCAGTAGCGTACCCCACTTCCTTCGTCTCCCGTACAGTTGCAGTACCTGTACCTGTACGGCAGCCTTGTATGTCGTAGGGCAGCTTTGTCACCGGCGCACCTGTCTGCAACGGTTCTCCATCCGAGGTGGATGCTAGCGTGGAGAAGCCAGCAGGCGTTACGCGGCATCCCACAGCGGTTCCTACGTGCCTGATTGGCCAAGGCCCGGACACACCCTCCTCACATTGCCTGCGCCCTGCTGGGGGGTTGTACTTCACCCTTGCATGCAGAGTTGGGTCCAGTATCTCTACTGGTCACAGGCCTTGTGCCCCTTACGAAATGCAAAATCCCTGACCCCCACTCTCCAAACACGCATTCTGAGTGAACGGAACCACCAAGTCCTTCTTAGCAATCTTAGGTCGCGCCTGCATGTGACTAAGTGACTACATGGTACCTGCATGCACGTGTGCACAGGCAGTACACGTTGTCGTGTCCTAACCATGCGTATGCGAAATCATGGTCCGTGGTTTCAGAGCAGGTCGGTTGGTTGCTTGCATCGCCCAAGCATGTCCAACTCGTAGGCACTTGCAGTTATCTTTATGTTTCTTTTTATACCAGCGGTTGAGTGATACCAGTGGTTGAGTTGCCGCGTTCGTGTATCTGTTCGTTGTTGCTTCCCTGGAGCGACAGATCTTGTGCCGCAGTCTTTGCCTTCGGATTGCGCCTGGTCGGCGCTTTTCGTGGCCTCCATGATGCTTTACCGCATGGTGGGATTACAACCATGTAATCGCCGCAGAGTTCCACAAAGCCTATTAAGCATGTACTGAGCATTGAGTATCGTTATGCATAGCGCCATCACCGCTGCACCGCAATAGCCGGCTTGGCCAGCCCTATCGTGTAGCACCTAGTTAGTACACCAGCCTGCTATCTAGTAGCCGTTTCAGCGCCGGCATTCGGGAAAGCATGGTCACAGCCGCCTGCCTAGCCGGGCCTCTGCGACGTCGCGGCGCGTCGTATCGCTTATGGAATCGCCAGCGTTTATAGGGGTTACCGGGCGGCGCCTTTGGCTACCACAACCTGGTGCGGAGTGTCATCTGGCCACATTCCGCGTCGGCATAAGTCCTCATTCTCAGGCAGCCGACTAATCCCTGGTGCTCATGCCAGCACCGGCCACTCCTCAACCTTCGCATCGGGTTGTCGAGTGGTAAGCCCGTATTGCCACGAAAAGCCCCGCTCTCGTCCTGTGCGGCTTCTTGCTGGGATGGCGAGCGACATCGTCAGCGACAAGCTTTGTCGGGACGCTTCGGCTTGCCTGCCATGGGTGCATTGATTGGGTTTACTTCAGTTGGAGCTGCAATATGGTCCTTCGCCGACTGTGTTGACTGTTTCACTTGTTCCAGCTTCATGGCGGCTATCTGGGGGGGGCGCTTGGCAGCCCTGCTCTTCCTGGGCGCCATGTGCTTTATTGCTGAGTTGACGCGTCTACATGCCTGGTCGCGTCTGCATACAGCGCAGCCGATTAGGCAGCCCGGCAGGTTGGGGGCGTCCTGGCTTCTTGGCATCTCTTGGTGTCCCAGCGCTGCCTTCTCCTCTGCAGTCCCCTTCCTTGTCCCAATCCGAGTTCCAATCAGCCCGTCCGCACAGCCAGCTTCGTTCGAAGCCCAGCCCGTCGTTGATCATTGCCTGATTCTACATCTTCTACAACCGGCAGCGTTCAGTCCTGCAGCACCCAAGGGTCCTGGCCAACCCGCAAGCCGCCATAGCCACGACCTCTATGCTGTACGGTCGTCGAGTGCACCACGGTTTTACCCACCAGCCGGTCACACCGTTGCACTTTGGCGCAGCATTGCGGGTGCTGCTCTTGTGGCGGTGGCCTGCCTGGGCATTACGGTTCTGTCGATGGAGCTGCTTGGCGATTGAGACACCACGACCTCCGAGGCCTTCTGAACCCTGGTTTGTCGTAGATGCAGTCGTTAGGATGTTGGTACTGGCGCTTTGGGGTACTAGCTGCGGACTGTGTGCTGGTTATAGTGTCGTGCGAGAGGGGTTGCGTACATACCTCAGTTCATGCTCTCCGTCTGGGGGGGCGTACTGCGCTTACATGTAGGACAGGAGGGCTGCTGCCTTGTACATTAAGCCTTGCTGGGCCGTCACCGACGGTGAATGTTCATGCCATACAGCTGCTCACAGACTGCCTTGCCGCAGCAGTGACCTGTTCATGGTGCTTGTATGCTTGCCTGTAGGGGCTTCTTTGTGACTAGTGTATGCTGAAAGCCATGCCAAGCCGCGTGGTCTTGAGTCGTTCAGGGTAGATTGGTTGTAGGTCGCTTGAGGTCGGAAAAGGCACGCCGCGCCGCGTGGCCGTCATGTTTGTTCAGGATAGGATTGACGTTGGTCAGCGTGCTTGCTTCTCCTGACTGGCGCGAGGAGAAGTCAGTTTGCAGTTACAGTCTAGGATGTGGTGATGAGGGGATCTGCACTTAGGACAGAGCATCTTGCCATGTCTGCTTAGTTGTGCATCAGCTGGTCTGTGTTCTTGGTTTGTAGCCGCGTGCCTTTCCCTTGCCGGATTGGTGTTGCCATGGCTAGTGCTTGCCTGCTGGCCCACGGGTCGGTGCGTGCTCAGTTTCTGCCGTACTAGCGGATAGCGTATTGCTTGCTCGTACCTACGTTAATGTTCCGTTGACCGTACTCTCATGCCGTTGCCTGTTTGACCTTGCCGGTCATCAGTGTGATCTGGGGTACTCCTTTTTTGTGTTCCGCCCTTGTGACTTCTTCCCTCGGGCGTGGGGGGGAGTGTCATACCCCATGCCATTGTTTTGCTCATTTCAGTCCTGGGGCTTGACAGCTGTCGTGTCCTAACCATGCGTATGCGAAATCATGGTCCGTGGTTTCAGAGCAGGTCGGTTGGTTGCTTGCATCGCCCAAGCATGTCCAACTCGTAGGCACTTGCAGTTATCTTTATGTTTCTTTTTATACCAGCGGTTGAGTGATACCAGTGGTTGAGTTGCCGCGTTCGTGTATCTGTTCGTTGTTGCTTCCCTGGAGCGACAGATCTTGTGCCGCAGTCTTTGCCTTCGGATTGCGCCTGGTCGGCGCTTTTCGTGGCCTCCATGATGCTTTACCGCATGGTGGGATTACAACCATGTAATCGCCGCAGAGTTCCACAAAGCCTATTAAGCATGTACTGAGCATTGAGTATCGTTATGCATAGCGCCATCACCGCTGCACCGCAATAGCCGGCTTGGCCAGCCCTATCGTGTAGCACCTAGTTAGTACACCAGCCTGCTATCTAGTAGCCGTTTCAGCGCCGGCATTCGGGAAAGCATGGTCACAGCCGCCTGCCTAGCCGGGCCTCTGCGACGTCGCGGCGCGTCGTATCGCTTATGGAATCGCCAGCGTTTATAGGGGTTACCGGGCGGCGCCTTTGGCTACCACAACCTGGTGCGGAGTGTCATCTGGCCACATTCCGCGTCGGCATAAGTCCTCATTCTCAGGCAGCCGACTAATCCCTGGTGCTCATGCCAGCACCGGCCACTCCTCAACCTTCGCATCGGGTTGTCGAGTGGTAAGCCCGTATCATGTCCCGTACATGTAGGACAGGAGGGCTGCTGCCTTGTACATTAAGCCTTGCTGGGCCGTCACCGACGGTGAATGTTCATGCCATACAGCTGCTCACAGACTGCCTTGCCGCAGCAGTGACCTGTTCATGGTGCTTGTATGCTTGCCTGTAGGGGCTTCTTTGTGACTAGTGTATGCTGAAAGCCATGCCAAGCCGCGTGGTCTTGAGTCGTTCAGGGTAGATTGGTTGTAGGTCGCTTGAGGTCGGAAAAGGCACGCCGCGCCGCGTGGCCGTCATGTTTGTTCAGGATAGGATTGACGTTGGTCAGCGTGCTTGCTTCTCCTGACTGGCGCGAGGAGAAGTCAGTTTGCAGTTACAGTCTAGGATGTGGTGATGAGGGGATCTGCACTTAGGACAGAGCATCTTGCCATGTCTGCTTAGTTGTGCATCAGCTGGTCTGTGTTCTTGGTTTGTAGCCGCGTGCCTTTCCCTTGCCGGATTGGTGTTGCCATGGCTAGTGCTTGCCTGCTGGCCCACGGGTCGGTGCGTGCTCAGTTTCTGCCGTACTAGCGGATAGCGTATTGCTTGCTCGTACCTACGTTAATGTTCCGTTGACCGTACTCTCATGCCGTTGCCTGTTTGACCTTGCCGGTCATCAGTGTGATCTGGGGTACTCCTTTTTTGTGTTCCGCCCTTGTGACTTCTTCCCTCGGGCGTGGGGGGGAGTGTCATACCCCATGCCATTGTTTTGCTCATTTCAGTCCTGGGGCTTGACAGCTGTCGTGTCCTAACCATGCGTATGCGAAATCATGGTCCGTGGTTTCAGAGCAGGTCGGTTGGTTGCTTGCATCGCCCAAGCATGTCCAACTCGTAGGCACTTGCAGTTATCTTTATGTTTCTTTTTATACCAGCGGTTGAGTGATACCAGTGGTTGAGTTGCCGCGTTCGTGTATCTGTTCGTTGTTGCTTCCCTGGAGCGACAGATCTTGTGCCGCAGTCTTTGCCTTCGGATTGCGCCTGGTCGGCGCTTTTCGTGGCCTCCATGATGCTTTACCGCATGGTGGGATTACAACCATGTAATCGCCGCAGAGTTCCACAAAGCCTATTAAGCATGTACTGAGCATTGAGTATCGTTATGCATAGCGCCATCACCGCTGCACCGCAATAGCCGGCTTGGCCAGCCCTATCGTGTAGCACCTAGTTAGTACACCAGCCTGCTATCTAGTAGCCGTTTCAGCGCCGGCATTCGGGAAAGCATGGTCACAGCCGCCTGCCTAGCCGGGCCTCTGCGACGTCGCGGCGCGTCGTATCGCTTATGGAATCGCCAGCGTTTATAGGGGTTACCGGGCGGCGCCTTTGGCTACCACAACCTGGTGCGGAGTGTCATCTGGCCACATTCCGCGTCGGCATAAGTCCTCATTCTCAGGCAGCCGACTAATCCCTGGTGCTCATGCCAGCACCGGCCACTCCTCAACCTTCGCATCGGGTTGTCGAGTGGTAAGCCCGTATTGCCACGAAAAGCCCGTATCATGTCCGTGTCCGTGTTTGGTGCTTGGTGGCCCTGGCCATGTGTTTGTGTGCCACTCAGATACTCCAACTGCAAACATGCAACTCACCTCCAAATGGTGGATGATGGGCCCCTTTTTGCGGCTCGCGTATGTTGTTAAGCAAGCAAGGAAGGAGGGATCCCGAGGTGGTGACTCCGTTTATACTAGCTGCTGCGCGAACCTGTGTGCAGTGGGCACACGTACTAGTGGACACACACACGTGTGTATGTGTAAATCCTGATGACCATTTGCATTTGGTGGTGCGGCTAAGGGGCCTGCGGAATCCGCCGTTAAGAGGGTGGTGACTTCATTGGTATATATAACGTTAGTTAGGCTTTCATGACGTGCTTCGGCACAACTGTTAAAATTGGAAAAATACAGAGAAGATTAGCATGGCCCCTGCGCAAGGATGACACGCACAAATCGAGAAATGGTTACAAATTTTTTTCGTCTTTCCCAGGTCTCAGGCTCGAACCCATATGGCGGCAGCCCGTTTTTCAAATTAAGCGTTACTTGCTGCGCGCTGGTGAGTTAACCTAAGTGCGGCATTGCACAACAAGCAGCCTCGATAGAACCGTCTTACATTTCGGCTTGAATACAATCCTCTAATCTCCCAGCAGCACAGATATCCCGAAGGAGTCATCAACGCAGATTAGATTACCCAAAGTGATCCACCGCTGGCATCTGCCAGTATGTACGGCATTCGGCATATCAAACAGAAAGCTTATGTACATGTACATCAAGAACACGACAGGGTTAGTTTACACGGGGTCTGCTTTATTTCTGGCCTCCTCTCACATTCTCACGTCCACCGGTGCCATGCCTACTCCTCCTACGTTCCATGGGCCCGCTTCTTTTCCTCCCTCTTTTTTGCACGTCCTCTACCCCCACATAGCATTGCATATCCTATAACATGTACAGCAGTATACAACCCCGTTGCCTTTCGTTAAAGCAACCCCGTTACTGTTACGCCTACCCTTCACGACCCCTGCTTTGCCCGCCTGCGCTACAATCGTGGGTCACTAGTGATGACCCACGGGTCAGCGACCCACCCATCATGCCCCCTGCAGCGCCCGCAGGTCCCGCTCCGCCTGTTGCACTCGGCGCTGCTTGGCGGGCAGGGAGCGCTGCAGACCCGATAGGGCCTGCAGAAAGGGGATGAAGCGGAATAAAGCAACTAACCATATGACAAGGCTACACCATGGGTAGCAACATGGCTGTCGAAGGGGGAGGGGGAGGGGGAGGGGGAGGGGGAGGCCCAAATTCGTCCCAACCGTGTCTCCCTCCTACTTACAAGCATATTCCTTCAAAGCACTGCCAGCATCCTAGTGCCTTTCAAAACATCTCCCACACGTGCATAGTGCAAGGCTGCCGTACCTGGCGACACAGCAGCACCTCCTGTCGTAGACTCCGAAGCCGCGTGTCAGCCTGCATGGGTGCATGCCAACATGGGCCTTGTTTAGCTCAATGTAGTACGACCAACAGTGTACTGCACCAGGTAGCGCTGCACTGCAATAAAACATTATCCCCAGGCCCCCTCAATCCCAATCGCACACACAACCATCACACCCGTATCCACCCCGGTCCCTCACTCACATCCATCGCCGACCCTTGGGTCACCACGCGATTGAAGTGCTGCTGCACTGCCGCCGGTACCCAGAAGGACCCCACTGCGCCCGCCTGCCTGCTGGTTGCGGCGTGTATCGAACGGATGTCGGACACTACTTGGCAAGGTGCATACCGTACGGAGCAACACTGATGTTGGACAGGTGGCAGGATTACCGTACTTGAGCACAGTTGTACGGCACACGGGTGGTGGGAAATACCGTACGGAACAAGCCCCCGTGCTCAGCTGGTGTGCTCATAGCGAAGATCGTGCTCACGGAAGCAAGCTCGAGAACCCAAGGCATAGCTCGCGCCGAACAATTCTTTGTGCGGCCTTCGTAACTCCTTACCTTGCACGCTCGACGTCGGCGGCCTGCACGATGGCGTAGGGCAGTACATAGGTGGTGTTACTGTTTGTACGATTCACCGACGACAATTAAGGAACGGTGTCGACAAAGGCGCAGCGAAAGGCAGATGTGATGGCGCTGGTGTCCAGTGTGCAGTAGCAGGAGGAGGTGGCTCGGGGCAGGCGGGTTTGTGCGGTACGGCTGCGGGTGTCGGCGGGGGCTCCAGGCTAGGGGCACCGGCTGCGGCTGGCTACTTTAATGCTTATGTACAACCAGGGATTCCCACGCGTACGGTCCTTGCCTGGGCCATAATAATTGTTCGGGGGCTCCATCCATGCTGCTGGCAAACCCAACTGTAGTTGGTTTTCTGTACCCTAAAGCCCTGATCCCCCACCTATGACCCGTGGGTCGCTGCCCAACCCAACCCGCAAGCCCCACCTGCGCCTGCAGCCGCTGTAGCCGACTTGCCTCCTCCGCCATTCGGTTGCGTGCGGCCGACAAATCCGCGCGAGCTTCCTGGAGCAGCAAGGAAAGCAGCACCAGCATTGGCAGCGGCAGCGGCAGCGGCGATCAGAACGATGCGCGCGCGATTTTGCCTGGTCATACCGGTAGTCTTGAAGGCATACGGTAACACATCGAGAACCCGCGCAGGTGGGGCTGCCGGGACACCCCCCCCCCCGCACACCTGTAGCGCGGCCTGCAGGCGGTACAGCGCCACCCGGCGCCGGTGCCGCCGCTCGGAGGCTTCTCGAAGGTAGCTGAGGAGCCGGGGGCAGGGGGTAGTAGGGGGTAGCAGGGGGCAGCAGGGGGGTTGATACAGTATTAGGGACAATGCACAGTAAGAGGGGAAGGACAACTTGCACACGGTAAGGAAAGCGTGTCCAAGGGCACATTTGAAGGGTGTTCCTGTTTGATGGAAAAGGGACGCAAAGCCCGCTGGGGACTACCTGCCACCTCAGGAGGGCTTCAAGGCATCATCACAGCTTAGCTGGCGCCGCAAGGTCAAAGAGGAACCAACCGGGTGCTTCGGAGAGCTCGGGGGACTCGCATGCGGGAAGGCTGCTAGGGCTCCCCCCCTCCAGCCCTCTAGACAGGTCAGAGCGCCTTCAGCAGCCCTCCAGCAGCCCGCACACAGTGCGCTGCTTACCTCGCCTTGAAGCGGTCTCTCCAGCTGCCGGCCCCGCCGCCCGCACTCCCGCCGCCACTTCTGCCTCCTCTAGCACTCCCGCCCCCGCCGTCCCCACCTCCCTTCCCAGCGGCCCTGGCAGCACTTGCAAGTGACGGTGGCAGTGCTGTGGAGGCGGCAGCAACCGCCGCGAACCCGCTGGAAAGCCTTGCGCCGCTTCGGCCTCCGCCGGCACTCCTACCACCATCACTACCCCCACCACTACCCCCACCCGCGTCGGCAGCACCGCTGCTGCTAACACGGCTAGGCCCGCCTCCGCTGCTACTGCCGCCTCCGCCTCCGCCTCCGCTGCTGCTGCCGCCTCCGCTGGCGTCTGTCCCATGCGGCTGCTGGGACCGCTCACGCGCCACCAGCCCGCCACCACCACCACCACCACCGGGTGGCGCCATGCTCGCCTGGCGACTGAGACCCACTCCCAGCTGCAGCGGCACCACGACCCTCCTTGTACGACCGCCACCGCCATCACCGGCCCCGTCAGCTGCGCCTCCGCCGCCTGCATCAGTAACATGGTTGCCCCTTGCCGTACCGCCGCCGCCGCCGCTGCTGCTGCGGCCGCCGAAACCCGTCGCGGCGGCGGTAGCAGCAGCAGCGCCGCTTCTATTCCTGCTGTTGCTTTTAGGGAAATGCTGCTCGTACAGTCGTCGCCACATGTCCTCGCATCCTTGTACGGCAATGTACAGCCGACGGCAGCTCCGTGCGGCGTGTACGGCATCGTACAGATCCAGTACGGGAGCCGCGAGTACGATTGAAAGGAGCTCCTCGGCTAGATCAAGGAGGTGCGGAGGACCCCCCGCAGTGGCAGCAGCACTGCCGCCGCAGTGGCGGTGGTGATGAATGCTGGGCACTTCTGCTGCTTCGCTTAAAATTGGTGTTGTTGTTGGCGCTGTAAATGCTGCTGTTGTTGCGCCTTGCATTGGAGTTGATGCTGCTGTTGTTGCCTCCACTGTTGATGATGGTGGGGGTGGGGGTGATGGCGGCGGTTCCATGGTTGTGGCAGTTAGCCGAGTCCGACTCCACTACAATATTCGTTTTCTTGAATTCTTTCCCGGGACGATCACGGTTCAATCTTGAAAGGAAGTCCCCTAGGCCTTGGGATGTTGGAGCTGCAAATACTTTTGGGGACGTGACGCCTTGAAAAAGCTGGAAGGGAGGGCAGTGGAGGGGCTTCGGTCAGGTTCGGTGTACGGCAAACAAGGCGACGTGTGTACAGCATACCGATATCTGCATTCCTGTAAGACAGGTAACACGAATTCAAGAAGAAGAAGAAGAAGAGCGCGGTGGGGGTCACAGTCTTGTTGTAGGCAGGTACGGGCTGCTAGGCGTGTGAAGAGTGTAGACGCAACCGTACCTGCGGCGAGTCAACCACCTCTTAATGGCATAACGTCTTTACAAAGCGTTTGTTGAAAGCATTATGGACAGATTTGCCTTCGGCTAGATCGAAAATCGAGGCGAGGAGGTGACGAACCCCTTATGGAGGCCTGGTTTCAATTTCCTTTGTCAATAGGCACCAAAAGTCAAATCATTTACAGCGGAATACAAAAATGGTGTACGCAGCTCCAACCGAACATGGTGACCGGAAATGAAGCATCAGCTGGGTCTGTACTACGAGGACGAGAACTGCTTTGCAATACCGGTTGCTTTTGCTACACCTTACTGGTCCGAGTCCGTAACGTGGTTCATCGACCTTTTAACCCTTTGGAAACGTCGTATCTCTTTTTCCACACCAACCACTCCATGGTTTGGCGACGTCGACTTACCGCAGAAAGCAAACTGTGCTAAGGCCCTAGGAGCGTAACGCATTTTGCATTACTTCGGCCGACGTGGTTAGGGCCTTTAATCCTGGTTGCTGTTACGCGTCGAAGAAAACAATGGTGGCTGGCGACAGCTAGGCGGGCGGGGCCTGTCCGGCTTTGCCAATTCTGGCTCTAGCAAGATGCAAGCAGGCCAGGGGCTTGGCGGCTTAGGTGCTTCGATGGGAGACGAGGACGCCCTGGAAACATTTCTTGACACTTACCTTGTCAACAGCTTTGGGGCTTCAGGCAATAACGCAGCGATGTCCCATCAGCAACAACAGCAGCAACAGCAACAACTTCTTGGAGGAGGTCTTACCGGGCAACCACCGTTAGTGACATCAATGCTTAACAGGCCTGGGAACCTAGGTCTGAACCCACCTCAAGGATCCGGCTCTGGATTGAGCAACATTGGTGTTCCTGGCGGGGAAGACACATCTAACCTCAGCATACCTGCGCTACAAGCCTTGCTGCGACAGCGGCAGCTCCAGCAGCAGCAGCAACAACAACAACAGACGAGCTTTAATCCGCTCCCTTCCGGAGGCATAGGACCGCTAGGAGGCGTCGGTATGGGAGCTAGCGGTGGCTTGCTGCGGCCCACTAGCTTGCAAGACCATTTAACCTCGGGTCTTGGTTCCGATCACAACACGTGGCGTCCGTCGCTTGGTGCATTGCCGTCAGGCACAGGCATCCAAGGATTCGGAACGGGCCAGGGTAAGGGCGACATCGTCGCTGATCGCAAGCGATTCCCTGTGCAATTGTGACCGTTGGCTTTGCGCATCACAGGCCCGTTGTTCGGGGAGCCGTTGGGCGGCTTCCAGGAAGGCACCGGATTAAACAATGCAATGGTAATTGCGCATTCTTTGCCATTGGGCCTTGCCTTGCGTTTGTTCTGCCTGGTTCGACGATGCAAGTCGCATGCCTCCCGTGTTCACTTGATACTTCGTGCAGGCGACTGGGCCAATACTCCGTCCAGCTAGCGATAGCCTGCTGGCAAATCAGAGGAGCGGTATGATGGCGCCGCTTGGCTTGCAGGTATAGCCCATCAACTTGTGACGCTTGCGAGTTGTGACATCCTCGTCTTCCTCTAAGCTTGTACCCCTCAAACGCGGTTGCAGAGCATGGGTATGTCAAGTATGCGTGCAAATTCCTTGTCTGCACAGACAGCCGGCACAGGCGGCCTTGGAGCGAAGAAGTCCACATGGGATGCCGCTACGCCCATGGTTGCCGAAGGCAGTGACGACAGCAGCGGTAGGCTAACGCCCCCGTACCATTTACGTTCGAGCTGCTGCTTAGTCACCTTTTGGTGGACACGGCTATGCGGATTGCAACACAGTTAACAAGATGTTAGTCATTCAACCCCACAGCTTTGAGACTGCTGAGCACGCGGTTCCTGCTCAGCCCTGCTTTCCTAGCCTGCTAAGCCTGTCTGCCTTTTCAGCATCTGTATTTTCTGCTGCCATCCCCCATGCTTCTCACAGGAGACGACTCGAGTCAGCGGCGACGTGTCAAGGGGCGCTCCGCCTCCACCGCACACCAGCCCTCAGTCCAGGCAAGGCAACACACATACACACACATACCTTCATACCCTTAGAACACACCCTCCTCGACCCCTATCCCCGCCCGCAACACCATTTGCCACATCATCACCTCACTGGGCACGTGTACCTGCCTGGCTCATACCCGCGCACATACCCGCGCACCGGGCGTATGCTCAAGTCCTGTCCTTACGGCGCAAGTACGGTAGGAACCATCCTCGCCTCCTCCTCATCTTTCCCTGGATGTCATTCTGTTTGCCATGCCAGTAGCAACCCTACCAAACCCTTCAACCCCCCGCACACCGTTCATCCTCCCACGCTCCTTTCTCCTTCTCCACCCTTTTCCACCCTGCCTCCACCCCCGCCTTTCTATTTCCCGCGGCTTAGCCTTCTCCACCCCGCCCCGGCCTCTCCCCCGCCTCCCGCAGCAGGAGAAGAACCGCAGCGCCCAGCGGCGGTTCAGGCAGCGCCAGAAGGAAAAGATGGCCTACCTGGAGACCCGCACGGAGGCGCTGGCAGCCCAGGTACGGCACAGTGCTGGCATTCATGCTACTGTCCCCCTCCCCCCCCCACACACAGACAGACGCACATTGGGTCGTCTCTACTCCCCCTCCTCCTTCCCGCAAATGTTCGCAATCCTTTAATCCAGCCAGATGCGGATTGCGTGTCCGCCCTGTGTATTCCCCCAAGGTTGAGAAGCTGAGTTCCGAGAACGAGTCGCTGCGCAACATGACGTCCATGCTGGAGAAGGTGCTCAACCTGCGGGAGGAGCACATCTCCAACCTGCAGGTGGGTCGGGGGGAGGGCTGGCGGGCTGTACGACAGGCGGGGGGGCTGGCGGGCTGTACGACAGACGGGGGAGGCTGGCGGGCTGTACGACAGGCGGGGGGGAAGAGAGGGAAAGAGTTGGAGGAGGGGGAGGGAGGGAGTGCTAGACCGCCAGGGGATCCGCTGCTGCCAAGACTTGTGGGATGTGTGTGGGCTTTGGGAGGGGGCTTGGGGCGGCCTGGAGGTTGGCCAGCAGGTTGCCCTGCCGTACCACCCCGCCCCGCCCACTGCCCCCGTCTTCCATCTCCCAGCTTCTCCTACTCACCCCCCCCTCCACCTCCCCCCCCCCCCCCTTCCACCTCCCCCGCATGCTTTCCCGCCTTCTTCCCCCGGCCCCCGCCGTGCAGGAGGCCGCCAAGGTGTTCAGCAACCTCAACATCCGCACGCAGGAGGGGGAGGCGGGGGGGAGCGGAGGAGGAGGAGGGGGGGCGGCAGGCGGAGGGGAGAGAGGAGCGGCAGCGGACGCAGCGCTGAGGGTGAGGGTGGGGGTGCGGGAGGCGAGAGTGAGGGACTGAGTGGGGGTCATTAAGGGATAGCAGCCTTAACTTCAGGTCAGTGTGTGGTTGCGGGGATATGCGGTTGCGGGGTCGGCATGTTGCATGCGGCATGATACGACATGGCAGAGTCAGGTTTGTGGGGGAAGGCCTCCAATAGCGGAGGGCTACGTCTGGGGGTCTCCCACCGGTTGCCCTACCCGCCCCTACCCATCCCCCTTTTCCCAAACCCTTCTTCTCCTCCTCACTCCTCAAACTCCGGCCGCCTAACAGCAGGCCGCCAGCGGCGGTGGCGCCGGCCCCAGCAGCCCCCGCACCGGCGGCGGCGGTGGAGCTGCTCACAACACAGCTGGTGGTGGCGGTGGTGGCGGTGGCGGTGGTGCACTCCTGGTCAAGGGCGAGGACGGCAACCTTGGCACCCTCCCCAGCCCCAACCCCGCACGCACCGGCGCCGGTGGGGGTGCGTCACTGGAACATGGTGGCACCTCCGGGGTGGGCAGCAGCGGGGGCGGGGGCAGCAGTGCGGGGACTGCTGCGGGGTTGCTGGGCGGGGGCCACGTGCTGCCTCAGAACATGGACGGCAGCGGCGCGCGGTTCACTGCGGAGGCGATCCGGGCCATGAGTGCGGAGGACGTGATCGAGGCGTGGAAGGAGAACCTGAAGGAGCTGTCCAGGTGGGGGGGGGGGTGGGGGGAGTGGAGGGAGGGAGGGGTAAAGGGCGGGGAGACGTGTGTGTTTTGGGGGTCACATGAGTGTGGAGCATGTGTGCGATACACATGGGCTTGTAGGGGTTGAGAATGGGGAAGTCCAGCCCACTCATTGCTACCGTGCAAGGTAGTCAACACTTGTCTTGACGCCCTTCCACACCCCCCCCCTTACCCCCCATCACCCCTCTCCTTCCCCCTCCATCCCCCCCCCCCTCCACCACCACCTGGCAGGTACGTGGTGCTGGCTGAGAACGCCCCCCCCTCCGGCGGCGGCTGCTCCTCGCTGCCCGCCTCGCTGCTGTGCCGCATCACCCCACTGACCGCCTCCATGATGGAGCTGGTGCACAAGGTGGCCATGATCAGCCCGCTCAACGTGAAGCGCCTGCTGGCGACCAACATGGAGCTGCATGCAATGGTGGGGAGAGGGGGGGGAGGGGGGAGAAGGCAGGCCAAGGCGTAGGAGCGCAGCTTAGGGCGAAGGAAGGGGGGTGGGAGGCGGAGGCATGGGGCCACGAAGCGAGGGAGGGTAGGAGGGCGGGCAGTGACATGGGGAGAGGCGAAGAAGGGGGAGGGGTGCATGGCGGGAAGGAGAGGGGGGAGGGGGGGAGGTGCATGGGCCCATGCGCGGGTCGGTGAAGCGCTGCATGCCATGGTGGGTGGAGGAGGAGGGGTGCTGCAGACGTGCATGCATGGGGGTGAAGTGGCAGAGGCCGCCGTGTGGCAGGACTCAATGGGTGCTGCATGCAAACCGCTACTTCAATCTCCCCCTCCCCCCCAAAAACCATGCACATGCTGCCCACCGCCCACCATACCTCTCCCCGCGGGTCCTCCCTCGGTGTGGCATCACCCCTCGCCCTGCCACTCCCTCCCTCCCTTCCCCATGGTGAAGCCATGTCATACGGTTGGTTTAGCTTCTCCCTTACCCTCCTACCCCCATCTCTTACGGTACTGGTATTCCTCTTCCCCCCTCCCACAGGTCCCCGTCCCCGAGCCCCACTGGGCCCGTGTGCTGATGGTGCTGGGGCTGTCGGAGCAGCAGCGGCGGGAGCTGCTGGGCGCGCGGGAGCGCTTCCTGGGCAAGTTCGAGGCGGTCATGCAGGAGCGAGCCACGCTGGTGGCCAGCCTGGCGCAGCAAGCGGTGCCGCGGAGCAGGTATCTGGGGGGGGGAGTACACCATGTGTTGGATGTATGGAAGGGGGAAGAAATGATGAGTGAAGGACAGTCCCCTGGGGGAGAGGAGTTGTGTCTGAAGGGAGGGAAGGCGTTGCTCGTCCCTCGCCGCAGATTGTACCGGTATTGCTGCCAACACCCCTATACCCGCACCCATCCTCCTCCCTCCTTCCCCACACCCCGGCCCCCTCAGGGTCTACGCCGACATCTGCTCCTCCTCGCTGGCAGCCCACGAGGCCACCGACCGGCTGCGAGCCAACCTGCAGCGCGAGCACAACGTCAACATGGAGTTCGTGGTGTACGTGCTGAGGGGCGTGCTGGACCTGATGCAGGTGGGGGGGCGGGGGGGGGAGCGGGGGAAGGGCTTTGGAGGATGGGGTAAACGGCGGGGAAGCGTGTGTGTTTCGTATGTTTTGTCGCTGATGGACTCATCGCTCTGCGTGTCGTACACGTGCAGATCGCCAAGGCCGCCGTACACTCGTATCCGTACTATCCGGACGTCCTGGCCATGTCCAATGTGCTCTTCGCGCAACAGCAGCAACATCAGTCGCAGGCATCACAGCCCTCGCTGCACCAGCAGCAGCAACAGCAACAGCAGCAACACCAGCAGCAACAGCAGCAACAACAACAACAGATAGCGGTTGTGTCTTCCGTTTCGCAGCAGCAGCAGCAACAACACCAACAACAGCACCATCATCTACAACAGCTGCAGCAACAGTTGTTGCAACAACAACACCAGCATCAGCAACAACAACAACAGCATCAGCAACAACAACAGCTGCAGCAACAGCACCCTCACCCACACATGCAGCTGCAGCAGCAGCTGATTCAAGCCTCCCCAGGAGCAGCCGCAGCAGCACTCGCAGCATCTGGAGGACTAAACATCCCCCCCGCCGCACTTCGGTCCGTTGGCAGTTCTGGCGGCGGAGGCGGAGGTGGGCTTGGTCTTAGTCTCGGCCTAAACCTAGGCGGCTTGGGCGGCCCTGCAACCTCTCCTTCCTCTTCTTCCGCGGCTGCTGCGGCGGCGCTGTATGGAGGTAATCGCGCAAACGCCGCTGCTGCCTCCGGCGGCGGAGGCGGTGGCGGTCTGGGTTTGGGGTTGCTTGGCCCGGCTCTGGGCTTTACACCCGGCGGTCTTGCATCTTCTTCTTCCTCACTAGCGGCGGGAGGAGGAGGGGGGGCGGCGGGGTTAGCAGGCAGTGGGCCGCCCTCTGGGCTGCTGGCCGGTTCCTCTGGGCTGGCGGAGGGAGCGGCTGCAGCCGGAGCCGGCGGTATGCCGGGCTTGTTCGGAGGCGGTGGTGGGGGCGGAGGTGGGGGCGGAGGTGGCGGGCTGCTGGGTGGTGGTGGTGCGGGCATGCAGCTTGGCGGGGATGGCGGAGGAGGAGGTGGGCTGGGGGCACCGTCGCTGAGCTCCACTTCGGGTGGTGGCGGAATGGGTGGTGGCGGTGGTGGTGGCCGCAACGCGGGTATGATGGGACTGCAGGACGGGTCGGTACGCATGATGGAAACCTCTTAGCAGGCATTGTGGGGAATGTGCAGGGGCCGGGGTTCTTCCTTTCCTGTTCTGGGCTCCCCACCTCTTCGAAAGTGGGGGTGGGTTGCGACTAAGTTGGGGGGTCGCGGGGTGTTGAGGTGTTGCATGGTGGCAGATGAATTGTGAGGTGTGGGGCATAGGCCGGGGCACGAGGCAGCCTGAAGGGGAATTTAGGTGAGTCGGATTGGTCGGAAGATGCCGTGAAGGCTGCTGCGGGAGTGGAGTGGAGGGGAGGGCGCCTGACTGAGCATATACCGGTACGTATAAGGGGTTATTAGCGGATTGGAGGGGGGATTATTTCCATTCAAAACTGGAAGCTCTGCGCTAATGAAGCGAGATTGTTTTTATACGTGATCAGTCGGGCGTGTCGGAAGGGTTTCCCACAATGCAGGAACCCAAACACGTCCCCCATGTGTGCATGCACCGCACTGTTCCTCTCACACGCACGCATGCGGCTTTTGAGGTGACCCATGGGTCTCGAGCCCCGCGTCATTTGTGGGACCCTCAGTGTAGCCGAGCCGCCGAAGGATGGGGGTGAACCCTGTACTAGCGCAATTGGGACTTCTCGACCCTGTTGACTTGTGGAGACGGAGGCGTGTTTGTTTCGCGCATCAGCTGTGGGATGCGACGGCATGCCTGTCTGCTGCTCTATGCTCCTCGCTTCTTCCTAAAGGCCTTTGGAGATGCGGCTACTGGGCGGGGCTTTGACTTCCAAAGGTTCCAATTGCAGCCTTTTTTGTCAGCACCTGCATTGCCATCACATCTGTACGGACCCATGACGGACATGACACCTAACGCATCTGGACATCTGACATGCTGTTAGGGCAACATCATAAGGGGGTATAATCCAATGTTTTTTTACCAGCATCTAAGGGGGGCGGCATTTGCTATGTGAAGCACAACCCTTGAATCAAACGCCGACGTGTTATGCGTGTCGGCTGCGTGCGATTGTGGCGCAGGCATGGAAACACGCTCACCGTCAAAACGCGGTATGAGGGAGTAAAACGTTACTTGAGAGCCTGTGGGTTAGCAAAGAGCAAGGAGCGATGTTGGGAACGGCGGCACTTGTCTTTGTGGTATTTGTGCATGTGTTGAGCGTCATGTTTGTTGCGTGCCTTGTAAACAGTCGCGTGCACGGGTTCGGGTGTTGGGGCCGGTGTGGTGCCTTGGGTGGAAGAGGAAGGTTGGAGATGTTGGTGGTGCCTGCAAGCGCATATGTAGTATTGTTGTCCTCGTGTTGTATGTGTCGTATGTTACAACCATTCGGCTCGCGGCAAGTGAAACGGCCCCCAGAGGTAACGGCGGTTAACTTCGTTACCGGCTTCCTAATGGTGCCTTCAATTGCGAGTAGCGACGAGAACCCCAGGCGAGTTGGGGTCGGGTCCGTGTTTTGTTTGTAGCGCGCCGCTCTGACGTGGGGTTGCGGTTGATGGCGCTGTTCAGGGTAGTTGCTGTAGGGTGAACGGCACAGCTCGCGCTGGGAATACTGGTAGGAAGGCGTAGGGGTCGGGACGAGAAAGATGACATGCATGCAGTCCTACTTCGCAGGAAGGGTGCATGCAATTATGCTGCACAGATTTCCGTTGCGGCTGTGTGTGACGTGCGGTTGGGGAAGGCCCGTACGGAAAGGTGAAAAAGGAGAAGTGGATGGTGGGAGATGGTTAAGGCTTGGAGATATGTACCGTGGGCTAAGCTTTCGCTGTTTGCGTTGTTCCTTTCTCCATGGATGGCAAGCGCTCTCCGATCTATCTGGACGGGCAGAAAGGTACGACGTGCCTATGTCTCGAGGCCACGGCCCTTTGTTTTTCCTTGAACCTCGTCTCTGTACATGACCTTTTAGGGGGTTTACAATGTTGGCTTGCAGTATTCGCGTGGATGGGCTTGCTTAACAGGTGTTTACGCAAACATATGGATACATGCAATGCAAGAGTTGACAGTTGGGTGTGCGTCAAATCCCCTAGTTGGCTCCTCGAGACATTCCAGTTGTTCGGGCATTCTAATGTGCCTTCTGATCTGAACAACGCCTTAGGCTGTACCTGGGAAGACTGAAAACGGAAGAAATTCATCGGTTCAAGAGTTGTAACAGCGGAGCCAGCCATGGTCGAGAGCCGTCTGAAATGCAATGGTGAACCTACAAACAGGGTAGCCTAGTGCACAGTCGCGGCCAAGAACGATCCATACATGATCTCAGCGTTTTCACCTGAGGCGCTGCGTCTGTGGGACCACCCTTTCCTCAATCAGCCAACCCTGAACCGGTAGATCCTAATCAGCTAGTCTGTCATCCCCACATGCGCAATGAAGCCATGGTTGAGTACATAAAGCCCTTCCAGGGTTCGTCCTTTTTGCACATCAAATGCGTGCACCGTCGGCACGCAGGCCGTACGCACGCGTACATCCATGTCGGCGTGAGAGCAGCTCGGTTCCGCTCGCCCGATCCGCCACCCCCGTTCCCACTACAAACGGGAGCGGACGAGCAAAATGTGCGCAGTCCAGCACGCTACACACCATCCGTAGAACCCTCTAACGTCACGCAAGCTATACACACACGCTGCGCCGCACACGTCATCCCACGTCACACTGTACAGTCCGCGTCCGCAGGATGTCACCCCTTACGAAAGGTCCAGCCACCCCATACCCGCGTCACGCGCACTCTCCCCACACGCCCATGTCGCACGCCCTTAAAAGCCACAAACGTCCGCCCACGGTGCGCTCATCTCATCCACGTCACCCCGCCCCGCCCCTTCATTCGTACCCCTCTCCCTTGCATCCCCCCTTCCCTGCTCCTCGAGGCCTCGAGTCCTCTCCCTTAGACACCAAGACCCCCTCACCGCGGCCCCGCACCCCCTGCCCCTGCCGCCCCCTGCGCCCCCCCGCCCGCCTGCACTCCCGCCTGCAGCTTCTGCTGTATCCGCTGCAGGTACTTCTGCTGCGTGGGGTCGGGGTTGGTGGAGAGGCGGCGAATGACGTCCTGCACCCCCAGCGCAATCAGCGTCTCTCGGCACTCCCGATGTGCGCACATGTTGCCCAAACTGAACAGCGCAATCTTCACCGGTGACCCGCCGGCGTCCGCTCCCCCGCCCGCGCCGCCCTTGCCTCCAGCCGGACCCGCGGGTCGCTCCGGACTGAGAGCGGTGTCCAGCAGCGCTCGCAGCGCCCCCGCGCGGATGAGCTCGCCGCACAGCGCGGAGGAGTTGCGAACCAGGTTGCCCAGGGCGCCCGCGGCGTTGGCGCGGGTCTTGTCCTGTGGAGGGTGGAGGGGGAAAGAAGAAGAAGACCATGCTGATAATGACAGCGGAACCCCTGACGAATGGATGCAAGGGGCTACGGCCGAACGTAGCATGGCGGTGGGAGCGGAGTGGGGAAGCGTTGCAGAGCGAGATACACTATGCGCCAATGACACCTTGCCACTAACCCCCCACTCGCCCCCTCCCCGGCTCCCTGCACCCCCCCCCTCTTCCCCTCACCTCCTCGTCCCGCAGCAGGGCCACCAGGGGACTGATGGCGGGCTCCAGGGCGCCGTACAGCGAGGCGTTGTGGAAACCTGCAACAGGGTGGGGCGAGTGGGGGTCAAGGAAGCACACACAAGGCCAAGATAAACGAGTGGGGTGGAAGGCCGGAAGTAAAGGCGGCATGCATGCATGGGGGGGGAGTATGCGTGCTTGCGTCACGACTAATGCACGCTCTCTTCCGTCCCCACCGCGCTCACCCGCATTCCCGATCGCAAAGCATGCAAACTTGCGGGTGGTCTTGTCCGGGTCAGCGCATCGGTCTATGAGCGGCGGCAGCAGTCCGTGCCGCTCCAGCGCGCCGTAGAAGTAGGCGGAGTGGCGGCACATGTTGCCCACCAGGTTGCACACGCGAGAGCGTACGGCAGCGTCGGGGTGAGTCAGCAACCTGCATATGGGGTGCCGTACAGCGGGAGGGTGTGAATGATATAATACGCCACGTAGACAAAGGGATTTGGGCGGAATCCAAGAAGGCATCAAGGACAGAAAGGGGGTTCGTACCGTACGTATCCGTAAGCATGCCGTACATGCCCCACCATGCATGAGTGCAAAAATGAATCGTACCCGCCCAATCGTACCTATCCCAACTGCTTGCTCTTGTTCTACTCAACTACACACGCGCCCCACCCACCTCCGTATCTGGGAGTAGATGTTTGCCCTGGCCAGGTGTTCGTATGTGTTGAAGGAGTCCTTGTTGAGTCGCGCCAGCTGGCTCACGATGAGCAACACGTCCACCAGCACCGGCGGGGGGGAGGACTCGGACAGGCAGCGGGACAGCGTGGCGGGCGCCAGACCGCCTGGCGTGGGGGCGGGGGAAGGGGAGGGGGAGTGGAAGGGGGGAGCGTGCGTGTTTTGACGGGAGGGGAAAATCGAGGAGTTGGGTGGCGGGGGAGAGGTGCATATGCGTGGATGACAGGGTGAGGTAAGCGCATGTGCAGTTGTGCATGCTCCGGGGTCAGAGGGCGACGTAGGGGTTGGGGAGAGAGGGAGCGTGCTTCACCCCTCTTCCCGTCCCGACCGCCCCGCCCCCTTCTCTTCCCTCTCTCCTCACCTGCCGCAATGAACTGCTGCGCGAACGCCGTGTTCGACAGCACCAGTCGCGACGCCAGGTTGACGGGCAGCAGCAGCTCCTCGCTCTCCAGGCTGTCGAGCACACGGACCTGGAAGAGGGCGGTGTCAAAGATATAGCAAACCAAAAGTGAGGGCAAGACAAAGGGGATACGGTAGGACATGGGAGGGGTATACGGCGGTGTACGGCCCAAACCCCAATCCACATGCTCGAAATCCACTGCTCAGGCTCTCCTGGCTCGTGCGAACACACCCACTGCGCGCGTACAAACTAAAGCTATAACCAAGCAGCTGACTTATGACTATCAGCAACCGCCCCGCTACCCCCCCGCCCACCAGGTGCCCCATGACGTTCTCCGCGGCCAGCATGTCCTGGTAGGCGGAGGGCTCCACACCCTCGCCGCCTGGAGAGGGGGGGCAGGGGTGAGGGGTGAGGGACGGAGTGGGGAGGAGTAGGGCCGCGGGAGGAGGCACGAGATGGTCTTTCCTGGCTTTCGCGCACGATAGCGGAGCAGGAGCTCATGCCAGCGCCCCCCCTTCCCGCCATGTTTCCCCCACCTGTGTTCACCCACCGCGCCTAGCAGACCAAACACACACAACACACGTTCTACCCCTAAACCCCTCTTCCCTCCTTCCCTCCCCTCCCATTGCCTTCCTGCTTTCCTAGGGTCTGATCTGTGCCCCCCTCCTCCCCTCCCCCTCCTCTCCCCTCCCCCATTCGCAATCATATAATCCAGCCTAATGCAGAGTGTGTATCCCTGTTAACCCCCTACCCGGCAGCGGTGTCAGCGGGCGCCCCACCAGGTCCACCGCATGCACGCACGCCTGGAAGCAGCCCGGCCGGCCGCCCCCCGCGGAGGGAGGCCAGGCGCCCAGAGCCCCCTGGTGCCGCTCCCCCAGCAGCAGCAGCAGGAAGGACAGCAGCGGGGGGGAGGACAGAACCTGCGGACCCTGCATGGACAGGGCGCCAGGCGGAAGGAGAGGGGTGGGGGCCACCTGGCTTGGAGAGTAGGATAGTGTGCACCGCCTCCAAGCCACCCTTCCCCGTACGCACCCTTCCACTGCCGTACAACCCTGTACCCCCTTCTGCCGTACCTCTGCCTCCGGCGCCGCCGCATGGTGTACCGCCTCCATGAGCGCCACCACCCCCCGCGGACTCAACTCCAAAAGCCCCCCTGGAGCTCCTCCGCCGCCTCCTCCCATGGTCGTACCGCCGGCTCCACCGCCGTACGTGCCGGTGCCGTACATCCCCCCACTCCGCCCTCCTGCTGCCATGAGCGATACCACTGCGCCGCCCAGGCCGCCTGCCAGTACGGCACAGCCCGTGTCGCTAGCGGGCCCGTAGCTAAGGAGCAGGGCGGCCAGGGAGACTACGCCGTCGAACAGGCCGGTCCTGAGGAGGAGGAGGTTAGGAGGAGGTTTGGGAGGAAGGCGAGGAGGGGGATGTGGAGGGTTGGAGGGAAAGGAGATGGCATGCAGAAGGCGGTAGCAGCGCATGGTGTGGTTACGGGGGCATGGATGGCGGACAAGCAGGAAAAGAAGACGGGCCTCGACGCTCTTCCGCCTCCACTCCCCTGCCAAACCCATACACACACGCACCCCTCCTATTCCCCCCCTTCCCCGCCCGCCCCACCTCGCCGGCGCCCCCTCCAGTGCCTCCAGCGCCGGGCTGCCCGAGGTGGCCGGGTGGTACTTGAGCAGCCGCACCAGCGAGGCCAGGCGAGCGGGGCTCAGCAGCTCGGAGGGAGGCGGGTGCGGGGACGCGGAGGAGGAGGAGGCAGCGGCCCCCCGGCTAGAAGCACCGCCGCCCATGGCCCCGGGGTTGCTAGAAGAGGAGGAAGAAGAGGGCGCGGGGCCGGCGGGGTGGGCGTAGAAGCGGAGGTAGGCGGCTGCAGCGCCTGCAGCGACGTAGCCCAGGGTTAGGCCCTCACCGCTGGCGAGCTGTAGCATGCCTGCATGGGAGGGGGAGGGAGGAGGGAGAGGAGGGAGGGAGAGGACGGAAGGCGAATGATGAGAGCGAGGGGTAGCATGGGGAGGTGTCGGGAAAAGGGTGCGCAGCCGAGGTAGGAGAGGTGTGCGTGGCTAAAGGTTCGGACAGGGGACAGCGCAGGACACACTGCACCGGCGCCCCACTTGCACGTGCAAGCCCATGCCATTACCATCCCCCCTCCACCCTTCACCCGCACCCCCTCCACTCACCCGCCAGCCGCCTGAGCGCATCGTCCGTGCTAGGCCCGGGCACCATCGCACTCTGCGCCACCGCCGCCGCCGCAGCCCCTCCCCCGCCTCCCACTCCCCCCGTCGCACCCCCTCCTGTTGCCCCCGCTCCCCCTCCCGCCCCCGCCCCCCTCCTGGAGTACAGTCCCTCCAGGACGGCGGTGAGTGCCAGCAGTGCCAGCGCCGCGTTGGGTCCCTCCCGCAGCCCCAGCAGCGCCTCGGGGGCGCCCGCCAGCACCGCCGCCTGGCAGAGCTGCGGGCAGGCGCGGCCGCACTGCAGCAGCAGCTGGAGGGCGTACAGGTCCACCTGCGGGGGGCGAAGGGGTAGGGTTTAGGAGGGGGTGGGAGGTTGCAGGCAAGGTAGGTTGCGGCGGGAGGGGTGTAACAGGGTGTAGCGGGTCTAACTGCAGAGCCGGTGGGTGCGTTGGGCGCCCTGTTCCCACCCACCTCCTACGCATTAAAACAGGGCGGCTGCCACACAACGGCACCCACCTTCCGGCACCCATGACATCCGGCAATCACAGTACGCGTCCACTTGTACGCGCCTACTGCCCAACACACCTTGTTTAGCGTGCTGCCCGCCCCCGGCACGCCTCCCGCCGCCGCGGCGCCCACGGGCGGCTGCTGCGCCCATTCCACCAACGCCGCAACCACATTGGGGCTGCCGGCAATCGCCTCGCCAATCGTACGACGTACGGCGTACGGCAGAGCTCCATCCAGATCCACGCCTCCCCGCCGGCCCTCCAACGCCCCTCCCCGCGTCGCCGCCGCCAGCGCTGCCGCCAGCGGGAAATGGCTCCCCACGGCGGAGGCTGTGGCAGGGTTGCAGGGGCAATACACACACGCGGCCAGGGCACGAAGGGCTGCCTGAGCCGCCGCTTCCGCGCCCGCTCCGCCCCTGCCGCTGCCGACGCCTGCTGCGCTGTCCGCCCGCGCGTCCTCCACTGCAGCACAGAGCTGCGCTGCCAGGGGGGTGTCTGTGACGCCGCGGAGGAGCTCCTCGGCCTGACGCAGCGCGGGGCCGCGCAGGTTGGCGGAGATGGCCTGGGGGGTGTGGTTGATTGTATGGTTGGTTGGGTGCATGGGGTTTGGGGGCCATGGGTGGATGGAGGAAGTGGCACATGATAAGGATATTCCCTGCACACAGGACCAGCCCGATGCTGCTTACCCATTCGTAATAAAACCATGGTGCAACAGCCACACGATAGAGCACACTACACGTTGTCTCGTGCCCTCCCCGCCCATGAGAACAACCCCCCGCCCAACACCCCACTCCCCACCTGCAGCCCCCGGTTCATGGTGTCCGCCAGCGCATGACACGCCGCCGCCACCGCCGGCCAGTTGCCCTCCCTGCGGCCGCTGCTGCCGCTGCTGCCGCCGTTCGCTGCCGCAGTTGAGCCGCGACCGCTGCTGCTGCTGCCGCCGCCGGAGCCGCCCCGTGCAGAGGCGCCCTGCGAGGCGGAGATAGGGTCAGGGTTTCAGCCATGGATCATGATAGGCTCGTATCTCGTATGAGATCAAGAACACCATGGCTATGCCCAGGGCCTCGTTCCCTACGATGCGAGGGGCTTAGGAGGGGCTTGCGAGGACGTCATGTTGCGCCCGGCAGCCCTGTCGGCTCACCCTCACCTGCACCACCTCGCAGTACAGCCGCCAGCTCTCATCCAGGCATATGGCCGTGTAGCCGCTGCTGGCCTTGTCCGCAGCCATGGCGGCCTCGGCGGAGCGGAAGCACTCCACCGCCGACAGCACCACGCCCACGTGGCTGGGGCCGGCGGAGGCGGCGGCCTGGGGAGGTAGAAAAGGAAAGAGGGGGGGAGCAGAGGTGCGGGGTAACGAGAGGAGCAATGCGGGCGTTCTGGAAGAAAGCGCAAGTGAGTAGGGCAAGGGGGCTTGCCGAGTATGCGCATGGCGACAACCATGCGACGGGATTTACGAGCAGCGACAGCGGCCTGCCGGGACGTGGGGGATAAGACGTGGGAAAAGCACTAGCTCTCCCATACCCCATAACTCCCATAATCCAGGCATCTCAGGCCCATGCAAGTACAGTGCTGAGAGCCGGACTTCGAGCGTGACGGAAGGAGTCATGGTCACGCCCTCCATTAGCCCTGTGACCAGCGCAGCCTTTCCAGCCGCTTACCAGTGCCAAATCCGCAACTGCCCGCTGCAGTTGCAGCGACTGCGGCTTCCCCTCGCCGTACTGCAGCAGCTGGGAGGCGAGGCGCAGCGCCCGCTGGATGGGCGGCAGGGGGGGCGGCAGCGGCGGCGCGGTGGTGGAGGGGCCGCCGGAGGCGGAGGAGGAGGCGCATGAGGCGGCGGCGTCGCGGAGGGCGGCGAGCAGCGAGGGTAGCGTGGAGGGGTCGGTCCAGAGGCCTGTGGCAGGGTGGCATTCCCATGGCGGCACACATGGGGCGAGGGATGGTGACAGTGGGCTGAAGCAAGGGGTGAGTTGTCCGAGCGAGGGAAGAGGCCGCTGGACAGGGGAAAAGCGGGGTGCCTGGCGGAGCGCATGCATGCATGTCTTCAACCCTCTACCCGCCCTACACCTCACACCTGCCGCTGCCTCGGGTGTGAGCCGTGTCGCCTCCACCGCCAGCGACAGTCGGTCAAGTGAGGTGGCCAGTTGGTCAGCCTGTGCAAACAGTACGACAGGGGTACGGAAGTTTAAATAGGGATGTGTACGGCATGCCTGTCGAGGAGACAGCGACACAACCATAAGGAGGGCGGGCAGCGGCGGTGCGGGTAGCCGGAAGACAAGAACGAGCTCTCGGCGAGCCCCTCCCCTGAGAGAAGAGGTGCTTGCAGCTAGGATATGAGACATTCCATGCCAGTCGCTTCACCCATGCCTGCTGCGATGCTAACGGCGGCCCATGCAACGACCCGACTGTAGAACCCCCCCCTTTCCCCGCCATGCTTCCCACCTGCTGCTGCTGTTGCTGCTGCATGAGCTGCGATTGCGACTGTTGTTGCTGCTGCTGCGATGACTGTTGCGAGGATGACGACGGAGGAGCCGGCGTGCGTGGCAGTCCGGAGGAGGACGGGCGCTGCATGGGGCCCGAAGCGGAGGGCGTCGCCGGCCCACGGGTCGCTGCGGAGGAGGAAGACGAAGCGGCGGCAGCAACGGAGGAGGAAGATGAGGAGGCGGGTCGGGATGAGGTCCCTGCAGCGGAGCCTTGCTGCGGGGGAGTGGCTGGACTGCCACCTCGGTGCAGACCACTGCCGGGCGCCTGGGCGTGGGCCGCTCCTGGTGTTGTGAGGCAAACGGGGGAGAGGGGCATTGGGCCTTAAGTGAAACCGGTGGGTGGTGATGCAGGTACGCATGAAAGCAGTCTTGCGCTCTGCGTTCCTCGGTGTCGTGCCTACGTATCTTTATACACCGCCCGGTAGCCCCGGCAAAGGTAGTCGTTGATTAGATCCCTCGCCCATTCCAATATCCCCCCTCGCCCATTCCATTATCCTCAGAACGTCCCTCCGACAAACGTAACTTTCCCCTCCCATGGCATGCCTGCATCATCCTTTTTGACCCCTGCAACAAGCGCCATGACATGCACGCACCATCCTCCACCCATGCATCAAGCGCCCACACTGGCTACGCACCTGCGCCCCCCTGCGGCCCTAGCGCAGGAAGCCGCCGGTTGGCCGCCGCAGTGGGGTCCCGCGGGCCCCGGTTGATCTGCGGCGTCTCCGCCTGCCGCGCTGGCGGGGTGGCGGGTACGGCGCCCGCAGAGGAAGACGAGGAGCCGCCCACGCCGTCTCCCCGGGAGCCCACTCCGCCCGTGGCTAGGGCCAGCACTGCGCCTGCTACGGCGCCGCCCTCACCCTGTGGGGCACGGCAGGAAATACGGTTGGCATGGCGCCTAGCGATACATACACGCCCATCTGGACTAGCATGCCTAAAAACGGGCTTGTCGTTCCGCCCTGTCCTCGCCGCTCCTGAACCTCGCCTTCTGGTCGCCCTTTATGGGCCCTGTCAGCAGCCCCACCCGCCCGTCCGGCCCTCACCTTCCACGCCCTGCTGCCCTCCGCCACCTCCATGGCGTCTGCCAGCATGCGCTCCCGCGCCAGCCGCTCCCCGTCCGTCTCCCGCACAAAGGGGTGCTCCAGCAGCTGTGGCCAGCCCAGCCGGTCCTGCGGCTTCTTGTTCAGCAGCCCCTGTGGGGGGTTGGGTGTACGGCAGCATGGCGCGCAGGGTGTACGACACTTATAAGAACCATCGGTAGCTGGGGTCAAGAGGTGGTGGGGAGTATACAGGTGAATCGTATAGGAGGTTATCACAGGAGGAGGGAGCGGGGCAGCGCCATGCACGCATGGATGGATGGATGGATGCGCGGTTGAAGTACCCAAAAGGAGCTCCTAAAACGAAAGGGAGTCTGTCTTCCACGTTCTTACCTTGAGGAAGGACTTGAACTCGACCGAGATGTTGTTCGGGAACTTGACCGGGTCCTTCACAATGTGATGGATCAGGCTGTGGCAAGTGGGGGGAAACATAATAAGACAAGAACACATGCTTCATCCAGAGAACACGCACACACACACACATCTTCATTTTAACACACATCTTCCGACAATCACAGTACGTTCCGACTCGCGGCTAGTTTCCTAAACACACATCTCCCGCTCTTAACGGCTGCAAGAGGTCTCGCATAGAGAAAGACTTCCCCACCTGTAGATTGAGTTAGTGTAGAAGGGAGGTTGTCCAACATACAGCTCGAACAGGATCACTCCCAGCGACCAAAGGTCCACCTGAAGGAGGGAGCAGCAGGGCGGGGTCAGGCTGGCTGGTGGTGTTGGGGGAGGCGGGTGAGGGGGTCGAACGGGAATGACAGTCGCACACGCTCGTGAACGGCAGCGCATATCATGTGGTTGAGGGTACAGGTGTCGTTAAAGTCATCCAGGCATCTGCACATGCAGCTCTCTTTGTGTCCTATTCCTGTCCTATCCTGTACGTAGACAGTACGACAACACACGTACGACGCACCGTGTGGTTGTACGGCTGCTCCTGTACGAGTTCCGGCGCCATGTACAGCGGCGTGCCCTTGATGGAGGTGAGCACCATGGTGTTGCAGCTCATGGCGCGAGCGAAACCAAAGTCGCACAGCTGCGAAAGAGGAAGGGTGAAAAGGGAGAGCAAGGTGGGAGGGTGAAAAGGGAGAGCAAGGTGGGAGGGTGAAAAGGGAGAGCAAGGTGGGAGGGTGAAAAGGGGGGAGGACGAAAAGGGAGGGAAAAGGGAGAGGGCAAAGAGGAGGCAAGGATGAGGACGAGTGTGGCATCAACCACACACGGGCTGGAGTCGAGAGGGATTGGGAGCTCCTTTCCTCAACCCAGCCCCCAACACGCCACCCCAACCCTCACCTTGCGCGATCGCAAGAGCGCAGATGAGCGCCGTTTCCTTCACCACTACGAACCCAAAGCATGCGAAGAGCAAACCAACCTAACCACCAGCCGCATCCACTCCCCAACCCAACCCCTCTCCCCCTCACCTTGACCACCCCATTGGAGCAGATGAGGATGTTTTGCGGCTTCATGTCCCGGTGGATGATGCGGTTGGAGTGCAGGTAGTGCAGCGCACGGACCTGGGGGGCGGGGGGCCGGGTACGAGTGGGTAGGTAGGAGGCAGGAAAGGGAGGGGGGAGTTAGGGGACAGGGCGGGCAAAAAAGCGACTGGGCGGAGGATATAAACGCCGCTGACCATGTCTAGCGCGTCAAACCCTACGCCGTACACCCCAGCTTGGTCCTCATGCACACCCCGCATGAGTGCCCTCCCCAACAGGACGTCACAGCCCAGCTTGGAAACGTTGTTTGGTGTGGACTCGCTCAACCTTGGCTCCGACCCCGCTGTTGTGCCAGTGCTTCACCGTTTCCCCGTCAACGAACACCGACATTCCCCCAGCGGCATCTCCTAACTTTACCATGTCGTCATGCTTCTTACTCGCATTCGTCTCTCCAATGAGTTCCGTGCGGTTAAAGATATGCAACCCAAAGGCATCGCCCTACCCCACCCCGTCTCAAAAAAAAACCCTGTATCTCTCCTACCCCATCCCTAAATCGCCACTTCCCAAACCTTTGCAAGCTATCTCTTTCCGCTCATGCACGTTGCGACCCTTTTTAGCCATGCAATCCCACAGCTTGGCAAAGTCGCCATCCCGATCCCGACCCTCACCCCATCCCCATCCCCGCCAGCCCTAACAGTACATGCCGCGGACCTCTCCAACACCATGACATCCCTTCCCACAGCCTCACCCGCCCGCCCCCCCCCTCCCTCCACTCAAAACGCCCTTCCCGCCCCCCCCCCGCCCCACCAGCTGTTTGGCAATGCCGCGCACCACATCCTCCGGCAGGCTCTGGTCGTCCTCCAGGATCTCAAACAGCTCGCCCTGGGCGTACTCTGGGGAGAGCGGGGAGAGCAGGGGGAGTGGGAAGAGCAGTGGGAGTGGGAGGGAGGGAGGAACGCTTTGGGGTTACTCGCAACGGGCTGAAGAGGAGGGAGAGGGCCGGGGGGGGATAGGGAAGGAAGGGGCATGGGATACTTCGGTGACGGGCAGGGAAGTAGTGATGGAGTGGAAGGGATTAGGGAAGCGCAGCCAAACAACTGCTACTAGGCGCACGCTGTGGGAAGGGGAATGTTCATTCCCACCGTGCTGCCAGTGTCGCTCCTGCGCTGCTATCCGATCTGTATCCTCTCCCCCGCCTCTTTACCCGTACTCCATCCGGTCCTATCGTAGACATCGCGTAGTTGGTTCCCGACCCCTACATACATCCAGTCCCCTCATTACGTCTTATTTCGCTTATGTGTCCGTTTCCCTTCCTCTTCCCGCATGTGTTTGCTTCTCCTTCTTCGTTCCCGCCGCCCACCCGTGACCTCCCGTTTCCCCTTCCGCCGCTCACCCATGACGACGCAGAACTCGGTTTTGGTTTCAAAGGCGTCCAACAACTGGACGATGTTTTCATGTCGCAGCTGGCGCAGGATTTCAATTTCCTGCCGCAGGTTCTTGATGTCCTTTTCTGACTTGCCCTGAGGAGGGGTTACGGGATTTTGGAGAGAGGGGGAGAGGGGTATGGGATTTAGGGTTTGGAGGAGTTGATGCACATGGGGTAGCTGCAGCATGCGTCAGTAGATTGTAATTGGAGGAAATTGAGGACGGCGGCAGCATGGATAGCTGTGTAAGGGGCTTTATGTGAAGTGCTCTGATGACGTAAGTTATGAGGTGAGGAGGAATCAGCCGGCCTGACCCAGATCGCTAATGGCTGCGGGGGCTCAACCACGTAGACTCCACTGTGGTGGGGGAGGCCTTCGGGGTCTGTCCTTGACTCGGAGAGTTTCTCCAGAGAGGTTTGGCAACCCGTGCAACCAGCCCCACGTGACAAATGAGAGCCTCCCGGATGCTGTGGACTGCATCAGATGCCCTACTACCGCGGTGTGACAAAGCCCCATTACCCAGAAATGACCCTCCATACAAATTCCTTAGGTGGCATGGCACAAGACACCTAACCGCACCTGCTTGAGGATGAATTTCATCGCTGTAATTTGCCCGGTGCATTTTCTCCGGCCTTTGTAAACCTGTTGGTAGGAGGGATGCCATACCAATTGGGCTAAGATAGGGCCAGGTCATAAAGTCTAACATGAACAAGACATCAAGTACTCGCCAACCCAGGACTCTGGCAATTATCCAAGTGTATATACATGAATCTATGACCCAACTTCATCCCACAAGACAGAGCGATTGGCGCGTGCAGGGGACATCGGTGCAACATCGCCTCAGGTGCCCCCTTAGGCCAAGTTCAAGGCTCCCTACCTTGCCAAAAGACCCTTCGCCAATAAGCTCTATAACATGGTAGTTGTCCAGCATTTTTCAACCCAGTGCAAAGGCCCAAGACCACGTTGACTCCCTCCGCGTAAATCGTCCAGCCGCTTTATCCTCAACCCTCCATAATTTGTTATACTAACGGAGGTAAGCAGGACGCCATCGGACCGCCCTAAGGTTGCAGTCTGGTCGACGCGGGAGATCGGCACTCTTCAATTTCTCTTCAAACTGCGCAGCAGGCGTGGCTATAAGTGCTGTACCTCCTTAATAACCTAACTACAATCTGCTCAGCTAAGAGGTGAAAGTTGCAGGGCCGAAGCAGGGCACGCCTCCATCCAGCTCAACCGTGTTGCCGTGCACTTGCCCATATATGCACCGCTCACAACCCTTGGTCGTCATCACAAACACGCTTTACTATTAAACATAAGTTGCATTGATAGCTGAGCATGCACTTGGTCCACTCGTCAGAACTCGGCATGTCGGCATGTGACTCGTCACGGAGGTGCACTCCATGACGCCTAGGATCATCCTTAGCGGCATCCCTGTGCTGGCGGGCACGCCAATTCTTGGACTGGGGCATCCTCAAGCCGGTTTATCGGCGGGTTCCGCTCACAGTTTGCTTTACCATCGCTTCACCGATAGGCAAGCAGAACATGGGACCTATGTTGCCCCATGCAACATCAGCAAATACACATACAGCAGCCGTGGCTAGGGCGTGGACCTCATGCTTGCCCCTGCTACTGCCTGCGAGACTACCACCCGCGTCTAACCAACGGGCTCCAAGGCTGGCTACCAGTGCTCCCCTTGCAGCGGTGGGGCCACACCATGGCGCTGGAGGTCATGAAGGACATCACAGTATTGACTATTGCATCAGCACTCCAGTTGGCGCCGCTAGAGCTATAGGAGGAACCGCAGCTACTGCTGCTGCTGCCTCCAATGTCCGTACTTCTGCTAGCACTGCAAACACATCAGACGGCAGTCACCGAGGAAGATGTCCGAGGATTGTTGGGGGTTCTCGGTACTACAACTACTTGCTTGTGTCTGAATCAACCCAACGGACCTACAACGGCATTACTAACGACCTTGGGCGGTAAGTGGAAACAAACACCGGACCGGATTGATGACGTGGCACCTTTCCGAACTGGGTTACTTGACGCACGGCTTTTGTAATGTTTCGACACGCCAGCGGTTAAAGGAGAGTTCCTTCGAAGATGCACCCCTTACCCTCATGCACCCCCACCCCAACCCACACCGTCCCGCCCAGCCGCCTGCGGCAGCATCGTGGCGAGCTGTCCGGCGGCGCTCGCTCCACTCGTACGGCAAATGACTGGACATACCTCGCTGTCGTACACGACCCTGCATGGGACAGCAACGGCAGTAGCAGTAGCAGCAGGAGTAGGAGCATGTCTGGATCCGGACGCAAGTCTGGCAGTAGCAGCAGAAGTAGCAGCAGTGGCAACCCTAGCAGCTGCAGTGGTAGCAGCCCTGAGGCCAGCAGCAGCAGCTGCATTGAAGAAACCCGTGATAGTTGCAGCAGCTGTGGCAGCAACGGCAGGCTGCTTGGCAACGTATCCAAGTCGATGCGATCTGGGTCGGGGTCAGGATCGACTTGCGACGGCAAAGCATCAGAAGCTGCTGAGTCAAGGGGTGCTGTGTCCCCGGCGTCTTTTGAATGGCACCTTAAGTACCCCACGGGCCGAAAGTAAGGCTGGGAGTCAGAGAATGGATTGGTAGGCAGGGAGGCTTGTTGTGAGCTCGTTTAGGGTTGGAATATGCCGGGAAGGGCAAGGGTAAATTCAGGTGACAGCTGGGACCGCGTGCGAGGTGACCTGTTCAGCGCTCCTGGATTCCCGTTTCCTCCCTTTGAACAGCAACCATGACGGTTTGCATATCATACCTACATCCATGTATTTATTCACCTCTCAATCCCCTTGCATTCGCTGTTGTTTATCTATCGCCGCCAGGCCCAGACCTGCCCGCTTCTCCGGACCCACGGGTCGCTTGGCGTCCTTTGAGCCGCTGTTAGAGAGAGGAGAGGCAATGGTGGGCCCAGGGCTGTGGGTCTGGGTGCACCCTGGCTACCGAGCGCATGTAGGGCCCCGGTTGAGGGAGGTGATGGTGGGCGGTGGAGGAGGAGGAGGAGGTGGGAAGGGAGTGGAGGCGATGGCGGGAGGAAGGGCGGGAACGGGAGTTTCGAAACGCAGGGGGCAGAAGCAGCAGCAGGGTCAGGAGCAGCCGGAAAGACCAACGCTGGACGGAACCAAGCAACGTCGGTTGGAGCAGGAGCAGCAGGAGGGAGACCAGCTAAGGCAGCAGCAGCTCCAGCAACAAGGTCGTGGCTTGGGTCCGGAGGAGTTAGCAGTCGTAGCATGGCTGGATGCACTGGCTGCCAGCTAGAGTGAATGGTTAATGGCCTGGGCGAATGCCAACTTAGTCAAGCCGCACGATTGAAGTTGGATGCAACCACATGGCATGTGCAACAAACACGTGCAAACGGAGGACGGAATCCTCTATAGGATCTGCATTGTACGACACTCACCGTGACTCATGGAGCCCAAGAACCGCATGAGTCACGGCGCGGGTATCCGCCACATGCTGTGGGCCTATGGCTCGACAGCCCGATAGCTAGTGCTCGGCTAGGGCTGTTAGTTATACTTCGTTACACGCATTCGAGAAGAAAGTATTTTACGCGGCTCAGTTGATCTATTCCCCACAGCCTTTGGGTCTCATTGGGTCGCTTCCTAGCGGGATGGACTAGGTGGGAAACGGGACGGACTGGGTAGGCACACGCCTATTCTAAGGTTTAGTCCTGGCTAATCCTGGCTGTGGTCCTATAGGATGCGGTGGGCCAGGAAACCCAGCGGTACTTGTACGACAGCTGCATGCTGTTGCACGAAAGCGAGAGGGTCAGCCCTTTGCGGCGGAGGTTACGGCAGCTACACATACAGACCATATGCAAAACCGTGCGCTTCGACCTTCGAGTGCAAGCCAACCGCCGGCTGTGCAACATTGTTCTTAAACATCATTCGTCGCTTAGCTCCTGGGCTAAACCCTCACACACTTGCCTTGAATCCGACCTTACAGCCTACCTTCCAGCCTGCGGCCTCAAACAATTACTATCGGTACAAGCCCTGACAAGCCCACCAAGCTTCTCCTCGACTCCGTAAACCTCTCCATCTACCGGAACGCGCAGGGCAGCAATACGAAAGCTTCCCACGGCAACATCACGCGGCACTACGGCTCCCAGACGAGGCCCGCCTCCTCTTCCTCCAGCCCCTCCCCTCCCCTCCTGCTAACCCTCCCATGTTTTGTGGCTCCCTGCCAACAATACCCATTGTTTTGCCCTAACTTTGTGGTTTGGTTTATTCTTCCCCTCCCTCTGCCAGATCCTGCCATGCCACCTGGAACCCCCCCGTCCGCCCGTGTTGCCCCGCCACATACCCGCCATCCCCCATCTCAATGCCCCGGGAGATGCTGCCGACCATAAGGCCCGCATGCAGAGCCGCCCCTAGTGCCACCGCTGTCTGTGGGAGGAAGGGAGGTGAAGGGAGGAATGATTGTACGGCATTGGGGTTGTACGGCCGTACCGAGCGAGGGTGCGGTGTACGAGACCTGGCTTGGAAAACGGCAGCCGAAAGGACGGTGGAAGTACTGTACACCCGACTCCCGCAAAACAACTGACAAATGCGGGAACCCTGAACCTCGGCAAATGTTATCAATATAGGAGATTTGCCGTTCCTTTTGTCGTACCTCGGGATCGACTCCGGGTCGTACTGGAAGTCCCGTAACCTGCACGTGGACCCATGGGTCATTACCTCAATAAAGTAAGATAAACTGGTCAGTTACCTCATGCAGTTCGTGTAGAGAGGCTAGCGCACAAGCAACTTCGCATGCGCACAAGGCGTGCCCATTTGCCTTAACCCGATGACCCGTGGGTCTGGGACCCTTTCGTTACAAGGGGCTGTTCATATGGATATGGCTTGGCAGTAGGCGTGGAAAAGTCATGCATCCTTATGACGTACTGTCGCATGTACGATATTCAATCCAAAAACGCGTCTGCCGTATTGTGTCGTACCTCTGTTATGTAATCCCGTACGACATGCAACCTTGTCGCCGCTCCCACCAGTACCAGCCCCGTTAGCCGCCGGGGGGGTGCCACATATGAAGGCGGTGCAGGGGAGGAAGCGGGGGAAGAACACGAAGGAGGAAAGATTGAAAACTCCCATGCTGCTGCGCCATCTCGCCTTCCCGGCAGCGAAGGGCCCTCGGAGTTCGCTTGGAGAGTGTTGGATCTGGATCCTGAATCCTTCCCGTCCATTCTGGGATCCAAATGGGTCGGCAGTCGGCCGCGCAGTTGGGTTCGAGTGGCTGTTGCGAGCCGCTCAATGGGCCACCATAACCGCCGCATCAACGGTCTGTGGAGGAGTTAGTTGGAGCCAACGGAGCAGACGGTTAGGGCAACAGAAATAAACGATTGGAGCGAGACCAAAAGCTCTACCGGTATGGGAAAAGCGTGCATCGTGGAGAGTTCGGTCATGTAGCATTTTCGATCTTACGTGCATGAACTACGCAAGCTACCGGTACCCCATACTCAATCTTACCCTCGATCTCCCCACAACTTACCTAACCAGTTCGTCAAACCTGTCTGCAGTAAGCTCTACCTCCTCTCGTCCGTCGCAAGGTGACCCATGGATCATAACCTCCGGAAAGCCCCGTCCCCCTCCATTGTCTCCGCCGCTGCTGCCACTAGCGCTGCCTCCATCCCCACCTGCACAGCTGTTTACAGCCCGCTCTCCCTCACCAGCACAAGCGGTGGCCAAGCCTGGCACTCGAACTCTGATCGAGATCACGTTTCCAGTCGTGTTGCTACTGCTGGTGCTACTGCTGGTGCTGCTGCTAGTGCTGCTACTGTTGTCACCTCCGCGGCTGCTACCACTGCTGCTGCCACCGCTACAGCCAGATCTAGTAGCCCTGGCTGCTGCCACAGCCTCACTGAGAGCCAGCTTGGCTGCTTCAGCGGCTCGTAGCAGGGCGAGCGAGGAAGCGGAGGATGAGGAGGAGGATGCTGATACGGAGGAGGAGGAGGCAGAAACAGGCATCGAGAAGGAGGAAGAGACGGAAGAAGCGCAGGAGGAGGCAAAGCAAGCGGAAGGGGAGGGGGAGGAGGAGAGGGGGGAAGCCGATGTTGACGAGGAGGGCGCTGCCTCATCCAGTTGTTGCTGCTGCTGCTGCTGTCGTTGTCCTTGTTGCCTCAGTTGCAGTTGCCTCCCGGTTGCGGCCGCCAGCCAGTCCGCGAGGGCGCCTGTGAAGTCGTCACCACCCAGCTGACTGTCCCCCGAGGTGGACAGAACCTGACAAGTAAGGAAAGGGGGTGCAGAGAAAGGGGGTACAGGGGCGGGGGACAGCAAGGGGGCACGGGGCGGCGAGTGGGCTAATCTGCCGTACCAAAGGATGTACAAAACTTCCGTATACATAAAACCCTGCCGTACCAACCTCCATGATACCATCGAAAGCCTCCACGATTGTGAGATCCAAAGTACCGCCGCCCAGATCAAACACAAGCAGTACGTCGTACGGCTGTACGTCTTCGTACGACACTCCTTGGGACGAAGAAGGGGAATGGGGAGCAGCAGCGGAAGAAGATCCGGATCCAAAACCGTACGCCATTGCTGCGGCGATGGGCTCTGTGTGTGCAGTAGCGAACGACGGGGGAGGCAAGTTTGGGAGCATCCGAAAGTTGAGCTGGAAGACAGGACCTGCGAAGAGCTGTAATGCGCCGTGCTGCTGTTACGAGCAACGCGGTGGAATATCGGCTTGTTATCTACGGGCGGGCACAAGTCTAAACCAGCTCCCTCAAACAGGCAAACAGAAGAGAGAAGACGCATGCGGTACTCCTAACAAAGGATCCCCTTTCACAAGGCCAGAACTGTACGACAAACATTCAAAAAGCCATAAACGCGCCGTACAAGACGAGGTGTACGGGGCGTACGAACTTTCCTCTTACCCTGCAGCAATGTAACGCGCTTCAGTCCGGCCATTCGAGCCGCCTGCGTCACGGCTGCACGCTGCTGCGGTGAGAAGTGTGCGGGAACAGTGACCACGGCGTCCAACACCTCAAGCTGCTGCTGTTGCGGCTGCTGCGGCTGCTGCTGCTGTGGTTGGTGACCGTGCTGTTGTTGTTGTCGCTGAAGCGCTGCTTGGGCGCGGGAAACCAGGTGACGGATGAGGTGCGAGCTGATCTGGTGTTAGGGAGGAGAAGAGGTCTTTAATGCATGTGTGATTACGGTTTCAGGAAACACCGGCAGGGAACAGGGTCAGAAGATCCACCTTTTTAATGGAACGGTGAAAAGAAGCACGTCCTTGCTGTCCTAGCAGTCCTGTTAACCCTATTAAGGCCGGAACTCACCTCCTGCGGTGTCACGTTGCGCCCCAATGCAGGGCACACCAGTTCCACTCCTCCCTCCGCACCCCGAGTCAGCTCGTAGCTCCGAAGCCGGCGCAGACTTCTCCCCTGACCCGCTTGCTCTTGCTGCTGCTGCCCCTCCTGCTGCTGCCCCTGCTGCTGCTCCTCTTCTTCCTCCTGCCGAACCTCACTGCATGGTGTAAGGCGGGTGGGAGGTGAGGGGATCGAAGGGGTGCCATGCAAGTAGAGGCGGACGCCTACACGTCTGCACGCCTACCCGTAACTCTTGCCTAGCAGCCGTTTGATGCCGTAGAAAGCATTAGCAGGGTCCGCTGCCGCCGCCGCCACCGCCGCCTCACCCACCAACACACTGCCATCCTGGAAGGGCAGGGAAAGAGAGGGAGAGGGAGAGAGGACGGCAGCGCTTGCGAAGGGAAGGAACAGGGCGGAGGAACAAAAGCAGCAGGCCCCGCTGCTGCCGCTGCCACCACGGCATCTCCCCCACCGGCGAACAGCCGTACTGAGAGGAACCGGAGATGCGCATGTCGGTGTGGACTACATGTCATGAAAACTAGGAGTTCAGGTGGGAATTGTGGAAGGAGGCACCCCGTCCGCCATGCCGCTCCGCCAGCCCCCCCGATAAAAGGTGTAGCACAGCAGGGCAGGAGCACGAGGAAGAAGATAAGGGACGCAACACGGGAGTTCTGAGGGCATGGTTTACTTGACCTCATGCCACGTCATCACCTGCCGTACGAAAACGACGGAGGGAATGATGGCTCGGCCCATCTCATCTTCCACAACCACCGGCCTGCGTTAGGGGATAGGATTAGAGGATGGTGGCGGCGGGTGTTAACTTAAAACGGATTTGGGTCAAGATCGGAGCATTTGGATTTGATCAGGGCAATGAGCTGTTCCGACTTCTGAGCAAAAGCTGAACGGGTTGTGCCGTACGTATTGACCAGGGGACTGACACCCACTTGAACAAATACTCCCCAGTTCTTCGCCAACCGTCAAGTATTACGTCGTCGCAACGGCACCGTGCATAAAGCGGTCAACTTGCGCATGAATAGCACCGCCAAAGCTCCATTACCGGTAAAACCTTAAATCCTTTTTGTAGGCCCTAACTGTGTCCTCCGAACCTCCGTACCTGCCATCCGGCCCAGCTACCGCCACAGCGCTCGTCGTGGTACCCAGATCGATCCCAATTGCCGCCTGCATTGCGCAGACGCCCATGGGGACGCCTCAGAGAAAGCAATGGAGGTTTGCGGAAGCAGTGAGCCCTTTCGGAGGAAGCCGTGGGATTTTGAGGGTTTTGAGTCATGCAAAAGCCAGGCACAATGGCCCAGTGCTTGAATCCACATTGCCCGCATGCATGTCTGGTAGCAACAACTCTGTGTTACCCCATAGTGAGTGCCGCCCCATGCCGCCCCATGCTGGCTGTGCACATGGCGTTTGAATGTGGCCATCTCCCCTCTTTCCTTCTCTGCACAGAGCTAGGGGCTAGCCAACCAGCAGCGATGTTAGCAGCTAGCCACATGCATCACCACCTAGCCGCCGAGCCCACCAGATGTTTGTATGTCTTACCCTGCAGCAGTTGCCATCGTTCGTACGACTGGTACTGCTTGTACGAGCAGTAATGTTGCTGCCAGAGTTGCTGTTAGTGTTTAGGCTACTGCTGTTGTTGCCGCTGCTGCTGTTGCTACTGCTGCTGCCGCCGCGGCCCCGGCTGTCACTGTCACTGCCAGGTATGCGGCGGTCGCTATCTGGGGCGCTGGGTTGATTGTTCTTCTTGCCCTTCTTCTTATCCTTACCGCTTTCCTTTCTGCTAGTGGCACTGTTGCTGCTCGCGCTAGTACCATCGATGGGCGCACTGCTGCCGCCAGGATGTACGGCAAGCGGAGAGGGGCGGCCCCCTTTGCAGGGAAGCGGGATGCTGGTGGCATGACTTGTAAGGCCGCCCTGGAAGGCAGTAAAGGGGGCGAAGCTGCTACGGTGCAGCCTGGAAAGGCGGTTCAGTCGATTGTGCTTGCAGCAGTTGCTGCTGAAGGCTGAGGCGGTTGGCCGCAGCATGGCAGCAACTCCTCGGGTTATCGAAGGTCGAGGTTAATTGGTGAGGCTGCTAAATTGGTGAAGGTGGCGAGGAAGAGCGTGGTGCAATCCCCTTCTCCTGAAGTCGTGGCCCTTGTGGGCAGGAAGAGGCCGGCGGCCAGTTAGCTGTGCCCTTATGACGACAGGATATTGTCTAAAAGTAACGTCTACGTAAGGAGAATACACGAGTGATGGTCAGACAAGTGGTCGGAACTCGTGATGGCCGCTCGCCAGCTTGCAGAATACGGATGTCGTCAGCAACGCGCAAACGTAACTGTGGTAGGTTATCTCGTGCACGTGTTCAAAACTACTTGCCAAGCCCAAATTTTGTTAAGATTGTTATGAACAAGGGGTTCCGAAGTGTTCCATGCTGGGCTTGTACGAACCCGCTAGATCGGTGCCAGGTCAGGCCAACAGGGCAGTGGCATATGAAGTAAGGTTATAGCAACGGGGGCTTTAGATCGGCGCCGTGGCTCACGCATCCACATTACGTCAAGTGTGTTGTGACCGAGGTGGTGCACATTGCCACCACGTAAGGAGGTAGTGTACTTCGTCTACGTTAAGTTTGCTCTACACTATATTTCAGATGGCCCCTCTCACTGGTGCTGTGGTGGTTGACGATCCGAAGGGACTTTTCATGGCAGTCGGTGGCCTGCTCTTTGCGCTTGTCCTCTATACCTTTGTGGTTATCAAGCCTGCGCTCCGGAAGTTCGCATGAACTGTCCATGGCAAACGGCCCCGGCCTGAGTTGGGATGCCGGGGTCGATGGCGCGCGCTCAACTGACATGAGCGCCAATGCCGCCACGGCCCAGCCTGAAGCTGAACCGGAGGTCTTCCCTTCCACCACCCAGCGCATCCCCAGTGATCAGCCCCTTAGCAGCCCTGGAGGGCCAGGAGTGCCCTCTTCCTTTTCGGCGCCGTCGGCGCCAACACGTCATAATGAACCGACATCTGAACCATCCCCAGGCTACACCGCCGCGCATGAAAAGGCCCACACCGGCGCTGCTTTCAGCGGTGTTACTGGCAACGAAGCCTCATCCACGGGTGTTGGACTCTCTCCATCTGCCTCTCCTGAGCCTGTTATGTGCCCATTAACCGCCAACGCCTCTATCCCTACCGCTGCTGTGGCCGTCGAGGCCTGTGACGCCAGCCTCCACGAAGACCCCGGCGGCTCCAGTCTTGACGCTGGCGGCGGCGGTGGCGACGCCAGCCTTGGCGCGGGAAGCTTCACTAACCGAGCCGACGTCGGCGGCGCCGGTGCTGGCCTTGCTGCCAGCGCTGATGCCGCCGGCGGCGGTGGCGCAAGCCTCGGGGCTAGCGGGGCTGACCCTGACGGCAGCGGCAGCAGCGGCGATGGCGGCGGAGGCAGTGCAGCCGGGGGAAGCGACGGAGGTGCAGGGTTGTGTGTCGGCGGCGGCAGTGGACACGCGCATGGAGGCGACGGTGGCGGCGGTGGCGGCGATGGTATAGGTGCAGGGTTAGGTAGCGGCGGCAGCGGCGGAGACGGCAACGGTGCTGCTGCAGCTCGCGGCGGCGGCGGCCTCAGCAGCGGCAGGACTGACGGCGGCGGTGGATGCGGAGGCCAGGGGAGTGGCGCGGCAGGCAGCGCAGCTAGGAGGACTGGAGGCGGCCCAGCCGCCGTCACCTCCTCCGGTGCCGCCGCTGCCGCTACCGGTACAGCTCCTGCTGTCGGCGTTGCCGCCGCCGGTACGGCTCCTGCTGTCGGCGCTGCCGCCGCTGCTGGGCCTCTGTCCTTGGAGCCGAGCAGCTCTGTAGTGGAGCTAGTGTCACGGGAGGTGGGTGACGACTAGGGGTCAAAGAAAACACCAAACCGCAAGTTAGGGCAAGGCAAGGGGAACAGGAGGCGGCAGTGGATAGTGGCGGCTGGGACATTTGTCCAAGTAGGCTAGTCGCAAGCCAAACATGCGCCTTCTTTTATAGCACTACCACGCGAGGGTATATGCCAACCATATATGGCTACGTACAACCTTAACCGCCATCCCGTTACCAACCTCCCAGCCGTATCCAACCAACCAAATATAGGTCATTCGCAAGCTCCGATTGGCTGCAAGTGCGAGCAGCACCGAGGACAGGCACGTGGTGAGTGGGGGGGCAGAGGCTAGCAATGTCCTAGCAGACAGGCGGGCACGGATTTTATGTTCATGTCATGCGTTTAGTAGGTACGTCATAAATCGTATAATAATTGATTCCAAGGATGTAAAGATGTAACGGGGACGTCATGGCTATCTTGAATGCGGTCGGTGTAAGTTGCCTGATTGAAGCTGCAAGAGACTTCTCCGGACAAATACAACAACAACGTCTCTACTAGTTATGGCACTACACATCATGTCACGCAACGACAACAACAACCTGCCGCCTCAGGTGTGTGAGGAGCTCTTCGCAGACATCACTTGTGCCTTGGATGCCTCCGCACGAGCCGCATTACTCGGACCTGTCGTACCGTACGACGACGGATCCGGAGCTACTGCTGCTGCCGTACGTGCTACCGCCGCCGCTGGTGCTGTCGTAACCTCGTCTTCCTGGACAAGCACTCCTGACGGCAGCGGCGGTGGTGGCGGCGCTCCAAAGGGAAGCGGCGGCAGCGGCGGCGGCGGCGGTGATGCCCCAGCCGCTTCAGCAACGCCATCATCTGGAGTGCCGTACAGTGGGGGCGGCGGCGGCGGCGCTCGTCGTGCCGTACGAGGCAGGCTTTACTACGAGGTCCTAGCGGTGCACTACGCCAGCCGAGGCGCCGCGGATTCGGTCCGAGTGCTGCTCCACCTGTGTCAATTGCTGTGGGACACGCCCTGGGTGGCGCCCATATACGCGTTACTGCTGCACAGGTTCCTGCTCCTGCCGCGAGACGTCGGCAGCAGCGCCGCCGCCGCCGCCGCTGTAGGCAGTGGGTCCCAACTTTCCACTGGACCCGCCAGCGGTGCTTCCCTGCTGCATTCCTCCGACACTCCTGCTTTACCCTCCGACCCACGGGTCAAACATCTGAATGTGCTAGCGCATGGCGCGCGGCAGTTACTGTTGGGTGACGTACACTCGGGTCTGTCGCGCTTCCAACCGTTATGGTCGTTCCTGGCTTACGAAGTAGCCGGGCTAGGGCCGCCGTCGCCGGCGGCGGCGGCGCCATCAGCTGCACTAGCGATGACACCAGTGGCGTCGATCGATGCCGTACCGGCGGCGGCGCGGCCGTGGCTGCTGGCGGTGGCGGCGGCGTTCCTGCCGTACTATTGCTTGGACGAGCAATTCCCGGAACTGGCGCGGCGTTTTCCGCCGCCGTTGCGAATGGGGGTTGACGGAGGAGAGTTCCCTTCGTCGCCGTCGCGGCCAGCAGCGTCGTCGTCATCGGCGACGTCCTCACCGTCATCGGCGTTGGCGTCACCTGACGGCGGATCGGCCGCCGCGGCGGCGGCAGCGGCAGCGTCAACCCCGCCTTCGGCGTCCTCCCTCGCCGGGTTTGACTTCCTGATAAACGAGGTTACGGATGTGCTGGGTAGAATCCATAGTGAGGTGAGGAAGGAGGGAATGGTTGGGTGTGCATGAAAGGGCTGCTTAGGATTAGTAGCAAAAACCGCCCGAGCTTTCCAAAAGTAACACGACGCCGTTCGGCTGCTAAGGGTTGCTCATGCTCGCTCGAATGGCCCCGTAAAGGACGTCACCCTCGGCAGGATCTGCTGCATGGGCCCCAGCTCGCCCACGCCCACGCCCCCTCCCTCCTACTCGCCCACAGGCGGGCTTGCTCAAGTACCTGGGAGCGCTACGCGCACTCGCGAGGCGCCCGCAACACCTGCCGGCAGCGGCGCCCTCACAGCCGCAGCCACCGGCAGCGGCGCCAACGACGCAACCGCAACCTGGGCCCGGACAGCAGCAGCAGCAAGGGCAGCAGCAACAGCAAGGGCAGCAGCCGCAGCGGAATACGATGGGCAATAACAGCAAGCTGCAACAAGGGCGTCCCCGCGTGCGATGGCAAGCAAGCCGCGAGCAGGAGCAGCAGAAACTCGGTTCGCAGGCGGCGGAAGCTGCTGAGGAAGCTGCGAGGTTGCCGGAAGAGCGAGCAGCGACACAAGCAGAGCAAGCAGCAGCAGGCGTAGATGCAGCAGCAGCCCCTGACGCACCGGGAGCTCCTTCACCGGACCCGGACGCAACGCAAGCACACGACGCATCGCCCGACGACAAGGGCGGTGCTGATGCTGGCGGAGATCCGCTTGCAGCGCATGACAGCACCGCCAGTTGCGGCAGTGGCGGTGGCGGCAGCAACAACACTAGCGGTGGCGGTGGCGGTGGCGATGATGGGGAGGGTCCACAGCCCCTGTGTCTGCTGCTGCGGCGGCGACGGCGGCAACAGGGAGCAGCCGCCGCCAGGACTCCGCCGCCAACAGCGCTGCCGCCGCCGCCGCAGCAGCAGCAGGCGCCATCATCGCAGCAGCAGCTCCAACCGCTGGCCGGCCTTCCCACGATTACCAAGCTACGGCTGCAGGTATGTGCGTCGTTTGGGCGGCGCACGCGCATTGTCTGAGAGCTTTATAGTTTCGACCCCCTTCTCCCACGCGGCCCCCTTGGGCAAGGTGTGCCTGCTCTCACGCCGACCCTGCCCTGCCCGGTTATGTCCCCCTTCGCCCTCCCCCCCAAATGACGACCCCTCAGTCAGTCAGTTGTTTCCTCTTTACCCCCCCAAATGACGACCTCCGGTTGACTACCATGTTCTATCCCATTCCTTTTCCCGTAACGCCTAACGGACTCTACTCGCTCACATCAGGCGCAGAGGGCTCGGCATCATTCCTCCCTCCCACATGTCCATCCGCCCCTCCCCTCTAACTCGGTTCCATTGACCCGGACCTTGTCGTCTTGTTTGCCATCCTCATTTAACATGCTGGGTACCGGTATTCTTCTTTTCCGCTCCTTCCTCCGACGCAGAACGAGCTCTACTCGCTCACGTCGGGCGGGGGCCCCCGCTACGCGCCTCCCGAAGTTCGGCGCGCCGCCTTCGCTGCCCTGGACGCGCTGTTCCCCGGGGGCCGGGCGCTGCGACGAATGGTCAGGTGGGTTACTGGGAAAGGTGCTGGGGTTGCTGCTTCAGGAGTAATCAAAAGTACGGGCGTTTGGGCGTTCCCCTTGGAGGTGGGCATCTCGCAGCGCTCTGGGCGCGGTGTGACCGGGGTACGTGTAGGCGTGCTGTGTCAGGAGGCCAGGTGGGCTGGTGGTGATCCGAGACCTCCCTATACCTGCCTTCCAAGGAAACCTGCATACCATACCTCCCCGTCCATTCCTATATCACTCCCTGTCGACACTTTTTTTCCTGAAACCCAACAACTGCTTTCAGTCTCATCCGCGACCGCAAACCCCACAAAACATGTCGCAGGTGGGTTTCTCGCACGCTCCACCTGGAGTGGCTGGAAAACGACGACCCATGGGTCGGTAGCGGCGTCATCGGCTGGATCTACTGGCCCTTTCACTGGTGTACGGCACTTTACGGCAGAATCCTTCTGGCATTCTTCCAACTGCTGTACGGACTGGTTGTGTGGCGCCCGTCGTTACGGCTCCGCGTTGGCGAAATCTGTGGCGGCGGCAGCGGCAGTGGCGACGGTTCGCCTTCAACGAGGGGCGGCGGCTCGGAAGTCCCCGCTGCGGCCGCTGCCACCGCCGCCACTGTAGGAGACAGAAGGCCGGTGGCGGCCGTCAGTTGGTGGGGCCGGGAGCGGCAGCGGCAGGAGGGGCAGCGGGATAAGTTGCGGCAGCAACAGGAGGAAGAGGAGGAAAGGTAACAGGAGGAGGAGGAGGAAAAGGATAGCATGGCAGGGAGCAGCAGGGGGTGGAGGCGGGTCAACGGAGGCAACAGCAGCTGGAGAGGCGTGGGCCGTGATGAGGCGCAGCGGGCGCGGGCAGCAGAGTGACAAGGTGGCGAGGAATAGGCATTAGTGCTGGGGCAGGGTCGGGGTTGGATAGGATGGATTGCAGAGAGGCATAGGGAGGGCTAGCAGCGACGTTGGGAACTCAGGCAGCATGCGGAGCAGGAGAAGGGGGGTGGCGTATAGGACAAGGTTTGAACGGCAAGACTGTACGGCAGGACTGCAAGCTCTACGGAATGGGCATTCGAGTGGCTTAGGAGGCGTCGCTGTACTGGGTGGGTGCGAGTATATTGATATCGTTGTCGCTGAGTTGAAGCCTCCCGACGTATGGTGGCGACATTGAGCAGGGTTTGTCAGTTATTGAGTGTTTGGTACCCACTTGGCTCGCTTGTCCATGTCCGTTTGTGTCCGTAACAGCAGAGCAGACAACAGCAAGCACCAGAGGAAAGAGTGGGACCAGTAGCGGCAACAATTCCTGCAGCAGCATATGCAGTTAACAACTAAGGAGGAAAGGGACCAGAGCGGGTTGCATTCAGAAGGCCGCAGAGAACATCTGCGGCATCAGCTGGCAGCTGTCTTAGCGTTAACATTGGGGATACCGCCTTTCGAAGGAACCTACGTCTGCTTTACTTCGATCTTGCATTAACGACGTTGCCTATTGCAACTACAGTTGCGACATGATGCCTGTACATTCAGTAGTCGGCACTCAGGCTCCCTTTAGTACGCATGGTAGTTACGTTATACAGGATAACAAGTGTTGGTTAATCCCGAATATATTTTTTCACATAGCGCAAGCCGGCAGAAAGCCCTAGGTAGCTAGTTGACGTGTGATAAACTTGCCGGGGTTACGAACTTGTCTAGCGAAGGAGACGCGCACCTGGATAGCATGTAAGTAGAATACAGTTTGCACTGGTTGCGCAGTACAGGGTTCATGTTCTTCTCGTTGCCGTTGCCTACATACGCAGTCGACATAGGGTGCCGGCTACCGTGCTACCTTCTAGTATTGCTTGCACCGGCTGGTGTGTTATACTTAATGTTTAACTGTAGCCCATTTTCAGGGAGTAACTACGCACTTCTCTGGAAACCAGTACTAACTCCTACTAACCTTTGTGTGCCTACCTACCGATGCTGGTAATCGCTTAAGAATGATAACGGTTTCATGGTCTGTCATCTTAGCTGAACTACCTGGAATGCCCAAGCAAGTCTAGTTTGGCCGCAAGCCATTCGCGGCCTGACGTGCCTTTCCACTGCCCTGTCGCTGTTGGATTCAGCGGCATGGAAGGCGAGTATATGTGGATGATGCCTACTAGGAGGTTACAGCAGGATGGGGCGCGCCCGCCAGCGGGTGAACAGTCCATGTCCGTTATCAATATGGACAAGCGCCCAGACACAGTAAGTGCCTAGCAAATACCATGTGCACCATGCTACCTTTAAGTTGGGGAGAAGCCTTCGCCGGAATGGTTCCCGCTCATTCTGACACACTCATGGTTAGATGGTGTTGTAACAAGCTTCCTGAGCCAGAGGCATTGGGCCAGCCTAATAACTTGGGTGGCGCGTTGCGACTAGAAGTGGTATTTTATCTAGACCCCGTCACGTTGACACCAGCTGAATGCGCGCTTTCTTTTGAGCGTCGTGTGGTGCCACCTGCGTCTTGAACACGTGCACCACAGTAACGATGTCTCGATCTGCATCCGCACCTGCAGGTCCTAATTGCCCTGGTGGTTGCCGTACCGACCGTCCTGATAATGCTGGTGCTGCTGCTGGCGTTCCTGCTATGGCGTCAGTGCCGCCGTACAAGGACCTTGGCGGGTGCCGTACGGCCGCCTGGCATAGGGCCCCAGACCACCCTTCTCGTCACGGTACGGATGGAGTACTCAGAAGACGTGCCTAACCGCATTTCGCGCTACGGCACAAAGCAATGCAGGGCAGATTAGAATTGTGTTATATACACCATTCACTGTGTTTCTGCACTGAGTTGCATGAAGCGCAGCTCAGTTGCCTGGATTGTACATGCACGCATGTGCGCAGCTGCACACACACGCGTACTGAACAAGGGAACAACAGCTGTTGGTGGACAATACTACTTCATGTGGCAATGTCTATTTAATGCCAACCGTTGTGGCCGTGCCCCCAAATGCTACTTACCCCGGAGGGTATTACTACATGCTTACTCGCTTCCCTCCGCTTCGTCCCCATCTCCTGCTGGCTGGCACTCCTACCTATGCTCGGACTGGGTGGTCGGCTTGCCTGCTGCCGTACGTACGGCGATCGTCCCGACTTGTCTCGCTGTAATTGTACTGCAGGACATTATGGTAGGTCTGCGTGCTTGCAAGGTAGCAGCGTTGTTCCTCTATTACCTCCGTGATGCCATGGGCGTCTCTCTGGGACGGACCCCGTTGGACCCCTGCCTAACGTGAAACACTGTTATGCCAAGTGTTCTGGGTGGCTTTCCATATGGGTAGGGTAGGCTGAAGGGGTGGGTTTCATGGCGTGCGCTGATATACCATAATGGAATTGCGAGCCCTGAAGGCAGTTGACTGGTGGCAAATCTGGATTGTGCTCTATTTTGCCCATGAAGCAACAGCTTTTGCAAAATCCGTTTGTGGCGTGTAGAATTCTACGGTCCTATGGGAATGCCTGCCGGCTTACGTAATGGACAAGTCTGTGCGGCTGCACCACGCCTGCCTCCGAAAGCTGCTCCGCACCTTCAACGGATACGAGAGCGCAACGGAGGTGCGTGATATCCATGTTACTAGGATTGTGATTTGGCCAACATGGATGTTGGATATGCAACATCCATGACTTCTGGATGACCTGATAACTACCCCTCCGAATGCTGTACAATGCACGCAGGGTGACTGTTTCATCCTAGCCTTCCACGCCCCGGCAGATGCAGCCAGATTCGCACTCACCGCTCAAATGGAGCTCATGGTGCGGAAACCTGAACCTGGCCGTGGTATTCTTTTGAATGGCGAAACTGACCATGATAATCTTGAGTAGCGATTCTTGGGTGCTATGAAACATGCCGTTTTCATTACCTTCACCCTTCCGCTTACAGGACCAGCAGTGGCCAAATGAACTACTAGAGCACCCAGATGCTTGTGAGGTGAGTAGGCCAAACTCGTCTATTAAGACCTTAACGCCCTTCATTTGGACAAGATCTATACCGTGGAATTCCCCAAAAGTTCAAGATGCATGTGTCGTACCTGCATGCAGGTTTGGGTCAGCTGTCCGCCTGCCAAGCGCAGTCCTTTCGGTGAACCCTTTGGTGCCGTACGGCAAATGCACGGCAACCATCATCATCACAACGGTCACCACAGCAACCACAGCTACAATACACATAGTGGTGCATATCAACAAAGTAAAGCCGTGTATGAACGACAGCAGGGCGATGATCGAGATCATCATGAACAACTGCCAACTGCCATTAACCACCACCAACATAACGGCAGCAACGGCTTTGGTGGTGGTGGTTCTGGTGGAGGAGCTGCCGCAGCAGCAACAGCTGCTGCTGGTGTTTCTGCTGTTGCTAGCGGCGGCAGCGGCAGTGATTTGTACAGCAACAAACGAGGCGCTGGTGGCAGCGGTACGGCAGCCTCCCCATTTGTTGCGATCTCTGGCAACAGCAGACATCTCGCCATGTCGTTAGCTGCAACAGCAGCGGCGCAACCTTCAAGATTGTCGTACATTGCCTGTCCAATCAGAGGAAGTGCAGATAATATCAGTGGCAGTGGTGGGGCCGCCTGCAGCAGCGGCGGCGCCTCCCCCCGTGGTAGCAGTCGGGCCCTATGTAAGGGCACTTCCGTGTCTTGGCGCTTGCCAACGTGTCGTACGATAGGTGGTGGCGGTGCCCCTGCAGACGTCATTAGCATGGGTGGTGGCATCAACGTTGGTATGGGCAGCGCCTGTCGTACAGACAATGAAAACGCACTGCAGCTGGTTACAATCAAGCAACGGGAGCGATTGACGAGTCGGAGTGCTAACACGATGATGCCGACAGCAGCGGCGACAGCGTCAATGGTGGCGGCGGGATTGCGCATGTCGTACAGTGGGGGTAGTGCGGCCACTAGCACCACCCCCACCCCGGCTGCTACCTCCAGATACGGCTCGTACGACAATGCAATCCATGATTGCGGCCCTGCTGCTGCAGCCCAGATGGACCCTGCTGCCACCACTGGCCTTGTGGGCGCGAGCAGCGGCGGCAGCTGTGTCAGTAGGCGTGGCGCCATTGTTGGCGTCGGCAGCAGCATTGGTGGCAGTGGTGGCGGCGTTGGAGGGAGACCTGCCGTACAAGCCTCCTGCAGCTGTGCGCCGGGCAGTGTTTCCTGTCCAGGGACCTTGCGGGTAAGTTGTTTGGTGGTTGCTCAAGGCCTTCATGGAGGCCGTACGACAGAATGGGTCCATGCACTAGGCGATGCTCATTGTTTCGCATACCAAATTTACCTCTAGCGTTTTCTTTACATGCTTCTGATGTCTGCGAATACTGCTGCCTTACGTGTATGCACGTCCCTCCTTGCTAACTTCCAGGGCGCTTCATGCCAACGGAGTACCGGACATGCCAGCAGCAGTAGCAACACTAACGACAAAAGCGCTGCCCAAAACTACGGCAAACACAAAAGCAGTGACTTCAACATTGGCTTGCCAGACAGCAGGAGGGGTTGCAAGGACCATATCAGCGAGGGTGGTCGCGGCAACGACCAGCATTCCAACCATAACAACGGTGACTGCGGCTTGGGCGGCGACGGACATGGCAGCAGCATGGGCGGTTCAGAGGATCTCAGAACTGGACCCTCCCTGTCCGGCTGCGGCAGCTGCTACAGCCTAAGTGGAGGCATCGCCGGTGCCGTGGACAGTGACATTGCATGTGGTGTCAATGCCCAGCAGATGGGGACGACACACGCTGAGTACGGCCCTGACGCTGACGGGAACATGAACACCATCCACGTTGATGGAGGCGGCTGTGACCGCAACAGCTCCCTCAGAGCACCGGCTGAGGACCACCTGCATGGTATAAGACGCAGTAGCAAGAGCTGCAGCGGTGATGGTGGCAGTAGCAGTGGCGGTGCTTTCAGGGAGCTACTGGCCGCGGCACTTGCGGACGCAGAGATTGCGTCCTGTACGGCAGCAGCAGAAGCTGCTGCTACATCCACTGCTGGTTGTCGTACAGATAGAGGCAAAGATGGCATCAAAGCTGACCCACATAGTGCTCGTACGGCAGTACCGGTAGGGGAGAGCTGCCGCCAGAAGGTTGGGGATGCTGACGTTGCTGGTGGTGACAACCCAAACCAACATGGCTGTGGGAGCAGCACCCGCAGTGCAAGCGCCAATGACCGAGGCAGCAATGGCAGCAGTTGCCTTGGCCAGGAGCATGCTGCTTCCTCAACTGTCAAAACAAAAGCCACGTCAGATGCAGCGCTCTGGGTATCTGTCGTACCACCTGTCGTACCGCCTGCTGCTGCGGATGCCGCTGCTGCAACGGATGGACACGGCAGCAGTGCTGCTGCTGCGGCTGTTGCAGACGATGCTGCTGCCAAGCGCAGGAGCAGGAAACCTGCTGATAGGGGCTTGCGGCGCCAAAGCTGTTGCTTGAAGGAGTTGGGGACAGCTGTAGGGGAGCAGGTGAGAGAGGAAGGACGCCAAAGGGCGGCGGCTATAAGCACTGAGCGCAGTGGTGAAGGGGGAAGGTGAAACATTAACTCATTCCGGATTGGTTCCGAGTGCAACCAATGCATAAGGCAATGGGGCAGAGCAATGATGGCCCCAGGGTGTAGCAAAATAAGGTATGCACTAAGGTGTGTTTGAGGGTGAGTGTAGGAAGCCAGCCGTACCGTACTCCTTACCTTACACTCCAATATGCTGTACCCTAACCACACTCCAATGCTGTACCCTAACCACACTTCAATGCTGTACCCTAACCACACTTCAATGCTGTACCCTAACCACACTCCAATGCTGTACCCGAACCTACCTGCCGTACAGGGGGACCAAGGAAATGCGGACAAGGATAATGAGGAGCAGCAGCAGCATTCCATGGCCCCGGCATCTCGGCACTGCTTCCTCACTGATTGTCAGCAACAGCCACCCCACCAGCAGCAGCACCAGCAACACCAGCGCCTCCCTCTCACGTCTTCCCAGGCTGCTACCGGCGGCACTTCCTCTCCCAGCATGTTCCGGGGGAGCAGCGGCCGCAGCGGCCGCGGCAGCAGTGGTGTTGGTGCTGGTGAGATCGGTCGCTGCGGTGGGGGTAGCACTGGTGGTGGTGGTGGTGGTGGTGGCCGTGGGAACGCTGGCGGCAGCAACAGCAGCACCGGTAACAGCACGGCATGGTTCCGGCCGTCGTTGGAGCGTGACAGCCCGCCACAGCAGCAGCCGGATCGCACGTCCGTTCAGTCGACTAACTGCGACGGACGCGATACCTTCTGCAGGTAGGCCAGCTGGGGCGGGGTTGGGTGGGGCAGGGTGCATTGTAGCATACAGAGGCTGGTCTGTGATCGGTGTGCGACAGGGGAGAGCGAGGTAGGGTTAGGATGGGCTGTCTAAGTGCGGGCGGTGCGGAAGGGGCTGCTAGGGGCCAAGCGCGTGTGGTGGTTTCATCCTTGTCATGCGCTCACGGCAATACACGATACGGTAACGCACGGTGATGTATGCGTGCCAAGCCAAACCCTTCCCCACGCTCCCCGACCCCTGCTGCCTTCCGATCTTCTATGGACACGGTCAGTATTAATCGTGGCCCAGACTACCTAGTAACCCACGCCGTGTAATTCCCCAACCCCTCAGGTACTCGAGCCTTTCCGTCTGGATATCCCAGCCTTCCTGCACTGCAGGTGGCGGTGGCGGCGGAGATGCCAGCGGTGCAGGCGCAGCAGCCCACCTGCTTAAGGGCACTAGCAGCAGCCGAGCGCTGAGGCCCACTTTGGCAGCAGCTGCGGTGTCGACCTGCAGAACCGGCAGCAGTGTACGAGCAGCACCACCAGCAGCACCACCCTTGGGGGCTTTGTTGGAGACCATTGGGTCTCCTGGCGGGTTGGGAACGCCATCCTCCTCCTCCTCCTTGTCACCACCGGCAGCAACGACGGTCCTTCCGCCTGCTGGCAGTACGGAGGGAGGCAGGCAGTACGGAGGAGGAGCTTCCGGGGCTGTCGCAGGCGGCCGTCATGCTGGTAATAGTGTCGGCTGTGATGGCGGCGATGGCAGTGAAGGTGGCGGCGACTGTAGTAGCTCGAAGCTGTTCTACACGCCTCCGAGGGATCTGGCTCTCATGTTGACGGACGCTGGTGTCGTCCTGGGCAGCAGCAGTGGAGGCGGTGGTGCGCACCGCTGCTACCACGACCTGCATGGTGATGCTGGTGGTAGCAGCGGCAGTGGTGGTGATGATGGTAATGAAGGTGGCTCTGTTTACGCAGATGCGTGCTCTGGCATTCCTCCATTGTCTTGCACTGCTACCGTACCCGAAGCACCCCCGACACACCAGTGCTGCCATAGCGCAATGGAGCCTCCTTCTGCAGCAGCAGCAGTGGCAGCGGCGGCAGCAGCCGCGGCAGCGGGACAGGCAGCAGCGACCACAACAACAGCAGCAGCAGCAGTGGCAGCTGCGGCGGCCGGCAGTGCCGCCATCAACTGCTACCCCCCTGTGGCTCCCCCAGCAACCACCATACACCTGAGGATTGTCTCGTCCGCCCCCGCTGGCACTCCAAACACGCGGTCACAACCCTGCAGTGCTGCTGCTGCTGCTGATAGGGGTGCCGATAGCCGTGTCCTGGATGCTGATAATGCCATGCCTGCCACAGCCGCTAGTGCTAGCGCCTCCTACGCGCCGTCGCTGTCATGCGGTGCTGTCTCAAGTGCAACCGCCGCAACCGTCAACCGACCCCCGCTGGCTCCTAATTCTCTTGGCTCCTGTTCTTCATGTCCAGCGGAGATAACCGCAAGCAGTGGCTTTACCGCGCCACCGCCAACATCATCCATTCCCACTACCTCCGAAGCCGGTTTGGTTCTAACCACCTCAGCTCCTCCTGGTTTTGCAAACTTCCCTCCAACAGCGACTTCGACAACGCTAACGGAATCCGTACAACGGTTGGCGACGAGGCATGGCCCTCACCCACACCAGCATGCCCCGGTGGTTGTGCGCATGCCGTCACCAAAGCAGGGTCTCCTTCGGCAGGTGAGGGCTAACAGGGGGCCTTTATGGAGGGAGGGGATTCGCCACCTATGTCAGCCTATGTGCATAGGGTGCGTTGCTTAGTCAGGATTTTAGATGTGTCGAAGAATGGCAACACGGGCAGCCAGCAGCTGGCTTAGTGGTGCTATGGGTTTGCTGTTGCATTCCTCTTATCACCCTTATACTAGCCTTTGCAGCAGGTTGGATCCAGTTTAGTTCTTTGTGTGTGCGAGCACCTTGCGTGCACACCTGCCAGGCCTATTATAATACCGTAAACGTCAGCAGCTTTTAGCAACAAAGCCACATACTCTTTCTTCCCTGTGGTGGACGACACACGCAACAAACAGGTCTCCACGAAACTTCTAATGGAGCGGATGTCACGGGATCTGGGTGGCGGAGCCCCAGCCGGCGCCGATCGGTGCTGTGATGGGGACGGCGACAACAGCACGAGCAGCGCCAGTAGCAGCCATGGTTGCATTGTCGGTGGTGCTGCTGCTAGTGTGGGTAGCAGTGGCAACGGCAGCGGCGGCGACAGTGGTAGCTGCAGCGGTGGAGGAGCAGAGAGAGGCAGGAGGGGCGACGGCATCACATCACGCTCCAAGGCCCTCCTAGCAGCTTGCAAGCTTGCTGCAGCCTTAGTTACTGGGCAATCGGTGACGCAGCAGGATCTCGATGACGCAGGGTTCGGAGCTTCACGTGGTTTCAAAGCGGCAGTAACAGTTGAAGGACAGCCACCGCGTCACAGCAGTAGCCGCAGCGGCGGCAGCTGGAATGGTGCCAGTCGTAGCAGCAGCAAGAGGAGGGGGGACGAGCACAGGGCTGACGGTGGTGGTGGTGGTGGTGGTGGTGGTGCCCGTGAAGACAGCAGCACTGGCAGCAGCCGGGAAGGAGATGGTACCAGCAGCAGCGACGGCCGCGGCAGTTATGACGGAGTAGGTCGGCACGCCGGTGTCCGCACGTTCTATCGCGGTGCTGCCGCTGATGGTGACAGCAGGGCACATGATGAATTCAGCAGCAGCAGCAGCAGCAGCAGCTGTAGCAGTAGCAGTTGCCGGAATGTTGCTCGAACAGATGCCGCTAGCAACGCCGTTGCTGACACCAGCGGTGCCGCTGGTACGTTGCGACCAACAACGGGAGCAACAGAGTTTTCGCCCGTGCACATCCGCAAGAGCTTGAGCTTAAGCGTTAGTGCAGTACGAGAGGCTGTAGCTCGCGAAGCCCTCGACCGGGCCGCGAGCTTCAATACCACGACAACAACAACCGCCGCAGCGAGACATGTTGCTTCCAGGACCATCACATCTTCTTCGCGACCTTCACCAAACGTGCAACAGCAGCACGCAAGGACCAACATCCCGCCATTGTCATACAACGCGATGTTCAGGAAACCCTCCGACAAGGCACTACAGTACATGGAGGACCCTGGCAACAACAACAACAACAGCATTGCACTTCCTCGCAGCTACAGCAGGAATCGTGGCGGTCATGGGTTTCGTGCCGTGTCTAGAAGCCACAGTGGAGGTCTGGGTGGTGGTCTTGTCACGAACCCAGGCCTCTTATCCATAATCACGGAGGGCGCCTCTTCGACTGGGATGGCGGCAGCGGCTGCTGCCCCAGCCTCCGTGACAGCTCCATCGCTTTCGCTCGCACCATTGCCTTCACCTCAGCCTTACCACCGTCATCACTACCAACAGCAGCAGCAACAACAACGCTCCACAGGTTCACATGTGCCGCCTGCAAGTGCCCCGCTCTTCAGGTGTACGACAGTCCCACACGGTGGTGGCGGCTGTGGGGTTTCCGAGGACCGTGGTGGCCAACGCAGCAGTGGCGGCGGTCCGGCTGGTGTCCCAGGTTCAATCCACAACAGCGGCACTGTTTTGAATCTGCCCATGACGTCAACAGAGGCTCTCGCTGGCCTTGGTCCTGTTCACGAATTGCTACACCAGTTGACATGGAGGGAATTCCTCCGTGACCTCTTCCCCATCATCACGACAAGCATATCACCCGGTGGAGCTGATAACAACGAACCGGGAGCCGCTGGAAGCGGCAGCCAAGGAGGCGATGGTGGGTTGACCGGATACACCAGTGCTTCCGAAGCTGGCGGTGGCGGCAGCAACGCCGGTGGCGGCTACAGTGGATACGGCAATGCCTACGGCGGTGCTGGAGCTTTGTACGGCGATGCATCCGTACATGGCGCTAGTAACGTGTACGGCAATGTTGGCAGCCCCATGTACGGCGGTGATGTATCTGTACGGGCTGGGGGAATGTACGGCGGTGGCAGCGACATCTCCCTACGTGGTGGTCGAATCTATGGTGGCGACATGTCGATCCGAAGTGGGGCTATGTTTGGCGGCGGTGATTTTCCTGTCCGGGATGGGAGAGTGTACGGCGCCGATATCTCCGTACGGGGTGGCGGAATGTACGGCGGCAGCGACACCTCTGGACGCGATGTTGGGGGCCGAACGTACGGCGGCGGCAGCATCTCCCTACGTGGTGGTGCCGTGTACGGCAACGACGCCTCCGCACGTGGAGGCGGAGTGTACGGCGGTGGTGATGCTTCTGTACGGGCCGGAATGCTTGGAGGTGCCTCAATAAGGGCAAGGGCTGCCTTTGGAGGCTTCCCTCCTGGCGGCGGCGGCGGTAGCATGTATGGAGACGTATCTGTCCGGGGCGGCAACCAGAACGGCGGAATGTACGGTGCTTTCACTGGCTACAATGCGTACGGAGAGGCTTCCGTACGAGGAGGAGGCGCGTACGGAGATTACTCCGTACGTGGTGGAGGCGGGTACGGCAGTACGACAAGTGGTGCTGGTGGAGGCGGAGGTGGTGACATGTCCGTACGAGCTGGATTCCTACGAGGTCGTACGGCACGCTTTCTGCACAACGCAGCAGGAGCTTGCGCCTCCGGCGGCAATGAAGGCAGTAGCCGTGCTTTGGCTTTTCGGGGTCTTCGCGTCCGGATGGGCATGCATACAGGTAATGGTTGTAGCAGCATTCGTATGTACCGGTCCATTTCAATAACTCTAAGCTTCGTCGTGACGTCTCTCTAGGACTGTTTTTTCGGATGGAATCCTGTCCTGTCACGATTAATAAACCCCCTTTCCTTTACTCCCTTCATCTGGAATGTTTGTGCCAGGTATCTCCAACCCCTCAGACTGCGCCTTCAACACAACCACAGGGGCAGTAGCATACGGGGGCGTGCCCCTCAAGATTGCCCGAGCAGTAAGCAGTGCCGCACGCGTGTTTCTGGCTTGTGATTTGCCTTTCCTACATGAATAGTTATTGTTAACCTCGGACATGTGTCTTCCCGGTTCATCATGCATCTGGAGTGCCCATGCCAATTTTTAAACACTAGTAGCGTCTGCAGCCTCTCCTGCTGCATGCATCCTTCTATGTTGAGCGGACTATACTTGAATCCATGTTGTATATTGCACGTGCTTTGTACTCCACTTTGCCTTGCTTATGCTCGGATCGCGTATTGCGGTACGTCCATAGGTCTCAGACGCTGCCGCTGGCGCGATGATCTTGATTTCGGAGCGGACCCTCCATCAGCTGCTCCCCATTCTGCCGCTGCTCGAGTCTTCCACCTTTGCTGCCTTTGGAGCTAGTCGAGGAGCCCCCGGTGGCCCGCCAATGGTGATATACAGCGGAGATGTGGGAACGGAGGATTTACTGGGGTCCACTGCAACTGCCACAATTGCCGCAACTTCCGGAGGAATGACCGTTGCGGGCGTTATGGCCCTCGTTAGGTCTGCCAGTACAACAATGACAACAGCAGCGACGGCGGCATTAGGGGCGCCAACGGCGCCGTCTCTGCTACGGACTCAGTCGACAACAGCTTTGGCCGTTAGCAATGCTGTCATAACAGCTTCCGCCGGTGGCAATGCAAGCACTGCCAAAGATGATCAGACCCGTGTGTCAGAACGTACCGTGGCGCTGTATCAGTTAGTTGGATTTCGGTTGCGGCAACGGTTGCCTCATCTGGAGCCGCTGAGAGGCATTCGTTTCGTTCAGGTATGCCTAACCTCCAGGAGGAAAACCAACTATAATCTTTTGTGAGTCCCCTTGCTTTGGATGCACGCATGTAGCATCCTGAACCAAAGCACCCATGCAAAACCATTTGGGCACCGGTCGGATTCACCATGAATCGTTCAAGGCCCCCGGGTCATCAAGTCGCACAGCATACAGCTTCATTCGTACTCAGTTTGTTTCAGGGCTCCCCACATCCCCTTTCCCTCCCCTCTTACATCCCCACCCCACCAGTTGGGCAACATGGAGGCGCCGGTCGGACCCGACGTCGCCATCACCTTCCTCACGGTTCCTGCTGCCCAGGTACAACACGACAGCACATGTACGACATGTGTTGTACGTTACGTGTGCCAGTAGCATGAAGGGATTGTTTGCGGGCGGTTGAGCGCTGACCTTGCCGTCTAAGCTAACTAGAAAATTCAACCCCGCCCGCGCAGGCGCTACTAGCGGATTTGGGCTCCACGGGCCGTCGAGTGCTGGCAGCCGTAAAAGCGGTGCTGGTGGGACAATGCGGGCAGCGCGGGGGCTACGTGATTGAGGCCGTGGAGGGGCTGTGTCTGGCTGCCTTCCATGACCCAGCTACGGCAGCGGCATGGGCGCTTGGCTGCATGGAAACACTGCAGAACATGGTAATAAGGGAGGGTGCTCCGCAGGATGTAGTTGCACGCTTGTATCTACCGTGCCTGTACCGTACCAATTAACCCCGTTTTATGTCTATATCTGCCGCTGACGCAATACTTTGCATAATGCTACGCTAACTGCAGGAGTGGCCTGCGGCGGTCTTGAACCACCCCCAATGCCGTGAAGTGTACGACAAAACAGCAAACCGTACCCTGGCTGTTGTGCCGTACGACTCGCCAGCCATGCGTAGTACGGCACCCATAAAGGCTGCCACAGGCGCTTGTACGGCAACAGCAACAGCAGCTAACAATGGGCACCAGCAGCAGCTTCATGCGCCATTGCCTTACACTGGAGGTCCCACAATCGACGTCAACTCCTCTGCTTCCGCTGCCGCCCGCACTGCAACCACTGCAGCCGTTGGCGGCACGGGTGCAGTACGGCACCAGCCACCACGGCGGTCGTTGTTGCATCGTGGCCCAAGGCTGCGCGCCGGCATCCACGTGGGGGAGGTTGCATGCGACGTACATTCGAGCACGGGAAGGCTGTCGTACAGGGGCCGAGTCATGAACAGGGCTGCCCGTATTGCTTACAAGGCCGAGGACGGTCAGGTACGGGACGTGAGCTGGTGCTGCGGCGGCTGACTACCTTACCTAGCAAACTAAATCACGCTCAAAGGCTCAATGCATACCTGCCGATGCTTTCCTGCACCCGGTGCTGGGCTTACTTAAGGTTCAGAGCTAGTGACCACCCTTGGTTCATGGATACGTCTCCACTCTAAACTTTTCACGCCACGTGTTGCCCTGCTAATGCAATTTGGCGGGGTTTCTGAGCTGCAATGATGGTTTGTTGTCTTATCATTAACTACGTTCGGTAAATTGCGTGGCAATGGTTAATAAATTCAACTTGCTTTTAAGCGACTGCTAATCTTCTGCCAACTCCTCCTGACACAATCCGACAACAGGTGCTGTGTAGTCGTACGGCATGGACCGTCGTACAAAACATAATGCCGTGTGGCAGTACCCTGGAACTTGAACGCAGCAGTCCACAACATCAACACCAGCTGCCACACACACAACAGCAGCAGCAACCGCTGCAACAGCGCGGTAGCGGCGGCAACATGGGCAGTGGCAGTCCCGGACCGGCTGCTACTGCCGTCGGCCTTGGGAGCCCTAGTGGCAGAAGTGGTCACGCTAGCGGAGGCAGCAGTCTGCGTTGGGCGAATAGTTTGCGATCACTTCTGCCTCATGCTGTTGGCGGCAGCGGCGCTGGCGCTGCTGGTTGCAGCAGCTTAGGAACTCATCACGTAAATGCACAACAGCCAACGATGCAGTACGACAACCCCTCAGGTGCCGATCAACAGCAGCAGCTGCAGTTATCGCCGCTGCTGGCGCCGCCACCATCACCGTCGCCGGCAGCATCAACGACCCATGGGTCATCATCGTCACCTTCACCACCACCGCCGCCGCTACTACAGCCTTTTCGCTGTCATGCACTTAAAGACGAAGTGTGCGTCAGCAAGCCTGGTTCCGGGGACGGTGTTCGTGGCTGTGGCGGTTGCAGTATTTGCATGGATGGCGGCGGCGGCGGCAGCGGCAGCGGCCGAGTGCTATTGGCGGTTAGCCTGGGATCGTTCAGCCTCAAAGGCATAGCAGAGCCCATGGAGTTGCTGCAGCTCCGATGGGGTTCTTGTGTGTCCTGAGCGCAAGGAAACTAAACAAATCGAATTTCCATGCTTCTTAATTTTGCAATTAAGCTAACAGTGGTATTGCTCTTTTGGTTTCTGGTTTGCGCGTACAGAAGCTGTGCTATTAATGTGTCGTGCCTTTCTGGACATTGACTAGACACATAAACCAGACAGCAGCCAGTCAGGGTTGTAGCTAGATCAGGATCAGGAGCGTGACCTCTACCGCCATCATGTTAAGGAGTTCAGAATCATGCTTTAGGTGCCGGTGCAGGTGCTTAGTCAGCTGGTAGTTGATTACAGTGGAAGGAGCTTACGTATGCCATGTTAGGAGGATAGATGGTCTGCCAGTTTCCCATAAACACTCCCCAAGCGGTTGCCCATGGTGGCATATACCTATCTATCTCAATGGAGCCCGAACTAAACCAATGGCTGCAAATTACAAAGTGTGCAACCTAGGCCGTGGCAGGTCTGATTGTTGTTTGGTTCCTTATCTTGCTTTCTTCCCTTGCAAAGCTGCAGAGGCTTTGCGAGACATTTGGACACGCGCAAGTTGCAAGTCAACCATTGGCTGTTGGATGTCTAAATTGATGGTCCTATCGAAAGCCGAGAAGTTATTGATTACTTCGCCGTTTCCACCACCTACTTCAACAGTTTTACTTTCTGCTGAGTTGGGGTCACACCTACCCAAGCGGTTCCACCGACGAATGCAGTACATACACACGTCTATCCTTGCCCTTTCCTTGCTTGCTGTTTCAATGGGTGTAGGACATGCTTAAGTACATCAATGTGTTGTGTCCATGTGTTAAACGTGGCATGCGGATGCTGTTTTCTGGGCGCGCATGCCATAAACACTGCAGCTGGCTGGTTCTGATGGCATATTGTACGTGTGGATTAGCTGGTGGATACGTACATGTGTATTTTATTCAGGATAGCGCTGAGCATGCAGGCAGAAACTTGTCATCAATGACACCCTGAATCATGCGCACATGTAGCTGTTCCTGGTTAGGCTACGTAGGATGCTGCTGCTTACTTTGTTATTGGATGGGTGATCGTAAGTAAGCTACCCTTTATCCAGCCTCCCTGGACCAGCTGGCGTAGCTAGGCAGGGAGCAACATGCAGGTTGCGGCTTGTGAGTTGCTGCTGCTGCGGCGGCAGTCCAGCTGATGGGGTGGAGGAGCTAAGACAACTTGCAACAACAGTTTCATGTGGTTAGTTTTGCAGATGGCGATGCTTGTTTCGCGTTCTTCTTCCTTCGATCCTGTGTGGCCATATGTAGGGCTTGCATATACCTCAAGGCTTGCAAGAGTTTGCTTGCCAGGAAACAAGGTGCGCGTGCCGTGCCTAATCAGCAACTTGCTATCGTTAGGATCCATATTGATCAACCTGCTGCTTACCGGTGCTGGAAGCTTGAAGGAGAAGGGTGGGGTGGGAGGCGTGGTGACCCGCCGGGATGTGGCAAAGCAGAATGTGCTTTAGCATGCCGGGGGAGCACCTTGAGTGTCATCAATAGACACGAGTCAAGAGTCACCACGGAGCCGTAATGACGTGGGACCTATAGCGACCCCCCCGACTAATCCTGGGTGTATTCGGGGGGTCTTTCTTTCTTCCCCCCAGACGTAGGGGTGGTTACCCGCACGTTAGTTGAGGATGGTGTCTGGGTGCTGGTTGTTGTGTGATGTGGCCTGCATGATGTTGTTCTTTCGGCTGGCGCACAAGCAGCACACAGCCGTAACCTGCAAAGTTTTGTCATCACAGAGCCTGCAATTCTATGTTGGGTACTTCTAGCCACCAAGTTCTGACGTCGTTCCTTGGTCGGCTTCTCTCATCATCGTCGCATTTTCATTAACGTCTGTGTGTGCCCCTTTGGACAATGCGCACAATGTTTCAAGTGGGGGTTGTGCAGTATGTGGAAGGTTAGGTGTTGTACAGGTTCGTAAACCCTTTGCGAACGCCCTAGGAACACATAGCGAAGTCTCCCACGGTAGAGCACGTTGCAATTACCGCTTTCCGATCCATGTGCGTCAAGAACGGCCACATTGTGCGTGTGCAATTAACGCTATCTGTTCGATTTTTGATAGCAGCAGCAACGGGTGCCCATCCCTCAACCGTGCACACCTACACATGGCGGGGTCTCCCAAGGTAGAGCACGTTGCAATTACCGCTTTCCGGCCAATTTATATGCGCAACAACTGCGCATGGCACATGTGCAGCTGTTGCTGCTCTTTTCTCCATTGCGAGTCAGCAACATCTATGCCAAAGGCGATTGGCATGCACCAGGAAAGCTTTGCTTCGAAGGTCATTGTATACTGATTATTGTTCTCTATTGGCGAGCCTTGCATAAAAGTGCCTTCACGGTCGCATGTTCCTCAATGCCTTTCCCAGACACTAACGAACAATAAACTTGCTTCGCTTTTTAACCGTGCATGATTTCCTTGCCCACACGTATGCCGACTGTTCAATCTGTGTCGAATATGTTGTGGGATAGACGCATTGCAGCATACCGTAAGTGGAGTTTACTATGCACTGAAACTCGTGACGACTATATTCGTGGGTCACAGAATCACCTGCAGTACAGCCGCTCTCATATTCTTGTCTATAGACGTACTCTCTTGAAGAAACTGCTGGCTTGGGGGCTGCAGTGTTGGCGACCATGGTCGGGACCCATTTGCCAAAATGCAAGCAGACGTCGCACAGCCGGCGCCACTCAATATGCTTACGTCCAGTGTAAGGGCGGCGGGGCGGGCAGTGTCCATTTTTGCAACCGAGGCGAACCGTCCAAAGAGCAGCAATTGCGTTTATAGCCGCTGGGGCATGGGATAGCTACTCCACCGCACCAACGAATTCCGGATACACCACATAGGCAAAGGGTGGTTTTCTTTCCCTCACTGGCGCGAGTTTAGCAGCCGAATACTGGATTCTAAAATCTAAATCCTAATAACACCTCGGGGGGGGGACCCATCTATCTTTGGTGCTTTAGAATGCCCCAGCATGCTTCCATTGTTGACTCTTGCTTGCTTTTTTCTACTTGTTTGTTTGAGTATGATGATGATGATGATGGTTAAAAGCTAAAGGCTCGTAAGGCCCAGACGAGCCAGGAGGCTCATGGACCGCTGCACAAACAAGAGGAACAACACAAGAAGGGAACAGAGAAAAAAAGGCTTAGGCTTGTTGCCCGACCAACTCCGTTCTACGCGCGCGAATCCTCCGCAGGATCTTGGCTAGACCTAACTGGTCACTGCAATACATGATGTCCACCATGCTACTCTCCCTAGATATCCCAAGCGACCACATATCAGCTATAATACCTTCATAAGCTGGACATCCAAGCAGGACGTGCTTTTCATCTTCAATTGCACCCAAACCCTACAAACCCTGTCAAGACGAGCTCTGCCATTCGGACGATTACATTCCAAAGCCCAGACGCAAAGACAAAACCTATCTAGGCATGTGTGTAGACCTAGGAATATAGAGCTTGACATGGGAGGGCGAACCCATCCACTGCACATGATTGCACGATTTAACACCCGGAGGACCGACAGGAGCAAAAACACCCGAAGCGTGGGGGAGCGCCAATCTTCATCGAAACGATCACTCAAGGTCTTGAAAAGAGCAGCAACGCTGAGCTGATGGCACGCAAATTTATCAACCAGGTCGTCAATACTACCAACGGCCAAACCCCCAAAATCGTACTGGAGACTGCGTAAAATACGAAGGACTTGCGCCCCCCACACAGGATACACAAGATTAGTCAGTATGCCATACACCAGTACTCTCCGCCCTACAGACGTCTACAATCACCAAACCGTGCCGTACGGATGTTCCACACAGGTACCGTTACCTCGCTTGTTGGATAGCTAGCGCTGCTGACCTTGGATAGTATTGGTATTTAGAGACACCGTTGCCTGAGTCTGCAAATGGCACGGGCTGCTGTTGCTGCCGTTGTAAATGTTGCTATCCTTACACCGTTTGCATTGAATTGAAGTACGGCGTTAGAACTGACAAACCACAGCATTGTTGAAGTACGACGGTTTGTAAACTCACGTTCGACAAAGACACAGGCACGTCCCGACCAGAACATGGATAATACCGGTAGAAGATCCCACGAACGAAAGTTGAGGGGGGTGGCCTACAGGTAGCCGCTACCGGTTAACGTATCGTGCAAACCAAGGAACCCTCCGGGCTCAAGGAAGGGCCGTTGCGTAATGACTTTAAAGGTACTTGAGTACGGGCTTTGTGTACGGCACAGTGGGAGTTGAAGCCGGAAACACACGCTGCGTGCGTGCAAGTTGTCAATGACTGTGACACGCTGCTCTCATGGGTCGTGTGGGGGACGGCAAACGTGCGCGGCCGGGCAGTGAGAAGTCAGTGTTACGAGGTATGCGGCTCTTAGCTTGATTGACATCTTGGCAAGAATGAAAGGCTACGGATGACCCGTCGCTACGGCCGTGCTATTAGAACACACCATGTGATTGCAGAAGTTGCGGCTGACAGAGTTCTGTTGTTGTTGCCCATGCTTCCCTATTTAGACTTTCCTGCACTCGGTTTTGTAGTCATCGGATCTCTACCAATGCCAAAGTAACGACATATTCACACGCTTCTAGTAGACGACAAGCTAGCGTCCATAGGTGAGAAATCGACAAAAAAAACCGCCTTTCCTGTACGGTGCCCATGGTCCGCGGTCATGTCAGCGGTAATCAGCGGCGATGAGTACTTGCCATAACCCGATACAACCTCTTATGCCCTACATCACATTGCGCTTTTCAAATCATGGTCGACGTTGAGATAATATCTAGCCCTTTGGGCCCTACGTGCCCTAAATGATCAGTATTGGAGCTAATGAAGATGCGCCGCTGTACCTCTTTGCTAAGAACGTACTTGCTTCTGCGCATATAATTAAGCCATGAACGATAAGACTGTTTAGTGCAAACTCTTCCAGGCGCAAACAAGGATTGTATGTTTACTGCGCGACTTGAAGTAGAGAATCATGATTTCAATGGTCACTCTTATGTATACACTGTGACAAGTTTAGAGCGATCCTAGCCGGCGTACGTGGTGGACTAACACTTGGTTGCAATACTTACACGCGGGCCTCTTCATCGCAGCATACACGGCGCGGCAAGCGAGCTACAAGTAAAGGAAGCGTTGTGAAGTTAGAGCTGGGAGCCAAGCGGACGCTCGTGAAGGTGCTGACGGCTGGGGGTCAGTTACGTCCGCGCTCTCCGCTAAGCTGTCAGCTTTGTAAACACCAACAAGGAGATTAATTAACGCGACTGTAACGAGGGCTCGAGGTGGGGTTGTGCGTAACCGCGGTCACGTCTTGCTGTACGCGTACAAGCTGCAACTTTTAAGCGCCCCCTATTATCACTGGGACATGCAGTTCGGTGTCTGACTCCGGCCTGTGGTTTCGTGGTGTTTCCTCGCGTTCCTGCTAAGCCATTGGAGTTCTCGTCCCACTTCTTCCCATACAGAGCGCACACCTTATACGAGGACCATCTAAATTTGCTAAATGCAGCGTGTCTGTGCTAGCAGACCTTCGAGCAGAACAGTGGACGCGCTAGAGTAGCGGAATGGCTCAACCACGCGTCGATGGTAGCCCAGTTGTTAACGGAGATGACGCCCGAGATGCGTGCAGCGACATTAGTGTGTACTGCACTGACGGAGTAGTTATGCAGTCAGCGCCTGTCAACGGAGGTGGCGTTGACGTACCGGCGGTGTCCTGTGCATCGTACGTCAAGGGTGTGAGCGGTCCAACCGCTGCAGATATGCCTCGCTTACCAGCTTCATCCGAATTTGTGGAGAGCCGATTTTTGCTGCAGCGACAGCAGCAAGCGCAAAAGTCACAGCCATGGTCCAACAATCCACCTCAATCCCGAAATGTCCGCCGGGAGGACAATAGCGCTCCGCGTGCCACGATATCGCCACGCATTTGGGAGCCTGTTGCAGCAGCAATGGCAGTTACTTTGTTGTGCGCTGTTTCCACCGCTGGCTTGCATCTGGCATTGTTGGCCTCTCCCGCAAGACCGGTGCAGCTGCTACTGTCACCGTACAGCCTGGGACCTTTTCCATGGTCAACGGGAATAAAGATTGCGGCGGCGCTGCTGGCAATGCTAACGGCAGTGTCGTACATCTGGCAGTGGCAGTTGCCAGGAAAGTACGACACATGGTGGCGGTGGCACTGTTCGTGCCAGCGGCGGATGAGCTGCCACAACAGCTGTAACGGTTGTGGTGGCAGCAGTTCTGCATTGGCGTCGGTATCCACCGCAGATCCGTTAATCCCCATGCATTCCGCGGTGTCAATGCCGCAATCGCTACGGCTTGCACTGTCCTCCCAGCAAACAAGGCCGCAGGATGCAGCAGGGGCAGGGGCAGCAGTGCCGGAAGCAGCAGCAGCAGTTGGGGATGCTGGCATAGCCTGTGCTACTAGCGGCGTTGGTAATGACGACAGCGAAGGGGAGCTAGGAGAAGGAGGATCGAACGTCATATCGCCTTTTTCATCCGAGTCCGCTATTGCATGCCATGTCATTGAGGATGGAGGCTCATGGCCTCACCCTCTTCAGCCACAATCCAAGCAGGATCTGACGGCTTTGATGGCTAAGATCAGTAAGATGGATGGCTACCCAGCAAGCCAGGGAGCTAAGTCAGCGCATGCAGCAACATCCGGTGGCCTTGGTAGCGACAACGGCAATGGAGGAGCTGATGCTGTCTGCAACGGCAACGCTGCCGACGGAGTAGGTAGCGGCGGTGTCAGAGGTGGCAACAGCAGCAGCAGCATGGGTGCCAGCGGAGGCGGCGTCGGTGGCGAAGGTGACAGCAACGGTTGGTGGCGGCGGATGGCACTGCCGCCATTAGGATCGTACGGAAGTACGACAGGGACGCTGATGTCGTGGGGTCTGCCATCCCTTCACAGCTGGGTGCTGCAGAACCAGCAGCCCTCACCATTGCTAATGAGCATTGGCAGGCGCGGTGGCAGCAGCAGCAGTAACAGCTATAACAATGGCAATCCAGAAGCCACAGCCACTCGTGCCGCCCCCGTTGCAGCTCCTGCTGCCAATGGCGGTGGCGACAGCGGCAGCGGCGGAGTTGGCGGCGCCTGCTGCGCTCGTTGTGCGGTTGGTGGAGTCGGCGATGACGGCCGCTGTAGCAGAGCTGCTGCTGCTGCTGCCGCTGCTGGCGAGACCTCTGCCGCTGCCGCCGCCGCCACCGCCGCTGCAAACTCGACCTCAGCTGCCACCAACACAACCTCCGCCGCCGCCGCCGCGGCCGTCACTGACCCCTCCCGGATGAACCTCCTCAGCGAGCAGGGCTCGTCGTTTTTCTTGGCAAAGTCTCACTTTGCTGTCGAGCAAGGCAATTGCAACGGCAGCGGCAAAAGTGGCGGCGCGTCAGCTGTTAATGTCAGCGGTGGTATTGATCACCCTGGCAGCGGAGGCAGCAGTAACACCAGTGGGAATGGAAGCGCTGCACCGTCGTTCATTACAACAGCACCAGCAGCGGCAAGGGCAGCGGCAGCTGCAACAGCGCCGCCGGCATTTGTTATGGTATTATTGGTCTGCACGGATTTGTACGGCAGATTAAAGAAGTTTGCAACAGCCACCTCCGCTGTTACGGCATCACGTGCGGTGTCAGGCGCTGCAGCAGTGCTACTGTTCCTTCGAAATCATCTGACGTACTGCAGACAAATCCTCGTACGGATCGGAGCAGGACGAGCATTTGGCCCGGGCAGCATTGCCGTCGACAACAGCAACAGCAACAACGGCGGTAGTGGTGGCGGCTTGTACGGCATTGTTAGCGGCAGCGGCGGCGTCGGAGGCTGCTTTGCAAAAGCCAGCAATGGGACAATCAGGCAGATGGTGGGTCCAATGGGTTGAGGGGAGTGGGGGCTGGGGGTGGTGGGTCAAGCGACATGAGAAAAGCCGTAGGTTAGGCTGTTGCGCATGGATGTTTCGTTCAAGGGAGGCATGTTTCAGATTGGCATGCGGCCTGCGTATCTCGGCCACAACACGGCCGCCTCAACAGTGCTTCTGCCCCGCTGACATAGATATGTGTTTTCGACCCATGAGATCACTTAATAGATTAACACTTCCCAACCAGCTTTTTTGGTTTTCGGGTGGGTGTTTTCATCGCTGTCTGAGCGATGGAAATCGGGCCTGGACAATCGCTTATCGCTTTCCCAACCAGCCAAGCCGAGGGGTTTCGGGGCTTATCGCTTTCTAAGGCCGCCTCCTTGGGTCACAAGTGCCCATAGCCCCCCAAACCCCAATGCGAAGGCGCTTCTCACTGTTCCCAGTGCCTTCCTGGACCCAAATCCCTAGCATGTGGGGGGTTTGTCACAGGGGATGTGGACGATGAGATACTCTGGGTGCACACACCTATCGCTTCTCACGGCCCTAGAACCAATTGTTTACCGCTCAAAAAGCGACCTATCGCCCAAAATTTTACACTGTTCCCAACACTTATTTTTCCGACCATGCAGGTTTCCGGTCTTCTTCCGCGCGTCGCCAGCGGTTGGACAGCCTCCGCGCAATCTGCATCCAGCTCCTGTGCTTCGCTAACTGCCCTGGTAGCCAGCGACCAAGCAACAACCGCTACGACAGTAATGGCGACAGGAGCTGCAGCTGGTGCCGTTGCTGCCGGTGCTGCGGGTCCGAACGGCCCATGCATGACGTCCGCTGCTTCATCCGCTAAACCACCACCTGCCAATCCAGTCGCTTCATCAATCTCATGTACGACAGCCACCTCAATGGCTACAGCCGGATCAACGCCACTTCCGTTACTGCCGTACAGTTCCCCGGGCGCCGCCGCTACAACAGCTTTGGCTGTAGCTGGTTTCAGTAATGTAGGCGGCAGTAGCATGCCCTTTGGCGCACTTGGGGGCACTCCCGGTGGTTGCGGGGGAGTTGGTTTAGGAGCTCGAGGTAGGGGCAGCAGCTGTGGAAGCATGGGTGGGGGCGCGGGAGGGTCCGCGTCAAACACGCATGCGCTGTTTCTCCTTGGGTCGAATGCGGACGCAGCAGCGGCGGCTGCTGCTGCAGCGGCGGCTGCAGCGGATCGCAAGCCGGCATTTTCAGACTTGCCGGCCAACGCGGGGCGCGTGCGGGTGCTTTCAGTGGATGATGAGCCCGTTAATCAGCAGGTGGGAGTGTTGCGGGAGTGTTGCAATTCCAATGAGCGACGTACAAGTTAGCGACTTAGCCATACTACAATTGCTAAGCCCTTTCATGCTCTCGCTTTTCGGTGTGCCCTCCTACTGGCGCTTTCGGCGCACATATTATGCAGCAAGGCGACAGCAAGTTGTACAACTGAAATGTCCCAAAACGTGAAATTGCACCCGTTCATCGCGTTGTGTGGTGCATGATTGGAACAGGTGATGCGAGCGCTGCTTTGGGCCGCAGAATACGATGTGCTCGAGGCACGTAGCGGGGAGGAGGCGCTACGGCTGCTGCAAGACAGCGAGGTGTTGCCTGATTTGGTGCTGCTGGATGTGACGCTAGGAGGCAGCATCAGCGGCTTTGAGGTAAGCATACGAGCACTTTATGTTAGAAGGCAATCCGCAGACTGTAAACCACCGTTGTCATACCTTGCTGGCTAACCCTCTGCCATACCCTTGTGAGCTAACAAATTGTCTGCCGTACTTTCTGCCGTACCTTTGCGATACGACATGACCAACCACAGGTTTGTCGTGAGATCCGCCGCGAGTACTCGCCGGGGGAATTGCCGGTCATCATGATCACGTGTTCCTCGCTTGAGGAGGACGTCATCCGGGGGTTGGCGGTTGGAGCTAACGACTACATGATCAAGCCGCTCCGAAACCTCGAGCTCATGGCGCGAATTAAGACGCAACTGGCGCTCAAACGCAGCATCAAGGCGAGGGGATGTTGGGAGTCGTGGGGTGATGAGATGTCACAGCCCTTTAGCAACGTAGGCTCTAAGCATAAAACCAAACTTCTATGCGCATGATACCTGGTTTTAATTGTTAATCTAAACCACACCCAACCCACCTCCTCCTCCTGACTCGCAGCTTTGTTTTGTATGTGGTTCCTTTCTGACGACCCCATACATCCTCCTGGTCACACGGTCAGTTCGTTGTTTGCTCTTTACCCTCCTCCTCCCCACCCACCCCCTTCCCCCACCTTGGCCCCGCCAGGTAGCCGCCGAGGCGCGTGTCAATATGTCGCTGCTCGCCTCCATTCTGCCCGCCAATGTCATTCGCCAGCTCAAACAGGGCGTCACACTCATAGCTCAGTTCCATCGGGAGGTCACTATCCTGTTCTCAGGTGGGTCCAGCCCTGCCGTACGGATGGGTTGTACGTCTTGCTTTCTATTAAGGATGTCGTGTGTGTTTCAGTTGTACTTGGTTCAATTGCATTATAGGGGCACCATTGTACCCTACCATGTGTTTTCAGGTTGGACTTGAGGGGTGCAGGTGATGCATCGGGGATGCTGTTGAGTGGCTGACGTGAATCTCCTCCTCCTTCTTCCCGCACATGCAGACATCCGCGGCTTCACCAACCTAGCCACCGAGTGGCCCACCGAGCAGATCATCATCATGCTGAACACCATGTTTACCGCCTTCGACCAGCTGTGCGAGCAGATGGGCGTGTACAAGGTGGAGACCATCGGTGAGGTCCCTTGTACCGTTGTGCTGTGTACAGCAGCAGGGGATGATCGGCATTTGGGAGGCGGGGTAATCGTAGGCAGGGTAAAAGGAGGATAGTGTGGTTTACATGAGATTGTCGTACCAACCTGTTTAAATACCGTTATAAGCTATCGGTGGGCCTGGGTGGACAGGAAACTTACTGTGCACGTGTGTGAAGTGTCATCTTCAACACCCTTCCAACCTTTCTTGTGCCATATGTCAACACCCGCATCTATCTCTACCTGTTGTTGCCCACACAAACAGGTGATGCCTACATGATCGTGTCGGGGCATGACGGGGTCAGCGACCATGCACCTCGCATGTTGCGTATGGCTGCTGCCATGATAGCTGCAGTGGCGGACATGAGGGGGTTCGACGGCCGAGAGCTGCAGGTACGTGTCGTACACTTATACAGTATGTGTCGTACACACACTTACATGGCCCCAACACCACGAGCATTGTCCCCTCCCTCATGCTTGGTATTCTCCAACTTTGCCATGAAAGTGCGGTTGTTGTCCGCGGGCTCAAGGCTGGAGGCATGTGACATGTGACCCATGGGTCATCCAATGCAGTTGGAACAGCAGTGCATTGAACGAATTTACTGCACAGAGCATATTTCAAGTGGCTAGCCCCCCTAGGGAATTGAATCCAATCCAAGCGCTCCATGAGGAAGCACTCTTTAAAGAAATGCTCCAGTAAAGGCATGTGCCCCTCCTGAAGAATTTCTTGCCACACCTGTAGTCTTTCTTTTTCTTTCCAGTATTGCTCTGCTTATACTACAAACATATCTAAGCGGGGTTTAGGCAGGAAAGTCTTGAATTTTCATTTCTATCATTGACAAATTCTTCGCCAGTCACTTTTTTCAACACGCACCCTTCATTCCCTATCCTCAGATTCGTGTGGGTGTGCACACGGGGCCGGCTCACAGTGGGGTTGTGGGTCTCTCCAGGCCGCGCTACTGCTTCTTCGGTGGGTCGGTGTGTGGGCGAGGGTTGGCGGACTTACTGTCTTGGAGCCCGAGAATGCGTGTATGGGGCTAGGGTGCCTGGTCCGCCCTCACTCTTGTCCTGCCCGCATCCTCACCCTTGCCCTCAACCCTGCCCTCAACCCTGCCCTTGCCCTCAACCCTGCCCTTGCCCTCGCCATCTGCCGGGCGCTCCCCGACGTCGGAACTGGAAAACCACGTCTCCGTCTGCTGTGGCGTCTTACGCTTCGTCTTATCGCCCCATCATCAACATCCCCCATGCTGCTCCATGCTACAGGCGACACCGTCAATACGTGAGTGCTACTACAACTATCGTTCATTGTCCATGTTATTTTCCCTCCTCATGAGCTAGCGATGTCTGTGCACTGGTTCCTATAATCTCCTGCAAGCATTTAGCGAACGGCATCAGCCCTCCCCTAAGCCCTCCACGCAATAGCTTTGCCCCGCCTTACAGCAAATCTTCCGCGAATTGTATGCAGGGCGTCGAGGATGGAGAGCACGGGATTCCCGATGGCCGTACAGGTGTGTGCACGGATGGACACGATGTTGTACCGTCTCGATGGTGCGACACTAGAACAAAATTGTATCGCTAGCAGCATACCGGTAAATGCGCTGAAGGTTGAAGGGAAGCGTGACTTTGCTTTCGAGTGTTTCGGCCCAGGCTTACAGACCCAGTAGAAGTAGGCGACAACCTATCGTCCATGCAACACGTTCAGCTCAATGGTTAATGCTGTGCCAAGTACTGCCTTAGGTTCGTTTTCTCATCCTGACGTTTCCATTGCCTGCTTGTGCCGTAGGTCAGCGAGTCGACGCTCCGCGCCGTCAATTCGAGATCCGAATGGGCCGAAGAGTTCAAGTTCGCTTCCTGCGGACCAAGAGACATAAAGGGCAAGGTACGACGTACGGCTTGCAGTACGGTACCTGGCTTTACTGCGCTCTCGTACATGCCGTACAAACACACCCATTACCGTACACATGTCTGTGGTCCCGGAGACAGACTAGAAACCATCAGAAAAGAAATGTCCTACGGCATACGATGTACATCTGTTGGCGTTGTTGGTTTGCCGCTTGACGCTGAGCCACGAGAAAGACAACGTAAGAGAGATGCATCGATGCACGCTTACCTTTCCTCTGTACCTGTCGTACCCTCGCTCCTGTACGGCAGGGGATCATGCACACCTACCTGCTCCGTGCCGGACTGTACGAGCAAGGTATTGCTGAGCTGACAGTCGCCGCCGCTGCTGCTACTGCTGCTGCTGGCGCCACCACAGCTCAGCGGCGGCGGCGAAGCAGTGTCGTACTGCTGGAAAATACGGCAACGGCGGGACGACTCACAGTAACAACGGCGGCAGATGAGAAGGAGGCAGCGACGGCAGTACCGGTGACCGCGCCGCCCATATCGCCGTCAACACCTCTCTCACCGCCGCAATTGCAGCCTCGCTTTCCGCCGTCCCAGCCGACGCTGCCGCCACCGTCGGCGTCTCCTCCGCCGACAGTGCCGACGACGGCGCTGCTGCCGCCGCCGCCGTCCGCAGCCATCCCCATGCCTGTCCCTGGCAGCAGCGGCGCCGTCGCTTCTGTCGTACCCGACATGACTTCAACGGCGGGAGCGGCAGCGGCGGCGGCCGCGGAAATGTTAATGCCGTCGCCTTTCCTTATGCCGCTGCCCAGAGGAATCGTCAGCGATGGTGGCTATGCGGGTGCTGGAAGTGTCGGCGGTAGCATGAGTTATGGAGCGGCGGGGCTGGTGTTAACAGACTTGGGGGCAGCCGCCATGTCAACCGACATCAACGACCCGTCCTTCAAGAAATCCTCTTGGCGCTATCATCATGCGCTGTGCTCTGGACTTGATTGCGCGTCGAGTGTGGCGACAACGGCCGCTTGCCACGATCATAATGGGATTACCGTGCTTGTGAGTCGTCTCAACTCCATCATTTGTAGTACATGTAGTACTGAAGGATGTGTAATCCATCATGGATGACGAGGCTCACGAAGGCACTAAAAGACGCGTGTGTTGATGTTAAGGTGATGCGATGCCGTACCTGCTGCCTCCTTTGTTCCTTGACGGAACTCATGTCTATTTACGACATTGTATGCAAGCCCTCTTCCTCCCTAACTCTTCGCCCCGGCCGCCACCGCGATTTCCAAATCGCTGGTGTAGTATCCAACCTCCTCCAACGCGCAACTCACTCACGCAAGTGTCATCCTTATCTCACCTCCCGTTCTCACTCCTCTACCTCCTCACAGGATCCATTAGAGTCGCTGGAGCACCCGCAGCCCACCAACAGTCTCCCGGGCGGCGGCGGCAGCCACGGCGGCGGCGGCGGTACGGCAGGTCCATGGCGCTTCGCCAACGTCAGCAGCTGCAGTACAGCTGGCGGCGGCGGCGATGATGCTGCTTTTGGCGGCGGCGGCGGTGGGGAGGGAGGAGTAGGAAGCTTTCTAGGATGCGCTGTGCTTGGAACAAGTCTTTCGTCCCCCTATAACCAACCACCACAGCTGACGGCTGCTGCAGTATCTACAATGGAAACCTCCCGGCTGACCTCGCCAGTGCTATCCGCCCGCACTTCCGTCGACTTCAGCGCCCTGGGCACGTCGGCGACAACTGCCGGCGTCTTGATGAACCACCAGCAGCAGGCTTGGTGTCGTACAGCCTCGGTGGCGTCGTACGACAATGCTGCCTCCGGCAGCGCGACGCCAGCAACGGCACGGGTCATTGCTCCGCCACGGCGGCATGGCGGCGGCAGCGGCGTCTTTGCATATGCCGCAGGCGCCGCCGCCAACGCCTTGAACCCTTCGTACGAGCAGCAGCCACACTGGTGCAGGGAGTTAAGACGCAGCAGCAGAAGGACGAGCGAGGAGCTCTCTCGCGCAACAGCCGCAGCAGGCGGTGACGGTGGCGGCGGAGGCGGAGGCAGGGACGGCGTGGCGGTGGCGGCGGAGGCGCTGGCGGAGGCGGTGGACAGCGCATTGTACGGCATCACTGGCGGCGGCGGTGGCGGCGAGCACTGCTTGGCGACGGCGCAGAAGGCCTGTGCCACGCCGCCGCCGACGGCAAATGCGCATGCGTCCAGGCTTTACCGTCCATCTTCGAGCCATACTGGGCTGGTCACGACGCATCAACGAGTGTCGCACGACAGAGCAGGTGCGTGTTGCGCAACAGAATCCTGTCGAAGTTAAATATGATGGTGTGTTGCGCTGAAGTGAAAGGGTGACTGTTGGCTATACTAACTCAGTATTTAAGTGAAGTGTCTATGTAGGGGGCTCTTATGTCTTTCCTGCATAATGCTGCAAACTCAATCTTTCCTACACTTCTAACGCCGTTCCTTGCTTCACTTCCGTTTACCTAGGCACCAGCAGTAACAGTGTCGACCGTACGGCAGCCCACGTCCGAGCCACAACCGCCAACGGTCGTCTGAGCAGCACGTCTGGGCACTCGCACAACGGCAGTAACTACGTCACCCAACGCGGTTGTTACAACTACCACACCTACCACATAGGCGGCGCCGTTGATGGGACAACGTACAATGGCCAGGGTCTGTATGAAAGCAAAAGGAGCAGCGGCGGCGGCGGCCTTGCCTCTGCAACTGCCGTCGCTGCATTGACCAGCAAGGCCCTGATCGAGAAAGACTTTCACGACCCAGCTCAGTGCGACGGCCCAACTGCTACAGCCGTTGCCATGCATGCTAGCGCTCCTGCTACTACAGCACCTGCCACGCGCACCCTTGCCACCACCATCGCTGCATTGTCCTCGGCTACAGCCAATCCCCATAGCGCCTCCGCCGCTGCAGCAACAGCACCAGCAGTAGCAGCAGTGACCTCTGAGGACTGCAATCGCACGGCCATGTCTGCCCCGAGCCTCATCTGCACACCCGCCGCAGCTCCTGCCGGCGCCGACGCCGCTGTCACCACGGTCAGCACGACTACAGGACAGCTGTCCAACGCCACATTCGGAGGATGGCTGTCGACCGCGCCGCCAGCGGCGGCAGTTGCGGCCGCCGTATCTTCGCAACGGCCGAACGAGCCGTCAATACGTAACGCGTCTCATTGTGGCGGTGGCGGTGGCGGTATCCTTGCCAGGCTTGTCGGCAATGCAGCAGCAGCAATCACTCGTCGGCGTCCCACGACAGCGATGGGTTTGGTTACCGCCGGCACTGATAGTTCTGCTGGCGCAGCAGTTGATATGGTTGGCGCTGCGTCGGCTTACCCTTTAACCACAGCTCCAACGGAAACCGTTACCTGCGGGGCAACAACCCAACTGCAAGCAGGCGAGGGCATCAGTGGCATCAGCCGCAGCGGCGGTAGCGGTGGCGCCTCAGAGAAGGTCATCAGGCGATGCCTTGTACGACATCGCTCAATGGGCCCTTCGGGATCAATTGTCACATCGGCCGCCGCTGCCGCCGCCGCAGCAGCCGCAGCAATACCGATGTCCGACCCTGCTGGAGACACTATTGCTGCCGCTGCTGCTAAGGGTAGCTGTGGCGTAAGAGGAAGAGGTGCGGATTTAGTGACCAGGGGCGATGACTTGGTGAACCTACCAACAGCAGGAGGAGATGGTGGTGATCTTATCAGCATCAGCGGCAACGGTTGGGCGAACCTGTACAGCCCTCATTCAAGGTACGTTGGGATAGATGGTTGGATAGAAACAGTGGACGGGATTGCCCCATCTTGCTGCACCATTGCCTTTGGAGCTTTGGTGATAACGCTGCTGGTGTACGATGTTCAAGTGGTAGTGTGTCGTACTTTCCCAAACCTGGTGTCGTCTTACGGTATGACCTGCGACCTTTTCCTAGGAAACGTGCTACCCTCAACCAGCCTCATCGGCGGTACAGAACCCGCTTTGCCCCGACAGGCCTATAAGCCTTGTCATCTAACATTGCCTTCACCGGCCGAATCGGCCCCTCAACAACAGAACAACAACTAAGCCGCCCTCCTTTCATCCTCCAAACTACCACCCATAAGCAGACCCCGTTGGGATTGCCAAAACGTCCAATTGGAAAGCCTGGACCCCTCTGCGCACTCTGGAGCAGCTGAGGGCAGTAATGGCAGCCGCGGTGGCGTTCGTGAGAAGGGCGTGAAACCGGGGTGTGCAGTACAAAGTCCTGACGCTGGTGCTGCAGGCGCCGAAGGAGCGGTAGGAGCGATGCCCGCCTCCTCCGGCAACAGTGGCAGAGGCAGAGGCAGTCTGCAACGTGATGGCACGCCTGTATCTCAACCTACATCCTCTTCCTCCTCCCCGCTTGGCCGGCCACTACCGTCATCTCTGCCACCTATGCTGCCTACAGCGCAACAGGCGCCCACTGCAGCGCCAGCAGAGGCGGCGGCACAGCCACATCATCACCATCTTCAAAATCACCATCATGGCCTTCATCACAGGCAGCAGTTCCTGACGCGCTCAACTTCCTCATCCGCCTCCCAGTGCGTTGTTGGAGGGCGAACCTCCCTTGACGTCGCGCATGACAGCACCTGCAGCGGTGTTGGTGTCGGTGCTGGTGGCAGCAGCGGCATTGGCGGAGTCGCATCCGGAGGGCCTAACGCACCTTCGCCAGATGCTGCAACCCAACGCAGCGGATGGACGCTGTACGGACTCGAACCGGATACCTCCCAGGATGCAGCTGCAGCGGCGGTTGCTGCCACTGCCAAGCCGAGAATCCGCACCAGTAGCAGCAGCAGCGGCGTCGGCGTCGGCGGCGGTGGCGACGGCTGCACCCCCTGCAACAGGCCTCCAAGCTTGGGTAACCACGATGGGGTTCTGCTGGATGCATTGCTCGCCAGCAGTAGCAGCAACGGTGGCGGCTGCATCAGTAGCAGTGCTGCAAGCGGCTGCGGCTACAGCCCTGTGGTAGCAGCATGTAATCGTGCTGCTACCGTTGCTGTTAATGGTAATGCTGGTGTTGCTGCTGCTGGAGGTATTGCGGCTTCCACTGCCGACGACGGTGGTGGTGGCGGTGGCAACGGTGGATTGGATATAGCCCGTATGCTCGCTCGTGCTTCTGAGCTAGCGATGCCGGCGACAGTGACGCCAGCGACGATGACCACGGCGGCACCGACGGCGGCGGCGAGTGCTACTGCCGCTTCCAACGTGACTGGCGCCGGTAGCGGCGGCGGCGGTGGCGGAGGTCCTGTGAGCCGGAGCAGCAGCAGTAATGGCAGCAGTGGAAATGGCAGCGGTGGTACGTCCGTGGCAGTGCAGCAGCAGCACACGGTGGTTGTGAAGGCCCCTCCTCCTCAACATCATCATCGGCAGCAGCAGCGGCAGCAGCAGCAACAACAAGAACGTCAGCAACACCAGCAGCAGCAGCCACGGCCGCCTCACCAGCACCATCAGCATCAACACCAACAGCAGATGCAGCCACTACCGCCATCCGCCCAACGCGTCCTTCACCTATTCCACGCTCCCGTGCCCCGGAGGCTGGACCCGGTCGAGGAGTGCGGGTATTCCTCCTTCACCACTGACGCCTCTTCCAACGTCGGCGGCAGTAGCCTAACCAATGGCGGCGCCACCACCACCACTACCACCACCGCCGGCGGCGGCGGCGGCGGTAGCGACAGCAGGCAGGGTACGACAAACACAACCATTACGACAAATCCTGCCGCCACCGCCACTACCCCTACTGCTGGTGGTACAGTCGTTAGCGGCGGCGGCAGCTTTGCTGCCACGTCATCTTCTTCCCTTGGATGCAGAGTGGATGCCCCTTACGCGTCAACCTATGCTTCTACCTCTGTTGCTGCAGCCGCCGCTGCAACTGTTAGAGCTGCTACCGACAGTGCTACGGGCAGTGCTACATCTGGCAGCAGGCACTTACTGGTTTCCAGCGGCTTTGCCACTGCCGCCACCACCACCAGCAGCAACAACAACAACAACAATGACCGTAGCAGCAACAGCATTGGCGCTGGTGCGTCACGCCGCCGCCCCAAGTCGCTGTTTGCAAAGTTTAAGAAGGCCCTTCGTCCAAGCAGTGCAAGCGGCGAACGCAGCAGACAAAACGGGTGACACGTCGAGAAGCGGCTTTGTTACTGTTGCTCTTGGGGGTACGCGGGGACGGGAAAGAAGGTAACTGCCGATGAGGGTTGTACACCCTTGACCCAGAGGCATCCCGTCAGTTGGTTAACCCCGGGCCGAAGGCTTCTCCCCTTGTGCCGCCTACACCCAGCATAGTGTGTACCAGCAGCAAATGCGGATGGGATGGCATGTGGTGCATGACAGCACTGAAATAAGCGTGGAAAAACAAATAGGCTGGATACACTGTTTGGGTGTGGTTATGGTTAGGATGTTTATGGGTGTTCTCGGCAGGAAGTCTATTTGGTCAGTTCATTATTCTATGCAAGTGCGGGAAGTAGGATGCATGGCCCGGGTATGCAGCCACCATACCCTGCAAACGATGTAGCTGGCATGTATGCCTTGTGATGTTATGTGATGAGCGAGAGTGTTTATTCGCAACTGAGCGACTGTTTGTGTGTTTGATTGCGGAGTGCCGGCATCGTAATGGCAATCAAAGGCAGTGGTGCGAAAGACAATGATAGGGATGAATGTGATGACACAGTCCGCAACTGCGCACACCCAGGCCCGTTTTGTCAACACAGTCCTCGATTCCTCGTGTTTACTAAGGAGGCGCGGCGGCGAAGGTTGTCCTGATGATGGCCAGCAGATGAGCGGTGAAAGTGACTTCATTTCAATTAATATATTCCTGATGGAGGGAGAGACGATGCGTTGCCCCAGTTAAAGGGGCGGGTTGGAGAGAAATCTGTTAAGAAGTGGAGGAAGAGAGGTGATCATCATTTAAGAGGCGAGGGGTGATGCGCTAAATATAGGAGGGAAGGCGGTCGTTATACAGGAGCGAGGCGATCATTATACTACAGGAGGGAGGTGATCGATTACTTACAGGAGGGAACAGTATTTATGGGGGAACACAAGTGAGTGGGTACCTAGGATAGTTCGAACACACGAGAGCGCGAGAGAGAGCACAGTGCCCGCCCGTTCGTGTGTACGAGGCGCTTGTGGGGTACGGCGAGGAGGATTTCGATGACAGCAGCGCACATGTACGCCTGGCGAGGCGCGTCTGAGTGGCGTTGTACGGTACTCGCGCGTCGTGCGTAGAAGTGTGGGAAAGGGCAGGAGGCGGAGTATCGGCATGATACCGCACTGCTTGTGCCCGAGCGGACAGGTGCTTTTATGAGCGAGATTCCCTGACTCATCAGTTTCTTCAGGAGGGAAGAGAAGTATGGGAACTGTTTTGATGCCGAGTTTATTTAGGGCCCCATGTGTGTGCTTTGGGATTCACGCGCAGAGCGAGAGGGTATTATGTGGAAGTGTGTCTTGTTAGGGGATGAAACGGTGGTTACCTACCTGTAGGTGGAGATGTTATTTCCCGGAAGCAGACAGCACGTCAAACTGCAGCATTAGGTTTGTGACTTGCAGGGGTATTGGCTGCTGGTCGTCGGCCGTTGTGTTCATTTTGTCGGGATTCAACATGTCTGCTAGTTGCTTTGCCGTGAAGACTTTGCTTCCATGTCAACGTTTAGGACGGTTGCTATGTATGTGCAAAACGAAACTGCGAGCCGGGTGGGCTAAGCAGGTTGGTCTGAGCACACTTGCGAACCGGATGCGTTCAGTGTGAAAATCATGGGCGGGCGAAGGCTGTATGCGTAGGTTTTGGCGATGCCAGGTTTCATTGTAGGTTTTTACGAGGGTTTTAACTCGTTTTCTAGTGGCCTATGCGTCTTGTTCGTATTTGTTAGAAGGGGCAGCCAAGTACATGTAGGCACTTCCAAGTTCCTATTTTGCTTACTGTGGCTGTAGCGGCTTTTAGCGCATGCAGAGCTTTTATTTCCCGCTGGTGACCCGTGGGTCAGTGCTCCGGTCGTGATTCGACGGTCATTCTCCTTACATGCTTTCGTCAGCTGGACTACTACTAGGTGTTGCGCCACCGCTAGCTTCTGCTTTTGCGCTGTATTTGGAATTAGACGGAGCTTTATAGTAAGGAGCCGTTACTGGTAACAAGTTTGCTTAGCTTCTGGTGCTAAGTGGCTCAGGTGGCTCAGGGGGGAGGATATGAGGTACTGGAAGGGCCGCGGTAGGGGTCGCAGGGGACAGAGGAGGGGTGCTTTGGGCCGGCCGGTTGTTGCCTTTGTGTCCATGCTTGCCCACATGTGGTAGCAGGTGCTCTACAGAGGAAGCTATCTATCGGATAACTGCTGGCAAACTGTTGCTGGTCCAGGAACTCGTTGGCAGTGCTTTCGGTGGGCTGAGGTGTAACAGAATTAACCGTTGGTGTTAGTTGGTACGTTCTGTGCATGGACACAACAGAAAAGGACGGACGGTTGGAGTTCGTTGGTGTCATACAGCAAGTGTTGAGTCAAGTTTGAGGTTTGAGCCTTTTGGAACTGCGTTTAGGAGGGAGAGGAGAAAGGGGAGGAGAGCGGTTTGCAGAAGATGGGGAAGGAAGTGATGCTGTATGGAAGCAAGGAGGGAGGGGTCATTGTTATATTGCACTGCATTACTAATAAGCGGTGGTGCAACGTGGGGCTCAGTTTTGTAACGTGAAGAATAAGAGCAGGTTTGTTTTAGAGTCAGCTTGTTACTCGAAAGGCGTCAAAAAGAAGCGGTTCTGACTGTTGCATAGCAGGTGGGATTGACATGGAGAGGAGGCCTGTCTGCAGGTCCGGCCACAATGGAAAGGCAGGGCTATTTGCCACATGGTACCTCTTACTTAGCTTGATACCATGTAGCCCTTTGAAAATATTGTACCCGGTGCACAGCGCCCATCCCTTCACATGTACGCCGACACAATGTCGTATCGAGACAAAGGGGTTCAGGTTCCTCAAAACTAGAAAAGGGCGGAACCCCTCCTGCTCAGTACGGGAACGTATGATGGCCACTGGAATGTCAGCGCATCGCCCCCTTGAAGCCGTTTCGCGGCGGGGCTCCGCTCAAAACCCCACATGTCGTACACCCGCATGTCGTACTTCGTTGGCATGTCGTATGTCGCACTGCCGTACAATATGTCATTTTTCCCTGACTTAGACCCTGTAGTCCCCCGTGAGGGAGGTTTGCTTTTCGCAGCAGGAAAGCCCACTCCTTGTATGCGGCGTTTTCCGCAAGACAGCTTCACGACAGGCCTCAGGCCTGCGTGCGGAAGGCTTTCGGGCACCGTGCATGTCTTCCGTACAGCACTCGCACATGTCATGCCATGGCAAGCATGATTTAACCTTCGCGATAAACTACAGTCCTTGAACGCGATTTAGCTACTTTGCTTAATAGGTATCGCCCACATCTAGGTAACCCTAACAACTGCATTGCGACGCACATCTGCAACCGTAACCTTGAGCAGCTTAGGCGCAAGCCACTAAATTAGCACTTAAGTTGGCCTAACGATGTTCCTAGGAGGCTACCTGGGCAGCTGCGCTGCCCAGCTGGCCACTTTCGCAGCATGCACCGCTTGCCAGTGTGCCTCACGCGAGGTGTTGCGGCATAGCGCTCGGGTCGCGTGGTCGGTCCTCTTTTTTCTGGCGATGATAGCGGCCTGGGTCCTGCGCGATTTTGCAACGCCACTCCTTCAGAAAATTCCATGTGGGTTGGTTTGCGTGGGAGAAGGTTACTCCGGGGCCTTGGGCGTTGTAACATGAAATTGTACACTGCTTGCAGCGTTAATAAGACTCCTTGCCATGCATTCGCTGCTTGCGAGGACTTTCCAGCACCCGGCCTTATCCGCAATACGTTCCACGACGCGTTCCCCTTCCTTTTTTGCAGGGATTGTAAAAGGCGTATCGCAGGATGATATGGACAAATGGTTTGGCCAGCAGGCGGTGTATCGCGTCAGCATGGGCAACTTCGTAAGTGACAACGCCGTTTCCGTGGGGTCTTTGTCATATGGCTACACGCCCCAGCCATACGGTACTGGAGTTCTGCAGAATCCCAGAAAGCCGCTCAGCATGGTGCTTACTAACTGACTCCCTCCCTCGCCCATGCCAACCGCAGCTCTTCTTCGCATGCATGTCCCTTGCGATGGTGGGCGTGAAGTACAGGGGCGACAAGCGCGATCGCTACCTGCACCACGGCCACCCGCTGTTGAAGCTTGGCATGTGGCTCCTCTTCACGATGCTGCCCTTTTTCTTCCCCAACGATGTCCTAAACATATACAGTGAGTAGCACATCATGACGGTCGGATGGTTTACCGCTAAGGAGATGGCGGTACGCAGGCAGCCCAGGAGGTTTCAGCCCATGTCTCTGGTGAAGGCTCATCGGCTTTCGGACCCCCTTCCTCTCCCGATGCACTCACCATACGCCAGCTGTGTTAGTCGTATCCGGTAGAGCCGCGGAAAACGCGACTTGCACGTGCTGACGGGCATCCTCCCGACGTCAGATGACCCCATCCAGGCACCCTCGTCGCCGTCCTTCCCCCGTCCCATCCTCTCGCCTGCAAGTACCCTGTCTCTGTCCGCGTCCGCAACGCAGTTGCACAGTCAGCCACATCCCGCCGCACCTGCGTTTCAGTCTCCTCCCGCCTCACCCCTCCGCCATCCCTTGACACTTTTGAATAAATCCTCCTATATTTTCCCTTGCAGGCTGGGCCGCGCGCATCGGCTCCGGCATCTTCCTCATCATCCAGATGATCATCCTGTTGGATTTCGTGCAGGTGCGTGGGTGCGGGGCGAGCGTGCAGGTCGTGGGGAGGGTGAGTGTGTGAAAACACACACGCTTGCACACTGGGTTAGCCTAGTATGCGCATTAGCATTATGCCTATCGGGGAAACGCTAGGGATAGTAATTGGATATTTATCCTGGTGGTTTCTATGCAGGTGGGGGTCTGTCAGTGTGTGTAGGCGCATATGAGAACGCGCATGCCCGTCTGTGTCGTGTAGCAGGGGAGCGTGTTGGGAAGGAGGGTTGGGAAAGGGAGATGGCCTGAATTTTTGTGCAAGAGGCTTCCTTGTCCCTGTGTCTGCTCCAGCGACCCACGGGTCGTGACTTCCCACCAGTTGTCTACTCCTCTTGGATCATTGCCTGAGCCGCGCCTGACCTCCCCCTGCTTACGGCTGCACTTGGTCAACGCATGGTCAACGCAAAACGCCAACAGTGCTGGAATGACAGCTGGGTGGCGGCTGGCGAGGATGACGAGCGCTGGCTGTACGGCCTCATGGGCCTCACGTGTACGGCGTACACCGGAACGCTAACGCTGGCAGGTACGGCAGAACATATATCGGGTATAACTGTTGTACAACACTTAATTGTACGGCATAGTTGCTTGGCTGCATCGCGTTTTATGTCAGCAATGCACGACCTCATTGCCGGCGGCTGTGTCCCACCTATTCTCTTCTTCCCTCGCCTCCCTCCCTCCCTGCTTTCCTCCCCTTGAAAAAATAACCAACTTGAAATACCTTCGGCGCTGGAGCCCCACCCTTTCCACTATCGTATATCTTCTTCTTCTGCTACTTCTCCCCTCCCCTCCAGGCCTCATGTACTACTGGTTCAAGCCGGCGGGTGCTGGTTCCTGCTCGCTCAACATCGCGCTCATCACGCTCACGCTGGTGCTGGTGGCGGGATTCAGCGGCCTCTCGCTGGCCAGACAGGTGGGGACGGGGGGGGGTAGGGGTCGGGGGGGTAAGGGGTCGGGGGGGGGGGTAGATGGGATGGGAAGCGTTGTGCAAGGAAGGTCGTTTCCTTTCCATCATGCCGCCTGCGACTCGGCGACTCTTACTGCTAGCTGTAACTCCTCCAGCCCCTCCCCCAACCGCCGCACCCGCCTCCCCTCCAGGGCTCCATCTTCCCCGCCTCCGCTGTCGCCCTGTACGCCGCCTACCTCTGCTTCTCAGCCCTCCAGTCCGAGCCACGCGACTACGCATGCAACGGCCTGGCACACCGACTCACCGCGGCTTCAGGTGGGGCATTGCGGCGAGGGGGGTAGTTGGATGAGTGCCAACGCACTCAGGTGTGGGGGAGGGGGCTACAACTTGGGTACGGGTGCTAGGGGTGAGGGTCTAGGAAGGCTAGTAGTGTGTAAAGGTGGCCATCGCCCTCCCCCGCCCCGCCCTCCCCCGCTCCCCTCTTCCCTCTTGCTCCCAGGTGGCACGCTGGCGGTGGGCATGCTGTTTACGCTGGCCTCCGTGGTGTACGCGGCCTTCCGCGCCGGCTCCAACACGGCGCTGTTCACGTTGGAGGGGTCGGAGGCGGCGCCGGAGACAGCGGCGGAGGTGAGGAGGGGAGCAAGGGAGGGAGGCATGAGGAGGGAATTGAGTACGGGTAGCTTCCAAGGGCGAATCGGCTACTCATGCCCATTATCCGGATGCCATTGGGGTGAGATTCGCCTATTCCTTATTATATAAGCTCTATGATGAATGTCCCCATCCCACATTTGCAGCCCGTTTCCAGTAATCCTATGCACGCTCTTCCTCCAACTTCCCCTTCCCCACCTTCCCCCCCAGCGTCAAGCCCTGCTGGCCGCTGAGGAGGGCGGCGGCACCTCTGCGGGGCTGGACGGGGTACCGGACGTGGCGGAGGCAACCCGGCAGGCGGTCACGGGGGAGGCGGGCAGGTGAGGGTTGGGGGGTGGGGGTGGTGGGGGTGGTGGTCGGTGTGTGGGGCCGTGATGGGGCCCTCGGGGTAGGCGGGATGGTGAGATGGCGAATGAATTCATTGAGTGGGTGGCAGCAGCAGCAGGAACAACATTATATCACTGCTTCCCTAACCCTAACCCCCGTCATGTCATCTGCAATACCGCATCTGCACACCTCACCTCATCAGCTCCCCCACCCGAACCTCTACCAACCCCTGTTCAACTCAACTTCCCATGCACCGCTTCCCACGTGTTCAGGACGCCCCAGCAGCAGCAGGACGCCGCCGCGCTCGCCCCCGTCAGCTACAACTACTCCTTCTTCCACCTCATCTTTGCGCTCGCGTCCATGTACATCGCCATGCTCATGACTGGGTGGGGCAGCGAGGTGCAGGTGAGGGCGGGGGTTGGGGAGTGGTTTGGGGTTAGGGATTGAGGGGTTGGAAGGGGGGGACGGGGTGCGGTCTATCAAGTGGCCGCACCGTCTGTCAGACGGTGCGTGTTAATCCAGCTAAGCAGCGTCACTGCGTGTGTGTGTTTTGGGGTTTCGTCTCCATGCTCAACGTCATGACTGGATAGGGTGCAGCAACATCGACCTCATCCCGTATCCTAACCACATACCTCAAGACGACCCGTTTTCCTGCGTTTCCAGCTCCCTTCCTTAACCCCGCTTCCCATCCCCCCCTTCCTCTTCCTATTGCCTTGCCCGCCCTCCCTCGTGGTTTGCGCTTTTCTCTGACCTGCCCTCCTCCCTCCTGCAGGCCAAGGACCGTATTGACATCGGTTGGACTAGCGTGTGGGTCAAGACGGGGGCCCAGTGGGCCACCGCCCTGCTCTACATGTGGACGCTGCTGGCACCCGCACTCTTCCCGGACAGGGACTTCTCGTAAATGTACTACAGCTAGGTTGTACGACAGGATGGTATCGAGGGTGTTGTCCTGCCGTATCAATCCCAGTGGAGACGTACGGGAAGAGATGAAGTAACTATAACGTTGCCTAGGCCACTGGCACTGTGCCTGTCCTCACTCAACACGCTATGTAAAACAGCAGGGGCTTGGCTTTATGGGCACTTTGTGGTGTCATGTGTTACGGTTTTGGTTTTTGGGTCCTTACTCGCCGTTAGGGCCTTGACTTGCCGTTTGGAAGGGCGTGGCGGCGGTTAGCAGCGGTCGCAGGTCAGCAGCTGAGAGTTAACTTTGCGCCGTCGTTGGCGTTTGCAGGGCTGGTTACGTTTTCTCTTACGTGCTCTTGTCACATCTGACGCATCGTTCGCATGATTTCGCATTGGTAGGGACTGGTGGTGCATGAAGTTGTTGCGCGCTGGGATACAGAGCAGGACAAGTTTAACAGTGGGACGTCTGTTGCATGTTTGGCCGATTATTCGGAGGGGGCGGTCAGCTACTGAAGGAAGCGGAGGAGCGTTTAGCCGGCTGCTGTTGACAACCTGGTACGCATTTGTACAAATATCGGATTGGCATACTAATTACTTTGTACCAATGTAATCGACACCGTTGGTTTTCATCATCGTCGTCGTGAGGCAAAGCCATTCGTAAATGGGTATAAAGATACGACATGTTCCTGCGTGTGGGTCATGTCGTACTTGCATGTGGGTCAGTAGCGCATACGTGGAGCAGGCGGGGCTGATGACATCTTGAAAGCTCTTAAGCGCGGGTTGGGACAGGGTTTAGGCACGGGCTGGGATGTTAGGAGAAAGCGACATGTAAGCACGCGCGTCCAGAAGCCCCGTGCAGAAAGGTACGAGAGTCATGGATAGCTATTCGCCCTTTCCTTAACCGAGCGCGTTGTCATGTGGGAACTGTCGAGCGCCCCATATGGGGCACGGTGACTAGGAAGGGGGCGACAGCATTTGCAGAGGGACGGGTCGCATCTAGCCTTCTAACATGGGGAGTTCTTGTGACCGAGTGGACGAGCAAGTACGGGATATTTGCAAGAGTGGACCAGGGGAATGTACACCTTTGAGCCTGGGTTAACTTCACAAGCTTAACCATCGTTTTTCAGCCTACTAAAGCCTGTGATGTGTACATGCTTATGCCGGGTAGACCCGTAAGTTAGAATGCGCTCGGTAAACGTCAGCGTAGTAACCAAGGCAGCTCGAGCATAAACAGCCAACCAGGATTACAAGTTATAGATGAACATGGCTTTGAAGGTGCGCTTTGGATGCGCTACCGACTAACACGGCAAGAATAGGTTGCAAATTGCGATGACAACAATTGCTTTACATACTGAGTTGGAAACGTACCGAGACTGCTTGCAGTGCCTGGCAGTGCTTCGTAAACTGCTATGCTGGTTGAGTTGTGGCACTTGCCTAAGAACGACCCTTTCCATCCCTGTCAGTTCATCCAAACGTCGCCTGCTGCCCCTTTCCCTACTTCCAACCTAACCCCGCAGGACTTAGTGTTGCTGGGGGGTGGACACTCCCACATTGAAGTCCTGAGGGTGTTCGGTCTCCATCGGCAGCAGCGTCGGCTGCAACACCACACCCATCGCCCCAGCGTCCCCTTACAACGTGCCCCAGGTCATACTGCCAAACCACCGCAAGGCTCAGACCCTGAGGTCATCAAGACCATCCTTAGCCCAGAAGCAGATGCCGTACAGCTGACGGTAATTAGCCGTGGAGGCCGTTACACGCCGTACAGTGGAATGCTGCCGGGTTGGGCTTCCGGATTCTATTCGTACAGGGACTGCCACATCGATTTGAACCGGTTGGCTTCGTACTCGGGAGCTCGACTGGTAACGGCCGAGGCAACTGGTCTTGACCTTCAGGTAGGCCTGCCTTGTTCAGCAGATGTACACGAGAAGGAAACCGCTTTACAAACTCGGTGTAAGTGGTAACTGATTGGATAGGTTAAAGCACAATGCTACGTCTGTTACGGTTGTATTCCATTGATTGATAGCTAATCCAAGGTTGCTTCTTGCCGTACACTGCGTGTCGTACTTTACATGTCCCCGGTACTCGGCTATCGTATCCACACGTACAATTGTACGTGTGCCGTACACCGTATCTGCCATGGCATTCGTAAACAGGCTCGACAAGTCCTTTTTTCCGATGGTCGGCCACCTCTGCCGTACAATGTGTTATCGGTGGATATCGGCATTACCCCCGGGGGGTTGGAGGGTGTTCCGGGAGCTTCAGAGCACACCACGCCCGTCAAACCCATAGACGGGTGAGTGAACATTCTCGGTTGCTGCCGTTGCTTCTGCTGCTGTCCGTTTGAGCTCCTGACGTGCATCGTGGCTCGCTTTGCTACTAGAGCTTGGAGCAGTACAGACGTTATGGCCCCCGGGAACAAATGCCGGTACTTGCCTCGCTCCAAGGTCGGTGTCAGTCTTGCGGCCATTTGACGTGGCATACATGTACGCTGGAACGCTATACAACCACTCACGCATGTATGTATTTTTGTCGTCGGTCCGCCGTTACAGGTTTGTACGACAATACGAGCGGTTAATCGAGCGCTACAAGCAAGCGATGGTAGCGAGAGCTGCTAATACTGCTGCTGCTAATGCTGCTGTGACCCCAACAATAATAGCAGGAAAAGCTACAAACGGAGCTGCAGCAACAACAATAACAGCAACAGAAGCTCCCCGAGAAGGAAGAACAATAACAGCAACGAGAACACCAACCACAGCAGCAGCGGCAGCAACACCAGCGGAAGCATCTGCAGCGGTGTTGCGTGTTTGCGTTGTGGGAGGTGGAGCGGGGGGTGTGGAGTTGGCGGCCGCCGTACGGTACCGCTTAGAGGTACGACATTTGTATGGTGATGAACTCCCGATTGCAACGTTGCAATGTTAGAAGTCATGAGAGGCGAGCAACTTCACTACAAACGTGCATTGGGCAGTCCATGCCCGTGTGTGTGTGTGTGTGTGTGTGTGTGTGTGGCTGGCCAGTCCTCTGCAACACACAAATGTTGCATGCTTTGCACTTCCCTTCCACCCTGTTAGTCCGTTGGGTTAACAGTCCATTCCGATATTGTACAGCAATATACGTTCTAGACAAAAGGTTACTGGCTTCTTGCATACCGTACATGCGCAAACAGGAGGAGCGTCGGAAGGGCGGTTGGCCCCAGGAGTACGGCGCGGTGACCGTTAGGTGAGATCCGAAGTGGTTGACATTACACGGTTTGAGGCCGAGACTTTCTCTTTCCCCTTCCTGTGTTTGAAACCTTACAAAACCCTGACACACCCGCAGCCTGATATGCCGCGGGGGCCTGCTGCCCGGCCACCCACCCCACGTGCGGAGGCTGGTGGGCAGGCTGCTGGCTGAGCGAGGGGTGGAGGTGATGGCGGGGAGCGAGGTGGTGGGGTGAGTCGGGATGTGCGTGTGTGTGTGTATGTACGGCAGGGGTGTGTTACACGTGTTAACAGAGTTGCAGTACTGACTCTGACCCTGCCATGTGTGTGTGTGTTGCACCACTCCGCACGTATGCTTGGTGTTGGCTTGGGGGCGGGTGCCGGAACGCAGCGGCGGGAGTCACACCGGCACATGTACGACGTGCATGGCAAACACATGATCACCGTTTAGGGCGAGGGAACAGCGCATTGAGCCCTGTTACATCCCCTTCCGTCTGGGTCACTGTTTCCGTTAGCCTCCGTTTATCTAAGCCCCTCCTCCGCCTTCCCCAACCCCGCCTGCCGCCGTTATGCCGCTGCAGTGTTGCCCCGGGCGGGGGTCAGCTGCTGTTGCGGGGCGGCGGGGCGGTGCCGTACGACGAGTGCCTCTGGTGTACGGCGGCGAGCCCTGCTAGGTGGCTGAGGGAGACACCCGGCCTGCCTACAGGTAGATGCTTGGGGGTCAAATGGTACAAAAGGATGATATCGTGGTGTTACGGGTGTAAACCCTAAACCCATAAACCTCCTACCCTAAAGCCTAACAAGTAAGCCTCCTTGCCGATTGATACATGTAAAGAGAAACGTTCCCTTGCTCCCGGCTGCCTGTTGCCGTACGTTCCTCTCTACACATGCAGACGCGCAGGGCTTTGTGGTCATCAACGAGTGCCTGCAGTGTGATGGAGGTCCCCCGGAGGTGGGTGCGGGCGCAGGAGGTAGGGCTGAGGAGGGAGAGGAAACCGAATGCATGGGTGTGCGGGACTGCGTGGCCTTCAGGAAATGATTGCATGATGACGAGGGATGAGGATGCCGACGAGGTGTTTGATATGATGCATTGTTGAACTTGCACGTGTACTACATGTGTGCAGGTATTCGCTGCGGGTGACGTGGCGAGCAGTACGGCACACCCGCGACCCAAAGCCGGCGTGTTTGCCGTACGACAGGTAGGAAAGGGGATTATCTGCAGATGAAGGCTCTATGCTTCTTTATCACACCATTATGAGAAGGGAAAGATTATGAGACCACCGAAACTTATAGAACAGTGCCGTACATTTTATACGATCCTGTCATTGCATTGTATGACGCATTATCTTCGTCGGATACAGCCATCCTGGGAGCATTTCTTCTGGGGGAAAGAAAAATTGTATACCCGTATTGGTACATCAGTTACATTTATTGCGTTACCAGCATCCATGCTTTCCGAGTACGGTAATCTGTTACGACGCATTACGGCTGTTGCTCTGTCCCATTTCGCAGGGCCCTCCCCTGACGGCCAACCTTCGGGCGTTCCTGTCGGGCCGGCCGCTGCAACCCTTCATTCCCCAGGTGGCCTACGGGTGTAGGTGCTGGGTGGGTAAAGCGGAAACGACTAACGAACCGTGTGGTGCCGTGGGTGGATGGCAAGAGGTTAGGAAGGGGGATATGTACCTCTATCCGCAAAACGTTCGCAAATAACGGAGCTACCCAGCTTTGCTGTCCCGTCCTGCTCATGTCCGACAGCTCCACGGTTACACACAATGGCGCCGTGAATGCCGTCTATGCCCCGTTCAAAAGTTATCCTCCATCCTCCCCCCTTCCGCGCGGTCATTCTTTAGACCTTCAACCTCCTCCCTTGCCTTCGCCTCGACTCCCCTCCCCCCGCCCCCCAACTCCCTTCCCCCCTGGGCCCTGCTGACCATGTACGACACATGATTGCAGCGTACGGCAATGGCCCTGATCTCCCTTGGTGAGTTGTTCCCTTTTACGTCATGTCACTTTTGGCCCCATCTGTTGCTCCTGGCAAATTGTCCTTCATCATTGTGTTTGCTTATATGTCCAACAGAAAAAAAACTCCATGCAGAGGAAAAAACCGCGAGGGTGCTTGTTGTCTGCTTTTGCAGTCTCCACTCCCAGCGTCCTCGTCTTCACACGGTCAGGGATTGTCAAGAATGTGTGTCTGTGTTTTGAGCCATGCGTTTCGTTGCCGTCCTCTTGACTCTTCCCCGTACAATTACGGTACGCTCTCATAGATAACACAGGAGCACCGTACATGCATACCCACAGGCGACCGCTTTTGTGTCGTTAGCCGAACCGGCGGGCACGACGTTAACAACGGTGGTCGCGACGGCAACGGTAACGGTCAGGGCGACGATAACGGCCTCGATGAGGGCAACGGTCCCGAGTGGTTGGTGGGTTGGTTGCTCAACGGTTTTGGAGGTGCGGCCATCGGCTTCACCGGGCCGCTGCTTTGGCGCTGGAAGGATGCCATTGACCGGGCGTTTATGCGTAGGTAGGTGCTAGGTACGACAGCCTACATAGTGTACGACGTTATTGCAATCCTAGCAGTAACCAGTCGACCGATCGACTTCTAAGCCTGTACTGCCCAAGACGTAATGACGGGTGAAGCCGTCGTGAGTGATACATCCTTTTAGGTCCCAGACCAATTATTGCGTTTTCCTGACTAGCGAAATTGGCGTTCAATCCAAGGTATTTGGCTGTATGTCCCTCGTTCGGATAGTTGTTGTGCCCTGCCCCCTCCTCTCCCCCTTGACAGCTCCTCATCCCCCTTTTGCCTTTATTGTCTCCGTCATTGTCTTTGCAGTTAGAACCTGATTCCTAATCTAGGTATCTTCTCCCATCCTGCAACAGGTACGGAGAGGCTTTGGGGGAGGTGGACGAGGAGGAGGGTGGTCAGCAATACACTACAATGCTGTGAAGTTGAAGATGGGTACTTCGGACGCAATCTGGTAGCGTGTGCGGCCCTAATGCTTTAATGTTTATCCGCGGGGAATTAATGACGAGAGCGATGAGCGGTCAGCTGGAAGATGCCTTGCCCGAATACAAGGATGGCGGACGCAGGGAGTGTTTCCGGCCAGTTGAAGGTTTAAGGATGGGCCTCTAGTCCTGCCTTTCCGCGATCCTCAACGGTCAGCACGTTGCAGATGGGAGGGCTGGTTTACGTCCTAATTCCGTGCAGCAAGCCGCTGACGATGTTGCTATTGTACACCTATACGTCCAAGGCTTGAGTACGGCATACGTCTGTGAGATGAGGGAAGTGTGTTTGTTGACGTTTGCTATTCTTGTATGTACGGAATGGTAGTCAGGCCATCTAGCGTAAAGCGCTGGAAGGCAACCTTCATGCCAGTAAACACGCGTAACTTAAGTGGCTAAACTTGTGTTTGGCTTTGACTGTAGTTTCAGAGCAGCTTGTGGCCTTCGAGCAGTCCTCATGCCATCCGCACTATTTGCAAACTATGGCTTCAGCCCGTAGGGAAGGCTATTTCGGAATGGACTGGAGGTACGTTTTCATACTGTTAATTCGTATTGCTTTTCCACGACCAAGTGTCCTTCGCTCAAATGTCGGCAACAACCGCTGCCCAGAGTCTTGGAGATTCTTCGCGTTCTGGATGAGGGAACATACGGCATAGTATTAGCAGTAAGACACCGCCTTACCGGAGAGCTGTTCGCTGTGAAAGCCGGGAAGAACGTCACGGCGAATGGCAAGGTGCGTGATCTTTGAAAGAAGGCCGGAAGGCTATGACCCATATGAAAATTGCCGGCCTTTCGCTTTACCAGGGCATGTTGGCGTCGTTGCCCAATTCGTTTGGCTTCGCTTTGCAATGAATTGAACTTCGCTTCGCCGAGCAAAACCTTCATACGCGTTTCAAAACTCCACATCATCATGCCGCAGGTACCGTATCATACAATACAGGAGCTAAAGGTCTTGCGAAGGCTCCCGCCGCACCCCAACATCGTCCGATTAGCTGATGTATTCTGGGCGGAAGAAGGGCGCATGTATCTGGCCTTTGAGTTTGCATACGGAGGTCTTCACAAGGTGCGAATATTTGCGCGCCAGTGACAGCCAAACGGCAAAAGGAAGAAGGGCCACGCCGAAACTGCTACCGACCAAGTAACAGCTAGGTAGACCAAGTGCAGCATCCGGTCAATATGGTTGCTCAATAAATTGACGTTGCTAGTATTTACCCTTTGGGGGTAGCAACAATGCCATATTCGCGTCTTAAAGTGCAAACGTTTGGTTTTCAGTCGTCATGCAATGTCTCGCACTGTCGCACACCACACGCGTAAAATGTCACCTGCGCAACTTACGGCGTAGTCACCACATACTTCTAACCCCAGAGCAAGAAAGCTAATCATGGACCCACATTTCGTTAGGCTCTTAGGCTTACCTAACTTTGACAAAGTTGCCATTACACCCCAACAGGAGCTCGAGCGCTTTCCAGGGCATATACTGCCGCCTGCCGTACTTCGAACCGTTGCCCGGCAGTTACTGCAAGCGGTGGCACACTGCCATGACCACAAGGTACGTGTTATATATCGGCTTATCGCGCTACTGCTATGGGCACTTGGAGTAGCACCGCCAAAGCATGCCGTGCCATGCATTGTATTGCCCTGGCCTGCCTTGCTGTGACCCGAAAATGCGCGATGGGTTTTCAACATTGGCCCTATTACTACCGTACCATTCTACCGTTCTTACCTATCCGTCATGGTACCGTTGGCGCAATGGGAGTGCACGATGACTCCAAAGGCACTTAATTTCACAAGGATCCTCCCCTTCCGAACATGTTTCGACTTCCCTCCTTCCGCTCTCCTCCCCTCCCCTCAAAGATCATCCATCGAGACATCAAGCCAGCAAACGTACTCCTCTCCCGTCCTCTTCCAACAGCAGCACCAACAACAACGACAGTGGTTGGTTCGGGAACAACTGTCGCTTGTACGGCGACGCCGGTTGGTATGGTAACCGCGACAGCAACAACATCCTTGGCCCCCTTGTCCTCCATTTCCTCCTCCTCGCCTTCCTCCTCTCCCGCTCTTCCTTCCCCCTCTCCCTCCGCGCCTCCTCCTTCCGCCACCGCGCCCTCCCTGGGCAACTGCTCCTCTGCGCCGCTTCAACCGCCACAAGTCGTTGTCAAGCTGTGCGATTTCGGGTTCGCTCGTGCCGTCCAATCTTCTGATCCAAAGTACGGCGAACGGCATTCGCCGTACGTCGTGACCCGGTACTACCGTGCGCCAGAGGTAGGTCGGGTGGTTGGTTGGGAATGCGTGTGGAAGGTCGGGTGAGTTAACAAGGATGGTCGTGAGACTGCCTACCACCACAGCACCACCGCACCATGCACCGGCTTTTCATCATCATACACCTCGCGTGGCCTTAAACTTGCGTTGCCGTACTGGTTGCAATTTATGGTCGACTCTCTCACTGCGGGCCTCATCTCGCTCGTCACATGCCGTGCCACGGTTAGGTGTTGGTTGGCGGCTCGTACGGCGCTTCGGTTGACATCTGGTCATACGGTTGCACACTGGCCGAGCTGGCAATAGGCAGGCCGCTGTTCCCAGGTGCGGAGGGAGGGGTGGGTGGCGAGGGTTGATGTGGATGTCAGGTGGTTGGGCGGGGGTGAAGGGGTAATAAGGATATGCAGGGGTTGTGTCGGGGCCGCAACAACACCAACACACCATGCTACCCAAAGTGGTTCTTTCCGCTGCACCGCATGCTTCCATTCCTCGCCCGCTCTGTAACCCCCTTTCCTTTCACACCTCTATCTCTCCCGCCCTCCTCCCCCGCCTGTCTCCTCTCTCACCCCTGCCCCCCACCATGCCCGCCTGCCCGCAGGCAGATCCAGTCTAGACCAGCTGCACCGCATCATGAGCTGCCTGGGACCCCTGCCGCCGCAGCAGCTGGAGGCTCTCCGCTGCGACCTGCAACTCGTGCCTCTGGAGCAGTACCAACTCCACTTGGAGCAGCAGCAGCGGCAACAGGAGGAGAGGGGGCAGCAGCAGCAAAAGCAGCAGTGGTGGCGGTTGCTTCAACAACAGGGCAGGAAGGGCGAGCGGCAGCAGCAACACCAACAGCGACGGCAGCAGCAGTCGGTCTCTATCCAAGGCGCTTCCCTGCCGCCCGGCCTTCCAGTGCGGTGTGAGAGGCTGGAGAGCTCGCTGGCGGTGAGGAGTGGCGGGGGAGGGGTTGGAGGGGATGACAGGGAGCTGGCATGGGTTTGGGGGCTGGGATGTTTGTATGACCGACCCATGGGTCTGACACGGTTCCCAAGTTCCGTGCAGGGCCCGAAACGGAAAGCCCAAACTTAGGCATAAGCTAAGCCATGCATCTCGCACTCGCTCCTTCCCTTTTTGGCACACGCGCGCAGGGAATGGACTCGGAGCTGTTCCAAGTCATATCCGCATGCCTAACTTTGGATCCAGGCCAACGACCAACCGCACAACAGTTGCTACAGATGCCGTACTTCCAACCTGCACCAACTACCATGCCAGCGAGTACGATGGCAACGGCCGCAAGGCCCAACGAAATTTGTGTTGCACTGGGATGCGACAGCAGCAGCAGCGCTTCTCTTGGCAGCAACGACAGCCCAGTTGGTAGGCATGTTCGTACCACGGCAACTGGTACGGGCATTCGCACTTGCCGTATGCCACGGGCGCGGTCGGCTAGGACGTACGGATATTACGAGGAGCAGGCTGGCACAGTTGCCGGCAATAAAAACAGCAACGGTGCCACTAACGGCAACGGTCTGGGTAACGGCAGCCGGAGCAACGCTGGCATCAACAACGGTTGTGCCGCCGTCCGGCGAGAAACATGGGCTGTCACTATTCCCGCCGCATCCACCGCTTCCACAACCACCAATGCCTTCGGCAGCAAACCCACCGTGACCACACCTACCACCACTTACACCACCACTGCCGGGACCAACGGAACCCCTGCCGCAGCCACCGTTAGCGCGGCCCGCAGTGGCGGAGGGGACGGCGCCGTCGCCGCCAGTGACGCTGACGCCGCCGAAGCAGCCGTTTCAGTTGACACCGCCGCCGCCACAGCCATTGGCATGCCAGGCGAGCAACCTGCAACCAGCAGCGTCGGCGTTCGCAGTGTCGATGCAGCTGTTGATGGTTTTGCTGGTGCTGCTTCGGCTAGCGCGCACCTTTCGTTGCAACAACAACAACAACAACAACAACAACCGCAACTGCGACCGGAAGTGCAAGTACAGCTGCAGACCCCGTCAAAACCGCGAGCGTTAGGACCGTTGCTGCTGGCCGCCTCAGCCTCATTGTCGACCTCATCATCAGCGGTCTTCTCCGCCGCAACTGCTACTACCGCCTCCGCAGTTGCTCCTCTTTATGCAACCGCCTCAACCGTTGCAGCCAGGACGAGCTGTAGCAGTGCCGTACAGTTGATGAGATCCGCGGCGGCGAGTGCCATGTGGGCGTTTCCCAGCAACGACAATATCGTTGGCGGTTATGACGACGGTTGCAGTAATTGCGATGCAAGCGCTCGCGAGGGAACTGAGAACGGTACCGGCGGTTGCAGCGACCCTATTGTGGATGGCACCACGGGCATTGGTTCAACCGCTGTCCCCCTGACCGCCGCTCGGAAACGCAACCCTCTCAGCCTCCTGTACGGCTGGGGTGGCAGCAGCAGCAATGGCTACAACGCTGGCAGCGGGGACAGGGGCTGTGGCGAGAGCGGTGATGTCAGTGCCTGGAGTAGCAGTAGACCCCCACTTGCCAGCAACACCACCGCCGCCAGCAACGCTGTGGACTGTCATGCTGCCCTACAGCCCTCATCGGTGGCTGCTGCTGCTACTGCTGCTGCTATTGCCACTGTTCCCGTTGCCTCCACTGCAGTGAAGGCAGCCGCCACGGGCAACGACCTGGTCCGTGCTCCTCGCAGCACCAACAGCAGCAGTAGCAGCGCTGAAACCGCTGCCAGCGGTGTTACACTTTCTGTAAGCGGCGGTCGCGGGCTTCAGAGGCCTTCTAAGGCATCCGCCGCTGCATCATCTGGCTGGCATCTGAAGCTCATGCGTTCCTTGCGAAGGAATCGTTCCGTGTTGAGCAAAGGCGTGACAAAGCTTTTAACATCTTGCAGCAACCCGTGGCCGGTGCAGCCCACGCAGCCGAGCAGCAAGTTGAGCCCATCCTGAGGTCTGGAAAGTAAGCCTGCTGATGTTATTGGCATTTTACGGACCCATGGGTCACTTGCTCAGTGGAGAGTAAATTTGACGTGATTTTACTAGGTTGTGCGTTAGAGAGTTGTCTTTAACCTGATGAACGTGCGCATGTATCCATACCAACCAGGTGGCAGGGCGATAACAAATCTAAAGATCATATGGGTTGTCCTGATGGGCCAAGCATCTTGCTAAATATTTCTTGGAGGTGTCTAGTAGTCGCAGTGCGATGCAATAACAGCGTGCAGGGGATTTGCGTAGGCAGGGTGCTGTCTGGGGCTGCTGCTGCATGGGAGGTGTCGCTTGGGATTTATCGTTGACCTCGGGCCACGGCATGTTGGATGGCTGTAGCGTCAAGCATGCAGGAGGTTTCCATGCGTTGGCCTAAAACCTACCGCTGAGAAGTGAGAACGGTGCCTGTTGCGAGCACACGCGTGCACATCATCAGCAACCTAGTCATTTCGTTTATTGTGGTTCCTCATCATCAACAGTGTTACCGTAACGCGTTCGGTCATTGCATTTTTTGGTGTCCGCTCATCGCCAATCCAGACATCGACAAGGCCCAAAAACTAGTGGACTTCTCAAAGGTGGTAGACCAGGTCTTCTTGCCAAACGGTGCCTGACTGGCTGGCAATAGCTCATTAGCTCCTGCTGCTGACTCGGTTGGCCGTTCTTGTGCTGTTAGTTACCATCGCTGTCGTTGGCTCACGAAACACACACATGAAGATTGTTATCGTTTGGGGCTGACGTTATGAAACAAAACGCGTCTTAGTGCATCTGTTGCTGTAGGCGTTGTATGGCATGGCGGTTGCTAACGAACATTGCCGGTTCGTCAAGCGATGACGGTTGCACGCGTCGACAGGTTTTTCGGTTTTGCGCCGGCGTCTCCCTGCCATCCTGCCTGCCGGCTTGCTGCCTGCTTGATTGTGACGTCGTTGTGCATGTTTGTTGTTGCTGGAACGCGTTTGAGTGTTCGCTGTTATTCTATTGTTCGCTGCTTCGTTGTTTGTATGGCTAGGTTCCTCTTCCTGATGAGGCTCTGATTTGCGCCCTTACTCCATGTTATACCTCATCCTTCGTGTCAACCCCGCCGCTATACCGGTATATGGTATGCTGGCAGCTGCTGGTGGCCGTAGGTGCCGCTTACTCATCAGCTGCCGTGTTGCTGCTATTGACAGAGTGGATGCAACATGTCACGTTAGAATGGACGGAAGGCGTTGAGAGGAAGGTAGTTGGAAACAAGAGTGGAGGACGAAATGGAGGAGGTGGGGACGTCAAGGGAGGAAAGCGCGCGACACGACGAGAACGGGGAAGGGAAGAGATGCCGGGAGAGAAGGGCAAGTGGACACAGAGAGTAATAAGGAGGCAAGGTAACGTAGACGACATGCAAGCTGGAGACGTGGAGTGACCAATGTTTCATCATATCGCTGCTCGGCGTGCTTGGCAATACATTTCCTGCTCACGCACGAGGATAATCATAGCTGCAGGAATTACGCCTGTAATTAGGCTTTAGGTTGCATGTGCTTTCGTCATGGCGGCTGCATGCTTTTATTCCGCGCACGTTGCTTGGGGTCTACCTGAAGTTCATGGTCATCTGGCTGTACAAGTCGGTTTATCACACACGACACACCTGCTGCTGTTACGTTTAAAACATATTGGCGGTAGGAGTGCAATAATGCCTCCACGGCAAGCCCAGGCGTTTCTGCACGCGAAAATCGTGAATTATGGCATCTTCAAGTGCATGGTGTCTTCGTACCTGCATGCTATATACACGGATGCACCAAGTGCTGGACGTAATGCCAATAAAGTACAGCGGCCTTTAATTGGAGAATATGCCTGGCGTGAGGAAAATTGAGGGATGTGCGCCGTACATGTTTGAACATGCGTGTTTTCCTCCTTGAACATGTCCGTGTTGTCCTGCTTAGGTGCGCGGATGACTGCGTGTGTCGTACAGTTTACGTGAGGGCCGTACTTCACAGCCTGACGGACATCGACTGATGAACGTACAATTGCTGACGGAGTATTGCTGTTGCCCTAGACCACCACCTATCTTTCTTGCATCATTGTCATATTATTGTTTGTTTGCGTTATTGTACGTGCATGGCGGTAGGTTGAACGTCAAACGTCGTAACTTTAACTTTGGAAGAGTGGAAGAGTCGGATACTGTCACGGCATTATTGCCCAACTGCCTTACACCAGCAGCACCGCCGCGTCTTGTGCCTCGGATGTACGTTTGTACACGCGCGTCTGGCGCCCATTGTCAGCCCTCACAACCGCACCACCGTACGGCAGCAGCAGGCCCGAATGTTGCAGCTAATGACAGCTCAAGCATGTGACCAACCGGTTGATGTTTTCCCCGCCCTCGCTTTTCCTATTTCGTACACCGGTAGCTTTCCCTCCATACGTGCAAACTTATCCAGAGGGGCATTGTACGGCATATCCATTCTAATGAAGCCTATTTCATCTCTTTCGTGCTTTAATGTTTTAGATTGCATTTACACGACACGAAGGTACGGACAATCACGGTGCCGCAAAACACAGAACCGTCTAGGAATCTCCTTGCATGCATGTAGAAATAACACTTCCCAGGTAAATATGCGCACAAGAGATATCGAGTACATCCTCTGTACTAGAGCCCGATAGTCCTATCCAGCTGACCAGCTCAGACAAAAACGTACCGGTACGGCAGGACGTTGTAGTTGTTTGGGCATCACCGGACTGCATGCCTGCCCGTCTCTGCTGTTCAGTAATATAATTTGTACTACCGGTACATGGCGCCAGCAGCTAGCAAAGATCACAACCCCAGCAATGGTTCCCCGTCACGAAACATGAACAGCACAATACAGCAGTCGATGAGAGTCACTGTAAGCAAGCAATGCCTCGTTGCGAGACGTTAGCCCGGGAGTGATCGGGACTAATGCGTCATGATGAAGCCCAAAGCACCTCTCAGTTACCGACATTACTATTACTTATGTAAGCAACTCCGTACTGTTACTGAAATACTGCCAAGGCAATGGCAAATCCATTGAGATATTTCATAACTAGGCTCGGTGGGGTACCAAATAAATAGCTCTTCCACTACATTCGTACTGCACACAGACAGCTGCGCAACCGACCTTGACTTGACCTTGACCTTGAACGCATAAACAAACACCCTGCAGACGCACAACGGAGGTTTCGCTGGTGGGTAAAACATACAGCTAGTATCTTTGAAATGTAATGTAACATCGTACACATCGCGCAATGAAGCTATGACAGCCGGCGGTATTGACCAGCACACAAGGCGTGTACGGCATGATCAAGCGCGGCCTGCTCAAAGCACAAGCGGGGCTACGCCAACCTAAAGGTGTTTTCTCGGATGTCACAAGACTTCACGCGTGAAAGGCATACTAATTTTTCATGTGGACAGTTCGCTTGGCTGGTCTAACACCTATTATCCGTTGGCATTGTTATCTGCGCACATGCGGGTAGCTGCTGCTGCAACACCCCACGGCCCATACATACGTACACGCCACGCATGCTTGTGGTCGACATATGGCAACAGTATATAAATTGCACTACTTCTGTTACTACAGCAGCCCACACTACCACCAGCAGTCCAAGTGACAGTACACGTCAAAAAGAATACCACACATCCCAGCCTTACATACTGATTGCACACGCCAGATGCATGCTCGGTTTTCTTCTACGAGACGACAAATGGGTGACAGCTGGCGAGGCAATGTCGCAATTAGCCGCCGCCGGTAGCCGCTTAACTACGACCTGCCGTTTCAGTAAAAAGGCTACCTACCCCAACGACGTCCTAAGCAACGTTTCATGTCCTCCTTGACTGCAGTACCACCTGAAGTACGACTTGGCATTGTACAATGTGTACAAGGCATGCCACACCAAATGCGAGCTAGCTACCGCACCATTTCTCCTCTTAAGCCACCACGCCAATAGGGAGGTAGCGCTCAAAAACATATGCACGAAAGCACAGTTGCAAAGAAAGAAGGATTCACATATCCTCTACCTGTGTATGGGTCCTGCCCCTCGCTGCTGGAGTATTAATGCAAATCGAGTCACGCATGTGCAGGCTTCCCAATCCTGCCAAACCTTGCCGCGCCCTATCTATCGTACACGTGCCATTTGCCGTACCAGAGGATATCGTGCAAACTCGTATGTCGGACTCAAACAGTCCTGGTGACATGCTCATCTCTGCTCTCACGAAGGAAGGCTAACAGTAGGGGCTCATGCTCGCGCAAAACACTCATCCGCCGCCGCTCCTGCCGCTGCGCTTTCTGAACAACGCACAGAAAGCCAGGCAACCGTCTTTGGAAAGCGATGAAGGTGGTGGTGGTGTGGAGGAGCGGGAAGGTAAAGGAGGGGAAGCGTAGGAGGTAGGGGCCGGAACCATGGGTCTGCATGCAGGTGTTGTTGAGCCGTCAACAACCGATATCATACTGGTTCTCGCCGCCGTTGCCGTACTAGCTGCAGCAGCAGCGCTTTTCGAAACCACAATGGTCACCGTTGCTACGGCAGGAACGCCAGCAACGGCAGCGGTCGCTTCCACCGTTGCGACACTACTTCCAGTGTTGTAACCCCCACCAAGGAATTGATGCCGCGCCGATGGCGTGGGGAAGCCGAAGAAGCGGGTAAAGACGGTTAAAGGTACAGAGGAGCTCGAGGAAACCTGATGACACCGCTTGTTTGTTGTAATGTTGGTGGTAGCGGTGCTGCTGCTGCAAACGCTGTAAATGCCGCTGCCACTGCTTGTGGTGTTAACTCCGGGAGCAGCAGCTGTTGCATCCAACTCAATTCCTGATGAGCTGAAAGCAACCGTTCTTCTGTCGTGCAGCGGCCTCCTGCTGCCGTACAACGGCGGGCTTTGGGAAGATCCCCAGCCACCGCAGCCATTGCTGATGCTATAGCCGCCACCACCACCACCCTCGCCGCCACCGTTATTAATTCCTCCTTCTTCACCCCCGCTGCCACCGGCACAGCCGCTATTGCTGATGTTACAGCCGCGAGCCTTGCCCTTGGGAATTGGTGGATTTGAAATGCAGCTCAGCACAGGCGGCAGCGGAGCTGCAGCGGACCGCGGTGACGTCATCGTGCCCCTTGTCGTACAGACTGCGTCAGCAGATGACGACAGCTTTGCCGTACAAACCGTCCCTGATGCAGGCATAGCGCATGCCGCTGTTCGTATCCCCGCTGGTGCTGCCGACACAGTTTGTTGCCTATGGGAAGGACTAGGGCAGTGTACGGCAGCAGCAGCAATGGCAGCCTTGGCAACGTAAGACGGGGCACGGCAAAGGGCTCTTGGGGTAGCGGCTGCTGCAGCAGTAGGTGGAGCGGCAGCAATCGTTGCGGCAGTGGTAGTGGCTGAGGTGGCGGCAGCAGCTGTTTCTGCCGTACTGCCAGTGCTGGTGCTACTGCTGTTGCCCCGGATGCTTCCGCTATTGCTGCAGGAGCTTCCGCTACTGCTGCTGCTGCTGCAAAACGTGCGAACGCTGTGGGAAGTGATGCTGACCCTGGGACGTCCAGAAGCGGTGGCGGTGGTAGCAATGACATCGGCCTTGCCATTCGCACTGCTGGCAGCTGTTTCCACGGTACGAGTGCCTGCGCTGCATTGGCTGTTGCTGGTGGCAGTGAAGGGCACCGGAGTCGTTCGCCGCACTGACGACGACGCGTTGTGGCAGTTAGAGCCAACGGCTGCTGCAGTTGCGGCTAAAGGCGGTTGAGCTGTGGTGGTTGGGAAGATCGTGGAGGCTGGCGCAGGAACCGTAAGCCGCCGCTGTTGCCCGGCTGCTGCAACAGTTTGTGAGGTGGTGCTGGTGCTGGTGTTGCTGTTGCTGCTGGTGGTGCTGGTACCTGCTGCTGTTTGTCTCCTTCCTGAAGGTAACAACGACCAGCCCATGTTGCCGTTGCCACCCGCCGTCATTTTTGTCACATTCCCCTTGCTTGCCGATCCATTGTTGTTGCCGCCGTTGTTGCCGCACGGCAAAGGAGGCAACACTGCCTCTCCTCCTCCTCCAAGGCAAGAGCTTGCCTCATTACCGCTACCGTTGCCGTTAACGTTTCTGGGTTTCCCCAGTAGCTCCAGCGAGGCCGATGTACGGAAGTACGGCAAGTGTCTTACGAGATCCCTGTTACCGGCGACCAGCAGGCGTCCAACGTCCCAAAAGTAAGGCATTTGGAGGAGCTCATGAACCGTGGGTCGTTGCCGTGGGTCGAGTGTCAGGCATGTGGCAACCAACTCGAACAGCCGTGGCTCCAGCTTCTGCGGTGTAGCAAGGAAGTACGGCAAGTAAGTAGTGTGTTGTACGGGAGCATGAAGCACAGCGGCGGTATCAATGGATGAGCGTCAGTGCATCATACATTCATAACTACTCACAAGCAGCTATGCAATCCCTCCAATATCAGCACACGTATCATCCGGCTGTGACCCGTGGGTCCGCGTGTGGACGATAATGGAACGGCTTGTGTACGACTCGCCGTCCGGGCGACCCATCCACATGCAAATGGTCCCACCATGACCCACTTTGACCGACAGCTCAACCCGAACCACCTCCCCATACCATATCCCAGAACACACAACAATGTAGATGTTGCATTGATCCTAGACTCTAGACGTCTGTCCGCACAGTCTGACATCTCAGTGTCAGGTCTGTAGACCAGGCTCGACAGTCCTAACCAAGCTATCTGTTGCACGTCGCCCAACATGCCGTACACGGGTGCCGTAGGACCCACCGCCAGTCTCTGCCGTAGCCGCATCATGCCCAGCCCCTTTCCAGCGGAGCCATTAGGCCGGTAGTCGTGGCGAAGGTCGTGAAGGTAGTGTTGGTTGTTGCTGGTGTCGTGTAGTGACTGCGCGGCCCTTAAGGGTTCTAAACCCGGGTTGTCGTACATGGTGGCTGCCAGATGCGGCGGCAGGGGACCCAGGCAGCTCATGATGCGGTGCAGCTGGTCTAGGCTGGAGCTGCCTGCGGGCAGGCGGGCGTGGTGGGGGGCAGGGCGGGCGGGCGAGGAATGGTAGCATGCGGTGCAGCGGAGAGGAATGGTAGCATGCGGTGCAGCGGAGAGGAATGGTAGCATGCGGTGCAGCGGAGAGGAATGGTAGCATGCGGTGCAGCGGAGAGGAATGGTAGCATGCGGTGCAGCGGAGAGGAATGGAAGCATGCGGTGCAGCGGAGAGGAATGGAAGCATGCGGTGCAGCGGAGAGGAATGGTAGCATGCGGTGCAGCGGAGAGGAATGGAAGCATGCGGTGCAGCGGAGAGGAATGGTAGCATGCGGTGCAGCGGAGAAGAATGGAAGCATGCGGTGCAGCGGAGAGAACCACTTTGGGTAGCATGGTGTGTTGGTGTTGTTGCGTCCCCGACACAACCCCTGTATAACTTTGTTACCCCTTCACCCCCACCCACCCACCTGACACCCCACATATATGCACATCCCCATCCCCTCTCCCATCACCCCTCGCCACCCCCCTCCCTCCTCTTACCTGGGAACAGCGGCCTGCCAATTGCCAGCTCGGCCAGTGTACAACCGTACGACCAAATGTCAACCGAAGCGCCGTACCAGCTACTGCCAACCAATACCTAACAGTGGCAGTACAGTATGGTGCACATGTTGGCAGGAAATCCGGTACGGGATGTGCAAAAAATGCGCACCCAGCCATTAAAGGATGCACCAAGACCATCGCCTCTCACATTAAGGCTACTAAAAGCCCTGTCTAGAAGCAGAGCTACGTTTTGAGTCCCAGGCAGCTTCTGGTTATTAGCTAGCTAGCTAGCAACCCGAACTCTCCTACCTCCGGCGGACGATACCATCTGGTCACGGTGTACGGCGTCTTGGGGTCTTCCTGTACGGCATAGCAACCGTTGGCGTGGTAATCGCCATCAGGACTACCGTTTACGTTACAGTGACGGTTGCTGGTGCTGTTGCCATTGCCGTACTTTCCGTACGGTAATGAAGACGATGACGGCGATACCATGTGTCGTGCGAAACCAAAGTCGCAGAGTTTAACAACTCCGCCTCCGCCACAGCGTTCGTATGAGCTGCCGCCACCACCGCTACCATCTCCGACCCCGTAAGAGGTTCCAAAGCTGCCGCCACCACCGCTGCCACTGCTGACGTCATGACTGCAACAGTTCCCGTACGGTTGACAGTTGCTGCTGTTACCGCTACTGCTGCCGGTGAGGAGGATGTTTGCAGGCTTGATGTCCCGATGCATGATCTGGTAGGATGAGGTCGTGGGGTTATGAGGGGTTTCAACGAGGTGGGGTTTTTCCCTTGCACCCGTACCTACGCAACTGCCTGCCTGTGATCCCCCACCACCCTTCATTCGCCCCAGCCGAACGCACACGCACACACAGGGGAGGAGGACTTCATCTTCCGGCAATCACAGTACGTTCCGCCTCGCGGCGACTTATCTTAACAAACAGGAGCTCAGTCCGATAACATACACACCATAATGGCAATGTACGCAATCAGCTGCACCTCAGCTGCATTCAGATCACTACGTGCTCCTGTACTATGTGCTTCCGTCCGCACATTTCCTTCCTTGCAGGCATCCGCACGCTCAATGTACTGCAAAACTCAGTATACTGCAACATTGTACAACACGCACCAACACCAGATCTCCGGACCCAAGCACCTACGTCGTGATCGTGGCAGTGGGCGATGGCATGAAGCAGCTGCCATGCCACGCTTTTGAGCATAGGGCCGGGCAAGCAGCCATTGGGATGGCGGTCCATTTCCTGTACGGAAAAAGCGATTTTGGAATGCGGGCAGAAAAGGTTTGAGACGTACGGCTGTAAGGGTACCGGTATTATGAGTTTGGCTTGAGATGCACGGCAGTAAGAGGAAATTGAGTTTGGAGAGCGCTTAGCAATAGGAAAAGCCCTGGACATTGTTGGGGCCATAGAAAGCCGGGCCCCCGGCTTTGGAGCGTGTGGCGCACGTTGATTGGGGCCAGCAAATCCCAACAAAATACATGGGGCAGACAATATTCATATCGTGTCAATCGGGGCTGTGAAATAGGCTTCAGAACTCACGTAATTGTGCACCCCTTGAACACCAGTAAATAAATCTGAAATCTGCCGCACTCTCCGGTACCGCAACCATGACAAGTCGAACCCTTGAAACTCCCTAGCCCCTACCCAGCACCTGCCTGACGTAGGCTTCCCTCCACGAACTCGAACACAAGGTAAACCCTGATGATGCGATTGCAGGCGTTTGAGGTGAGCGTGTTTGGCTGAAGTCACATGTGCCGGTATGCATGCACGTACGGAAAGCGACCCCAGCACACGCAGCCGTGTTCACCCTGTATCGGAGTATGCCCTAGGCCTAAAAGCCGGACATTTGTGCTGTCCTCATGTTTTACAGTCGCACCATCTTCATGCTTTGCATCCGTGCACACGCCCTACCTGCCGCCCTGCGTTCGGAAGGCATCCCGCATGTACACGATGTTGACGTGCGGCGGCAGCGCTCGGAGCACTTGGACCTCCCGCAGTGTCAGCCGCATGACCTGTATGCGGGAATAACAGTACGGCAAAGCAAATGAAATGCCCCGTAGAAAGGAATCGTACGGTCTATGACAATGTTACATCCTATATAGTTGGGGTATAAATGTTTGGGGCCGGTGAATAATACATACACTCAAAGGGCTCGGTTTATCGTCCTTCGGTACCGGTATATCGTCCTTCGCGCCCTCTGCGCCAAACCCTTTGCATGCTAAATGCTGGGCACAGGAAGGCTCCGCTCCGATCCCCCAGTTTAATTCAACCAAGCTCTGCCTGTAAGCGGCGGAAATGGTCGATGCATAATGTATTCCAGAGGATGTGTCACCAAAGGTTAGGGCTCGGAGATATAGTCCCCCCAACCGGGGGACCACTGCTAGCTGCTACGCAAAGGCACCTGAGCGTCCTCATGCGCCTGCTTGATGGCCTTCACCGCACATATCTGTCCTGTCGCCATATCCAGCACCTTATAGCAGACGCCATATGCTCCGGAGCTTATGGATTCGAGGTACTCATACCTCTGCGATAGCAGTTTGCACAAACATGACGGGCGCGTTCGACGGGTCAGCATCCCGGCTTGCAGGTTGCGCATAATGCAAATTCTAGCAATTGCGTTCGTATAGACATTCAACGTGATCTTCTCCGCAAGTAAGTTCTTGCTAGCTGGTCTCGTGACCTGCTGGGCCTTGGGGCTTTTCGGTTGACGAGCGAAACGTGGGAATGCGAGCGGCTTCTTCAGTAGTATCAAACATATTGGACTAACCTCCATTCCAAGTTATGTTTGCGCCTTCGCAACTTGGGAAGGCCCAGAGCTCTGAATTACATGCACATCGACCGATGCAAGCTTTTCGGGATATCGAGCTCCAGGATACGCTCTGTCGAAGTTTCAGTCTACGGCTTCTATCCCTCCAAAGCTAGTAGGCAATTCCGTTACGCACCCCTAATCAGGGATGCCTGTACATTAATGTGGCGAACCTCCCCAGCTAAAATACGTATTCTTCATATGCTTCTGTCGTTTGCCCATCAAACGCTTTCTTAAGTGACACTATTCATACGTATCCAATCGGATAGCAGATTTCCCGTGTATCGGCTGGAGTACGTACGGAAGATATGCTTGTACGAGATAGAGTGGGCTGGTGGAAGTTTTGTAAGTTGGGTAACTTCAAACCTACCCTATCGCTTGAAACTATTCGGATATATTACGGTGGCAACCCAGCTTACAAGCCCCGAGGAAACCAAAATCACGACAAGCCCCGTGGAAACCAAAATTACGACCCGGCCCATGTAGTGTGGCCGCGCACACCCTACCAAGACCTTCAGACCGATTCCCTTTGGCCTGATATGGCGGCATCAATATTACGACCTATCACGTCACTGGTCAATGAGCATAGGCTGCGCCTACCCAACACCTGTTGGACAGCCACCAAGGTAGACCGCTGATTATCCCAGCCTGCCCTAGCCTGGCCCAAGCCACCACGGCCTTGCAAAGTGCATCAATTGGGAATCGAAAGCAGATCCCCCGTCACGCAAGTCTGCTGCATGGTACTGAAGCCCTGTAAAGGCGGGACAAGGTGTGGGGTAGGTAAGGGTACAAGGCTGGGACGAGGCAGACACGGTTATGTGTCTAAACAAAGCAATACATGCATCCTCGCCCGGCCGCACCTGGAATCACACCCAGCCAGGGTTGCTGATTTAGTTGCACGAGGAGTTTTAGACCGCAACAGGGCCCTGCACTCACATCTTGCTCCAAGGATACATAGCTTCATTGACTTCCTAGCACCTGCCATTGCAGGTTGTCCGCTTCTCCTGGATCTTTAAGGTCATGACCTTGACGGTATTACGGCTCTGCCAATCCGGTTTTGCCTGGCACGTTGCTGCTGTGCGGCCTTTGGCATGTCATCGTCGCCGATGCAGGTATCCGATGTATCAGCGGCGGACTCGGACACAGCCTGACCGCCATGTCCTCGCCGAGCTGGAGGCACGATAAAGGCCGAGACAATGTGCCAAAGAGTAACAAAAGCCGCTGCGTAAACTATTAATAGAAGCCAGCTGACAGCTACTGGGTACTTCTCAAGCGATGATGCCATTAGCTTTATATAGTAGTATAAAATATCTCTTGCTTTTACAGCACGTAACTACTGTACAAGTTAGCAACTTGGCTACCAAACACGAAGTTCCATGGAACTAGCAGTATGCCAAAGGCAACCAACGTGACCACGGTTTCATTGCTATAAATACTTCCCAGTATTACTACAGAATAAGAGTTGCAGCTGGTGTGACTTTGAAGTTGAGTCTCGTCCCATACCGGTATTTGACTGAAGTCGTACATGGCCCTTTGCGCAGCGGTCAACCCGAAACCCTCGAAGGATACCAGCATACCCGCTCATCTGCCTCGCGCTTGTGTTAGGTCTGCGTGCCAATACCGTAATGGACCACATCCTTACCTCTCCCCCACACATTCCATGCGATACAATACAGCGGCTCACGCGGACCTCACAATGTTCTGTCTTGCCGGCCTCATGTGTCAGCATGGGGTACAGCTCAACCACGGCCACCAGCTCACCCCAGGTGAACCTTTCTCCGTTCACGTGCTGCTGCTTTCCCTCCTGCATTTCCCACCAAGAAACGCGTTTTCCCTGCCATTTAGGGTAATGTGGCTAGCGAATCTTTGTGTGGGCGCTATACTGGAACCGGCTGTAAAGGGCAGCCTTCTCATCTATCTGAGTGGAGTGCACACCATTACGCTGCTGTGCTGCACTGGTACGACATACCCTGCATCACGTATGCCACCCACCATCACTCCAAGGTATTTAGCCGCGGCAAGGCGTTGAGTAGTGGTTACCATTTGCGCCTTATCTAACTTCATACCTTTCTCGGCCTTTTGGCTCAGATCATGTGTAGTATCTGTTCTTGTAAGTCTAATCGCTTACATGGTCCTCATTGAGGACCTGCGATTAACTTCAATATTTTGAGGGGGTGCGGTCAATGGGTGCGCTTGCGCATCCGACCCACCAGCATGGTTGCGGCCTTACACTACCGCCATTGCCGTGCACCCTACCCAACAAAGCATTACCAAATTCTAGGCATGACACATTATAAACCTGCAATCAGTATCGCTTGCTGACGGCTTGTCATGCTGTCGCAATGGTGAGGGGCAGCAGAACCACGCAGCAAACACGCTATGCATGCAGGACCCGTGGGACATCAGATGGCGGCTGATAACCGCGCTTGTGTGTAGTGTTGTTCGGATGGTGTTGTATACAAACACCGTAGGTCTAAGGGCCTTACAAAGCTGAAGGGCTGCACTAAGAGGCTAATCAGCAGTATAGCAGTTCAAAGACGGACTATAAGTGGGGCCTACTCGCCCACTAGTTCCACACCATTACCGCTCTAGCAAAGGACAGCCACCACCCCAAGCACAACCCCAGCAGTGCTCGGTGGCTCCTTGCATACTGGTGTGCCTCGTCCTACTTATCCTCCCTTACCCCTTCTCTGCCATTCCCGCAACCGTGTATAGCGACCTTGCTCCCGCTCTTCCGCTCAACTGCCTTGCCACTGCAACTTCTCCCCAAATATGCTGTTAGGCTTGTCCGCCGAGTCCTGGCAAATACTTTAAAATCTTCCTTTTCCCCATCATCACGCAACAGCTGCTCCAGGCGTTCTTCACGGCTCTCGACCCACCGGCAAACCCCACGCCAATTTCCGTCACACCCGTCACCACAATAGCACCCGTCAAATCCGCCGGCTACCAACCCATTCCCCTCTCGGCTTCCAGCCTGTCCGCTTAAACTTCAAGCGAGCGATATCACTGCCAATGCTTCTCCTGCTGCTCCTCCTGCCGTTGTTGCGGTGTTGCTGCCCATCCTGACAAAGGCTTGGTTCCACCCCACGCCTGCTGATTACCCGGTAGCCCCTGCTGCCTGGCAATGAGCGGGCCGCTGTCGACTGGTGGGATGGTGCTCGGCGGAACAATTGCAAGCCTGTCTTGCTGCCGAGTCAGTCTGCGCGGATCCCGGCTGCCCCCTCTCCCCGCACTGTTTGGCCTCCTCTGTAGGACTCCTCTGCCCACTCGTTCCGCCTGACTTGTAGCTCGCCGGATACTGGTGCTGCTATTGCGGATGAATGCCGTTGCTCCTAGGGAGTCTGGAGCTACCGCTCCTGGTGCTACACCTGACGCTGCTGCTGATGGCTATGATTTAAATGGAGGCGAGGAGAATGGGTCCGCGGTGAGTATGCTGGTGTCAATCACCGCCGTCACATTGCTGCGTCCACCCAGCGGGCCCCGACTGCCCGTGGAGCCCCGCAGGAGCGAGTCGCACGTCGGGCGCATCACTTGGCGGAACGCAGTTTTTACTCCCTTTGTTACCGCTGCTGGGGCTGCTGCTGGAGCTCCTCTTGTGGCAGCGGCGGCGGTGCTGCGGTCTTCGCTGCCGCAACTTCTTTCCCTGCTGCTGCAGCTGCTGTTGTCGTCCTGGTTGACCGCGGCCTGGGGTCCCTGCTGGCGCCTGCCTCACGAAGGAGCCTCAGGTACTCCCGCATGGCTGGCCACCTTTGGAACGGGTTGGGAGGGTGGGGTGTCGAGGCTTACGGGCGAGGCAGAGAGGCAGGGTAAGGAAAGGGAACGGGGCGGCCGCCTGCTCTCACAAAACTCTGCAGCTCCAATCGCCACCCTCCTAAGCCCCTGCCACCGCACCCCAGGTCATCCCGCGCGACGCATGTGGGCGAGGTCACCCTTCCTCAACCCTGGTCGCCGTCTTAACCCTTCACACCTCACCTCACCTCACCTCACGCCACCCCACCACCCTCGTATCCCGTCGTTCCAACTCCACACAGCCTCAAGGTGGTGGGACCCCACGCCCCAACATCCCCCTCGCACCTCCACCTCCACCTCACCTGCCAGGACCCCCCAGGTGCGCCAGATAGTTCCACGTGAATATGCCGCTGCTGTGCAGGTCATCGAAGTGAATCCTGTGTTTGGATCGTGAATTGAATCCTGCCTTGAGATTACAGTATGTCATTTGGTGGAACCATTTGGCAGAGGAGGATGGGGGGAAAACGAAGGCAGGATGGATGCGTGCATATGTCTTACCTGATGGCGTAGTTGCCGACAGGCTCCACGGACATTATCCCAACATGACGCCGGCCCGAAACCACCTGTTCGAATGATGTATACGGTATTGGTACGGCGACACACATCAGTGGCATGGTTCGCGGTATGGCCCCTCCCGGGCACCCCTCATGGAGTTGCGGAGAGTGAGGCCGGCACCATTTGGAAGGAGCAGGGATGGTGGCAGCTTCCAAGCTCACCCGGACACGGCCGCTGTGAGCGTTGACGCGTCGGGTGTCAGCGCTCGGACTGCAGACGCGCAGCAACTCCGCTGGCAGTCGCACTTTCGCTCCGTCCGAGTATGTAAGCTCTAGCCGCTTCTCTTTTTTCAATAACTTTATACCAGTTGGCGGGCCAATGGGCTGAGACCCCGATTGACTGTCGGCTTCTGTTACGTAATGAGGTAAATTGCTTGTTATGCAATGTATGCAAGGAATTCTGGTTAACTTTTCTAAGCCCACGCTAAGAAGTCCTGAGAATGCCGAGCTTCTGAGGGATGCGGCAGCTAGTATTACAGATGGTATTACTGAGCGCATCATACTTGTGTTCAATAAGGCCAAAGCTGTTACCGGGATGTCTTGAACGCTATGAAGGAATTCCCGATTGTCGTACGATACGTTTGAGCTGGGTAGCCGAGCGGCCGCTAGAAGTGCAAAGCCGTGTTTAACGTGTATGGCGTATGCTAACTAAACAGCGTGTACAATCTTATCATAGTTACAACTTTGTATGGTGCAACCAAGGTAGAAGTCCCTCGCGTCCGCATGTCTCCCACGCACTGGACTTTGCGTCCCTCAAGGTGACCGCCCTCACAAAAACTAGTTGAGCTACTATATCTCTTCCGCTGAAGTTGTACAGCATAGGTGCGCTGCTTCTGTAGCGCATCTGCGTCGAAACTAACCCAGAGCATGTTTGGTCCTACTACGAACACCACCTACGCCCTGCCGGCTTTACCTCCCATTGATTGGAGCTCCTACGCGCAGCCGCCTCCCAGCGTTAGCTACACAAACGCTACCAGGTTGTTTGGCAACGCCAACTGCACCATCCAGCCACCGTCTGATTGTGGTGGTCACGGACATCTCGGTGGCAAGTGCTTCTGCATCTGTGATCAAGGATACGCATCTGACTACAGTGTAAGTCAATACCTACTGTGGATAACTGACTGCTTGTGTCTAGTTAAATGGTCCTTACCACTTTTCATGACCATTGGAATCCAAAGCGATTGTAGACGTCTATTGCTGGTCTGTATTGGTCTTCTGCAAAAGCGGCCTAAGAGCGGTCCTGTGTTCAAATTGGAATTCTTGCTGGACTAATAGGCAAACACGTGGAAACGAACAAAAATAACCTGCCACAACCCACTGCCATCTCCGGCACGCATGCAGAATCTTCTATCACCCCGTTGGTGCATCCCGTCGGCCAACGTCTCAACTGCCATCAACCGTACCGTTAACCTAACGGCCGCTGCGGACACCGAAAACAACGAGAGCAGCGGAGGTGGGTTGGGCATGGGTATCTAGGGCAGCGAAGGAGTAAGGGAAGCCAATGAGGTGGAACGGAAAATGGTTCTGCTAGAAAGCTGGCCGCGAGTGGGAACGGTGCGTGTCTGAAACTCCTTTATCCTGCCACTTCCAAATACAGGTTTCTTCTATTGGTTGGGTACTCCCATGGGCGCGGGCATCACCATAGCTGTCTCGGTTGCCGTACTGATTGCAAGCGTGTGCTGCTGGTACTACTGTTACAGGTACGGCACAGTGCGCAACGGTACAAAGGACATAAACCAAACCAAGTCCCTTTCGCCGAATTCCCTTATGTGTGCGCATGCATGTATACCCTCTGCTTGTTTGTCCTCAGCTGTGCCTTCTCCACGGCGTTCACATTACCGTACCGGAAAAACCCAGACCTAACAGACATAACCCACCTATATACATCATCAGGAGGTACAAACGGCGCAAGGCAGGCGATGGCAATGCCGGTGATGGCGGTTGCTGCTGTGGCCTTTTCGGTGGCAGCAGCAGTGGTAACGGTCGTGGTTCCGGTCGCAATAAAGGAGCCTCCGGCGCCATGCACTACCATTTGTACGGCAACGCTAACGGCCTCGGCGGCGGTTTCCCGGCTACTGCTAACCCAGCGGCGGCGGCAGTAGCAGCGGCGGCGATGGTAACTCCCTTGGGTCCCCTGGGCAACCCCAGTGGGGGCATCGTGGGTGGCGGGGGCGGGGGTCGCGGCAGCGGCAAGGGCGGGAGCTTCTTTCAGGTAACTGCGATAGAGGGGGCTTGCTGGCTTCGGCGCCTGCCTTACGGTACCGGTATACATTGACGCCATGCCTATTGTGGTTCCTTTATTACGATTGGTCCTTGCATTTCCTACCATCCTACGCCTCACTGTATCTAACTACGGTCAAGCTTTTGCTGCGAATGATTTTGTAATAAACTGTATACGGTTGACACCAATGACGCCGCCGCAGAATTGGTGGATGCGGAAAAGTACGGTTGCGAAACAGCAACAACAGCTTCAGCAGCAGCAACAACAGCTGCAGCAGCTGCAGTACATGCAACAGCAGTTGGCATTGTACGGCATGGGCGGCGGTGCCGGCGGTGGCAGCAGCAGCAACAACAATAACGCCGGTGCACGACACAACAAAAAGGCTAGTGGCCGTACGACATCATCTGTAGCACTCGCACCTGGCTTAGACGCCAGTGCGGCTATGGCAGCCCACTTACAAATGCTTATGTTGGCTCAACAACAGCAACTACAATTGCAACAACAGCAACAGGCGTCGTACCGGCACGGTAGCGGTGGTGGCGCTGGCAACGGTGCGGTTGGTCACAATGCGACTAAACGCAGTTTTGTGAATCCACTAGCTTTGGATCCGGCCTATTTCATGCAAGATCCAACATCTTCTAGCTTGCTGCCGCTGCCGCCACTCAGGGGAGGTTCAGGGGCTGCAGCTGCCGCCACGCTGCCGTACAATGGCGGCGGCAGCATGCCGTACAACATGTCGTACAACAGGCCGTACGACGGCCGTGATAACAACCCGCCGTCACCACCGCCAGCACCGCCGTCATCACCGCCGCGACAACACCGCCCGCATGAGGAGCAACAACAACCCCAAAGTCTGAGATCACCGTCGTACCTCCGTCAACAACATGCGTAAAGACAAATGTACGGTTAGGGCTCCTCATTTTCGTCGTATCGCCGTACGATTTCGGCTCGTGAGCCGGCGCCGGGGCCGCAGCCGCCATAGGTGCTAGTGTACGGAAGCAGCCCTCGAGGTGCTCACAAGTCACCTAGAAGTTACCTTGCAGCTCTTCTTCCGTACGTATGTTGACTGTACGACGACTTGAGTACGGTGCAAACAAGTTTGTGCATGATGACCTTGATGAGGGATTGATGGATGGAGGATACGCGGCGGTTACAAGGGGCAGTTATGGTGCTAATAGTAAATATGTGCAGTACAGGTGTACCTTGGGTATACTGCTGACTTCCCAGCTGTGGTAGTGCGAATCCAGTGACCTACGCCACATCGCTATTACGCCTGGTTAATGTTCTGTAGGCGTGTGCGCTCTTCTGCAAAACATCTGTGACCGTGTTAATCGTCAACAGTCATTAGGGCTAGCTAGCACGTTCAAAATCGACCCTGTACAAGCGTGTGTTAATAAGCTAGTATGTGTTGTGGTATCTATGAGATACTGAACTATCGGCCACTCCACGCCTGGTCTTAAAGGCGCTACAACAAAAGCAAGCATGTCTCAAGAACCCTTCTCCCCCAGGACTGTTTGCAAAAGGATGCACACATAAACGTAGACGTTCCACCAGCGCCCTTACGAACACGTCGCTCATGCTGGCAAACGACGACAGGAAAGCCCCCTCCTACAACCAACACAGACCAAAACGCGCGCAGCTCTTACAATGCGCATTGACTAAATGTATATATGTATGCAATATTTGCTGACGTTGCCACAGTCCCGTTGGCGTAGTGGATAACGCACTGGACTTCTAAATCTCACTGAAATCCAGGGATCATGGGTTCGAATCCCATACGGGACGGTCTTTTGGGGATAACCAATTCAGCAGGCCAAATTTGTTATTAACCTTTTGCCTCTTCAGAAGCAGGTATTCTAACGCCGTGCTAACGTGTTTGATTGTGCTCGGCTAACTACCGTGGCGCACATGCCGCCTATGACGGAGCGGCCTATTTCACCATTCGAACCCTGTGTCAAGAAACCATGCTTTCTCTCGATTACCGTGTTGCACCGTTCGCCTTCGCGCTTTGCATCGTTATACATCGTCGGAGGAGACGATAACTCATACCAGCTTTACATAACGGTATTCAAACGATAACTGGTAACGGTTTCCACCGCACCCGTTATGTAGCGTTACACGTGCTTCCGGAAGTCCCTGCACATGCTGCAGGGTCCTCAAGTGAGCCATCCAGGCATCTCATGCACAAAAGGTTGTGCAAAGGAGCACACGTACGGCAAAGAAGCACACATAGATGCATGGGGTGCGGAGTTGCCAAGACAACTTCGGACGTGGCCAACTGCAACCAACCAAGCCGCCATTGGCTACTGCACGAACGGTCGCTTGACCGACCGAGGCAGGCAAGGGATTCTCCCGCACAATTCACTTGCAAAAACGTGCCCGCGGCTAAATACCGTGCATGAAAGAAAGGCTGAAAGAACCATCTACTGCACGCAAAATAATTCCCTGCAACTCCCATGCACCCACGTTGCCTGCTGTACAGGAAGCCTGTACAATGTTAACGCCCTTATACCGATATGTGTAATAAGCGGGCTACCCTTCAACCCCCTCAACAGCCCCGCCGTCGCGTCCCAGTATGTAGGACGCCAAATGCTGCCAAGGCAGGATAGGAGAATCTGAGCGAATGATGACGTGAGAAGGCAACAGGAAGGGCAAGACGCACGTTGCGCAAAACCTTCGGAAAGAAGTGCATGCAAAAGCGAGTATGCGGCTGAACAGAAAACGTCAAGATTAGGGATCGGTATTCAAGACTCCAAATTCGCGACTTCCAAGTTGTCTCCCAATCCTCCGGTAGCAATTCGTAAGCAGTCCTTAGCTTGCCTCCAAAAACCTCGGTCGATATAATCATCTGCATGTGTTCCCCTCCCCTTTCATGCCTTCGTTAAGGAGACACCCTCCGCATTAAAGCATGAGAGAGGTGAAACACAACAGAAACCACACCCTACGCTTACCACCACCAGCCATGTGCATCCCCTCGCAGGCCTCGTAACACAATGAAGTCACCACACCCACGAATTAATGCAACACTCTACAATCCGCTCCGGTTCGTGCCACACTTGCGCATGCACCGCAGCTTGCTTCGGAGTGAGATGCATGCATGCTCACACACCCGCCCGCCTCACCCATTCTCACCAAAACCCTACCTTGCACCTGCTTCTTCACTAGCCCCTCCCGATCGGATGCTCACTCAGTCACTGGTAAAATACCGAAACAGCCATAGCATCCCCTTGCAAACACCGCCAGCCTCGCCACTCGCACGGAACCCCCCGCCTTACGCCCGTGCTGCCCAAACGCATGAACTCAGTAGAGTTATCACCCGTCTGCCTACCACCACCGCCGGCGCCGCATTTCCAACAGTGCGCACATGATAGGCCACCCGTCAGAACCCCCGTCATACATACACGCATGCACACAGTTCTGTTAACAGATGCATTGCTAGGTAAATTTAACACACCTGCATGCATGCGCACCGCCGGCCTTGTAAGGACCAACAGCAGTGTTAGTATACGTGCTGCATGCAACTAGCTACCCATCTGTGCAACACAGCCCATGTTCCCATGATTCATGCAGGACACCGCATCCGTTGTACACACACTCCCTCCAACGCAAACACAAACACATGCCGTTAACAACTGCCACACACATGCTCACATACCTCATCGCGGTCAGTACCTCTCGTCAGGACAGTGAAATACGCAGCAGCTCAAATCCAACCCAATTCATGTCACAGCGGCAAGTACCTAAGCAATTCCTTCTCGTAAACCAAACCCCAAACCGCAGATAACCACCACCACCATCAATACCACCAGCTACCCGCAAGAAGCCAACAATTGACAGGCAGTTGGTTGGGTTCCTCCTTTTCCCGTCATGTTTCCTGTCAGGTTCAGATCTGTTTCAAATCAGTTTCCAATCCGTTGTGCTGTTGCAGCAAGTTGTGATGGATGGCATGACCATTACGCCGTCTCATCGCATCACATCACGCACAACCGCTGCTCGCTACTACAATGTCCACGCAACTCATCAGGAAGTCACGACCATGCGAAAGCAGTATGGATACGAATCCCACAGCAGCAACGGCAGCAAGACAGCAGACCGCATCTCAGCTCTTCCTTCGTTCCCTTCGTTTTCCGGAAGTCCAGACATGTGTTTCGTTGATTCTTCCCGGCAAACACGGGATACTAGTTTGGCTCAACTCGCGCAACTACCCGCCCTCACTCTCGACTTCAACAATACCGCTACGACTCTACATGAACGCCAGGCATGCCGGGCCTCATCTTCTTCCCCTCATGTTCCGATCCTTTTCCTCATCATCCACCATCCAGCCACCACGCCACTCTCACCCTCTCCTCTCTCTGGGCTCACATACATCAGGCCGCCACCACAAGCTCACATACACATGCGTGTACATGAAGCGCCACCACTGCAAATGCAGCAGCGGGCGGCCAGTGCGTGGTTTCCGTTCTGCGCAGTAATTAGGGAGGCACGCATCAACCACACCTACCATGCAACCCTGTGCTTGCTTGTACGATAGCCACTATCCAGACAGCAATAAAGACCTACGACACCGGCCCGCCGTACTTACGCATAAGTAGATTAGTAAAGAACTGTGAGCGCACCATGAGCACATGTATATAAAGAGACGTGCACGCAACGGGCGCCGTGCTTGATAGTAGTTTCTGATTGGATTCCTTTGACCTCGAATGTGCGGGGTACAGTAAAGCTTCCCCGGCTTTCTTGCGTGTTGGGTTTCGAGCGCGTTTTGGACACCACCACCTTCCACGCCCTGTCCGCTCACCACACCAACCACTTCAATTTGTAGCTCCCTCCTCCTCTCGGTCTCTGTACCTCACTGCTTCCGTCCCATTTGCGCGGTGTGACGCCCATATTATGCACACTCCGATGAACAGGGGGCAGATCAAGTCCCCGAGACCAGGTAGAGGGACTCGCATCTGGTTGGGGCCACACCACTCCACCGCATACGTCGGAGCGGGCGGGCCCACGAGACCGCACTACACGGACCGCATGCCGCCCCGATCCCGCGGCCGGAGATAGAGCTCCCTGCAAGTGCGGATGATGTGCGGATGGATTGAAGCGGTGGATGGGGCCAGCAGGGGCATACTTGTTGTACAACGTGAAGCGTGGGAGAGGCCCCAGCTATGTCACAAACAACCAAATCACCTGTGCGACCGAGGTTGAGAAACTTACCAAACAAGGACGATGAGGACGGCGGCTGCCAGGCTTATAGCCACGAGGATTGAAAAGGTTTTGCCAGAAATTGAATCCTCCGGATCCGAACCTTCCACCAGCGCTTGTTTTACTTTTTGAATGCACTCCAGTGTCTGGACCACAGTACGGCATATGATGAAGAGGGTGGCGGGTCATTGTTATGTCGTTCAGAAATGCAAGAGAAGGAATACACCAGAAGGCTACATGGGAAATGGTGGAGGGGGGTCAACGCTAAGGCCGAGAATAAGGTATATACGACAGAATTAAGGGGGAGTTAGGTAGGAAATGAAAAAGCGGCAAGGGACAAGGTGGAGATGAGGGTAGACAGGGGCAGGGGCGGCACTTGAAATAAAGCAAAGTGAGTATCAGGCGACGCAAGTGCAAAGAGAGCAGAACTAGCTACCGTTGAGCATGCATTAAACAACCCTGCTTGTAGGTGTCAAAAACTCTTTACCTGCATGGCAGGTGTTGTATTCTGGCCCCAGACATCCTCCAGGTGATATCGCTGCTCGAGCGCCTGAAATGGATGGTAGGATGAAGGTTGTGAACTGCACGTAGCGACATGGCGCCGGTCCAGAACGTTTACAAGTTAGTAAGGAACCGTAGCCACCTTAAACGACTCGGCAGGATGCTCAAGCGCCTCGGGCTCCGCCGCATAGCAATTGCTGCGTCTCCGGTTCGCACCGGAGACCCAAAGTTGCATTTCCTCAAGAGAAGGCTGAGAGATAACTCCCCGCGTTGTGTATGCTGCAATGCAGCGGAAGGCGGCTATGAAATTATCGGGATTTAGGTCATGAAGCCAGCAACAGGAACCTCACGGTTCTTACCACGCTCCTTAAGCACATTGTATTCCAGTGTATGTTCCATGCCAGAGCCACCACGGACACGACGCTTCCCAGCTTGTGACGTCCGCCTTCGCTTCTAGGTTCTGGCCGTGCTTCCAATTTACCGTTCAAACTGACCAAGCTACAAAATTACAAGGTATCTATGCAAGTCTCATAAATAACGCAAAAGCCGTCAATGCTCCTGCATCTACCAGGCAAGTTGGCAAGGCTGCATCCAAGGCAAAATGGGACTCTTAAGTGAAGCGCATACTACTTCTTTGCAGTTTTGTGTGTTGAGTTTGCAGCCAGAGCCGGTGACGCGCCAAGTGAGGAAAACGGTTGGTATCTTGGAAAAGTGCACGGTACGCACTGCTGTACTAAGGAGAATCGTCGCCCCGTGCAAGTTGCATTATCCTTCCAAGGGCATACTAATGTCAGCTTTAGACGCTGCCACCTACTCACGTGTTGACATTACTTACAACGCAAGAGAAACCGCTGGGTCCAGTAATTATCAGTTAATCTTACCCGACCTCACGAAATCTTAACGGACACGTTGAGCCATGCCTTTTTACGCGAATGGCGTAAATCTGTACGGTTTGGGGTATCCTTAGCTACCCTATATCTTCAGCATAAGCAGATAGGGTCAAGCAACTATCTGCTTATGCTGAAAATATATGGAATATGGTAGCTAAAAACCGTCACGAATTGTCTTATCGGGCCCCGCTTGCTTCCCCAGCAAGATCAGCAAAATGATAAAACAGCATACATGAAGGGAGATAGGAGCATAAAGCGTTGTTGCTCGGCAAACGATGTAAATGGCACACAGCACTCGGCTTTCGGGCACAATAGCCTGGCCGCCACGACTAGCCACGAGCTCCGCTGCTTTACGCCCATCTGTGACTTGAAACTTGCATCACTACGTTACTAGATCTACGGTCACTGGAGCTGTTGGTTGCCTCGCCATCGTGCTCTGCGCATGCCTTCACGCATACTGTCAGTGGCCACTGTGTTGGGCAATACGATTCCAGTGGTCACTTAGGAAAGTTTAGGATTCTTGGCGGGTGGACATCGGAGATAGGAATGCGGTCAGCAGAGGGCGCGGGAAATTCGCGGGGAAAGCTTGGGCTTGGACATACATCTTTGCCTTAGAAGTACTGAGATTAATGACTGTTAGCAGTCAGAAGCACGTTTAAATTACATACCCGCCGTCATAGGGAGCAAGGTCGCCTTGTACTCGCCTCTCGGGAAGGCGCGGCTGGTGTACGGAGCTTGTGCCATGGTTGCCCATCCTTCGACAGCAGATAGCGACGGAGCTTGTCGGTGGTAGTTCTTACAGCTCTATCGTGAAGAAAGGCCCAGCTCTTTTACCACTGGCAATAGAAGATTCCTTACAGGGTGCGTGTGACTTTACCTGCACAGTAAGAGCTTGATAACGGATATAAACAACAGAACGTCGTGAGATCACTTTATCGTCAATCACTAGCGGAGCTACCTAAAGCCAAACTTGTCAACCTTTCCGCGGCACGCGGCCCATAAGATTTACAACTGGAATTACGCTAGGTACACTATTACTTGTTTTTAGCGTTTCTCAGCAGCGATCATGCGGATTGAGGAGGTGTCGTCCACAACAAAGACTCAGCGTGTTGCGACGCACACGCACATTAAGGGTCTTGGACTTCAAGACAATGGCACCGCACTACCGATGGCCGCTGGTTTTGTTGGGCAAGAGCAAGCTCGTGAAGCTTGCGGCGTGGTGGTCGACATGATCCGCCAGAAGAAAATGGCGGGTCGTGCTCTGCTGCTGACCGGTGCGCCGGGCACCGGCAAAACGGCGCTTGCTTTGGGCATCGCACAAGAATTGGGCACGAAGGTACACTCGGCTTTGCTAAAAATGGTGCTCAGGTGTCGTCGGCCAGCCATGTTATCCCAGCGCAGCGGAGAGCGTGGGGAGCAAGTTAGCTAGAGATGCTGAGTCTCAAGGGCTGCGGTGCTTTGTGTACAAGGGTCCAGAGCCCTCTCCCTTGCCCTTCCCGACCTTTCAAACACACCGTATGCACCCTCCCCCCTTCCTCTTCACCACCCCAAATTCTACCCCGCTTTGTGCCCTCCTCCCCCATCCTCATTCAACTCATTGGGTGTTCTTCTTTTTCCCCCATCTTGCAGGTTCCCTTCTGCCCCATGGTTGGCAGCGAGGTGTACTCCTCCGAGGTGAAGAAGACGGAGGTGCTGATGGAGAATTTCCGCCGCGCCATCGGTAGGTTGGGGTGGGGGGTCAGAGATATGCAGGCGGGTGAAAGTAAGGAAACTGACGAACAGGTGTGGGGGGGGGAGAGGGGAGAGGCGGAGGAAGCAAAGTGGGTGGAGGGGTTGAGGAGGGGTATGGGGTCCTGCGGGCCCTAACCTCCCCCGTGCTACACGCGGCTTGGGGCTGCTAGGACGAGGTGGGCTGCTGGTTGTTGGTACCGGGGGGCACGATGAGCGATGTCCGAATGCGGTGTCAGGGAGCGGTCTGGGTGTTGGCTTGGGGGCAGCGGTGGGTGGGTGGGTGGGGTAAGGGAGGTGTCGTGGAGGGTGGCGGGGTGTTGGGTTCGTGGGAGCACAGCAGCAGGGCCGCACGAGGAGGCACTGGCCGCGGCCATGAGGAGACCGCACGATAGGTGGCTGGGGTGGGTTAGTGACAGCGGGGTTGGGGTGGGGTAGGGTGGTTTGGGACAGCGACGTGAGGCGGAGGGAGAGCGGAGGGTTGGAGGCTGGGGACAGCCTTGCCTACCTCCCTGCGGGCTTCTCTCCCGTAAGGCCTCTGCGTATCAGGGGGATTACATGCTAGGCATGCTACTGACCCTGACCGTAGTATACCGGATTTTTGTCTTCTTCCCTGACACATTAACCGTTCTCCTCACCTCTCTGCTTTCCCTTTTCCTCCACATTCCCCATCCGTAAACCCCACACTTTACCTCCCTCCCCCCTCCCACCGCCAATCCATGCGCCCTTACAGCCCCGTGCGAGTAACCCCGTACGCACTCCCCCCGCCATCCATCCCCCCCTGCTCCCTCCTCCCCCCCCCAGGCCTGCGCATCAAGGAGAACAAGGAGGTGTACGAGGGCGAGGTGACGGAGCTCTCCCCCGAGTACACGGAGGCAGCGGTAGGAGAGGGGGGTGGGGGGTGAACAGATATGGAGGAGGGGGGAGGGCAAAGAAGGATAAACCACAGTAGAGGGTATGCATATGAGGCGTCAGGGTGCCACAAGAGGAGGGGGGAGGAGGTTATGGAAAGTGGGGACCATGCAGTACAAACACATGAGGGATGGAGGGGTAGGATGATAGAATAGGATAGAAGGGGAAACAAGAAGAAGAAAATAATGGGAAGGGGAGGGGTGGGCGTGTGGGGTGATGGAGCTGCCCTATTCGTACACGGAGGCAGCGGTAGGGTTAACGGCTGCTGTGGACATGGGGTCATGCATCCCACCCCAATGCAGTGAAGAGGCTGAACCAACCGGTGTGCTGGGATGGGATCTGGGATGCGGTGCGGCACAGCTTTAACGACCCCATAACGAACCCACCCACGTAACCACCCAACCAACTGCCTGCCGTACAGGGCGGCGGGTACGGCAAGGTGGTTAGCCATGTTGTCATCGGCCTCAAGACGGCCAAGGGCACCAAGCAGCTCAAGCTGGACCCCACCATCTACGACGCGCTGCAGAAGGAGAAGGTGCAGGTGAGGTGGTGGTGGGGGTGGGGGTGGGTAGGGGTGGGGCAGGGTGTGGGGAGCTGCTCGAGGGGATACGGCAGCTGGACGCATGGTGGGGGCGTTAAGACGCGGCCTTGCCCCCCTCTTCTCAAACACCTCGGGCCCCCTTCTCGAACCCCCTCTTGCTCCTCAACTCCGCCCCTCACACAGGCGGGCGATGTGATTTACATTGAGGCGAACAGCGGAGCCGTGAAGCGCGTGGGCAGGTGGGGAGGGGGGTGGGTGAGGCAGGAAAGGGGGGGAGGGGTGGGTGAGCGGGTTGAGCGCGTGGGCAGGTGGGGTGGTGGTTGTGTGTGTGTGTTGGAGGGGGCCGGCGCGAGCGAACGACGCACGTCAGCAGTGTGGGTGGTGGGCGATGGTGTGGGAGTTACCAACTCGTAGAGTACCAACTAGAGAGGTACCAACTCGTTTTAAGGAAAGCCGATGGTGCGGGAGGGGCGCGTGGGCAGGTGGGGATGTTGTGGAGGGGGAGTGGGGTACAGAGGGGGCCGTTTCCAGCGGCTGGGAGTACACGAGAGCACATGGTCCTCCTGTTTATGATGGCGTTATCCGGAGACACATGGAAAGGGAGGGAGGGGAGGGGCTGTTTGGGGATGGTGGTAGCGCGGTGAAGCGCGGTGGGGTGAGGCTGCCAGGGTTTAGCGTTTGCGGGGGTGGTGGGGCTGCTTGAGGGCTGGGCTGGGGCGCATGGTGAAGGGATGAATCGTGTGGTGGGTTTGTATCAGGTGGGTAAGCAGGGCGGGCGGGCGCGGGTAAGGGTGAGGAGGGCGGGTGGGAGAGAGGACGCAGCCGTGCAGCAGGAGCCGGGACCGCAGTGTCGCTGCGACCCTAGGCTGCAGTGGCCGGCAAGCTGTCGAGACCTGTGTGGGGACCCCTCTGTCCTGATGACTATTCACATGCCAGGGTGGTCTGGAATGTTTGTGTATGAAGGCTGATGAAGGATTACTTGAAGTTGTGTTTTGAAAACTGGCCGTGGCCCCCCCCCTCCCTGCGCCCCTTGCGTGTGTGTTTCAGGTGCGACGCCTACGCCACTGAGTTTGACCTGGAGGCCGAGGAGTACGTCCCGCTGCCCAAGGTAAGTGCGACATTTTGTACAGCAGAATTCCATGTGGTCCCTGTACGACATTTCAGGTCTGGCAGAGGGAAAAGAGCATATATTAGTTATTAATACAGTGCAGCTAGTGTTCCCAATAGGGCCGATAGCAACCCGCAACCCTTGCTACTTGCCATACTATGTCACTATCTCCCCGCTCCCCCCCTTCCTAACCCCCCACCAACGCCTGCTGTACGGCCAGGGTGACGTGCACAAGCGCAAGGAGATCGTGCAGGACGTCACCCTGCACGACCTGGACGCAGCGAACGCCCGGCCGCAGGTACGTGCCTGCGTGTGTGTGTATATTCAAGCGCGACTGCGCGCTGAAAACGGCAGTGCACGCATGAATTATCGTCGCACTTGCATGCGCATTCTTGCGTTTCGCTAAGTTCGCTTGTTACGGTATAGTATCTCCCAGCCCGCATGTCTTGTATCCATGTCCTCCTGCCCTCCTACCTCCACACCTCCTCACCCCCCCGCCCTCCCCCACTCCAGGGAGGTGGCGACATCATGAGTGTCATGGGCAGCATGCTCAAACCCAAGAAGACCGAGATCACGGATAAGCTGCGGCAGGAGATCAACAAGGTGGGGGTTACAAGCCAGGCTGCTGCCTTGCGTGGTTGGTTAGTTGGTTGGTGATAGCAACGGTGCATGGCCAGTCTGGGCCTTATTGTTTGTTTTTGCCTCCTCGTGCAAGATATTTACCTGCCCCCTTCCCTCATTGGCCGTACATATCCTCCTGCCGAATCCTCACTCCCATGCAATCACTGCCGTACCCCGCAGGTTGTTAACCGCTACATCGACCAGGGTGTTGCTGAGCTGGTTCCGGGCGTGTTGTTCGTGGACGAGGTGCACATGCTTGACATCGAGTGCTTCACCTACCTCAACAGGTGGGGGAAAGGGGAGGAGGAAACTGGGGGGGTCAAACTGGGTCAAAGAACATACCTTACCATTGGAAACCACAGATTGGGGCAAAGCAACTGGCAACTGGGGGGTTGATGCTGCCGCTGACGGCACGACGACGGTACGAACATAAGGTATATGTACACGTTAAGCAACTGAGCCGCATTACATGTTCACGTAAAGCAACTGAGCCACATAACACCAACGACACGCGGCAGAAGCAGCTGACCTGAGCCGCGTGTGTGTAGGAGGGGGGGTAGCGGGCAGGGCTGATGGCGTTAACCCGCACCGTTACACCGGTAGGCACTGTATGGGGTAATATGGGGCTATGGTAGGCTGGGGATGCGGGTTGTGCACAAGCACCCTGATGCAGAACCATTGCCAGGTCCGCTGCGTTTCTGTGGGGACTCCACCTCCCGGCAATCACAGTACGTTCCTACTCGCAGTCAGTTTCTTAACACACCCACGCCTGTTCCAACCCCATGCGCGCAGGGCCCTGGAGAGCTCGCTGTCGCCCATCGTCATCTTCGCAACCAACCGCGGCCTCTGCACCATCCGCGGCACCGACATCACCTCCCCGCACGGCGTCCCGGTGGACCTGCTGGACCGGCTGGTCATCATCCGCACGCTGCCGTACACGCTGGCGGAGATGGTGCAGATCCTGGCCATCCGCGCGCAGGTGGGGGGTTGGGGGTTAGGAGGGAAGAAGAAGGAGGAGGACAAGAAGGGGTGGAGCGCTTGGTTGGGGTGGTACCCATGGTGGGAGGTATGTTATTTGTTTGGTGTTGTGGGAGTGGGAGTGAGAAAGTGGGGACATGTGGGGTGAAGAACGGCAGGAAGGGTGGGTCAAGGACGCAAAGGGGAAGGCAAACACATGGTACAAGTACAGAGCCGCGATGAGGGATACGGCACTGTGTGTAAGTCCTTCCATTACCCATTACCACAGCATGACATGTACATGTACATGAAAATGCCATAAACAACGACTGTTGTACACATCATTCTATCGTACACGACCTCTGTCATACAGGTGGAGGGCATTGGCATCGATGAGGAGTCCCTCGCGTTCCTCGGGGAGGTGGGCGAGCGTACGTCATTGCGGCATGCCGTACAACTGCTGACGCCCGCATTCATGCTGGCGCGAACCAACGGGCGGGAGGCCATCTCACAAGGAGACCTGGAGGTAAGGACACATAGGGGGGGCGGGGCGGCGGAGGAAGGTCAGGCAGCGCACAGGAAATTCATTCACTGCCCCGCAATGCCAAGTAGCAATATACTAAAGTCTAGCCTGTTTACACAGCCTCCTTGCCGCCCTCTCAACCCCTAATGTCGCACGGTACCTCTCCTTTTACCCCCTAACCCTACAACCCCCCCTTGCGCTCCGCTCACCCCCCCCCTCGCGCTCACAGGAGATCGACTCGCTGTTCCACGACGCCAAGTACTCGGCACGGTTGCTAGCGGAGCAGGCGGACAAGTACATCAGCTAACGAGGATTGCGGCGTATTGAGGGAGCCCCATGGGTCAGCGGGGCAGAAGCGAGTACACCAGCTGAGCAGAGATGAGGGCGGTAAAGGACCCATGGGTCAGCTGAGTGTGGGCAGTCATAGGTTAGGATTAGGATATGGTGTCTAGTACCTGGAATGTTTGTCCGTGGGGCGGTACTGCTGCAATGGAGGGTGTTGGCATGCACGCGTGTGTGTGCATGCAAACGCCGCGGTACGGCACCGGCCTACGCTTGGCTTTCCAGGAAGGGAAGGAGGAGCTAGAGGTGCGTGGGGTAGGAGGAGTGCAATGAGATACAACGATGGAGATGGTGTGGAGGTTGCAGCAGCTGAAGCGCGCTTTTGAGGTGGTGTGGAGAGAACTGCTTTCTCCTGTCGCTTGCGGCCCCAGTAACCGTTGACTTCTTGCCTTCTTCTTTTCGAGGCTTAAGCCCCATCCACTTAACTTGCTTTACTTGAACCTATGCGGGGCTTGTCAAGCGTGGGACAGGACGAGGCTTAAGCCCCATCCACTTAACTTGCTTTACTTGAACCTATGCGGGGCTGTCAAGCGTAGGACAGGACTTGTTAACGGCCATTGCCGTGTTTGGGAGTGGTTAGGTACAGGAGATGCCTGCGTAGTCTCCAAGAAATGGAGCCCTCTTCTGCGAGCGATGACGACTGTCGTATATGTGTGCGTATGTCGTACACGCACACGCAGTGTGCTCTGGATGGGTACGTCGTACACCCCTACCTGCCGCGTGCTTTTGACGCATACTACACACGTAGGCTGTTGGGCTGGATACGCCGCACATATCGGTAGCTTTAACACGACGCAGTGGTCAGTCATCGTGTCCCAAGCGGTCAGTCATCGAGCCGGGTGCGTGCGTGATGCACAACGCGGACATTGGCAGCGGTGTAGGCGGTTGATGGCAGTCCGACGGTCTGTTGGTCTGATTGGAAAAAAGGCGGGGACGAGGGCGTGGTGCTGATGATTGAGAAGAAGAAGAGGGACAAGGGTTTCCGAGGAGGTTTGGCGAAGAGGATCATCTCCTCCCGCTGTGTGTGGCTTGTTCTCGGACCAATGAACGCGCTTCGGCGCTCACCACGAGTGCCTGCAACCAGCTGTCACTGCTCCACTGGTGCATTAACGGACCGGCGTCCTGAAGGGCGATGCAGTGTTATGGGTTTGCAGGCCCCTTAGGCTTCCAGGCATTCCCCCCGTTTGCGGAAAGTGCTATGCTAACCGTCCCAAAGCGCTGCCCGTACCCACCCACACACCTTTGCATGCAAATTGTTGTAGGGCTGTGCGCTGTGAGTCAGCTACGGCATGGTTACAAACTGCCATGCTAGGATCTGCTTCCCTGGTTGATGCATTGTACTAGGCTCCGCTCGTGGCACCGGTGCCATGAAGAAAGGCATGTGCCCCATGGGTCGGGCAAAGGTCAAACTTCAGATGGCCTTACAATCATGACACCTTGTTTAAGTTCTTTTCATAGTTCCCTTTCCATACATGCTTGCGCCTAATGGGGGTGGCTAAAGGCATGGTCTACTTACGTATGACGCACTGCGGGAACTTTCATGCACCGAATAAAGAGAATTATACAATGCAATGAAGGTATCACAATACTGGGTGCATTGTTCGTGAGGAGCGGGGTCACTTGATTGCTTGCTCGCTCATGAGACCCTAGCCGGATGCCGCAACGCCTCCGACCAAAATTGGCAAAAATTTAGACGCTTTCTCATACTTCGCGATCCTTTCTTAATACATCCCTAGCAATGCATCGTTATCCATGCTTTGCATAGACTACTTACGACCTTTATGCAAGCCAACACGCCGAGCATCATAATTTGCGTTTCGATCACACATTGTATAGAATTGAGTCCGTCCCGTTGGCCGGCGTGCCGCTAAGGCGCGTGCGGGCTTGCCCATAACGGTGACCAGCCATGGTTGCGTTAACGCATTCGTCTCTTGGTCGTCGAGCGCTCGACGCATCATGCTATGGCCGCCGATCACCACATATTTGTGTCCTTAGAGTTCATCACAAGCAGAATGGAGTTGCATCGCTCGGACGTCAGGGACGACACTTGCAGCACCCTCATCGCACGATCTTCAGGGTCTCGGCAGCAGTAGTCGGCGATCAGGGTGATAGCCATGCCCAACAAACCTCTATATCGGGGCCTTTGGGTTCTGCGTTACAGTTCGCTTCTGCGCTGCAGCAGTTCAGTCGACCTCACACGATGATCGGCACCGCGCTTTCGGTTGTCTCCATCTCGCTACTTGCGTTGGGCGGAGCGCAAATCAGCGCACCCGCAATCACAGCGGTGCTTCAGGCGTTGGTATCGGCCCTGCTCATGAACATTGCCATCGTGGGTATCAACCAACTGTACGACATCGAGATCGACAAGGTAGGCGGTGTGTGCCGTACCTGCCGTACCACGAAGGGCTGGAGTAACATGGTTTGGGTCGAGGAACGGTGCTCCTGGGGTTTTGCCGGAGGACATTCCGCAACCCTGGCAAGAAGCAGCCAAACATGACCACCCTGCTTTTCCCATTCACCCGTTCCTGATTAAACCACGCTCTGCGCTATAATGCGGCGGCATAAACCTCGCAATGGGTTCAGTAGAGAAACCAAGTATGCGCCCGCATGCGATATATCCACAGGTCAACAAGCCCTACCTGCCCCTGGCCTCCGGCGCGCTGACTCCCGTACAAGGCGCCGTTATTGTGGCGGTTTGCGCGGTGGTTGCAACCGCAATTGGCGTCGCGAGCGGCTCGCCAGCCCTGCTAACCACCTTGCTCGTTAGTTTGGCGCTAGGGGTACTTTACTCGGCCAATCTGCCCTTCATGAGGTGGTGAGTTGTACAACGGCAATGACTGACTGCTCTCGTGTCTTCTCACCCGGCCTACAAACCTTATTGTTCCTGAATCCTTCGCAGGAAACGTTCTCCATTCCTGGCGGCCGGATGCATCCTAGCGGTGAGTTGGCAGTTATTGGTTAACGGTTCAGTCCACTTCCAACCCCCTTTCCTGCATTCAAATCCCACCTGTGCTCTCGCTGCTGACCCCCTCTTGTCGTACTGCACGACAGGTTCGGGCCGTGATCGTACAACTGGGTTTCTACTCACACATGAAAGGCGCTCTCCTAGCTGCGGGGACACTAACAACGACACCCGTGGTGACGACAGCAGCAGCATCGTCATCCTTTCTTTCATCCCTCCTGTCATCTTGCAGCTACTTGCTCCGGCAGCTGCAGCTGACAACCGCTTCCCTAAGTCCTGCCGTACAATTCGTCATGGGCTTCATGCTGTTCTTTTCGGTCGTCATCGCGCTGTTCAAAGACCTGCCAGACGTGGCGGGCGACCGAAAGGCGGGGGTAAGTTGAACCTACCCTAGGCTCACTCAACCGCGGAAGGCGGGCTGGGTCCGGCATGTCAGTCCGGACCCCAGTGCCCTTGTTTGCCCAAGACAGCGTTGGGGCGCGACAAGCAGTCGCTCCTGCTGTTGGCGAAACGTTACTACCTACTTGTTATGATATCGACGCCCTGCTGACTCTCCTCCCACCTGCTCCTTCGTTGGGCCCCCTCAGGTCCGCACCCTCTCCGTGCGCCTAGGCGAGGGCGCCGTCTTCCGCCTGTGCGTGCAGCTGCTCAGCTGCTGCTACGGCTGGGCCATGCTGGCGGCGCTCAGCCTGCCAGGGCTAGCGGCGGGCGGGGCGGCCAGGGCGGCGCTGTTCGGGGGACATGCGGTGCTGTGCGGGCTGCTGCTAGCAAGGTGGGGACAGCGCCTGCTGAGCCGTTCCTGGAACTGGCCGGCTGGGCGCGGGGGATGCCTGGGGATGCGCTGCTGTTGCAGGTTGTTGCAGCCTCCCACCCATGCTGCCGCACCTTTATCCCCCCCCGCAGGGCCCGCTCCGTGGACGTGGGCAGTCCCGCCGCCCTCACCTCCTACTACATGTTTGTGTGGAAGCTCTTCTACGCAGAGTACCTGCTCATTCCGTTGTTCGGGTAGCACAGAGCAGCTGCTCATCCCGTTGCTTGCCCCGTTGTTCGGTACCCTAGCAGCGTGTGCAAGCATGCTCCAAGGCAAACAGGGCGCTGGGGAAGCTGAGCAGGGGGCGAGGAGGAGGAGGAGGAGAGGGCGAGGGAGGGGCGCATGCACAGTAGTAGGAGGAAAAGTGGGAGAGGTAGGGGTAGGAGGGCCAAGCGGTAGGACAGCTGCAGCAGAGAGGGTGGGAAGGAGGGGGCGGAAGCGGAGAAGAAGAATCGCATTATTTTTCTAGCATCATCGCCATTACGCCCAAGCATCACTCATCGTCATCACCATCATCAGCAGGAGGAGCAGGAGCAAAGCAGCAGGTGCCTGTCATGCAAGTTGTGATGTGAACGCAAGGCATGCGATGAAGGGAGAAGGGAGTGAACAGAGGTGCAGACAGGTCATGTTTCGCAAGGAGGGTGCAAGAGGTGCAAGTGAAGGAGGTTAGGTCATCCGTTGGTTATAGGTTATAGGGGTTGACGAGCGTGATGGGGCCGGTGCATGGGAGGGCTAGAATGAGGACGGGGATGGGTTGGAATGGGACAGAATGGGCTGATGTTTAGCAGCCACACCGCAGGACGTTTGGCGGACCCGTGGGTCATCATTGGGATTGTTATCATGGCATCGCCGCGTATGACGCCGCGCGTGGGTATTATTTATGGCGGCATGGTCGCCGAACTATTATCGGAGTGGGTTGCTATTGGTGTGCTATTGCAGGTAGAGGAGCGAGGAGAACTGGGTTGGCATGCTGGGTGCGGAGTGCTGGGTGCGGATCGACTCGGATCTCAATAGACGCATAGAGGAAGGCTTAAGGGGCAAGACGCGTGAGAAGGAGGGAGGCGGGGAGGAGTGTGTTACCTGAGCAATGTCGCTACCGACACTACTGTCCCGACACAGTACGTCACAACACAGTACGGCAAGAGTGACAAGCAGCATGTTCTTGGGTTCTGGCTCAGTGCATGTGTCAGCGTATACATCAACGCTTGTAGCTAAGGGTTGCGTATGAGTGGCTATGGGTAGGTGGGCATGCGCCAGGGGGCTGGGTGGAGGGATCACCGGGGGCCGCGCGTCCGGGTGCTCTTGTGCATCCGTTGCATGAGCGTGTTCTCGTAGCAGATCACGGATTGGGCTTTAGGGAATGGAGTTATAAGGGCGCGCCCTGGACTCCTTAAGCCATGCAAGCACGTACGTGTTGGTCGCCTGATTTTAGGGGTTGGCTGGCTGGGAGGGCAGCATCCTTCCTGGGTGTGGATGGACGAGGGGATGGACGAGGGGATGGAAATTCTGTTTGCGCATGGTGACTCGGTTCCAGGACAAGAGTAGGGAATACCCGCAAGGTTTACGTCATGTCTCAAAATCGTGCTTAATACAGGCAGGCGCTCGCTAATTTAACCGTAGCTGCTCGCCGGCTTTCAGCATGTGTGATGGCACGGGACATCGTGCTTCGCACATATATTCGGCGCCCACCAAGGATCCGTGTGACATCCAACTTTATGTTGTAGTAGGTTAAACATGTCGTTTCAGAAAGGTGATTACTACGAGCAATTCGGTCGGTTCGCTCGGTGTACCGGTATGAAAAATAGTAACCTAGGAATGATAAGCAACTACTGCATATTGCTTCCAAGTTATCAATGTCTTCCTGACAGTGGGAATAGACGTTGAACTGACGATAAAGGCGACCTCTTAATGTACGGCAAGGCATCTCATCGTTTCGCAGGGCAGGCGTTGCACGCAGCACACGCAGCAGATCGCAGCGTTGCGGATTTACCCTAGGCTCTGTGTACCCACATTCATACACACCTGACCCGAAAAGCCACACTTACGATGCCTGTGATCCCGCTTGCACAATGACTTAATATGCAAGCTGCATATGGCGCACTGGATAAAACAATCGGCCGGCCATCTACCACGCGGCGTGCATTTACTCGCACCTTGTTAAGTCGTATTACCAACTAAGACGCTGGAGCACAAAGCATTCAGGTAAGGAGGTCCCATGGGCTAGCTATGCTTCCGGCCACTGTGCAAGGCGCGATATGTCGGAGCTTGCTAAGGCCAACAAACGCCAAATGGGCCATTTTGGTTTGCTATGCAGTAAAATTCCAGATATTCTAGTCTTCCTGGTCTCACAAGAGGGGTGTCTGCTGTCATTTCCTCAACATGGTCTTGCCTCGGAAGCGTGCTCGTCTTGCTTTGGGTCAAGCCTTACATTGTTAATAGTATTTATAAGAAGGTTTGTGTTCGCACTTCACCCATTCTACCTGAGTGGGTCGCCTAGCACTGTATCCTTGCTGGCCCATGCCCGCCGAAATACTTACCCATACTTCAGGTTCGCTTCTCTCACCTGGAATGAATTTATTTACATGAGAATGTCGGCTCAAACATATATTATTGTTACCACTCTCATTTTTCTATCCTCGAAGATAGCCCTTTTGCAGCAAACGCTCTTAAGTCCGGTGGCTCCTTGAACGCAATAAGCAACAGTCAGCACAGTAATGGTATATTCATGTATATACCACGTTGTCTGGGGCCCCAGCAGCACTACCGGAATTGATATGCCGTACGATACCCTTTCCCTAATGGTTTTTCCACACGCTTCTAACTCCCCCTTTCCTTCCTGTTCGCCCCCGCAGTCGTCCATCTGTACTCAACCCTTGCTGAAGTCTATGTTCAGTTGAAACTTGGACCAGCCGGGGCCTAACTGCCGTCACCTCCTAAGAGTGTCAGTACCAAAAGCAACTGTGGCGTCAGCGGCGGCCCTAACTCCATTAAATCGGAGCAACTCGGTAGCAGCAGCAGCAGTAGCAGCAGTAGCAAAAACAGCAGAAGGCGCACGCAACCATGTTCTACGCGGCTCAGCTTGTGTCACGAGATGGCCCCCTGCAGGTGCGAGGAAGGGGGAGTGGGGTGAGGAGGAACACGAATACCTTTACAGCATGTACACGTGTACAGTGTGTTCGTACGTACGAGCCGGGGGGCCCAAGGGCACTACGGCAAGCGGGGTTACCGTACTCCGGGTCGGTTACAGCCTACAGGAACAGGAACATGGGGTAGGAGAGGAAGGGGTGATGGGTCAGTGAGGGAGCAGGACGAGGGACGTGGCTGAGGTGGCACTGGCCATGGGCGGGAGTTAGAATAGATAAGACATGCATGCCGCGGGGATGGAAAGACTTTGGCAGCCTTAGGAGCCGCAGCAGGGGGAAGGAAAGATGTTCAGGATGAGGTGTGAAGAAGATAAAAGGAGGGGAAGAACATGTATGGCCTGGGAGTAGTGCAGTTGGTGGGTGAGGTGGGTGGTGCGGTGGCTGAGGGAGGGGTTGCACCGGTAGGGTGACTTTATAACTAGGGGGGCTATGGTACCGTGCTCGAAGCGAGTGATTCAACCTCTCTTAACCTTGTCTAGATTCGACCGACAGCAAACCCCTCGGCTAGCCTTTCCTTTCACCCAGTCAGAATACCGTTGAGAGTTACGCCCGCCCCTCACTGTTATCCACCTCTGTGTGCGACTCCTGTGTATGAAGGTGCTCTGGATCGCCGCGACGCTGGATCGACAACTGAATCGGCAGTTGGTTGATGGTACGGCAATTCCCCGAATGGTCGAGGTCTACTTGGCTCCAGATGCACCAGGCGGGATCTTCTCATCCGGACCGACCCACGGGTCAGCAGCAGCCGGTCGTCAAAAGGTGCGTCCCTGGCTGTCTCTGATAAAAATGTAAAGGGGTGGGAGAGCAACCAATGGGTCAGCAGCAGCAGCAGCCGGATGTTGTAGTTCTTAGGCTTTGTCAGTGGATAGCGGGTTGCGTGACTTTGCCCCTTAATAAAAAACCATATATTCACTGTACGGTAAGGGCAAGAATACGCTTAGCTTGCCTCCTAACCACCCCTGCACTTAGGGCGGGCGAAAGGACGGCCAGGATGGCGGCGGGGGTGGCACCCCTCTCGCGCTGCGTCTGAGCGGTCAGCTGCTGCTGGGGGTGTGTCGCATCTACGCGAGGAAGGTCGGCTACCTGCTGCAGGTGCGGGGGTACGGCATAGGGGGGTGGGTGGGGGGGCTAAGGTGGGCAAGGAAGGGGACTTCAACTCATTCATTACGGCCAAGCTGAGTGGACGAAGCCCGAGCGTAACGGGGCATTACCCTTCCCATGCTCCCCTGCATGCGCTCATGAACCCCAACTCATGCATGCGCCCTGGCCCACTGCGACATGGTAGGACTGTGAGCGGGCGCTGCTGCTGCTGAAGCACGTGTGTCCTGATGAGGCAACAGCGCTGGCGTCGCTGTACGGCAGCGGCGAAGGAGGAGGAGAGTTCACTGAGGGCGGCGAGAATGCGTCGGTAAGTACGCCACTAAGATTTCATAGACTTTTGAGTGTCCTGTTTGACTTGCTCCCGTACGCATATATGTACTCCGTAACCAATGCGCTACTTCCTAAACTCCATGATTTGCTAACTCACGTAGGTTCGGCGGGAAAACTCCAGTCGTACCGAAGGCGCCGCCGCCGCCGTCGACGCCAATGCTGCCGACGGCGACACCATCAGTCGCCGCGGCCGTCGCCGTCGTACGGCGCTCGGCGGCGGCGCCGCCGCCAGCGTCATTGGCGTCGGCGTCGTCGCCATTGGCCCCGACGGCGAACCTTCCATGCTTCCATACGACGAGGAAGAAATCTTGTTGGCTGCGGGCGCTGCTGCCACTGCATCTCAAGGAGCGGGGGTGCTACAACACACCTCTAGAGGAGCAGCAGCAGCTGCCGCAGTGTCAGCAATGACGTCAATGTGGGGGGCGGGTGGTGGTGATGATAACGACGGCGCTGGGGATTTTGATCCGCTGATGGCGCCGTCGCAGCAAGCGCGAGGAGGGGGAGCGGCTTCCATCGTCGCGGGGGGTGCAGAGGCGGCGGCGGCGGTTGATGACGGTTACGATGACGACCGACACGCCTGTTTTGAAGATGAGGTAACGGTTGAGAAAGGAGATAGGCGCTAGCTTGAATGTTTGCACTCCTTTTCGTTTGGTTATGCAATTGGGGTGCTGTCGGAGTTACTAATTGCGATGACTGCTGCTTCCCATCGTTCATTTGGTTCGTCCTTCGTATTTTCTGGTCTCACCCCTAAGTCCCCTTCACATTCGTATTGTACAGCAACCCTGTACCTGTGTGTACGTCGTCTCAGGTTCCGGAGCATTTCGAGTTCGATCTGGACGAGCATGAAATCGAGGCCCTGCGGTACGTGTTTACGTACAGTATATGACGTTTGACGTATGATACCAAATGATTTGTCCCTAACATAGATAGCAACAGCTATCCCTAGCATTGGCAGCGGCTCTTCTGTTTCGCGGCCAGTTTTCTTAACACACGCATAGGGTGTCCAGGGTGTCCAGTGCATTGGGATCGTACTCCCCCTTCCGTACGCTTCCTTCGTATGGCCCTGGCGCCCTCTCCTTCCTGAACGCTCTCCCAACATCCCTTCCCTCCTGCCCCTACCAGGCAAGAACCGCAATCAACGACAGCAGCAGCGGCGGCGGCTGAGCCGTCCAGCCCAGGCAGCTCTGAGGTTGAGGCCGCGTCTGGAGGACAAGGAGATCAGCTAGAGGAGCAGCAGCATGAGGAGGGGGAGATGGGAACGGCGGAAGAGGAGGAGGAGGATGGCTGGGAGGACGCCAGGGAGGGCCTTGATGAGGCGGAAGAGGCGGTCACAGCGGCAGCAGCTGCTCTGGAGGAGGAGGTGGACGGAAGGCATGGGGAGGAGGCTGAGAAGGCATCGGAAGGGGAGGAGATGGCAGCGGCGGCAGTGGAGGTGGTAGACAGGGATGAGCTTGAGGATGGCGATGGCTGCGGCGGAGGTGGAAGTATGGAGGAAAAGGACTGCCGTGCATCCGTTTTAAAATCCCGTCAGGACAACGGCGGGGACGGAGGCGACGGTGAGGAAGCGGCAGCGGCAGCGGCGGGTGCGTCGCCGGCGGCGACGGTAGAAACAGAGCCGTACGACCATGATGCTCCGCCAACGCAGCCGACGGCGGAGGCGGCGGAGGCGGCAGCGGAGGGGGGACGTACGACAACGGCAACATCTGCCTCAGAAGCGCATCACGCCGCTGCAGCCGATGCTGCAGCTGCTGTTGCTTCTAGTGGCGGCAGCGGCAGCGGTGCGGCCGCTGTCACAGCCGACGCAGCCGATGTAAGTCCCAGGACGCCGCCTCCGCCGGCTGCACCTGTCGCCTCCGCCGGTCCTGCCGCCGCTACTGTCGCTAACGGAGGCGAAGAATGTCGTACCCCGGCGACGCCGCCAACGACTCCCGCCAGCGGCAGCCGCCGCCGTCGCTCCGCTGCGGCCGCCGCCAACGGTCTTGGTACGACAGTACAGCTTGATGTGGACCGAGATGGACGGAGTCGTACGACACTGCCCTCAAATGTTGTACGGGAGTTACTTCAGGTAACTGCATCTGTACTGCCAGATAGTGCGTTGCATACTGTGCCAGGTAGTGCGTTGCAGTCTGAAGGTGTACAATTCTTCCAAATTTACCTTCATAGCTACATATAACATATTGTATGCACGCGGTAATACCGGTAGGTAACTCCGCCACAATGCCTACCATGTTTGTCACATCCCTTACAATCAGCTATTCGGCTTAGCTTTAACCCATGTCGACGTGTTTCACACACTGCCTCATTTATTCTTCATTTCTGCAGGACCGTTCACCCTTAATCGACCAGCATCGCCGTAACGCCTTCCGCCGCCGCTGCTCCATTGCCCCCGCAACCCCCCCGCGTCACCACCACTATAGCCCCGCCACCGCCGCCGCCGCCAACGACGGCGGCAGCAGCGGCACCGGCAATGGCAGCCCCTGGCTTGTTACATGGGCCGTTATGACGCGCCCTAGCACATCCTTCCTCACGTCAACCGCCGCCGCCGCTACTACCACTGCAAAGGCTTCCCCGCGCAGCCGTGCAGCTCGCGGGGGCGGCGGTGACAGCAGCGGCGCCGGCGCCGGCCTGTCGCCGATGGCGGCGCCGACGCCACTGGACGTCGCCGTCGGGCCGGCGACGATGCCGGGAGCCGTACTGGCGGCGCCGCTGCAGGAGGTTTTCCGTTTCCTGGCGACGCCGACGGCGGCGAAGGATCGCCAACGCATTGACGGTGCTGGCGGCGCTGGCGGCGCCGCTGCAGGCGGCAGCGGCAGCGGCGGCGGATCTGCGGCTAAGCGTGCTCGTACGAACAGCATGATTTCCGACCGAGGCGTCGGGACAGCAGCGGCGGCGACGGCGTCCCATGGGTCGGTGCGGTCTGCTGCTGCGGCTGCTACTGCTGGTGGAGTCGGTGATGGCAATGACGGCAATGGAGTCGCTAACGACGATACTGCCGTACATGACCTAGATCCTGCAGCGTTTGCTGCAGATGCTATTGCAGCTGGTGCTGTTGAGGACGGTCAGGGGCATGATGATGTGACGCGGTCGCAGTTAGCGCCCGAGGATACGCAACAGCCCGGCGAGCAGGAGCAGTACCAGCTGGAACAACACGGGAAGGAAAACGATGGTGACGAGGAGCACGAGAGGTGGCAGCAGCAGCAGGAGCAGGAGCAGGAGGAGGTGTTGGTCACGGAGTCTGAGACCACTCGGGCGGCGACCGGCTTGGAGAACAATGGAGAAGAGGAGGAAGACGCGCTAGAGGGCATGGAGGAGGGGGGTGGGGTGGCGGGTGGTGACAGTGGTCGCCATGGCGCCTCGGACGGCTTCACCTCGCGCACGCGAGCGCTGCTGAGGAGGCTGCAGGTGGGCGGGGGGGGGGGAGTAATCCGGGGTGGGTGGAGGGAGGGAGCCGGGGGGTGCTGGGGAATAGCAGGGATACATATTCCGCATTAGGCTGGGGTGCTGGGGAGGGGAAGGTCCTACAGACCTGGCCCACTGTTAAGCGCTGTGGGGTATCGCGGTGATATATCGTATGGCTGGATCTTAGCTGGGCCCCGCATGAGTCTCAAACTCTTAATGCCCTCTCGTCTGATGTCCCTACTTCCCTCACTGGTTCCCTGCCTTCCTCCTACCCATGCAAAGGTCATGCTGGCTACGAGCAGCGGCTCCGGTCAGGGCGGTTCAAGCACTGCGGCTGCGGCTGCTGGTGCGAAGCCAGCTGCTAAGCGACGAAGGCTAGTAGGGTCAGCAGCAGCAGAGGAGGAGGGGACAGCTGAGGACGCGCAAGAGGAGGAGGTGGGCGCTATGCCGGTGCGTACGTGCGTCAATGGGTGTGGGCGTTTTAGGACAAGCAAGTTGGCACCGAACAAGTGAGCCGTAAAGCGGGTGTCGTAAAGTTGTTCCGTGTACTGTGCTTACCGCGCCCCTGTTCCCTCCGCAGGTCGTCACAACGGTAACGGAGCTGCTGCTACAAATCGCCCGGCACCACCACATGCCTAAGCAGCAGCAGCCACACCAATCTAACCAGCCCATATTCGGGAGCTCGCAGCAGCAGGAACAGCAGCAGCAGCAGCAGCAGCAAGCGCTGCTGCGCTCCCGCGTCAGCCGCATCACAGCAGCCCGCACCTTTTATGATCTCCTGGTCCTCAGCAACCGCGGATACGTGTCCCTGGAAGCAACCAAGAACCATGGGGCGGTGGCGACCCATGGGTCACCTACACCACCATCATCATCATTAAACGCGGTCGCAGCGGCTGGTGAGCTGGTGGTGAAGGCACGCGAGCGGTTGGTGATGGTTTCCGAAGTCAGCGTGATGAGTGGAGAAGCCCGGTGACGATGCCACGCCAGAGATAGGTATTGGGGTGGATAAAACTCGCTGTGAAGCCCGGTTGTTATTGCCTTGCTGCGAAGGAGTGCGAAGGGCGGTGCGGTGAACAAACTCTAGCTGTGGGAGAACATCCTGTGTGAAGAAATAATCATGTACAGGTATGCTCCCTGACTTTCTACTAGCGTGGACATTCACATTGTGCTGCGGAGTTGGTGACATTCTGACAAACCTCCTTGGCAGTTGCAGTGATTCGGTTGAAAGTTGTACGACATGTACAAGGGTACACCCACCGTTGCATCAAGTTATTGTCGTTATCATTGTTGTAGAAGTGCGGTTGTCGACAATTGTAGTCAAACGCCAAGTTGAGTAACCCGTTGCGTGAAGTTATACTACCCGGCGTCTAGGACGGCTGGGGGATGGACGCTACGAAAGTGAGCATGACGTACACACTATAATTAATACCGGTAAACATATCGATGAGGCGCGCGACATGAGGCATGTGCCACGTTGGACGGTCCGCGGGTTGGAGGTGTGGCCCTATCGCCTCTCCTGATGAAAAGGCCCCTAAATAACAGAGGAGCCTCGGGTTGCTTGCCTGATAAGGTTGGGACTCCATCTGGCCTCCAGCGAGTGTTGACAGTTGAGGTACGTCAGATGCCGCATAATGGCGTAAGGCACAGTGTAATGGCGTAAGGCACAGTAAGGCACAGTGCGTGAGCCTTGCTGGGTAGGTCTTCAGACTGTTGTATCGGTTCTCAGGCCCAGGCTGCCTTTGTAAACATACAAAGGTGACAGCCGTAACAAGGAAGCAACTAAGGAAACCGGCCCTGGACGAATCAGTGGGCTGCTTCATCTTCGTCATTACAAGCAGCATCCTTGTGACCAAAAAGCCGTTATGTACTTCAAAAGAGTGCACTACCGATATCCCCCCGCGCTTCCGGCGGCATAAACTACCGGCGCCAATAACATTCAGTTTATAAGCCCCTTCCTCAAAGTGCTTCTCCATCTCACCAAAATTGCCAAAACTCATGACTCATCTCTCAATCCTCTCTCACTCCCCCAAGGGCGCCTGCTGCCTCCCCGAAAGATAATGACGATAATTGAAAGCAATGACGGTGATCGTCGGTGACGCAGAGCAAAACAATTGACCCATTAAAGTGACACGCCGAGTCGGACAGGGTTGAAAAGGCCTGGCAGCCGAAAACATAACCTCCTGCTCCTTACAGGCACGCATGATTCTGACAATTCGATAGCTACAGTCCTGGTTGCAAAATTACTAGCATGTAGCAAGGTAGCATCAAAACCTAAACCTGCAGCGATGAGCACCATCAGCCGCATCCGCAGCATTGCCAGAACACAAATCATCAAGGGAATGTATGAAGGCCAATCCGTACGAGACGCGTTCGTGCGTGCCGTACTACCACCATTGCTCGCCGTGAAAAACGCTGCCAGCTGAAATATTTTTCAAGAAAGCCACAACACACAGCCCCAAACAATACCCGACCCATTACGACGCAGGACGCACCCTGAGGTCTGAAGAGGAGGGCTGACACGACCTAACCGACAAAACCCTAGCTAGCGGCTACAGCAAGCAGCAACCGCTGTGCGCATGTGAGCGGTTTGCGCGATGCGAGCATGGTGGTTTCGAAGCCATCGCAGGCGGCCGTTTGGAAAAACGTATTCTTGGCACATTTAGATAACGCCGGCTACACCGGTTAGGTAACCGGCATAACCGGCATTTCGCGGCATCGCTTGGCATTGCTTTCTTGTAATCGTCATATACAATATCTTCAGCCAAAATGGTAACAACCTTTGATGCCTGAAGAACGACAGGACGAGTGGCATCGGACCATTCCGACCCTACCAACAAGCCCCCTTCGTTCCCAACCTCAAAGCTACTGCTACTATATTACCCACCACCTTACCCACCACAGTCCACACACTCCTACACCATGAATCGCAAAACAACCTCTCTCACCTTTTTCTCTCACCTCTTACTATTAGCTTACTTCGAGGGCCCCTCCTCGCTCTCCATTTTTGCTTTGTACTACCCAACCGTAAGATATTCTCCCTCCCATTATCCATTTCCAAGCACTTCATCCCCGCTTAGCCCACCTCGCCGCACAGCACCCCAACACCCGTCGTACCCAAATTGGTGCCCCCAAACTTCAGGACGCCGCATCCCTCCCGCTTCTTATCTTCCCCAAACATGCAACATGGACAAGCGCACGCGCACGCACACACGCGCCCGCAAACACATGTCAACGCACACACACAAATGCCGCAATCAATGCCACCTACAAACGCCGCCTCTCCTTCGCAACCCTCATAAGCCCCATCCCCGAACAACACTGTCACCACCCCCACCACCGTCACCCCTTTCTGTCGTAAACGGCCGACAAACCCGACCCAGCACAACCCAGCAACGACTCCTCTCGCTCAGGGCCTTGCCCCAACATGCGGACCTCCGAACCTAGCCACCACCTGCCCCTCACTCGCCCCTCTCCCTCCGCACCTCCGCCACATCCTGCCCGCCCTTCCCGCCGCCCTCCACCGCCGCAGCAGTCATCATCACCATCGGCGCCGGCGCCGTCACCGGCCCACATGACGACGCTTGCGCCGCCTCCGCCGACCCTTCCAACACCGCCGCCGACGCCGCCGTCACCATTGTCGTACCCGCCGACGCGGACGCTGTTATCGCCGCCGTCATCGTCGTCGTGGCCGCCGTGTTATTGTTTGACACCGTGTTATCTGTCGCAGTATGTGTGGACGTCGCCGCTTCCTCCACGATGGTTTCCAGCACCCCCGGAATGCCGCCCAGCCCCAGCCCCAGGCTGCCCAGGCTGTTCAGGCCACCCAGCGAGGCGGAGGAGGCGGCCGCGGCGCCCGAGCCGCGCAGGCTGTGCGCGTCCGCAGAGTGCATGGCGGCGGAGAGGCTGAGGAAGCGGGAGCCCACTTGGATGGACTGCGGGGCGGAGAGGAGGTAAGAGAGACAACGGAGTTGGGGGGGCAGACAGAAACCAACCCATACTAGTGGGAATTGCGGGTGAGGGCAAGGCAATGGGAGAGGAGGCGGCCGGAAAGGGGGGGCAAGGATGGGGAGGGAGCAACAACACAGACGTGCTCAGGATGGATTGAGGAGCACGCATGGTCAGGACGCGGGTACGCTGCACATTTCGACGCAAGGAAGGAAGACGGAAGCGACACCTGTGACACATGCCGTCTATGATAAAATAAACAGGATGCTATCCTATGCATTACTCTCAAAAGAGTTAGTTGCAGGAAAGGATCATGTCATGCCATGCCCCGGCATTCAACGAAATTCCATCTCAAGCCCCCCCCATCTCCGGCACGACGACTCTCACCGCCGGGCCCCCCTGCAGCTTCGGCAGCGGCACCACCGCACCGCCCCCCATGGAGGTCCCCGTGGATGCATTTGCCGTACTGCTGCCACCGCCGCCGCCATTGCCGTACATCAAGCCGTTGATCCCGCTGCCAACGCCATCAGTGGACGCGGCAACGCTGCCGGTGCCAATGATGATGCCGTTAAGGCCGCTCAGCGCGTCGTCACTGCATGCCACCCCTCCAGCCTGCCCGGCGACCTGCTGCTGCGGCTGCTGCATGCCTTGCAGCATCCCCTGCTGCTGCCCCCCGGCTTGCTGCTGCTGCTGTTGCTGCTGCAGGGCTGCTTGCATCTTCTTGTGGAGCGGTGCGACGGGCTGCAGCGGCGGTGTGGGCCCGGGTATGTCGGCACGCATGCGGGTGAGGGATTCCAGGATCTCAGTGAAGGTAGGCCTGGGGGGCGGGGCGAGGAGGAAAGGAGAGGGGGGTAAAGATAGACCAACCCACAGGAAACTACAAGTAAGGGCTAAGCAGTGGGGATAGGAGGCGGCAGGGAGAGGAGAGGCCAGGAGAGGGGAAGGGAGCGTCGACTGACGTGTTTGGCCAACGGAGCGGGGCCAGGTGGGAGAGGTGTACGGGTATGAAACCCGTGCCTGGTACCCGGCCCATGATCCCCATGGTACGGCGGGGAGAAGGCGGGAGGACGTATGCGGGCGTTGAGAGGTGGGGATGACCGGCAGAGAGCTGCAGCGGGCAAGGCAGGCGTCACGGAGTAGCGGAGCGGCAGTAGTGGTGGCGCCACAGCCTCTCCCTCCACCTCTTACCCCTCTTCACCCCCATGTCGTCAGTTTTCCCTCTGTTTACTCCTCCCACCTCTTGCTCGCCTCCGCCGCCCAGCACCGCTCCGCCAGCTGCCGGTAGTCCAGCGGGGTGCCGGGCGGGAAGACGGGGCGCCGGCCCTCGCGCGAGGTCTGGTGGCCCAGCAGGGCGCCGGGGGTGCCTGACAGGGGGAGGGAGGGAGGGAGGGAGAGGGCAGGTTGGGAGGGTAGGATGTAGGAGGTAAGGCGGCAGGCGCTCATGAGGGCTGAGAATCCCTTGTGAAAGTTGTAAAACTCAAGGCGCAGCTTACACGCCCTGGGGGCGTGGCGTCGTGCTCACGAGTGCCGCGCCGCTTGCAACCGCTCCGCCTGCACCCGGCCCCTCCCTGCCCTTCATACACACCACTGCACTGACCTGCTTCCCATCCCGCATCCTGTCCTCGCTCCCTCGCCTTCCTCCCCCTCCCTCCCCTTCCCTCCTCCGCACCATTCCTCTCCCTGTCCCTTTCCCCCCTCCCTCACCTCGGTAGGGGTGGCCGCTGGTGAAGATCTCCCACATCGTGATGCCGAACGCAAACACTGCGAGGGACGGGGGCGGGGAGGAGGGGGGGGCCGGGAGGGAGGGTAAGAACGGGAGACGAACCGTATGTGCCAACACACACCCTACAACAAGCACACCGGCCACTCCCGTCCACGCATAGCATGCATGCATACCCCCACTCAATCGCCTTACCCTCCCTCCCTCCCTCCTGCTCCTCCTCCCGATATCCCCTCTCCTCATTCCTCCCTCCCCCCGCCGCCTCACCGTCCGCCGCCCTGCTGATGTGTCCCTCCAGCATCACCTCGGGCGCCATGTGCGTCAGCGAGCCCTGGAAGGTGTGCGACACATGAGTGGCGGTATGGTCCAGACGGACAGACAGGCCAAAGTCGGCAACCTGCGGGAGGGGCGGGGGGGGGGGAGGCGGGGAAGGAGGGAAAAATAACTGATAAGTGCAGCAACGAAGGAGGGAGGGTTGGAAAGAGGGCGGGAGGTGGGTTGTACCGGTATTGTGTGTCGGGGTTACTGGTATACCAGGTGTCGAATGAGAGGTAAACAGCAATGACACTACGTAGGATAGGCGACTAGGTCGACTGGCAAAGCACCATGCCAGTATAGACCGCACGACCGTGCTGTATTACTATGTACGGGGAGTGCGCTCTATTGATCCTACTTTCGTACGCCTTTCCTTCCAGCCCCCCGCCCCCTCCAAACACACAACACACGTGTTGAGTCCTACACCCAGCCAGTTCCTCTCAATACACCCGCATGGCACCATGTCGTACCTTTGCCACCACTCCGCGGCCGGTCTCGGATCCCGCGCTCTTGAGCATCACATTGGTAGCCTGATCAGGATAGGAAAGGCATGCGAGGGTTGGGATACCGGTATTAGATACTCCAAAACAGGAGTGAACACCCAAAATACCATTGGTGTCAGGCCTCTGTTCCTGCCCCTGCCTCCCGCCCACCTTGAGGTCGCTGTGCAGCACATCGTTGCAGTGCAGGTGCAGCATGGCCTTGGCCACGTCAGCAGCGGTGTCCAGGATGGCCGGGTAGTTGAGGCCTGCGGAGCAGGCAGCAGCAGGCGCGAGAACAGGTAAAAGCACAAACACGGTAGGTGGTTACGTGTAAGCAGCAGCTCTTACCTTGCTGCGAGAAGAACGCTCCCGCGTCCAACGCTTCTCGCAAGCAGCCCTTGTCGCAAAACTGCTCGCGGGGTGATAAGACGGGTTTTAAGTCAAGTCAGTCTCACGTAAGGCACAGGTGGCTTGATAAACAAGTCGGGCCTGATGGGAAGCGGTCCGCGACCCCAAAGCGGCAGCAACGTGCTCCTTGTTCCTCCCTCACCCCCACTCTCCACCCATCGCCCCCCCCTCCTCCCTCGCCCCCACCCTCCTCCGTCGCCCTCACCTCCAGCACCAGCTGCACCTCGTAGCTGTGGATGCTCCCGGTCGCCCCCGCTGGCTGGTCCATGGAGACTCCCCGGTTGGAAGGCGGCGGCTGAGACAGCTGCTGCGGCTGCGAGGTGGGCGGCGTGGGGGACTTCCCGCCTGATTTGGCAGGAGGGGCACCACCACCGCCGCTGCCTGCGCCGCCACCGCTGCCGGTTCCTGCAGCCGAAGGCGGAGTGCCATTGCTGCCGTTGCTCTTGTTGTTGCTGTTGTTATTGTTGTTGTTGTTGTTAGAAGCCGTGGCGTTGTTGCCGGCGCTGTTGACTGCTGTTGTTGCTGCTGCCGCGGCCGAGGCAGATGTGGTCGCGGTGATTGAGATGGACGAGTCCGGGCTGCCAACGATGATGGCACCCTGACCCGCAAGCATCTGAGGACGAGACGAGGAGAGGGAAGGAAAGAGGAGGAGCCACAGCACAACGGATACGTTTGCGCGTGCATGCGCGGATGACGCACGGACTGCATGTGTGCAGCAACAGGTGCGAACAGGTGCGGACGCAGCGGTAACACGTTTGGGAAGGCCGGAGGGATCCGAGGGAAGTCCGGTGCCACTGGACAGACTGCCACCACCGCTGCCACGACACGTGTCGTACCTGTGTCGTGCCCGTCGCCCCGATTGCGCCAACAACGCCCTTGCCGCCGCCAGCACCAGCCGCAAGCACCGCTGCCGGCGCCACAGCGCTGCTGCTGCCTCCTCCTGCTGCTGGTCCTCCTGCTGCTGCAGTGGTACCTCCGCCCCCTGCCGTATCGCCTGCTGTCGTACCTCCCGCCGTACCGCCTCCCGCCCGGGACGAGGGCATGTGGGAGGAGCCGGGAGTTGTGGGAGGAAGGAGGTGCTGTTGCTGCTGCTGTACGGCAGCTGGCATTTGGGCAGCTGAGGAGTCGCGGAGGGGCCGGATGTGGTAGGTGTAGGTCTGCAACGGGGGTAGGGTAAGGAAGAGGGACGAGGCATTCGGAACTTTAATTTGTGGCTTGTATAACCCGGGTTGATACGGACTGGTGCCCGGCACCCGTAATGCAGGGCTGCAAGATGCAACCCATGGCGGAGCACATGCGTTGGTTCCCTTCCTCCACCCCCACCTGCCCGCCACCCCCACCTGCACGATGTTCGGGTGCGCCAGGCTGCTGCTGATGGCCGCCTCCATCACCGCCATCTTCTCGCGCTTCTCCTTGCCGCTCATGTTGGCGGGCAGCACGATGGTCTTGATCGCAACCTCCGTACCACGCCACAGGCCTGCAGGAGGGGCGGAAAGATTAGGAAAATGAAGCAACGGAGGTGGGGTAGTGAAGTTTGTGGGGGGGGAGGGGGTTGTTGGCAACGGACTGGATTGATGGGAGAAGACATTGGGTGACGGGGCTAGAGGAGGGTCGGTTGCCGCGCAGGATGATACCAATGCCACGGGACAATGCACTCGTTGGAAACACGAGGACACGGCCGAGAGGAAGGCACAAGCTTTGGCAGCCCAAGGGCCCTATGCGGGGTTGTGACGGCCCTCACCTCGATAGACCTTGCCAAAGGTTCCCTCTCCAAGCTTCTCCAGGATTGTAATCTGCGCCGGGATATCAGCAGAAGCGCCTGGGCTCTATAAATTGTATCTAGAGAGACCAATGACTATTGAAAAAACTCCTCTTGGAAGACGTTTCAGACCTCAGCTTCCGCAAGACATGCACGCACTCATACCTCCCTTGTCGTACCTGCTCTGCCTCTCCCAACTGCTCCCGCCGAACACTCGTCCCCGTCAGCAACATCTTTTGACGCAGAATGTCCAGCCGCGTTCCGCCGCCGTCATCGCCGCCACCAGCACCGCCACCGCCGCCGCCAGCAATCGAGGCAGCGATTGCGCCGCCGCCGCCCTCCAGCAGGTCGATCAGGTCGTAGTGCCGAGCCAGCAGCGCCTGTGCATGCAGGGGAGTTTGGTGAGAGTTTGACGATGAGGGCACATGGACGGCATACAACATGCTTGGTCCAGGGTTTTGCTAATGCAAAATATGCAATGCGAATGGGAGAGACAGGGTTGCCGCCCCTTCTCCGTACTCCTCTGAACCTCCCAACTTCATCCTCTTCAACCCAGTTGCAAGATGCAAGTCCCCCGCCTCCCTTCACCCGTTGCTTTGCCCTAATCGGTGGTCTTGGGAAATCTCTGACCCCCCCCTCACCGGTCAGTGTTCCTTATTTTTAGCCTCACTATGCGATTGTGCGATCTTTACAGGGGAGTCCGAACGACTCAAGTGCATACCCTCACCCACCTGCATGCGGTTCTTCTCCTCCTCAAGTGTACGACTGGTGTTGGCCAGCTGCCCAGCGGCCTCCTGCACAAAGTGAAGGGAGCGGGGGAACGAGATGACGACAGACGCCGCAGGTGGACGAGCGAGAGGCGGATCGCGCGCTGTGTTCATCCAACTGACCGCCGCAAAATAGAACACTGACCGCTGCATTGCGTACGTGCGAACAAGCGAGCGAGACGCGGATTATGTGCGTTGTGAACGGAACGAGCGAGCGATGCCGGAAGGGGACTCACCACCACGTCCCGGAAGAGCCGCCGCTGCTGCACCCTTGACACCAGTACGGCAAACACCAGCAGCGACAAGATGAGTGACACAATGACCACCTGGGTACGAAGGATTACAAGGATAAGGGAAACCGGGAAGCCTGGTTAAGAGAAGTGGTTATTGAAGTGGCTATTTCCAAGCCCCCTCCTGCAACCTATTGGTGTGTAGCTCCCATCTCCAACCTCAACCACCGCTCCTTACCATGACAATCAGCGGCGCACGCCAGGAGGGCACCCAGCCATCCGTACGGCCAACATACAACGTCCACTTCACGTTCGGCAGTACGACACTGACCACTACCGGCTCCTGCAGTACGGCAGGGAGGTCGTAGTAGATGAGCGGGCGCTTGCCGGCGATGGTTTCGTTGAAGCCGGGCGGCCGCGGCGGGTCAATGTCGCTGGACCAGTCCACTGCGAGGTCGGTGCCGTTGGTTTGGGGGCGCGTGAGGACGTAGCTGTAGCCCTGGGTAAGGGGGACGAAGAAGGAGCAAATATTGCCACTGGAAAAGCACCTTCTACCTCCCCTGCTAACCCCACATGGACTCCCACGCACTCCCTGCCACCCCCGACAGCTGCCGTCAGCAGCTGTCCGCACCCACCTGCGACTCCAGGTCCTGCAGGTGCGTCACATTGTCTCGCAGCGCGTCCCAGCTGATCAGCACCGTACACAGGCCTGCGGCGAGAAGGCCACAGGCGACCGCGTAGGGAACAACAACCATGATACCGGTAGTCGGTTAACCCATGCAGTTCTGCCATCAGGACGACTGCACTAGGTCACACCGCCTAGGCCCAAGCCTCTACCCAGCGGCCCCAGGAATCCTAGCTCCCGCCCCCCCCCGGCCGCCTCGTCATCCAGTTTGTCAGTGTTTCTTTATTTTTACCCCCCGCCGCCTTACCCCAGAACTTGGGTGCCTCTGCGTAGCTGGGCTGCCAGGTGAGGTTCATCATGCCGGGGATGGAGGAGGTGGGGCCGCTCACGTTGTCGGGGCCTGGGGGGGCGGGGGTGCAACGATTCGGGAGAGAGGAGGAGGGGGGCGAGGAATGGGAGGAGGCCGAGGAGGAGAGGAATAGGAGGAAAGGCTAGCCGTATAGGAACCCGTAGCGGGTTCTGTACGTAGGTTCTTCAAGCACCCAAGTGCGCGTGAGCCCTTGCGTTTGAGGTCTCCAATCTACCGATACTAGCAGGACACTGCCATGCAGACCGACTTGCTGTCGAAGGAGGTGAACTCTCTGGTTAGCTCTTTGATCTTTGGTTTGGTTTAGCTCTCTGGATAGCTCTTCCGTTTGGCTCTCTTTGCCGCAAGTTGCTCAATACGGCAACACGGAATGGGCATGCACGACCCCAACTTACCGGGCGGGATACCAAAAGTGTCGTTCTGCGTGCCCGGCACGAAGATGGCTTGCATGCCGACGATTCCAATTCCACCCTGGGTCAAGTTGTACGGCCCGATGATGGTCAAGTTGCCTGTGCAACCGAAAACGGCGTGTTGCGAACGGCAAAGAACTCGTTTTTTCGACGGGATCAGGATTGGCGGCAGCGGTATTTCCAAGTACATTGGACCCAGCAAATGGGTCTCACAAGCCGCAAAAAGGTAACGTCCATAAGGGACGCTTGTAACGAAGGGTACAACACATCTGGAGGAAGGCACCAACACGAAATGCACAACTTACGCGATGACAACGAGAGCTTAACGAACGCCGCGTTAACGGCGTCATTCAGCCAGTTCTTTCCAATGGCTCCCCAGTTACGGTCGTCGGCCGTGGTGGTGCCATTCAGCGGGTACATGGTACGGATGACGCCGTGGGGAATGGAAGACACCGTTCGCACGGAACCCGCCTGCGCATGGATTCAGCAAAGGGATGCACGTTACAAAGCAAAGCGGAAGGGGCGAGGAGCTGATGGCGCGAGACAGCAGGGATGGAGTACTTGTATTGGATTGGGCGCATGCGTCCTAACATCCCCACATAAGGCGTTATGCGTCTCCGTGCCAGCATGCTCTCTTAACATGCTCCATTCTCACAAATGTCAAGTACTCTGTCGTTCAGCCCCCTTCTGTCGTACCTGAACTAGCGCGATAAGGTCTTTAGACATTTTGTCGAAGTTGGAATTCATGAGGTACCAGGCATTGGGGTAGAGCTGCCGTAAGTTGGAGGGCTGGGTCGGGTAGTACTCGGGGTTCTGTACATGGGGAACGGACATAGGGGCATAAAGTCATCAAGAGACACTCCTTCAAGCCTCGCGTATTCAGTAAACCGGTGTGCATCTTATTGCGGTAAGCCCCGCCCGCGCACATTCTGCAGCCCTCTAAAACGTCGAATTGAGACTGCCGTAAACTCAACATGCCGTGCACGCCACCCGCCGTACCTGTTGTACGGTTGCCGAGACCACGTAGGCCGGCATGAAGGTTTTGTCGAGCTCCGTCTGAATGTACATGGCCTTGTCCTGCGCAATCTGGGGTGGGGCAGGGAGTGGGGAAAGAACAGAGAGATGTTTTTGTGGTGGGGATGGAGCGAGACGGCGTCCGAACGGACGTAAGCAGCTTATAGTTGGGAGAGACATAGGGGCTACAATGCGTTGCAGCAGCCGCTTGGGAACGGACATCTCTGAAGGTAGGTGGTCGGAAAGGGCGGTAGGCTCATGCGAGGCCTGGCTGTACGCAGCATCCTTTGCGGGTCATGTATTCGTAAAACGCCATATCACGACCCGTGGGTAACTCCTTCAGCAGCCCAGGGACCAAGCTCTGGCAGCAGCCAGGACCAAGGTCAACCTCCATCCGCTTGGTTGCCCTGCCCGCCAGCCCTTTGCTGAGCTTCACCAATCTGACCCCCACCATGCCCACCCACCAAAGCCTGCGAAGCGTCGCGTCCCATCAACCCAACATCCGACAACCCGCCAATGCCATGGGTTCCAACAATCCCAAGCTAACCCAAAAGCATTATGAAAGATCACCCTTGCAACCTTGCGACCCAAACACACCAATCCCGCGTTCCCCTGACACATACAATGCGACGCACTTACACATTTTGCTATCCAGAAACTCGGGGATCCATTCTTGCATTGACCTGATCTGCCTTCCTATCCTTCCCACGTCCCGAGCGCTACTACCTGCGCGCCTCTCCAGGCCTCCTATCACCAGCCCATCAACCCTCCCTCACCACTGCAACCCACAAAACCACGCTGGCCAGCGCCATCCACGCCCACCGCATACCGGTAACCTTCCCGTTGCATCCCTACTTGTGTTAGTCCCAAGTTGTGTTTCACCCTTCAACCTGGTTAGCCTACCTTGAGCGCTGACTCATGTCGAAAGCGTGTCTCCGAGTCCGATGCCGCCACCAGCGCCCACAGGCCCAGGCCCAGCACCACACCCAGCACCACCAAGCCAGGCAGCAGAACCACGGGTCGGCTGCGAACGACCTCTCCCACTTTCTGCGGTTATTGGGAACGAGATTCAAGACGGGATGCAGCTTGAACACCAGTAGTTGAGGGAGAGTGTGTGTACCGCAACGGAAGGAAGATGACAGGTACGGGGGTGAGTTCGTGGTGTGCAGGCAGTTCAATGTGCTTGCCAGGTGGCCAAGGAAGGGGAGGGAGTTAAGATACCTTTGAGATCTGGCCTACTGGTCTTGGGAATGTAAATGGCTATTTAAGGAATGTGAGGCGCCGGGATACCTCTTCGTCGGTAGGATAACGCAAGCATCTTGTACTAACGCAAGCATACGTACACATGCCAAAAGTCCTTGTCCAGGCTTAAAAAGGGCATCTCAAACTAGTGCCAGTTCACTTAACAACATCGGTCGCTTCAAACAGCAAGGGATAGCAGTTCCTAGCAGCTAGGCCGTGCCTTGCTGCCAGCATGTCAACTGACCAACAACCATCGAGCGAGGCTGGAAAACAAACTAAAAGAGGGAACTGCTGCCCCGTTTAGCCCTGATCCACAACTGCATGAGAAAGCACACACCTTGAGCTCCAAACCGAAGCCATGAGCAAGCGCACGCCACCATGCCAATGTGCATAGCGGCACACGGCCCAAGCTGGTGCCGTCGCGGCTGCGCACAAGGCCACAGCAGCTGGAATCTGTGCTCGATAGCGTGCTTGAGCTCTTGATACCGGCCGCATACTGCCAGGCGACGGGCATTTCAGGAATGGCGGACTTGTACGAGTGCTGGCGCAGCGAGCTCAACGGGCTGTTGCCGCCTCCAGTCCCTGTTGCCCTGATAGTTTTGACCTCGCAGCTGTTCTTATGGGATGGAGCTGCGACACCCTTATCCGAAGAATGGGGGTCAACACCCTTAGCACTGCCGCCTTGCCGAGCACCGCTCGCGGAATCAGTAGGTAAATGAGGCGGGTTCCTAACTGCGGACGGCCTTCCGCTCTTGGCATTGCTGTTTGGCCGACTAGGAAACGGCGAGCTGACCTGTCCGACCGAGTCCTCCTGGGAGCCCTGAGCGTTTATGGCGCCAGCTGGGACTCCGACAGAAACAGTATCAGCAATTGTGCTAGCTCCTGTGACGACAGCCCATTCAGGCACGACCACTCCGGATGCCACAACGCTGCGAGGCCCTCTGGTCCCCATCCCCTTCGGATAGATATAGGTTGGGCAAAGTTATTAACCTAATGACATCCAGCGGCTAAAGGCAGCGGCAGCGAGTTGCCCCCAAACGTACTGCCTGCCAAACTAAGTCAACCAGGAACGCGTTCACGCAGAAAGGTTTCGTAAACATTAGCATCATTTCTAAAGCGGAAAATAGGTACATTGCAGGTTGGGTGGGACGTAGGAGGTAAAGCGTTTGCCGTTCGATGCCGTACACAAGAGTTAAACCTTCGTGCACTGCACTTACAATAGCGTTAGTCCTAGTCGTCGAGTACGTTCGCCAGATTTAGGCTGTGGTAGTTGAAGGCAGCACGGTCGAGAACCGGAAGTGCACTTCATCAAAATTTAAGTACCATAACTGCTCCAACAACGCCCAGAAGCATTATGAATACAACGGCTTAAGACCGCTTGCCGTATTACTGTTACACTCTTTGGCCAAATTCCTTACGTTGGGATCATCTAATGCAGCCGAACTGAAAGTTTCGCAGCCCGGCCGTTAGGAGGTGCCTCGGACAGTCATCTGCAATTAGGACAGGGGCTATGGGTGGGGACCTCTGGGCAGCGCAGCAACCAAACAGCCAGAAGCCCAGCAGCCCCTCAACATCCTTCCCTTCAGCATCCGTTCGTCCACTCGAACAACCCCCTTACCACGACGCTCGTTCATTGAAACTTCCTGTTATCCTTCACGCCGGCGAGAACTCGGCGGAACCCCGAAACCAGCACATTCCTGGCTCTTCGCCACAGGAGCCAGTCAGTCGCGATCACGATAACAAGCGCTGGTCTTCTAATTCCTTTGACGATCTTCCAGAGGGCCGTCTTGCGGGCTCCTTTGCGGCTTGGGCGCAACCCGTAGAGTCGACCCAACCAACAGAACCAATGCAGCCGGGAACCTCAGCCTCGCCATCGCAGCCCTCATTCAACGCCTACCCGCATGTCCCTCCAGGCCAGAATCTTGCTGCCAACAACGGCGACTCACACAATAACGGCGACATGAGGAGCAACCCGGCCGGTAGTTCACTTCATACCGTAGTTTCGGAGGCGTTCCCTTCTGACTATGTCGCCGCAGCAGCTGCCGACGCCGAGGGCGGCGGTGGAAGCAGCAGTGGCTACGTCGACGGGAGCGGAGGCGTCGGCTACAGCCAGGGCGACTACACCGATGACGCCGGCCGTTACAGCAGCGGCGTGTACGATGCCGGAGGCCAGTACGGCAGCCAGTACGGCCAAAGCTACAGTGGTGACGCCGGCGAATATGGCGGATACGGTGGCGGCGGGTACAGCCTTAGTGGCGGAGAAGGTGGCGGCTCGGAGTACGGCGCCCATTACGGAGCTCAGTACGGCAGCAGCGAAGGCCTGCAGTACGGCAGTATCAGTGGGGAGCCGCAGCAGCGGCAGCAGTGGGGCCACCAGGGGCAGATGGATCCAGAAGCGGACGACACGGCTGTCGGTGCTGCAGCTCACGGAGACGGTTACGAGGCCATCGAGAGCAATGCTGCCGGGAACAGCGACGGCTGGGGTAGCGTCAGCGGCGCCGCCGCTGCCGTTGGTGGCGGCGACGTACAGTATTACTACGACCCAAGTACGGGTTATTATGCAGCGTACGGCAGCGCAAGCGGTACTACTGCTGATGACGCTGCTGCTACACCTGAATGGGATGCCTCGGCAGCGGCTGGTGATGCTACAGCCGCAGCTCCCGAAGCAGCAGCAGCTACTGCCGCTGCTGACGGTGCTGCTACAGCCGCCAGCACAATCCAGGACCTGGAGGGCATGCTGTCTTTGTTGCAGCAGCAACGCCAGCAGTATCGCTCTTGGGTAGCGCAATGCGCGGTTACAGCATTATCCGCGCTAGATCCGTCGTACAGTGACCCGTCGTACGAACATACGATTGCTGCTAGCAGCAGCGGTAGCACCCTGGTGCCGGAGGACGTTAGCAGCATGGTGGCAGCTATGGATGTAGCAGGGACTGTACGACAGTACCTGCTGTCACTCAAGGCGGCGGCGGAGGCGACCAAGGAGGCGGCTCGCGCCGCCGCCGCATTTGAGGCGCTAGCGCTGCCGGTTGCGGAGTCGTACGACAGCCCTGCCGACGTGGCGGCGGGCGAGGCGGCGGAGGCGGAGTATGTGAGTGCGGCGTACGGCGTTACGTCGGCAGTGGTGGCGGCGGTTGAAACGTTGAAGGCGACGACGGCGCTGGTGACGGCAGGCGCTTCTGGGGTTTCGTCCTCTTCTGAGGAAGCGTTGAAGGTGGGGCTCGAGGGTTGGCGGTTGTTTTGTTAGTGTCAAGCGAAACGCACACCAACCGATACGACTGATATTGTCTAGAGGGCTGTGTAGGGTATGGCTGAACTCGGTTTGCACACTACCGAAGGGACTGCCTTCCGAACAAAGGCAAACCACTTTCCCTTTTCATGTCGGGGTTAACGCTGATGTCCAGCCTCTCCTGTTACGAAATGCATGCTGGGTTACGAAATGCATGCTGCCCCATCCTCACCCTTGACGGGTTCTCCCTGCAAACTAAACAATGTACCGCAGGAGCTGCTACCACCGGAAGCCACGGAGGCGCCGCTTCGCCGGCGGTTAGAACGGATCGGTTCGGGGCTGGCGACTCGTCTGAGGGAGGTGCGATGGGGGTTACTGGGCTGGGGGCTGCTGGGAAGTTCCCACTTGGCATCAGGAGTAGCGTTTTGGCTACAACTGCTGGAGGAATTGGTAGTAAGCATGCTACACTTTTCAAGTTGCTGGTGGTTTTCAGGTTGCTGGGAGGATTACGCTAGGTTGCCTTCCCTCAACCACGGTGGCCCATGACCATGGGTCCCACACGCAACGCACATCCCGAATCCTAACAGTTGGTCTGCGGCAGCAGTACAAGCTGTACGGCAAGCTAACGAACTCAACCGCTCATTCGCCGCCCGCTTGCAGGAGGCGGACGTGCTGATGGGGCGGCTGCACTGGCCGCCGCCGCTCGCTGCCGCCGCCGGTACGACAGACGCAACAGCGACAGCAACAGCGGCAGCAGCAGGCGGCGAAGCAGGGAGACCGGATGCACTGCGGAAGGGAGTGGCGGAAGGAGGGACGTTTGCGGGTTTTGAGGCCCACCCGGTACTAGCCCGGCGACTGGTAAGTTTTGAGGTGTGGATTGATAATCCTGGTCGCGATTCGGAACGTAACGTGTATATGACATTGATGATGTTGATGTTTGAATTGTGTGTGACATTGATGTTTGGACTATGTGTTATATGATGATATGGATGGTTGAAATGCGGTACGGCAGCTGGCGGTGGGGTGGTAGGAGGCCACGGGTGGAGCACCCGGGTGCCCCTACCAGGTGCCCGACCGTTACCTGGGGTGCGGCTGGGGAGGGCCCCGGAAGGGAATGGTAGGGGGCAGCTAAACCTGGGGTCAGCTGGTCGCGGGTTCATTGGTTCGCGTACAGGATTCCTCGTTGTGGTTATTCGGCATGCTGCGGACCGTCACAAAGCGGCTAACACATATGAGCTGCAACCGGCGTCCAGTGTTAGACGCATGTTGCGTCTTGAACCATTTCTCGTCCCCAGAACCTCACATCTCCCGTGTCATGCCCTTCTTTGTCGCACAGGCGGGTGTGTTGACGGCCCTCACGCACTTCCAAATGGCTGTGGAGCAGCGGCCGGCCTTCATACGCCTGCTGGTGAGCGAGAGTGGGGATTCATTTGGAATAGGAAAAGGTCTTTGGGGGGCTAGGAAGCATAGGCAAAGGGTGGGGGACATTGGGGGCGCATGCGGGTAGCAGGAGTCCAAAGGCTGAGGATATGGGGCTGGGGTAAGGGGCTGTGGTTATCACAGCTTCGGGCTGAGTTACGTGGATGGCGGGGGCGTGCAGGCGTGCTAGTGATCACTTGACTGAAGCTCCAGACCTTTAGGCTTCCAACCACCGTAAGGTCCGTAACCCGCGTACTTGTTGTTTCCCGTCTCACTCCTCTTCTTCCGTCCTCATCGCTTGACCCCTGCCACACCCGCCCGCGCTAGTCCACTCAACCGGGAGAGGAGGAGGAAGGCGGAGAGGAGGCGGCCGGCGAGGAGGGAGGAGACGGTGCTTCCAAACCCGCAGCCGCCACCAAACCCGTGCTGTGGGCTGCCAAGGTGCGATAGCTTGGCCGCACATCCCCTGATAATGCTAGCTTGTGCAAAAAGACCCACCTCCTAATGAACAATCCCATGTTATTGTTGACTGCTTTCAGCCTCGTGTGCCCTATCGGTGCCGTTGTCGGTTCAATCCGCGCTATCCTCCTTGCGTGCCTTGCCGGACCACCCCCCCTGCCTCCGTGCCTTGGGTCGCCCTCCCGGGGGTCTCCCGGGGGACTGCAGTTGTTTGCACGCATTATGTAATTTCCCCGGGGCCTCACACGTGTATAGCCAAGCTGACTGCTTTGACCGAACCCATTGTTCCAAGCACACGTTTCCTCGCTCGCACAGGCTTTGGCGGCTCCCATTGCGGCTAAGCTACGCACCCACTTCCATCCAGGTACGTGGACATTCGCTTTTGCCTCTTGCTGTATTTGCTTGTTTTAGCGTTTTCACGCTCTCTCCCTCGTTTGGATCCATCCTGATAGCCGTTGTTGTTGCCGTGTTGGGACCGTGCCATGATAGGCTCGCCTCTCTCCCCTTTCATGAACTGCACCGCCCCAACACCTCCCTCCTTCCTTCCTTCCCTCCCTCCCAACGCACTTATCCCGCCATCAGCTGCGCCCACGGGCCGGTTGGATCGTCCTGCCTGGCTGTACGGCACCGTTTTGGATTTCGTACGGCACCACGGTCATGCGCTTTCCTCGCTGGACGACATCCTGGCGTGCCTGCAGCTCAAGCCGCACTATAACATGCCCGCGGAATTTGCCAGGTGGGGTGGGAAGGGGGGCAGTGGAAGAAAAAGAACGTGCTATTATGGTCTTACAGAACGCGGCAGCCCGGGGGGGCTGTCAACGTACTGTTTGGCGCTAGGAGTGCATCAGGAGTTGTGTACGACCTGCAAGATGTGGCCTCTTGTTGCTGTTCCGTCACTGCTTATACCTACCTAGATGGTTGCCTGGCGCAGGAGTAGGAGTAGGAGATTGCCTGGAGCAGGATTAGGACAGTGTTTACCCTCGCGTATGTTGCGATGCACCCTTGCAGGGCCCTCCAAGACGAGGTTCTAGAGTTTGTGCGGGAGGTTCGTATCCCGGCCATCATCAACCTTCAGACTCAGATCCAAAATCCAACTGCCGACACCAATGGCAGCGGCGACGATTCAACTTCTTCCGCTGCGGCCGCGTCGACGCCGACAACCGCGACGGATGCTGACGTGGAGGCGCTCTGGATGGGGCTTATGGACGCATCTGCGTCGTACGACATTTCCATGTTGCCGCTGCTGGGAGCGACTGGCGCGGCGGTGGAGGCGGCGGCGGCCAAGGCGACTGCGATGCTGGCGACTGCGGCGGCGGCGACGGGAGGTGAGTGCGGCGTGCGTGCGCGCGCTTGCATGCATGGATTTGCATGAATGGCGGCGGTCAACAAGTCATGCGTACGCTCCTCGGTTCGCATCTTCCCTTCTCAGCACGCGCAAAGAGCGCCTGCATGCTTAGTTGCTGTTCCCCGCCACTCATACAGTTCCGTCCGTACAGTAAAAAGTGACCATGGCCTACCATGGATCTCCATTCTGCCCTAGTCCTGTCCTTCTCTCTCTCTCCTAGTCCTAGTCTCTGCACCCCTCACCCTTCTTACCCCTCTCCTGCCCCCTCACCCTCCGTTCATCTTGCTCCAAACACACACGTAAGGCCCATCGCGCCGCCGAGCCTGCGATGTTTTGGATCCAACCGTCGCCGGTACGGCAGACATGCACGGGCGTTACGTCGCCGTGGCGGCGCTCGCGACGGCGACTCCAGTGGCGGCAGCGGCACCAGGAGAGCAACCGGCGGAGGCGACCCCGAAGGAAGCGGAAGCGGCGAAGGGCGCATTGTCGCCGTTGCTGGTTGCTTGGGCGGAGGCGGAGGGCGCGGCGGCGTTACGAGCGGTTGAGGCGGTTGTGTACGACGACTCGTCGTTGACACCTCAGGAGGAAGTGAGTGCGGTATTGTATGGACGGTAGGGAGCGAGGAAGGCAGTGAAAGAAGGAAATGGGGGGCTTCGTGACATGGTATGTGTACAGCGGTATCGGTTATCGTATCTTATCATGCTCCCTTCTTCAATCCCGCTTTCTCAACCCCAATCAGGTCCTCGCTCGGAGGCTGGGAGCCTCTACCACTGCTGATGACGACACCGGCTCCACAGCTGCAGCTGCCACGTCAGCAGCAGCAGCAGCAGGCGGGGCTGCTCCCTGGCAACGGGACGTATGGCCGCCGGTTGTTGCGGTGGAGGCGGCACGTGTGCTGGATGGCCTTGTAGCCAGGTCCAGGTGAGGACAGCGTTGGCTACAGCCGGCCACAAAGAGAAATGTCCATCTTAATCCTCGTCGTCCCCAAAAAAACTCCGAAACACCACCCCAATGCATCCCCCCGTTGTATGTATTCCATGTGCATCCCACCTGATCGCGCCGCCGCCTCCACCCACCACACAACGACGTTCCCACCCCGCAGGTGGCTCTCCCCGCGCCCACTCGCGCAGCAGGCTTTCCTGGCTGCAGCGGCGGTCCCGGTGCTGGCGCTGCTGCGGCGGCGGTTGGCGCGGGTGTTGGACGGAGCGGTGGCGCGAGGGGAGGTGCTCAGTGAGGAGGGACTGCCCAAGGTAAGAGGGGTAAAGATAAAAAATGATAACGAATCGTGTGGGGGTGGAGGAGGGTGACACATACGACATACGTATGGGGTTAATTGTACCGGGCTGCAAAGCGCTGTACAAATAGCGAATCACGAAAGCGTACTAGCATTGCGTTATCGGCTGTCTAAAGAACAGGATCCACACCAGCAACCAACCGCCAGAAGCAGCTGGATGGCGTAAGGCCGATGAAGGTTGGCGGCTGGGGAGGAAGAGGAGGAGCTTGGGATGGGGCACGAAGGCATGACCTGATCCTTGGTTCCTGCCGTACAACAATGCATGCAGGTATGCGCTGCCCTCTGCGCCGCGCACTTTTTGGACGAGCACCTGCACTCGCTGCTGCTCACCGAGCTAGCGCCGCTCGTACACGCACTCGAAAGCGCCGCCGCCGCTGCTGCCGCCGTCAGCAACAGCGCCGCCGCCAGCGGCGTCGGTACACCGGCGTCGAGCATCGCCGGCGGCTCCGCCGTCGCCGTTCCGCCGGGTAAGCTCGGCGGCGGCGGCGGAGGCGGGTTCTGGAGCGGTTTGCTGGCGGCGGCGGCGGGTGGTAATGGTACGGCAGTAGCGGCGTCGCCGGCGCGTGTGGCGCTGCGTGACGGTGTGACGGCGCTGGCGGGAGCCGCCTCCGCCGCGTTTCCTGGGGCGGCTGGCGGCAGCGTGACGTCAGCGGCGGCGGCGGCGGCGGGTGCGGGTTGTACGGCAGCAGCGGCGGCGGTGTTTGGGGAATACGTGCGAGCGTTCTCACGGCTCCACCGGGACGGCTGTTTGAAGGTTGCGAGGGAGATGGCGCTAGGATTTGGCAGGTGAGGCAGGATTTGGCAGGTCTACGAGCTGCTGATACTGTACGGAACTACCGGGCCTTTCTCCTTCCACTTTTCCTCGTGACAATTGAATTCGGCAAACACGCTAAATCCCTGGCTTACTCTAAATCCTAAATACGCTTATCCTGGCCACAGGTACTCTTTGTCGTACCGACATGCCATCGAGGCCAACACGCAGTTCCCCTTCACTCCCGAGGAAGAAGTCGAAGCGGAAGGGGACAGGATGGGCATGGAGGCGGAGGCGCGACCCATGGGTCACAAGGCTGCGGACTCCAATGGCGGTGGTGTTGGCAGCAGCAGTGGCAGCACCAGTGGCCAGCGAGCTGCTGCCTCCATTACGCCCTCCTTTGCACCGGCGCTGCTTTTCCTCCAGGTGTGGACATGTCTGGCCGCGCTGCGGTCTTCCGTTTCATTCTCGCCGTAGAAAGTAATGAGCATGTTATCGGGGGAAACTAGGCATGGTACCGGTATCACCTCTACCACCAGCGAAGCAAGCTCCCCATATTATCACGGCAGCACAATCCGTGTGTTTGCTCCTGGATGTTTTCCCCATGCACAGCCATATTCATGGGTTTCCTGCTTCTCCGTCTCCTCTCTCCCCGCTTGCTTTCATCCACTGGCCTCCCTTCCCCGCCGTCATCGTCAGTTGTCCAAACAACCTAGCCTCTCCACACGCCCAACGTTTCCTCTCCCTCATCCCCACACCCGCACAGACAAGCCTGTCCCGGCTGTCACGCTGCTGCGACAAGGCCACCTTTGCGGACGTGTGGCGGGGCGCCGCGCTGTCCATCAACCGCTTCATGTTCAACTTCGTCGCGACGGAGAGCCGGTTCACACGAGCAGGTGAAAGGGGAAGGAAAGGCGGCATAAAGTATAACTGTTTAAGGGGTTGGTCGCTAGAGGTTTGCCCGGCATACCAACAACCGATCCTTCGTTGTCATGTAAATGCCATGGACCTCTCTTTGCTTGTCTCCGCAACAGCTCCCGCCAAGCGCTACCCTGCACATACTTGCCCTCACCCCGCACATACTCCCGCCTCACCCTCCCAGGCGCTCGTCAGTTTGCAGCCGATGTGTGGGGCCTAGCCAGCCTCTTCGCCCCCTACAGCCGCAGAGGCGCATCCGCAACAGCAACTGCAGCAGGAGGACAGCATTTCCGGGAGCTGCAGGCTGCTGCGCGGTTGCTGTGCATGGAGGACGAGGAGGCGGCTGACGTCATGAGACGTGCCAGTACGGCCGCTGTTGCTGTGGCGGCGGCGGCAGGCGCCTCCTTCTCCTCACCTGCCTCTCGCCTTCAGTCCTCTTCTCGCCCGCTGCCTGCCGCCGGTTGCGACGAGGACGAGGGTGGGCCGCTCAGCCCGACAAAGCACCGACCGCTGTCCACGACACATGCCATGCAGCCGCAGCCACAGCAGAAGCAGCACGGCAACGACCATAAAAGGGGAGGCGGCGGCAGGGACGCGGTTCGGGTCAGCATGGCTGCGGACCCGCTGTTGTCGAGTGGCGGGTTGGCGTGTTTGACGCCCCTGCAGATCATGAACGTGATTGAGCACAGGTGAGGAGGGTGTGGGGTACTGTAACCGAGCCGCGGTGGGAGCATACGGCGAATGAGAGGCATGTAGGGCTACCGGGTGCAGGGAAGGTTTTTGTGGGGAAAGAGGCCCGAAATTGCTGGTCCCAATGTGTCACGTTCATCTACGTTCAAACACAAAAAACGCTCCGAACTGCCCTGACGCAGGATCTAACGCCGGACAGGCACTTAACATGCGGAGTAGGGGAACGCGGCCGCATCCTTTTAGCATTGTGTTGATTTGTGACACGTGGACCTATAACCTAATGACTTGTACCTGTTTCCGGGCTCTGTGGTGAAGTCCGCTGCTGCCACATGATACGTGTTCGGTGTAAGATGTAATGTGCGCTCCGTTGCCAGTTGATAACTTTTCCAAGGAGGCGTCTGGCAGTCCCATTCCTTTTTCGCGTGGGGGTTTTCTGGGTTGCTGTGTGGTTTCTCTCGGACATCCTAAGTTTACGGACGGATTCTAGATGTGCTTGGTGCTCAGCGAATGTGGGGACATGAGGTGGAGCCATGAGCGCATGGCAGTGTAGGGCGGCTTTGCATTGGCTGTGGCCTAGCGTGTCACTGCGCGTGTTGAAGCAACCGAGCGGCATAGCTGGCACTGGCTATGGGAGGTGGAGTAGAAAGCGATGTCATACTGCGCTTGTAAAATGCATGAGCACCCCAGTCCGAGCACGAACAGGGCAGAGGAGGGGGCCAAGAGGCGGGCGGGTGCTTCCATGGGCAGCCTGAGTTCCAATCACGCCTCGCAAGCTGGGGTTCTGAGTGTTTGTATGGGCGTCAAGGCCTACGCATTGTATGCGTAATAGTTTTATGGGGCAAAAGGTCACCTGATGAGCAGCACGGTATGTGAAGCGATTTCGCTGCACCCACCATCACACTGCGTCTACCACGTAGTGTTACTGAATGATGACAATATCCTAAGCTTGGCAGCAAGCCTGGCACCGGTACCATGCATGTAGCCATGAATGCGGCATCGCCTAGGGTTATAGCTGTTCCCCCCTCATCTTGCTGCGTCACCGGTCAAGGTATCGACGGACGCCACAGGAGATGGTGCGCACGAAGGCAGTTCGCAAGCGTATTCAACGGTACACGCATGCCTTGTCCTTTTTTGCGTCTTGAGACCCACGTGCTTCGCTGGAGGTGCTTAAGCGCGGCAAGGCCATACTTTTTACTAATGAGTAAGTATGTAATAAGGAGTTATATCGAAGTCCCATCGATGTGCTAGCTGCAGGCTGAGTTGGTCCAGGAGGGGCGTAGATCGCACGGCAGCAATGCGCATTGCCTTCTTGGTAAACAGCATGTCCTACTCTCGGGTTATGCTATACATACCTTTCATGTGCGTGGTGTTCTGATTGCCATACTTAAGAAGCCGAGTCCTACCTCGCTACCTGTCAGGAGCAAGTCACGGATAAACTGGCCTTTGCGCAGCACCGCCATGTGCATTGGTTCGTGGACACGTGCTGAGGTTGCTAGAGGTGCAGATGGCCGCGGGCATAGCTTTTCAAAGTCCATAGCAAGCGGTGTTCCATCGTTGCTTCCAGCCTTTCCATCTTCATGCTTGCAACAGTTTACCCAGCCACCTAACATGCCTGGTACCACAGCATCCATAAGCCCTTGCTCCAGCAGGGAAAACAGTCCCTTGCGGAGCCGTCAGGCATCATCAGGGCTTTCTAACACTTCGGAACTCTCCTCTGACATCAAGCGGCTGTGCTTCGGCTCAAGTAGCGAAGATTCTGACGATGTACAACCTCCGCAAGAGCGTAAACCGCATACGATTAGCCCTGCTGTGCTCCAAGAGGCCCCATCCTTTAGCTACGAGCGCGGCCTCCGTGCCTTGTGGCTAGATCGGCATCAATCCCTGCGTTGGGCGTTTAAAGACGATGCCCCGAGCCCAAAAGATCAACCGCAGCAGCGCATGCGTGAGCCTCCAGCGGACTGCCTGAAGTATGGCCCTAAATGGGACGTCAGCAAGTAAGTGAAGAAGATTGACAAGAAGAAGAAGTTAGAAGCCGATGTATTGAAGGGATCTCGGATACCGGTAGGCGATGTTTTAACCCAACGCACTCGGTCAGCTTTTTGCACCTGTTTCTTGTAACAATCTGCAGCACCCTCCTCCTTTTTGAGCAGTTTAATGAACCGAATCGGTATTGCTCACAGTCATTTATTTTGTGATGCTCTCCTCGGCAGGTCCCTGCTTTGGAGCTTGGCGGAGAAGCACTTGCTGCCGGAGGAGCCCTCCTCACCCTCACAGCAGCTTATTAAGGAGCCCAAGCAGCACCTCGACGTCAGAGCCCAGATGCCAGATGCCAAGCATGCGTCTTCTGCAACCCCGGGTGAAGCTCCGAGCCCAAGGTCTCAGAAGGCCTCGAGCCCCGCTACAAGGCACGACCGCGTCCTGCGCGGTGCGGGTCCGGTGCCACCTCAGCTTCCCGCTGGCATCGGCCCAATCGGCCTTTCCACCACCACTTCTGTTGCATTCCCTTCCTTCGTCTCCTCCTCCTCTACCAGCCTTACTCCCGCTGCGGCCGCGCCTTCTTCCTTCATCACCTCCATGTCGTCCTCTTCCGCCATCTCCTTTTTTCCAGACAAACGACGCATTAAGCGCGCGTTTCTTTCTGTCCTTGCCAAGGGCCGCCTGCGGGTTCGCAGACTCAGCGCTGCAGAGCAGCAGCAAGCGCCTTCACCATTGGCGTCCTCCATGTCCTCATCATCCTCTGAGCATGCTACTCCTATCCTTCCCCGTCACCACCACAGCGACCCTTCTGTGTGTTTCAACCATAACACCATCGACCGGACAGCGTTGGACAATGACGGTTGGACTAACGGCAGTGGTAGCGGCAGCCTGCCATCATCTGCCGTACACAACCGGGGTGGTGGTGGTGATGGCGGCAGCACTGGCAGCCGTAGCGTTTCTGATGGAGATTGCGCCATGGCGCATGCCGTATGCGATGCGGTGGCCAAGGCTGTCACTGCCTGCCCGGTAGCACGCGGCGTCGTACGGCGGCGGGTTCGTGCCGTGGTGGCGGGCTTCAGCATCGTGTATGCTGCGGTGAACCTGGGTGACGCGGCGACAGCGCTTATGCATGCGGACTTTAGCCACGATTTTGCGAGCTCATCCAAGGCAGTGCTGGGTAAGGATGGCTTTGGGGTTTGCTCTTCTTTGGGGTCCAATGCTCTAAATGCACAGGGTATGGCGCATGGTTTTGCGTCTCTGCTTCAACTGCGTACAAGCCGCACCTAATCGTATCGATATCCTGTCTACATTTCATCCAATCCCCGCTGTTCTCTTCCCTTGCCCTCCCTTCCCCATACATGTTACGTCTGCGCCTTCACCTTGTCGTTGCACCCAACCCCGCTGCCACCACGACCTCCGGATCAACCCATCGCCGCCGCCATCGGACACATCCCACACCTTCTCTTCCACCTACGCTATTCGACCTTCCCTGTCAGACTTCCTGGCCACAGCCCCCAGTGTTGGCGGCATGGCGGCTGACCTTATCCACATAGGGGTTGCGGTGGGGCTGGGGATGGCGCAGCGCAGGCCGCCCGAAATCTAATACCCGGGTGGCGGCAGTCGCGACCGCCCACAACATGCACGCGGTATTCACACCGGCTGAGGTTGTGAGACGTAAGGTGTGACGCTGTGCCCGAAATTGAAACACATGTTAATGGCAGAGCATGTTGTGCAGTTGAGGGAGCACAGTTGGATTCATGTATAGGGCTGTCAGAGAGAAGGGGTCTTGTCCTTGCATCGTTAACCTCCACCACAGCTTGCATGCGCCGAGCTTGCATGCACCCAGCGGTCTTCGTGTGCTGTTGTTGCCGTTGTTGGGTCATGTAGGCCTGTCCTGATGTCGGCTTGCGTTGGGAGCGGAAGGTTATTCATATCATAATGGTACATAAGGAGATGCGAGGCGAGAACTTGATATAGGTGTCGACTGGCAGGCGTAGCAAGCACGGCGTTTGTACATAGGTGATGATTGAAGCCGTTCAGCTAGCTTGACGCTCGAGTGGTAGCTCTGCCTGGAAGCATACATCGTATTCATGCGTGCGCTGTATCTTGTGCGTGTGGGCTTCTGTTTGGGGTAACGACATGTGGGTAATAGCTGCTGCTGCTGCTGTTCTCGTGCATCACCGTATGCTGCAGTACCCTCCGTACTGTCGCCCTGCATGTTTTGTCGTCTCCTGCTTATCCCTGCTTGCATGCATGGAGAGGGCTAGCTACGGGTTAGCGCTGTAGTATCACAGTTCATTGGGTCCGGGTGCTTACGGGTTCTGCGTATCGCACTCATATCGCCTTCACTGCTTCGTATATACATGAGTCCCGGGAGTGGACACGGCTTGAAACGTCGGGACCCAATGCGGTCCATATATTCTTTTTGCCCTGCGTGGCCTGTCGCGGGTAGGCATCGTGGCGTGGGGTTCATGGTGTGCACGAGGAGAGGTACGAGCCTGAGAAGACGTCGAAAGGCGTGGAGGCACGAGGTTTATGTTGGAGCGGAGAGAAGAAAATTGCTTCGTGGAGGCAGTAAGCGTGCTGGTATACCAATTTGAATCGGTCGTGAGAGGAGGGCAATTGCAGAGCATCGTGCGCCATTTCAATGCGCCAAGTCCGTATTTAGGAGAGTTGTGTTGGAAAGTATTTCTTGTTGGGCCCAGTGCCCCATGTGCCTCATTTAGTGATATTTTTTACATCATCGTGGGCGATGGTATATGGCCTTCTAGAGTGCCACGTGTAGAGAGTAGACGGAATTGAGAGTGGTCTGCTTGTGATTTGCTGGCGCTAAGATGTTCGCCAGTTGTATATCCTAATTTGTTGTGAGCATGACAGTTGGCTTGCTTACATTGCCACCAAAGCTGCATAATCGTTTCTGTGGCAACGAAAAAATGGTTGAAAGGGTCGAGCGAAAGAGATTGTTGTGCTTTACCTGTTGTCCTTTCCATGTGAGTTGTTATGAATGCATTCTTCGTCTAGAGTGTCCAGTAATACATCAGGTTGGCTTAAGCCGTGGGAGCTGCTTAGCATATCTTCAGATTTCTGGACAAGGATTATATTGATACTTTTGGCGCTTGGTGCACAAGGTTGGATGTCTGATGGCAGGTACGGGAGGAGTACAAAAACCCCGTTGTACTATAGAAAGGCACAAAGTTCGGTTGCTCCGTCGTCACATGCAACCGAGCGGTCATCAAGCGTACGAAATTTAGCGTAGCTGACACGTGTCAAGTTAGGCAATGAAGCGTGCATGGTGGCCCATGGGTCGGAATACCCTGCTTGGATTTGATTCATCTGGCCCGTTGCTGTTGGGATGTTGCCAATCGCGTCCTCCATCATCCACCAAAAGGATATAAAGATTTCTGTTGTGTGCAGGAAGCCCCGTAGCTTAGCATGGACTTGGTTGGGTAGCGTCCTTGAAGATGGAGGAGTCCTGGGAGGGTAGAGCGTGTACAGCAGCGTCTAGGTGGCGAGGTTGGGGGGTCTTGTATTCCGTGGCTTTCGCCCTGTTATTGCATCTTAACACGGTTTCCAACGAATTCGCTGCAACATGCAAAAATCGCCGTATGTCATGAATTTCAGAGGTGTGTTGCCGCATTCATAGTTGCCACATGGGCGCATGTTGGACCGCTCTGTTGATTGGAGCCCTGGTGTAAAATAGTTGACTCCCACTACCCCTCCACCGCTTGTCCCAACCATTTCATGCAGCAGATTCACAGTCCGTGCCTCTGTCCGTGAAGGGTACCCGCCACTTCACATCGCAGCATCACACACCAGCTCTGACCCTCCGTCCCTCGCACCACATAAATTACTGAGTCCCATGCATGATGCCCTGCCATAAGGGCGTTGTGTGGGCGGTTGGTGCTTCTCTAGAGAGTACGGGGGTTGTTGTACGAGTTGTAGGGTCTGCAAAGGCTGCAGGGGTCTGGTAAGCTTACCTGCCATTCAGGCCAGAGTCCTGGTCAGCCGTCATGATGTACTTCCAGATGTAGCATGGGGCGCCCAGTTGATCAGCTCACATATGACTTAACCCGGATAGGAGAAAACCTGTTGCCATCACCAGCCAAGCGTCCAAGCTGCCTGTATATTGTTACATGTGCTCTGGCCATTAGCATGCCGCTTTAGAGGTGTAAAGGTATAAAAACTCAGCAGTTCCGACGCCTTGGTACCACGGTGGGATCCTGCCTACCTACACATCCACGCCCCAATCCACAAGGTGGGAAAACGAGAAAGCGAATATGCATATACGCTAATGTACTGGGAAAAATAAAAAGTAAAAGGAGGCCGTGTAGCGGGAGTTGGATTCCGGGGCTGAGGAGGTGGCATGGTGCGTGACTGCGTGTTCGGACTGCTTCCCGTACGGTGGCGACGGTTACCATAAGCACGGGCCAAGAAGAGAGGTATACCAGTCAGCAGGAATTGTATGGTAAATGTCCAGGAACGAAAGGCATAAGTATCTTAGGGATATCGACCGACAGCGCGGTGCCCTTGCCGTGCACTGCGAGACTAGGGCGAAAGTACGAGACAATAAGTATCAATCCTGGATCGTGTGCTCTGCAGAACCTAGTACAAAGTACTTCATCGCAGGTCATCCTCTTATACCTGGTTATACTTCAATGAGTCCGAGTTACCAGGTCGCAGAGTTTGCTTCTGCTTTCCTCAGGAAGGATGAGCGCAATATCCTTGTTTAGGATCTATTCTCGCTGTTTAAGCTCGCTGCCTGTGTTCTGACAGCTGTCTCTGGCTTGAGGATTGAGCAGTGGTGCTGCTCCAGCCAACAATGGGCTTGCTTGCAATACTAACAGCTTTATGGATTGTTGCCGTGGCGCTGGTGATCTCAACACTGTTCGTGCTGCGAGATAGGTGCGTCTACCGCGACGCATCCATGCCACGGTTGAGGGTTCGCACAAAAGCAGCAAGCCAGGCTGAGAACGCACTGATAACATAACACCTACGACATCAGCAACTGCCAGCTGCTTGTTCTCCAGTGTTATAAGCCGCTTCTGGGCGTCCTCCGGCTAAAGTGGTGCATTGCCCAACCGTTCAACTTCAGGATTTGGGCCTTCATAACCCGGCGTGCCGGGCTTCAGGAATGCCACACGGAGCGTTGTGGATGGAGCGGGTTAAAGGGTCTGCGGCTTGTTATAAAGAAGGCACGTGATGAAAGGGATGGGGCCATTGGACATCCATGCGACGGGACAGTGCAGCTTTTGCCCGCTGAATCACACCCTGGGTATTGTTTCGCCCCCACCAGTCTGTTTTGGGGTGTACGACAGTTGCGAAACTCGGCGTGCTCCAAAATGCACGTGAACCTCCTACACTGCCCTTCCCAGTCGCATTATGCCCACGCATTTGCACATGTGCCTCATCGCCACCCTCATAATCACACTACCCATGCCTGTGCTGCACAACCCGTTCCCCTTCTTCATCCCCGCCTTGACAAAGTTGCTGTCATGCCATCCCATGCCTTTCCCCACAGGGTCCCGTGCGCATCGTACGGCTAACCTCCTTCCAAATCCAACTAGCAAAGACAACCACCTCCTCAACAGCAGCCTCTCCATCGTCCTTATCTCCCGCTCCCTCAACCTCTTTGGGACCGTCGGACAAAAGAACCACATCACCCATAACAGCAACTGCGTTTCCTGGTGGTAGCCTTAACGACGAGGGAACCTCAGGTCAAAATGCTGCTTCCAACCTCCACCATCGCCACCAGCAATACCAACCACCTCAGCAGCAGCGCTTTCAGTGCTACAGCGGTTTCCTCGGTTGCATGGTGGCGATAGCCCGACTGCTGCTGGCGCTGTTGCAAAGAGCTGCTAGCGGCGGAGGCAGCAGCGGCAGCAGGCCACCTGTGGTGGTGCTTGTGAGCTTGCAGGTCAGTGAAGTGAGGTGGCGGCTGGTGCTGGTATTGATGAAGTTGTTGTTGCCTGGCATGGGTTGGAATGGGTTTGCGGGGGTCGGAGGCTGGGAACAGCGGTGCGTGTCGACACATACATACGTCCACCACCCCAACTCTGCACCGTTGTTCCCTGTGCAGGGCCTCGAGGTGGAATTGCGGGGCGCTCACTCGAAGGACCGCCTGCGGACCGCCTCCAAGGACCCCCGGGGTCCAGCAGCAGCAGCCGGCTTCGCTGCCGACAGCGGCATTAGCGATGCGGATAGCGGAGGCGGCAGCAGTAGTGGCCGCAGGGAGGGCAAGCAAGGGCGAGGGCGAGGAGCCCTTACTGGGGCTCCCCTGGGACTGCCGACAGCCCTGCTGCGGGCGCTGCCGTTCGTGCGCCTGCAGCTCAGTGGCGTGGTGGTCAGGGTGAGTTGGCATGGTGGGAGGGGGTAGGGAGCGGGTGCCTAGCCTTACGACGGTAGGAGCGAAGCGAGTGCACTTGGGTACATTGTGCTGAAGGTACCTGCCTCTGCTTGCTACCGGTAACTGCACCCCACTGTCCCCTCCCGCAACTCATCGCCCTCTTCCCCACATCACCGCCGCCGCCATTCAGAGCGGAGAAGGTGCGAGCAATGCAGCCCCCAATCCTGGCGGCACTGACGTCGGCAGCGGCGCTGGCGGCGACAGTGGCGGTGTGCCCGCCAGCAGCTCTGCGGACGCGGCAGACCGCCTCGCTTGGACAGCTAGCCTAGCCTCCCTGGAGGTCTGGGCCCAGCAGCTGGCCAGCGCTGGTGCTGCGGACTCCGGCGCTGCCGCCGCAGCAGCCGTCGACGACGGCGGCGGCGGCGAGGGCGGCAGTCGTGACGGCACCCAGGAGCGGAGCCAGGTGGCGGCGGATGCACCCGCCGGCATGTGCGGCAACGCAGCAGCCGCCGCTACGGCTGGCGGCGGGGGCTTAGGAGCAGCGGATCGTAGGGTGGCACTAGCAGTTAGCCTGGTTGGCATGGAGTTCTTTGTACGGCGGCAACAAAGTCGCACAGCTGCGGTTGACATTGATGTCAACGGCGGTGGCGGAGGAAGCAGCAGCAGCATCGACCAACCGCGACCGTTGTTGGCTGGCCGGTGTGGCGGCGTGGCAGTTACGGGAACGTTTGGCTCCCAGGGTAGCAGGTGCGCGTTGAGGAAAGTGTGTTGTGGCAGGTGTTGTGGCAGGTGTTGTGGCAGGTGTTGTGGCAGGTTGTGAGGTTCGTCTTCCGGAGCAACAAATATGTGCAGAAGGGACGCCTCAAGTGCGGCTTATTGGGGTTGGGCCGCCAGTCACCACGTATCCCTCTTCACGTATCATTCTTTACGTCATCCAAACTGCCAGGCAACCCGGTTTTAATGCAAACTCCTTTTCCCACGTGTGCTTTTCCTGACAGGTCCGGAAGGCTGTTAGAGCTGGCCACAGAGGTCGACGAAGTCCATCTGGATTGCCGTACAGCTACCGCCGCAGCCGCCACCACCATCGGCGCGGCTGCTGCCAATGCATCAGCGACAGCGACCACCGCAGCAGCATCGCCCGGCGACGATGGCGACGTCAGCCATGGCGCTAGCCAAACAACAACAAAGGCTCCTGCTGCTGCTGCTGCTGCTGCTGCAGCAGCACCCGTAGCAGCTAGCCCTCTAGCGGCTGCGCTGTTAGAGTTAGCCTCTGTCCTGGCCGCGAGCAAGAAGGCCAAGAAGCTCGAAAAGCGGAAGGAGGAGAAGAAGGGGGTGGCAGAACCTTGGGAAGGCCGTGGGGAAGAAGGAGACACGTCGCGAGGCGAGGCAACCGTGACCGCGGCTGCAGCGGAGGACAGTCGGACGCCGGCCCCAGCGGCGGGAGCGGAGCAGGCGGCGGCGGTTCTGGCGGATAAAGCTCTGGAGCTGGTGACAGGGCTGAGCAGGATGCTTCCTGACAAGGTAAGCTGATTAATGTGTAGTGGACTGGTGCTGGGTGGAGTTTACCTCCGAAATGCAGGAACGACGGCGTTCCATTGCGGCTCCCGCTGTCGTATCCCAACCAAAGCCTTCAATCGTCGACCATTTCGCAACGCCTGCATGTTGACTATCTTACTTCCGTACCGGCCTGCTGTGCTTTTGCAGGTGACCCTTCGCTTGGCTGGCATCAAGGCGGCTACTGCCCTAGTTGTCCAGACGCCGTCGCCGGCGGTGGCAACGGCTCCGCCATCAGCCTTCACCGCACCGGCGCCGGCGCCGGCAGCAGCCTTCTCGCTTCAGGCACTGCTGGGCGCGAGTTCCCTCCAAGTTAGGTCCCGACAGCACAGCCGTCGCAGCTCCGCCGCGGCCGGATCTGGAAAGCCGCTCCTGGATCTTTCCGTACAGTTAGGTCAAGTGGCGGTGATAGCAGCTGCGGGAGCCTTTGGAAGCAGTCGCCAGGCTGGCAGCGCAGCAGCAGCAAGTGGTACGACAAGTAGTGCTGCTGCAACGGCGCCCGTACACTTCGTCGTGCAACGTATGGGCGTCCATGCAGCCGTCTCAGTCGCTCCTGCCGCAGCTGTCGCCGTGGCGACGGTGGCAGCCTCATCCCGAATGCGCTGTAGTGTTACATTGGGCCTCGACATTCCAGGTTGTGTCGTACATCTTCGGCCACAAACGCTGCTGCTACTGCCGCCGCCGCTGTCGTCGTCGTCATCACAGTCACCGCTGCCGCCAGCTGAGTCAGGACGGAAAGGGGAACCTTCCGGCGTTGGTTGCGTTGACATCAGCAGTGATGCACCCACCTGCTACAGCCTCTTCTTCCACGGGTTTAGCACCAAAGCCAACTGCGCATTCAACGCAACGTCACGCAACAGCAGCCCTGCTGCTGCCGGTGCTGCTGCTGCCGCTGTTCCGCTGGAACCGGCTCCTGCTGCCAACAACGCCGCACCGTCAGAGCCGTCGCAGCCCCAAGCGGTGCCGGCGGCGACGGCTGTAGCACCAGCACTCACGGCAGCCGGCACTTCGTATCCCTCCAGCCCTGCAGAAGACAACCTTCGTTTCCGCAGGCAGCTACAGCTCACTCGCTCCATCGCCGCGGCGGCGGTGGCGCCGGTAATGGAAGCGACGCCGTCGGCGGAAGAGCCGCTGCCGCCGGCGCTCCGGGCGAGCCGCAGCGTCGGCAACACGTCTGATCTGGCGTTCAAGCCCGATGCGCCGGAAGCGGGGGCAACTGGGGGCGGCCGCGGCGGCGCCAGTGCGACTCCGTCCAGCGCAAACCCCTCGATGACACCGTCGCCGTTACAGTCACGGTCTTTGTCGCAACAAACGCTGGTTCAGCTTTCCGAGCCCCAGGCTGCTTCCGAGCTGCTGTCTCCTGCCGCAGATGACGTACTGTTGCCGCCAGTGGTGACGTCAGCCCCCGTGGCGGAGGCGACGCAGCGCGAAGGCCCCAGCAGTACGGCAACACCAGATCGTACGGCGGCTGCCGTAGAAGGGCCACCATCGCTAGCAGCGGCAGCGTCAACGCTGCAGCCGCCGGTGATGGTGGCCGCGGAAGAACCTGGAACGGCGTCTTTGGATATTGTACTACAGCGCTTAGAGATGTACGGCAGTACGATATGCGCCAGTGCCGCCGCCGCAAGCGCCGCCAGCAGCGGTGCGGCTGGCCCGACCTCGGTGCGTACGTCGTCTAAATACGACATTGTCATCATGCAGCGTACGACAGTGCGTGTTACGGCCGATCCCGTAGCGGCTGGTGCATGGGGTGGTAAAGCAGGAGTGCCGGAGGCGGCAGCGGTTGGTACGGCAATAGCAGTCGACGCGGCTGTAGCTTTGGGTCGTTTGGAGGCAGTAGCTGCGCCGCGGAAGCTTGAGCCGCTGTTGCGCTTGGCTGGTGCCGCCGTCGGCGCTGCCGCCGCAGCTTCTCGGGCAATAGCTGCCGCCGCTTCCGCTGCCGCGGCGGTGACCAAGGCAGAGGCAGAACGTGCAGCAGCGGCAGCAGCTGCTGGAAGTGGCAGTTCCGTACCGGACTTCTTCCTTAGCTCCGCCGCCGCGTTTTCCTTCCCGCCAGATCCGTTTGCAAGTACGACACATGTCGGAACGGTTGATGGTGCGCTCGCTGCGGGCACCGAGGCTGACGGCGGCGGCGCTAGCGGCAGTCGTAAGAACCGCCGCGGCGGCGGCATCCGTGGCCTCCTGTCCGCGTTTTCCGTCCGAAGCGTAACGCTCGATGCTGCAGCCGGGGTTCGCGCCGCAATCCAGGTTGACGTCCCGTTGGATCCGTCGTACAGCACATTACCGGCGGAGGTGACGGCCGTACCGACAGCTGTTGAGATGACGGTTGCGTCACTGGCGGTTAAGGCCTGGCCCGCCGCCGCCGCCACCGTTCCAGTAGCGGAGGTGATGTTGACGGAGGCGGCGGTGGCGTTAAGTCGTCACCCTGTGTCGACGCCGTCCGTTGCGACGGCGGTGGCGGGTAGCGACCGACAGCGGTTACTAGAGCTGAAGCGGATGAAGGTTCTGCTGGCCACAATCGCAGCCGACACACTGTCGGAAGGCAGTGTTACCTTCGCGACCGATACGTCAACGTCGTCGACAGCAACCAATGCGGGGCCTGACAGCTGCGACGACTCGTTGACACGCCGTACATTGACCCGAGTGGAGGTTTCTGGGACCCGTGGGTCGTTCGACATGGACATGGTTCTAGCAGCGTTTGCCGTGGCTCAGGAGCTAGCTGACGTGGCAGCGGCGGCGGTTCGAGAGCGTCAGTGTGCCGCCTCCTCCTCCTCCTCTCACGCCTATCAATCACCGTCCAAGGAGGACCCATGCGACGGGGCGCTTTCGGAGCCACCGAAACCCCAGCAGCAGCACGATAAGGAGAGGCGGCAGCAACCTGAACGGGAGCCGCAGCAGCAACAGCAGCAGGAGGAGGTCCGGAAGCGGCGGGGGCGGCGAGGACGTCGAGGTCCAGGGCTGCTCGAGATCCATGCGGTGGATTCGGAGCTCAGTATCGTCCTAGGTAATTGGGTTATACTTGCATGCAACGATTTTACAGGGTTTAGGTTGCGGCGGTTGGCGGTTCTGGCTGAGGTGGCTCAGCGTTTAGGGCTAGGCTGGCCCAGTGTCCACCACCTCCTCGCCGCATGAGGATGCAAGGTTGGAGCCGGTTGGCATTCCGGTGCTTTCACTTCTTAGTCTTCTTCGTTACCCCACCACACCCCCCGCAGGTGCTTCCGAGGTGGTGTCGGTGGCTGCTGCGGATGCGCGGGGCAGCAGCGGGCTGAGGGGCGGCGCGGCGGAGGGATTTGCGCTGCGCATCAACGGCAGGAGGTGAGTCCTGGAGGAGTTAGGCAGTGCCATATCCCTCTGCATGTTGGCTTTCCCCTCTTCCAACTGCTACCCTCCCCTCCCAGGCTTCGTCCCAACTCCTCGTCTCCCTCTTCTTCTCCCCCTCTATACCAATCCCCCTCCCCCATTCAGGCTATTGGATGTTGAGTACTTGGCGGTTACCGCAGCCGAGCCCGTACGACAGGGCCAAACACCGCCAACCGCCGCACAACCTGGCACCACTGCATGGGGAGGAGCGGAAGGTTCCTCCTCCGCCTTTACAGCTTCTCCCGCCGCAGCTGCGGCAGCGGCAGCCGCCGCTGCAGGTGCCGTACAACCGTCATCCACGGCACCAGGATCTGGTCCCCTGATTTTCCGTACGTCGTCTCCCGCCGCCGTAACGCCCGCCACGACTCCTGCGACTGCGTCAACTCGCAGCTACTACACCAACAGCACCAGTCGCCACGCAAGCCACCGTTCCGTGGATTTAGGCGATTCAGTAACGTTTGCTGCAACGGGGTTAACGACAGCGGGGACCGGAGATGTGTCTTGGCCGCAAACACAGCACCACTCTCCTCCACCTTCTTCCCGGATGCTGCAGCAGCAACATCAACAGCAACAGCAGCAGCAGCAGCAGTACAACCGGCAGCAATACCCACAACAACACAGGCAGCACCACCACCGGCGCTTCGTCAGTGCGATTCCGCTCGGTGCCACCGCCACCGCCACAGCTGCGGCTGCATTCATGGATCAACCGCAACAACCGCAAATGCCATCACAGCAGCAACAATCAAGCCGATCGAGGCTGCCAAATGGATTGCTGCCGGCGGCGGCGGCGGCGGCGGCGCTACAGCCGTGGACTTCCCTGGGTCGTCCGCCAGCATGGGCTGTAGCAACAGGAGCAGCAGCAGCAGGAGTACCAGCTGCCGCCGCTGCTGGGGTTTGGGCCGGGGCGATGGCGGCAGGGGCTTCTGCTACCGTGGGGGGAGGTGGTGGCGGTGTAAAGCGGACACCTGCACAGAAGGTAAATGGCCAACGGTAGTCGTTTCACGCTACCTTCCCACATTACCTATTCACATTACCACGTTGTCGAACATACCGTGCACGGCAGTGAACTGTGGATGTTGTGGATCTGCAGCCGCCACCCGGACGTGCACCCGGACGTGTCTGGTCAAGGACAGTAGCTTAATGCATACGATGGAACAACTGTTTCCCTGGAATTCCGTTACGATCTAAAGGTGGTTGTGTGTTGTGCCGCTTTAACCCGTAAGGCGTAAAATTCCTTCTCCATTCGTCTTGCCTTGCTTTGGTACTTTCCCTGCAGAATGCGCTGCGAAAGACCACATGCGATGCTCGCCGTCGAGCCGCTCGCGACCGGTTCCAGTTGCTGGATCAGCAGCAGCAAACGTCCGCAGCAGCGACTGCCGTACAACCGCCAACTGCCACATCTCCATCTGCATTGTCAACGGGAGCAGGATCAGCAGCAACAACTGCCGAATCCTCAAGCTTGCCGACCTCCACGCTGCCTTCTGGCGCTGCTGCACCTCGCATGGTGTCTCTGGATGTTGCATTGTACGGCGCAACGCTAACGGTTGCGTACGACGAATCTGCGGCTCGCGTGTACGTCGTCGGCGAAGTATGGTCGCGTGCGGTTAAGCAGGTGGGCATGACTGGGTGCGTACATGACGTGCATGAGCACGGATGCAGAGGAGACAACTTACTGTCTTTAGGGGAAGACCTCGATGCCCTTGGAACGCCACGTTGTACGTGCGTTGTGAGTGGTATGCACACAAAGGAAGTGCGCGCATGCAGGTTGCATGCATCCTTGTAATTCCAGTGCCCTTTATTAACCGTCACCAACTTGCTCGTACCCCTAGGCGCCTCTTCCTCCGGGAAAAAGAAGGCCTTCCATATCCCCATCGATCTTTCGCCGTATTCCTGCCTCTACCGTACATCTCCTGCCATAACCATCCTCTACCCCATTGCAGGTGCTGGGACCTCGCATCTCGCTCCTCAAGGAGACCCTTCGCGCCCTCAAGGCCGGCAAGCGCAGCAGCAATGACGTCAGCAGCAGCAGCAACAACCCGTGCGTCAACAACAGCAGCACCGACAGCATGCATGCAAGCGCCCGTACGAATAGCGACAATAGCTGCAGTAGCGGAGGGCCCGGCGCAGGGCTTGGCAGCAGCAGCAACAGTGCTCCGCTTCCGAAAGGCGCCGTCAAGGACAAGCCGTTCATCGAGCTGGTATTAGACGCCCGACGGTTGGAAGTTACCGTTGAGCATCAGCCGATGGAGGCCTGGCTGGCTCTGCATGGAACCGCGCTGCGGGTGAGTGTTGGTTAGAGCTGTTAGGGCAGCAGCAGCTGTCGGGATCTAGGAGTGACCCGTGGGTCAGCGTGTAGATCTAGTGCCAGTCCTGATCGTGTCCGCAAACATTTAACTGTTTCACTTCTGCAGGCGACGGCGGCTCAGCGGCACCTGTACGAGCGGCTGATGGTGGGTCACGTGGGCTCCAGAGCGGGTCGGGCCCGCAGGGACGTGGCGGCAACGGCGGCGGCGGAGGTCGCGGTGGCGGAGGCGGAAGCTGCTGCTGCCACCGCCGCCGCCGCTGCTGCCGCGATTGCTGCGGTACACCGGGAGGGCAGCGGCAAACGCCGAAGCCGGCGGCGACGGCGTTGGCTTCTTCGGTCGTCTGGCGGTGCTGACGACGAAAATGATGACCCATTAGTCAGTGTGAGCAGTACTAGTAGCAGCAGTAGTAGCAGCAGCAGTAGCGGGAGTAGCGACGATAGTGATAGCAGTAGCAGCACTGACAGTGAAGACGGCAAAGAAGGAGGAAGGAGGCGGAAGGGGAAGCAGGGACGGAGGGCTGCTGTCGCTGCGGCTGCTGCAGCCGCGGCTGCTGCTGCTGCGGCGGCGGCCGCTGCAGGTGTGGGGAGCAGTGGTGCCGCTGCCGCCCAGGACGAATGGGGCGAGGTAAGCACGGGCGCACAACCTGCCTGCAATGCGATTAAGCCATGTACGTCGCAAACTACAATGCGACGATTCGCCTTGTTGTTTAGGGCATGCGTGTCTTGCCATGCGAGCGCCATCACGGGCTTGCAACCTCTGTTGATGTTATGAACTTCCCCGTCTGCATGGAGATGAGGAAGAAGCCTCGCCCCGTCCTCTCTTAACGCAAGCTAACTAAGGTCACGAACGACCTAAACCTCTTCATGCCTACCCCACCCATGCAGGTCATGCGAGACATCTCGGCGGCTTACGTGTCAGCCTGTCGGGCGATCTCCGCGGCGTCTGCTGCTGCTACTTCCGGTGCCGCTGCTGCCGGCAATGCTACTGCTGGTTCTGCTACCGCTGCAGCTACCTCATCTTCCGGAGAGGCAACAGCCGGCATGGGCACCAGACCCGGAGCTGCTACGGCCGCTGCTAGCACTGTCACAGCAGCTGCTACAGCCACCGCCGGAGGGGCGCTGGTGGGATGCCCGGGGGGAGCGCTGCTGCATCTGGCGGTGTCGGAGGCGCAGGTACGGGGAGGTGGCAGATGCTTAGCTGGATCGGGATCGAAACAACACCCCCAGCCCCCTTCCCCTGGGCACATGCACCATCCCGAGGCATGTGTGATGCGCTGATGGCAGCTCCCACAGGCCTCAACAGTGCGGCGGTTTCACCCGCTCGCCTTCAACGTCGCCTTGTCGCTCACCTCATGCCGTTATGGTTATTCCCCTTCCCCTATCTTGGTTGCCATCCTTGCACCCGGCGCACCCTGCACCCCTGCAGGCGTGCGTCATGGTTGCCCCTGCGGGCTGCAGCCGGGGCCGTCAAGCGGCGGAGGCGGTCATTCAGCGGCTGGACTCGCCGGCGGTGGAGGGCATTGCGTTCGAGCGGGTGGTGGCGGTGTCACTGGATGTGGTTGCTCAAGACCTGCAGGTGCGGGGTGCAGCGTTCGTCCCCTTCCCCCCCTCGCCCTCACCGCATTATTCCTCTCCACCTAACCCCCGCCTTAATCCTAATCCTCAACCCCGTATCCCTGTCGCGCCAGGCCTGCTTCGCCGGCTGCGGCGGCCGCTCCTCCCCCGCCCTCACCGCCTCCCAGCTGGGTCTCACCGGCTGGGTCATCCGGGCGCGGCAGCTGGCGGCGCCGCCCCGGTGCGGCGCGGAGGCGGGCAGGTGGCCCGTGGGTCGGTGGCACGGTGTGCCGCTGCCCATGCCGCTGCGCTTCACGCGACCCAACATGAAGACCTACACTGACCTGCGGATTGAGGTGGGTTGGTGCTGCGGTTGGTGTTATGTGCGTGTGTGGATGGGTGCTGTTGCTGCTGCAGTTGTCCGGATGTCGGTGTGATTGGTGTTGTTGTTGTTGCTATTGCCATTACTGATGTACTGTTTACGCTAATGTTGGTGGTTGTTTTGAGGATTGGGAGAGGTGGCTACTGGAGGCGAATGAGGGACGTAAAGACTCCCCATGCTCTACGGCTGCGAAAGGAATGCCTCGCCTCGCCCTAACCGCCCTACCCAAGCACGCTGGAGCTCCATGGCACTCCCCTCCGTTGCTGCACTTGTCAATGATGCTTTCTCGGCTCCTCCCCCCGCCACCAACACAGGCGGATGCGCTGTCCACCGCCTTCAGCACGGCAATGGAACCCGTACTGGCACAGGTAGGGATTGTGACTTGGCATTGGTGTGTCGTACGGCACTTGGTTCTGTTACCAACAGTGCCTACTCCTCCTAGACGCGGGCTGCTTGGCATAATTTTGATATCGTGTGACCCACTCAGTGCGGATTCGTGTACCCCGTTGATATGATTGTCACCTGCTTTCCCATCTTCGTTCTTCCCACATCGCCACAACTCTTTTTCTCCTTCCTGTCCGCGGTTCTCGTTCCTCCCCCTGCTTCCCTTCCTCAGTTGGCAAAGGCCATGAAGCAACGCGTGGTACCGCCCCAACCGCAACTCCTCCGACCCGACGGTCGAGTAGCGTCCAGTGCGACTACAGCCGCCGCTGGTGCTGGTGCTGCTACTGATGCTGCCTCCGGGGGCGTTACGGCGGATGTCCAGGTGCCGGCGGCTGCCGCTTCAAGTCCCGCGGGTCTGCAGTCCTGGGACAACATCCGCTACGTCTGGCGGGGAGGCATGAAGGTAGGGAAAGATGTGTACATGGGGTGGAATAGCTGTCATAAGGGAGGTAACAGAGAGTCAATTAATGATCTGGCATCTACGATAGTGAAGGAGGATTTGCGGTAGAACACTTCCCTACCATCCAACTAATTCCCCGCCCCTTTCCTCGGCCCCTGCCTACCCTAATTAACTACAAAAGATTATGATTCGTGGGCTCAATGTGGCGCTGGGGACATCCTCACTGGAGCTTCCCCTCGCCGCCACTGACCCGCGGGTCGCTCTGTCGGCCGCTACACTGGGTGTGACGGTTGCGACGGGCCAAGTCGACGTAACGGCTACATCGCTGGCGGTTGTGGGGCATGCGCGGGGACCAGGGCGAGGGCCAGGTGAGTTGGAGTGTTCAAAGGGTGGTGTTGGTTCGAAGGGCGGGAATTCAACGCTGCTACCAAGGCTTTGCTTGGCTTGGCCAAGCCATGAGTGAAAGCGAAAGCGGCTTCCCGCCCGCCCCAAACTCTGGCTTTTCAACCCGGTCATAGCCCTCACCTCCGCCAACCGCCCTCTCCGCCAACCGCAGGCGAGCCGCTGGTCACGGTCCCGCTGCTCTCCCTGCCCCTCCTCAACACCTCCCTCCACACCGCCTTCAAACAGCGCGGCCCCACGCCCTACGCCTTCCCGCCCATCCGCCAACTGCCGCCGCCTGGGGTACTGCAGGTACGACAGGCCGTACGACAGCTACAAGTTGCAATACCGCACACCTTTACACTTTTTCCCTTTTTGGTTCGTCGTAATTTGCATGTTCTATTGTTGGCCACGTTTGCATGTTTCGGGTGGTAACGAATGGCTGCCGTACATGTTCGCAGGAGCCGGTGGATGTGCCGGGCCTTATGCGTGCCACGTCATGGTCCATGGCGCTTTTCTTCAGCTTACGTAATGCAAGTACGCCAACCTCAACCGCTGGTACGACTGCTAGCAGCAGCAACAGCACGGCGGCAACTGCCAACTACCCACAACAGCAACAGCCGCAGCAGTTGGCGTTATCCGTGGCGGGAGGCGGTGGAGCCGAGGGACTTCCTCGGGCGTACATTGGAGAGATGCAGGTACGAAAATAAGTCGATTGCCGTATGCTTGAATGAGCATGAGTCTGTCGTGCCTGCTCGCATCGTTACCCGACATCTTAATCACCTTACATCGCTTCACCCGCTTCTCCAACGTGTGTAGGTCAAGTTCATCTTGGGCCTTGTGGCTAGCATGGCCAGTGGCGCGCCAGTGATGACCCGTGGGTCATGGAAGCGCCGCACGTGCTACGACCCGCCGCGCCCTCGACCGACGGCGGCCCCAGGGGCGCCGCAGCCTGCGCCGGCGGCAGGAGAGAAGGCACACCCCTCCTCCTCCTCCGGCGGCAGCACTGCGGTCAGCGGCGGCAGCAGCCTGGGCGCGCTGCTCTCCCGAGTGGATGTGGATCTGAGTGCGGATGTGTTTGACATCCTGCATGACGCACAGGTAGGGGCTGGTGTTTTTTGGTGCTAATCGGCTGCGAGTACTACGATTAAGCCGCGGGGAATCCCTCCGTGTCAATAGGCGCGTATCTAACCCGTTACCCCTACCCTTCTTCTTTTATCCCTGCCCCTTTACCACTCCCCTCACCATCCCTCACCATCTTCCGCCCCCCTCCCGCCGCTCACCCCCTGAACAGGACCCCGACGATCCCTCAGACCTGGTGTGTTTGCGCGCACGCAACCTGCGCTACACCAACACCTTTGGATACAGCAGGGTGGGTGGGTGGGGTTGGGATCCAGAGGAGGGAGGGAGACCGTTAGAGGAAGAAATGAAGAAGCCCTGGCCTGCTCACATGCATATCGCTATTGTGCTCAAGACCCCAAACCTAATCGGGTTGCATGGGCACATGTAGGGCATTCGTACTATCGTACGGAGCAACGCCGCCGTACGGTCCAAGCTCGTATCGCGTCCGGTCATGACGGCACTCGGCGTGGAGGCGTACGACATTCGGATCTTCATGCCGCCTCCGTCGCCGCCGATGCCGTACAATGGTGGCGGCGGCGGCGGCCCACTGGGTTCCGGCCCCACCACGGCAGGGGGCGGCGGCGGTCCTCGAGTGCGGCATGGGCCACCGCAGGATTCCCCTAGGGGGACCGACCCATGGGACGCTGTCGGCGCTTCCTGCCCTGGCTTTGGCGCCGGTCTCATCGCCTCCTGCAACTGCTTGATGCTGAAGCAGGTGACCGCGATGGGAGGCGAGAGGAGGTTTTGTGTGAGGAGGGAGGTTCAGTAGTTTGTCTGGCATGTGAGACCGAGACTGAAGCTATCCTCACTACGTATCATACAGCTAGCTTCTCTCCTCTCTTCTCCCAGGAATTCCGCCCGCCGCTGCCGCCTGTTACCTATTACGGCACCATCTGCCGCCTGCCACCTGCCATCCAACACCTCATTCAGCTGGTCGACCCTATGATACCCCTCTCCCTGCCTGCCTCCCCGCAGTCTGGACCCGAGCGGAACCCCCAGACCTCCCAGCAGCAGCAAGCGGCCCCGCCTCCTAACCGACCCATTCGCATCGTGGTGCAAGACGTGCGGGTCAGTGGGGGGCTGTGTGTGCCTGCCTGCCTGGGTGTCCGCATGCCGGTGCAGGCCATTGTGCTTAAACTCTTGCGTGCTTGACGCACGCATGGCCACATTCGGCTGCATGCCGACATATCCTGCACATGCTACTCCTCGTCCTGCTTTCCATATCATGTAGGCGCTGTATCATGCCGTAGGCGCTTTCCATACAGTAACAACCCTCCTCCTCCTCCTCCCCCTTCCTCTCAGGTGCTGTGTACCACCGAATCCCGGGACGCCGTCATCGCAACCACCACCCACATCGTGCAGGTCGGTGCGCCTGCTGTAAAGTCTTGCAGTACGAATGCCGTATAGTGCAATACGGCAACACCGGGCATACGTGCCTACGTGACGGTTTGCCCCAAGCACTAGCAACAGCATTCGCAACAACAACAACAACGGCAACGACACGACAGTTGCATGTTTAGTTCCATGTGCTATACCGCTCCACTGCACCAATGTCACTTGCCGTACCTTACTTGCTCATCTAGTCCACCTTCCGGTTTCCTACCGTAACAACACCCAACGACTGAGCATACGTGATGAACTCAATGCTCCCTATCTCCCTCGCCCCGCATGCACCGCACAGGCATTCTCTCGCTCTCCGACTCCCCCCGCTGGCACTCCGCCCGCCTCCAATACAGCCCTTCGAAACGCCGCAGCTCAAGGCCCCGCTGCCTCCACCTCTGACGGCGCCGGAGGCAACGGCGGCAGCAGCGGACTGGTTCCCAATCCTGCAGCAGCCGCAGCGGCAACCGCAGCAGCGGCCGCGGCGCAACAGCGGCAGCAGTCTGCAGTGTCGGCATCAGGGGGAGTGGGAGCGGCAGGCACCGGGCTGTCGTACGCAGATCCTTTGTCGTACGGGTCGGCGGTCCTGATGGAGCCGCAGATTGACCCACGGGTCGCTGCAGAGGAGGCAGCGCTGGTGGCGCTGTTGCGGCAGCAGAATGAGGCGCGCAGGTACCTGTGCGCTTGTGTAAACTCAACTGGCACGTGTGTGGAGGAAACTGGCCGCGAGTTGGAACGTACTGTGATTGTCGGCACGTGTGTTAAGAAAACTGGTGTATGTGTGTTTGGGAGCGAACCAGGGTGAAGCAATGCGGGCTCAGAGAAGTACCAAAACGTGCTGGACTGCCGAGATGTGTGGCGGTCTGTTGCAGGATGAACTCCACTTTCCCCGCTTCATGTCCCGTTGATCTTATTTTCTCGATGCCATTTGACCGTGTTTATTTCGCCATCAGCAGCTCTGGATGACTGTGCCTTCCTCGCTCTTTCCATTTGTCACAGGGCCGAGACGCGGCGTGCAAAGTTGGAGCGCCAATCCACGTCCACCACCGCTTCCACCAACCCGGATGCGTCCACAACAACGGTAGCAGCAACTGAACCAGGCAGCGGCGATGGCGCTGTTGTTAACGCTGCTGCTGGTAATGAGCTCGTGGATTCCGAATCCGGGGCTGCTGTTGAAGGTGTGGGCGGTGGTGCCATGCTGTCGTCGTCATCCTCCCATGCAACATTGGACGCCTCACAACATGGGGGAAGGCAACAGCAGCAGCAAAAGTCCAACCCCCAAGGGGTGCATCAACGACAACAGCAGCAGCAAAACAAGATGTTAACGCAGTACGAGGTGGAGTTCGTACGTGTCCAGGTACGACATGAATAACGAAGTCGACATCAGCGTCCTGTACGGCGGTACCCACCTCGTTTCCGCACCATCGCCTTCCCCATGCCTTGCCGGTATTGTGTTCCATGTGAAGTATGGGCTGCTGACACGATGTGCAGGTGCTGGTAGAAAGCCTCCTGACCCAGTCCTGACGCTATCCCACCTGGCCGCCCAACCAACCTGACCCACCTGACCTAATTCCTCTCCCTCAACCCCTCCTAACCCATACACAGGTTGCCCTGCTTGCCGACTCCGGCAGCAACCCCACCATCTTCTCCTCCACCACCAGCACCGCCTCCACCAGCACCTCCGCCACCGCCAGCACTGCGGTGTGCGGTGGAGGTGCCTGTCTGGTGCTGGGTGCGGACAGTGCGGTGCTGCGGGGCGGGCGGGCGGTGGAGGCGGGCAGGGCGCAGAAGGTGCTCACCTTTGATGTGGAGACGCTGCAGGTAGGGCCGTGTGTGGCAGGCATGTGCGGGTGGGGGGCGTGTGCGGGTGGGGGGCATGTAGTGATGCGGGGATGGGAAGCATGGTATGTGTAGGAGACAGCGGAGAGGTCATGCGCCTCTGCCCATTGTGCCGCTGCCATTTTGCCTCCTCGCCGCCCTTCCTGCTCTGTCCCCTCCAGGCCTACGCCGCACGTCACGAGCTGCCGCGGGAGGCCGCCCTGCTGCCGCTGCCGCTGACCGCCGGCGCCACCGCTGCCGCCAGCGGCGGGGGTGCCCTGGGCGGCGGCGGTGTCAGCAGCGGCGGGGCGGGAGCAGGGGGCTACCCGAGGCCCTCCTTCTCGCCGCTAACAGACGGCTTGGCAGCAGCAGCAGCGGCTGCGGCGGCCACCGGAGCTGCAGGGGGTGGTGGTGGTGCAGGGGCCACGATGGCCGAGGGGCAGCGTGTAGGGGGCGGCTATGGCGACGGAGGAGCGGCGGGATCGCCGCAGTCGCCTGCGGTTTGGTTGCAAGTGGTGAACGGTGAGTGTGTGGATGTCCACGGGTGGGCTGGGCGTCCTCCAAGGAAAGGGGTTATGTGCGCCGAGTGGAGACAAGGAATTAGAAACGTGTTATCGTTGTTGATTCGTGGGTCGTGGATCGTGATTGCACTGTTCTGGGCAGCGCCTGTGGAACACACTGCAGGTTTATGATACCCATGCGGCTCTGTGCTGCCTCAACATGCCGCAACAGGACGAACTGCCGTCCACATGTGACTGTCTTCTAACAAACCGCATGCAGGCCAACTGGTTCCGTACGGCCGACAATCGCAACAACCGCACTCCGACAAGGACGCAGCAGTCGCACCCCCCCTGGCCATCCCATCTTCCTCCTCCTCTTCGACCCTGGCTGCTGCTGCCGCTGCTGCTGCCGGCGCCACCGGAGGGGCTGATATCGGCCCTTCCACCGGCGTTGCGCCAGCCACCACTGCCGCCGGCCCTAGCGCCGCACCGACTGACCCACGGGTCGTGATGCAGAAGATTTTGAACCCTTTCCGTATCCACCTGTCCAGCAGCCGTCCCTGGACCCCTCCTCCTCAGTCCTCCTCAACATCTGCGTCACTGACGCCGCTGCCACATCCTTTGACTGGTGCGGCTTTAGGCGGGGCAACAGCGGCTGTGAATGCTGCAACAACAGCAGCAGCAGCTGCCAGTGATGGTGCCTCCGGGGCTCTGTCGTCGCAGCAACAGCGGCAGCAGCAGCAGCAGGACCAACAGCAGCAACGGTCAACCGCTTCGGTCGTGCCAGAGGGGAAAGCGGGAGAGCAGCAAACCAACAACACCGCCGTCGGGAGCGTCAGTGGCAACAGCAGCAATGGTCTGAAGCTGGACATTGACGTGCCTGCGATTACCGGGCAAATGGAGAGCTGGCAGTTTCAGTTGCTGCTAGCGGTTATAAACGAGACGGTTGCAGCGCCGTTGCCAAGGGTGCGTGGGGCTGATGTTCCAATCTTGGTTGTGTTGGTAAACTCGTTTGGTATCGTTGCAGCACGGGGTGTGATGTCTTTTGGGTTGCTTTGACGACGGTCCATATGAGTCTAGAAACCCCCCGGTATGTGTGAACCTCCTCCAGACCACATGTGTTCTGGTATGTACTTGGCATCTTGCAGGTCGCGTTGCTGACCCGCGGATCAGGTGCCCAGCCGCTTGCCGGTGTGGAAGCGTCCCCTGAGGTCTCGGCCACTGCGGAAACCCTCGTGTCACTGAGGTGAGGAACGACAGAGAGATAGACGAGCGGACGACTGAACGCATGTGTGAGTGGTTATTGCTCGAGTAACTTTATGCGAAGCGTTGAGGCTTGCATCTCTGCAAACATTTTGCCGACGTCTTTAGTAACGCAAACCCCCACCCTCCCGCATGCAGGCAGCAGCTACGTTGTCTCCAGCAAGAAGCGCTTACGCTTGCGAGTTACCTCACCATGACCCATGGGTCGATCTCAATTCCACCGTACAACAGCAACGTCCTGCCGTACAACTCATCATCATCACCGTACACGGCTATGCTTTTCAAGCCGCTGCTGCAGTCGCAACAGCAGGGGCTGGCGGCGAATGCTGCTGGGGGCGGCGGCTACGGCGGCGGCGGTCACGGAGGAGGCGCAGCAGCCGCAGGTGGAGCTCCCCCGGCTGTGTTGGCACAGGTGAGGGTGGCGACGGCGGTGGCGGAATTTCTCGATCAGTGTATGCCTGCTGAGGTCTCTTTTCATAGCTTCGTTCCCCTCTCTTTTCCCTCTCCACCTCTTTCCTTCAGTCCCATCTGCCTTCCAGACCGCCTTCTGCACCCTTTCACATCGCTCCGCCACCTTCGGCCCCCCCACTTCCAGGTGCTGCTGTCCCCCCGCCCGCCCGGCCTCAGCGCCCCCCAGCTGGCGGCACTGCTGCGGAGGAACCAGGAGCTGCTGCTGCACTGGGCGCTGGAACAGGTGAGCGGAGTGACCCGTGGGTCATTTCTCTTTTGGATAGCACTGAGAATCAACTGGTAATACGTTGAAAGGCAAGCTTCGGCTGAACCAGGAGCTGCTGCTGCTGGTACACGGGGCGCTATAGCCGGTGGGATATGGCTAGAACGACCCATGGGTCAGTCAGCGTACTCGTCCCCTTTGCACGATCGTTACCAACTTGGCCTTATTCCTTTCCTCCCTCTCCTCCTGCACGTCAGGTCTCGGGTGCGCAGGAGGGTCTCGAGGCGGTGTCCGGTGTGCTGGTGCGGCTGCGCACCGAGGTGGGCGCCGCCCTGGAGGCGCAGCAGCAGCAGCAGCGCAAGCAGGCGACTGCGGTGGCGGTGCGGCTGGGGCGCTTCGGGTGGGCGCTGGTGAACAGGGAGGGGGCGGCGTTCGTACAGGTGGGTCGCAGGGGTGTGCGGGATAAGACGACTGACCGCAGGACTGATTCTTAACCTTGGAAACTGTGTGTCGTCGTCCGGATGGCTCATAGGAAAATGCACGGAACCGTACACTTGCCTCCTGAACCCTGCCTCTACCTCAGCCCCCTGAGCCCCATTTCAGAAACACCTTCCTCTCCCCCCCCCCTCACCGCCACCACCACAGGCCGAGCTGAAGTCCATGTCCTTCCACCACTCTCTGGACCGCGACCACACCGGCACCACCCGCATCACCCTGCACTCCGCGGACATGTGGGAGATACGCGGGGGGGCGGGCGGGGGGGCGGGCGGGGGCAGTGGTGGGACTCCTGCTGCCGGGAGTAGCAGCAACAGTATCAACACCAGTACTCAGCAGCAGCAGCCGCTGCTCCAGGCGGGGGCAGCAGCAGCCGGGGTTGCTGCTGCGGGGTTACAAGCAGCAGCAGCAGCAGCAGGACCAGCAGCCGCAGCCGGAGGAGGAGCAGGTGGGGGAGGAGTGGGTCCACAGCATGTGGACGGTGGAGTGCGCCACTTGCAAGACCAGCAACACCAACAGCAGCAGCAACATGCAACAACAGCAGGCGGCAAACATGAGCCACTGCCGCCGACGTCTACGGCGGTATCCACTGCCGGCGCTGCCAGTGGCGGCAGTAGCGGCACCGGCGCCGGTAGCGGTAGCAGCAGCAGCATTCTGTCGCTGTGGCGCCCCGATGCGAGCAGCTCTTGGGACGATGACCCGCTGCTGCGGATGCATGTCGTACACGGGGGGGTGGATGCGCATTACGTGACGTACGAACACATCGAGGTGGGGTCATGGGTTCGTGGCAATGCGAGGACGAGGAAGAAATGGAGGAGTCTCCATAGGGCCGGGCTGTATCTTAGGGAGGGACCGAGCATGCAAGAGCTGCAACGGTTTCATTCATCCGCCCACTCCCTGCACGTACCTTGACCGCACGGTTCCCTCCCCTCCCATGCCGGGTTATGGGATTGGGGTCCAATTGTTCCATTTCCACTTTCTATTTACTTTCCCCCTTTCTTGGTGCCCAGGTTTACCTGCACCCGCTGCAAGTGCGCCTCACGTACGCCCTGGCACACAGCCTCATGGTGGGTGGGTGGGTGGGGGAGCTGAATAGCTACAATTACAGAATATTGCCCCTTTTATGCCTCTTTATTGCTGTGCGAATTGCACCAGGAGAGCTCGGCAAGTACAACGTCACCTGGACGGCTCTTTGCTGTTCTGTTGGTGGTCCCTTGTGCGCGACACCGGTGGTGGATTGCATGTGGAAGCCAAGCTGTTGACCCACGGGTCGTTTATATCCTCGTTAACCTCTTTCTTGTTTCACGCAGGACTACTTTGAGCTCAAAGATGATGAAGAGGAGGATGACTGGTTCGCCGCGGGTTGCAAGGCCAGGAAGGAGGCCAAGGTAAGCTGAAACACATGTTCCTTTAGTCGAGGACGCATGCATTCGAGTGGCAAGCCGGCCGGTCAGCGCTTTTCAATTCTGTGTTGCACACTCAGGCCAACAAGGCTGCTCGGAGCGCAGAGCCCAGTGGCGGCGGCGGTGGCAGTGCAGCCGTCAACGTTAGCGGCGGCGGCGGCAGCACATACACCTCCCCTGCTAAATCCAACCGCAGTGGCGGCGGTAGCTGGTTCGCTCGGCGAGTCGGCGGCGGCGGCACGTCTGAGGCGTCAGCGGGAGTGGCGGCGACGGGGACGACGACGCATTCGCTGCCTCCGTCGCTGCCATTGGCGCCTCGACCGGCGGCCGCGGCGGGTGTACCCTTGCCATGTAGGAACTGTAGTCGCGATATATGACTTGTGCTTGTTGGGGTCTTACCAGTGTAGTTATGCGGAGCAACATAGCAACAGAGCTCAAAACCTTCACCTAAGCAATTGGTATGAACTGACCTCTGTTGGTGTTTCTGTGCCTTCTTGTGCTGCAGCCGAGCCGTTGGCTTCCGGTGCCATCGGTGCTACAGGCGCCGTACCTGCGCCGACAGCTGCTACTGCTGCTACCGGCGGCGGCTTCCGAGGTCTAGCGCCGCCGAGCGGTTCGGCTTCTCCTCATAAAGGTGCCTCGACCGCCGCTTTCAACGACCTTACGCTGGCGGCGACGGCGGCGCCTTGGGACGCTCTGTCGTACAATCCAAGTAGCGCAAGCGCAAGTGGCGGCGTAAGCCGCAATCATAGTAGGACGCCGTCGGCGGCGACGACGACGGTTGATGATCCTATGGCGGCGGCAGGGGCGACAGCACTGGCGGCAGCGCCCCCCATGCCGCCTGTTGGCGGCGCAGCCATCGCGGCGGCGACGCCAGCGGCGACGACAGTGGCGTTGCGGTACGGTCCGACGTTCCGTCGTCGCGGCAACGGGCGTACGGCAGTGCTTGTGGAGGTAGCGGGAGTGCTTGTGCCGACGACGGCGGCGGTCGCTGCGGGGCATGCATCGCAACAACAACCGTCGTCAACCGCCGGCGACTCCGCCGCCGCCACCATTGGCGGCAGAACCCCCACTCGCCGCCGTCGGTTGCGCTTCCGCCACGTGCGTTTTAACCGCATCGCGGCTCGTCTGACGTACTCGGGGCCCTTGCTGTCGATCGGACAAAAAACTGGCGGTTGGGGGTTGATGCTGGATGCGAGGGTGTACCGCAACCTGGAGGGCGGCTGGAGGGACCTGCTGACCAAGTAAGCACACGAGCAAGGGTACCGGTAGACGGGTTGCGGGGCTCGGAGAGGGCATGGGAGGACTAAGGAAGGACATGGCAGGACTAAGGAAGGAGGGAGAGAGGAGGAGGGAAAGAGGAGGACAGATGTCCCAGCAGCAGCAGAAGCCGCCAGCGGTTAGGCTTTTCCCCACTCTCTCCCTCTCCTCTCAAACCCATCACCCAGTCGCGCAGTGCTCCCCCTCCTTTTGCCTGCATATTACCCTTCTCGCCTGCATCGCAGCCTGCACCAGTATGGTAGCCTTTCCAGTGGCACCCTGCTTACCGGTAACCTTCCCCCCGTGTCCCTCACCCCTTCTCCGCATGCCAGGTACAAGTGGGACGTCATTCGCTCCGTCATCAAGAGCGCCACGGGAATACAAGCCGGCAAGCTCAAGGTCAGGGCTCCCTGTGCGCTGTATCGACCTGTGTAAACTTGCCTGGCTTCCTTGCTTGTCCTGTTGCTTGTCCTATGTGACAGTTTCATAGGCGGGCGAGGAGGTTACTATGGCATAACGGGGCAGTCCTGAAGTTCAGGAGCGGCTCCAGGTTCCTTGTAGCCAGCACACCTACAGCATCAGCACGGTTCCACGCATGGTTCGGTACTTCTCTTCAGTACTTACTGCGCTCCGCTGTTGCTGCATTTGCAGGAGCTCCGAGGGGCGGGCGGCGGCGCTACCGCCGCCGCCGTCGCCGCCAGTGGTGCCGCTGCCGGCGACGCCGCTGCAGCTGGCGGTTCCGCCGGCGGCATGCTGCTCCCTGCGGGCCTGTCCCTGGACGATTTGGATCCAAGTACGGCATTCACGACCGACGGCAACGCCCTGTCGTACGCAGCTGCCGGCGGCGGCGGCGCCGGTTCTGCCAGTGTTGGCGGCAGTGGCGGGCAGCGGGCGGCTGCGGCGGCGGCGCTGCTAGGCGGCATGAAGAAGAAGGCGGTCGCCTTCATGTCGGCAGGTGCGGTGTGGGGCCCTTGCAAGGATGCTGTTTTTGCGATGTCGTTGTCGTTGCAGTCGCCGTTGCTGCTGCGCTCGTGGGACAGTATGAGCGCCTCGCTGCTTGTCATATTTCCGTCCCTCTTTACTGTGACATCATCGACCCACCTAAATTGATCCCGTAAAATTGATGTCCAGGTCAATCGTAACCAAACAGCCCTCCGCGCAACCTGCAGGTGGTGCTGCGGGCGCGCGTCTCCGCCAAGCCGCAATCGCCAAGGCAACGGGGCGTACGACAATGCCCGGTGCTGCCGCCGGCGCCAGCGCGCCGCTCAGGGACGCCGCCCTTGGTGACCCAAGTGCATCGACCCATGGGTCGGAGGAGACAGCTGCTCAGGATGAGGGGCTGCTGCTGGAAACCTATGAATCCGAGGTAAGCCGTGATGTCGAGGTGCGTCTCACGTGTGAATTAAAAACCAATAAATATAGCACGATGCACTATAGGGTGAGGGCTTTGGATGGGATGGTGTTATCGACTTCCCAATTTCGGCATAAACGTGCTATAGTTATGATACCATTGCACGATGTGTGGTTGTGCAGGAGAGCATGGTACTGGAGTGCCAACGCATCATGCAGCAGGCGCAGGCGCAGGCCCGGGCGCGAGCGACACGGCTTGCCGCGCTTCTTGGAGATGTGCCTCCCGCTGCCTTCGGTGGCGGTGGTGGCGGTGGCGGTGGCGGGGCAGCAGCGGCGGCTGCAGGGGGTGCCCGCGGTCGCTCGTACCGGATGTAGAGTGGCTAGTCATCAATGCTGAGATGAGGGGGGCAGAGCGTTAGCCGCACGGAAATGTTGTAGATAGCTTCACGCAGAGGAGGCAGAAGGTTGCGGGGCATGTCATGCATGTTTGGATTGCATGCAAATAGTTGTTTTGGAAGGATGGTAAGTGGCCGAGGCGCCTAGCTTGAAAAGACGTGACAGGAATCGACACATGTCTTAAGCTCTTGTCTTTTAGGAGTGCGTAGGATATGGTGTAAGGAATAGATTAATGGAAGTTGGACGTAGTAACAAAGTGGCATTCTTGGAGCTTGGCGCGTATAGGAGTCGGTCGCTCCATCTAGCCCCCCTCTTCCGACCCGTAGGGAGTACGACAACCCCAGTAGTCCTGTGCGTTTCATTGGAAGACTTTATGCAGTCGGGCCCACCGAATCTGAACCCGCCATGCATGTTATCTAGGAATACGCAACAGCTCGTGCATGCATGTTCTCCTCATTGGTGCTCCTGGACGCCGCAATGATCCCTACGGTCCTTCCTGCTAAATGTCGCCCTCGTCTTTCGCCAGAAACCACCAAGGTTATGGCAGTATTAGCGTTGGGTGCTCTCGGTGCCGCTGTTGAGTCTGGTCGGAATGGACACATCCGGCTGTAACATTGCCTATCAGTTGACCCTCACCCGCCCCCCTGCCCCTACCTTAAAAACGTGTTGAAGCCCCTCATGTGTCCATGTGTATGCTCCCTGCTGGCGTCCTTAGGCCTGTGTGCTCAACCTGCGCCCCCATGCTCCTAGCCTCCTAGCGTCATGGAACCGTACGTTACACGTGTCCCTTTGATGCATGGTAGAAATACTACACAGCATGCTTGGCAATGATAAAGGCGCACACAAGAGCTCTGTGAACATAGCGGAGGCCATGCCAAAGCATACATGCCGAAGATCTTGCTTATTCATGTCTGGTCCGGGTATTCAACCGGCGGGCCAAGTGGTGAACCAGCCTAACGGCTGCTTGTCACAGCTATCAGACCCAACAACACGTACCGGGACACGTACACCCGCTGTTCGTTTAGACCATATCCGTAACCGTTACGTAGCTAGGCAACACACAACATACGACTTTTGAAATGCCCATTTTAAAAACGATTTTCCAAAATCCCAATTGACAACACGGAAATACACTTCCAACCATTTTACTGTTAGCAAACCTCTATAGCCCCAACATACACCAAATATCCCACAAAGCCGCCGTCAAGGGCATATGATGGTAACGTGCACCAGGTGAAGGAACGGTACACTGGAATGCAGCCCTAGTGAGAGAACTTTCAAGCGCCCACTCGTACTATTATACCCCTTTGCCACTCGTGCGTGCTCGCATGCCCCTAACCCGAACCGGACTCTCCACAACAGGCTCATACGCACCAAATTGACGGCGCATGTTTTGCCCCAACTGACAAGGCCATTGAAACACCCAGCCCCAATTTACAAAACACAAGACCGGAAATAGAAATAGAAATAGGTTTATCCAGAAACCTACTAAGCTGAAGGCGGATGATCACCAGACCACAAACAGACGCCAGGTCATCACAGCAGGTCACGGCACGGCGCTTGTAGGAACGGGCCATCGTCCAAGCAAACCTACAAATTAGCCGCATCGTGCACCGCACTGCCTATACGATTGTTGACATGCGTTTTGAATACTGTCACACCCCAATTGACAACACGGAGGTAGTTTTTGCACCATTTGGCCTTCTGTTAGCGAACTTCTAGCCCAAATTGACATGCGCCAAACGCCCCAAAAGCCCCCGTTTGGGCATGGCTTGGCGAGCCCCCTGCTTTTACGCCCCCAATTGACACCTTGCCAGCGAATTGCTGGCCCCAATTGTCAAGGCGGGAAAAAGCCTCAGCCCCAATTGACAAAGCAAACGCATACCAGTTTAATCTTGTCTAAACAAGTTCGGTATCGAAGTAGCATACCAGTTTAATCTTGTCTAAACAGTTCGGTATCGAAGTAGCATCTAAGCGAACCATACCGCAGTGGCCTTCCTTCCATAAAACTCGATTGACGAACAGCCCGCAATGTAGCACCTACCCACCGGCTGCCCGTCTGCCATATCATTAACACAAGTTACGGTCTCCAATTACCTGGATAGGCGGGAAAATACTATACACTTAAGGCAACAAAACACGCAGAACACGGTAAACAACCAGCAGACTAGGGTAATCACCTACCGTCCCTTGCAATTCACCGCAAAACGAGCACATGGGCCACGACTGCGAGCCCTTGGTTGTTAGACAGCTAGTCGCCAGGCCTCCATTGCTAAGGCAATGATACTTCCGCATAGCATACTAGCACTACCTAACGAGCCCTGGCTCGCAGCAAGAAAGCCATTCAATGTCTTCATTGCCACACGTCTTCCTTATCCGCACCCAGAAACATAGAAAGGAGCGCAGGCACATACGACATGTATGTTGGCTACTCTGGCAAGAAATGGACAGCAAACAAAGAACAAAGAAGGGTCATAGCAGGTTATAATCTGACAGTACCAAATCCTGGCTAAAGGACATTCGGGTCAACCACTCTCGACCACTCTCGGGTCAATCACCCTCCAATACCAACGACCGTCACAAACACTAGCCATGTTGCCCATGTGGCCAGACTTCACGTTAACAGGCATTGCACGCATAATTCGCCCAAAGCCCATATAAAGACAACACGTCGCGAACCTACGAAACGGCTGGACAAGACGGCTGGATATGTCGTACGCCTCTTGATCTGTGACCTAAAGGCCCCTAAAGCAAGCCAAAGCCACGCACAGGACAGGACAGGGAAGGGCAGGCCAGAACCAAACAATGTAGCAGCAGCAGCTAGAAATAACACATTTTAGGCAGCAAGTTTAACCTTTGCCAAACATAGCAAGGTTGACGAACTCGGTCAGTTCTCATGACACTTCTCACGTAACACGCAGGCCTCGTCACGTCGTCAGGAATAAGACCCTGCACCTACCATATAGCATGATTGAAGCAAGCAGGGAGCCCTGCCTTAATTGTACCGGCGATTGTCAAAAACAACCCCGCCCAGTCACGCACGCTGTCCATCACGCACTTTATCAATAAACTAAACAAGTCTTCCACGCACGCACAAGCGAATAGCCTTCTCATTAACAATTCTATCAAAGACATTGCCAGAAGTGCAGCCATACATGTGAAACTATCGGCCTGCATCACATAACAACAGTGGAGCCTCAACACGACCAAGAAGCATAGCAAGCAAAGTTCGCCCTCTTATCGGCGCTTCGTAAAACATTCACTAACAGCATTCCTGTCCCATAATTAATCAACACGGATCACGAGGCTTGCTTGTTACCGACGTCGCCCCGGCGTCGCCCAACAGGGGACGACATCACGTAAGTATACCGCAAACCGAACCCTCCGGACCCAAGGTACACGTGCAGCAATATAGCGCCTGGACAACAGCAGTGTTAAACAGTATCTCAATGGGAAAAGCGGTAGCAACACGAACACGAGCAAAATGGTCCAGCAGCTAGAACCGTAGAGCCCGCACGCAGGGATTGACGGTGCCTAGCACGCGCAGCACAGTAAAGCAGTCATGCCTTTACAGGATGGCAAAGAACTAATAGTAACGCATCTTGAATATCTGTGAACTGTACTACTGATCTCTCGGCTTTACAAGCAATTAAGCCGGAATAATAAGCCGTAGTCCACTCAGCCGTGAACCTCACAAGCAAGCAGTCTACCTCATTATCACACGACGCACGCGACACTAATCATTCTCGGCTAGCAATCTGGCCACTGCCCATCAGTGCCCTTCGCATCACTAACCGCCGCCTTCAGCCCTGCAATCTCCTGCTTTATGAGCACCTCAATCCTTTCCAAACGAACCCTATCTTCTGCTGCCGCTTCCTGAAGATCGGCGACCATCTCCACTAGCTCCGACATCCCAAACGCAGTCTTCGCTGTGCCTTCATTTCGCTTCCGGCGCCGCATGTCCTTTTTCACATCAAACAGTTCCTTACGGCTCCGCTTGCCCCTGAATGCTAGCTCGATGTCTGATAAGGATACGGCAGTTTGGTACGTAAGACATAGTTTGGCCAAACGTTAGCTTGGGCGAACACGCCAAAGCATGTATGTGTTCACTAGTGGACAGGAGTCGACAGCATAACGTTGTCTGATCTCTGACATCAAGTCCTGGTAGACAACATATGTAAGATACAATATTTGGAACGTAGGTTCGGGCACATCATTTATGTTGTACGTAAGAGGAATACACTAATTGTATGTATCTATGGACCCTCAGCACTCGGTCCCAATCATAACGTACCTGCTTAAGCACCGATGATAATTTCGGACGACGTCATCATCAAGCTCAGAAGGCTGGCTAGGCCCATCAACCTGGAAGATGTGGAAGGGCGGTCGGGGTATGCATGCATGGTTATGGACGGCTGGTGACACGGCTGCGGTCTACCGGACATATACAAGACCAAACTCGTCGGCCCACAGCTGCATTTACGTTTTTCTGCACTTTTGGTATGTGTAAACGCTTGACTTCGTTCCGTAACAAACTCATAGCAAAAGTACGGAAACATTCGTCTTAGGTCTGCATCTTGACAGTTGCTTCCAAAGCAGGACAACATGTTTGCATCGTTAGCCCTGCGGTATCCCTTTGGCTGCTCCCTGGCTTCCAACCGCGGCCTAGCAGATCGCCTGGATTCAAGGACAGGCCAACAAGTTCGCTCGGATGGCGCGCGGATAGGCGGGCAATGTACGGCTAGTAAGCTGATATGTACCCGAGCTAGCTGTGGGCTTCCCGTTGGGCTCTTCCAAGCTCGCCCGGCAGGAGAGCTGCCCATCGGGACACAGCATCCACACGCACCTTTATCCAGCCCATGATGACACGCGTAACTTGGCCGACGGCAATCACAGCCCAGGAATACACTCCGCGAAACAGCACGGCATCCGCGATGCCCCCGCCTGCCACACAGAGCACTGTACCCACCACCAGCCACAAAGGCCGGGTAATGATGTACAGTGCGACGCCCAGGGCGCCTTGTGTTCTCCTTCCGGTATGACTGCTGGGGCATTGCTGATGAGGGCCATCCTGCGCATGGTGGTGGCCGGGGTTATTCAACATGCAGCTTTGTAAACTACTGCTGCTGGACGGCGGGGTAGCATGCGGAGTCGTCGGCGTGCACCTTCAATTATTGAGGATGCATGCGACGTTTGCGTAAATTCTGAACCTATACACGACCGGACGGGAAAACGAATGAATAAATAGGGTAAGGCGATATATCATAGGCCATAGCTGTGTGCAACAAAAATGAATAACAATGTTTAGCGCAAAACCGTTTGCATAGCTTGAGAAAAACCTTCAAGGGTACCCCACCTTATGCTGCTCCGATGTAGCACATGGCTTCCGTGCACGCCTAATAAGGAAACATGCTAAATTATCTGCTGTAACACGTTTCTCCCATTCACGGTGCCCCCAAAATGTGAAGTAGACGATGCAGAAGGGCGCCATGGCGAAGTAGGCGGCCCAGGACAGCACCACCAGGACGGGGTACACCGTCAGCAGGTACACCAGGTACGGCAGGGCGCTGGTGCCGGTGTGATTGAATTCCTCTTGGTAAACGCCTGAACACAACATAATAATGACGGGGCGGGTTAAGAAACGTGCCAAGTTCGTATGTCTGGCCTTCTCTTGGGCCATCGTGGTCAGACCTAATAAGTACGTCCCATCTAAGGCACGTGTGTATTGCCAATAAATGCCGAGCATGGAAGGCTCGCTTAGATAGGAGGGCACTAAAGTTGTTAGGTGCAGCACTTACCTTTTGTCTTGCCGCTTGGCAGCCATGACAGCAGCAGCAACGGCAGTGAGAATGGAGCCCCTAGAAGGCAGCGCTGCACCATATACTCGTAGTGCAGCAGCTGCTCGGCGACCTGAAGACGGGCCCGCTTCTGATGCTGCAAGCAGGGCCCAGTCCACGATTATTTACAGAACTGGCACATAAATTCATGCCTGCTGCAAGCTGTTTCAGGATTCAGGGAAAGTGGTGCTTCGCACCGGCAATGGCGACTAAAGACGATAACGATTGACCCGCACAGCGCAATAATGAGGGAAATAGGAATGCATCTCATACCTTTTCAGGTTTGAAGTGGTAGCTCATAAGAGCGATGAGCAAGTTAGCCATCACGACCGACGCCACCAGTGTGTACAGCACGGACAGGACATTGCCGTACATACACTCGGTATAGCTCCACAGGTTCAAACATGTTCTGATCATATACGGAGTCGCCCTGAAAGGCTTGGAAGAGCTTAACGATGGCCACGGGAAATGTTAGCCCACTGGTATAACGGTTCCTGGTGTGACAAAGAAGGGTGGAGGCGGTGTTAAAATGGTGGTAACATGGGTTAGAATGGCTAGCGAGGTGATGGTAAATGGATCAAACAATGGAAACCTCCTTTACAGATCCTATCTACCGTTATCGATCCTATCTAACGTTATCGGAGAAGAAAGATGCAATGGTTAAAACACTGCAAACCCTAACCTGCGCTGCACAGTACTGCTGCCGAAGCCTACCCCTGGTGTCTTTACCTGAAAATGGAGTAAAAGGCAAACGCCACACCGAGCATCAGTACAAGGCCTGGCAGCGCAAACTTCAACACCTACGGGCGGGTGCACACATAAGAATGGAAGTAAACAAGATGTTGGACAGTGCATGCAGGGAAGTTGTGCTGTGCCCAACCTTTGTCCTCCACATATACATTATCAGACCGAAGCGACCTCACGGCCTGCTCATTGTTGTGTGCCCATGCGTGGAGATGCGAGCACTGGCTGGACTGCTGGTTGAGGTTGCTTTCCGGGGTTGGGCGTGCTCGGCGTCTGAGTCACAAGCAATAAGTAAGGTACGCACGTGCCAAGCTGCTGTTCAATGCAACGTTCAACATACAGGCACGACTACCCACTGGGAACCAGCATGGCCTGAAGGATAAGGAGACGTTATGGTTCATGCTCTGTTCCCCTCCCAGTTCCCCTCCCCGCTTCTCTCCCCATATTTCATCTGCGTATGTCCCCGGCCTAAGCCTCCCCCCCCTGCGGCCTTTTCCTAAGCACCCGACCCAGGCCGACCCGCTCCACTGGCGCCGCATTTGAACATCTTATGAATGGCAAAGACCTTTGTCTTCGCGTCCTGCTGCATGTGATTGGATTTGGTGTGGGAGGCCGTTATGGGGGTTGTTGTTGACTATCTTGGCTGCTAATTGCCAGCTGAAATGCAATACAAACAGCCTCCTTGCGACTGTAGCCAGGATCCGCCTTTGCCTTTGCCTGCATTGTATGAATGACCGTTACAGTACCCAAACTGCCCAGCGGGCAGCATTACTTGCTCAATGGTGCTACTTTGTGTAACGTTTTCCGTTGTCAGGGCTACGAAGGAAGCTGCATGAAGGTGTTAGCTCGCTTGAACAACTAAGGCTGCGAACTAAATTCTGAACGCAGATTCTGAATTCCCACGCTAAGCTCCTTTCATTCGATCTTAAGGTCTATTTTGCAGTTCCTACCCCCCTGCCTGGGGTATCACAATGGCTGTTTCTTTGCTTCCAAGCCACGTCCTCGTGGAACGCCCGGAATCAGAAGCGCAGGGCCAAAAGCGCACACAAGATTGCCGGCAGCTGGCAAACTCACCTCCCAAATCATCTGCCTAACGAGCATCAAGATGACACCAATGTTGTCGTACAAGGGAGTGAGGAACTGCAGCAGGCGAGCCCACACCAGGATGGATGCGGTATTATACAGCAGGTCTTCAATCATCATGAGGTCTTCCATGTAGGTCTGCACAAATTGAAGAACAGAACCAAACATGCACATACTGGTTATAAGGATGTCATGCCGTGAAGCAACGTGTTAGGAGGATCAGATACCCAGTTAAGTAGTAACGAAACTGTTTGAGAAACGCAGCTCGCAGGGGCTCCCGCGGGCCCGTGAACGGCCCGTGGGAGCTCCCTCAAATACTCATCCAACCACCACAACAATCGCTGGAAACGTCTGGATAGTATGAGCTGTTCCATAGGAAATTTCTGATGCCAAAAACCCCCAGTATTAGGGACCTTGTCCTAATCCAAGATGGGTGGGGGGAGGGGCAGGAGGAGGGTTGTGAACATATGGGGTTGAGTCCGGAAATCCACGGATCTTGCGGGGTAATTACCGTAGCCTGCATGCATGCAAGCTCTAGTTCACACACCGCACCCCCACCCCACCCCCCCACCCCCCCAGGCTGCTCATCATCATATATATATATATATATTTTTTTTTACCCCCCCAGGCTGCGTGGCTGCCTGCGCTGCCCCGATGCGCTGTGCTGCCTGTGCGGCGCGCTGGCGGACTGGCGGGGTGGGGCGCTGCGGGAGGTGCAACTGGGCTGGAACGAGCTGGGGGAGGCGGAGGTGCTCAAGGTGATTTGGGTTAAGTAGCCTGATGCATGGGTGCTAGCAAGCATGATAAGACATAGCGGAGTACTCGTTAGGACAGGTATAACATTAAAATGTGCGCAAGGGGCGAAGTCGCTATGTACGCCATGGGTGAACAAGGCAACCAGCCTCGACTGGACAAGGAGCTCTGAGCTCGTCTAGCCATGCAAAAAACACTCAACTACAGTAAACAAGGGGGTTCAGCGTCCGTGTAACAAGATGTGTTAGGTTGTTAGGTGCCGTGGAGTCACAGGAGCGCATGCCGTGCCATTCCAGTGGCAGTAGTACGTTCCTGTACTCAAGAGGAGGGCCTCCAACCTTTTCCAGCTTTGAGGAAGCTGAACCCCCTTGTCACCACCACGCTATCATGGTAAGTGCATACATATGTACCTGGTCCTGAGGCAGCTTCCATATGACCACCTTGAGCCCGCCGCATGCCGCCAACATGACCATCAGCAGCACCTCGATGACGTTGAAGCCGTTGCGGAAGTACCGTCCAATGTTGCCATGGTACTTGAGCACCACCTCCTGCACCTCGTCGACCAGCATGCCCAAGACGTACAGCACCAGCACCACGTGCTGCCAGACCAGCGGGCCCAGGGATGCGTCGCCTGAAAGCAGTGGCCCTGTGTAGATAGGCGGCATGAAAACACAAATGTAAACATGCAATTATCACAATACCGGTAACGTTCTGTTAACACACCTATCCCACGATTTTGTTCGCAACAAATATTGTAATGACCAGCCGTTGAAAAGGGCCGCTGCGGCAACACCAGTTACTGCTCCTCTATGATGTTTACCCGGTAGCATCACCAGTATGTGGTGAATTGGTGACAGCGGCGTGCTGCCAAATGGCGACTTGTGAAAGTCGGATCCCCGGTGACGTCTAGTTGGTGGCGTCACGCAAGGAACTGCGTGCTTCCTGTGCATTGCTGGTTGTCTTGTTGGTTTTTTCCGGCAAGGCCCATGGCCACTGAAACTCAAATCAATTCAATCTTATATATTCATGCTTGACAGAGCGTGTCTGGACTGCAAAGAAGTTTACGTGGGAGTTGCTTCAAGACTTGGAACCTTGCGGCAAGCTGCAATACGCTCGAACATGATCCTCATTGCTATATGACATCAATGCTTTGTGTTTCATACTAAAGAAAGTGTGTGCCTTTGAAGTGTTACGATGTGGCGGCGCCTAAGCCGCAGTCCGTTTTGTGCGTTACCGTTCGTGCTATGACAATCAAAGCTAATGTATTACTTTGCATGGTTGAGGAGATATGAGGGTCTTGCGGAGACGAGCGAAAATGCCGCAGGCCACCAGATACGCGCAATGGCGCAGGCAAAGCCTATCATACATGCACTCAAAACGCTGTCATTTTACTCACCGGTAACCCAGTGAATCCCAGTCCTGAGCTGCACGTAGTGGTAGATGTACAGGAAGAACAACTCCAGGAAGATCCTGAACACCCAGCGGCCTTGAGGAGAATCGAAAAAGTACTGGTTTGCGGGGAGCACGAAGCCAAAGATTGCAACGAGCCTGAGGGTAAGAGACGAAAGCTGCAATTTAGGAGGTACATTCATATATAAGCAAGCTGTGTTTTGCTTGACTGGGTACAAGTTTCAGTCACTTTCTGGCGTTCCTCACTTAGAGGCCCTTTCGGGAACCTTTCGGGCATGAACATGGTGAGAGGGAAGCTGCTGTATGAAATGGCAGCAGTGGCAAGTTGCTATCACAACTAGGTAATCTGTCTCCATCCCTATGGAGCTCAACCTAGGTGACGGGCTTCACCGCAGGCCTCACGGCAGCTGTTGACCCACCAGGTATTGATTGGCCCCTCGATGTTGCCCACAAAGCTTGAAGCTCCAATAGATTGAAAAACGGAATCGATAGGTTTCTGCAAGGCGTGCACACAGTGCGACTGAAGACCGTCAGTGACATGAGCCATGTACACATGTGCTACTGACTTTCAATGAGAAGAGTGCTTGCCGGTAAGGATGGGCAAAAAGCGTACAATTCAACTTGTTATACGTAATTTATACGTATATTTATACGCGTACCTTCCATGCGTACATGCCGTAATGTACGCTTTTCCCCGCCCTGGGTCGGCCACTTTCAAGGATAGTGCAAACGAAAGAATTATGGCTCCAACCAAAATTTCTTACACCTTAAAACACTCTTATGAAGCTAGTAGGAACCAGTAGGAGTATTTTCTTTACCGGCAGCGCGGACTATGCGGAACCTTGGCCTTCCCAGCGCCTTGCTCTTCTATTGCCCTTCCTCATTGAGCTTAGGTGGAAGTCCTTCCTTTTTCCTGCTCCCTTCCTCCGTTCGCTGGGAAGGTAACGCCCGTGCAAGTTCGTCTATGGAGTCGGCGGTTTTGAGATGGCGGCTAAGACTTCGGCATCTGATGTTCGCACAGCTATGAGAAGTAAGGAGTGAGTGGCAAGAAAAAAAAGAGCGGTTTGGAAAATGGCAAGGAATGAAGTAATGTTTCGCGGGAAAGGATGTATGAGCAGTCCTTAGGGGATGGCTGATAGAAGACAGCTGCATGCGAGTGCTGTCTAGTTTAGTTGATTTGTACGGGTCGTACGACGTTGTTGTGCGGGGTAGGCGCCACAGCTGTGGCGTTAGGAGTATTTCACCATAAATAGTTAAATACGGAATTAGTTACGAGTAGTTGCGGCTTTAAGTGATGTGAATACTGATAGTCATAAAACAATACTTTACCGTAATACTTTACGGTAGGCGTTATGGAGTGATAACTGACACAAAAGACTTATCACCCTTATTTCCTAACACCGTTCCTAAGCTTATTGCCCAAAATTTTATTGGCATGCGTTTGGAGGCATATTTTCCAGCCCCCCCATTCGACAAAACGGAAATAATTTATGCCCCATTTGACTTCCTGATGACAGCAGATTTCTAGCCCCATTTGACATGCCCGAAAACACCCCCAAAGCCGCCGTAAAGGGTGTAACATGGTAAGGAAAGGAGCTGTATGCCGCTGTGCAGCCCTAGGAGGATAAGTGGAACACCGTTCACTAACCCATTCTGGCTCGACTGGGCATGGCGCCGTAAGGATCCAGCGCACTGGCAAGTCCGTTGCTCCCATTCCGTTCCCATTTTGGTAACCCTGGATTCACCCCAGGCGGAGTTGTTTGCCCCATGCATTTGACGTGGCAAAAAAACATTTTCACCCCATTTGACCAAACTCAAAACAATTCTTCTCATTTAAATTTTGGTCATTACGGTTACCTCTATTAACAGCTATCGGTTGTGATTGATGGAGGAAATGCCAGCCGACGTGCCTCCTGCTAAGATGGCGCTTGCGACCATTAATAAAATTTCCGCAACGTCGAGGAAGCCTATTACTCTGCCCACTCTGGGCTACATACATTGATTGCATTCCTAGGGTGCATAAAAAATGGCCTAAGGCACTGGCGAGTTCACCAACAGCTGCTAAGCAAGGTCGACCAAGGCCTGACCAGCGCGCGCTTGATCGCTTCCGTTGACGAATTCCTTGCTTACTAGGCCTTAACATTGGAAATTTACGCTATATAGGGCATACAGTGTCGGCTACGGTTAAGTTTCTGGTTTATCCAAGCGCCTACGTTGTGGGCATGAGGTAATTTATTACGCTCGAATTGTTTAAAAAGGGTCTACGACCACCGCAATTACATTTATTACGCCGTCATATATAACGCAAAAAAACGTGACCAGTCTTGGGGGATTTGACGTAACTACGGTGGCGTAATAACGTCAGACCGTAATACCGTAAATCGTAAGGTCCCAACCCTGCTAATGACAATACAGCTTCGGACCACAGTAGCCCAGATGGAGCCGCCTAGTTTCCGATACCGATAAGGAATGAGGAACGCGTAATGAGGCTAGTGAATGTGGAGGTCGCAAAGGCAGTTAGACGGACGTCGGTGGCTGAAGGCAATAATCAGGCACATGCCACTCTCAATGGATGTCGGTTGGCTGTTACTTGGTTGGGTACAAGTGTCATACGGTTTTGGAACACTAGATCTAGAAAACTGGATATTCTTAAAGCCCATTATCTGCTGCCAATAAAACCTCAGAGCCCCATGAACCTAAGTAAAAGTGCTCTAATGATGGTATGCAGGGCATAAAACATGTCGGGATACAGCAATGTTCCGAATGGGGGAATGGTGAGGAACATCTATCACTTCTTTGCATGCGAAGCTTATCAAGCAATAGGGGCATAGTATCGTCGCAATGGGTAAACGCTGGAAGCGAGCATGGGGCACATGAGAGACGAAAACGGTAGAGACGGGTACGTAGATGGGTATAGTCAGTAAAACGTACCAGAGGGCTAAAGTATTTGGGAATCATAGTAGGGGCTAAGCCCATTCAACTTGTCCACACACTCGATTAATGAAGCAAGTCCGCTGCAAATTGCCTTTGATACGCACAACATGGACTTCCTGTCAGCGCCTGTCGTGTTGGACCGATGGCTGCTTCCTGAGTGGAACCGTCATGTAAGTGATAGGGTTGGTTGGCTCAAAGCAGCCTGGGCTGGGCTTCTTTCTGTTGAAGGGCAGGTTGGGTACCGCCGGGTTTGAGTGTAGCTTGGATGTCCTTGCGTTGGCAGCGTTTGAGCTGGTCCAACAACTCCACAATCATTTTCCGCAGGCGGTTGGCAATGCGCCTAGTTACAAAGGGACTAAGATGGGTAGGGGCAAGGACGGTGTGGGACATGCATAATGAGGTTCATTGCCAGACAGCATGTTGTCGAGGCCAGCCAAGGGCCCCCCTTATATGCAACAAGCCAAGCAGGGCTGTAGCTCTGATAGAAAGCATGTTAATACTTGAGCCTGGATGCTGGGCTTTTAGGGAGCGGGGTAGTTGTTTTGTCAGGACTCTTTCCTGGCTAACTCACGCCAGTGCCCTCGTATCCCGGGGCAAGCATGAACTTCTCATGCCGTTGGCTGGGGTGTTTGGATATTGAGGTGAATTCGCACGGAAATCGCACTAGGTATGTTGCAATGAGGACAACGCATTGAAATTGAGCTGCATGTTTTCATACATGGAATGCACGTGCTATCTATGACGAGTTCCCTGGCTAGCTACCTGAGCCGCGTTTGGGAGACCCGCATGCCCATCAGGAATCACCTGCGCAGAGCCCCTAAACAGTGGTTCAGGCTAACTTCGCTTCGATGGACACATACTCTACACGCGTACAGGCTGTAACAGCATGTCAATAAAAGTTTAGGCAATACAGGTCGGTCGCAGCCTCACCTGTTTCGTCTCAATGTGAAGAGCCCTTTACATTTGAGGCCAAAAGTGATAAAGGTGTAATATTAAAGGCTTTTTGGCTACGGAAATCAATAATTGTTTCAGGGGCTCTTCACATTAAAATTCTGAGTATTTTACTTAGTGAAGCTGCATGAGGCGTAAACCGGTTTCGGCCTCAGGTTGTTCATTCACATTGGGAACTTTGCGCATAAAGTGAGTCTTAAATACAATTGTCATACGTCAACGGATTGCGAGCTCGGGCTTGAGTAAGAGGAAGAAGGAGTGCAGCTGATGCTGCTAGAGCAGCCGCGTAAGCTACTTAGTTTAGCTCAGCAGGGTCCGTCAGCGCGGGCAAAGTGCCTACCTCCTCATTGTCATGGCTCCCATACTCACTAGGCTGGTAGCTTGCATCATTGTCAACGCCACTTCTTCGCCAAGGTTCAGGCCGTTTTACTTTCGGTCCTCGTCATATAAAAAATCGCTTCACGAGCGAGATATATTATACGAGACACCGCGAATCACCTAATGCATGTAGTCTCGACGAAGATGTTAGGTGTATATCAATGCGTATTTATCGATCGGGAACTACAACGTGACGAATTGGTTTGGGTCTGTATACAGCTCTCCGAGTCGTCTAGGTGAATACTTTACTCTACCGGTATTGCATGCATTTCGGTTTCTGCTTCGATGTCCTTTCTCTGGAAGTAGCGAATGTGAGGCGAATACTAAAATGCCGCTGGAACATTTGCTTCAATGTGGATGAGGCGCAAACAAATACATCCTTTTAATGCCAGCCTCGCCTGTTTCCGTCTCAATGTAAAGGACCCCTTATAGTCAGTTCTCAACTTTAGAATTAAGGAATCAAAGCAGAAAATAAAGTGGCTTCACTCTAGGGAATCGTCATCGTTACTCCAAAAATGCTCCGATTGCAGTGTGGACGGAAACGCTATTTTTGGCCACGGCATAAAAAATGGGGCACCTTTCCCTATGTGAAGGAACTCAAACCGAGAACCGAGTCTGAAACATAAATTGATTTCCGCGGCCCCCTGCCAAAACGCCTTCAAAGTTACAGCTTCATCACTTTTGGCCTCCAACGTGCTGGGCTCGTAGTTTGAATCTTATGCTTGCGCCATCCTACAAGTACTTGTCAGCCAACAGCAGCCTTTCGGGAACTGGTGAAGCTTAGGCATGTCTATATGTGCTGAGCCTTGCATGCATTCCCGAGCAGTGCACATGTCATCCCACTCCTACCTGTATTCAAGGACTCTTAATTTCGTAGGCTCAGGAACCGTCCTACCCCCTTTGGCTGCGTTTTTCAGGAAGGCCCTTGCCGTGCTCTCAAGCTCCCGGATGAACCCCATGGTGCTGGCAATGGGATTGCGGTGGCTGGCCAGGTACTGCAGCGCAAACTGTTGCACGCTGAACCTCTCTCCCTCCGATGATAACTCCTCTTTGAGCCACTTGTCAGTGTCTGTCAGGATACACCTGATGGGGCGGACATTGGCACAGCAGGATATTTCAGATAGTGGCACAGTACACTTCCTGATACATACTAGGCGCACCCTACACGTGCATGCCTATGGAACAATACCGTAGCTTTCAGTATCCTGCAGTCCGTCCGGTGCCTGTGCAGCTCCCCAAATACATATGCATGATGCTGCCCCTGACCTGAGCGTCTCCGCGTCAATCTCCGCGCCCTCGTCAATTAGGAACTGAAGGATGTCAACACTGTCCTGCTTTCTGGCTACAGTCGTCAGCATCTCGGGCGCAGCGCCTTGTGGTGTCAGCCGGAATGATGGGACGGGTTCACCTTCACAAGGAATATTGGTACTCCGGGACAAGGAGCGTGCAAACGTTCTGCAATCAAGGTGAACCGTAAATGTTAGTCACCTTTAGTTCATATACCGCCCATTTCCTAACGAATGGGGCATAACGATGTACACAATTGGTGTCGGACCTGTACTGGGCAAGCCCATCTTTGAGCTGATCCATGCGCCTACTTCGCACCGCATCTGCAATCCTGTCTTCAAGCGCGGAAAGGCCTTGCAGAAAATGCTTGCCATACCCTGTAGGATATACACTCGGCTCGTGTTAGGTGGCTTCGATGGGTAGCTGCTTCTCCAAGAGAATCATGAAACACCACAGGTTTAGGTACACCCATTACAATTATCCCTTCAAAATGGCCATGGGACCAGAACCGTGACAGCCAGACAACGACTAGATGCCGACTGGCAGGGTCTCTATGGCCCGACCATCGTTCGGGCGGTTGTAACCCGGGTTGGATGTGGGTACTTGACTGTACGCATCGGTGGTTTACTCCTAATAGCTTTCCGTTGACCCCGTAGATCCTCTATTCTGCACCACTTCCCAACGACGCTGGAGGGGCTTTCGCACTTGCTCGGGCAAGCATTGCATGGTTTTAGTAGCAATGCGGACTTACCACTAGAGCCATCCTCTTCCAGCGCACGAGCCTCCGCCTCATCACTACAGGGCGTTAATTCAAGCGTTACATGTCCGATAGGGCTGAGTTCGCCACGATGCTCTTTGACGTTGCGGCCGTCGATAGGCTTGATAGCCTGCGTCGACAGCGTGTCCTTGGTGCCAAGCACTGGATTCTGGGATGTGATTGTGGTGGTGTCTGTTTCTAAAGCAATTGTTGTCGCGACCGTTTATTTACTGTGCCCAGGGAATATCGTAACAGCTAACAATTTCTACAGGTGCCAATGTTTACACCAATGCATTTACAAGTGTAGGCCGCGGCATAACAGTAATATGTAGTAAGAGCTAAGAAAGCGGCTGTGGAAACGGTCCTTTACAACAAAGCCTCGATGTCGTAAAAATACCGCTTATCGTTGTCTTATGTTTTAGCACACAAAGAATACTGTTGAAGGACCCGTGCGCGTTGGAAGGCAAGAGCATCGGACGGGTTTGCTTCAGAGCCACAGGCCACCCTGGAGTACATCCAACGGGCCAGCGCCGTTCTACTCAGTGTAATTTGATATTCCTTGCCTACAACAGACAAGGAACAACTAGGAACCCCGATCTCTATAGGAAACATCTTTAGTTTAGCGAAGGAAGAAAGGTTCTAGCGCCACGGTCAGGCCCGCTTGTTGGACGTAAAGCGCGGAAGTTGTTCATTGTCTATTGTAGGCAAGGAATACCAAGTTACTCCAGGGTGGCCTGTGGCTCTGAAGCGAACCCGCCCGATGCGATGCTCTTGCCGTTGGGCGCCATGTTACCGTACGGGTGCCTGGTCCCGGAGCACCAAAGCTTTATGGATACCACGAACCCCTCAGTTAACCCCTTCACTGGTAGTATTGTTGGAAGCCAATCAATATTGAACGCATCACTGTCACGATAATTCATTCAAAACTTCCCCCCAAACCAGTTCCCGCTTCCCCCTGCCCTCGCGTGCCGCATGTCCCTTAGGGCACCTCGACCACCCTCCTGACTCCCATCAGGCTGTCATGCGTAGGGACACAACATTACGACAGCTTACGGGTACGAGTAAAGCGAGTGCCGTGCCGTTGTTCTCCTCGCCATCTGTTTTGAAAAGTGTAGTTGCGATTCAATCCATAATTGGTCTCCTCATGATTTGCTTTGTTAGCACTTAGCGGCACCCGACAAACAGTATCTAATCCCCCAGACACTATCGTGGCTCCTCCTGTGTCGGTACCTCAACTGCCTCCCGGCCCCCCTCCTGACCAGCTACAGCATCCCCAACCATTACACCCCTTTCCCTCACTCTACTCACAATCTCACACAAAAAAGCATGTTCCGCTCACCCCACAGCTCACATCCCCGGGTATTACTCACGGCACGCCAACCACCTGCTTCCTCTACCGCGTGCCCTCCTCCCCGTCCTCAGCCTAACCACATAGGGGGGGGATCTCCCTTTCGGCTCCCCTCTCCTCCGTCCGCTATCTCCGCCGTCCATTACGCCGTCGCCCCCGCCGCACATGCACTGCCGCTGCCCCTCCCCTCCCCCCGTCACAAGAAGCGACACCGCCGCAACCGCGGGGCCTAGAGCCCTGGCCCCCCTCTCAAGCATCACTAAGTGCGCTCTCCTGCTTCTGCTCCTCCCCTCCTCCCTCCCTTTCTCCTCCCATCCTCACGGCGAGGCGGCGGCGGCAGTGGCGGCTGCAGGTGCGGCAGGTGGTGTGCTGGCGCCCCCCGCCGCCCCCTCCTCCCTGCGGTACAGCGTGATCTCCTGCTGCTTGAAGTAGCGCCGGTCCTCCTCGTCCACCAGCACCAGGTTCAGGAAGTAGCGCACGCTGAACCTGGCAGGAGGAGAAGGGGGGGTGGGGGGGGAAGGGAGGGAAGTAAGGGAAACGAGGGAGGGGGGGAGGCGGGGGGTGGGGTTGACACATATGAGTGTCGTACACTCCCTGTGGTGGGTGGGGGCGGTGTGGAAGAGGGGGAGAGGAGGGGAACGAGGGGCGGGGTGGTGCACGCTGAACCGGTTTCACAGGTCGCCTCATCACGGGGCAGGCCACCCGAGCGAGAAGGGGGCGGGAAGGGCAGGAAGGCGCATGTCAACGAGGGAGGGGCAGGCCACCCGACTAGTCAGTTACCCCGGGCCTCCTCCAAGCGCCTGACACACCCGAAGTCCCGATGGACACCCCCCTCACTCCTCCTTTCCTCACCCCACCTTCCCTCACCCCTCCTTTCCTCACCCCACCTTCCCTCACCCCTCCTTCCCTCACCCCTCCTTCAGTCCCTTACCGCCCTTCCGACTCGCCCGAGTATCCAATCCGTTGTGCAGTTTCCGTTGGGTCCCCCCTCCCTAATCCGCAAGGACACTCTATCTCGCATGCCCTTCCGAACCTCCCTTCTCTCTTCCCTCTCTTACGCCCTCCCCGAACCTACTTTTCCCCTTTTCCCTTCTTTCCCCCCCTCCCCGGACTAGTCATGGCGGGGTGGGATGGGCCGGGTCCAATGTAGCAACCCATGCTGATATTGGTGAAGCCTCGCCAAACAGCTCGTCAGCTTCCTCTTTTTACTCCCCCCCCTCCAATTCCGTCCAGCTCACTTGTTGTGCACTTCTCGGTAGGTGGGGGACAGGTCGAAGGGAGCGAGGTAGAGCCTGGGGGCAGGGGCGGGGAGACCCGAGCGGAGGCGGGTTGGGGTCCAAGGAGAAGCGTAAGACTAGATGTGCATGGGATGTGCATGGGGGTGAGGTTGCGGGTTGTGACCCTTGTGAGGCTTTAGCGGAACTTTCTACGTCTCCAAAGCGCCCTCCCTCCCCCATCCCCTCCTTCCACCCTCTCGTGGTCCTCCTCCTTCCCCCCTTCCCGCCCGCCCTCTCACCGGATGGGGATGCTCTCCGCACGCACGGGCGCCCCGTCCATGATCTCATACCTGGTGACAAGGAGGAGGGGGAAGGGGTGAAGAGGTGTGGGGCAAAGAGGGAGTAGAGGGGGACCTAGCGGGCGGAAGTGATGTGGGAGGTGGGGTAGCCGAGGGTGGGTGCTAGAGGAGGCGGAGGACACACGGCAGCCCACAGCCCTCACTTGCAACCCTTGCAAGGAGCGCCGTCTTCCGTCATGAACCCGAATCTTAATAGCAAGATGCCCTTGCAGCAATCTTCATGCAAGAGCCCCCTCAAGCACCCAAACCCGCACAGGACCGCACGGAACCACACAAAAGCGCAGACGCGGAAATGAGACCCGCCCGCCCACCCACTTTGCAATGGTGTCGTTCTCGTTGTGTGCCGTGGTGCCCGACCCCGTGGTCTCCTTGCGCCGTATCTCGATCTCCATGTACTTGAGCTTGATGCGCACCAGCAGGAAGTAGATCTTGCCAACCACAACGTCCTGGCAGAGGGGGGTTGGGGTTGGGGTTAGGGGTTGGGGTTGGGGGAAAGCAATGGGACATGGAAGGCGGGAGAGAGGGGTGTTAGGACATGTTGGAGTGGGGCAGTGAAGGGCCGAAGGGGCTGGGAGAGAGTAGCGAAAGTTCAGGCTGGGAGAGGGCAGAAGGGTTAAGGTGGTGGCGGGAGGCTCACGCCTGCACACCAGCCCACGGAACGGAACGGAACGGAAGGGAGAGGTTACAACATACAAGCGCACTAGCAGCAGGCGAATTCACACGTGCTTGCTGGCGCACTGCCAACAAGCACGTCGTCTTGGGAGGGGGAGGTGCGAAGGATGACACAGCCGGCGGTGATGGGCCCCCCAATCCCTTTGCACCTCACTTCGCTGCACCTCCCTCGACCCCCGCCCCTTTCCTCCGCTGGCCCCCTCTCCACTATCACACCACACATTGAATGTTCTTCTTCTTCCCTCCGCTGCCCCCCTCTCACCCGCAAGTGGTACTTGGCTTTGTCGTACTCGAACTCGATGTGCAGGCAGTCCTCGATACCCACCTCCATCTGGGGTGGGGGGAGAGTGGGGGGGCGCCGGGGGGGATGTTTAAAGGTGGCTTGATGGGGGGGGCAATGTTAACTTTCGTATGCAGGCAGGAGGTAAGAGAAGAAACACACAACAATTTCAACCTGCAAAGGTAGGCAAAAATCCCCACCACCATCTAGACGCCAAGAGGGTCAAGCAGACGTGGAGGAGGTACGCGTCCAAACAGGCCCCGATACATTGAACCCGGCAACAGACCCACCTCACCTCACCCTTCTCTGGGACTGTTGCCTCGTGTAGTTGCCTCGCACCCTAACCCCCTTCCGTGCCTTGATGGCTGCTAAACCGTAGCCCCACCAGAAACACAGACCCGCGGGTCACCCGTCCCCTCCCCCCTCCGCACCTTGATGGGTGCGGTGGCCTCGTGCAGCTTCTCGTAGTTGCGCACCCACAGCGGGAAGTCGCGCTTGGAGTCGGGCGACATGCGCGACCCCAGCACAGTGACACGCAGGAAGTACCTGGGCGGGCGGGCGGGGGGTGGGTCGGAGGGGAAAAAGAAATTCCAATGTGGGGTCGGAGGGGAGGAGGGGGGGGCGGAAAGAAGGATACCCAATGTGTTCGGGGGAGCCGTATCGGGGATTGCAGATGTCAGGAGTAAAGCTGCCGCCACATGCTGCCGACTCCCTTGAGACATTCATTACCATCGGCACGGCCGCCCAACCCATCGTGCCAACCCTAACCCATGGGACTGGGTTCCGCCTTGCCAACACAGGCGCCACAGCTGCTTCCTTTGCCATAAACAAACTCCCTGCTTGACGGCAAACCCACAACCAGTTCCACCTGAGCATGTGCCCTGCCGTACACCACATAGAGCACCCGTGCAGTGCTGGCCCGCAGCAGAAGGGCTATCTTGCCGCGAGGCGGCCCCACCGGCCCCACACGAAACCCCGTGTTCCTCGCCGCATCATCCCTCCCATTCTCCTACGCATGTTATCCGCGCCTCGGCCTCCCTTAGCCCCCCTCCCCATATTCCCAAACCTAACCCAGCTGCAGTACTGCACCCCACCCCGTCCCCCACACCTGCATCGTACTTGCTGCCCCCGGTACGAGTCGTACTGCAACTCCACATTTCGGAATTCAAACGGGTAGGTTTTTGAAGTCGTCAGGTCGCCGCTGGGCGACAGCTCCCGCGCTGTACGGACATGTGTGTTGTACGGCATGGTGCGTGTACGGCAAATCGGGGAAAGGGAGGGAGGGTTTAGGGAGGCTGGGCAGGGGGCGGTAGCGGAAGGTGGCATGATCCTGCCTGTTTGCTCATGGGAATAAGAGCAATGTACGCTGCATATGTGAGAACTATGGGCTTGTGCGGGAGGAGCACTCTTCGTACATATAGCCCTTGTACGAATAGCCCTAACGCGCGTACCGTGACAAACGCTGAGACGCCCCAACCGGTCACCTATCCCCAACCCACAAACACCGGAGCCCATATTAATGCCCGCCATGGCCCCCATTCCAAACGATAAGTGAGCCACTATGGCCTATGTCGGAAAGAACAAGGCGCCCATGGTAAGGGCAGCCTCCGTGCGTGCTCCTTTGCCATGTGTCGGGGAATGGAGGGGATGATGCCCCCGGCGCTTACAGAGGCTGACGAAGTCATGGGGCTGCCCGCGCTCCGAGAGGAGCTCAATCTGTCCTATGAGCTGCACCCGAATGCCCTGGTGCTCAAACTTCTTCGTTGTGAGCGGTGTCACGCGGATCTGCTCGAGGCCATGGATAGGGGTTAGCTGAGAAACAAGCGTAACAGTAAGAGAGAGATTAAGGTAATACCTACCTCCCCAAGAATGTCGTCCTTGTTAGTGTACAAAGGCAGGTCCTCCGTTTCGCCATTCTTGGTCTTAACAGGCACCGTCTTCTTATAGGGCTGCCCCCGATCAGTTTTAAATTCGAGATCAATGCGGCTGGTAGCCCCTTGTACTAGTCCTAGGATGTTCTTCTGCGTGTTCGCAGGCGCGCGACAGCGGTGTCAGAATGCAAGTGCATTAGTCCAGATGCAGCCCGTCAAGCGATCGCGCACCATGGTATTTGTTTTCAATAGTACTATTGATGGTGGCCTTGCAGCTATCGTAAGCAGTTAGCGTTGATCATGTGCACAGTCGAGGTTCAAGAAGTTGGGCAGTCAGGCGATGCACAATACAGATAAAAAGGAGACGTTCGTTGCCAGGTGATTCTTTGCGCCAAACCAACTGGACGCCTCGTCTGCGTACGCAACCCGTTGGTTGATGGGAGCCGGTTCCGTACCTTTCTACTAACGAATGCTTGCTTCGTCAGACCAGAATCCCAATGCGATTGATAGAAGTTGCATAAGCAGCTTCCCTTTGCGGTGTTTGCCCTAGTATTATGAAAGCATGAAGCTCCATCTTACACCATAAGGCTAAGCACACTAGGCCCTTCGCGAAGTCGGAAACTTCTCAATCATAGAAGCTTTAATAAAATAGCAGGGCAGTATGGCATCCTTGGCGACGATATGCATGCAGCTGGCTGTTGTGGCGACAGCCATCAAGTTGCTGTTAGTGCCTGCTTATCGCTCCACAGACTTTGAAGTCCACCGCAACTGGCTAGCAATCACGCACAGCCTCCCGATTTCCAAATGGTAGGCTGCAATACCGGCTTGGCCACTTTGTGCTTGTTGCCACCGAACAGCAGTGCAGCCAGAATGGTGAAACACTTCTGCTCTGGTCAGGTACGTGGAGGCAACGTCGGAGTGGACTCTGGACTATCCGCCTCTGTTCGCCTGGTTTGAGTGGCTGCTCTCTCAGCTGGCGAAGCTGGTGGATCCAGCCATGCTTGTCGTACAAAACCTGGAGTACGACAGCCCTGGCACGGTCCTCTTCCAGGTGTGTGTTAAAAACAGCCCTCACATCTACTGTAAAGGTCCGTCGCCTGTCCGTACATACCACTAAGAGTTGTTTTCCCTAACCTGACCTCGAAACCATTGGCAAACCATGTCGCCATGTCCTGCCTACATGCTGGTGTAGTTCTGCCCTTTTCTCTCCCAGCCTTGTGACACACCCGTCACTCATGCACACCTCCTTCAAAACTAGGTCGCACCTATCGACCCATCAGCAACCCCGTGTTTGCTTATGCTGCATGATACCCTTCCGTGCCTCCTTTCCTTCATCTCCTCAACCCGCTCCGTCCCTTTCCCGGCCTTCCTCCTCCCCTGCTCCCCCATTCTCATTCAACACATTGGGTATCCTTCTCCTTCCCCTCCTCCCCAAACCTTCCCCCCCAGCGCGGTACAGTCATCGCAACAGATGTCGTACTGCTGACTGCGGTGTACGCGCTAGCCAGGTGAAGCATGGAGGGCGGCACCACACCTTCCCACCTCCGCACCTCGGTTGCGTGCTTCTAGGAGAGTGTCTCCGAATGCGCTCACTGCATGAGTCGGGATATGGGATTGGGACCCGTCGTTTCACTTATTTAATTTTTTCCGCCCCTCGGTTGCCTTGGCTTTTGGCTAGCATGGGTCGGGCTCAGACGGCTTTAGCAGGCTGGTGCGCCCAGTCGTACCTCTTGTTTGTTTTTGTTTCTACCCACCACCGCCTGACCGCGTGGGCAACCCGGAGTGCCGTATTGGCGGCGGGCGAGGGAGGAGGAAGCAGGGTAATAGGGAAGCGTGGAAATAGGGGGGACAAAGGGGGAAGGGAATGGGACGAGAAGGCAGCTTCCCTGCACACGCAGCACTCTACTGCCTCCTTCCCTCACACCCGCACCCTGCTTCCCCGCTGTCGCAGGCTGCTGTCCAAGCCCCCTGCTGCACCCGCTGCCGCCTCCCCCTCCCCTCCCTCCACTCCCTCCCCTCCCTCCTGCGACCCGGCGGGTGTAGTGTTGTTCCTGCTGGTGGGGGGCAACGCGGGGCTGCTGCTGCTGGACCACGTGCACTTCCAGTACAACGGAGTTATGATGGGTGGGTGGGTGGGTGGGTGGCATCGGGTTGCTGCTGGATTGGGATGTGCATTTGTGGTATTGTTGCAGCGGAGTCATGATGGGTGGGCACTGGGTTGAGAGCATGAGAGGGAAAGGGTTGGGGGACCTGGGGAAATGGGGGTTGGAGCATGACGGCACGATCGAACCTAATCTTTAAATCTCTCTCCGCGCCTACTCTTTCTTTACAGGTGTACTGTACTGCTGCTGCGGTTGTCACCTCCTTTCCTCCCCTTGCCCTATACCCTTCCTCGTTGCCACGCCCTTGCCTCCCTTCCCCCCCTCCTCACTCCATTATCGTCAGTTTTTCCTTGATTTTCCCCTCCCTCCTCCCTCTCCACAGGCATCCTGCTCTGGTCCCTGTACGCCGCCCTCACCGGCCGCCACCTCCTCTCCGGCCTCCTCTTCGCGCTCCTGCTCAACATGAAACACCTCTTCCTCTACGCAGCGCCCGCCTACTTCGTCTACCTCCTCCGACACTACTGCTTTACTTGTACGGCAGGCGATTGCAGCTTCAGAGGCAGCAGTAGTGACGTCAGCAGCCGCAACACGGGCAGCAATGGCGTTTCTTGTCGTACACGTTTGCGATCTGCCGTACAGCGGTTGGCGGTTCTGGGCGGTGTCGTAATTGCGGTCTTTGCGGTCTCGTTGGGCCCTTTTGTAGCTCTGGGGCAGACGCAGCAGGTATGAAAAGAGGATGGAGTTTGTTAAACCAATTAAGCCGGGGATTGCATTCTGGGAGGTGGGAGAGGGAACGGTTAGTACCGTAGTTAATCCTCTGTTTCTCGTTCTCTCTCCACCCTTGAGTGTACCTTCCACATTTCCGCTCTTCCACATCCTAGTCGCATGGTTGGTCCTTCCTCTTCACCCCACCTACCTCCCTCCTCAGCTGCTCCGCCGGCTGTTCCCCTTCGGTCGGGGCCTGCTGCACGCCTACTGGGCGGCTAACGCCTGGGCGCCGTACGCGGCAGCAGACAAGGTGTTGGCTGTCGTACTGCCGCGGCTGCTGCCCAGGCTGCAGGCGTTACTGCCGGGGTTGCTGGGGGGCGGCAATGGGGTCGTTCAGAGGCTGCTGCTGATGTTGCAGAAGGAGTCAGGGGCGGCAAACATGGCAGGTGTGTTGGGTTGGAGGCGGGGCTGCAGGCGTTGTGCAACCTCTTCATCCCTTGTAGCCCACATCCCTTGTGTCCCTCGTTTTCTGTTTTCCTAATTACTCATTACCTGCATTCTCTTGCCGTGTGCCTCCGCAGGCGGCCGAGTGGGGGTGTCGTACTTCTCAGTGCTGCCCCAGGTGGGTTCGGGAGGAGAGGGAGGTGGGGGGAGGGAGGAAGAAATACCGTATTGCCCTTTACTTAATCGACAAAGATAAAATGTTTTGCGTTTTAATAGTTGGGGCTACGCGGGTTTTCGGCCTTGTCAAATGGGACTAAACATTCGCAGGCAAGGTGCCCATTGGGGGCTTAAAATCCGGGGTCCCAGGATCCTCACCAGACCATGCCCTAACGGCGGCTTTTGGGGCGTTTGGCGCATGTCAATTGGGGCTAGAAATACACCAGAAGGTCAAATGGGGCAGGAATAACTCCGTGGGGCTGAAAAAAGATGTGGGCTATACGGTACGAGTGGGAGGAAAACACTGGATAGGAGGGAAGGGGGAGGGGGTCGTTGCGGGTTCAATTGTGATGAGGGACCCGATGAGGAGCGTGAGGAGCAAGGCTACTATTGGCGGGGAAGATTTCCTCATCAAATTCATCCCGGAACCCCTCCCAGTCACTTACAGCACGGTATTTTCTTCTCCCCCGTCACTCAGTCACACACAGATCAACCTGGCTAGGCTGTTTTCCTGTTGAAAACACACTGTTGCGCCACATACTAGCTACGCCAGTTGCAGCGTCAGCCAGCATTTAGCCGTACTGTTGGCGTTACTCCCTGCCACGAATATTAACATCCCTAACATCTTGACAATTTTGCTGTCGTACACTACCTCGTTTCGTACCATGTCGTGCATGTAGATCACGCCGGCTGCAACCGCCATAGCCGTACTGTTGGCGTTGCTTCCATGCCTGGTGGCATTGTGGAGGGGCGCTGGTGACGGCTGCCCATCTTCCTCTTCCTCATCCACTAACCCTAGCTGCAGCAGCAAGAAAGGTGGCAGCAGCAACAGCTACATCTTCCATAACCTCGTACGAGCTGTGTCGTACAGTTACCTCTGCGGCTTTGTGTTTGGATACCACGTGCATGAGAAGGCGGTCCTTGTGGTGAGTGTGGGAGCGTATACAGGGATAGCATTTACTGGTGGGATAAACACGTGTATCTATCGGCAAGCAGGGGCACAGGGGGAAACAGCCCCGATGGCCCTTACCCATCCCCCCTGCGACGTAATGTATGCCCCTGCGCGTGGCGTGGCATGGCGTAGCACCGTCTATTGGTGCCGTACACACCCCCTTCGCCTCCAAACACAGGCACTGCTGCCGCTAGCAATCGACGCCGTACGGTCGCGCACTGCCGCTCGTCGCTTCCTAATCCTCTCCTCCGCCGGACACTACGGCTTGCTACCGCTGCTGTACCGGCCTCAAGAGTACGGAGTTAAGATCCTGCTAGTGCTGTCGCACTTTGTTCTGTCCGTACTGGCATTGAACAAGCTGTACGACCATGAATCAGCTGGGGGTCAGACGGCTTCACTACAAGATCGGCGGCAACAACAGCAAGGGCAGCAACGGGAGAAATCGTCGCGGTCGGGAGCGCCCCTAACACGCCAAGGGTCCGTTTTAGGTTGGTTGTCTTGGTGTTACCTGGCCGGTTTCGTACTCCTGGAATTGTACTGCTACGTTGTACATAACCTAATTCCTTTGTTGCACGAACGGTTACCGTTCGTACCGTTGATGCTTACGTCAGTATACTGCAGTCTTGGAGTGCTGGCGGTGTGGGGGGAAATGGCGGCGGAGTGGGCGGTGCAGGCGATTGGTAAAGTGCGCGGTTGAGTGTGCTTACCTAGCTGCCCCGGATGAAAGGAAGGACCCAGGCAAGGTGGAGACGGACTGCGGGGCAATGCGGAGCGGGCTACCTTGGAGGGACAACCGCTTTACTCACTCTGTCCTGTGCGTGTAGCATTGGGGCCGGGTGTAACACAATTTTGGACCTGCTTAGCGGAACCTTTTTACATGCAGGAACACCCTGGAACACGTCTATTTTTCATGTCCCCCACCCAGGCTAAGCATCTATCCTGCAGTCACACGCCATTTACGAACGAGGCGCATGCGCTAGGAATCCCAACCCCCGATCGACTTCACTTTCTTCCCCTTTTCCAGTAGGTCCAAAACACATGTACGGTATACGCGGGTGTATGTCCTGCACCTGTACCGGGCAAAGCTGCGCATGCCCACCAACCATAGCGTACGTACGGCTAGCAAGCCAAAGTACAAGCAAAATACCGGTACACTCTTTCCTTTATACGTACGTACCTACGTACCGACCTAGTTGTGCTGTGACTGGCAATCACTATGTCGCTATAATAGGCAAAACCCTACGACGCGTTCGTTAACACGAGACGTACAACCCAAGTCCTATCAGGAATCTGGGGTTGTATCCCCTAAACTCAACATGTTGCCATCCTCAGCAGTCCGTATTCTGCGCAATAAAGGCAAAGGAAAGAACGATAACGCCCACGACGTTGAAAAAGGCGAATCCGATCGAACCAATGTCACATTATGTAAAAAATACCGAGTTTGCGGAACACAGCCAACCCGTTAGTAGTATATCACAATTTCAGTGACAGCGCGTTTTAATACGAAGCAATATAACAGGCATAAATATCCCTTACCCCCCATCCCTCCTACAACGTCATCTGAGCGAAACGAGCCTGCATGCTGCAGTGCCCTACCTACCAACCGTCGCAGCTAAACCTTACCGCCAATCTTGGTCCAAAGGAACGAAATAGAGCGAATGCGGATGTCACTGGTTCCGGCGATTGCAATCAATCGAAAACGGCCTGCATACGCGAGGTCGTTGGGGCAGGGCGTTGCGACTGCCTGATGAATTTTTCCAGATTCCAACATATTCGTAGAAAACGTACGGCCGCCGATTGTCGTATTGCGTTGTTTGTTGGTCGTTAGAACCAACTTTATGACCCCATCGCTGTCATAATACACGACACCATGTGTGATGTGCTCGCCTGGTTGGAAAACTACCGAAGAATGGTTTCCAAATGGTCTGCCATGCACCGTTGCGGTGACGTTACCAGAACCAGAGCCGTACGTAAATTGCAGGCTGTTAACCGTAGAATTTGCTGTATAGGTTAGCGCGGTAATAGTATTCTTTCCCAGTGCTGCAAATCGTAGATCATCAAACGCCGTACCATAGTCGACAACACCGTACGGGCCCATTAGGAGGTTGCAAAGACGGGGAACGGTTGGCTGTTGGGATGGTTGGCGGCGATCCTCAAGAAACATCTGGGTGTAGTTGACTAGTCTGAGGTCAACGGATCGGACCTTCTCTAAATCCGCCTCCTCTGATCTCGTGCCTGCGTCGATTGAACGAAACAGCAGGAGTTGAGAATCTCACGGTGTACTAGTTTAAGCAAAACCGCTATCGAGACAGGTATGCAACCTACCTAATTTGACCAGATGTAGAGAGCTGATAGCAGCAGCTAAATGTACGGAGATGAAAACTACCCAACCAAACAGACTTGTCATGCTTCATGCCCACCCCACATTGGAATAGCGGCATACCCCACATCTCCATACCTCGTATCGTGCTCCTAGGCCACCAATGTACACAGCTTGGAATATATATACGATGTAAGGTGAGTAATAACATACCCGTCCATTTATCTATGGAACCATGCTACCCGACCCAGCCCAACCCCGCCCCAACTTACCCAGCGGTATGCAATCCGTAGCCATGTCCCTCTTAGTGTCATTCCATATCGCCTCCAGCTCCTGCAATGCGCCGCTCCGCTGCACTTGCGACCAGGGAACCCTGGGTCCGACACCAACGGACAGACTGCCGTGGAAGCTCTGCAGTACAAGTGTAAGACAGCACGATTGTACGACACACGCTTAACGAAGTCTGAACAATTAAATCCGTCGTACCGGTATTGCTTTGCGTGCTGGCGGTACCGTAGTTCAGATGGCAGTATGCAGCGCTTATGCAGCAGTACAAAATGGCCGCGATGTCAGTTCTCACCTTGGACCAAGGCACGTAAGCGACTCTGACTGACGGGTCGACGACCACTCGCGTGGCTCCCACTCGCCGATAGTCTTGACAAAGAAGTGAGCATTCGCTGCTGTCACATTCGCCCTTCTCGCTGATACCAGACCGAAAACGTAGGCCTGATAGGTTTTTTTGCAAGGGTACAAGCGTTTAAAGACGGTGGGAAACGTTAATGCACTTCATGTATGTGCTAGATGAGCATTGCTGTACGTCGTAAGCAGTACTGTACACCTTGCGCACACAAAAGGGAGACAGGCAAGAAAATAGGGAAAAGGCGCCAACTCCCTCTTACGTGATCGCAAAGGCATCCTAGTACAACGGTAGGTACGACAAAGGCTTTCAAAAGCCAGGCACATGAATTTGTATGGCATACTTGCACTAGTACTTGCCGTTAACTAACGGTGCGGCGTTGATAATCACCGCGCCATTCCAGCAGCACTTGACTGGTACGGGCATGCCTTTGCTCAGGATGTCACGTGTCCGCCTGTCCGAAATGTAAGGAACATCACTAACGAACTGCACGCATAGGTAAGGAGGAAAAGGAGAAGTTTATTTTTTAGCAAAGTGCCATGCATATATGGAAAGGAAAGACATTCAGCAGGTATCAAACGGCAGGGACATAGACGTGAGAGGTGAAATGCTTTTAGGGCACCCTTTGGGTACGGCGCCCATAGCTATTACCGGTATTGAAAGATACCCGGCAAACCCGTCCTCTGGTATACGGAACTGATACCAAGATCGTTATAACTTTGTACAGACAAGCTCAGGACAGCTTTCAACCTGATTAAACACGTTAGCAAAATGTGCAAAATTACTAAAAAGCCAGCAAACGAAAGTTGTCCTTAGCGTGTCATACCTAGGTACATATTATCTTTACTTCGCTATTTACCTGCTTGCCGCTGATATCCCGTGATACCCAAGTGTCATAAAAGTTATACTTGATCTTCACAGGCGCGTTCCGGATTCGTCCTTCCGCCGCCATCTGCCGTACGAGCTCGTCCAAATGGACATCGGACATTTGATTTATTGAAGTGTGCAGCGTTAGATCCGCAGTGCTTGCATCTGCAGCATTGCTTGCTCCTGAAGAACTTTGCAAGCGCCGCCGTCGTCGCCGTTGATCAAAATTTCGCTGGGTAATACCAGACATGTGGCCCTTCTTGTGTCCAACCCACACCTGCAAAGAATATCCAGAGATACGCACGATAATTAATTTTGTCAGGATTTCCGTCGTTGTTTAGAGGAGGCTGTGTTTTAGTAAGCTCCTGAGGGAGGCAGCTCATTCAGTAAAGCGCAAAGCTCTTAATATTCTGGTAGTGGCTTCGTGCCCCATCCGTCCGTCCTCAGCAATGCCTTGTCCCCTAAAGGCATTCACACGCAAGGCTCGTCGCCTGTTACAGTAAGAGCTCTTATTAGTTATTCTTAACAACTAATGTGGAATTACCTCGAAATCAAGCCCACAAGCGATGTCTGCTTTCAGATGAGTAAGACGGAATAGGTCCGCAGCGCAAAAGAACACTGCATGGCGGGCAAAAAAAGGAAGGTACACAGGGGTAATGTTTGCGCCGTCGGCCGAAAACGTTGATCAGCTAGTTTATTAGGGCCGTACACGACCTAGGCCACCATACACGGTTTGCCTGACACGGTTCGTGCTTTCCGAATGCAATCATCGAAGCCCACAAACAGGTATCATGACAGGTTCGAAGCGAAAAGTAAATCCTGGTGGATGTTAACGATGGAGGAATTTAGTAATCACGCACAAATGTCTACGTACAGACGCCTGCAGATTTTTTCCCTGATACTTTTGTTCCTTACCATCGTTGACGAAGACGACGTTGTCGTACGTTCCAGGTGGAGCGCCGTACAACGGTTCCAGAGCAGCATTCCGTACAGAAGCCAAGAACTGCGGGACAGAACGGCATACATACAGGTGAATTGTTGCGGCCGTGGTTTACATGTCAGTTTGTGGGGTTATGTTTAACACATTGCACTCATGGTATGTCCGGCTTGTACCATGCTTTCCCGTACGTACAACAAGGAAGGCTTCTTTGAAGCTTCTTCGACACTTCAAACGGGCGGAGAGAATAGGAACATCTGATGACCACCGGAAGACCATGTGACACAACCTGGCACCACCTGAGCTGACAGGCCAGCCTAGTTTGTGTGTCCTGCCGTGATGGAAGGCCGACCACAGGGTGGGCATCAACCCCTCAGAGCCGGGCTCCCCAAAAATGGATACTTATCAACACTTTGCGAGCCCTGCTACGAACTTGCCATTGGCTCCCAGCCCACGTGACCTCAATGGAAGGGTGTCTGGCGCACCTGTATACGGTGTTGCTTGTGGTACTTGCCGGAGAATGGGTCAGTAACCATCTGGCGTGTCAGAGAGCCGTTGACAACGACGAACGTCCGCATCCCAGCTGCGCCCCAGAGTTGCTCCGCTACAAGTAACCAAGGAACGGTGTTGTCCTTGCTGCCGCTTTCGTAGACAGATATGTGTGGTAGGTAGCCGTCTGCTGATGCTGAACCTTGGGCGTTGGCCACGTTTTGGGAGAATCCAGCTAAGACCATGCTGTTACCACTTAACAGCAATCCAAGGCGAAGCACCTCCAGGATCCAGTACTGCAGGTAAGCAGCAAGCAGTCGTCAGCTACTCGTTAGCTCAATGAAAGTGGCCGTACGTTGGCAGTTAGTGCTGTAGTAGGCCGCAAAGAGAACCCGGCGACCCCAAGCCTACCGGCATAATTGCTTCGCAATTGACCAGATTTGCAGCTATAAGGTATTTGTAGGGCCCTGCTGTCGTAGTCGGTATGCCAGGTCGGTCGAGGCATGGCGGGGCAATTGCAAATGACCGTATACGCGCCAACAGGTCTATCGCGGCCGGGAGGTAAGCGCGTGCGCGTTCTGGAACTTGATGTAGAGTGTGGTCAGTGTGGGCGAGCTGGATTGGAGGTAGGGTGGCAACCGCTGCTGCAATTGCTGAGGCTACCGCTTTCGATGCGCCGTCTGACTTTGTTCCTTCATCCCTAAGCGCTCTGGCGCAACGAAGTAAGTCGTAAACGTCTTCATTTGTAGCAGTGTCATGCCCAGATGGTATGAAGAACGACACGCCTTCGTCGTCGCCTACTTCTGCCGATGCTTGCCGGAGGTTGCTTAGTGCCGCTAAGGCTAAGAATATGCCTAGTAAAGAGGATGTCAACCTCATTTGTACGTAGACTGAAACTGCTTTATGGGTTGGGTTAGGGTGCCGACTGTATGTGCAACGCGCGAATAGTGCCCTTCCTGGAGGCAGGGCCTCTTGTTACTGCGCTCGCAAAGCCTCGCCACATACATAGCGCCTGAAGTTGGGTCTTCTTCAATATTCCTTACGCTTCACAACCCAATGCGAGTGTCACGGCGTAGGTAGGCGGAGACCAGACGTCGACTACAACGCCAGCAGTTATTACCGGAAACGTTTTAATGAGACCCTTGCTATGGCACATTTCACCTGCGCTTATGCTATACTTTCATGATCCTGCTGTGCAACTCGTAGGACAACGTGGGGCAGAAGCTCCATATTGTACGCGGCAGGGACGGCGAAAGCTTCGCCTTAGTGCTTAAACCGCTCCAACAGCGTTAAGTACAGGCAGACAAGTGTAGGTTTGAACACACTTTTGCCCAAAGTGGACTGTTGTTGACTTGCTTTATCGAGGCACTTGCTTAAACCCTAAACCCTAAACCCCTAAAATCCAGTGGAAAGACCCTCTCGTATGTTGAGCCACTTTCCCACTTATGTTTTGGGGCTTTCGTACGCAGCGGAACTCTTCATTTGTTCTCTTAGATTGATAGATAGGATCCTCTATATATAACTAACAACTGTGTCGCTAGGAGAGTACTAGTAAACATTATGACCAGAAGGATTTGGAATCCAGTATTCGGCTGCTAAACTTGCGCCAGTGAGGGGAAGAAAACCACCCGTTTCCTTTGTGGTGTATCCGAAATTCGTTGGTGCTGTGGCGCAGCTATCTCAGGGACCCAGGCCCCAGCGGCTACAAAGTACAAACGCGTTTGCTGCTCTTTGGACGGTTCGCCTCGGTTGCAAAATCGGACACTCCCGCCCCCCCGCCCTTACACTGGACATAAGCATATTGAGTGGCGCCGGCTGTGCGGCGTCTGCTTGCACTTTGGCAAATGGGTCCCGACCATCGTCGCCAACATTGCAGCCCCCAAGCCAACAGTTCCTTCAGGAGAGTACTCCTATAGACAAGGATATGAGAGCTGCTGTACTGCAGGTGATTTTGTGACCCACGACTATAGTCGTCAAGAGTTAGGGTGCATCCTAAACTTCACTTGTATGCTGCTATGCGTCAACCTCACAACATATTTAACACACCTTGAACAGTCGGCATGCATATGGGCAAGGAAAGCATGCATAGTTGGAAAAGCGAAGCAAGTTTGTTGTTCGTTAGTGTCTGGGAAAAGCATTGCGGACACACGCGGCCATGATGGCCATTTTTATGAGAAGCGCTCCAATAAAGAACAGTAACCAGTATATAATGACCTGTGCAAGAGGAGATGCGCGCTAACAACACGCGTGCAACCCTTCATGTCTGGGAAAAGGGTGCGAAGATTAAACCCTGTTGCAAGGCCTGCTCTTTATAACTGCCATAACTGCCCACAAGCCGTTATTTGCTGTCTTCGAAGCAAATGCCAATTACCTAGATGCTCGCAATGGAGAAAAGAGCAGCAACAGTTGCTCTTGTGCCTTGCGCCGGTTGTTGACGCACCTGGGCCGGAAAGCGGTAATCGCAACGTGCTCTCCCGTGGGAGACCCCGCCATGTGTAGATGTGCACGGTTGATGGATGGGCACCCGTTGCTGCTGCCTATCAAAAAGCGAACAGCATTGATTGCACATGCACAATGCGGCTGTCCTTGATGCACATGGGCCGTAAAGCGGTAATTGCAACGTGCGCTACCGTGGGAGACCCTGCCACGTGTTCCTAGGGCTTTTGCAAAGGGTTTACGAACCTGTACAACACCTGCACAACCCCCGCTTGTAACGTTGTGCGCACTGCCTAAAGGGCACACACAGCAGACGTTAATGAAAATGCGACGATGACGAGAGAAGCCGACTAAGGAGCGAAGTCAGGACTTGGTGGCTAGAAGTACCCAACATAGGTTTGCAGCCTCCGTGCTAACAAAACTTTGCGGGTTACGGCGGTGTGCTGCTGTGCGCCCGCCGAACGAACAACAACATGTAAGCCACATTACACGGCAACCTGCACCCTGACACCATTTCTCCACCAACGTGCGAGTCCCCTACGTCTGGGGAAAAGAAGGAAAGACCCCCCGAATACACCCAGGATTAGTCGAGGGGGAGGGGTCCGCTGTAGGTCACACGTCATTACGGCTCCGTGGTTAAGTGGCTCAATTGCATGGTTCGAGACGCGGAATGCATATTTAGCCCGTTAGGAGGAATAGCGTCATTGTACGGCAGAGCTCATAAGCATTTGACGCGGCCCGAGCGCCTGGCAATGAAAATGCGGGTGCATTAGGTACGGAACGTGATCACCTGTGGTAAGCACAAAATCGCTGCACCGAAGGACGCTGGAAGACGGAGGGACCACGCTAGCTCGCGTTAGTGTACGTCAGAGCTCGTAAACTTTTAACACGGCCAAGGCGCCTGGCATGGAATGTGCGGGTGCAATAGGCACGGAAGCTGATCATCGATGTTCAGGGCGAAACCGCAGCGCGGAAGGATGCAGGAAGACGGAGAGACCGTACTAACTGCAGATTGGACGGAGGAATACGGAGGGACCGCAATTGTGTGAGACGCCGCTGTGTTGTAAACGGGCCGCAGCGGCAGAAAACGCATGAAGAAAACGGCGGTGAAGAACATAAGCTAATTGTGCGTAGGAAAAGAGGCGATGCCACAAGTGCAAAGCGGTTATACAACCAACTGTAGCCTCAGCCCCCTGACCTCTTTCCCAACATCTGCTACCCAGATCCCTTAGCGGTACCTGTTCATTTCTTAGCAATCCATACTGGGCGAAAGCAAGAGAAGGCAGTGCTAGGTGTGCGGCACATAGTAACGGTCGATGAACTGTAGCCTGCGGCTGTCCTTTGTGACTTGTTTGTGACACGCTACCGCCTCCCATCCCCTTTGCTTTGCCCTTACTGTGGTTTCCTATGGGTTGGTATGTTGTTGATTCCCCAATCCGCTACCCGCCTGCCCTCACACAATCAAACCCTTTCCCAGAGTAGAAATGTTTACGGGCTAAATGGCCCACCAACGAATATTGAGCTAGAAGTGTGATGAATGGCGTTCATGTGATCAGACCAGGATGCGCCTCATCATCTTTAGTCATCCAATGTCCCCCACCTCCCGCCCGCCCGCCCAATCCGCGCACGGGCCCCCTCCCTCCCCCCAACTTAACCCCTCACTCCGTCCCCCCAACGCTAACCCTCACTAATTTGATTGCATCCAGCCACCACATATCCCCTTTGCGTTGCCCTTACTAAAATTTCCTATGATATGGGATATCCTTTAACCCCACCCGCTACCCACCAACGAAAATTGAGGTAGAAGTGTGATGAATGGCGCTCATGTGACCAGACCAGGAGGCGCCTCATCATCTTTAGTCATCCAATGTACCCCACCTCCATTCCCCCCCCGCCCAATCCGCGCTGTGCGTGAGAGGCCGTGCAGACCAGCCCCTCCCCTAACCGTAGGTGGCAGCACGATGACTTGATGCGTTTTCGGGTGTACTAGAAGCACGGGGACGGTGAAAAATGAGGCCCTTCCCCTACCACAGCCATGATGGAGACCCCCATGCCCCCAAACCGGTACCCTTCCTAGTAGTGCAAATGCCCCCGCTAGCCGGTGAGCTAGTATAGCTGACAAGGCGACCCAACCGTAGGTGGCAGTACCCCTCGCTCCCCCCAACGCTAACCCTCACTAATTTTATTGCAACCAGCCACCACATATCCCCTTTGTGTTGCCCTTACTAAAACATCCTATGGTTTGGGATATCCTTAAATCCCCCCCGCTACCCGCCTGCACTCCCCTAACCCTCCCAAGAGTAGTAATTATCAAGAAAAAAATGAAATATCTCACCCGTCCAGGTGCCTCACCATCCTCCGGCTCAACAAAAACCCTAGCCATCCAGTGTCCCCCGCCCCCCTCCCCCTCCCCCGGCCCCCTAGCCCACCAATCACTAGGAACAAAATTAGCCCTCTGACTTTTGGTGTTGTCTAGGTTGACCGGAGCGAAAAAATGCCAAAAGCTCACCAAATGAATACCTGCTTTTGCCCATGAGTAGGTATAGTGACAAGTAGTAATGGGTTGCCATTACTCTAAGCTCTGCGACATCTGAGCGCTTGGACGGTCCTACCGTTCGTAGTCAATGCCGTACAAGAGCCGGTGCAAGAGGCCGGACCCCCCCAGTGCGGCCCCCATGCATTCGCAACACAGGAGGTATAATGCAATCCTAATAATATATTCTATGGGGCAATGTCGTGACGAGCTATGGGCAGTATATTTCTGGTCTGCATGGCGCGCGGCTAGGATGTGAGAGGAGTCGACGTGCCTACAAACACCGTATCCTGCTTTACGAAAATCCTCAGGGCTGACTTTAATCACGCCATGCAGCGGCTTTTTGTTTGAGCCTGATATCGGCATTGCAAGCAGGGATGCTGACACGAGCGCACTACCAGAAACTGCCATCCTGATAAGCCGGGAACTATTGCTCATGACAAGGCAGACACTTCTGTGACAGGGGTATGGTGTGCAGAGTTTGTCCAATTTTGGGAGGATGTCCATTCCGTTCACCTGCACTCTCGGCCACGCCATTCCCATGTAGCTCACTTGCATGGACCATCCTTGCAACAGTAATTACACATGACAGTGCCCTTTATGAATACCGGGGCGGCACTGGCCGCGAAGCAATTAATCCAACAAGACGGGGTTCGACAAGGGTACCACCCCTTTCACCGGCATTTTTGCTCCTAGTGAATGAATATTGACCTCAAAGTGCGGTGGTGCCGTCCATGTGACCAGACCAGGAGGCGCCAAATCATAATCCGGCTCACCAATAACCATAGCCATCCAACGTCCACCATACCCCTTCCCCCCCGCCCAATCCGTCAGTCTTCCTTAATTTTACTATCCCCCGCCCAATCCGCGCTGTGCGTGAGAGGCCGTGCAGGCCAGCCCCCCACCCCCTAACCGTAGGTGGCAGCACGATTACGTGACGCGTTTTAGGGTATACAAGAAGCACGGGAGGGTGAAAGGAAAGTGAGGCCCCTTCCCCTGCCACAGCCATGATGAGGACCCCTGTACCCCCGAACCGGTACCCTTCCTTGGCGTTCATGTTATCCGTCCAGGTGCCTCACCTCCGGCTCATCAATAACCATAGCCGTCCAGTGTCCCCCACCCCCCCCCCCCCCCCCCTAGCGACCCGGTTTGTTCCGTTTCTTTTGCAATGTAGGGTTGGGTTCATCACCCGTGTTCCCTTTTAGGGCACCATTGTAACGGTCATACATTCATTTATTCCCCCACCACCACTACCTGCGCTGTGCTCGAGCGGCCATGCAAGCCACGAGGCCCCCCTTGCCCCCGAAACGATACCCTTCCCAGAAGTGCAAGTCCCCCACCTAGCCGTTACTTGCTCCCCATGCCGTGGGCTAGCATAGCTGGCAAGGCATGCGCAAGCGCCCTTCTTTTCCTATCGTCATCATTGACTGCCACGTACTATGTGCTTTTACGTTTGCTTTTCACCAAACCATGATTTGCTGCAAGTAAGAGCCCGTGTCGTTGCTGTACCATACAGCTGAACAATACACCTCAAGTTGCCTAAGAAAAGAATAACGGGCCAAGGGCTAAGTTTTTATATTGTACGCTTCTTACAATACTAATTTGCAGGTTACCTCTATCTATCTCAACATTATAAAGAACTTTGCCAGCGGAAGTACAGCCAAAAGAGCTTGTACGTGATGACATTGGCTAGATCTGTGTCCATAGGGTTGTGCGTCGCACTTGAGTCGTTCAGACTCCCCTGTAATACTCGCATTCTGCAGCAGAACCTCATTTACTTGCACCACAAGGCTAGCACGCTACGGTGCCGCAGATGTGTCGCTCAGCAGTCCACTAAACACACAGCTAACCGCCCAACACCACTACCTGTACCACCTCAATAGCGTGTTTGGCAACAGCTTGGCACTCCACAAGGCTCCACCCACAAGGCTCCACCCGGTGCCCCCTCAAGAGGCCGTTCATCTAGATACCCACTACCAAGCAGGGCCCAGACATCGACCTTTAGAGGTAGGATACAACAGCCCTTGGAATAACCAATAAGAGAATAAGAACAACTGAGCACGCCGTTTCCTTGCGTACGCACTAGGACAACTGGCAATAGCACGGCAATAGGAATAATAGTCGACATCATCAGAATCCAGACAAGGAAGTGCGGGTGTTAGCAACAGCATGAGTCACTTGTCGATTAAGCCATGAAATATTGTTTTTCCTCAACTGAGCACATACCTATCCAAATCCCACAACAACAGCATAACTGAATTTCAACAATTACGAAGGTAAGCAACTGTACATGCAGTGTACATATTGAACCTTTCTTCTTGTGGGTCACTTCAGGTGCCGGCAAGCGCGCCCAAATTGTTAACTTCTTGACGCGCAATCACCAGTAACGAGCACACCTGGCAATAGGGTGTATCACACAAGCAAAACAATGAGCAAACCGCCGAGCGCAACACTTGTTCAAGCATATGTACAAATGCCTACCTTCCCCCATCCTCCCTACATACCGTTTGTGCTCCTAGGAAAACTGCTCATTGCGATAGTATATCCAGCTTAGCTGTTAAACCTCACCGCTAATCTCGGTCCAAAGGAATGATATCGATCGCAAGCAGTTGTCGCTGGTTCCGCCTATCGCTGCCAATCGAAAGCGGTCTGCACGCGCTGCTGGGTCGCTGGGATAAGGAGTTGCGACTGCCTGATGAGAGCCCGGCCAACCATACTTGTCACGATACATTAGACCACTAATTGCCGTCCTTCGTCCTCTGTTGGTGCTTAGAAGCAGCTTAATAACCGCGAACCCGTCATAATACACGACGACGTTTGTGATGTGCTCGCCAGGTTGGAAAATTACCGAAAAACGGTCACCAGCCGGCTGGCCGTGCATCTCTGCCGTGACGTTCTCAGAACCAGAGCCGTACGTAAACTGCAGGCTGTGTAATTCCATGAAGCCTGTTGTATAGGTTAGCCCGGTAATGGGTTTTTCCCCCATTGCTGCAAATTGTAGATCGTCAAATGCCGTGCCTTCGTTGACCGCACCGTACGGGCCCATTAGGAGATTGCAAGGACGGGGAACGGTTGGCTGTTGGGATGGTTGGCGGCGATCCTCAAGAAACATCTGGGTGTAGTTGACGGGTGCTAGGTCGACAGGTAGCGGCTCCACTGATCCCTTACCTGCATTAATTGCATGAAGCAGCAGGGGTTTAAGAGGGCCTCAAGGCTGCACAGGGACATTAAGTTCGGGAGAGTTTGGATGGAGATAATGCGGGGGTGACGGAGGATTAGGGATCAGTTCCGGAGGGGGAGCCTCAGAGATGGCTGCCAGTATCATCGTACCATCCCTAGCGACCCCGTATCGTGCTCCAAGGACCTCAATATACAATGCCACAGAAATAGATATCGGAGCCAGGGGGGAGTTCCGCAAACCCTCATGCTGGATTTTACTGGAAGGTACCCTCGGGCCCACCCACCCATTTTGCCGTACATGTTTCCTTGCCGTACACTGAGTTGCACCGAGACTGGCCATGCCCCAACTCTTCCTTTTGTGACCTCGCCCCCGCCCTCTATCCCTTTAGCAACACTGCCATTCGCGGCCATCCCCAGCTGGTTCAGCAGCGCTGCTGCGCCCCTGAACCGCGCCCCTGCCCCACTGCGTTAGTTCCTCGACCTGTCTACCCGATGTCCTGACACGCCCTTGGCCCCTGCCCACCGCAACATCTCCAGCACTTGCGCCTGGGCTGTACGAACCGCTGCCTTGGCCCAGCACCTTATCCCGGAAGTTCGAAATGCCAGTTTCCGGCTTTCCGGACTAGACTAAACGAATGCGCTCAGGTACTGAAGACACTCATGCTATGGCGCCGCTGACAATTCATTCTCCGAATGCCGGCCCAAGACCGGCGCTGCTGCGCGCCCAATGAATCTTCCCTACTGTAGAATGGCTTTATGTATCTGTGAGTGTAGGCAGGTTCATAGCCGCTCCTAAGGTTCAGGAAGGATGTCCTGCCATCCATCCAATGGCAAGCAATAACTCGGTTTTCTGGCCAGTAATTGATGTTATATGCATGTATATAGGCTAGTTGTACGCTTTGAGAACCTCGATTGGTTATAGTGGCTGCCGGCTCGGACACAACCACCCACCCTTGCAGTAACCAACACGGGCCCACGTGGCCCACGGCCCACACGTTATTGCGGGCCCATAACGTTTTCCGTACAACCAGGGGGGGGGTAGGAAATTTTCTTATAAACCCCGACCAGAAATTTCCAAAGACAAGGCCTCGGAGCCACCCACCCACCGCCAAGCGTGTCGTACAACTTGTAAACCATGCCAAACCGCCCGGGAAAAAAACGTTTAGGTTCCTGTGCGCAAGTTCTATTACGCCTCCTCAGTCGTGTTTCACATCCATGGGGACATGGGACATGCTGCTATGTCAGGCCTTTACTAAGGGCCGACAAGCCGCGCTCACAGCATGTGCTTTCTACGCAAGTTGTTTCTTATGAGTTTGGGAATTGGGCAGTTCCGTTTGCCTACCGTGGTTCAGAGGTGAAGTGTCATCGGACTATCAAAAGCCGAGAAGTGACCATATTGTTGATAGAGCTAGTTCTAAGTATGAGAACCGAAGAAAGGATTGCAATACAGATTTCAGAACTCTAATCCGAGGCCTGGAGAAAATTTTCCGGAGGTCCATGTAAAAACGTCGTGCCCTGAACCCACCCACCCACACCTGCCGTACAACCAACTTTGCAAGCCCATAACTTATTCCATACAACTTCCAAGCAGATTCGGAAAGCAGATTCGGAATCCCGACGCAAAGCGCCTTCAACTTGGGGGTTGGGGTCTATTTCTCCGCTTCCTACCCCCTCCCTGGTACAACTCCAAAGAAAATCTGGAAGCAGACTATTAATCCTCTCGTCAAGCTCTTGGGGTGCAAACATGTACTGCCTACCCCCCCTGTCAGCGCATACCCACTTACCTAACGCAACCCTATCATGTTTCCCATCTTAACCCAGCCCCGCCCCAACTTACCCAGCGGTATGCAATCCGTAGCCATGTCACTCTTAGTGTCATTCCATATCGCCTCCAGCTCCTGCAATGCGCCGCTCCGCTGCACTTGCGACCAGGGAACCCTGGGTCCGACGCCAACGGACAGACTGCCGTGGAAGCTCTGCAGTACATGTGTAAGACAGCACGATTGTACGACGCACGCTTAACGAAGTCTGAAATATTAAATCCATCGTATTGCTTTGCGTGCTGGCGGTACCGTAGTTCAGATGGCAGTATGCAGCGCTTATGCAGCAGTAAAATATGGCCGCCATGTCAATTCTCACCTTGGACCAAGGCACGTAAGCGACTCTGACTGACGGGTCGACGACCACTCGCGTGGCTCCCACTCGCCGATAGTCTTGACAAAGAAGTGAGCATTCGCTGCTGTCACATTCGCCATCGTTGATTAAACCGCTCCGAAAACGCAGGCCTGGTAAGGGTTTTGCAAGCGCACGCAAGCACATTACGAGGGCAGAAAAGCTTGTACATGATACTACTTTTTCAGTTGGGCGTGAAAAATGCGATAAACAACGTTGCCTTGTACGTATGCAGTTACCGTACCTTCACTTAGCCCCTTGTTTTGGAATTATTTTTCAGCTTCGCGCAGGGCCCTGTGTAATTACTTCAACTTTCGTGCAAGCAGTTTCGCGCACGCTGGTGGCACGTAGACTGTATAGTGGACTTTATACTTACGATCGCAACGATAGCAAGCAAACATGGAGCGCACGTGAAACATTCAGCCTGCATGTTATCGTAAGAAGACACAAACCCGTTCCCTTAGCGTCAAAAGCCACCTAAACCAGCTTTCCTTAGTCATCGTCCTCAAAACCCTCATCCGAGAGGCCACCCGCGCTAGTTACCTCCTAGTTACCTCCTCTTTACCCCCCCCCCCCTCTCGCTGCTCCCCGCTAGGTCTACAGAATTCATCTCACTTTCGCGCAGGCGTGGACAGAATTATTTTTTCAAATCGCGCACCCCCATGAGGAATTATTTCGAGGAATTATTCTGCGCGAAACTGCACATTTTCCTGATAATATTTCATTTTTACGCGATGATATTGTGAAGGTACCGGCGTATGCACAACACACCAGGAACGACACCAGTAACGACAATGCCATTGCTTTTAAAAAATATGAAAAAAAACCAGCGACATTGTACGGCATCCTTGCATTATTACATTACCGTTTACTAACGGTGCTGCGTTGACATCTGCCGCGCCATTCCAACAGCACTTGACTGGTACGGGCATGCCTTTGCTCAGGATGCCACGTGTCCGCTTGTCCGAAATGAAAGGAACGTCCTTTCCGAACTGCACATTGTTAGGATGAAAAGGGAAGAGTAAGAGCGAGCTATGAGCCAAGGGCCATGACTTGCACGGGTCGCATCTTGGTCAAGGCAAGGGGTAATCCCATGTAGCAAAACGTGCGACACTACAAAAATGCTATCAAACGAAATTTGTCCTTAGCGTGTGATACCTAGGTACATGTTATTTTGCTACTTACCGGCTTTCCGCTGATATCCCGTGACACCCAAGTGTCGTGAAATTCGTATCTGAGCTGCACAGGTGCACTCCGAATTCGTCCTTCCGCCGCCATCTGCCGCACGAACTCGCCAAAATGAACATTGGACATGCGGTTAAGTGAGGCGCGCAGCGTTAAGTTCCCATTCCTCGCGTCTGCTGCTGCACCTGTAGCATTATCAGTAGTTGCTCCTGAAAGACTCTGCAGGCGCCGCCGTCGTCGCCCCCATCCGGCCTTTCGTACGGTACTGTGAGACATGCGAACTATTTTTCGCCCAACCAACACCTGTAAATAGCAGGCCGGCGATAAGCACCACAACTTATTTTTGTTGGGATTTCAATTGGTGACCAGCGGTGGCTATGGTGTGGCGCGGGAGTTCAACTCAACCGGCACAGTGCAAAGCTCTTACCATTGTGGTTGTGGTTAAACATTGACTCGTGCCCCATCCGTCTATCCCTCAGCAATGCCCGGTCTGCGATGCTATTTAGTCCCCGAAGGGCCATCACATATGGGGCTCAGCATAACCTATTTTTGAGTTCAGCATTTCTACTGTTGCCATTATTGCGGGGATTGCCGTACCTCGAAATCAAGCCCGCAAGCGATGTCTGCTTTCAGATGAGTAAGACGGAATAGGTCCGCAGCGCAAAAGAACACTGCATGGCGGGCAACAAGAGTAAAGAGTCAATACAGGTAATGAATGTGCCGTTAGCAAATCACGTTATTGGGGCTGTACTGCCGCGCTTAGCCCAGGCATTCATAACCAGGGGGGTTAGGATGTGCAGAAATAGACCTTAGAACCCAACCTTAAGAATTCGGTGAGAGGATTCCAAACAGTGTTTTTAAAAGTGGTCACTAGTGACCAAGTGGTTACTCAGAAAATAATTTCCCTCCGGCGGGTGGTTACTAGGAAATTATTGGCCTACCCTGGAAGTAGCCAGGTGGTCACTGGAAAAATGGCCGCCACCCCCCGAAAATAACCACCCCTGCAAGGACAACCAGCGACTGGCCGGCCACTGTTGTTACCGAACAGCTGAGCTATGGCAAATGAAGGTGTGAACGAACTGCTGGGCTATGGCAAGTGAATTAACGGAAGAACTTTGAAGAAGCCATTGTGGATGAAGGTGATCTTAGAAGTACAGGCGCTAACTAATAAGGGCGAACGGATGGACGCACGCGGGGGGGGGCTATAACCTATAAGAAGACAAGTGAACGGCCGCGTCACAACGCAAGTTTTGCTTCTGAGCTAAGTACTACTTGGAAAGAGAAGTCGTTATCCGATAAAGATTATGTACGGGGGGTCCGGGGGCGCAGCCCCCGGAAAAATTATCTGGTGGTTACTAACATAACACCCGAAAAGGCCCAAAGTAACCACTTGGCTCCTAAATAATTACCCAGCCTAAAAAGTTTTAAAAACACTGATTCCAAATCTGCTTTCAGACTTTAAAATGGAGCTGTACGGTATGACGGTGTACGACGGTGGGTCTTTCCATATGCTTCCTAATTTTTTTCTGGCGTTGCCATACGCACCATGTAGTACACATATACGCTACCCGCATTGTAAGCAACCCGAACAAGTGTTTTCGCCTTCTGGCCTGATAACATAATATATACACCAACCGGATACTTAGTAATTATGCATGGTTGTATACTTACAGACGACTACCGGTATTATTGTATGTTCAAACTACTTGTTTACTATTTGTTCCTTACCATCGTTGACGAAGAAAATTTTGTCGTACGTTCCAGGTGGAGCGCCGTACAACGGTTCCAGAGCAGCATTCCGTACAGAAGCCGAGAACTGCGGTGAATGGTTGCATACATACAGGTGAATGGTTGCGGTGGCGGTTTGCGTGTCAGTTTGTGGGATTGGGAAATCGCTGTCCCAGCCTTCCGCGCCTTCCCTTCATTCCCCAACCTCGGTCGCAGTCAATGTGCAATGAAACAAGGATATGGTGCAGCTTCCCTTGCGTCGCCTGTATGTTGTGGTGTCCAAATCTGTTCGTCGGTACTTCTAACACCCGGAGTAGGAGGCATGACCGGCCATCCCCTCATCTGCCTTGCTCAAGCCATGCTTCTCGCCTTGCAATAGACACGTGCAACCCCGTTACGAGCCCTGCTACCATGCGCGCCCCCTCCCCCTTTAGCTCAATGTTCCCGTAGGAATGGCTCAAGGTCTGGCGCACCTGTACGGGGCGTTGCTCTTGGTACTTGCCGGAGAATGGGTCAGTTACCATTTGGCGTGTCAGAGAGCCGTTGACAACGACGAACGTCCGCATCCCAGCTGCGCCCCAGAGTTGCTCCGCAACAAGTAACCAAGGAACGGTGTTGTCCTCGCTGCCGCTTTCGTAAACAGATATGTGTGGTAGGTAGCCGTCTGCTGATGCTGAACTTTGGGCGTTGGCCACGTTTTGGGAGAGTCCAGCTAAGACCATGCTGTTACCACTCAACAGCAATCCAAGGCGAAGCACCTCGAGGATCCAGTACTGCAGGTAAGCAGCAAGCAGTCGTCAGCTACTCGTTAGCTCAATGAAAGTGGTCGTACGTTGGCAGTTAGTGCTGTAGTAGGCCGCAGAGAGAAACCGGCGACCCCAAGCCTACCGGCATAATTCCTCCACAATTGACCAGGTTTGCAGCTATAAGGTATTTGTATGGCCCCGCTGTCGTACTCGGTATGCCAGGTCGGTCGAGGCATGGTGGGGCAATTGCAAATGACCGTATACGCGCCAACAGGTCTATCGCGGCCGGGAGGTAAGCGCGTGCGCGTTCTGGAACTTGTTGTAGATTGTGGTTAGTGTGGGAGAGCTGGGTTGGAGGTAGGGTAGCAACCGCTGCTGCAATTGCTGAGGCTACCGCTTTCGATGCGCCGTCTGACTTCGTTCCTTCATCCCTAAGCGCTCTGGCGTAACGAAGTAAGTCGTAAACGTCTTCATTTGTAGCAGTGTCATGCCCAGATGGTATAAAGAACGACACGTCAATGCCGCCGTCTACTTCTGCAGTTGCCCGCTGGACAATGCTTAGTACCGCTAAGGCTAAGAATAGGCCCAGTAATAGGGTTGTCGACCTCATTTATCAATAGACGAAACAGCTTTTTTCTATTGAAAGTGCTTTTGGCTTGGGTCAGCTAGGTCTCCAGCATAGTTATGTCGAAATATATGTGAGTAAACATAACGTGCTGTACCACACCGACAATGGTGCGTTGACCGACGCATCATGCCCGGCGCCATACAACTTGCTTTGTCTCATACTATGTGACATACCATACTAATTGGGATGCGACGAAGTAAGGTATACCACACTACACTGCACCGTAATAGCCCTTCCTACGTACCGCGTATGGCCATGGATGGCTAGTCAGGATGCATCTAGGTATAATGTTTGTCGCTAAAGAGACGATATGTCGTTGCTTGGCTTTGTCGCGAAGGCAGGGAACATGGCGAGGGTCAACTTCATTAGCCGGGCCCTGTTTTCAGAAGAGACGCTAGCTTCTCAGCTCGCGATAGAGGAAAGAAAGCAATAACATGAATGTCCAAGTTCGCATCCTTCTTTAGTTGCCGGCCGCGCACGCGACGGCATCTTGCGGGCTACTTTGCTTAAAGCCTACCCGCCTGTTGCCCGTTTCGCATCAATCGCACACATACCGCATAGGTCTCCGTCTGGCCTCACTTTGCTGTGAAAATGCTAGAAGTATGGTCCAGGGTCCCACGGGACAAGCATAATCAAGGCCGTCTTGCGCAAGGGGAATGCCCAATAATGATTCAGCTATTAGTTTCGGTGATGCGCTGAAGTCCAATGACGTGCAAGCGGTAATTAAATTGTTGTGGCAACTGACAGAGCGTCCATTTAGACTGATTGGCACATCTTGCCCACTGGCCAACCACACGTGCATGCGGCAACTAACCGAGCCCCATGCTTGACCATATGCTACTACATGTCTAGGGAAGCTATAGGTGCGACGGCGGGGTCAGGTGACGCTCGCATGGCCGGATAGGACCCCGAAACCCTTGGTCTGCTAGGCACCCCACCATGCACTCGGTCTAAGCGGCACATTCAGATGTGATACTACATGTCTAAGGAGTCTGTAGGTGTGACGGCGGGGTCGGGAGCTGCTCATACGGCTGGGTAGGACCCCAAAACCTTGGGTTCGCCCAGGCCTCAATTCATGGCACGTCCTTCCCAAACCACGCATGCATTCGTCAACATACTGACCATCACGCTCGGCAATTCATGATTTGTGAGCTCCCTTTGGTCCAAACAAACCTAGGTTGTTCGTTCTTACGGCTTCTACGGTTCGGTAACGTCTTTCGCCGTCCCATGGGCCCCTGGTTCACTATGGCAGTGGTTTCGCTACCGAGTCAAGCTTTTGGAGAATATGAAGCAGGTTGGTTGAAGCAGTCCAGTTGTCTCCACCCGGGTGGAGCGACAATGCACTCGTCTCCTGCGGACACACGTTATCCGGGGCGTGCTGGCGTATGGCGAGCTCGGGTCCGCACTTGACGTCTCCGGTGTCACTGTGTCGGACTGGATGCCTTGCTTGCGCGGGTGTCTCTTGCGGCGCAGGAGGTCCTCACGGGAGCTGCGGCCGTTCCCTCGGACCATGAAGCCTGGGCAGCCCTGTTGCGAGGCCTTGTGCAGCAGAGCGGCAGTGGACTCCGTGTGCCCGCCCTCCGCCTCACAGTCCGGCTCGGCACGCAACTCCAACCCTCCAGCGTGTTTCAAGACCTGGCCAGCAAACATACTGCGTTCATCTGCGAGGCGTACGGTAGGTGTGGAGGCAGCGCCGCCTGACGCCTTGTCTTGCCTGCGGGACACCCTCCGGCGCCTTTGGCGGCTGCGCTAGGAGAGCTTACTTCTACAAGGAGGCCTTGTGGCGGCTTGGGGTTTCCTCTGGCAGCCTCACACGTTGCCCGTGCGGCCGCTGGGGGGCACGAGATGGTACTCCACTGTCCGTACGGTGTTGCCATGTCGGGTGGTGGGCTGTGTTGGGTGCGCCGGCATTTGTTCTGGGACTGTTGTGTCGCTGGGACCCTCCGTGAGGCTATGGGTGCTGTTATGGGGGTTGCGAAGGGGGCTCTCGGTGATGCGTTTTCACGGTCCCAGCTGTGGCTTGTCTTGCCCCCACGTGGGATTCAGCCAGTCGTTTGGGATGTTGTGGCATTGGCTGCTCTGGCGGCACTGGAGAGAGGCCGCCAGTACTGTTAACGTGATTGGGATTCACGTACACCTGTTCCCCCCTGGTCGCCTGCGGAATATCGGAGCCGAAGTGGCTGTTAATTTCTGGGCCAGGGTCTCCTCGTTCGCAAATTTAGGTGTCACTCCCCGGGGCTGGGCCTCGGTTCCGTCGAACCATCCGTTCCTTGCCCATCAGGGTGGCCGTGTTGTGTTTTGTGGGCCGCCTGATTCCGGTTCTCCCCCTAGTTCTCCATGACTGTGAGAGTGGTTGGTCCTCCAGTGTAATTCTTGCATCCTCACGATGCTAGTGGCCTAGGGGTTTCTTCACCTCGTGAGGCCCTTGCTAGGTTTGCGGCCATGTGTGTGGGGTGTTGGAGACTCATGGCCTGTCAGTTTGTACTCGACTCCCTAATCTGTATGGGGCTTCCCCCTTCTGACATGCCTTGTTTCCTTCTGCTGGTTCCTGGGCCATGTGGCTCTCGGTGGTCTTCCGGCTGTCAGTGCTTGGTGTAGGTGGTTTGCGGCCTTTCTGTCGGGCACGGTGTGTCCCCTGGGGTAGGGCGGTCGACACCCTGTTGGAATGTTGCCTAATAATTGGCCAGTACGATCCTTAATAGTAGGGAACTCGTTGCGAAATCCCAACTGTTGTTCGAAATTTACCACTTGCGAGATCAGTACCTAAACCTCGGGCGTTACATACCTAAGTCTAAGGTGCCGTACGGTTTCGGAGGATTAGACATAGGAAGCATGCCTTCTAAGTTTTAGCTTAGAATCTAATGCTTTCTAATTAGGATTAGAATTCGAAGCCTGATGGTCCGGCTAACCCTAGTTACAAGGCTTGAGCTAGGCACTCGAGTCCAATGTGCTCACATACGTTCGGCAAAGAGCTCGGCGACTTGTTGGATCCTATTTGATGTATATGTGCTGCGACAGATCACGTCCCAAAGAATACTTGCCTTCCCCAACCTCCCCACCACCGCACTTGGTAGGCTTCCTCATTACCCCACTCACACACCTCTGCCGCACATATCACATGGCAAGTTCAACACAACCATTTTATTTGTAACACAATTACGCGTTGTTCCTTTTCCTAGGCACACGCCTTCCGCAACTTAAGCAACATAACGCTCGCTTGTTACAACACCCCTGCGGCGGAAAACTTTGGGAGGTTAAGACTCCGCCCCTTCTTCTGTACAGATTCCAAATTCAACGCCAATTTCGTACAGATCTGCCTTACCAAGCTACCTAGATCGGTGTCGCCTGCAGCACTCCAGGACCCCAACTATTTCACCGCAAGACTAGCAACGCACAGCTATGGTCGCTACCGTCACGCCACCTGGTCCGACAAACGTCACTAACATGCACCACCACCATTGCGTGCTTGGCAACTGCTTGGTACATGACACAAGCTCCACAACACGGTGCCCCTTTGAAGCGACCGATGCCAAAACCCGCAGAGGTCGCTCATTCAATTAACAACCAGGCTCCGACACCAACCTTTAGAGGCACGGAACAACAACCATATCAACAAGAACAGACACAACTGAGCGCGCGAGTTCCTTGCTGTAGTACTACTTAGAGAGGTATTAGCGCGGTAACAGTCCGGTCATGAGAATCCAAACAAAGGAAAGCGTGTGTTAGCAACAGCACCAGTCAATGTCGGATAAGCCACGAAGAGGGAGTCCCATAGTAAGGGTCTCTTGTCGCCTCTCAACACCCAGTTCCGGTTTCCCCCAGGCTGCAGATGAGGGCGATACGCAAGGCGCATGTACCCCACTCCCGCCGCACCAAGCACAAAAGCCACGTCTGCTCGCTCCCTCCAAACGAACACGCGCCAGCGGTGGCGGCTGCTAGAGATTAGGAGGAGGGCGCGGGTGCGGGCGCAACGCCCGCCGCATTGGCCGCAGCCACCGCGGCAATGGGCCTGTGCGTGGCGGTGGGTGGTGTTTATGGGGTTAGTCGCAGCAGGCGGGAACTGTCTAGTATGGTGGCGGGGGCACGGCACGTATCTCGGTGGGGTAACTACCGTAACTTATTGATGAGAGCTAGTTTGTTGATAATGCGCATTAAAAGACCCGCGTTTTTAAAATTTTAGGCTAACAGTCCCAACAGACACTGACCCTGACCCCTGTAGCGCTGTATGGTACGTGCTGCAGTCAATGGGCAGAGATAAATCCCGTCGAGATAAACCACATCTACAAAAATGTGCCCATGATTGGTTGAAGACGTCTGACCCGTGGGTCGTACTCGCACCTGCGGAGGTGCGCGTACTTCTCGCTCTTGTAAATGTACGACTCCTCGATTTCCTGCACAACAAACAAACACACCAACACACGCGTGGTTACGTCGGAGGTAAAGGGCCGTGCCTTTGGCAAAAACAACATAGCAAGGGACTCTCCGCTTGCTCCGCTCGCCGTTGAATTGCCTGCCTGCCTACATCCCTTTTCCTTGGCTCTATCTATGCTAGGAACACGCGCACGAGAATGGCTTTCTAATGTCTTATGAAGCTTTATGTGAGGTGCACCCGTTACGAGATATGGTCCGTGCACGGCACGCATGTGCCTCACACATAATGCGTTGAGTGTCAACATAACACAACAGCAGGCATTACTGCATGCAAGCAAAGCGCTTGGCTAGGCAACGGCACATCCACCCAACCTAATCACATCTTCACCCTCCGAGAGTTAAACTTACGTCCAGGCGGCGAATGGCGAAGGGGTTAACGGTAACGGTATTGCGACCGTTGGCGCGAATACCCGCATCACCGAATGCATGAATGCCCTGATCACGGAAGCGCTTGATCCACCCGGTGTTACTGCACGCACAGAGTACGGCAACAAGTTGCAGGTCCATAACGTGTACGGCAAAACTAATATAATACGTCACGCAAACATGCGTGAATGCGGTGTTACCGCACATGCAGCATGGAGGGCACAGCGAAGTATTACGGCAGGTAATGATGGCGCGGCGTGTTCCATTCTAACATCGAAACCCAAATTTCCAGCGTACATATGGATTGGGGAGATCCGTACGGCTCTAAGCGTACAGCTCTAAAACGGCAACGTGGCACACAATACGTATAACACACCATATGCACTACGCTTGACTTACCCGTTAGCAACCGAAACCGTCACAGCCACCAAGGGCACGGCAACCAACCCCGCAACGATCAGTACGAACGGGTTGTTGCGTGTCGAACGAAGCATAGACCGGTAAAAGTCTGTCTCCGTTGCGTAACCGCCAAATGGTCCGCCGCAGCGGATCGGGCCGCCTTCCCCAAACTCCATTCCCATGCCATGCGCTCGGTAATACTCGCGAGCATACCTGGGCAGTAGGAAGAAATGGGGGCAGGGGACAACGCACTGTGAATTAGTGCAACGGGCGGAGCAGGGCAGGCAAGCAGTAGCACCATTAACTACAATACCGGTTAGCCGGTTAGCTGGGAATTTCGCAAGGTGAGCCGTAAGCAACGAGAAGAGGAACGTAGGGAGCAATACAGATGCAGCTGCGTGTAGCGATACCTAGGGGCATGGATGAGGTGGAGGGCAGGCAACGAGGCCAGGAAAGGCAGGCAGGGAAAGGCCGGCAGAAGGAGCAGGCAACGGGAGGCAGGCAGGCGGGGGAGACAGACAGGCAGGCGGCAGAAGTAAAGGCAACCAGCAATCACGTTCGACAGCATCTATGACATTTTAGGTACTAGTTTCTTGCCAATGGTCCGAAACTCCCGAATCGTGCGCCACCCGTTTTACCCTCCTCAGGACCTAGTGGATAACGGAAACAGGCAAGGAGAGCTAATCGTCAACTACCTCTTAACGCCCAATGACCTACTTGGCGTTAGGGGCGGACCCCGGAGGAGGGACGCTATAACCCGCCTGCCCTGAGGGTTGGAGAAGGCAGGGGAAGTAGGAGTTTGAGGTTAACAACGTTAAAGGTTGAGGCAACTAGGTGGGATGTGCGACAAAGGAGGCAGCGGGACAGCAGGACGGCAAGCGCACGAAAGATGTCACATGTGCCTAGCGAAGATGCGCAAGATGAGCAATTACTGCCTCCATATGTCCTTGCCATCCATCGCTTGTACAACAGGCAGCAAACCAACTAATGTAACCAACAACCTCTTACCTCGAAGAATGGTGTCGTACGCCGACTTGATCTCGCGGAACCTCGCCTGTGTTGGCGGAGGGGAGGGTGCCGTACGGAACGATGTGGCATGTCGTGTCACAAAGAGGGTAGACTGAAGGTCAACGACCTTACGGACATAGACGGAGGTGGATAGAAGGAGGCACGCCTACCAAACGGCATTCATAGGCGACAGTCCGCAGAATGCCTTCCCGTTACCAATGTAAAAGCCTGTACCAACCCTTTTAGCGCCCGAGAGCCGCAGGCAACAACAACCACCCTGCACCCCTTGTTTCCCCCCAACCAAACCCACCTCAGCCACGATCCGCTGATCCGCTGAGACCTTATCCGGGTGGTACTGCTTGCATAGCCGTACAAAGGCCTCCTTCACCTGTACGGATGACGCACGACAGCATGATGAATACATATAAAGCGTGGGCCCGGTTAAGACCCTAGAGCCGGTAGTGCCTTGGGGCCTGAGATCCAATGCGTATGTCACACAGCAAGAGCAAATACGTCCTGAGGGAACACTGTCGCGTTTGGCCTTTCGGTTTGTGTCCCTCTCTTGGAACAAGTGTTTGCAAAGGAGTACGTATGCGTACACGTGTGCACAATGCACACAACGTAAAACCCTTCGGGTATGCCTAGCCAAGCCTACTCGGTCCCAAGCTGCCCCGTGGCAATCGATATAAACCCCAATAAATTGAAACCTCGCCGTGAGGGATAAAGCTGTGTTGCATGCTATCTATCTAAGCGCGCGAACAACGAAAAACATGCACGCCTGCAATTTCACGGATAGGTGTGTAGGATACTAAGCCGCAACACGGAAGCCCTGATGACAATACATGTACCTCTGCCTTCGTAGCATTCGCCTGGATGCCAAGTGTTCCATAAGCGGAAAGGAGCTCCGTCGTCGCCATCGTGAAGCTTGCACAGCGAAAGCAGCACTGCCTCCACGAAGTTCCACACTAAGGCTGGCTGGTTAAAGACAATATGTGACCTGCGTGTACACGTGAGGTTCCTTTTGTCCGTAATACCTCCGCGACAGACGAGATGCCTTACGAACTAGTTATGAAGACAAAATAGCGCTTTTGAATGAAAAATGTAATTCCTTCCTATTCAAAAACGCTTGCCTGTTCCTATTGAGAGAGTATGTAAGAAAGCCTCGGAGACGGTCGTGTAGTGGTGTTGGAAGAGTCCGCCGCCGGAAACCACAACGGAATTGTAACACTACTACGTGGCGGACGTTCCTACACGAAAGATCAACCAATCGTAGAGCCCGCATGAATATCGTCATTACGCAATCGTGGTCTTCCGTACATATGGTGCCGGTGGTCCTCCTGAGTTCATCAGCTTAACTCAATGAAAGCATATTCTCGTATATGCCTGCTGGAGCCATCAGCGAAGCGCCTAGCCTTGCTCCACGGGCTTCTTGCGCGGACTTGCTTGCGTTGTTGTTGGAACCGTGATACCATCCAGTAGGGCATACTTCAATGGGTCAAAGACTTAAATTAAGAGTGCTTTGCAATCCCTAAAGACTTTGGGGACTGCCTGGCTGGAAGGCCGTCAGCAGTGACTTCATAAAGCTAACGGTGCAAGGTCGGCCTTTCTGTAGGCTAACGCTGGGCTGATGCTGCACGCTGGGCGGCTGTAAGGGGGCGTACGGTAAGGGGCAGCGTATCTATTGCGGCATTTGGTGGGTGGTGGCGGCATCGCCCGGCAACCCGTCCTGCCATTGCAATAGGTCAAGTGGTGTCGACAGCAGCATCAAACGGCTCGACAGGGCCACTACCCTCCAACTGGTAGTTCTAAATGCGTCACCACATTCTCATGTTCAAAGAACCCTTACCTGTTGACATCAACAGTGCAACGTACACGGCCAGGGCCAACCCTACTGCCGGCCATTCCTCCTCCCTGACGCCTCTTCCTCCTATATGACCCCACATGGCACCCTACACTCCCCCACTGCCGTACTCCCCTTGTACTACACCGGCATTTGGGGTGCAGCAGTTAGGCATAACAGGGGTTGAAGCTAAGCATCACCCTTAACGCATTGTGACATATTTGGACTGAAGCCCAATGGGAGCAGAATGACTGGGTGTAGAACGTGTCATACATGACGCAAAAGTGACGACCCCTCCGACAGTTGACTCGTTCATTATTGGATACCACGATTCGTTCCAACGCGCGGCCAGTTTCGATAATAACTCCTTTTGGCCGCATCGGGATCTGTTTACGGTAGCCTTCTAGTCGTACAGCCCTTGCAAAACAATTCTGCACTCTTGCATTAGCGAAGCGAGTACCATTTCAAGCCGGTCTATGCTGTCTGGTCCTATGGAAGTGGCGTATAGGACCTATTGCTGACGATTGCTAGCCAGTTCCCGACCTGTGCATCGACTTCCACAGCTGCCATCCTAGAACGCGCTGCATTCGAGCAAAGAGCGTTAACTCTTAAAAGGAGGGTCACACGTTAGGTAGTGGGGCAATCGTTGTAGTGTTCTTCAGCAAGGAACCAAAGGGCATTCGCATGGTGAATTTTAGGGTTTCTGGCTTGGGAATTGGGTTACTTGCACATTGCCATTCAAAGTGAAATTACTGTTATGCTCAATGTTTTTATGTTAGGCAAGTGATCATTATGCGGCCATGGTGTTACGGTACGCGAATTTGCGCCGATTGCAGCAGGAGACGCTTCCGTATTTTACATTGCAAGCCAGCTATATAGTACAAACAACTAAACTACCATTGCTTGTATTGGCCTTATTGGCCTACGCCGGTGCGGCTCTGTTTCCCCCTGGGCAACCTTCCGTTGGCCATCTCAGCCAAGCCAAGCGAACCCGAAACGTAGGTTCTGCTGCCATTGTTACTGCCTTCTTACTACATTTAGCTTCTTGTACCCGGACGCTCTTTAGCGTGCAATCGTCGCTCTTGTTTTTCCTTGGGTGCAACCTATCGACCGGAGCATTTTCTGTTAATTTGTGTTCTGAAGTCTTATGATTACTCTAAGACGCACACTTCGTCTTCGACCACAGGCAGGAGCGCATCACCCCAGCGGGCGCTTGTACTTTATCTTCGCGGCCATGGCTTCGCCGCTGGGGCCTGCCCGGTCACCTAGGCCAGCGCAGGGGCAGTTGCTGCCTCTAAGGGTCGCAGCGCTAGCGATCATCTGCGTTAGCTGCTTAATCGCCGCAAATGGCGCGGCTGCGGCTCGGCCCACAGCGGCATCCATGCCGGATGTTAGCGCATTGCGCGCCGCAGCAGCTGCATCCCGACGCATTGCCGGAAGTAGGGATGGTGGTAGTGACAACACTGCCAGAGAAGATGATAAGGCCCAAATTGCAGCTCGTGTGGCAGCCCTGCGTGCCAGGTACACTTGTGCGTATGCATGTGATGGTTGGATTTGGGATCTAGGGTCGTAAATTTACACCGGTTATTCCGTATCGGTCATTTGGATGGTAGGCTGCTTGCCCCTCATTCCAGCCTTCAGCCCCCGCTTCCATCCCAAAACGATTCCAACCGCTTTCTGCTGTACCATTGACCGTACAACTTGCGGTGTACAGCGCGAACCTCACTCCCCTCGCCTGCCGTACATATTCACCTGCCGTACATTCCCACCCAGGCCCGCCGAGTACAGCAGCGATGCGGTGGAGGACCTGGTTCCGCAGCTGCCGGGCTGGGGGGCGGTCAACGACTTCAATCTGTTCGCGGGGTGAGGGAGGGGGACAGCCTAGCGAATCCCGAAGGGGCTATAAATAAAGAAAGGGGTAAAGGAGAAGACGCGAATGCCCAAACCCCAAACCCAGACACCACCCGACGGGACAGTCCCAACCCTTGCCGTACATTTGTCGTACCTTCACGTACCGTATCTTGACGCGTGTACTGAGATGAGGTAAGCACGCGCCGCGCACCTCCTCCTTCCCCCCGCAGCTACATCACGGTGGATGAGGACGCGGGCCGGGCGCTGTTCTACCTGCTAGCTGAGGCGCCGGAGGAGGTGCAGCGGCGGAGGAAGGCGCAGCAGGGGCAGGACTCGGATGGCGGGGAGGTTCCGCTGGTTTTGTGGCTGAACGGGTGAGTGGGGGGATGGGGGTCGCTGGGTCTAGTTTTGTAAGGTTAGAGACAGAGGTCCGTGGCTGGGGATTGTATAAATCCATACTTGGTCAGAAGGTGAGGACGGTTGCTGAGGCAGTGAAGGAGACGCAGGCAGGGGCAGCAGCAGGGGCAGGGCCAGGAAAGCAGCATTAAAATGTTTATTTGCCCCTTATGTGACCCATGGGTCAGTCCAATCCCGTACCTTCCTCTTCTGGCCCCCTCCCATTATGTCCCTCACAGTGGTCCCGGCTGTTCCTCCCTGGGTGGTGGCTTCATGAGCGAGCTGGGGCCCTTCTACCCGCTGCCGGGGGGAGAGACGCTGCAGGTGGGGGAAGGGAGGGGAACGGAAAAACACAATGTGCAGGCACGGGGTTTACGGGGCTGAGGTGGGTGTGCGTGTATGTTCTGCGGGGTTGGAGTGGCCAGCGCCTGGGGTTAAGACGTAGCAGGAAGGAACGGCGAGGGGGGAGGGGGGCTGGAGCGTGAGGAATGGGTTTGGATTGGGAAGGTCGAGTAGGAGGGTGGGGTGTTGCTGGTGAGGTATGAGCAAGGGTAGTCGCCCGCTGACCATGACCCATGGGTCTCCGCGTCTCTCTCCACACCCCTCCCCTGCAGGTCAACCCGCATGCGTGGAACAACTTCGCGCACGTGTTGTTCCTGGAGAGTCCTGCGTTCGTGGGATTCAGCTACTCCAACACCACCGAGGACGCGATCGTGGGTGGGTGACGGGGGAGTGAATGGGGGGACGAAGGAGAGGAGCTTGCATGGGGGACGACCCGGCGTGCACCAAGGAATACACGAAAACGTGTACGTTGGGGGTTGTTTCATTCAAATCCCCAACGCTGTGTATTTGCTGATGTTAGTGTGCTGGTGTGTGCCTTCTGAAATTGAAATGCACCATGCTGACGCGTCGCCCTTGCGCCCGCATCCTGCCCTGCCCTGCCCCCCCTTCTGCAGGCGACGGCCGTACCGCGGTGGACAGCCGGACCTTCCTGCTGCGCTTCCTGGAGCGCTTCCCGCGCTTCCGCAACACGCCCTTCTACATCGCAGGTGGGGCTTGGGGCGGGAGGGGGGGGGATACCGGTAGATAAAAAGTGGGGGGGGGGGATGGAGGTGACAGAGGAAGGTGGCGTGTAAGACGTGTGGTGTGTGACGGGGGTGGTGGTGTACGGTATGGTGGGAACTAATGTCGGAGGGCGGGGGCGGGGGTTGTGCCCGTGTAGTTCACATGCCCTACTAGCAATAGCCGCCTCGGAAGTGGCTGGATAACGCCAGACACCAGTTCAATAACCTGCAGACCGCCTCCAAACCGCCGATTTTGGCTGCATTCCGCCTGTGTGTATCCTGTATAGGCGAGAGCTATGCGGGGCACTACGTTCCTAATTTGGCACTTGTGGTCGTGGAGGGGAACAAGGCGGCTGCTGCCACAGGAGATGCCAAGATCAACATCCAGGTACGACACTCATGTGTCGAGGAGTAGGACACTCATGTGGCCGCAAGTAGGAACGTACTGGATTTTCAGGTGCGTATGTTGACTTATGACGACCATGAACCCCCAGATTTTTAAAATGTTGCATTTTGGTTACAGCTTTGCAGTACTTCGGTTCTGGCCAACATTCGTTTTGGACACTGTAACTTTTTTCTACATTTTCTTTTTGTTCTATACCCCACCGTCCCTCCCTTCTCACCTCACCCCCAGGGTTTCATGGTGGGCAATCCCTGGACTGATGCTACCATCGACAACCTAGGTACGGCAGGGAGGGCACACCACGTGGATTCCGTACGACAGTCGTGCTGGACACAGCTTATGTTGTTTGCAAAAACCCACTCACCCCAAACATCACACTTTCATACACTGGGATACCGCATGCGTAGGGGGTGCCTGCGGCCCCTTTGCTAGCTTATCTCACGGCATTCGGTAACGGTGACAGGCTGTGCTCTCGCTGCTGGGGGTGGGGGCCGGGTGTTCAGCTGGCCCTAACAGAGCTTGCCCTGCCGGGTTAGCAGGGTGGCGCTTTCACACATTGGGAAAAAACACACCGCCCCAATCCCCCAATTCCGCCGCTTTTCATTCATTCCCCACCCCCCCACCACCCCCCAGGTGCGGTGGACTACTGGTGGAGTCACGCGCTCATCAGCGACCAGACGGCTCTGGGCATCCGAACCAACTGCAACTTCTCACGCATTGGTGGGTGCACATTGGTGGGCCCTGATCCCCCCTCCCTGCCGTTTCCTTGCGTGTAGCTACCCTACCCGATGTGTTGAGCGTCGCTTTTGCCGCCGCCATGGGAGGGATTGCCTGTAAAGACAAGTCGGGATTCAATGACGTCAACCTGAAGTCTGTACCGGTACTACAAACCCGTACAATGTTGTGCATACACAATGCATCCGGTCCATTCCTACCTGAGCCCCCCACCCACCCTCTCTCCCCCTGTCTCCCCCGTCACGTCGTATGCCCCATGGCCAACAGGTCCGCTGGACCCCCATCCCGCCCATTCGGATGCGGAGACGCGTGACGAGCTGTGCGACGACTTCTGCAACAAGTGAGTGCGTGCGAGTGGGTATTCTAAAGTAACTTGCCGCGAGGAGAAACCTTGACGCGAAGTCTTCACACTAGCCTCCCGGGATTGGAGTAGTTTATGCGTAGTTTTATACCACCTCCACAGCCGTGTTGTCTCCTCTTGGAAATCAGTGGCGTTACGGCCATTCACGTCACCTACATTCCGCCTCCAGTTGCAGCTTGGTATCCTGTAAAACCCCCATGCATGCATGCATGCATGCAACAGGGCATTCGAGGAGCTGGGAGATATCAACATCTACGAGATCTACGCAGACATGTGCTCCGAGCCACCCACCCTCCGAAAACAAATAGCAGCCTTCGGTTGGGCCTTACGGGGCAGCAGCGGCGGTGCGGGCACTGCTGGTGCTGCGGCCTCTGCAGTGGGTGTAAGGGCGGCTACCGAGGCAACGTCAGGTGGGGTAAAGCAATGTTTTGGGGGGGGGTGCGAATCACATGTGAAGCGGCTGTTGTTGGTAGTGGTGTGCAGCGGGGGGGGCAGCGGGGGGGGGCAGCAGGGAGGCAGTGTCCGGAGGTCCTACCAACTACCGATTACTAATATAGCCGCTTAAGTGTACCGATGTATCAGCTGTTATCCTAACCGCCATCCCAATGCCAGCTCCCAACTGCTGTTGCTGTTGCTGCAGGCCGACGCAGGCAGCAGCTGCAGATCACGCACAAGCAGCAACCGCTAACGGACACGAGCGCATCATCAACGACCCGTGGGTCATCAGTTTCAAAGGACTTTGCCAAGGGCGGCATGACGGCGAAGATTACTGCAGCAGTGTCGTACAAGCGATCTCGGATGTCGTACAGCGGAGATGGCGCGGATGCGGGTTACGACCCGTGTGTGGACAATGAGGTGGAGACCTACCTGAACCTTCCGGAGGTGAGGTGGGGGTTTAAAAGAGTGGGTTGGGGGGGAAGGGAGGAGGAGAAAACATACACATACGCCTGCTTGCACGTGCACACCCATTGCGAGGGGCAAAGAGGAAACAACTAACTGACTGAGGGATAAGGCGTCAACTGCGAGGGGCGGGGGAGGAGTGTGGGTGGTAGTAAGCAAGGTGACGGCCTGTTTGAGTTGAGTTGGGGGTGTCGGGGAAGGCCGAGGGGGAGGCGTGGTAGGGTTTTTCTCCCACCTCCCTCCCCTGCCTCCAGTCCAACACCTCAGGCACGTCAACTAGACCGTCCAGCCACCCTTCCCGTACACACCTACGGCCGGCCAGTTACTACACACCGTTTCACACACGCCTCCCCATGTATGCCCCACCTTCACACCCTATTATTCCAGCCCGATTACGCCCACTGCTTGCCATGCAAACCGGGTTCAGCTGCTCGTCCAGCTGCATGCGCTCGACCGCCCAGAGCCCACCTCGCCTTGACACACACCTTCTTCCCCTCCCTCTCCCTGTCCGTGTTTCTGACCCCTTCGCTTTCTGCTCCTGTTCCCGTCACTCCTTTCCTGACCCTCCTTTCCCTGCCTCTCCTTCCCGCCCCAGGTCCAGCGCGCCCTGCACGCCAACCAGACCGTCAAGCTGCCCTGGCGCTGGACCGACTGCACCCGCTCCATCGTCTACTCGCGGGACGACCTGCTGGCCTCCATGCTACCCGTGTACCAGCGGCTGCTGCAGGTAAGAGGGTTGCAGCATGCGAGAGAGGAAGAGCGGATGCGAGCGCGCAAGTGCCTGTCTTGCTGCGTGTGTGTGGGTCTATGATACCGGTATACTGCACACCGTTTACAATCCCCCCCCCCGCATCTTGCTCCCCTCCCGCCCCGCCTGCCCCCCCAGACCGACCTGCGCATGCTGGTGTACAGCGGCGACGTGGACGGCATCGTTCCCGTGGTGGGCACCCGTCGCTGGGTGGCGTCGCTGAGGCTCAAGGTGGGTGAGGGGGGAATATAAAGTGATACGTGCAGCAACTTACCATACGGGGGGGAGGGTTGTCTGGGTACCTGGGTCGGACAGTAGCAAAAGCTTCCAACTCGGTGTGGGGTACCGAACTTTCTTCTTGCGTAAATGGCATAAAAATCACATATGCGCGCGTATGTAAAGAAAAAACACGCCGCGCTTGGGAATGTGCTGCGCGCATGTGTGTCTGGAGCGTAATGGGCACGACTAGCCACTGCTAGTCTAGCCACTAGCCACTAGCACTAGCCACTAGCTGGCTTCCCCCCGTGTGACCGCTGTGGTCACCCCAAAACACGTGCGCGCTTGTCGTGCGCTGCCTATGCTCTGGTTTGTTTTACCGGTACACGCTATGTCATACTCCTATTCCAAACCCTTCCGCGCGCTCCGCTGTTTCACAGGAACGTACGGCATGGCAGCCTTGGATTCCCTCCGACGGCCAGGTGGGTGGCTATGTGGTGGAGTACGACGGACTCACCTTTGCCACGGTACGGGGCGCGGGTCACATGGTGCCGTACGTGCAGCCGGCCCGGGGGGCCCACCTGGCTCAGGCCTTCCTGGAGGGTCGGTCGCTGTGAGGAGGGGGCGGAGGAGGATGAGGAGGTAGGGTAGGATAGGATAGGCAACGTGCACTGTTGCTGTCCACTATAGGAGGAGGAGGAGGTGGGGTTGGTAGTGGGGTTGCTAGGGGTGGGTGGGTAGTGTCGGGGGGTAATTAGTGGGGGAGCTTACTATGAGAGCAACGGTGGGGGACGTACGTGCGAACAAAGCTGATAGGCGGCTTGTTAGTTGCCACCCACAGCAGCGGCAGCAGCAGCGGGCGCGGAGCGGAGCGGTTACGGTATCCCCTACTATCGGGCGTTTCACTTATGTTTCCTAACGCGCGTTGCACCACACATGCGCACACAGGCATCGCCGGGTTTGCGATAGTTGTATACCACGCACGCAATGCAATGGAAAAGGGGAGTTTGTTGGTTAGGGGTATAATGTTGCTTCTTAACAGGAGCACATGCTTGGGACTTACTCAGTTTGTTCCTCTTAAGCGGAGTGCGGGGGTCAGGAGACGTACGCACGGCCTAAACACATGCGTACCGGTATGCGTGGAGGTTCAGGTTGCATGAAGTGAGGCTTTGCATGGCTCATAGTACTGTTACCGCAGCGGCTCCTCCGCTCATGTACTTCTAGGGGTCCCAAGAGGTGGCTTCCAGGGTTTCCTCCGTTCATGTGAATACGGCAGTAAGGAAGGGGGAGAGCGCGAGTAGGCCCAGGGTCGTGCGTTGCGTGAACTAGTATTACGGTATAGGCCTGACGAGCTTGTGAGGTTGTGAAACTCTTGGGCGTACGCTGTGCTGTTGCTTTAATTGCTTTATGATTGCGGAAAAACGTGTTGCTTGCGGCCGTTTGCTTGCCGTATTTTAGCGTGCTTACTTGCCTAGCAAACGACCTATCTGCTCTTACGAATGCATCTGCGAGATCCCAAGATGTCTGAGGATTCCCGTTGTTGTTATGCACGGAGCATGTAGAAGCTTAATTTCTGGTCCCGTAGCGGTGTCCTGCTTAGCACGGACTGCGGCGGATAGCTACGGTGGGGTAAAGGTGTTTAGATTGCTTCAGAAACATCCACACGAGATCGGCAGAGCATCAGAGGTTGCTGTTGCTGATTGGCTTTATCATGGTGAGCATGAAACATTGCAGTACATGTGCTTTCTTACGAGATGCCTTGTGTCTACAAGGCCTGTATTCTGGTTCTGCAGTTTGAGATGTACAATGCTTTGGTCGGCTGCCGTACTTTGCTGTCGAACACTGTACGGCAAAGCGCCCTGCCCATAAGGCATCGCCATGTAACGACTGTTGGTCCGAGTATGTGTGTGTGCCAGCAATAAAGAGGACCCCCCCTTGCGTGGATCGGGAGCTGAAACCCCTACTACCGGTGCAAGACTCTGACGTCCCTTCGTTTGGAAGCTGAAACCCCATGGTGCGTAAATGCATACCGGTACTGGTAATACGATTTGCTGACGCCACCCTGTCCACCCCATAACCTGCGCGGGTAGGCGAGGTTATCCCACACAAATATTGAGGCGAGCCGTAAGGCACAAACCATCCCGCCCAACGCACACCACTGTGCACCTCGGGGACACATCTTCGCCTTGTCACCTCGGGGCGTCACATCGGGGCAGCACTTCCTTCAAGTGTAGGACAGCCTCCCCACCCACGCAAGCTAGCATGCAGAGCTGGCGCTGCCATAAATGCCAGAGTCTTGGTTCTGGAGTGTGAGGGCAGGGTGGGAAGTGCGGGAAGGCTAGGGGGGAGGTCTCAGGGTTACAATCCCGCTGAACCTTCCTCACCATGGATAGCAACAAGGTCCGCAACGTCCCGTGGGTCACTGCTGCCAGACGTGGCCGCAGTGGCATATGTGATGCTAACAGTGGCGGTGTCTTGGTTAGGATATCGGTTACCCTAAATGAGATAATGACGGTCTACACCCATGATTGTTGTGCATCACATTAACACATAGTTTGCTTACAAAAGTTATAATGCTGCCTTCACGGCATTCGTTAGGAAGCGGAAGTTACACTGGAGGACAGTAGCTGAGACCATCGTCAGACGTACATTCTAACAGGGCGTTAGGAAGCGGAATAGGAGGAATAGCGTCATTGTACGGCTGCGCTCATATGCATTTGACGCAGCCCGAGCGCCTGGCAATGAAAATGCGGGTGCATTAGGTACGGAACGTGATCACCTGTGGTAAGCACAAAATCGCTGCGCCGAAGGACGCTGGAAGACGGAGGGACCACGCTAGCTCGCGTTAGTGTACGTCAGAGCTCGTAAACTTTTAACACGGCCAAGGCGCCTGGCATGGAATGTGCGGGTGCAATAGGCACGGAAGCTGATCATCGATGTTCAGGGCGAAACCGCAGCGCGGAAGGATGCAGGAAGACGGAGAGACCGTACTAACCGCAGATTGGACGGAGGAATACGGAGGGACCGCAATTGTGTGAGACGCCGCTGTGTTGTAAACGGGCCGCAGCGGCAGAAAACGCATGAAGAAAACGGCGGTGAAGAACATAAGCTAATTGTGCGTAGGAAAAGAGGCGATGCCACAAGTGCAAAGCGGTTATACAACCAACTGTAGCCTCAGGCCCCTGACCTCTTTCCCAACATCTGCTTACCAGATCCCTAAACGGTGCCTGTTCATTTCTTAGCAATCCATACTGGGCTAAAGCAAGAGAAGGCAGTGCTAGGTGTGCGGCACATAGTAACGGTCGATGAACTGTAGCCTGCTGCGGCTGTCCTTTTTTTAACGTTTTGCGTTTGTGACACTCTACCGCCTCCCATCCCCTTTGCTTTGCCCTTACTGAAATTTCCTATGGGTTGGTATGTTGTTGATTCCCCATCCGCTACCCACCTGCCCTCTCGCAAACCCTTTCCCATAACAAGGGGGTTCAGCTTCCTCAACGCTGGAAAAGGGCGGAGCCCCTCCCCTAACCACAGCCATCATGACGAACCCAATGGTGAAGCCCCCTCATACAGCTATCGTCACCATCGACTGCCATATACTAGGTGCCCTTACATTTGCTTTACACCAAACCACGATTTGCTGCAAGAGCCCGTGTCGTTGCTGTACAATACAGCTGAACAATACACCATAACTTGCCTAACAAAAGGATAACGGGCCAAGGGCTAAGTTGCCGGTTTGGTCACCTTTCGTATGCGTCTTGTCACTCGGATGGATGACATGTTGTTGATGGCAACGCCCCTTGTGAAGACAAAGTTGTACAGTTATGGATCATGCCGTGTCATGTCATTGAGATCATGGCAACGGCGACCTTGCTGACGGGCGTGTTGTTGCCGGTATTCCATGGTATGCGCATCAGTCTAGAGGTAAGGGATGCATTAAGACTTTACACGTGCCTGGACCTGCCTGGCAAGGGTTACTATGTACATCCTTGGTCAAAGAGCTGTCTTGGATCGCTCTACATTGTCCAATAACAAACGGAGCTGCTATGACAAGCTTCTGTATGGTTCCTAGCATAGCGTGCAGGCGGGTCCCTGCTGCACGGAAATTTAACCGCCACCGTACGTCTTGCACATACCGGTAACAAAGCACATAAAGCGGCTGACGCCCCCTCAAGCAATGTGTCCTGTTGGCAACAACGTTCTCCGTGTGTCCCACAATCCATGAACCACAGCTTCCGTGTACATTCGCTGTACACACCTCCAGCTGCCGCAAACAACATATCTGCATGCTAGCCTTGCCCACCACATAAGCAAAAGCCAGCAAACCATCCAATCGTCAACAGTGACGATGCAAGGATCAGGAGGAGGACAACCGCTGCCCCTCTCCGTACAAGAGCTAATAAACCCTGCTGTCTGTTGCTTTGCGTCCTTCGTCATGGTCCTCACCAGTACCCTCCCTCGCCTTCCTAATTGGCATGCTGTAAGGACAAGGGGGGTAGTGAAAAGATTTGCATCGTAGCACAACCCAACGTTCTTAGTCACAACGTTCTTAGCTATGGAGACACATCCAGGTCACGTACGCCTGTGGCCCCACGTGGCTTGCGAGAGCGAACAACCAACTAGCCACCCCCACAGAAAACATAAACAAAACAGTCTCGGGATTTCCAAGCCGGGTTTCAAAGCAATCTAGGGTCCCAAAGCAGCTACACTTCCCATCACACGCACGGGCTTGGACAACCAAACCTGGCGAGCCGCCCTGGTGATACATTAGCAATGATGATCACAACAACAAAGAGTGCAAATGGAACCTCAATGGGCCCCAAATGAATGCCCAACCAACCCTTTAGGTCGGAACACCGGACAGGGGTGATTCCACGGACCGTCCGGGACATGTGTGACACATCCCCAGCAAAGCAACCGATCAATTGCCCGACATAGCAACTGTGAAGATTTGGAATGCCGGAAACTAACAGGCAACGGGTCTAACAATGCCAACGCATCTCCTTCAACAGTTCACGTTGTCAACAACATACACAGTTATCGTTGACCAATCACACGCGCCCCGTCCGTAGGGCATCATTCGCCGTTACCTTAACATCAACGGCAATTAACATAGCTCCTAGGTGCCGAGGGCAAAATACAGGTTAACGGTTCGGGATATTGTGTTTTTAGTAATCCATCTTCCGCACGCGAGTAGGTCCGCTGTCCGGGGTACCTCGTGGATCACTCAGCAGCGTAACGATGTCGGGCAGATCAGATAACGTGCTGACCACCGGTGCGACGAGCGGAGCCGCCGGCGGCGCGGGCGCAAAGGCTGATGCTGCTGCGGCCTTCGACAACGGCGCGGCTCCCTCGTGGCTATCCCACGCGGATTTACGGGCGATGGTTGAGGAATGCTTGAAGGGCTTCGGGTGCTGTTGGTGGTTATTATGACCGTTATGGCCGCTTACAGGGTGGCCGTTATTGCCGTACGGCTGCTGCCGTACACTGCCTGGTGCATGTAGACCGTTACCTGGGGCTGTTGTAGCACCTGCGGCGTGACCGTTAGGTGATTGCTGCTGAAGTTGAGATTGTAAGGGAGAACTACCGCTGCTGAAGGCCCGTACTGGCAGTCTTGGACTCACGGCGAGTTTGGCTGCGTTACTAATGCCGACGTCGCCGTCAACGGTGGCGGCGACGGCACCGCCGCCGACAGGTATCCTCACTGGCGACACTGGGGCGCTTTCCCGGGATTTCTGACGCTGAGTCAGCATTGGAAGCGTCGGTACGGATTCCATGACGGCGGAGCGGCGTCGGTACGGCACACGCGACGCCTCCACTGTGCTACTACCGACAATGGCGGCGCCGTCGCCCGTTGTCGCACTGCTACGGGGCATTCGTGGAGACGCCGGATCGTGCAGCGGCGGCAGCACCAGTGGCGGCGGCTCCGACAGCGTTGGAGATGCTGCTCCGGAACGAGAATGACGGTAGTGGGCGGCGGCACCGCCGCCGCTGACACCGCCGACGCCGGCGCTAAAATGAGCATGATGAGTGTACGGCACCGTCGGCGGGTGCAACGGCGGCGAATGTACGCCATATTGATGCTGCTGGTGAGGTTGGCCGGCGGAATGTGACGCCGCGGCGTTGTGCCCTGCTGGGCCTAGGCGCATGTGCGACGGCATCTGTGACGTCGGCAGCAACGACAACACATAGCCGCTGTCCGCTCCTCCGCCGCCGCTGCTGCCATGGGCGGCGGAGAGCGGAATCAGCTGTAGCGTCCGAGCTCGTCCGGGCGGCTGAGCCAACCGTCGACGTGCAGCGTTTGCCTCCGACAGCATCTCCCGCGCGACTGGTGATACGTCACCTGCCGTCACGCCGCCGCCGGCGTCCGTCGGGGCGCGTGATCCCGCCGCACGGCCCAGAGCCACCATGCCGACTAAATCCCCGATTAGCGCCGCCGCCTGAGTTCCAACGGCGCCACCACCGCCAAGCTGCGGAGCGGAAGGCGCCGCTAGCGGTGGCTTATACCCATGGTGGTGTTGCGACGGCGGCAGCGCCGCCTGCAGCGGCGGCGCCGCCGCCGGCACATGCGTGCCGTGTACGACAGGCGTTGACGCGGTCATCATCTTCAGTCGCGACGCCGTCGGCAGGACGTAGCCGCCGCCACCGCCGCTGTACGGTCCCGCATGCAATGCCGCCGCCGACGGTGCCGCGTCGGGGCCACCGGCGGCGGTGGCTCCGCCGCTAGTGGCGGCTGCAGCGTCCAGTCGCAGCCGTGAGGGCGCCGCTGACGCTGCCGGCCTCATGGCTGCACGTTCGAGTCGGGCCAGCGCCGGCGTCGTCGGCTTTCCAAATTCCAGGAGCGCTTTGAGATTGTCGACGGCTGACACGCCGGTTGGCGTCGTCACCTCTGCTGTCTGGCCTTCCCCATCGCCTTCGCCCTCCGCCTCCGTAGCCATTTCCGCTGCCAGACTGCCAGGCATACCGTCTGACGGCAGCTGCCCATCACCCTCCAATACCCCAAGAAGTCCTGCTGCTGCTGCCGCCGCCACCGTCGTCTCCCCGGGCTTCGGCAGTACCTTCCCCGCCACTCCCTCATAGCCGCCGCTGCTATCACCTCCAGGCGCCGCCGCCGCCGCCGCCATCCCTGTCGCTGCTGACGGCGGCGGCTGCAGGAACGGCGACGAAGGCGACTCTCGATCCAAATGGGCCATGGAAGGTGCCTCTGATAGGCTGGAAGCGGCGCTGGATTGGCGGTGCAGTACGGAGATGGGCGTCGACGGCGCCGCAACTGCTACCGCAGCCGCCGACGGGGCGGTAAGAATGTCATGCCCTGGTAGGCGCGCGATGGGAAGTGGCGCTAGCGTGACGTCGCGACCGACCTCTAGAACTGCGCCCGTTGCAGTGCCGACGGCGGCGGCACCGGCGCTTCCATCGGGGATGGAGTCCTCTTGCTGCTGCGGCGGCTGTAGCACTTGATGCTGTTGTACGACAGAGGCGTCCTCCTCGGCTGTAGCATGCGAGGGCTCCGAAGAGGCGGTCAGTTCCGATGCCTGCTGTTCCGGCTGCTGCTGCGGCGGCGACGGCACTTGCACTTGGAGTTGGGGCTGTTGCGGCAATGCTTGCGCCTGCTCTTGCTGCTGTGGTTCCTGCATGCCGGCACCGTTTTCAGGCACAGCCGCGACCACCACGTCTGCACTTTCTGTCGCTGCCGATGCTACGGTGGCAGCAGCTGCAGCTGCAGCTGCACCAGGCGCAGCAGAAGCAGATGTGTCAGCAGTGAAAGCAGCAGCGTCAACAGCAGCAGCATCCGAAGCGGGGAACACGGGGGAGATCACCAGGTCCGCTTGCACGGGCGACGTTGCTGCCGTTGGAGGTTGTGTTGGCAGTAGCGATGAGGGCGGTAGCGGCGGTGGGAGCAGGGGCGAGAAGGCCTCAAGCGGCGGGGAATCTGGGCCCCCGACAGAGGGAGGCCTGTTGGAATAGGGTAAGCAGAGAAACGGCAGTGGTGGGATGCAAGGGGATAGAAGGGTAGTAGGGAGCGCTAAACGAGTCTTTGAATAAATGACAAGCGGTATCGCTTGGACAATGGTTAGGCGCCATGCACCAGTGAGCACCATGCACACGGTCCCAAGTGCTAGACGACCTTTGACGTTCCCTTTGACACAACAAGACACACCAAGACACACCAAGACCTGGACAGAAGGGTCTGTGTTAAACGTGCACCGGTGCTTCCGGACTGCGGGACGTACCGGGAGTCGGTCGTAGCAGTGACCGCAGTTAGCTGGCTTGCTTCGTACGGCAGCAACGAATCTTCACCTTCCCCCTCGCCGTCACCACCGTCATCCTCCACCACCGCTGGTGTCGCCGTTGCAGCTTCCGCCTCCATAACGCCTCCGCGTTCAATGCCGCCGGCATCAAAGGCAAACCCAACATCAGCGTCAGCGTTAACGGCGGCGGCGGCGGCTTCCGCTGCTGCCTCCACCGCCCGTCGCGCCGCCGCCTCCGCCGCCGCATTCACCGCCTCCGCGAGTGATTCGGCATCACCCGACGCTGTCGCTGCCTGCCGCTTGGCGGCGTACCTGCTTTGCAGCCGGGGCATCGCTCCAGGAAGCGGAATGAAATCCGGCAACTTGGATCCTGCAGGACCCAGTAGCGTACGAGAAGCCGTTGCCGTACTGCCGTGTTCCGTACTGTTGCCGTCAACATCTGAAGCTTGTTGCGGTTGGATGTACGGTACCGATACGCCCAAATGTGTACTCGCGCGCTTACGGAACGGCGCAGATGCTTGTGATCGGCTGCTGTCACCATGAACACCGCGAGCCGTTGTCGCCGTCGCTGAAGCGGTCGCTGTTGCCGTAGCACCTCCGCCGACGGATCGACTTCCACCAAGCAACGGCGACTGCGCCTGCGACGTAACGCCATCAGCCGGGTTGGCGGCGCCGGGCGGTTTGACGCGCCAGGTGCGAGCTTCCAGCTGCGCTAGTCCTGCCGCCATGTGACGTTGCATGATGGCCGCAACACGAGCGTCCCAAACTACTGGCGCCGCTGCCGCCGCCGCTGCAGCGGCTGCCGCAGCACGTGCACGTGAGCCAGCAGACGCCACGCGTTGATGCGGCGCTTTTACCGTCCCAGCCGCATCCGCTCGAGCGTACATGCTGTCAAACCCGGACGCCGAGACCGCTGACGTGTGCGGCTGTGAGGCCGTCGTCGTCGTTGCCGCCGCCACCGCCGTTGCTAGCGTAGAAGGACGTGGCTGAGGGCATGAGGCGTGCGTTTGCAACAATGGTAGCGCCGCCGGTGCAGGTGTGATGGCCATGATGCCACCGCCAACGCTGATGCTGCCGGTTTCGGTGCCCTGGAAAGGCCGCGGCGAGGCAGAACGGGACAATGTACGGGATCCAGGAGCGCTGTGAAGTACGGCAGCTCGAGATCTGGATCCAGGACGCGAGCCGGGTCTGGATCTCGACGTTGCGACGGCGGCGGCAACGACGTTGTTGTCAATCTGATGCGCCGAAAATGATGGCGGTGGCGGCTGGGATGCCACGACGGCCTCTGCCGCCGCCGCCAGTGAAACGTATGTCGCTTCCCCAGGGGCGGCGGCGCCTCTGCCGTCAACATGGGTGACACTGGTCTCGCCGCCGTCGCCGCCGCCAAGGCTTTGCCCAGGGCTCCCGCCACCGGCACCGCTGACAGTAGCGCTGCGTGACTGTACGGCGCCTGTTGTCGTACCCTTGGAAGGCGTTGGTACGGCAGGAGCACCGCCCACGGTCACACTGCGAGCGAGACCCCGCACTGCAGTGTTGGTGTTGACGGCGGGTTTGTCTGTAAGAGAGGAACTGAAATGGCTTCGAAACTGGCGCGATGATTGTTGCTGCTGAGGATGCGGTTGTGCAGCGGCGACACCGGCTGCTCCCGAGGCGGTTGTTGCGGCGGTGGGGCTGACGTGGACGCCCGATATCAGGAGGCCTTGATGGTTACGTGCAACAACCTGCCGTTCAAGGACGAGGGTGTTGGTCAGTATACTGTAAGGCTGTAAGGCAGTACACTAGGAGTGGCGTGCGGTTGCCGCCCGAAAGCTGAAAATTGAGGATTGCGGGCATTAAGGATAGAAAGCAGTACCGCTAGGAAAAGATGATGGCAATTAATTGAAGAACAGAAGGCCCACGGGTCTAGGGCCCTGCCCGAGCAGGAGCGTCGTACCTGTCGGCTCGTTTGACGGTTGTTAGCCAGCGACCGAGCTGACGCCAACGGAGCAACACTCGCCGCTGCCGATCCTGCTGCCGTACCTCCGCCGCCACTGACGCCGCCAGTAATACTCGTCGCGGAGCTCCGAAACCCGCTGTTACTAACACCACTCGATTGCGGCAGCGGCGCCCCCGCCACTGACGACGCCGACGGCCGAAGCGCCGCCGTCGCCGCCGCCACCGCTACCGCGCCCGAAAACTCGGGATGAGGCGGCAGGCTGTGCGTCTGCAGGAGATGGGCCGCCCGCTGACGTGTGTGAGCGAGGGCGAGTCGGAACTGCTGGGTGTTTGGGCGGTCAGCCTCGTGGCCCGTATGGATGTCGTACAATGCGTCCTCCTGCATGTTTACGGTTGGGTTCGAAGTTGACTAAATAAGCATGGTACGAGGCTATGAAAGGGAGGGTCGGAATTACGTTTTCCAGTAGCCGCCTACCTTGATATCATCATCCTGAAGACAGAACCCCTGGAGCACCCACTAGCCAGCAACCCCGTAACAAGCACTCTCTGGACAAAGAAGCATGCCAAGTGCCGTCTGTTACCTTGTTCATGTGGAACTTGATTTGCGTCATCATCTCCCGAGCCTCCTCCACATCCAGCTCCTCCATCTCGAAATCATCGTACGCACTAAACACTGTCGCGCCGCCGCCGTCATCCCAATCCGGACTCGCGTACGACTTCCTGTCGTATAATCCGCCTCCACCAACGCCAGCGCCGACACCTCCGCTGACGCCGACACCCGGGGCGGTGGCACCGCCGACGCCAGGGCCGTGAACCAGCGCCGGACGGAGGGAGCTCGGCGTGCCCGCCATTATAGACGGTGTACGGAAAGCGCCGTCAGGGCCGCCGCCTGACGTGTACGACGGCAGACGGCGGCGGATGGGCGTATCTGCCGTACTTGGGGTCGCGCAATGCGCCTCCACCAGCACGCCTCGGAGGAGACCTCGAAGCGGCGCCGCCGGCGCTGAAGGCGTCGACGCCGCTGCCGGTGTGGCGACGCTACTGCCGCCGCCGCTGATACCTCCACTGGCAGCGCCGCCGTCGGGGTCCTCACCATCGGCGGGGTGATTGCCGCTGGAATCGCGAAAGGATGACTCGTGCGACCCAAGGTTCTTGAGAAACATAGCAGACGTCGCGCCGCTCACAGAGGCGAATGAGACGCCCGACGTCTCAGGTCCGAGAGGTGTTCCGGAGGTGCCGGGTGCACCGCTGCCTCCGCCTTCGCCCCCCTCGGCATCGCCCTCCTGGATCGCCGGCTCCTCCTGTAGTGGGGATTGCAGGACGCGCAGTTTGTACTTTAGTGTACATCGTCGTTTATTGCAGAAACAAAACGTTGGGGGCATGTGCTCAAACCACCTTCAGAAGCCATCTCTCAACCATCGCACATAGGTGCTCTCCCAACTCACCGGTTCATCCTCAAATCGCATGCGACGCCGAGGCTTGCGTGGCTTCATTAGCATCCCGTCGGGCCCCACGCAAAACGAGTACGACATGCCGGATGGTTCCGGATGCACTGGTGTCCCAGGCGACGTGTCGGACACAAGAAACGGCGTTGCGTCAATGACACCTGCCGCCCCCAGATGACTTTGATGGTGATGATGGTGATGATGCGAATGCTGACTTGGCTCCGCTTGTTCATGCGGCGGCGCGGGTGTCGAGCAGGACAGTTCTGTATCGTACGTCGTCGAACGAGACAGCCTGCTGACGCCGGGTGCGGTAACGGAACTAACGGACATTCGCCGCGAGACAAGTTCTCCAAGGGGGCCCTCATCGTCGTCGTCGTCGTCACCGCCGTCATTGGCATTGTCTGCATCGGCATCTTCGCCCTCACTGCCGTCAGCACCCTCACCGTCGCCGTCTTCGGCAGCATAGGGATTGTGGTTGGCCGTCAGCTTCAGCAACGCCGCTGCCGCATTCGTACCGCCAAGGTTGGAACTCGCGAGCATCTTTTTAATGCCACTGACCTGCTTCGCCAGTGTCGGCGACGGCGTCGTCGTCGCTGCCGCCGTCGCCGAGCCCGCGTCGTCGCCGTCGGCGGCGGCGAGGGCGCCGTCGCCACTGGCTGAGGCGGCGGCCGCAATGGCGTCACTAATCGAGAACGGCTGACCCCCGGGTCGGTGTTGCTGCGTCAGCCACTTACGCAGCATGGGCGAAACCCACACGTCAGCATCCTCGCCGTCCTCCCCGCCGTCGGCACTCTTACGGCCGCCGCCGGCATCAGCGCCGTCGCCGCCACCGGCTTCCGCTTGCAGCATCTGACGGAGCTCCTCGCGTTCCTCCTCCGCACGACGCTTGGCATTGACCAGCCAGGGTAGTACCTCCTCGGACGAGCTCGACCTGGGGGGTACGGTAGGTGTGATGTGTGTACGCCGTAGAAACATGGCACAATTAGGTGAGCTACCGGTACCTCACGAAGAAGTTGGATGTTTAGGGGTGCAGGAAACAGCCTAACGATCCCTGTATGACAGTGGAGGGGAATGTCGTCCGTTCAACAGCACTCTTGTGAGCACCCTCTCTCTGTATCGCTGCACTTGCTGCCAACCAAAACACCAGCACACGCATCGCTCGTGTACAACATCACAGGACTGCCGCACACTTACTCGGAGCTCTCCTTATCGTCATCGCCCTCATCCTCGCTGTCGCTGTTGTCGCTGCCGCCCCTCCGGCGGCTGCCACGCCCCAAGCTCCTAGCCGCCAACCTCCCGCTGCGGCCGCTACGACCAAGCCTCTTGCTGGCCATGCGTTTGCTGCCCAAGTTACGTTTGCTGTTCGTCTTCATGGCCTGCAGTGTACGATAGTAGTACGGCAAGCAGAAACAGAGCTAAGACGTACGAGGCATAGACGAGAAGTGCGCTGTGTTGAAAGGCAAACGTGTCGTACAAAATACGCACGTACTGCAAAAAAGGAGGGCATGGGAAACGCCCCACCAGAAGTCGATTGTTGGCAGGGGGTGAGGTCGTGGCGCCGTCGCCGTCATCGTCGCTGTCGTCGCTGTCAACAGCCGTCTTGCCGCCGCCGCCAGCAGTGGCAGCAGCCGCGGCCGCAGCGGCGGCGGCGACGTTTGCGGCGACAAGGCCTCCGCCACCGCCGCCGCTGCCGCCGCCAGGGGGTGCGGGCGACGGACCGCGGACGCTCCGCGCGATCGCTTCCGGTGGCCGTTGGCAGGCAGCCTGCGGTGGTTAGTGGTTGGCGGTGGTTGCCACTGGGGTTGAGAAAGATTGGGCGAAGGTGTCGGCCCACCTGCTTTCCCTCATGTCCCGTTGCCATTCCTTCCTAACCGCGGCCCCCAGCTGGCCTTTCGGGAGCCCGCTTCTCCAATGCATTCCAGAACCTCCACAACGCCCCTGCCAGCCCCAAACTCACCCTCAGCACGGTCCTGGCCCGCCGGTTGTAGAAGTTGGCGCCGCTGACCGGCCACTCCAGTCCCGCGGCCAGGGCAGCAGCCACGTTCAGGTCCACATTGCCCGTCTGCGTGTGTTGGGAGGGTTAGGGTGTTGGGGCGCCACGGAGGGAAAGGACTTGCTGAACAGGCCTTTCAGTGGACGTACGGCACTAATGAAAGAAAAGCAGACCCGTTCGGCAACGTTCCACCTCCGCCGCTTCCTGCCATGGCTTGCACCCCTGGCCCCATCAGGCTCTCCCCGGCATTGCTCCACCCGCACGCCGGGCCCCAGCGCTCACCCTGCCACTGCCGCCGCTGCCGCCCCCACCGCTGCCTGCCGAGAAGGAGGACTGGCTGGCCATCTGGCCGTTGACGGAGGAGGTGCGGCTGATGGCTGACCCCGTGGAGCGGAGGGAAGCTGGGTGGAGGAGGAATGAGGGGGGGGGAAGGAAAGCGGGCGTGAGACGGTATGGAAATACAGTTGGCTACTTCTCCCAGAGATCTATCCCGGTAAGGCTCCTGGCGCCTCCCAGCCGAGCTGCACGTGGTGCCGCTGGGCTGGCGGTCGGGCGGGCTGCTCCTGCTCCCCAACCGGTGGCAGGCCAGGGACACCCGGCCTGGGCTGCTGCACGTTGACCCGTTTGCTGGTGCCGGGGTCCAGACCAACACCTTGGCCCACATTCCGCCTCACCCGACCGCCAGCCTAGCGGCACCACCAGCAGCACGGCTGGGAGGCGCCAGGAGCCCTACCGGTTAGTGGCCATAGCATGAAGGGGACAGGAATTCCGTACAAGCCCAACGCCGCTCCTGTCTTCATCCTTTCCTTCCGCTCCCTCCCATCCTTCCCTTCCGCACTTACCCAATCTCGCCACCACCGCAGAGGAGGTGGAGGGCACGCGCTTCATGGTGTTCAGCAGGAGAGCGCTGATGGAGGGCGCGCGGAGCAACTGATTGTACATCGTACAACAGGGTGATTTGCCGTACACCGTACATCATGGTTGTGCCGTATACAGTGATGCCATACGTCAGATGAGAGGGGAGGGGGAAAGGGGAAGGGTACAGAGGATGCAAGGGAAGGAGGGAACCAGGGGTCTTGCTTAAACACGGTTGTGAGAAGGGCAAAAAGAAGGAAAGGGGACCCGCCTAGGATAGGCACGTAGGCCTGCACATGCAACACAACGGTTTTCCTCCAATGACAAACGTAACACACCGCGTACATCCATAAAAGCAGCAGCGGCAACTGGTCACAGGGAGCTGAGTCCCTTCGGGTTGCTTTGCGCCTTCCCGTGTATTATCCCGAACCCCAGAGTGCCGCCTCTCAAACCCTAGTTACCTAACATTCCTCCCCTCTCGCCCCGGTATCATAACTCGCCATCCCTCCCCTCCCCTCCTTCCAGCCCGCACTCACCCGCTCCGTTATCTCCGGGTGTCGCTGCAGGTGCCGGGTGAGGGAGGGCGTGCGCAGGTGCGCCGGCAAGCGGGACACGGCCTTGGCGGCACGGACGCGCTGACGACCTAGCGCGGGGTTCTGTGGAGAATAGGGTGGGAGCAGGGGGATGCAGGGGATGGGTATTCCGCACGCGGCTGTGATAAGAGGAGAAGGGGAGCAAGGGGGAGGTAGTGAAGAAACTTAGGCCCTGGCCAGCTGCCCTTGGGTACCGGTAGCTGATCATGACCTCGATGCCGCCATCCCTGCGAGCCGCCGATAGTACACTAAAGCAACAGGAGTAGTTGTGGCATATTGAATAACAGGACCGGAAGGGAGGGGTTCCACAGGGGGAGGGGAACCCTCCCCATTCACGGCAGGCAAAGGTCGGACCCCAGGACCACTTCACCGCTGATGTCGTCCAAAGTTCGTTTTTCGCTTGCTCGTGCCAAATGCATAGACGTCCAGTGCACGCACGCAAGATATATGGCTAATAGAAAGTCCTAAAACGTTTGAGTTCGCAGCACCCGGGGAGGGGGCTGTGAGGGAAGCGGGACTCGGTGACAGGGAGAAGCGGTGAGGGATGGCTGTCGGTAGAGGACTAGTTTGGTATTTGTCAGGAGGGTTACCACCGTTCTATTAAGCCGGTTGCAGGTGATACCAGGACACGACGTTGGGTGCCTTCCCCGCTCCTGCTGTTTCCCCCCCCCCCGTTCTGCCGTACCTTCATTTCCTCCATGGCTAGTTCCACGGCCGCCATTACCCCTAGCTCGTCCTGTTAGGGGGGTGGGGTGAGGTGCCAGAGGGGGGCGGAAAGGGTTTGGGAGAGGAGGAGAAGGCGTCACGATGCAGGTTTCTACGGGCTCTCTACGGTTCTGAGCCATGACTGCCGTACTGTGAATGCCGTACTTCTGGGTCACAGGTATCTTTCACTGTTCGGCGAATCAACACGCATGCACGTAGCGATCCCGGGCACGGCCCTGGTTCTCTTGGCGTCATGTGCATGTTGTGTACGACAGAATGTCAGGAATGTGTACGGCACTCCTACACCGTCGTACCTCAAGTGCCAGCGGACTGTCCGCGATGTCAGACCACTTGGATCGAGCTGCGCCGCCCTGTTTTGAATCGGGTTGGGAACGGGAGGTGGGGGTTCAAAGTGAAGTCATTAAAACGTTTTTAGGTTGGGTCAAACGTGTGGGGCCGACAAATGCTATGAACAATTCCTAGCCTTAAAATGAGCTGCACCGTTTCATTATGAGAGAAAGAGATCCAAGAAAGCCTTGGGCGTAGGGAGCCTCTCCACAACTACCCCATATGTTACTTCTTAGCAAACCCCCCCTTCAAGATGGACACGACCCATGGGTCACCTCCCACCGCTCACCCCAATCAGATCTCCCAGCAGCTTGTTCCGCTTCAGCTTGGCAATCATGACCCCGAACGGCAGCGCCACGCCACTGGGCAGCACATACTCCCCGGACAGCAGGTTCTTACCCGCGGCGAACTCGTACCTGCGTCGTACATGTGTGTCGTACAGGAGGGGATGTTATTTCCAAGTGAGTATGTGTAGGATGTGAAAGTACTTCCGTCCAGCCCCCCCTCCTGCCCCAAGTCTACAAAGACCCACAACCAAGGTGTGAACGGAGTGATAGCTTCGAGCGAAACGTACAGCAACCCGACAAGTGGCAGCAGCGCACGTTTGCAAGCTCCCCACTCACATGAAGAACGTCTCGAACTCCTTCCAATTGATCACGCCATCCCCGTCCAGATCCATCAGGTCAATCATCTCATTAATGTTGTTGGCGTTGACTGGCACGTTGGAGGCCTGGGTGGTGGTGGTGGTGGTGGTGGAGTAAAACAAATGAGACACTGACCTGGGTGGTAGTGGTGGGGGTAATGTGTATGAGGGCGTGGGGTTTGTGTGACAAACAAACAAACCTCAATGGAGCAGTACGGCACAGTCCCACGGGTCGCTGTCCTACCCTCAGCGCTGCCAGCAACTCCGAATGGTCCAGTGTGCCGCTGCCGTCGTCGTCCACGAGGGAGAACCACTGCTCGATGACCCGAGCGACGGCGGGGTGCAGGGGAGGCGCGGGAGGAGCGCGCTTGCGGCGGTCAAACCACTCTCGGTTGTCCCATTTTTGGACCTGCGATGCAGGAGAATGAGATGATGAGTCGTTTGGTGAGCGAAAGTTTTTACCAACAGGTAGGACAACGGATTGCTGTAGGAAAGGAAGGGGCAGCTGCTGCATGGCACACACAAGCACATAAGAACTCCCAAAAGTCGTCTTGTGTCGTCAGACACTCAGCATTCGTCTGTCGTACAAACGCATTGCCGTACCTTCCGCAGCAGTTCTCGGCGTCTCTTGCCGTCCATGCGGCCTCGCACCGTCACCGCCTGACCTGTGGCGCGCGCCTTTAGCTTTGCCATCCGCAACCGCTCAGCCCAGAACACCTCGGGCGCTCGTTCGTGCGCGTACGCCTTAATCTGTTTTGTCGTACACAAAACACAACGGCATACACGGCAATAGTATGAATAGATTGCTTAACAGAGCTTCATAAACTAGATGCGTCGGCACAAAAGCGAGCTTCTTAGGGTAATGGCACTCTACCGGCTGGCAAGCTGCATTGGACCGGTAATGATGCCCTTTTATTACTAGCACATGAACTTGGAATGGCCCATGGGTCAGTAATAAAAGGGCATCATTACTGATGCACTTATCGCTGAACTTGAGAAACCGGGCTCATGCTCTCGCATGCGCCGACAACTGTACGACACCCACCGCTTCCAATGTAGGCCCCGGAGGTTGGGATTTGCCGCCGGCTCCCGCGCCCTGCATCGAACCCGAATCGTCGTCACCGTTACCGTTGCCGCCCTCCTCCTCACTCGACTCCTCGTCCTGGGGTTGGCAGTTTTGCAAAGGTTAGTTCGCTGGTTATTATAAGGGATCGGCTGTAAGTGTTTTGCCTGCATGAACCAAACATGAGTGCTGGGGTGGGGAGGTAGGGTACATTGGCAATGGGCACAGAGGGCGTCGAGTAATTGCTGAAGCTCACAAGCGAGCCGGGGTAGGGTTGCCAAGCAACGCAAAGCGAAAGGCCTGCTAAGCTATAAGGGGGTGGAGACACTTGTTCAGCGCTACTATCGGTACGTTTCCATGGTCGGCATTCTTCCAGCAACCTGACGTTCAAGCAACCCCTTCAGCCTTAACACTCTGGCAGTCTTCGTGATTGCCTGAAGCCCTCTGTATTGTTCCTTGACCCTTGAACTCAACATTAAACGCCTGTCCCGTTCGGACGATTCTTACACCTAAATTGTTGAAACCCTAATAGGGTTCGCCCCCACCTCCGAGTTAACCGTGGGCTGCGGGCGAGTGAGGGCGTCCGGCAGCTCCCGACCCAGATGGTAGTCGATCTGGGGGCACGGGAGGGAGGAAGATGGGGCGGAAGATAGGGATTAGGGTGAAGGGATGAAAGGGAGATAATGGAGGGTTATCAGAGGTGACAGCTAGTCAAGGGAAAGAGCGCATAGGACGCTGGTAGAGCAGGGTGCTTTTAGGAGGCACGCAGAAGCCCGCACCAAAGCCAGCTACAATAGAACCAGTAAAGCGAAGCAAAGCTAGGGCCTGCGTTCGACATGTAAAGTTACATCGCCGCACCATCGCCACGTCCTCCGTACCTCCTCTTCTCGAAGCTGGAAGTCCCACCCTCGACGACGCAGCAACCGCTTCCGTACAGCCCTGCCAGTCAACCGCTCGTCCAATGCCGTCACCGTCGTACAGCTACGGAAGCTACGGCCGCCGCGACTTGACGCCGCCACTGACGGCGCCGGCCCACTCGCCGCATGGGCCTTCGACAGGTAGAGTCGGCGACTTGCAACGGACGGTGCGCTGCTTCGCGGGCGTCCGACACTCGCCGCACCGGGGCTAGCGCCCGCAGTCGCCGAACTGCTCGTCCGGTACGACATGTCGAGGCGAGCACCGCCGCCGCCACCGCCGCCACTGGCGCTACTGCCGCCGGCGACACTGGTCCGCCCGCCAATGGCGCCGCCGGTGCTAGTCCTGCCAGTGATGGCGCCGCCGATGCTGGTTCGTACGGGGATGCCAGCGTTACTCACCCTATGCGCCAAGCCGGCGGCGGCACCGCCGGTACCGCCATCGTTGCTGGGAGCGTCAATGCCGACACGCGACTTACGTGAAACTGCACCGACGGCGCCCATGCCGCCCACGCTGTTGCGGGGGCTTAGTAATAGCGCACCGCCGTCTCTGCGAACCGGCACGGCGCTTCCGACGCGCACCCGCTGCGAGACGGCGCCAACCATGCCATCGCCGGCGCGCGACTTCATTGACATTGCGCCGCCACCGGCTCGGGACTTCACTGACGCGGCGCCGATTGTACGGACGGTGGCGGCGCTCCCAATGCGGGCCTGCTTGCGCGGCGCGCCGCCAATGGTACGAGTCGTCGCCGCACTGCCGAGTCGCGACCTAGCAGCACCGCCGCCGGCGGCTGCTAGCACGCCTTCCTCAAGATCCAAATCGTCGCCGCCCACCTCCGATGCCCAGTCATTCACGTCGCCGATGTCTGAATCTATATCTCGATCCGTACCAGAATCTGATTCCTCGAAATCCGAGGAGTTTAGTTCGTATGGATCGATCACGACATCTTCGTCGCCCGGTCGTCGCTCAGCGCCGCCAGCTTTGTCGCTTTTGGCGGGGTCAACGACCGCGGCGCTGACCACCGAAGCGGCGGCGCTGCGCGTGGGGAGGTAATTCGAAGTTAGGAAGGCTGTGTCCTGCTCTTCTTTTGGAAGGAAGGTAGAAGGAACGCCTCAACATGGTCAAAAGAACCCGAGGCCAGAGATACAATTACTAGTAGTTGGGGAACTCCAGCACAGCCAATACATGCCACTATGAAACACACAACCGTGGAAGTTGACATGTGCAACGCATCCCGAACCCAGCTACCGGTATGCAGGCATGCCTCCAACCATGCATAGCATGCCCCGCATCTTCAGGCACATGCTAGTAGGGTGCCTTCGTTGCAGAGCAGGCTTCAGGTTTGCCATACACGAAGCATGTGTCGTACCTCGCCTGGCTGCCGAAGGACTTGATGGACTGCAACGTCCCTGTCCGTACCAACAGCTGGTCGCCGTAGAATCCACGAATGCGATCCACGGCAGCCATTTTTGTCGTACAGCTGCCGCTACCGCTGCAGAGCGCTGCAAGGCTTCTCTATGCCAAGGATACACCCATTGCTGTTGTTGTCATCGTTGTCAAGCTACTGCCCGTGTATATTTGCATGCGCCACAGCGCCAGCCAGCGCCGTTAACTGCTGTGCCGTACCCGTAACAACTAACTGCCACTAAATAACTGTCCCTGATCGGTTAATTAGGATGTAGGATGTGTGGGATTGCGCTTACGAGGGTGGCCATGTGTAGGGAAGGAGCTGCACGTACGGGCAGCGGCAACAGCCGCCGCTAGCGCGGCGGTCTGTTGCATGCCCTGCTAGGGCGAATCCGAGTGGAGGCTGCCTTTCTGTGGAGCGCGGCCTGGAGGGAGGTCAACGGGGGGTCAAGGGGAGAAGCGAAATGACAAGTCAACGGAGCATGGGTGGAGGACGTGTTGTATACGCGGCTATGTCTAGGCTGTAAGGAGTGCAGCATGCCTTCTTCAGCACACCTGCCATCCACCCATCCCCACACCTAGCCGTAGCCCCCCGGCCACAGGGTAGACCCGTAAGCTACCCGCTACCCGCTATGTTACATGTTCCTGCCTTACAAGTAGTCCATGACAGCACGAGGGCCGGGGACCAGGGTTGGGATGCCTAACACCGTCGGCCGGCGACCACCCAACAAGGACAGCGAGACCCAGCTACGCGTATTAAGCCTAATCCAAGCGCCGACCTACCTTCACGACGCGTGCTCTTGCCCGCGGTTGGACAGGACCGATCGTACAGACCCAAGACCCTAAACGGTTCACGCAACTCCAAGATGCAGCAGCGTCTAAAGTATTAATATAGGGGCGGGAGTTGTACAGATACCTAGAAAGACATTAACATGAAAGCAAGCGTAGAAGTAATGAAGGTAACGTGCACCTCTTCGCAGATATTCCAGTGTATGCGAATAACCTTTTGTATACGCGTAACGACCTATAAGTGGTAATGTTGTGGAGTTACCCCTTCATAAAGTTCTTCTGGTGCTTATAAAGGTCTCAATTGGGTAAAGCAGGAACTGGACATCTCGTGTGTGTTATAAGGTGTGTATCCTGGATGAACAGCGACGCTTGCGGTTCCTGGAGCTCGGTCGCTGGCACGAACCGTCAGCTGGCGTACACCTTGTACGGAACACCGTTTGCGTTCGTTGCTACTGCAGAGGTACCCTTTAGGACTTGTCCTCTTAAGCATAGGCAACTATTTTGCTGTTCAAGCTTTTAGCTGCGCAGTTTAATTTAGGCTCGAGTTAGTTGCCTTTTTTCACGGCAGCTTTGGCCCTGTAGTTGCAAGCATCAGGTGTCATCCTCTACTAACGGACATCGTAGAGGCCACAAAGTTGACTGCACGCTACCCTACAGCCGGCGGCGGCAGACATCGCGACGGCTCCCAGCGCGACACTATCATGGCACTAACAGCGTGAAGCCCTCAGAATCTTTTAGCGGTATAACTTTGATTGTGTTGTGCAACGTAGCTTAAGACTACGGTTCCTAACCAGCGAGCACAACTCCAAACCCCAACTCCTTCCAGCAATCCCGTCACCCTGGAAGCCCCGCTGGGCATCTAGCAAACCAAGCAGCACCGTCCTGGGAGTACATTAATTCGCATAATGTTTAATAGCCGCGGACGCGGTGGCAGTCGCGGTCGCGGAGGCGGTGGGCGCGGTGGCGGTGGACGCGGCCATGGCCATGGTCGCGGCAGAGGTCGCAGTCCCTCCTTTGGTCGAGGACCCTCCCTTCCTTCTTCCCTGCTAATGGAGCTCGGTGGTGATTCCGCTGGCGGCGCCGGTGGTGGAGGAGGGTACGGCGGTGGGTACGGCGGTGGGTACGGCAACCGTGGTCGTGGCGGTTTCAGAGGGCGTGGCAGGGGCGCCGAAGGCCGGTTCGATCGTGGTGGCGCCGGCGGCGGCAGTAGCGGCGGCGGTTTCAAGAGGAGGGCGGATGCAGCGGGCAGCGCAGACGCAAAGGTAATTCTGCCGCTGGGTGGGTAGGAGCTGCTGAAGGTCTGTCGGTTGATGGATGTGTGCCGGGTATAGGTCAGGTGTCACGGCACTGCTGGGTAGCGGCGCCCCGCAGCCAACCTTGGCCTAGGAGCTGGGGACACCGACTCCTGTCCTGGTTGTGCGGACCCAGGGACCCAGGGCGGCATGTAGGAGTGTAGTAAAGGGGAAGGGTACATCACACGTCACGACGTTAGGCCGCCTCATCAAGCTAGCTGGGCATGGTTTGTGCACGACAGACCGCCGTACTGTCGTACACGCGTCCTTTATCCATGATGCCTGTCCAACCCCTTAGCTTAACCCCTCTCCTCCCGCGTGCTGCCGTTCACCCCTGCCCGCCCGACCGCCGTACAGCGCCCTGCCAAGCGCCAAGCCACTGGACCCGCGGCCCCTGCTGCTTCGGGTGCCGCCGCCGCTGCTAGGAATGACCGCAACGGCAGCGAGGCCGGCAGGCGACCCGCAGGCGGGAACGGAGGTGGCAAGGAGGAGGGCAGTAGGAGGGGCAATGGACCGGCGGTAGGAGCAGCAGGAGGGGGGCTGTCTAGGACTCTAGAAGCCATGCGGCAGCGACAGGCAACAGCTGGCGGTGGCGGAAGGATGGGGGCGACGGCAGCAGCAGCAGCAGGCTCGGCTAAGGGCGTCAGCTCCAAGACCAAGTTCCATGAGTTGTTGGTTGACGGTTGGGAGAGCCGCAACGGCAAGGAGGCCTTTCTGGAGGAGCTGCGGTTGCAGGTTGGTTGGGTTGGTTGGGTTGGTTGGGTTGGTTGGGTTGGGTTGGTTGTCCTGCTAACCCACCATGTGTCCTTATACCCACACGCCTAGGTGCACCACGGCCACCCCTCCCCTCCCTCATCCTCATAGCTTTTGCCCCCACCGCCACCGCCACATCCTTCCACTCTTCCCTTCACACCTCCTCCTACCCACTCCGTCCCACCCTCATCCTGTCCCCCCTCTTCTCCTTCCCTCCCCCCAGGCCCGCCTAGCAAAGCGACTCGGCAAGTCCAAGAAGGACGCGCTGGACGGCATGGATCGCCTGCTGGGGCAGCTCTCCGCCGGCTCCTCCTCGCTGCTACCGCAGTTCCTGTCCGACCCGGGGGACCGGGCGGAGGCAGCGGCGCTGCTGTCCAAGGCAGCCCCCGGATCGTCCTCCGAGACAGCGAAGGGCGGCGAGGCGGGAGGCAAGGGGGGTAAGGGGGGTAAAGGAGCGAAGGTGGTGACGTCGTCGGCGGCAGCGGCGATGCGAGCCGCGGAGGAGTTGTTGGAGCAGGAATCGGATGAGGAGTTGGAGTTTCTGGGGATCGATCCTGGGACTCGGGACATGCAGAGCGATGATGAGGAGGGAGAGGAGCATGGTGTGCTGGACAGCGACGACGATGACGATGAGGAGGGGGAGGGGGAGAGCGAAGATGAGGATGAGGATGATGAAGAAGAGGAGGATGAGGAGGACGATGGCTACGACATGTTGGGTCACATGTTTGGAGCCGACAGCGAGGACGAGGGCGAGGACGAGGGCGAAGATGAGGAGGAGGAGGAGGACGAAAAGGAGGAGGAAGCTGCAGCAATGCAGCAGCAGCAGCGGAAGCGGCGCCGGCAGCAGGAACAGCAGCAGTCGGGCAGCGACGAGGGCAGTGAGGGCGAGGAAGAGGAGGAGGAGGACCCTAGCGGCGATGAGGACGAGGAGGGGGAGCAGCAGGAGGACTCTGGCGATGAAGCGGGTTTGCTGGGAAGCAGTTTCGGCAGCAGCGGCGAGGAGGAGGACGAGGAGGGTGAGGACGAGGAGGAGGAGGGTGAAGAGGACGAGGAGGAGGACGGCGACCATAAGGGGGCAGCACCCGCAGCGGGGGCAGCCGCTGCGCCGGCTGGGCGTTATGTCCCGCCGGCGTTGCGTGCACAGATGGCGGCAGCAGCGGCAGCGGGCGGAGCAGCAGGAGGAGGTGTTGCCGGCGGGGCGGTGGACCCTGCGAGGGCTCAAGTGGAGCGGCGGGTGACGGGCCTGGTCAACAGGTGTGTGTGGGGGGGGATACATTAAGGAAAAGTGACGAACTGGACGAACAGGTGTGTGGGGAAGGGGGCACATGCGGGTGTCGGGTGAAGAGGAGTGGGGGGCTGGGCAGGCGAGCCGCAGCGAGGCAATGACGGCAGGGGAATGTGAGCGGCTGCGTGACTGCGTATGGGTGCTGGAGGCGTGGGGGCACATGGGGGTGCTGGGACACATGAGCAGGGGGGGGAGCAGGTAGAGCGGTACATGTCGGGATGCAGGGTTCATGGCTGCCCCCTGTTTCACCCACACTTACCTTTTGGCCTTCTCACCGCACCTCGCCTCACCTTCCGCTCCCCCTTCCCTCCCCTTCTCCTCCCACCCCCCACCCCCAGGCTTGCCGAGGCCAACCTGCAGCCCATATCGCGGGAGGTGGCGGAGCTCTACCGCAGCCAGGGCCGGCGCCTGGTGTCGGAAGCAGTCGCGACTCAGATCCTGGGGGTAAGCCGCGGCCCGGGCAGGGCAGCAGCATACTGGGAAGCCGTTACATCTCATTGTTGCCTCGCGAGGTTTCCTGGTAAAGAGTTTATATTTCTTAACATCCGACCGGTTTTGGAGGCATTGCCGAAGCAGGTTCCGGGGTTAAGAAGGCAACGCGATGCCTCTTCACAACTCTCCTCCCATGTTCGTGTGTGTGCTATTCTACGACAGCACCCTCACCCCTGCCGTACACTGCAACCCGACCGTACGACAGGCTGCCGAGTCGGGCCCCCGCGCGTCCGAGCAGTTTGCTGCCGTGGCTGCCGCCTTCGTTGCGGCGGTGGCGGCGCAGGCGGAGGCTCAGGACCTGGCGGCGGGCTTCCTGGCGAGCCTGGCGGAGAGGCTGGAGGCGGCGAGGAGCAGCGGGGACAGGTGGGCTTGCAGGTGGTGTTTTCCAGGGGTGCTTTCCTGTTATCCAGTGTTGTTTTTTCTCTGCTGGTTGTTTGGTGGTCTTCCTGTCCTTCCTCTGTAACAGTCCACATCGCAAAAAAAGAGGGCGGGGGGGAAAGAAGCGGCGTCCGGGGGTGAAGTGGGGAAGGGAAGAATGCGTTATTCCTAGAGAGGAGGGAGGTGACTGAGTATGGGGCACATGCTGCATGGGTGATGGCAGCCGGGGTGGCTGAAGGGTGGGCCCCTTCCATGTCCATCCCTTTCCTCTTTCCCCGCATCCCACAAAAGCGCACGTCAACCCTCCCGCCCTTCCCTCCCCCACATTGGGAATTTCTTCCCCCCCCCCCCTCCATGCCTGCCTGCCTGCCTGCCTGCAGTCTGGCCCAGGCCAACCTAGTGACGCTGCTGGCCTACTGCTACAGCGCGGGACTGGTGGGTCCGGGCCTGTGCTACAGCCTGCTGGCCACACTGAAGGAGCGGTTCCAAGAGGCGGACGTGTCGGGCATGGTGACACTGCTGAATGCGGTAAGCGGCGTAAGAAGCGTGACTATAACGACCGCGAAATTGTGCATGTGTGTTATGTGTTGGGGTGATGACAGCTGCTGCTTAGTGTGAATCTCAATATCCTTGCTATTGCCGCATGAGAGTTATTTTCTAGACACCGCTGGACTCCTTAGCAGGTCTAAAAACTTATAACGCTGTCAACGCTGTCCCTGAAACCTGCGCAGGTGGGGTTGCAGCTGCGCAATGCCGACCCGGCGCTGATGAAGGAGTTCGTGCTGGGGGTGCACGAGCGGGCGGCTCAGCTGGGGAAAGACGGTAGGCGGTGGGGACAAGGCAGAGGCGGCAGGGGCGGGAGCAAGGTGTCAGGGCTGCAGGTGTAGCTTCTGGACCACCTCTCCAGGAGGGAGGTTGGCCGGGGGAGAGGGGATGCTGATTCGGGTTGGATGTGCCGACAGACCTTGGCCGCAGAGAGGAGCTGCATATGCGCCAACATCACATCAACAACAACAATACTAATGCCCCAACGTTTGCCGTACACTTCCCACTGACACCGTCATGCACTCACCGCCGCCGCCGCTTCCGTTGCCACTACAATAACAGCAGCATGCCTACATTCCATACCGTAATGTACGACAATCTAATTCATGATTGCCGTGCCGTACCGTGCCCGTACGACGCAGGTCAACTCAGTCGTCGCGCGCAGCTCATGCTAGAGCTAATCATTGACATCAAAAACAACAAGACCTCCGCCGCTGGCGGCGCCGCTGCGGTCGTCGTATCCCTGGGCGGTACGGCAGTTAAGAAGAGCAAGGCGGCCGCTGCAGCAACGGCCGGTAACGGCGCCGGCGGAAGCGGCCGCCGCGGCGGCGCACTTGCCGTACTCCAGCCTTCGGTTGCCAAGTGGTTGAATCAGTTGGGAGTTGATGAGGTGTGCCTGAGAGGCCTTACATGGCCCAAGCTGCTCGTTCCTAAGAAGAAAGGTGTGTTTGGGGAGGGAATGGCTCGCAGGGAATGTCAAGTATGCACGCATGGGCCACGTAAGTTGCATTCGGGAAATGCTTTTGAGGTGAATGCTCGTAAATTATGCCACGATAACGTCGCTATTGCTGCTTCGCTGCGTTCCTGTTCGATTACTAGCCCCATTGCATCTCTCCTTTCCCGTGCTCGTTTCGGTGTGAGGAGTTCGAATGCACGAGTTCCCCAATCCTTCAGTTAAAACGCTCTGGTTTGTTGTCGTACATTTTGTCGCGCAACTTACTCTGTTGTACGGCACATGCAAACAGGAATGTGGTGGATGCCGGCGGCCGGGGAGGCCCTGGACGACCCCCTCCTCCTCGCCACGTACGGCAATGCAAACTCTGGCGGCGGCAGCGGCAGTGCTGACGGCGCCGCCGTCAGTACGGCAGCAGCCGCGGCGGCTGCCGGCGCCGCCGGCGCTGCTGCCGCCAATACGGCAAAGCTCTTGCAGTTGGCGGCGGCGCAGCGCATGAATACGGATGTACGACGTGCCGTATTTGTGGCGATCATGGGATCAGAGGTGAGTGAAGGATGTGCTGTTGGTTGGTATGGGGTGAAAAGTTCCATTACTGTTGCGTCGGTGTGTTGACAAGTATGGAAGCGAGCCGAAGCGCACTTTGATAGCCGGAAGGTAAAGCCCGTTGGTGTGTTAAGGAACCTGGTGTACGAAAGCCCACGAGAGCCTCAATCCTTGCATGAAATACTAAGTAAGTCTATCCGACGTTCTTCCTCCCGCAATTGACCCCTTGACGTACCGGTAACAGTCCCATGTGTCGCGCCTACCGCCCTGCTCCCTTCCAGGACTGCGCTGAGGCCCATGAGAAGCTGCTCAGGTTGCCCCTCAAGGTAGGCAGCAGCTACAGCAGCTACAGCAGCTACAGATGTAGCAGTAGAAACCGCGGCCTTAAGGCCGTCTGCACTGCCTTGGAACAAGTCGCGTTATAGTACCCGCTTTTGGACCCAACCAAGCAACCAACCACCAAGCCCTAACGAACCAACAAACTAACGAATTCCTGGGCACCTCGAAATCCTGACATCCCTCCTCCGCAGGGCGACCAGCGTCGTGAGATCGTGCGGGTGCTGGTGGACTGCTGTCTGGGCGAGAAGGCCTGGAACCCCTACTACGCCTTCCTGGCGATCAAGCTGTGCGGCGGTAGCGCCGAGGGGGCTGGCGGTGGAAGCGGAAGCGGCGGGTCGGTGGGTCGCGCCCACCGCGTCACCCTGCAGTACTGCCTGTGGGACAAGCTCAAGGAAACGGAGGTGGGTTGGGGAGTGGTTGACGAAGGTCGGGGGTAATTTTAATAAAGGCACAAGCTGAGCGAGACTGGATCCTGTCCGTGATGAGGGCCCGCAACTGCAGCACCCTTATTCACGCCCTCTACTTTCACCTTTCTTTCATTACCGTATGTTACCACCTCCGCCACAACACGTCGTCCACCTTCCCTTCTCCTGCGGCTGCTGTTTCGCCTCCTCCTCCTGCTCCTCCTCCTGCTCCTCGTTCCCACCTCCTCCTGTTCGCAGCCCATGGAAGTACGGCAGCTGACTCACCTGGCGAAGCTGACGGCGGTGCTGGTGGCTCGCTTCACCCTCAGCCTCTCGCTGCTCAAAGTGGGTGAAGGGGGGGACAGCAGCTGTAGCAGCAGCAGCAGCCCCAGCAGCTAGGCGGTTGTCCCGTGATGGTTGTTGTTGATTTGTGCGCAGCATGCGCGGTATATGCACGTAACCTCCACAGAAGGGCGTCCGAAACCTCCATGTCTTTCTTTAATGTTTGTTGTTTGGTCCTGTCATGCTTACGTCACCAACTGCTAACGGTCATCGCCCCCGCGGATGCAGGTGGTTGACTGGTCGGACCTCACCGCTAAGCAGGTCTTCCTCTGGCGGGTGTTCCTGCAGCACCTTCTGGCGAGCTGCAAGAGCGCGGGTGAGAGCAGCAGTAGCAGATTGAAATGTAGCAGCAGCTGTGATTGGGAGTTGAATAAGTCGCAGGACGCTTGTTGACTATAGCTTATGTCGCGAATGGAGCTGTTACGGTACCGGTAGTGGGGCGCCTTGCTTATATAAATGCAGTTGCGCACAGCAATAAAAAGGAAAGGTTTTGTTTCCGTTGGCTTAACTTAGTAAATTGTTTTTCTGTGTTTCCCTTCCTGTTGCTGCTACTGCTGCTGTTGCGCCTGCTCATCGCTGTCTTGACCGTAACCTACTGTGCTGCCGTGCACTCCACGCGGGGTTAGCCCGTGTTGCCGCACATGCGTATAAAACCGACGAACTTCCCATTGCTCATCCTTCCCTCCTCTCCTTCCTTTCATCATGAACCCACAGGGGATGTCAAGGAAGTGTTTGGACGCGTGGCGGCTCAGCCCAAGGTGAGGCCAACGCAACTAGAAACTTAAACTACATCTTTGGCCAGCGGAGTGCACGGTTGTTCTTACGCTGTTGCTCACCGGCGCACATGGCCTTTTGTACGTGCGCCTTTTATACCTATCGCATGCTTCCAAATGCTTGGGTTCCTGCGTCTGTCTTCTTCTCTACGCCTCCTTTGGTCCTGTTTCCGCCTTCCCATGTATTTATCTGCCGTGTATATACATTTCCATTGTATTTCCCTGCTGCTCTACCACACCCCCACCTCTGCCGCAGAATCTGTCCCCGCTTATCTCCGGCCTGCTGCTCTTCCTACGCACCTCTTTCGCCCCATGGGTCGCTACGCGGACCGAGCCGGGTCCCGAATCGGACGAGCTGTTGCGGCGCACTCGGGTAGCTGAGAAGGAGCTGGCGGCCGGGGCGTCGGCTGCAGCTGCCGTACTAATTTAGGCTTTTTTGCCATTTTGCATTCAGTTATATAGTCATTGCTGCTGTTACTTACGTAAGCTCTGCGGGGTTTCCGTCTTAAGTACTGGAGGAGGGCGGCAGGGCGCTGGGCACATCGGCAGCATGTGAAGTACTTGTTCAGGCATGCCGTACAATGCTACTGCCTTCAAGTTAGGCCTGCGGTCGTACAACGGTGCTACTATTCCTGGATTATCAAGCAAGCGCTGCGAACGCGAAAGAACGCATGGCGGCGGAAGAGTAGCCAGCGGGGGAGGCTTAGGTTACTGGTTTTAAGTTGGGGGTGTGGGTATTGGCGGCGGCAGCTGCCGTACAGATTTAGAATCGGTGTTACATTGGTACGGTGCATGGAGCGTTAGCTGCGCCCTTGGGAGTAATATTACCGTGCTACGTTACCGCATAGCACGCGCAGGGGTAGGCTGGCTGCCAAGGAGAGGGTAGCCACGCCGCCGGCAAGGCAGAGAAGATGGTGGCAGCGGAGCTAGGTGGACAGGTATGGGCTTCTCAGGTGGAAGCCCATGTTGTTTTTGGGTGTATTGGTCGCGGAAGGTTATGGATGTAAGATTGGCGAATGGCACGGAAAGCATATAGCGTGCAAACAACAATGCCCAAGTTGGCCACCTCTGTCTGCTTATTTCCTTCACATGGCACTTCACAAGTTTCCAAAGAGCAAGTGTCTTTGGAGAAGTGAGTTAGGATCGCGCAGCGTTATCATGTGCACTGTCCCTGCAACTCCCCAGGCCTGCCTGTAACGGTCATTCATTCAAGTAGCATCCTGGCAAGGCCCAGTATCCTACCGCATGTCGGCCATCCGCACTCACCCGTGCATGCCCAACTGACCGATGGATACAACCGGTACGATGCTAGCTCTGAAGCCACATAGGCCTGTCCATCAGGCAGCTTGTTACAAAAATTGAATTGAGGAAGGGCAAGGGGGCGAGCTGACATTACTAGGTCCCGCAGGCTACATAGCAAGGGGCATTCATAGTTTTGTCTTCAAACCTTTCTACTTACTGCTAATGGACATCTGTGCCCCTTACTACGGTCGCACTGGAAAGAAGCCTTTCCATGAATTCCGTAATGATCCGCAGTGCATTTTTACGGTTTCATCGAATGACAGCAATGAAACTGCATCTCAATAGAACTATACTTGCGTAGCACCTTAGATACCAGAGGTCTGCCTTCGTGTCTCGTGAACAAGGGAATAACTGTGGACTAACAACGACCACCACGCTGCAACGGGAATGTACCTCCGTCGTTTGGAAGGAGCTACCATTCTTTTATATTTGCGGCTTACTATGCTCACATATAACATACGTATCCAAGTGCTGCGCCTTTGTCCTGCCCGTAATACTGTACGTGCGTATCATGCAAGTTCCCAATACAGCGGTAACCTTGGTAACCAATAGCAGTGACCGCCATGGCAAGAGCATCCATTAGCATGGCTTATCCATGTTTCCTGTTCAATATGTTGGCTATGATTATTGCTGCAGCACGATACCTAGTCTCTTCACAACAAAAGCACAATCTTTATATTAAAACTTCATATGCTGAGAATGCGGTGGAATCTCAGTTGCGGTGCCCGTGCATGCACGTACAACCCGTATGCTGCCGTCCTACCACCGCAAGAACAGAGCCCCGCGACATTCGTGGCAGTGGCACATTATAACCTAATTGCAAAGATCTGTAGCTGTAAAGGCTGAAGCCCAGGCCTGTGTGATTAAACCTCTGCCGCGGGTTCAAGCGTTCGCTCAAGACTATTGACGCGCTTACCCAAAAACTCTGGTAAGAGCATTCGCGTACAATACAGGGGTTCTTGTTTGATAGCCCTGCTAGGTTACCAGGTTACCACATGTTTCGTCCCTCTTTGCACCGAAGCGAACGCCATGCGTATCGTAGGTTCTTGCCAGTCAATCGGCATTTGCTCTGGCCCGCAGATAGATTGTTTTCAAGATGCGGTTACTACTGCAGGCACCGCTTTTAGTGGCGGTGTTTCTGCTGGCCTTGCATTTGGCTGGCATGGCGAAATCCCAGCCAACAATCGCTGCAACCACCGTTGACGCCCTAAACGCAACAATGCAGACCGCGGTTCCGGCTGTACTAAAAGGCATCACGACCTTCTCCGGTGCCCGTAGCTGGTATGCTTCTCCCTACATCATTTGGTCACCTCGCGGCTTCCCGGTCGTTCTTAGTGCGAGCAGCAATCCTCACCCGGTGGTCTCTGCTGTTCAGCTTGATTCCGGAAGCCGCGTAATCGCTTTAGGGCACGAGGGCATGCTGACAGGTATGCCACTTGCAGGAACATTGTTACCGCCTGAATTTGCTGCAGCTGCGCCTTAAACGGGTTGATGCCATGTTGCCTGTTACAATACATCGTCGGGCTTCCTCGCTTCCGGTAACGAGCTGCGTTTACTGTCGACCATGTTGCCCTGGGCTGCCAACAGTTTGCTTTATTTATCTTTTCAAGGTTATGACATTCCTAACCTCAGCTGCACCTCCATCTTTGGCCTCCTGCAGACTGCTGCAGCGCCAACGATGCGGTCGACAAATTGGCCGTGAACGCCTTCAACTGGCTTTCGGACTCGCAACTCGGCCGCACTTCCCTCAAGATTGCCACCCTCAAGAGCCCCTACTCCCCTGCCCTCACGGCGATTGGAAAGGTGTGTAAGCGGCTCCGGGCAGCAGGCTTAGGAGGCTGGGGTTTATAGCTTGGGCACTCGAGCCTGAAACCAAGCTGCTACTGCGGTTAGGGGGAAAGCAGAAGCAGAATGCGCACTTGTTGTCGCTTTCACCACCTGCCTTCCTGGGTAGCCCCTTCCCGTATTCCCCATTCTTAGCTGCGATCGATATTCTTCAGTCTGCCGCCTTAACGCTTTACCCTTGCTTTCCTCTTGCTCAGCAACTGGCGAGCAGGCTTGGAATCAAGGTCACCACGAGCGTGCTTACAGTTGACCAGATACTCACCACTCCAATTCGCAATCTCCCAGATATCTACTGGATTGACTCCTACACCACCTACACGGCCGCCCAAGTGATCACCCTGCTGAACTATGTGAACAAGTACGGTGGCAATCTTATTGTTACAGGTGTGGGCTGGGATGACGGTGTGCATGTCGTTGATGTTCGAACGGTGTGCGAGTTGTTTTGGATTGGATTGGATAGAGGTTACCAAGCTTACAGGCCGTACGATGTTAGAATCCGAGCAATTTAAGACACTTAGTTAATAACTTGCACCCATGCTGCTGCACTGTCGTACTGCCGTACAGGTCATGCATGGTACTGGAGCTACAGCCACGACGAAAACCCGCTTACCGGGCACCCCGTTAATGCCGTACTGTGGCCGCTGGGACTGGGCCTCACAACCAATGGCGAAGACGGCTTCCAGGTATATAATTCGGGGATATGCGGCAAAACATGCCTGCTGCGCTTGCAGTGCATATTAGCTGGTTACGCCTTGCCTTCGGCAGCCCGAGGTTTGGGGCTGCCAACACGCCTTACCGTTGACATACTGCAGCCTAGCCTCTAGGTAGAATTTATGGTTTTTTTAGATCCAGTGTTTGCCGGTCAGGGTTGCCGTATTGCATGCCAGCATTTGAAGTTTCTTTTCCATTCACACCAAGCCCCTGCCTTCCTGTTACCGGTATTCTCAATTTACTGGCATTGGAACAGGCAATGCCCTTCATCTCTTTTCCCCACCTATTCCTCTGTCCCAGGACCCCGTGCCTCAGATCCCAAACACGTGGCTGTACTACAACGCCAACTATACACTGGTAAGCGTGCGGCCATTCCCTTACCTTGCGTGTGCTGCTTTGATTGGATTCGCACCAACATTTCAGCAGTGAAATGTCATAAGGGCTGTGCAGCTGGACGCGGGGGGGTCGGATGCTGGTTGTGGTGACTTTTTGAAGGGGGCGTGTACTGTTTAAACCCAAACTCCGCTGCGGGTCACTAACGCACTAACATGATGAACAAAGCCGCCATTGTCCCTTGCCTATAACTAGCCGCAGCCCTGTCCTGGGATTCAGTGTGCCCTTGTGCCCCTCTGTTTCCCCCGTCAGTCCCGCTTGCTCGAGGCTGCTACCAAGCTCGGTCGGCCTTTCGATACTACTATGTATTTGAACGGTAAGCCCTGACTCGCTTGTATAAGTACTGACACGTTCATTACCGCTCGTACAAAGGTCAACCGCATATATAATGCTCTGGGGGCGACCTTAACGACCAACCGCCAGTACCGGCACCTGCACAAGCGGAGCAGGGCGCTGAGGCCTGCGCTACTTTTCACCAGCCTAGCGTTGTTGAGACCTGTAGCATACGCACGATTGCCACCATCATGCTCTCTTCCCACACCTCAACCCGACCATTCACCCAACCAGAGCCAACAACTGACTTATCCAGTCCTTTTCTTGCCCTCCCACACGTGTGCTTGCCGTACAGCCATTGACTGCCTGAACCAGCTGCTGTACACGCTGCCCGGCCAGTACAGTCCCGCCCTGCCCGCCACCGCTCCCAACAAGCCCTTCCAACCCGTGTGGAATACCCTGCTTGCGGCAAGAAACACATCGGCTCCCGGCGTTGGACCGAACAAGCCGTTTGCCCCCTGGGCAGCACACCCAGCGAGCTTCCTTGGGGTATGTTAAGGCTATACGCAGCGCAGCCGGCATGCTTTATTGGTGCGGTATGTACTCACATGCGCGCATGCCTGTGAAGGGCACACGTGCGTTCGTATGCTCCTACGGACCCCTGGCTTACATGTTGGTTTAATACTGTCGTTCACCCCCTTTCTCCATGCGTTCCTTGTGTTTCCACGCCTGATGCCGTAAGGGAATCTGTGCTAACCCTATCTTTTCCCCTCCCTTCACTTCCCCAACCATACACTCAGCCCGCCATCGACGCCGCCATCACCCGCAATGGTGACATTGTCAACCTCAAGCCCTCCAAGTCCGCGCCGCTCTACCCCGGAATGCCTTTTCCCAATACCTCCAAACCCAGTCCCGACCCCATTACCCTCACCATCAACACCACCTACACCGGCGTCATGATGGGCATGCCCATGTCGGGCAGTGGAGACCAGGTGTGGCGGTCCACGGGCCTGTACGCGCCTGCTGGCGCCATTGTGAACGTGACGGTTGAGGCCAAGGGCGTTGGAAAGGGCCTCCTGGTTCAGGTAAGGTTCAGAAGGCTACGAGAATAGGAGAGATCTCCCAGGGCTAATGGACGACTGGGTCAGGGGGGGGGGACATTTTTTTTTGGTAAACCCCATGATGAATTTTTGGTGGCGACCCCTCCCGGACCCACCCACCCACCCTACAGAACTTCGAACGCTATTTTCTCATATAGCCGTACGCCAAAAAAGACGCAAAAAAGACCAATGGATTCCTTTCAGTGTTCTCTTTCTGTGTATACAACTTGTTGAGCTTTTGCACCTACTAAGTCATGCCATGGTCGCACCATGCCATGGTCACGCCATCCAACCCTATAGACAGCAACGGGTGCACCGTTGTACACTAGCCTCATACACACGCACTAGTGCGTCAAGACCAGCAATTACCAGCAAGGATTAGCAGGGCTCAAACAACGTGCAGCGGCTGGCACAGGTGACGCAGCTGCTGCCGAGAGACCTGCCCCGTTCTACTCCCCTCAACCCCACCCCAGAGATGCAGCACGTAGGGGAGCCGTGTCACATGGTTAACTTCCCGGGCCCCTTCTGCTTGGCTGGGCAGACCACCTGCGGGTGATTCCCCCCTAAGTGGAGGCACCCGGACCCGCACCCTGCCTGCCCCCCACCGACCCATACGTGTTTTGGTATCTCTCTGACCACCCATGCGTGGTAATGTCATCATACCATGCCCAAACAATATCAGGAAGAGGCGAAAATGCGTTTATAGACTGCTTACAGTATGTTTATCGTATAAATGTACTTCATAGTGAGTTTGGCAACGCCAGGAAAAAGTTAGGAAGCCCTCGGAAAAAAACCACTGGACCCCCAGACCCCACCCACCCACCCTGCCGTACAGTCACCTTTGGGCGCAGATAACTTTTTCCGTACAACCCCAATTAAAATTCTGAAAGCAGATTTGGAATGCTCTCAATAAGCTCTTTAACTTTGAATCATGGGGTCTGTCCTCGCGTTTCCTACCCCCCCCCTGACTGGGTAATACAGAAGATGCGGGTACACTTTCATGACTGAATTCCCTATGAATGCATTGAGATTTGCTATAATCGCATTGTCCATGCATTGGTTGCCCCTGGATTCTACCCTTTGATATAACCTAATGTTCTTATTGCTCCTCCTTTACAATTACAGATCGGCGCGCACACGGACGGGCTTGAATACAAGAATCCTTGGTATCGCGTGCCGGACGCAGTCGCCTCGTAAGCAACGGGAAACTCGTTAGAACCCCAGCCTCAAATGTCATGAAAGGAATGCGAGCGGGCTTGTGACCGACCTTGAGTGCAATAATGCGCGCAGGTCATTAAAGCATCTAGCCTGGACCTTACCAACCCTCCTGTCGTACACTGTTGCATGCCAGGTGGCCGCTGAACTCCGCCAACATGAGCGTGGGAAGCCCCCTGGGTGGCCTCATCTTCATTGTCGTGCCCAAGGGCCTGAATGCAACGGTCGGAAGCTTGCAGGTAAGCGCGTATTCGGGTAAGCAGTTGAACGTACGCCAGTAAAGAATTTTTATACTGGAGTACGGAATGGCTCAGTACGTTAAATCGCCACTCGGAGATATATTATTTGTTTGGGGACGTGGTGGCCTAGACGTAGATGTTGGGATAGGCGTCAAGGGTCAACCAGTATCCGAAACACCAGTACAAGCTTTGGTCGCCACTTTGGCCCATCCAGGTGACCATTCGTGGAGCCCTCCGGGCGCCGTACTACCAGTTCGGAGTGACCACAGCGGTAAGTTGATTCCTAAGGCCGATCCTGCTTTCGTTTATCCCATCCTGTCCGCGCGCCCAAGTACATTCGAACTGTCGGGTTCACAAACTGCCGCGTTCATGGGGATATACTAATTGAGTGGCAAGCATTGTTGTCAAGAGCCTGCTGCCCAAGTCGGCTGTCGGTTTCTGCTCCTCATCGCTTATTGCCGTACTCCTCTTGCACCTGTCCCGCTTGGTATTTATTCAGGCCGACTGGGTCAACACTATCCGCTACTACCCAGCTCCCTGGGCTGAGCTGGATAATGGCAAGATCGTGCTCATGGTGCCCTCTGCGGTGGGACGGTTAGCTGCTGGGGGCCCCGCGGGCTGCTGGGGAAGGGCCTTGATGGGGCAGACCGAAACATAGTTGGGAGCCCGGGTTTCATATGACTACGTTTCGCTTCCCTAACGAACAAATGAACGAGCGCACACCCTTTCACCTCCGCCCTCGTTGCTTTATCAGGCCATTCGCAACATGACGGACCCCGCTCCGCTGATGGTCTTTTGGAACAAGGTGATGGACGGCATGGCGTGGCTGTCTAACATGAGCCCCGACAGGCCCAGGGCGGGTAAGTCCTTTTGGACAGGGGTTTGGGAATTACGGTTGATAAAATGATGCTTTAGTAATTAAGGTTCATGTTTATGTTTATACAGTTTGGCATTGTATGCAGAGCGTTTCCTGGTGGATGCTGACATCTCTGCCGGCTGGATGCACAGCGGCTACCCGATCATGGCTTACGACGATCCAGAAGTGTGGCAGGTAGGGGCCTCTAGTCGTGAAATGACCCATGGGTCAGCATTCAGTGACACAGAGATAGGTTCATGGTTTGGGGACGAGGTAAATGTGGCGCACTCTACGTGCTGGCACATGGCATGCTAACGTACGAGGGTAGGGAATACGGCTTTTATATGTGGTCCTATGTGGTGATGTGCTGGGAGAGGTGCCGTAATTGCTGCATGCATCCCAACGATACTTTCCTCCTCGACTAGTCAAACAATCCAAGGCAATGAGTACACAATCCTGGTTTCTCCCGTACACCCGTAGGAGGTTCTTAACGTCACAAGGCTTATGGTGAGTTCATAAGCAAATGCCGTCAGACGCTATTGTTGGGCGTTTTTAGTTTTGTTCGCCGTACGTGTGCGTCTGCTTATACGTCCACATTTATTGTCCATGTCGAGCAATGCTTAACTAATTGCAGACCGAGGGAGCCTGGGGTCCTTTCCACGAGTTGGGCCACAACCACCAGTGGAGCGACATGCAGTTCTCAGGCACGGGGGAGAGCTTCAACAACCTCTTCTCCGTTTACACTGAGGTGCGTCGTACGAGAAAACCTTCTGCTGTACACAATCATGAACTATGTGCAATGATGTACAATGATCTGCGTGAGCTCTATTTGCCGTACATAATGACGCCGGAAACGACGCCGCCGCGCTGCTTTGGGACCTCTACAGGAGAAGGTTGCCGGTGTGCCCCTCACTGGCAGTGCTGCGCCCAAAGCTAGGGCCGCTGCTCGCAAGGCGTACCTGAATAATGGAGCCAACTGGAAAGAAGACTGGAATGTTTGGGTTGCCCTGGACACTTATCTGCAGGTACGGTGCGGATTTATGCAGCATAGGTTGACCTCAGGAGCTCGCCAAATGAAGTACTGGTAGTTGGCTTGTCTGGAGGTTATTGAGGTTAAAACGTCCTGACCTCCCTTAGAACCCCGTGCGGTGCCGTACATGCAGTGTACCCCTGATGCAGCAAGCGCAGCATCCTGACCGACCCACGGGTCAACCACCCGCTTCCCATTCCAATGTTGCATCCCATACACAGCTCCAGAAAGGATTCGGCTGGGGCTTTTACCGCAACGTTTTTGCCGCCTATCAGAAAATGACTACCTCTCCCGAGGTGAGCACCTGGTGTTGCTGTTGCTGCTGCTGCTGACGTTGTAAGGCTGTCCTTGCAAGTCCCTGCGAACGTTTTACGGTTACCTGATGCCCGTGTATGCATCTGTGCTCATATGTATGTACTTTAGGAGATGAGGAGCTGTAGAAGCAATGGTGTGCGTCAGGCACCGCGGAAGCCGTCTTACCAACCCCCTGACCATTTATTGCACGAGTTTCCGCTGTCCCGCTGACACCCCAACGTAACCCAACACAGGATGCTGTTCAGACATGGATTCAAGTTACCAGCAAGGTCGCGAACCGTAACCTAGTCCCCTTCTACAGCGCCTGGGGCTTCCCCGTCTCTCAGGACACCAAGGATGCGGTCAGCACCCTGCCCGCATGGACGTAGAACCCCATGGCTTAGTAGACTTGGGAGGTGCCCTACCAAGAGCCATATTCAAATGGCCTGCTTCGCTCACTTTCGAACATTATGCATGGCTGGCGGCGGCGCGTCGTTGCTGTCAGTTGTGGTAGTGATAAAGGCCTTCCCCAGGTACGACAGTCGACAGGGTGTCACAACAAATGCTTGCTATCTCGCTCGCTTAGTATGCGTACCTCGCTATGTTCGCATTTCCTATGTTTTGTAAGCCAGGGACAGCGTTCGGGTGTTGCTAAGGTGCCCTATTACAATTTTATACGGGTCCCTTAATGTACGGAAGTGTTCGTTAGTTGCCAGGGCCCAGTATCCTGCCTGAACGAAGTTTGCTCGATTCAGGAGGCATGCTAGTCATGCGCTCGTGCAATTTACGGACAGCTGGCCTTCACATACGGTGTGCATGCAGCACGATTCGTGATTGCCAAGCCGTGATGCGCAGCTTTCCTTGCCTTTTCCGACAATGGAGGGGCGTGGCGCTTATATGCATGGTTTGATGTGGGCAGTAGGTAGGCAAGGATGGATTTGGCACTCCTGACACGCATAGCGCAGCATCGCAGGGTGTACATTTCAGTGAGTGGATGCTGTTTTTGCGAGCGATATCTTGCGTATTATCCAGCTGCTCGGGATGCTGTTGTTTGCGCACCTGTCCATTTGTTACAGGTTAGGCAGATGTACGCATAGGATACCGACTGATGGCGTGCCGTACATGCACCCAGTCCATGTCGAAACGACATAGGCGCGCGTTATCATGCGTACCTGTAACATTATGACGACCGTGAATTGAAAGATTGAGGCATGCATGCCGGTGTTTCCATCTTTGCCCAGGTCTGGCGTGCGGGACTGGCTACCTGTCTTATTTGTCGCAAATCCCAAGGGTGCCGTGTGATAATACCGTTATCCTTTTGTTTGCGCCATGACAGGCGTTTACTATTAGGGAGTTTTCCCCCGTCCCTAATCACGAGCGATCTGCCGGTAGCTCGTGTGGTCTTTGGTACTTACGATGCCCATTCTTAGGTCAGTAATATTTAATGCGATTGTAAGAAACGGCGCGCTGGGCTTTCTGAAGTGCCGTGCCGAGTCTGATGTAGGTCCTGTATGCCAATTGCCGAAATGTGATGGCTTAGACTGCCGCTGTCACGCCATGTTGCTGGCTATCCTGGACGCGACCGCCCATCGCCGGTTCGGTGCCTCGCGACAGATTTAAACGTGAATGAGGGAAGCCTAATGTGTGTAGGAAGGGGTTGGACACCAGGGGCATGGAGGAGGAGGCGTGTGGAAGGCGACGATGGACGGGCTAAATGGCGCGCTCACAGCTGCGCCGCAACGCCTGCACAGCGGTCACTGACAAGCTGCCTAGCTACCATTGGAACATCCTCCTAGCTGCAGCACTAGTGACGGCTGCGCGCGTATGGCTTCAAAACCACATGTAGCGGACTGATCACGGCTGCAAAGTCTGCCTCCGAACCAAGTAGTGCCGGATCGTACTCCTCTGTCAGGCCCGCAGCCGGCAGCTGGTCAAAGTAACGACCCATGGCCTCCAGGTGCGGCGAAATAGACGGGTAGTTTTGTAGGTGGTGGGAAAGCGCCGGCTCCATGTGGAACAGCCACTCCGTCTCGTTGCGCGTCACGGGTGTATCGACACCGTACTTGAGCCATGCCGCCGTCACCAGCTTGTTGCCGTCACGACCGAACCACTGCCGAGTCTCAGGCGGCTGAGCCGATCCACCGTCCAATGCCTCTTCCAAGGCCGCCGCGTCCAGATCTGTACAGCAAGGGTAAACAGGGCACCAACCGTGTCTCAATTGTGCTCAACAGCACCAATAACCGGACTCAACAGCACCGGGCATGAGGGAGGGAGGGAGGGAAACCGGGCTCAACAGCGCCGGCCATAAGGGAGGGAGGGGGGGAGGGAGGGAAATCGGGCTCAACAGCGCCGGGCATAAGGGAGGGAGGGGGTGGGACAGAGGGTGCAAAGCCGCGGGGCACGAGAAAGGCAAAAAAAGGAAGAGAGACGAGCACGCCAAAGGCAACAAAACGACGATCAATCAGCAGAACGCACGAACAGCGCAAGGAAACAAACCTTCCTAGCCGGCGCTACATACGGCCGATCTGACCCCTGACGACACGTGACCAACTAGCGAGGACGACTCACCCAACCCAGGTCATGCCTCTGTCAACCGGATCCTTGCTCCCGACCACGCTCACCTCTCTCTATGTCGTTGTCCAGCCCTGCGGTAGCGCCGGTCGGTGATGACACTCCAGGAGCTGACTCCCCTTCGGAGTGCACCGCATCCCACCGAGCCGTGACCGGCGCGACGGCCGGCGGGTCGCCGAGGCGATCACCCTAACGAGGACCGCGTGGAGGCCTGCGTGCGGCATCGGCCTGCGCGCGCTCCTGGTGCTGCTGCCTCTTGTTCACGAAACTCAGCGGGTCAGACTTCGACAGAGCGATGAGCACGGGGCAATTCGTGTAGCCATGGCCGCGAGCGCCGCACTCGTGGCACCCAAACCCCCTGCCTGCCACTGCATCCTGCGCAGCCCCTGGCGCCGCCACGCCGTCACCGCCGACTGGCCGTTGCGCTGGCGGTCCCGGCAGCTGAAGTGGCGCCATCTGCGGGACTGGCTGTGCTGCGGCTGCGAGTCCCTGATAGCCAAAGGCCGGAAAGGCGGGCGTCTGAATCGCCGGCACTGGCGCGCAACTGGTCGCCGCTGTCTTGGAGGCCGCCGAAAAGAAGCTGCTGACTGCACCGGCGACCTCATCCGACATCGACGTCAGCACCCCCACCAACTCGCGCTGCTCCGGTGGGCCAGCAATGACCTTGGCTGCAGTGGCGTGCTTAAAACCCTTCGCCAGCATATTCGCCATCTCCAACGCTGTTTGCTGCACCCCCGCCACCTGCATCAATTGATTCAGCGCCCCCCGCGTGTACTGCAGCTGGTCTTGCTCGGAAGTCGCGGCTGCTGCTAGCGCGACAGCTGCGGATGCCTGGAATGATGCGTCGTTTGTGAGCTTCCGCACCTTGGAGACGAAATTCGTCTCAGACGTCGCGAGCGACCTCCGCCCCTGCGCCTCCAACCTGTCACCCAGGCCGCCGGAGCCCTGGCCACCATCCGGCGCCAGCACGCCCTCCGCCCTCCGTCCCCCAGCTCCCGAGGTCTGCCCCAGAACCAGCGTGGCACCCCAACGGCGCCGCAGCTCCGACCTCTGCATCTGAAGGTCGCTGACCGAACGAACCAGTTCCTGTCGGAGCTTGGACCGGAGCAACAAGTCGTGCTCCAGCTGACGTCGTGCCCAAAAGGCTGTCACGTTCCTCTGGTGCTGTTGTGCTAAGCCTTCGGCCCTGCTTTCCCATTCGCTGATGGCCGCCTGCATAGCCTTCTTCTCAGCTGCGGTACCTGCCGGTTGAGGAGGCCGCTGCCCGAGCTGCTCCAGACCCGATGCATGATCCGAATCAAGCTTCTGATAAGCCTGACTGTCTAAGAGCGCACTCAACAGCTGCTGCTCGTCCGCAGACAATGCCGGTGTCTGCTCCAACTCGTCCCTCGCCTCTTGCAGAGCTGCAAGCAGCTCTCGATCCGCACTCGCCCTGTTGATCGCCAGCGCAGCAGTCTCCAGCGAGATCTCCCGTAGATAAATGTAGCAGCTAAAATAGCGTTAAATAAAAACTGCCGCGACTCCACGCGTCTAGCAGACAACCGCAGGCACCCAGCGACCAAGGAAAGAAGGACGCTGAACCAACTACTACCGAGCCCTCAGGGCAAAACGCAAAATGGCGAACTACCTACTGTCCGTACGCAAACACTGCCTCACCGGCCGCGGGGGCGCGGCGCCTAAAGGGCCCTATGCCCGCTCAGAAACTCATTTTTGATGGGATCCAAAATGTTGCGTGATGGTAAACGGGCAATTGCCAGAAATAAGGCATGCCACCTCTCTGGCCATCTTCAACACCGCCAGCAGCCTATGTGTACGTGTCGAGCGTGAAGAAACGTGGGTCTGTGGCAGTAGTAGTGGACACACGAAAAAGTGAAGACACGTCCAACATGCTTGCCCTCGTTCCTTCGTCCTAATGATAACCCTGCATCATCCAGTAACCCATGATATATACCCATAGATATATACCGGTACCACCGGGCCCCAGCCCGCACGTTGTCTGAGGCAAGTGTCCATGGTAGATACTATGTTTAGTACTGCAGTCTTCCGGTTATACCCAGCAACACAAACAATGCAAGGGTATTGCCAGGGAGGTCAGGGGGTGGACGAGCACCGAGCGAACGCCCCAACTTTCACGAGCCCCCGTCCGCTCGGGGCTGTAGGCTACAGCCTCCTGACACAGAAGGCCTTTTGCCAAAGGTTGTGTTTACCGCTTTCGGGGATGCAGTGTTCACCTTCAAACGCCCGTCGCAATGGCTGCACGATACGGTAGGATTAATGAGAAGCCAAGTGGCGCAAGTGCTTAAGGTGTGCGGGAAATTAGCGTACGATTGGAGGGAAGGGCAGCCAGCTGCTGGTACCCCGCAAGTTATAGCCCCCTGGTTAGCTAATCGTGAGCTGCCTGTGCGGCAGCTACTGGCTGCTTTGCGGAATCGGTTTTTGGCTAACTGGGGAAGCGAGCGGCTTGTGGTGGCCCCCCGATCCTTTGTGTCGGATGGTGGGCAACCCGGAGTGAAGATGTATCGTTACAAGCATTGGATGGGATCTCCCTTCAGCATGATGAGTTGGCCCCCTTATGCCAAGGCGTATATCCCCAGGCATCACCTGTCTTCCCTTATGCGTTTTCGCATTGGCTGTTGGGATATTGCGGTGAATCGCCCTGGTAACGGGGCACAGCGCGTAGCTAGAGAGCAGCGTTTATGCCGTTTTGTGATACGGACGTCGTGGAGGATGAGTTCCATGTCCTGATGGAATGCGTATGTTACGCTCCTTTGAGAGCGGCGGTTGGCTTTCCTGATTTGCCGCACCCCACCGATGCAGATATGGCTAATATTATGTGGAGTTTTGATGTTGCTAAATTGGCGAGCCTTCTACATGCTATTTATGCGTGTAGGTCCAGTCGCGCTTAATAGGTGACCACCTTCGACAACGTTCTGTCTCCCCGCGAACTTCTGTTTGTTATTGCACCTCTTGACCGGAATGGTTCGTGAGGTTGTGCGGTAGGGCGGGAGGGCCCTACACCGTACCATGTAATCGTAATCGTAATCGAGAAGCCAAATAACTTGGGAATGCTCGAACAAGTGCTACTATTGGTACAAGTACTAATGTTAACTGTTAACTACCAGTGCTCATTCTGTCTGATGCAACCGTTAACGACGTGAGCACATGACCCTGGTACGTTCCTTATTCCTTGTCAAGGGTTTCCCGCATTTTCATTGAGCTCTATGCTATTCGAGATGACGACGAGAACACGTCCAGATACATTGTACGCCTACTTGATGCTGTATAGAGTCATTACTGTTACGTTTCGAGTGCGTCCTGCCTGTCGCCCAAGTTCTCGTGACCAGCCGAGGGGTCTTCCCCGATAATTACATAATTACAGTCGCGGCTGTGCGTAACTGACGAGCATCATACTTCAGTAAGGTAGGAACATGGCAGGATAGATTCGCATTATTGTTGGGCTACGACAGTGCAAGGTCCAAGTAACGGGCAAACTCCTAGCAGGGTATAATAGCTGAAGCTGTCAGGATCTAGTGCAATTGCATTTGGCTGGAAGCCAGGCTGCAAAGCAAACGCGCTTGCGTCGTGTCGTACAGTATTGCCGGAAGGTTAAATAGCGACGTCCTCTCTTACACGGACACGCAATTACACCACAACGTTTGCACCCACTGCCTGCACGAAGGCTGTTTAGTTGTATTGTTGGAGGCCTACGGTAGCGCCGGTCATCGCCTACCCTACTCGCCTGGTAAGTGCGCATACTTTCCGTCAGTAGAGATGTATCTGTGAGTGGCATTCCGTTTCGTAAGGGAGCGCCATTCGCGGACTGACAAAACGACCTATCTCCGGACGCTGTAACGTAGGCACATTAACGCCAGATGAGATTGTCCATGAAGATACCTTTACCACTAGCGGTATTGCTACTGATAGCCCTGCAGTTGGCTGGCTTTGCAAAGGCCCAGCCAACGGCCGCAGCGGTCGGAGATGCCTTGAACATAACAATGGCTTCAGCAATTCCTGTTCTATTGAAAAACATTTCAACATTCTCCGGCGCGCGTACCTTCTACGCTTCACCCTTCGTAATGTATGCATCACGCGGCTTCCCGGTCGTCCTTGGTGCTAGCAGTACACCACACGCGGTAGTTGCTGCTGCTCAGCTTGATTCTGGGAGTCGCGTCGTCGCTTTCGGACACGAGAGCATGGTAACAGGTACGCCGTCTGCATGACTAGCTTCACCGCTCAGTGCGCTTACCCTTGCGATCTCGGCAGCTTTCAATCCCGCTTTTTCATGTATCCCCTGCTTGTTATTTACCCGCGTGTAATGTTAAACAATGCTGTCCTAGGTCGCAGTACCCACGCGAGTACGTCCATTGTTATGAACCCACAACCACCTCACTATCCACCTCTTTTTCTTACCACCCGCAGGCTGCTGCAGCACCGGTGATGCCATCGACAAATTGGCCGTGAATGCCTTCAATTGGCTTTCGGGCTCGCAACCCGGCCGCACCTCCCTCAAGATTGCCACCCTCTCGAGCTCCTACTCCACTGCCCTCACGGCCATCGGAAAGGTCGGTTGGAAAAGGGGATGGGAAAAACTTCAGGAAGAGGAGTTAAGGCCTCACTTGACAGCCTGACGTTGGCAGCCTTTCCCTTCGTTGGGTAGGAAAAGAGCAGCCAACCAATGGCGGCCTTTCCCTTCACTACTATTGCGGTTGCTGGCGCTGCTGCTGCTGCTGCTAAGCTCCCTGCCTGTCCTGCTTGCCCCTATGACTGCCCATACATCACCAGCAACAGACAACGACTACCTATGTGCATCCCATTTCGCCCTCTATTTTTCCTCCCGCATAGGCAGTGGCGAGCATGCTCAAGATTACTGTCACCACATCCGTCCTTACTGTGGACAAGTTCGCAACCGCTGCAGGCACCAGTCTCCCAGATATCTACTGGATCGACTCCTACACCACCTACACGGCCGCCCAAGTGACGGCTCTGCTGAGCTTCGCAAACAAGACCGGACGTGGGCTGATTGTTACCGGTGCGGTTTGGTCGTTACATGTTTAGTGCTTCGTTAGGCGGAGGCCGGTCTGTTTTGCTGTCCTAAAATATTTGAGCAGGGCTTCCTGCTGTGCGCATGTCCATGCATGTTTCACTGCCGTACGACACGGCCCTCACAGGTTTAGTAATGCCATGCAGTTGCTTCAATAAGCTGTACTACTGCTGTGCAAAATCAGGAGGGACCACTTGCCACATGCAACTTCCACCTTCCTTCACACGATTCCTCATTTGCATTAATGCTGCTGCACTGCCGTACAGGTCATGCATGGTACTGGAGCTACAGCCACGATGAAAACCCGCTTACCGGGCACCCCGTAAATGCCGTGCTATGGCCGCTAGGCCTGGGCCTCACAACCGACTATGACAGCGGCTACCAGGTAGAAAGGCCGGTGATGTACGGCAACACGTGCCTGCTGCGCTTGCATTACAGTACACGAAGGAAAACGCTGCCAGCCGTATCTCTTTTATCACTATCCACGTTACACTTAAGCCTATTCCTTTCTTCGCCCCATCTTCCCAGGAGCCTTCCTACACTGCTAAGAATTCCTCCCGGTGGCTCTTCTACAACGCAAACTATACGCTGGTAAGGCAGAATGAGGCTCAGTGATCGGGATTGTCAGCTTTGGTCCCTAGCCCTGAAATACATACCAGAGCCGTTTTGTTCCTCAAGCAGCTTGTAGAATCTTTCTTGGCCTGTATGTTGACCCAATGCGCTGCATCATATTTGACCGCAGTGTCGAGTGGTTGAGGCGGCCCGAGGCGTGCGGGCTTTGGAATCTACCATGTACGGACCCGGTGAGTCTCATCTGTCGTGCACGTACGGGTTTATGTACGGATTTGTTTCCTAAGCTTGTTTCGTTGTTCCTCCACTCTTGTCGCTGCTCAATCCTCGGGAATCCAGAGGCACATGGCTGCACGCAACGATAATCGTACATTTGGCGGCTGCTTCATAATTATGAGTCCTGTTAGTTCTCCTGTCCTTTTGGAATACAACGTCCGGGCGCTCCTCCTGTACCCAACGAGTCCTCCTGGCATCTCCATCGTCCTCTTCCTTCCTCTCTCACAGCCAACCAGTGGATGCCTTCAGCCATGTAACCATCACGTGACCGTTTCCAGCCTAACACGTCTCGCCATTCCCTTCTTGCCCCCTCCCTCCCCCCAACACACACACGTGTGTGTTTGCCGTACCTGCAGCCAGCGAGTGCCTGAACCAGCTGCTCACCATCCTGCCCGGCCAGTACAGCCCCGCCCTGCCCGCCACTGCGTCCAACAAGCCCTTCCAGCCTCTTTGGGACTTCCTGTTCCAAGCCAAGAACGCATCGGCGCCTGCTGTGGGCCCTAACAAGCCCTTCACGGTCAAGGGAGCGCATCCGTCGATGCTCCTGGAGGTAAGTGTAGATGGCGGGTATGTTGTGTTAACAAAGCTGGACGCGAGTCGAAAAACGAAGTCTTTTAGACTTTGTTGTGTGCATGTAATCTTACGTTGTGGTGGGCTCCTTGTGTGCTTGCATGTCCAAGGTCCCTAATTGCATTCCCTCGTCAGCTCCTGAAGCCTTAAACCCTTAAAGCAGCCGACCGCCTTGCTTAAGTACCGGTAAATGACCATTAGTGTGTTTCTCTCTTGGTGTTTCATCTTGCGTACCGCAAGCATGACATCAGCCCGCCTTACCTTGCCGTTCCCCTTCCCGTCGCCGCCACCGTGCCGTGGTGCCCCAACCAGCCCGCCATCGACGCCGCCATCACCCGCAATGGTGACATCACCAACCTCAAGCCCTCCAAGTCCGCGCCGCTCTACCCCGGAATGCCTTTTCCCAATACCTCCAAACCCAGTCCCGACCCCATTACCCTCACCATCAACACCACCTACACCGGCGTCATGATGGGCATGCCCATGTCGGGCAGTGGAGACCAGGTGTGGCGGTCCACGGGCCTGTACGCGCCTGCTGGCGCCATTGTGAACGTGACGGTTGAGGCCAAGGGCGTTGGAAAGGGCCTCCTGGTTCAGGTAAGGTGTGGTGAGAGTGGTGAGGAAGTCATCGGAACCGTACCGGTATTGCCAGATGTTTGTTGAGGGATATGGTAACTGAACGTAAGGCTTGCTGCCCTTGGCGTTTTTGTTTGCCGATTGGGAGCTACTATGACTTTGTGTTTCTCAGCTACGCATAATAAAACGCTTCGCGCTTCTTTCACCTCCGCCCCTGCAATCCTCCCAACATTGCAGGTTGGCGCTCATACGGACTGGTTGGACAGCAAGGATGTTTGGTACCGGGTACCGCGCGCCGTGGCAAGCTGGAAGATCAACTCCGCCATCATGAGCGTGGGAAGCCCCCTGGGCGGCCTCATCTTCATTGTCGTGCCCAAGGGCCTGATGGCAACGGTTGGGAGCTTGCAGATCACCATCCGTGGAGCCCTGCGCGCGCCGTACTATAAGCACAACGTGACTGCCGCGGTGAGATGAGTTGAGGGTCTTCGGCGCTGCAGGGACTGTTTGTTTGGTCATGCGGTCAAGTACGGCAATGGCTTTACTTGATACGGTACATAATGAGTAAGTTTGCCATGATTGATAGCGTGTATGGTTTTTGGGTTTTGGATCTTGTGTGTTGTTCACGGCTACAACTTCTTCTGCCGTACACCCAACTAATCAGTGCGCCCCTTTCTGGCTTCCTCAGGCTGAATGGGCAAACACTATCCGCTACTACCCCGCCCCCTGGGCTGAACTGGATAACGGCAAGATCGTACTCATGGTGCCATCTGCGGTAGGACGTGATTCGGGGTCCTTCAGGATATGTTGACTGCGTGCACATATTTTATGACTTGCATGGTTGGGCACAACAACTAATCCAATGGCTGCATGTGCGATATGCACAGCAAGCCGGTTTTCCGCCTGCTTTCCCTAGGGTATGGCGTCCTGAACTGCGTTTCTTCCCAAGCAAGCAACGTAGTCACCACATGTCGGGCCGAGGTCAACCTTTGGTCACCGGCTTCCCTTTCCCTCTCTTCCATCCCTTTCGTTCCGTTCCCAAATCCACACCATGCCTCATCAGGCCATTCGCAACATGACGGACCCCGCCCCGCTGATGGAGCACTGGGCGAAGGTGATGGACGGCATGGCATGGCTGTCTAACATGAGCCCCGACAGGCCCAGGGCGGGTAAGTCCTTTTGGACAGGGGTTTGGGATGGACGGTTGACGGTGTTAACCGCCATGCTTGACCTCCTCGGTGGATATTCAACAACGTGCACTTGCATTCCCCTGCTAGGCTTGTTGACTAACCCTGGATCCTGTCGCCCCGTGTACAGAGCGGTTCCTGGTGGATGCCGACATCTCTGCCGGCTGGATGCACAACGGCTACCCGATCATGGCGTATGACGACCCAGGAGTGTGGCAGGTACGTGGGGGCTTAGCTGACCCGTGGGTCTGTTGTTCCATTTTGCTGTACAGCTCGTTTGTATTTCACCCGCATCAGAATCCTCCAGCACATAACCCTACCTAGACATTTCGGCCTGCTGGGGAAGCCTGCTCTGTGCGTTGCATGTCGGCATGTGCCCTGCATGCATGTGCCATACCCTCCACACATGTGCCTTAAGTCTTATTGACTGCTGGCCCAATCCCCACGTCCGGACTCCCAAATCCCCCACACAGGAGCTTCTGAATGTCACATATGTCAAGGTAAGCATTTACGTTCGTAGCATTTTCGTTTTTATGAAACTGTAGAACCTGTGGTTATATACCTTATATTACCTGCTTGCTGGATGAGCCTGGGCCCTACCTCACACTTCACTAGTGACACTTGTTTTGTCGTACGTACGTGACGCCTCCTGCAGAAAGCTGGCGCCTGGGGTCCTTTCCACGAGTTGGGTCACAACCACCAGTGGAGCGACATGCAGTTCTCAGGCACGGGGGAGAGCTTCAACAACCTCTTTTCCGTTTACACTGAGGTGCGTCGTACGGCATGAGAAGATGTACGGCCAGAACGACATAAGTATCTGTTATATTTACATACATCCACACATGTAGAGATAATACGTGTGTCATGCGTTCTTGTCTCATCCCTGCTATGTGCCGCCGATCGACGCATGCTGTTCTCAACACTGCGGGGGGATTGTATTGTACTGTGTGATAAACCAACTGGCCGGGAAACGTATACTGTCCGCTGCGTGCTTGTGCTGTATGTGGGCGCGTGCGTATACTGAAGTCCTGTACCTGTGGCATCGCAGATGGAGGTCCTGGGTTTCACCTCCACCCAAATCCACTCGAGTGCCACCCCGACCGCTAGAGCCGCAGCTCGTAAGAAGTACCTGAGCAGCGGAGCCAAGTGGTCCACTGACTGGAACGTCTGGGTGGCCCTCGACACGTATCTGCAGGTACGACATGTTTCTTACGGCATTAATTGTTTATAATTGTCAGTTTGCATGTTTTCCAAACCGCCCTTCTTAAGCTTTATCCCGTAGCTGCGTCGCCCTAAGCGAGACATACATGCTTATTTCAATATCTGCGATTGAGAGCAAATCCGCTATCGGCACAAAGCGCTTGGAACTGACCCGCGACCCATGGGTCGTCCCTCCCTTGCTCCTACCGTACGACAGCTTCAAGAAGGGTTTGGCTGGTCCTTCTACCGCAACGTCTTTGCGGCCTATCAGAAGGCTACTACGTCTCCTACGGTGGGTACCTAAAACGTTTCTTTGGTGTAATCCTACAGCAACATAGGTAAAGGGCATCCTCTAGCTATGGGGTAGCTTGCGGTTATGCCAGCAAAGCCAGCGAGTCGAATACCGATAGAGTTCCTTTGGAACGGCCCTTCCTGCTGTAGTGCTCCCGTAAAAAGAATCTCATACATGTCTTGTTCTGCTACTCAGCCTAACTAAACTTTCACCACTCTATCCATTCCTGCCGCTGCCCACAGAATGCTGTTCAGACATGGATTCAAGTGACCAGCAAGGTCGCGAACCGTAACCTGGTCCCCTTCTACAGCGCCTGGGGCTTCCCCGTCTCTCAGGCCACCAAGGATGCGGTCAGCACCCTGCCCGCATGGACGGCGAACCCCATGACCAAGATAGCCAAATCTGGCTAGGGGACCTTATATTACGCTGCGCGCTGCGTACTTTGCACATTACTGTACGAGCAGCGGATGCGAAGGTGTTTGCCGCCCTTCTTTCATTGTGGCTGGTGTCTTTGTTGCGATTCCGAGCAACCGTTTTTGGGACCCATAAATCCAGAAAACCACCCAAGTCCCTCACTCGTTGCTGGCTGCTGGAATGCAAACGAAGGACGCATTGCGCTGCGGGTGAATGCTATGAAGGCACGCAATTTGCAATTTATGGCGGCCGTCTTTAGGTATTTGCGCTTCGTGAACTTCTGATACCCTTGATGGACTCGAACACAGCGTGCCAAAATATTGGTAAACCCTCGTGATGTAGGCGATCTTCATTTTAAGGGTTCATGCGTGCATGCATAATCATGTTGGTTGTGTGATGCCGTGTTGGCAGTCTGGTTGATTTCCCAAAAAAATGCACCGCTATATAAATTAGCCTTGATCACCTTCTTGGCGCGCCCGGTGTAGTCATTACTGCCACATGTGACAAATTGATGCCGCCATGCAGGCGGTAATTGTTCGTTGAGCGCCATGCAGGCGGTAATTGGTCATTGGGCTTTACCGAATAACTTCGGAATTATTCCTCGGATCTTTCCCAACCTAGTTGAGGTTTGCACATATCGCCAGCATTAGGCGTCAGTGTGGGATGATTGTGGTTACTGCGGTTACTGGAGGAATGTCGTGCCATGACAGGAAAGTTGCGGTTATATGTTGAATGTACGTCCCTATCCTTGGCATGCACGTTTCAACTGTAGAAGCTTTAAATGGTCCGTGCCGCCCTATGTATGGTTTTTGCAGTATTGTTATTGTAGTGTTATGTACTTCAAACTTGCGCCCATTGTTTAGTCCTACGTGCTAGGTCCTAGGGTTAGTTAGCTGGTTTGTTGATTGGCCGTATTGTTTCATGCAGGTTTGGCGGGTAGGATATGAGCGGTATAAATCTGGGTAGTTACGTATGCGTTTTCTGTGGTCGAAACAAGCCTTTCGTTCCTTGCTGTAACAAATCGCATTGCACCACATCATCAGACGGGTGCTCGGCCTAATAAAACGGGTGCAGGGCACCAACTCACAACAAGATTAACGTTCCTTACAAACCATAATCCCTTCAGATCAAAACCTTCGGTAGCATACGTGCACGCCTCCAACTATCCTCCAACCCAACTGTCTAGCTGGCAAGGACTGCAAACAGATATTGCTGCTGACTGCTGTGAACCTCGAACACGTGCAGGTACCTGGAAGCTCTATACATTAACTTGTAGCTGAACAAAAGGCTTACTCGGGCTGGCAGGGACCTCCTAGCGTCATAGGTCATTGGTACATTCTTATTGGATACCGGTGATACCGGTACTGTCGCTGGGGCGAGTGTGCCCTGTTCCCCCTGTTGTTACATCCTGCCTCTCTCCCGTAGCTGCCCCTCTAGGTGCTGCTACCCATCCGTAACTGCCGCTGACATGGCGACTGGCACAAATGAATGCCCGTTACCATGGTTCCCTAAAAGGGAACAGGGGTGATGAACCCAACCCTACACCGCACGTGTCTTACAAACCCAATGCCGCCATCTTGACGATCGCCGCACAATGCAAGTGCTACTGCCGCGACTGTCTCCAACACTACGGCTCTTCTACCGCTATTACCTGCATCTCTTAATGTTATTGCCGGCAATATGTCCCAGCTACTGCAAGCCCTGCTCCATGTCTCCTGCCACCTCTGCTACTGCTGCCTAGCTGCCTCGCACCCTCACTTAACACTGCTACGGCTACTGCCACTCCTACTGCCACTCTGTCACTCTTACTGCGTTCTGCTCCTGCCGCCGATCCGATCCAGTTGCATTTGCCAGTCTTTGTCATGTCAGTCACCATAACGTCTACCCCAGTCTAGGTCTTCAAGGATAATCTCCCTGCATGCAAATACGATCCGAGCACACAGGTACGACAACCGCCGTGGCCGGTGTTTCTACTGCTGCCATTGCCGCTGCTGCTGTCGCGGCTTCCGGTGCTGCTGCCATAGGTTGCTGCTGCTGCCATCGCTAATGCTGCTGCTGCCGCTCCGCCGCTGCTGCCGGCGTAACGCCCGATCCTGTCGTACAGCCTCCCGACGTAACGCCTCCCGTGCACCTCGCAGCACCGACCGTAGCCCCACTGAATGTATGTACAACACAACACGTCAGCGTACGAAATGCCGTACAATCGTAGACCAAGTCGTACGTGGTTATGTGTCACGCAGTGTTGTGGTTCCGGTCGTGGTGTCGTGTGAACACATGTTACGTGTGATGATGGCCGGCGGGGAAGGGTTGGAGACGGGGAGGGAATGAGGACAGCAGGACTCACTGCTTTGCTCAAGAGCGGTGATTGACATGTCGTACAGCATACAAGTGATACACACACACCAGGGAAAAACGCCACCCCGTCCATCTACCCAATTGACACCCCAGCCCCTAGCCCCTAACCTTTTAGCCTCCCAGACCAACCCATACGAACCCCTACGGCCGCAAGCCCGTGAACCTTCGCCCTCCGTTTCCAATCCCGCATAGTTCCTTTCCTACTTGAGCCTCACATCACAGTTTGTCTTTCACTGTATCCCTCCCCCCACCCCCTCCTCCCTCCCATCCCCGCGCACCTGAGGGCGCCAGGCCCAACCGACTGTACAGCTGCCCCGCCTGCAGCCGCCCAGGAGGGAAGCGGGGGGGCGCCGGGTGGAGGTAGAGGGCGGCGAGGGGAGGCGTCAAGAGAACAACCGTGTACCCGTGCGTTACGCGGAGATGTGGAGTCAGTACCCCACTTAGCTCCCCAACACCCGCACCCCTCGGTTTCCTCGTTGTAACCCCTCGTTCCACTCCACCCCCCCCCTCACACACACACCCCTCGCGGCCAGTTATTTTAACACACCCCTTCCTCTCACACACACACCCTTCCTCGCGGCCAGTTATTTTAACACACACCCTTCCTCTCAGCTGGTGCTCACCCGCAGCAGCAGTCGCGGACTCAGCTCGCTGCTGCGCCGCTTCAGCACCAGTGCGTGGCGGCGCAGGAAGCAGGTGCCGGGGTGTAGTCCGGCGCGTGTGAGCCCTGAGGCGGGGTGAGGGGGGCGAGGTAGGGCGGGGACGGGGTGAGGTAAGGCGGGGAGGTGGTGACGTGGTGGGCAGGTGGGAGGTAAGAGATGGGAAGCTCCGCAGCCGCCGGCCCCGCGGCGGCAGCAGCAGCTGCTCCAGCCCACCTCAAGGGCTGCCTCCACCGAGGCAGATCCACCATCCGTCCATCCCCCATCCACATCCCAGCCAGCAGCAACCTTCGGGCTCCCTCCCTCACACCACATGTTGGTCCATCGGCCCCCCCTCCACCAACAGTTCATCGCCACCGCGGACCCGGTATCGGCAGGGAATACTAACCAACAATCTGTACCGTCTTGTGGCACCCTGCCGCCTCCTATCCCCATTGCTTTGCCCTAACCTGTGGTTTGCTATGGTTCCGTCTGGTTCGGTCTGGTCTTTGACCCCCCTCCACCACCACCTGGTGGAGGAGCCTTGCCACACGGTTAGTTAGTGGGTGTACTTTTCTTTCGCACCTGCCAACAGCTCCACTAATAGCCCCGGTGGCAGCTGCTGCAGCCCCCCTCCTCCTCCTCCCGCCCCCGCTGCTGCTGCGGCCTCCACCGCATCCAGCAACACCGGCAGCACCAGAGGGCCGCTACCTGCGGCGGCAGAGGTTTGGGGGGGATGAGAGGTTGGGTTTCGGGTTGGGGGTACGAAAGGGTTCTGGGAGGTTGGTGGAGAATGCTACGCACGTACGGGGTAGGCAGCATATAAAGCAGGCAGCATGGCAGGGGTGGCGGGGCGATTGAGTTGGGGAAAGGGGGTGGGAGAGGACAAAGCACAAGGCGGGAACAGAGTACTGCGAGGGAGCAGAAGGGCAGCACGTAATTATGGAAGGGGAAAGAAAGAGAGAGGGAATAAGTACCGGTACCCAGCGCAGAGACCCTGAAGGGCCCATATCCTTTGCTGTTATTGTATCCCTTCGCGCTGCATGGCTGATGCACGGCACCGTACACACAAAATGCCGTACCGCGTTCACCTTTCGGATCCGAAACCCAGGCGACTGCCACTCCCGAAGGCATCACGTCCGGCAGCGCCGCCAACGCCATTGCAACAGCCGTCGCCGGCGGCGGCGGCGACGACTGGAAAGGAGGCGACGGCGCCTCACTGACCTCGCCGCTACCACTGCTGTTGCCGCTACGGCTACTCCGGCACTGCTGTATCAATTGCATGGGCTGTGAGGGCGTTGGGAATAGCGCCAACGCTGCCGCGATATCGTACAAAACCGCCTCTGCCCAGTACCACAGACGCGTCGTCAATGGCATCGTTGGTTTGGCTGGGTTCATCTGTTGCCGTCGTTGTCCGGCGCGAAAGGTTTCGTAACTGCCACTGCTACCTTCACCGCTACCTTCACTTTTCAGTTGGGTCGCTGAAACATCGCACTGGGCCGCGTAGTACAGTACGGCACATTGGACCTCGAGCTTCGTAACGGAATCCGTTGACGGTTGTACGGCTCCTGCCGCTGCTGCTTTGTTCGCTACCTCATTGCCGACTAACTCATCTGCGACGCCGCCCGGGAAACCGCTGCTGGATGACGGAGGCCAGGCATCCATCAAAGCATCCCACCAGACTCCGACGTCAGGTACATGTTTCCATGACAACGGCTTCCCCAACGGTTGCTGTTGCTGCTGCTTAGCTGCCAGCAGAAGCTCCGCTACAGCCGGCAGGAGCTGTAGCACCTGGCTTCCACTCATTTGCCGTACGACGGGCGTCGTACAATGTACGAGGAAGTCCTGAAGCCACGACAGCGGCGGCCGTACGCCTAATTGGACGAGCAATCCGGGCAACTGTACGACACGGTCAACGTCTAACGTCGCTCCCAGTGGCGGCCTATCAGTGCTATCAGTGCAGCTGCTGCTACCGCTACTTGGCACCTTGCCGTCCATTCGTACTTCCGCGCAGTGGTTAATGTCGTCGTTATCGCCGTCATCATTGGCCTTGCGACCTCTGCTGCTGCTGCTGTTGGTAACTGCAGCAGCTACTTGGGCGGAGCCGGGAGTGGCGGTGGTGTTCATGCTTCCGCCACCTCCCTCGCCATTGCTGCTGCTGCCGGCGGCGACAGCTGGCCCAACGAGGCGGCGACTGGCAGGAGGGGCGTCAGCGGAGCTCGCCGCTATTGCTGTAATGAGAAACGAGTTTAGGATGGGCGCAGCCCACGCCGATTCCGGGTTGAAGTTATGCTGCTGCTGCTGCCGCTGATGGCGGTGTTGATTCTGAGGCTGAAGCTGTGATGGTTGGCGAAACAAATCCTGGAAATTGTAGCGTGCAAGACCCTCCAGGGCGGCTACAAGGTCATTGGCGGTTAGGAGATCCACCGTCACCGCATTCCCTTCACCACCCCTACGAACGACAACAGCACCGCCAGCACCGCCAGCAGCAGCAGCAGTAGCAGTTGTAGTGCCCGTCGCCAGGTGAGATACGGGGGCCGATGCAGCAACGGCTGTTGCTGCAGCCCTACGTGACACCTCATCTAGGTACGACTGCAACGCTGACAGCCGCAGTGACACGCCTGCAGCCGCACACGCCTGCAGCAGCGTGCCCAGCTGAGCCGAGGGAAGCCGCCGCAGGTTTGTTAGATTTACGAAAGGGGAAGACGATGTGGAGGAGGAGGAGGAAGGGAACAGGGAGGCGACGTCACACCCCTTCCAGGCTTGCTCATGGTTGTTTGCGTATGTAAAGATGGAGGAGGAAGGTGAGATTTGCTGGGGTAGTGGTGATTGCGATGACGGCGAGGGCGACGCTGGCAGTGGGGACGGCGCCGGTGGCGACAGCGACGGTTGCCGTACAGTACTGCCGGTCGGATGGTGGTGACGTGGTTGATGACCGGGGCCGTAACGAGTGGCGAGGTACCCCGATGAGGCCGACAGAGCAGTAGCGGCAGCGGCAGCCGTCGTTGCCGCCGCGGCTTCCGGCTTCACTTTACCGTTGGTCGGCAACGTCGGTTGCAGTGCTGGTGCCATTACTGCTCCTCCTTCAGAAGCAGCTGGTGATGGTAGTGGCCATGTGCCGTTATGTGAGATATGTTCCTCCTGTTGCTGCTGGCGCTGACGGAGGCAAGGACAGCAGTGTTCCTCATTGATGCCGCCCTCTGAATGCGCTACGCGTTGGTTACGGCGGTGGTTGACGGGAAGATAGGTGCGCGGCGCCGCCAGTGGGGTGTCTTGCAGCCGTTGGAGCTCGTCCAATGCGAGTGAGAACTGTGAGACAGAGGTAGGAGGATTTGGGAAAGGGGGATTAAGAGGGGGAGGTGCTGGCTTTAGCAACATTAATGAACCGATAGGGAGAAAAGGGGGTAATGGAAAACGTTTCACAGGTGTAAAGAAAGACCTTAGAAGGCAGCAGGCTGGAGGCATTGCAGGCACTTCACGCATAAAACGGCAGAGGCCTGGGCCGTCTTTACTATGATGGCCCCAGCGTCCCAGTGGCGCAGCCGTCGGCAACAAAATGCGAAGCACAAGTGGCCGCTTACAAGAGCCGAATTGGAACGGACCCACCGAGGCAGGGCTCACATCGGATGGCATTGCATCCATCCGTAAGGCCCCATCAACGGGGTGGCAGAGGAGAGCGGCAGGCAAAGCAGTCGCAACCCCGGCGCGCATGCCGCTGCTGGTGCGGGTGCCATATATGGGGCTTATCCTGGCAGTCGATTGGGTAACGCGGCGCTGAACATAGCATGGAACAGATCCAGAGGAGCTCATGAAAGGCGCCGAGAGTCGCAATGAGAAGTGCGCAATGGCCGGAACCCTTGGCCAGGGCCAAGTGCGTGGCCTCCTGGTGTGTATGTGCTAGTGGTAAACGTACTTTTCTAGTTGCAATTATATTTGCTTTATACGAGGGTATCGTTGAAATGAATAGGGTGCAAGCTTATTGCCGAACCTACATTAGTCCCTTCAACTCTTATAACGATGTTCGTGCTTTGTGCTTTGCTGTCTTAAGCACGATGGTGCTGGGCAAGGTAATGCGTGCAAGTCACCAGCAGCAAGTCCGGTACGGCGACCGCGGGGCGCTGAAAACCTGAAATGCACCACCGCGTAACCGACGCTGCAATAGCAAGGCTTGAATGTTAGATCCTCATTTTTTCCGTCAAAAGGGCGGAGGCGAAGACGACCTCCTATATGCATTTCTGCCCCAAGTTTGCTGTAACTGCACACTTGGGTGCAATGTCAATTCTTCAATGGGCTCGGCAGGTTGTGTTGCAGGAACAAGGACACCCATCAGGGACACGTCACGCGCGTGTTGCCTATCATGGTCATAGGGCCGTTTGTGGCCGTATGCTTTTGGATCCTGAGGCCGCTAATAGCCGTCCAGAACCCCCAAAAACATTCTTACCTCTATCCTAAGCAGTGCGTTTACACCGCCGCCCGAAGTAAGAAAATGGACTACCTGAGTACACGACAAAATTTAAACGTTGGCGCGAAAAACGAAGATGTACGGGCTGTCCCATTTTGTAGCGTACCCAATTCCCTAACTGCAGTGGAGTGCAGCCAGTATTGCGCAAGCTTACGGCGCAGCTCGTTCCATCTGTGGTGCCTACAAGTTTCATGCACCGTGCGTGCCACCGTACGTGGGCGAGTTCTCATGTACCTTACAAGTCCTGTCCCCAAACGCGGGCTCAACAAGCAGACCCGGACCTCTACATCTCACCCCTGGCAATCGCTTTAGTGAAATTCTCTTACCACGTGGATGCACAGCAATACCACGCGCTTCCTCATGACATACAACATTAAGATCCTGCAAGCGCTTCATCCTTGCAAGCGGAAGAAATTGAACCCCTTGGGAAAACAGCAAACCAGATAGGACGCTTGTGTGGCACGAAGAACCACACGCCAAAGAAACTTGTAAAGATTTATAACACTGTCCATACTTCACTTGATTGCATACGGTCGCACAATAACGTCCGTGTAAGGCATGTCACATTGCCGCAATATATAAGTAGTTAAGCCAACGGGCGTGTCACGCATTGACGTGAAAAGCTAATTGACAACTGCAAGGTGCGTCGCAACGCTCGAACCCAACGATGCGGATGGGTGCACATGAAGCAAAGCAACAACCTGCAACGACACACCTAGCGCCTGCATGCCGCAATATATAAGTAGTTAAGCCAACGGGCATGAGCACGTGTCACGCATTGACGTGAAAAGCTAATTGACAACTGCAAGGTGCGTCGCAACGCTCGAACCCAACGATGCGGATGGGTGCACATGAAGCAAAGCAACAACCTGGAACGACACACCTAGCGCCTGCATGCCGCAATACATAAGTAGTTAAGCCAACGGGCATGAGCACGTGTCACGCATTGACGTGAAAAGCTAATTGACAACTGCAAGGTGCGTCGCAACGCTCGAACCCAACGATGCGGATGGGTGCACATGAAGCAAAGCAACAACCTGCAACAACACACCTAGCGCCTGCATGCCGGAATGCAGCGAATAGAAAGGGCGCACACACGCACGCCAGACAACAACCTCGCATAATGCGCATCACGATACGATACACACGGCCAAAAGTCGTACATGTTGACATCCCATGTACAGTGTATCTGTCGAATGGCCCTTCAGCGGTCTGAAACATAACAAGCCGTCTAAACCACTAAGCCACTGCAACGCCCAAAACTTCACAAGCAGGAACGTTAAATATAACAGCCAGCTAGTTGTCATATGATCTTCTCTCCTGTCTGAGCATTGGCTCGACTATTAAACTAATAAGCTGCAAAAGCACGCTTGCGTGTATGGCACCCCGAAGTAAACCACCTCTATCCTACATAGCAGGACAAGGCAACCTGCACTAGTCACTCTCCTATATCTACGAAGTTACCACATACAATATAACATTAGAAACTTGCAATGCTGGACACACAACAATACTTTCGCACGCGCGTTCATGTTAGGCCCAGGGGTCGGCTGTCACTACAGTGGTCGTATCTACGATGTCCCGATGCGGTTCTGGTCCTGGTGGAGGCGGCGGTTGTCCTGCAAATTATTCATAGATGCGCCACTTGGTATACAATTCATAAACTTTAAGCTAATTTTCGATGAAGGCCAGTGCTTGATAGCTTCGAGGTGGTCAGGTCCGTAGTCCTTGGTGTATTCTCCGTACCGTCTCCACCACGAGTCTTCATTGTTGCAGCTGCCCTTGTGGAGATGAGCTAAGCCACGCAGCAGTAGTTGTAGAGGGTATGGGTCGGGTTGCAGTAGCCGGTCGGGTTGGTGGTGCAGCGGACGCAGTAGAAAGGATTGCTCGCCGCAAACACCGCAAACGCAGCGGTCCTCGGAAAGTTGCAGAGCAAAAAGGCGGTCGAGCATTCGGTGCTCAACTGCTTAGAGTAGGCGCAGGTGGTGGTGTAGGAGCCTCCGCCCAACAGCCTGCGACCTGGCTGCTGCAATGCGGACGCAGCCATAGAAGACGTCACGGGTGCATTATTGCTGCGGCCCGAGGAGGCAAGGCTCCCAGCAGCGTGAGGGCTGTACTGATTAGCCAAGGCCGAAAGCGGCGCGTCAGTGACCTCTGGAAAAGCGGGAGAGCTTTCGTAATTGGCATCGGACGCGCTCCTGTGGACGTGGGCAATCGACGCACGGGATTGGAGCAAGCAAAGGAAGCAACAACCAGGGCATAGACGAGACATCAAGGGTACTGAGTGCTGAATTTCATGTCATACATGCATTAACGTTAACCGAAGGCCTATGGTGAAGTTCAGAAGGCCGCAGGTGTCTAGACGCATCGCACTGTCTTTTCCCAAAAGATAGCCAATCGTCTCGCCCAAGCTTTTGTCCATACCTTGTATTCATAAAGGGTGAAGAAGACAGGAAATAGCGGTCCTCGCCGCCCACGCTTGGCTTCAGGCAGTCGCGAAATTGTCCAAAGCAGTCGCGCTCAGAAGAGGAGCGGAGCATTCGGTTGCGATACGAAGAAACGTCTACACATATGGCACAAAGCAAATTGTAAGCGGAAGGATGTGAAAGGATAAGCGTCGGGAGGTAGGGACAATGGATGTTGGATCTGTGCCGCTCTGATAACAGGAAATGCATTGAACATATGTCTATAAACAGGGATTATACTCTCCTCACCAACAAAGCATAAGCCAATTAACAGCGTGAGCAGCACGAGCGAAGCCAAGCGACGAACAGTTGGCAGCCTTGGCATGCCCTTTGTCATGGACAACATTCGTCCAACTAGTACAAGTAACTCGGTAACGACAAGGTCTAATGTACTTGAGGTTGTATGCCTAAGGGGCACGTCTCTATGAAAACTTTCGAGTCTGGTTCTGCATACCCAAATGTTGTGTTGAAAAATGGGTCAAGTAACAACCTATTCCTCCGCAGCAATTGAGCCATTGACGCTCGCAGCAAGAACTATTATGTGGAACCCCCCGCCAATGGCTCTGTTTGCCGTACGCGTTTGGATTCTGTTTCAAGAAAGGAAACCTACCTGCATGACAGTATGTATGTAGTATATGAAAGCAGTTTTTCTCGTGGCTCTTTGAACTGCAAAGCGTAGATCTCTATAGCACACTGTCCTACTTACAAGTAAAAGGACCTGACGCGGATTAGGTACGAGGATAGATCCATTTAGGGAGCGTTATAGGTCTAGAATGACAGCAAGTAGGGCGCACATGCGTAAGCATTTCTGTCCGACGATTGTGTTCACGTTGATTGACCTGTCTCGCGTTAGGACTCTCTCTCGTTATAGCTCGTTAGAGCTAGAGCCGCCCGCTCTCGTTATAAATGGAATCCCGCATGAGCTGTGTTTTACGCTCCGAATGCCTTCTTGTAGCTTTGGGGAGAGTTTTGGGCAGCGTGGATTGAGCTAGATAGAAGGCTGGCACTGGGGTTGTTGGTGTATCAACCAACAAGTGGGGACGTGACACGAATCCTAGTTTGGGCACATTATAGTTTGGGCAATACTGGCAACCAGAAGTATGAGAACCTCCATTTCATCAAAGGTGTGTATGGGTGCTGAATGTACCGGTAGCACGGCCATGAGTACGTGCAGAGGATTGGAACTACGGGGCTCATGTTTCAAGTTACAAGCCTACCAATAACGCCCCACCAGTTCCCTAAAGTATTTCCACATACAAACATTATCCAAACAGCAACCGTACAGATTGAAGGACACATGCCCCAGAAACAAGTACAACCCTCAACACATTCCAGCCACAACGCGTCAACCTAGGAGGACGAATGGGCGTTAGGCCTAAACATGATACTGTTACCCACATGCAACCCTCCCTTGTCCTTGCAACTGCGGCCAGTTAAATTGATACATACTATGCTGTACTTCAAAGCACGGATACAAACCAGATGGTCAACTGATGGGCCTCCCTGCTCTGGACGAGACTAGTTGGGTCTGATATATTGTCACATTTCAAGTGCCCAAGCCTCCACTGTAAACTATGCACCACTCATAGACCGGAAACACCGCCCTTGGTGACAGACACCGGCAAACGAAAACCAGTATGCTCGAGTATGCATGAGCCCAACAAAGGGCCCCACGAACAAAGATGCGTGGCTTATTCTCCAGATGCTGCCAACGTGTCTCCCTAAGAAAGCTAGAGCTGCACTGCTACCAATACTCCAAGCAAACCAACCAGCCTGCAACGTGGAACTCTTCTGTACCCTCCTGATCGCTAGCTATATCGGCCAAACACACGAAGCACACGCTAGAGGCCAATGCTAGTAGGCGCAGCAGCTACTTCAGCCCTGCATTAATAATGCCGTACACACCAGTTGTAAGTGCGCGGGCCTGACAACCGGTAGACGCGCAGACACGCCCGCAGAGACTTGTGTAAGAAGGACGCATGCTTTGCCACGCTGTTTAGAGACACGGCGATGGTTCGACACTTAACTAGGCACCTGCCTTGCTTCCTGTGTTTCAAAACTAGACGTCGTTATCTTCGCTATTAGGCCGCAACACCGGCAACAACGACGTGCCAAAGCGACGACGGCCCTACGTCTCGGAAACCTAACCTAAGCCACGCAAGCGAATGAGCCTAGACCATACGAAAACATGACACCATGGCAACACTTATGTTTTCACGTCCTACACTAAAGCGAACACTTCTCTGCATCCATGCATGCATGCATGCGTGCTAAAAAACTGCAACCTCATATTAGCTTCAAACCTGCAAAATCCTGCCATACAGCCCCATGCGCAGCCTCAAGCCCGCGCCCAGGAAATTGCAACGTTGACAATTCGCACGTGGAAAGCTGCGGCGCATATACGCTACAGAACATGCATGCAAGTCCAACACAGCTTCTGAGAACCAGTCATGCACGCGCCTTCGAGACGTAAGGGCTTGCTACATCGATGGTCCTAAAGCATCCCACATGGTGTACACATTTAACTACCTTTCCGTCCGAAGTCGCATGCAACAGCACCACTCCAGCTGCCGACTGTCTGCAGTACGGCATACTTACTACACAGCTAATGCCTTCGTTTGTGGATTGCAATTATGATTGACAGGTGGCCACATTTAGGATGCTACCGTATACTCCCTGTTGCACAAGTGTAACGTTTGCATTAAACCTCCAGGAACCTACCATTATATGGCGCAGCAGTAAACGTAGGGAGACATTGGCGTTAGGCTGCACCACCCAGACGGATGGGTTGTGCAAGGAATGCACCCTCTGGGGTTCTTTAGACCAAAAGGGGTCACGTAAGTAGGGGCTGGCCTAAACCCGCACATGTAGCAAGCCAGGTAGCAATCGGTTTGCACGATATTCCTGTAGCATACGCTGTAGTAATCCCCGCCTCCGCAGCTCGCGCATTTGCCCAGCCGTGAGAGGTACAAGGATGCACGGCAAACAGGCGAGTACGGCAACGACGGGGACGCTCCTTCTGCCGTACTTCCGGATTGCTGTTTCTCAGGGCCATCGGTGTTGATGGTCAAGCTGTACTGAATATAGGCGAAGTAAACGGAGACGATGTTGGCGGGATCCGTACTTGATGATGAGGCGTCACTGTCACCGCTAGCATCGTCTGTCGAATACTCCATAAAGAATTCAGTCGAGGTAATGACGTAGTCAGAGAGGGAGAGTACGGGACCATCGGTGGCTGTGGAGGTGACTTTAACGGAAATGGTGGCGACGATGATATCTCCGCCTGCCGTTGTCCTTAATGGCTGCGAGACCCTGACAGCTCCTAGCGAAACGCTCAAGTAGGGGCCGCCAAGGGTAGTGGTATTTGTAGAAGACGATGCATATGGAAACGAAGATGGTACGACAATGGAGCTGGTAACTGAAATACCGTTGACCTCCGTCTCGACCTTGACCTCTCCGCTGCTGCTGGGCTTCTGCCATGACAAATAGTCGACGTTGCCGTCTTCGTGGTTGTGTGGAGGAAGGGCACAACGGTCAAAGGAGGGCACACGTGATCATATAATGATTGAAGTCATTGGACAACAGCCTTCATGTTAATGGCAGTGGCTCTGACAGGCTTTCATTAAACATCCAGTAAACAAAAAGGGCCAGCTGCCAACGCTGCCAATGAACTGAACGGAAACAGCATAACAACTGCTTTGCAAGGCATTCCAGCGTAAGGGCTGCAGCCTCATAACATTATGGTAAGGTATCCAAGAAGCAACCACGACATACAATGATCAATGGCAATCCAAGACTGCGGCTTACTTAGTTCAATCTGAAGCTCGGAAAGCCTCCACGTCATCGCCTCAACAGCTGTTGTCGTATCCGTTACTGTTGTTGGCAGGCCGGCAACAGATGCAGCACCAGTAACGTCCGTAGCAGCGCCGTCTTTGAGAATCAAATGGAAGAGCATGGTAGGGTAATAGCGGTGAGAGCGAGTAGACGCACGATCCTCAACCAGTCCAGCGACTTGAAGTTCAAAGGGTAGGTCGCCGCAGGTCGCTGCAGTGCCGTACAATCTGGAGTGCACGGCAGCAGGTACAGTACGAGAAGGTTTAGGCCGCGGTCCAACCAAGGCGGGAAAAACAGCGAAAGGAGGGCGAGAAAGGGTGGCGAAAGGGTGTGAGACGGAGACATTATGTATTCGTACGAAAGTATGGGGCGTAAGGCAGTTCCAAGGTACTCCACAGCTGCATGGCTGGCAACAGGATTCCTTGGGCACCTACTATGACAGGTCCCCCATAAGCGTGACCGGGCGTTCAAAACATCCTGGCAACAAAATTAGTGCCAGGAGCAAAGCAAAGCAAATTCCGGCTGAGCAAGGGTGTTGGTGGGCGCCATATCTTTTCAACCAGACGTCACATGTCCGAGCAAGTAGGCAAAACTTGCGGGCCAACCAATCCGTTCTGGATAGTGGCTTTAAAGCTATGAAACAAACGTCGGAAACTTCTAGGTAAACGGCGAACCCGGAAATGAACCCTGTGCGAAGCGGGCATGCCCTGAGCGGGTACCGAAAGTCGCCACAGGCCCGGTCTAAGTCACTAAATGGGGATACAAGATTATTGCTTTACATGTTAGTGGAATACTACCTTTCCTGTAATGAAATAAGTGGTAAGACGGTTCGTTTGACTTACGAGTCAGACGTTGAAGGGGTTGAAGCTTTGGTGTCCGCAGCAGATCCGAGGGATCGGCGATGTGCTTGGTTTCGCAATGTATTCGATGTTTTCTGAAGAAGGGACAGGGGGCTTCGGGGGTCCACCGAACCAAAGATGTTGGCCGATGTCGATGAGGGTGTTCCTATACAGAAGAATGCAATCGGGCAAGGGTGATCGCTCCACTGGAACAAGTGAAACAGCAAAATTTTATGCAAGACGGGTGGCGCAAAGGCAACGACTATAACGCGCGTACATTCCATGAAGACCCCAACAACGTTACTAGGCGCAGGGCAAGCGCAGCGGTGACATAGCTAGGCCTGGCCAGCCAATTATCATACCTGAAGCCAAAGGATCAGCAGCATAGGCAAACGGCATGGCAAGCAAGGCCGCAATAAGGAAAGCCGTCCGCAGGGCGTCGAGGCCAGCACACATCGCCGGGCCGTGACGCATTTTGGAAGCCTTGCTCATGCTGGGCCCAATAACTGAAGCTGGCGAGGTAAGAGGGTGTCGTCCTCCCATACTGGGTAAGGAGGTGCCTGACAAGGACCGTCTGGACGACCGTGTCAAAGATCTTGCTTATATGTCCATTAATTGGCGCTGGCAAGGAAGACGTTTTATGGCGGTTTTTTTCTGGAGTAATTCCCGCCGAGAGCTGAGCCTCTCGTAACTTGGATTCATGCCGTACTGTCTACCTTCGGAAGGATGCCCGCTTCCTACCTGCAAAATTGCAATGAAAACTAATTTACCATATATTTGTCTGCTATAGTAATACGAGATTGTCGTGCTCAGCCGGGACGGTGTGTTCGGCAGAAGCAACACTGGCTACAGAAGGGATATTGTAAAACTAGCATTTGGGATAATTAATGATTACTACCACCGACGGTCCGACTCTACCTTGCACAGCGATGCGATCGGGTTGGAAGCTGCTACCAGAAAACGGTCTTACAGTCCGGGAAAATGTATGATGGGCAAGCTGCAAAAGGCGTTTCCCAGCAGTAAGAGTGTGTTCCTTATGCCTGGCTCGAAAAGTGGATGTACCCAGATAGCTATAAGGACAGCCTGCGCGAGATAGGGCTAGACAAGCACTACTGCGTTTGCCATATCATATGGTGGCCCCTTGCACAGCTGTTCAAAAGCGTAAGATGTTTGTCTTATATATGTGATACCGTTTTATGCCCAAGTTGTGCGGTCCATGTCTCGGAACTTCGCCATTGAGAACGGCTGACGATGTAGGCGTTGTTAACTAGATCTGGCTTCTCCTTGCAATGAGCAACTTCAACGACGCCATGCCAAAAGTAAAGTAAGTTACAGGAATCGAGGCCCTTCCGTTCTGCGGTAGTGCCATGAGATGCGCACCCAACGGCGGCCGAAGACAGCATGGTCACCAATACATTGCCAACCACACAATGGTATGTGCGATGGGCACAGCGACAAGTAATACATAAAATGAGCGTGACATTGAAATAGCGCAAAGGGAACCTGGCCGACTCGGACTATGACCTGTGCACGCTACTCCTCCGATGAAGAGACGCCACCCCAGAGCGACGACAGCGCCTAGCTTGTTGGCCAGGTAGCAGAGGTCACAGGAATCACTTATGACCCTGTCCGTCCCTGTCTCCGCCTAACTTCGCCCATGCTCCTTGCTAAACCTACCAATCCAACTAGCGGACTGCCGTGCACTCCCCTGTCAGATAGCTCCGTCTCTGGCCTCATGCTTAGCCTGGCCCAAGGTAGGATTTCGCCTCCATGCCTGTTCTCCCAAGCCCCGTCCCCATGGCTTTACCCTGCAGAAAGCCATTCCTCCCTCCGGTGGTGGCTGGCCTGATAATATTATCTATAAACCGTCAGCTTCGCAGACACCGAGGCTCGCCCCCTATAAAAACAAAGACGCAGACAGTGCCGGCCGAGTATGTGGTGGTGCAGGCTGCTTTGGAGGGGAGTGAGTAGGTACGTTTGGGATGCGTATTACATGTTAATGATATGCGAAGATGCGTCAGTGTGGTCCGTGGGCTTGCGTGTGTGACTCTCCTTCCCCGTTATTCGACTCGAGGTCTGGCGGTGTGTAGAGCTACTGGAAACGGGAACAAGGGTCGTGTGGATTGTCGGTTTCGAACTGAGCGCAAACACAATGCCTAAGCTCTTCACGCGGCGTGACTGCGTCCAACATGCGCGCTCGTGCGCAGGCTTGCACAAAAACGCCATAACACCGGCGACATTCACCGGCGACATTCGCCAAACCCAGCTTCACGCACTGCTGATACACCCACATCAACTCCGCCTTGCTGGAATAATAGCCAACGAAAGGCATCAAAGAAGCAATCGCCAGAGCGATAGCCCACAGGATTGCGACGAAGGCCATGTCGGGCGAGGGACGCATGGTATACGTGAAAGGAGCACGTCGTACGATCCACTTTTCAGATGTGGTCGTTGAACGAGCGAAATGATTGAACGGACGTAAACGTGAATGTATCGGGACGTTGCCAACTTTGTGGCACTGCGGCCGCTGCGGCAGCGGCAGCCTTTGCTAAGCTGTTTGCATTGACTTACAACTAAGCTTTCAACATTATTACCGAAATAGTAGCTTAGCCGTTTCAGTTTATTGCAAGAGGCAAGATAGCCTTGAGGGATGCACTTGAGGCAAGTTAACCCTGGCTTATGGGCTAAATGTTGGTTCAAGCTTTACAACACTACAATGACATTGCTATGGAGATTACGAATCACTGAGGTAGACCAACAGCGCTTTGTTTCCGCCGACATGTACGACATGTGGGTCCTCTTCAGACCTGTACGCCTCTCTCTGTTTTCGACATTACAAGGAAATTAAAAATATACAACGCCACCTTGTCCGACCGAATCTGCGACCTCGGTGCAGGTACATGTAGAATGTACAAGGATACAACATAGGACATGCACACGGTACAAAAAGGACATAACGCCTCAGCCCGGTCAATTTTGAGTGAACGCTAAGACTACGCCCCTTATCGGGGCGAGCCAACCTGTCCTTGTAGGCTGTTGCATTCCTCAAAATGATCTACCTGTGCATTTCCGGTACGGGGAAGGGATGGGGTTCAAGCGGTGGGGAAGGGACAGCAGGGCCCCATTCCCGTACTACGTTTCGAAGGGTGGATATGCGGAACAGACCATCTCAAAGCTTGATATCAAGCTGTAGCCCTGATCACGGTATAACACCCTGCTCACATAAGGTGCCGGTTGGCCAGGGGTTAGTTCAATCACGATCATGACCAGACAGCCGGTGCACTTGTTAGCTCCTGCTACTAACCGGCAATGCTCAGAGCAACGCTGTAATACTAGCATCGCTCTTCCTAGCATCGCCTCGGTGCCCGTACTGGAGCGTGTTTCGCGTGACATCCACTTCACAACTCAATGACAGTACCATAAGGGCACAGGCGGCTGCGCTTATACAGCACTGGATACAGAGCAGGAGATTCCTGTACTGAAGCAAGAGGGGCTCCGCCCTTTTCCTTCTTTAAGGAAGCTGAACCCCCTTGTCCGACCTGGTGTAACGTAGCATCTCGGGAAAACCCGGGTTCGGGAGGCGAAAATCCAGATTCAGTTGGGATCTGGCTTTTCGTCTCCCTGCGGAACAACCTTAACGCGCGCTTTCATGCAATACAAGCTGGCTGAGGATAGCATACTCTACACTTGCTTCTTGCACTTAGGGTCATGCGCGTTATGGGAGGTTCTTGACGGGTGCAGCTTGACGAGCAAGCCTCGTAATTATCGTAAGGCCTTGATGACGAGCGCAACCGCTGTTTTGCTGTCAAGACTAGTCGCTGGTCTTTTCAGTGCTAATAGAAACAGTGCGTACGTCCGATTGAGTTCCTTGAGCCTCTCACCTGCAAGAGCGACTTGTCACGTGGGTTCCCGTACGCAGTCGGGCCCGGCCGGGCCGCTTCACAAGCGTGCTCCTGAGGAAATAGCTTATGCCTTATGCCTAAAAGATCCACATGACGGCTTTAATGGGGGTATCTATAGATCTGGGACACTGGCAGGTAGGCCCGCCGTAGGCGTTCACTGCAGGAGTACCGTACTTGGCATCGCAGGCTTCCTGCTAAGGACGAAAAATCCTAATAAGAAGGATTAGATGACTAAAAAAGTAAAGCGATATATAAGTGAAATGGGGCATGGTGAGGCGCGGTGCCGATGTTGCCCAGGGTAGCTAGCAACGGAAGAACTTTATGGTTAAGTCTTTCTTGCATAGAAAGCGTCTGCATGTCCTCGCCAATGCAATTCCAATTGGACTGCGTTTGACCAGCGGCTCTCGGCCCATGTGTGTACTACGCTAACGAACTCAGCAGATTCGCAATCGGGTTGGCCGCGCAAAAAGAACGCCAACACTCATTGTTCTCTCATACGTCCATAACTATCATGCGCAACTGGTTGAAGGCTTGCTAGGAAAGACTGGAAACGCCCAGCCTTTGCTAGGACTTTGCTGGTCCTGGGCCGCAGACCTTCAGTGGGTAGCCATTCAACTGCGCAGCGCTCACGTCTGTAATCATGTCATCTGATCTGTCATGTGTAGAAGAGTGGTACGAGGTCAGTGCTTATGGCTAAAGCTTTTCATTCGAGGGGGGTTGGGTCTGCCATGCAAGGCAACTGCATTTCGTAAACAGATAACCTTTTACGATGCTACATGGCTGTGGAAAAAAACTGCCCGTTCAGGATAACTCTCGCGCGGGCTGCGGGGCTCGGTTGTCCAACTCATCTCTTGCAAGCTATGCAACCGATGACTGGCTCACGACGTCGAGCTTGCTTAGTTTGGAGTGCAGCGAGGATATGGCTATGGAGGACGCCTGCGATGTGGACGCCTGCGAGGAGCCGGTTCCCTGCGCAGCGATGATGCTGCCGGGATTCAACTCCTTTAAGGGAAACACGCCTGCATATTTTTACGAACCTGTTCACTTACAAGGTCTTCGCGAGCTGATAAGGTCAGGCTGTCCGCTTGTCCTGCTTTGGTATAATATCTCTACGGTATCCACGTGCCAGTCAAGGGCCTCGGAAGGCCTCGGGCTTGCGGCTTTGCTGGTCCCAGGAACCACCATCTTTCTGCCGGTATACTTCAGTTCAAGATAAGCTACTTACACTAAAGCAACCTCCACACTACCTAGCCGCGCAGCCCTTTCTCTCGCGGTCACGTGACGTTCGCGCACGCCGCGACCAGCGTGTGAAGGCCCATCAACCCCATCCTTGTCACGTCGCCAGTACTACCCTTTATGAATCCTCCCTGCTACTTCTCCGAAACCGCGCAACCCTCAGCGGCCCGCCCCTTTTCCCCTGGCAATTTCCTAAACATCATGCACAACAAAGGACAGACCTACAGCCATAACCTACGCACACTGGCAAAAATCCGCCAATGCCACATCCTGCCCTTACTTATGAGCCCCGACCCCTTTCTCCTCCCCCCTGCTCCCAATGGTTCGCAGATCTGAGTTGCTAGTCCAAGCGCAATTGTACGGCGGCGTGTACGACAACAATAGCTACGTGCATGGCAGCAGCAGCCCACCTAAACCTGATGCGGCCGGGGATATTTCCGGGTTCCAAGAGGCCAACTCTTCTTGCCGCGGCTACTGCCCCGATGTAAACGATGGCGCAGGACGGCACGGAGGGCTCGTGCATGTCGCCTCCATCAACGTCACCGCAACCACCACCTCCCGACCTCTCAACCAGAGCAGCAGCGCCAACGACAGCAGCATGGAGGGCATCACCGGCACCTCCAGCCAACCTCTGCCTGCTGCTGCTACTGCCGCTGCTATTCCCCCAGCCGCCGCCTCCTCCCAGCCCTCCTCCTCTCCGCTGTGCGGCTGGCCGGTGCGCTCCCTGGGTGACAGGCAGCTGCTGGTGGGCTGGATGCGCGAGCTAGCGGCAGCAGGGGGGCTGCAGCGGGACACGCTCTGGGGTGCGGTGGGGCTGATGGACCGATTCGTGCTCGCATCCTCATCAGGCTCCTCCTCACCCGTATCAGCCGCCCTCTCGACGGCATCCTCATCGCCCTCATTGTTTTCTTCTTCGCCGCGTGATCATGAGGGCGTTTGTACGACAGCAGGACCTGGGCGGGGATCTGGATGCGGTCCGGGCTCAGGGTCGGAGTGCGACGGTGGTTTCTTTCCACCGCAGCGCATGCTGCAGCTGCTGGCCATTGCATGCATGTCTGTGGCTATGAAGTTCGAGGAGGTGAGGAGGAGGAGGAGGAAACTGGGTATGACCCGTGGCATAAAATTATGGCACAGGCATAAGTCCACCCATACCCGCTGGGTGTGGGTGCCTTACCTTATTCAGCCGTTGGTCTCCCATATCGTATACCAACGTTGTCCCCCATCCACGTCACGCTTTCACTTACCATCACCCTCTGAACGCTGCAGGTCACTCCGCTGGCTGCCGCGGAGCTGCTCAGCCTTGCCGTGGATCCAGCCACTGGAACCCTACTATACCAGGTACGGCACGTACTATTTTGCCGTACGGCAAGGTACGACATACCCCATGCAACACTTTGCGCCACCTGTCGTACACTGGGAAATGCCCGGGGATACCCGCTAGATAAGAAGCCTCTCCACAGCGGCGGCCTCGGCCCTTGGCACCATCACCGGCATTTCAGTTCCTCTTTCTCCCGCCTACCCCCGCCATACCACAACATCATATTCTTGCCCAGACATATTCTGAATTCGCTGCCGTCTTCCGTTACCCATCCTCCCTTCCCCCTCCCTCCTCACCCCACAACCCACGCAAACACACACGCACACAGGCCCCCGACCTGGTCCGCATGGAGGCTCTGCTGCTGCACTACTGCGACTGGCGGGTGCGTGCGCCCTCGGCGCTCTCATTCCTGCAGAACTTCCTTGCAGCAGCAGCAGCCGCAGCAGCAACCGGGTCTGCCGCTGCTCCTTGCTTCTGTGGCAGCAGCAGCTCCTGTGTCTCCTGCTGCTGCACTGGCATGAGCTGCGGCGGTGGGAGCGGCGGCGGCAGCAGGGAGGGGGATGCTGCCGGGGCCTGGGATGCAGCGCTGGCGGAGGCGGCGTACAGGTTGCTGGTGAGGGGGGATGAGGGGCGTGCTGGGAGGGGCGGTATGCGGGTGAGAGCGAAAGGAGGGGTGGACTTGGGAAGAGAGTTGGGACTCGGTTCGTTACTGCATGCACATGTGGTGGGACTGCATGTGCCGCTCTAACTGAGTGCACCGGCCTTTGCTCGACCCTGCCCTGCCGCCTACCTCCTCGGCCCTCCTCCGCTTTACTCCCTTCCCCGGCCCGGCAGGACGTGTCCCTGCTGCAGCAGCTGCCCCTCGCTTTCGGCCCCAGCACCACCGCCCTCGCCTGCCTGCTACTCGCGGAGCAACAGCTGCTGCTCCTGCCAGCAGCACCCAAGACGGCGGCACAGGCAGCAACAGCGGCAACGGGTGCAGCAGCTACTGCCGTACAGTTCGTTTCGGGGGTTTCCCTGGCCCATTTGGCGCCCGGTCTGTTTGAGTGTATGGAGCTGCTGAGTCGACGCCAACAACACAGCTGGAATTGATTGGGTCAATTGAGCCTTAGCATCCAAACCAGGCGAGCTTGGCAACGATGTGAGCGAAGAGCGGCAGCAGTACTTGCACAGAGTATGATCGCTAGCTGGGGGCATTTCGTCACCCGTTCCTGGTTTCGGTAGCAGCTGCCTGGCGTGCACAGCTGATGCATCGCCGTACGAAGCAACCTCCGTAACAGCTGGCCTAGTTGTTGTTGCTGCAACGGAACCCGTGGGTCTCTTTTTTCTACCAATCTTATGACATTTAGGCCGCTTTAGTACGGTTGTACAAAAGCAGTAGCAGTTGTTTTTAGGTTCTTAGCCAGAAGTTTTAGGTTTGATTTGCAGCGAATCTCTTTGCACTGTTTCATTAGGCTAGCTAGTGAGAAGCTAGATACCAAGCTATATTTGCTAGAGAATAGCTGTTAGGTAACTACATCGCTGTAGATCCGGCGCCCTTGGTGTTATCCGGCAGATAATCGACTGCAAGGGTGCTTAGGAATGTTAGGAGGAAGACGGGTATGGAGGAGCGAAACACCGGAGGAAGCAAGGAGGAGCGTAGCGGCACCATGGCGAGGAGGAGGACTAGGAGCACCAGTAAACTGCGAGCACTGTTGTGAGTGAATTGGAGTGGCAAGCTCTTTCTGCGTGCGTGTGCGTTGTGTCGCGGCTTTGTATCAACCGCGCGTTGTTTCCCTCTGCATGGAAGACACATCATCGCCATGCACGATGTTTGGGGTTTCTCACTGAAACCTTGCAGCTTGTTGGCTGCCATTCGTTGCTGCTGTGTTGCTGGCCCAGTGAACTCTTTGGCACGCATTTGCCGCCTGCCTCGCTCTTTGGGTGTTCGGGGAAACAAAGCGTAAGGCCGGTAGGACGCGGGGCATGGATAGCTCACTACACACGGCGGGGTATCTGTGAGCGGGCAAGCTACGTGCCAAGGGGGTCACTTCCCATCACCCTGCACTGCGCTGCTGCAAACGGAATACCTGTCCACGCATTGCTCCGGCGGGTAAGTATCGTGACTATCAATCCCTGTCGGGTCGGGCTCCCTAAGTTGTGGATGGGACGGGGCATGAAAGATGATTTGTGGGTGGGAGTGCATGCGTGGGCTATCTGTGTCGCCAGAAATGGCTTCTGTTGAGCCATTGTCGTGCCCCTGTTGTATTCAGATCAATTAACTTTGTGCCGTGTTGGTTCTTGCCGCCCCGCCATTATAACGTTGTTTGCGTCCCTAACCTCTGCAGTTCAACCAAGTGGTGCCCCGCTTAAGAGCTGCGGGGCGTTTGGTTTTGAATGGGTACTGCACTTACAATTCCAGTAGGGGATTATTCGTTATGAGGATTGCTTTACATTGGTTAATGGCTGCAGTAGCTGGGTTAGACAGGTCCTTCGGCGTCGTTCTTGGTTGTCATTTAGATAGCTAGATAGGTAGGTAGATTGGTAGTTAAATGGCAGTGGTATCCTTGCTTGTTGATTGCATCTGTTGGCGCAATAGCGTCGAGTCATGCAGTTGCGTGCGCAGTACAACTTGGGTTACAATCAAGTTGCTGCCAAGCCAGGAAGATTGCGTTGTTTGCAAGTAGTGAAGCGTACAGCGAAAAGAGGCCGGCCGCATAAACGGTGGACCTTATCTGGTGGGTTGTAGATACGTCTGCATTCGGTCTCTGGAGATCCAAGCCCGAGGTTTCCTGTGTTTCGCTGGTGGTAGCAGTGGTGATAAAACCTGACGCTGTCGCTCCTGATATGTCTTGCTGCTGTGAGGGGCTGCATTTACTCGTAACCGCTGGGTTTCATGGCATAACACAGGGTTCCGGTATGTTTTGCCTGCGCGCTCTGTTGTCGGCGGTGTTAATGTGGTTCAGGTCAGCACGGATGGGGTGTGGGCTTACACCTAACTAAGATTGATGACGACCCCGCTTGCCGCCAGCCCCGGTGGAGAGAAGTAGTGGTAATGGTTGGGAATTGCGGAAAGGATGGGGGCGTCTAATTCGGATCGGTCGACCGGGCTGCAACATATATCCAACCGCCCCCATGTTCTTTTCTGTTGGTTGTTATTTCATGGTTAATCAGTTGGCTTTGGTTGTTAATTTCTACTAGCTACCTTGTTTGTTAGCTGGTTTACAGTGTTTGCGTAGGGGTGCTTGTTCTTGGGTACATCGCCAAGTCGAGCGGTGGTACTCGTGCGGTTGTTGTCAGGTGGTTAAGTTCGTTCGTGTTCGTTGGTTGCCGTTTCTTTAGTTGTCGGCTACGCCGTTCCTATTGTATGGTTAAGTTGTCAGTTGTCCGCTGGGTGCAAGTGCGTGTATTGCTTGTTGCAGTGCACCGCGGTTGGCATTTTTGTTTTGGGCAAGGGGTGTTGTTGTGTTCGTCCATTGTCACACCAAAACCGCAGTGTACAGGAGCTAAGAATAATTAAAGTGCGGACGAAAACGCGCCAAATAGATGTGAGACAGCAAAGAGGACGGTAGCCGCTGCTGTTGCCTCTGAAAAGGTGCTCCCGAGGTTGGTAGTTGTGACGGTGGGGTGGGGGGTGGAGGTTAGGGGTACGGGTAGGTTAATGCCCGCTTTTGTCGGCTCCCTTTAGCTGCAACTTGTTTAGCTCCAGAAAAGAAGGCTGCTTTTATTATTCCACACGATTATGGGACAAATACGGATTCGTAATGGTTGGTTGTTCGTATGGGTGACGGCCTTTCTTTCTGTATTTTGTAGTTATACTTGGGATTCGTTAACGGTGTGTTTGGGATCTGTTAAATCAAAAATTGGGATCCGCCTGAGTGCTTGTGGTGCTGTCGTGTACCATCCCAATCATGGTGGTTTTCCCTTCCTCAACCTAAAGGATGGGCGCGGTCCAAGAGATCATAATCCCAACCGCGATAAGGGAAATGCGTACGGCAAATATCCTGTACAGCAACTGTTGGTTGATTCCGTAATACCCGCCGTATAGAGTGGGCATAGCGTCAAGAGGTTTTGTGGGTGAGAAACACGCGGTGAGGACTGTTTGGGCAGTGTTCGGACTCGTCCGTGCCTATTGCTTGGTTTCTGGCGCAGCAGAGCGGCAGCAGCCGAGAAGTCTGCTTGCCCATTACTCGGTTTCTCGGTTCGGTTATGGAGCTGTCGTTAGTTTGGTTGAAGTCTGTTTGGTTGGCGCTTGTTTGTTTGGTTTTGGCAGAGCTACTCGGGGTTGGTGGGTCCAGGCGCTTCTACGATACTCAGCGCTGGCTAATGTGTTGTGTTCCGAAAACTGGCCGCGAGTGGCCTCTAGGTGGGTGATTCAGCGAGGAAGGCGGGCTTTTTGGTCGGGGACGATGCAGGCGTCACGTGATGAAGAAGATGGAGCAGGAAAGAGTAATTATTTGGGCCGCTAAAGAAAATAGCTGGGCGTAGTGAAAGGCGAAAGGAAGGAAGAGGGTTGCTGACGGTTCCACAGCACAGATGCTGTGCATATTTTCGGTATCGGGATTTATTGCATGGCAACTGACGGCTTCTCCTTTCAACAGGACGAACCAGTTCAGAAGGTCTGGGCTTTTTGCACGAAGGTCAATTTAGGGCGGCTATGCGACCCGTGGGTCGGTTTTGGTGCCATCATGGAGGTGCGGCGCCGTGCATGTGTCTTGGGGCCTTTCAATTTGTGCCAAAAGATTTTAGGTGTGTAGTTAAACATACCGTAGGATACACCTTGGAATTGGTTTGAATGGTACCGGTGAATGTCTTGGGGGCGATACGCTAGGTCATGCAGACCTGGTAGAAGGATGAGAGGAATCCCAAATTGCTTTCGGCAGGTAGTGACGAGCGCTTTGTCGCGGTTAGTGTTACACCTTGGCCCTTGCCGCTGTGTACCCTGAGGTTGAGAGTCTGAGTTTTCATATGTTTCGTACGGCTTGCCTCGCTGCAAATGTTTCAAGCTTTTATGTCGATAGATGTGCCGCGTGGGATTTAGGTACATGTGTGGATTCAGGTCCATGCCATGCAGATAAATAGACATTAGCGCGTGTTTAAGCATTTTTATCATAAGAGGTGCAGCAACATGCCCTCATACAGAACTGAACAGAGTAGTTAGTTTCCATTTAGACAGCAGTAAGCACCGTTGAGGAGTTGGTTGTATCCCGTTATACCGGTAGTTGGTAGGAAGCGCAAGTTTTTGGCAGTTCGCGCTGTAAATGTTCGTTTATGCAAGAGTAGTTGGTAGGTGCCTCGTTAGTATAGTTGTAGGTGTATCGCTTCCCATGTTAGCTGTTGTTGCACAAGATACCGTTTTTGCGTGGCGTTTCTTAGCAAGCAGTGTCTAGGCTTCCAGGCGCTCGGTCGTGCGTGCATCCTTCTGTGTGTTGTGTATTTTGGTCGTACACAAAAAGAGGCGATTCCATTGAACCATACCATTCATAGGTCCACAAAATAATAAAAAAACCTTTTGTGCGAGAGAAATGCGGCATGGTTGTTGCTGCTGCATGTTGTTGTGTTTCCGCGTCGCCCTTGGTAGTTGTCGTTGTTAGGAGGAAGCAGGTACTAGACATCAGTTCAATATCATCCGTTTTGGAGCAATTGTACCAGTTGGAATGCGGTGGGTTGGATGCGCAATTTTACCAATGCTAATGTAAAACAACTATAAGGAGGACCTGGAAAAGCAGAATCTTGGCCAGAACATGCATTCTCTCGATCCGTTGCAACCCCAAGCAGCTCTCGGGCGGAACATGGGCTCCAATTAATTATCCTCTCTCACCGGCCTAGCTTTAATCACAGGTAACCATCTATTTGTTGGCTTGCAAAGCCGAAAGTGCAATCTTCTGGCACGAGTCAACGCTCACACGCCTTGTTGCAAATGAACGTCGGCTTAGCTGCTGTACTGCCCACCGAGTGACCCGTGGGTCTCTGACAGCAGTGCAGCCAGTGGCTAACGCACCCCTCTGCTCGCAACCCACTGCTAAGGCATTTCCGGAAAGAACTGGAACACGACAATGATCGCCCGATAACGGCATTCCATTGTTACAACATATAATTATATAATTATAATATAATTCAAAGCATGTTGAAGTCACTAGCTGCCCATCCGGGACTGTAGGAGCAGATCGTCTCGAGGCCAGGCAATTCCTTCCTCGTGCAACCGTTGGATGTCTTGGAGTGAATATGAAACGGAGGACGATGACGGGGAAGCAGAAGACGAGGAGGCGCCTTGGACAGTCGCTGCAGCCTCGGTGTTGGCCTTGACGGCAAGCGGATCATCATCGCCGTACCGTAAAAGCACGTCGTGATATCTGCCGTACAATGCAATAAACGGGAATTTTAGATCGAGGCGCATAAGGACAACTTTACTGGACGCAGAGTTAAACGTTAAAGTCTTAGTCCTAAGCTAGCGTGCTTGATTTTTGCAAGCAGGTGTCCACCGGGCAGCAGGTGGTGATGGTGGTGGTAACACTCTTGCCACGTCCACAGCCCACGGCCCCTTCCTACGACCAGGGCCTGTTTGCCGTACACCCATACCTGCAGGAGCGGTTCGTGCGCTCGTACTGTGAAAAAACCTGAATCTCCTGGACCAACGGAACGCACAGCCGCCGATTTTGGCAGGTCACCTTATACCTGCAGTAAAAGGGATATAGTGCAGTTGTTAACAAGGGGGCCAACAAGCACAAGGGATGGAGGAAAGATGTGGACAGACGGACTGCAATGAAAGTAAAGGCTTACGTTTTTAGGTGGATAACTTGCCCTTGGCAGCCTTCCAAAACATGCAATGAAGCGGTTTGAGACATACAGCCTCTCCTCGGTCGGCTCCCCTAACTCACAGATGCAGGTCATGAACAGATAATCTTGGTCCAACCCAACCGGTGCTGGCGAGCCCCGCACCGACCCTTCAACCAGCCACCGTCCACCATGGGGGTTTTCCCGTATGTGCCAGTGGACAACCAGATTTAACCCAACAGGCGATAGCTCTTCCGTACCAACCCAACCCCTGCCAGCCGGGTTACGCGCCGTTAACCCCTCATCATGTTCCCGCTCAGCTATCACCCCCCCGACTCCCCAGACGCCACAAAGCACCCACTTCATCTTCCTGCTCAGCTCCGTCATGAGTCGAAAGTAGTAACAGAGGCGGGCCGGGCGACTCAGGTTTCGAAGCGCAAACCTCCGAGCCGTCTCGGCGACCCGCTTGGAGTCGGCGTCGTGCGCTTTGGCCCATTTGACCACCTGGATTGCCCGGCGTGCACGTACGGAAAATCAGCACAAACGTTGGGGGTCACAGGGGTGTTGAAAAGCGTTGTTTGGGAGGGAAATGGGGGTCAATAGGGAGTGCGTAAAAATGGATAATTACACGCGACAAGCACGGTCTTGTGGTTGGCCTTTACGGTTGGTAATCGACAGAGAATGACCGCCTGAGCCGCGTCAGCAGCAACACCAGAAAACTACCAACGACTGGGCGTGGTTGGATCCCCATTGCACTGAAAGCAAGACCCATGGGTCAAAGAACAAAAACGACAAAAAAAACTTACGTCTACAATATCCTCGCTTGATTTGACCATAAAGGGCAAGTAGTGCTCGTACGGTTTTATGGCATCGTAGTAGAAACCGTAACGGGTCGAAGCTGCTTTGAGTATGGCAGATCCCAACAGCAAATACTTGTCGAACTTGGAGCTGATGGACCAACCTGCAGTCCATGGCAGCGGCGGCCATGAGAAATAATCGTGTGTATGCTGTTGGAGACACAATTATAAGAAAAAGGCCTCAACCTTAAAGCGGTAGAGGTCTTAAACCAACCAGCTCAAGAGCTGGAAACCCGGAATCTAATTTGTGGTAGGGTAAACGAAACAAACTGTGAATCAACGACCGTAGCGCCGTACTACTAACCACCAACAAGAGGCTCACAGTGGAGGCTAACGGCCAACTCACCATCGGTTGATACGATATACTTGTACCGGTTCTGGTGCACTAGTGGCAACGGTCGGGCGGCTCCCAGATCGTATGCGTCTAGCAAATCCGGATGCGCTTCAGAAATGCTGTTCAGGTAGGTTCGGGGGCACTTCATGACCTGCAGTGTGGGAGGCAGGGTGGGGCTTACTCTGCTATCAGGGCTGTGGAGTGGATGGTTTATATCGCACAAGCCTCTCAGGGCTGGAATGTTAAGCATCAAGCAACCTCCAGCAACCTCCAGCAACTTTAAGCAAGTCTTGCTTACCTTTCCATCCTCGGTCTTCATCCAAGGGATGTAGTGTGTACAAAAGCCGTTCCAACGGCCGAACGCAACCTACAATCCGGAAGATGCCGGGAGGAAGAGAGGGAGTGTCCCTGTTGGATGCAAGCGGAGTCTTAACGGCGCATATACAAGCGCTGTACGCCGCAAGGTGCGCAGTACAGTACGACAGAGCAAGGTTGTCGTACATTCGGGTATTTAAACGCATGCCAAAGAGAGGGCGGAACCGCGTGTTCCCCTGCACTCCTCACTTGCCCAAGACTCGAGTCAACAACACCAACCCCACACGTCCCCTTCCACCCGCACCCACTTCTCTCCCTATTTCTCCCTTTTCCGACCTCTCCTCCTTCTCTGTCCGCCCAATCCAACCCAGTGCAAACCCCAACCCTGCCGCCGACGCACCTCCCGCCTCTCCTCCCAGGGTAGCCCAGCAACGGTCTCCAACTGCCCCTCGATCGAGTCCCAGCTGTCTTGCGGACACCTGTAACTCGCAACAAGGAACATAATAGCGGGTCAGCGGCGCAGAGCGTCGTACGAACATGGTACGACAAGGTACGACATCAACGAATGAACGTGGAATAGGCGGCGTACTACACATTTGCCTGTTGTTACTTTTGTAAAGGATATTCCTAAAATACACTGCACATCATCCTTTTTTACCGTGTATGCCCGTGTACGGCACATCGTTGAACCCGACTACCGGTCTCTGAGTACCGTATGAAACTCAGCTACCGATACTTACATCCTGCTAGCTCACCTGAATGCTCCCGAGTAAGGAACTACCAGCGCCGCATTCTCATTCCACTTGCTCCATGCCAGTACGGCAGGCATGGCTCTGCTCCCCGCTCCAGGGGGCTTATGCGGCCAGAGGGAGGAGTTATCCGCTGGATTGATGGTGGTGTGTGCGGGCGCGTTGTCTCCTGCAGAGGCATGGGGGTACAACATAAAGAGACACTGACGATGCAAGGGGGGGACGCGGTGAAGGAAGGTGGATGTTGGGGGTAAGGGGGTGCCGATGGCGGTGCGGGTTGGCGCATTGCAGTTTGCAAAAGTAAGCAAGGAGTAGCGGGAGAGGGCGAGCAAGGGGAAAAAGCAGACGGCAAGCAAGGGAGAAAAGCAGGAGAGGGTAAGATGGAGGGGACCAGATGGTGCGCAAGGGAAGAGCGGCGGGAAAAGATGAGCAAGGGAAGGAGTAGCCCCGGAACCCGAGGAGTCAAGAGGACACACTCACCGTGCCAGTACGTAAACTCTACGTCCGGTAACCTGCGTGCGATGTACGACAACAGTTTCCGTTAGTGCGGTTTGGTTTACGACGAACGCTCCTGGCAAACTGGGAGTGTGCAGGCAGGGAAATGGCGGAATCCTTAACCTCATTTGGAGGCCCCTCTACGCCTGCTCCCAGCTCTCAACGCCTGCCATAGCCCACCCGGGTACCTCCCTCCCGTGGGACATGCCCAAAACCTAACTCCATCCTTTCTGCCATCCTTTCTAGCTTACACCTCCCTTCCTACCCCTGCCTAACTGTTGCTGCTGCTATCCCTCTTCTCGTCTCGGCCCATGCCTTCCCCTCGTCTGCATCCCATCCCATTCAAACAGCTCCTCCCCTCCCAGCCTCCACCTTCACCTCCCTTCACTCACCGGAACACCTAAACAACGAGCACGAGGAAGAGGAGGGACGCCCGATCGCATGGTTTTCAAATTGTACGCACGAATGCGCGGATCGAAGGGCGACATCAAAGTTGAGGAGGGCAGGAGCAACACTTTAGGGTTCGGTATCACGTGGCGGGCGTAACGGAGCGCAACGGCAAGTGGCAATGTTGCAGCTCAACTGTGCCCAAAACACAAAAACACACACGCTCTCCCCCCCGCATTACCCCTCGCTTGCCCCTGATCCCCCCGGCCGCCTAAATGTCCATTAGGCCCACGCGCCCTCACCTGGCTAGCTTCGTACAGCTCTACTAGGAAGCCTATGTGCTCGAAGGGACCCAAGTACTCCTTTCCGATCAAGTTTGTCAGGAAGACGGTCCCGTTTTCAATGAGCACGCGTTGCGCCTTGTTACAATCCTTGGTGCCTGGCGTGGTGACGCCCATGGCACCTGCGTGGCACCGGTTCAAAACACATTAGAAAGCTGGCAAGAGCCAAGTGAGTGTACAGTGAACATTTCAACAGAACAAAGCGAATTTACTTTCGTTCTGTAAAGATGTCGTACAGGTTCCCAGGAGGCTGCTGCTTTTCTGGAGTGGCGCAGCGCTTCACTAGGTTGTGTTGGGATGCCGTGTTTGACACGAGAGACCCTACCGGATGAGGAGCTAGAAGCACCAGACGCGGCTTGGGCGCCCTCCCCACCGCAGACGGCACATACCGATAGCGCGACGTCTTCGGTGATGCCACCGCTAGGGTCCCAGTACGACACATCTTTAAGGATGCTGTTTAGAGGAGAAAAAGGGCGTGAGAGCATTGCATTAAGTGTAAATTTAGGTGAAGACGCGATACATGACAGAGGAACTGAAACTTGTAGCAGGAAACGGGCCAAGGGCGACCCGATGCAAGTCCAAACACTTAGTTCAAGGGCATTGAGCCGCGACCAAATGTAACCCTAAGAGTGTAAGGGGATTTACATTTAGTAACCAATAGCTGCTTATGAGCTCCTCCTCACCGAGCTTCAACGTCAGGATGCAGCTCGCAAGTTTCCCGCCTCTGTGGTCGCCAAGAGGCAGTTGACGTACTAGTGACAACTAGAATGCATATTTGCAGTATTAGAGCAGTCGTCCAAGCATAATGAACCGACATCCGTGCGTAAGTAAGGAGGAGTAGTCTAGTGTTCCTACGTTGGCATGATTTTTACAATGTATCTATCAGCACATTTGATCAACGCAAGAGTAGTAGTAATGCAAGACAGTTCGCCCCTATGGTGGATTATGCCGTACCGCCGCGGATCGTGACGGATAGACTTCCTGCAAGCGTCTTCAGGGCGTACTGCACAGCTCAGCTACAAGGCGACGTTACCCAGTAGCTTGTCCTCACACGCTGCAGCCTTTTTACCAAAAAGCTTACCGGTACTCGCGATGGAAGGAAGCCAGAAAACCCCAAGGTACTGGGCTGGGCCGGTGTGCCCTGCCGGTGTGCAGCGGGTCCGATATCACCCATCGGCTTTCCCTGCCGAATGAGGTAGTTTGTTGGTTGGGGCCCGGCTCAGGCAAGCCAGTTAGCACGACCGACAGGCTGCAAGTTGGCCACGGTGCCACCTCACGATCAACTGCGTTTGCTTGTCCTGCATAACCTCCCTGGGCCCAGCGAAGGGACCCTCATGCACCGCAGCCCTCTATTGCATCCTATCCAGCAAGCCGGATGTCCCTCTGAGCTCCCATGACACGCATGAACTAGGCAACGGGTCCCTGCTGCTTGCGACGCCTCCCCGCGTCCAGGCTCCAGGGAGACCTCGAAGAGGTTACTTTGGGAGGTTTGACTCTGCAAGGTTGACGCAAAAGTAACCCAAACGCCCAGGATCCCCGGTTTGCAAGGTCATACGATAATTTGGAATGATTGGAATCCTGCCATGTTGCGTCCCTATCACATCCCCAACATTCACCTGCGGGGCACTTGTTAAAACATTGTTGCCGATTGGAGTTAAGGGATTTCCGTGTCCGAAGCAATCTTACATAAACGTGAGGCCCGATCCCAACCGGCCTCCCTCACTTCCCGCCTCCATGTAATGACGGTAGCGTTAGGCCCTATTGCCCTTTCCATATGCAACGCCCAATATAACTCATGAATGCAAAATTCCAAAGAACGTGCATGCCGTTACGTACATTCCGCACCCAGCCGCCGTACTGGTAAAGGTTCCTCGCAGCTGCGGCTCTTCCCTTGTTCTACGGCATACATTTTCTCCAACAGCCTTGGCTGCGAGGATTGACCTACTCGTCTTCACGTGACTCACACCGTCGCCAGCATCAAGCTCTGCTTCAAACGTGAGACGACCGGCTTGGCAAGGAGCCCCAAAAGACCCTCCCAGCCTCATGCAACACGCAAACTGCTTACCTAACGCATAACATGAAAAAAGAGCAGCAGCTTTACATGGTTTCACACCCATGTCCGCTCAACACAAAATCGCTTAACACCAAGACCTTTTGCATGAAACAATAGAACGACACAAGCCCCTGGATTTGTTTAAAGAGTGTCGTACGACCCGTCAGTAGACAGACATGCTGCAACCAGTACGTGGGTGTCATGCACATCCGGTGTGACCATCTCGCCGCCAGCACAGCAGACCCGTGGCTTGAATGGGCCCCGCTGTGACCCATGGGTCGGAAGCGAAGGAGCTACCGTGGGCGTGAATGCGGGACACAGACCGAGGCGCAATGCATTGCAGGACAAGTAGCACTTTAGGTCGAGGGCTGAGGACGCAAACACGGACCGCTGGGACAAACTAAACCCCACACGCCAACATCTGAAAGCCCCGGCGGATAAAGATTCGGGCTAACTGCAACCATAGCCGGGCAGAAACAATGGACATACAGTCTCTAGGCATTTCATCGGTTTTTAGCACGCAAACGCCACAGGGCCGTGTAGAGTAGTAGTCATCTTCACATTGTGATGGCTTTAAATGCACCTATACTGCAGCATCACATCACAATATCACAATGAAACAATACCTCATCCATCACATGATCCTTGGATCACAGCACCAAGTAAGAAAGCCTTAGTTCATCTCCTTTTACAACCTTTGGGTCTGCCTCACAATGCATCTATTAGCCAAACCAAGCACATCAAACATCGGGACAAGCACACATCTTGACAATACCACACACAACGTCAACAGCAGTCTAATAGGGGCTCCTTGCTCCAAGATGTGGGTGTGTTCAGGAAATCTGGCCGCGTGTGCGCGTGGTGGACCGGCACCCCGCGACTGCTCAGTGCATGCATGGCCCCGGTCGTTGGTCGTTATTCGTTGGTCGCTGTCAATCCAACTGAATTATGTGGTGAGATGGTTGCTCTCATGCATACGGGTGTCCAGCTATATACCATGTACCCGCTCAAAACCACGTCGTTGTCATCAAGCATGGGTGCGTGATGGTCACCTTCTGGCGACGGTGTCCCGAGACTCCGCAACGGGTTATGTACACAGCCAACCGTAACAATGTCAGACTTGTGATGTGCAAGGGTGCGTGCAGGGTTTAGACACACCTCAACCCAGGCAACCTAACCCCAATTCCTTATCCGACCCCATTAAAATAAAACCCTATCCAGCACCACTACCACAGCCCCCATCGCACCCCCATGTGCTTTCCACCTGCCTGCCACACTCACAGTACGTTTGGTGGAGCAACTCGCTTCTAACCGTGTAACAGGCAACCGTTCGTTCGTCACGCCGTACGCCTCACACCGTACGCCTTACGCATACGTCGTACGCCAGCTACTCGGCGGCGGTGGGATGGCTCCCATGTCAGCCAACCTGAACAGCCGTTGCACGTAGGGCCTGTAGAAGGCTGTGAGACGAGCCATCAGCTGAGGATCGATGCGGGCGATACTGGGATCAGGAGGGGGCGGAGGGGAGGTCGCTGAGAGGCTGGCAGCAGCGGCTCCTTCAACGGCAGCAGCAGCTGCTTGGTTGTGGGGTTGCTGGATGTGGCTGGAGGAGGAGGAGGAGTTGGGGTTGAGGGCGCTCCGATGCCTTGCGCAGTTCCAGTTCTGTGGGGTTGGGGTTGTTTGCGAGGCCGGAGTGGGTTAGGGAGGGGGTTAGGCATAGGGCATGAAGCTACACGCACAGGGAGCAAATGCGTGTTGTGGTGCTGTAATGTGGGAGGCGGCAGGAGGACAAAGGGGAGGGGCGTATGCAGCATGCATTAGCATGGAGGGAGAGAACGATGCGTTGGATGGTGAGAGGGTGGTGGCGCAATTCCAACCCTGACAGGATGCATGGGAGGAAGGGTTGGTCAAGCCAAGTGGAGCATCTTTTCGAAAACTAAATCCAAAGGCACCCATGACAGCCCCACAGCCCGAAGCCAACCGAAGCAGGACCTGAGTGCAGCACCGACCCATGTACTTCGCAGCCCCAATCGAAAGTCTTACGTAGCAGCCTCTCATGTTAAACACCGTTGACAGCGTCTTTTGGGTGTATGTCGCCGGCTGAACACCCAGAAAGCTCTCCACCTTCCGCACAGTCGCCAACGGGTTCTCCGCAAACTCCTCCGTGTACAACACAAGCAACTGCAGGACAGTCACCATGCATGCAGGATGAAGTTGATTGGATGTTGTTAAGGGTTTAGAAACATAACTGGTTCTTCGACATGCGGTGTCGAGCCGATAATCACTCGGCACTTTGACACATTCACTAGGGTGCCAACCCAGATTAACGAACAGACGAGACAGTCAACCAGTAACGGAATAAGCGAGCTATCCAGCAGCCATCAGCCACATCACACATGACTTAACCAACCAACCAACCTGCTCGGGCGGAATGTACGCCAGGTAGTTCTCCACAAATATGTCGTACGCCGACCAGCCAACGATGTCTGTAGCACAGCAAGCAGTATGCGTTAGTTCGGCAGCTGTGCTAGGCATGCAGTGGAACGTGGAAACTGGAAAGTGTCATCCATCATGGAATCTCCTACAGATAAACACAGAAGCAGACGACGGCGACAAAAGCCCAGCCCTACCCCCCCCAATACCCCAAATCCCATGCATGTTCGCCCGTTTGCGTTCCCTCCCAAACAATCCTCACAAAGCCCCTCGGCCTTTGCCGCTTTTAAACAGAAGCACCAAGGTCATCCCTGGGTTTCCCCCTCGTCTCCCTCACTCCGCCCTGCCCTCCACCATCGCCCTCCCCGTCCCGCACTCACTGCTCCTGGACAGGCACTGCGCCTCCATCCACCTTGCAAGCGGCATGCCCGCACCCCAACCCGCGAAGGATGCTGACGACGCGGATGGTGCGGAGGAGGAGGCGGAGGCAGCTGATGAGGCAGCGACAGAACCGCTGCCGCTGCTGCTACTAGCAAACACACCCGAGGCGCCTGCATCCGCTGCGGCAGATTGGGCGGCAGCTGCTGCAATGGCGTCAGTGGAGGAGGTGGCGGCGGCGCTGCCGGCGCTCCAGATGGTGGCGGAAGAGGTGGCGAGCGGGGTGGCAGCGGAGGCGGTGGCGGGGGCAGTGGGGTTGACGGAGGAGGTGGCGAGAGCTGCTGGTGTGGAGGAGATGGAAGAGGGCTGCTGGGAAGGAGGTATGGAGGTGGGTGGGGAGCTGCTTCCCCGGAGATAGGAGCTGCCGGTGGTGGTGGTGGTGGTGGTGGATGCAGCTGCGATGGTGGTGGTGGTGGTGGTGTCGGTGGTAGTAGGAACAGTGGCGGTGGCCGCATGGGTGAAGGGTCCGGCAGAGGTAGTAGTAGTGGATATGGGAGTGAGGGTCAGAGTGATTCCAGACTCCGTTTTGATAACGGTACTGCCGCTGCTGCTGCTGCCACTGCTACTGCCGTCCAGTATGGAATGAAGACTGCGTCGGTGGGTTTGAAGCTTTAGTTGCTGCTTCTGTTGTAACCGACGGCGTTGTAACCGTTGGTGATGCCGTTGTTGTTGCTGTTGTTGTACGTTGGGGGTGTCGTATATCGACGCTGTCGCAATGCATCCCCGTACGGCACTCATGTCTTGGTTAATCCAACTTGCAAACGTATGGTTTTGGGCCTGGACAACAGCAATGGGTAAAATTGGGGATCGTAAAGGAATGTAGGAATAGGGCGCTTCTCAGCAAATAAAAGCCTTTCCCCCCTGAAGAAGGCCCAGAGGTAGGCCGCCCTGTTGGCAAGCGAACGGCCAGATGAGTGACCCATGGGTCATGTGCTGCCGAACCCATGTTCCGCGCTAAAACCCACCTGCTTATGGTATGGACCATTCCACAGCTCCTTTTGTTCCAGGAAACGACTCAGTGCCCGTTGAATAGGGTCGCGGAGGAGCATGATGATCTGTTCGGTGGGGCATGACGGGGCATGCAACAGGGGGGTCGGCGGTTGGCGGACGGGTTGGGTTCTAGGGGCGTGTTGGGCACAGAAGAACATGTGTAGCGGGGTAACGGCGCGTTCACGCATGCTGGTGCATGTCTCTTGAGTTACCCACCTATTAAGACCAAACCATTTGCATTTACCTACCCTTAACTCAAGGACGACGCATACAGACGCATGGCTGAACCCTCCCCATCCCTCCCTAGTTCTCGTTTGGGACCGGGTTAGCTGGTTCAGCTATATTCATCCCTCCCTGTCCCTGCGTCCCTCCGCCCATGTGTCGTACCTTGATTTTCGGGTTTATGGTTTTAAAGATGATGGGGCAGCAGATGCACGACAGATGCGAGGTCGACCAATCGCCCACCTGTACAGCCGGCAGTTGTGACGGTTCAGCAAGTTGGTTGAAAGGTTTTTACGGAAACGAGTTCCGTAAACGAGTATGGCAGCATTTATGGGAACCAGCAAGTGAACATGAGGTAGGATGACGTATTCAAAAAAAGGAGAGTAATTCTTGAGGTCGGCGACAGTTGGCGCCAAAAAGAGCGGCCGGGTGGAACTGTGCAAGAGAAACCAACTGAGCGTAACTGTAGCGCTGTACGACAGGCCAGAGCTGTGGTCGACGGAGACGACACGGGTGTGTATGTTAAAGAACTGTGTGTTAAATTTGAAAGGGTTGGCGGCGAGTAGGAACGTAAGATGAAGTCCCCACCGATTAGGTGGGTGTGTTTGTGTTGTGTTGCTGTTGTGGGGAAATCGCTCCACACCCACCCACCCACGCACCTTGAGGTCGGTGCGGTTGCGCAGCTGCCGCATCAAGCCACCCTGGGGGGTGCGACATAGGGAGGTGGGGAGGTGTGAAGGGGCATGGTGTCAGAAGCGAGGCAGGAGATTTGTGTGGCGTGAGAGAGAAGAAACCTGCCTGGCAGCACCTGGCAGCAATGCACACACGTGGACATGAAGAAGCACACACACGGCCGACTCGCGGCCAGTTTTCTTAACACACGCAAATGGCCAGTTTTCTTAACACACACACGCACGTGCGCGAAGTACATTCCTCTTTGCGGCCAATTTCCCTTAGCATACCCGCCGTCGAATGCAACCCACCACTCGAAGGTAGTGCTCTATTTGGTTGTCGCAGAAAGCGCTGCCGGGCCAATCACCATGGAAGTAGAGCGACTCCTGTCGGGCGAGTTGATAACAAGAAATAAGTTAGGGAGGCTTATGAACTCCTTCAGTGGGAAGGGGTCGGTTGCAAGACGTGCCTGGGATGCAAGACAGGGGCACTAAACTACACTCAGGCAGCTACCAACCAAGGTGGCGAGACAGGAGGTGGCACAACGTGCAGCGGGGGCAGTCCCTTTTGGCACTTTAGGAATCCCCTTGTGGGGAAAATCAAGGATGGACAGCGCGGATTGCCGAAATATTGTAGAAGAAGGGTAGTGGGGCTATCGACGTGCTGTGCGTTTTTTGACATCACGTCCTGAGGGAGGTTCGCTGGGGCGGGATCCACCCCATGCTCCGTTTGCTGTCCTCCTAGGAGCTAGCTGCTGCTGCGAGCGAAGGAGCATCGACGCACCTTGGCGCCACCATGCCATGTAACATCCGGGTGCTCTCGTAGGTAGTTCCATAGCGAGCTCGTACCACACTGCGGTTGTCAAGAACAGTTTAGCCAATGCTAAAGAAAAGAAGCTGGCGCATCACCAAGCGCCGTGAGTAACCAAGCCTCGCCTAGTCAAGGTCACACGTAATGGGGCGAAACGGCGCGGAAGACGAGCACAAGGGAGCGGCATTAAGGCAACCGCTGATACAAGACGTTCAACACTATATCAACAAAGGTAGTATGAAAACCTTCCGCCGTAAGCTGTACTGGCTATACCATTCACACTTAACACGGAAAGCACATCGCGAGCAAGGACACGTTTTTAGCGGTTAGGCGTTATACGATGACCGAGAGCCGTCGCAGTAGGCACGATGGAACGATATTATGTCTCCGAGGACTTTGGATTTTCGTTTTATACGAAGGAGATATCGTCGTGTTAGGCGCCATGTTACCTTCTGCTGTCCGACAACCGCGTAGTCTATAGGCGCATATAGCTCCTGGTATGGAGTATCGAAGTTGACGCTGAGGCTAAGGCAGGGGGTGATTGTAAAGCTTATGCCCAAGAGGAGTATGATTGCTCGGAGTGTCATAGTTGCACAGGGTTATCCTTGCTGTGTAGCCAAAGCTATGTTAGGTAGGATAAAGGCAGCTGCTATCATACTACAATCTAAGATTAATAGCTATTTGTTTAGAAGGAAGCGGGTATAGTACACAAGGTGTCAGACACGATTAGTTGCCCATGTTCATGTGGATGTGCAGCACAAAACTCCTCAGATAAGTAAATGTTTTCGCATAACAAAGCGTCATAGGGCAACAGGTTAGCCGCTCTGTGTTAGTTAGTTGCTGTACGAGCGCACAAAATCATTCCATGTCCTGGTCTGCCTTTGGCACTATTATACGTGGCTGCTCTGTACGTCACACGCTGTCATTTAATACATAGCGAGTACCAGGCAATTGTTGACACGGCTGGAACTTGTCGGACGGGTGCATCCTCTCAGTCAGTCGTGGCGCGTCTACGTGACCCAAAAACGGAGGTCACTTAATAATCATAGAATGTGGCTTGTAGTCCGGTAGTCAGGGCTGCGCTCGAGTTGCTATGAACAGGTGGCGAGCGACGGACGTCGCACGCTTTCCTTCGACCGTACCCCAGAATCGCGCTGTTGAAGCCTATTCCCCAGCAAGGTGCTTTGCAATACCTAGCATATATACTGTCACGCCAAGGCGTCTCGCGTTTGACGTACCACATTGCCCGGCATTTTGCGCGCGAAACCCTACATAGGTGTCTGCAACCCTCATCCAAAGGGATAAACACTTGTTCCTATGGACGGCGTTGGTCTTCAACGCGCTTGGCCAAGGTGCTTGGCAGTAATTATTTCACGGCATTGCCGACAAGGACCCCGCCCATAAGGACCCCGACAAGGACACGTGGGCTGGGCACAGGCTGGTTCACCAGCCTCAAAGCTCCCTTCTATCGCTCGCCATGTCCTAGTGGACGCCAAAAAATTCCCGTATGGCACACGAACACCTGCACGAGCGCATTGTACGATACACAGCATGTCCTGCTGCAGCCCTGTGATACTTGTCGTGACGCCCAGCTACTGCATGTCACGTCAAGTCCCATCTCCCTCCTAGGTAATTTTCCAAGACGTGCAAACCGGGGGAAAAGACACAACAAGGTGTAGAGCTAGTCCCAGCGACCAGCGGGTTCTCCTAACACGGCGCATGCTGCTAACCAAAGCCCCAATGAGTGCAACGGCTATGAACGCAGCTATGGTCCTACGGGTCACCGGTAGGGTAAGAGGTCCGCTGGAGTGCGTGGTTGCCTCATACACGCCACGCAGCTGTGAAACATTGTACGGTCGTCGTAGTACGCCAATCTTCGGATATGCTGCATAGATGCGTTCCGTTGGGCGTCCACTATAAGCGAGATAGCATTACCTTCTAAAGCATATCGGCCACGCATGCTTGATGCCTACATGTACCCAAGCATTAGACTTGCAGCAAATGGTAAGCGCCTGAGTTGGCCTATGCGACACGCATACAACGTTATGTCGGCAAATGACTAGAGGATGCCCTTCAGTGCGCCAAGCATTGTCTGCCTTGGTTGATTGGCCATCTATCCGGTGGGGTTGACTTTGCCGGAAAGCGTTATTTTACGACCTCTAGAAAGCATATCTAAGCATGGTCCGTTATACATTGCAATGCCGAAGAGCGACTGCGCAAATGTTGCCATGTACGGGAGCTTACATACTTTCCACGACGTTCTGCATTCTCGCATTCTCCTACCGCACCTTTATAGAGCACATGGCTGATACGCATTGCGTTTTGCAATTGATTCTTCTATCAGATGCCACGGCGTTCTGTTGAGTTCGGACACTCTGTTCAAACTTATGAGTTCTGACTTATTTAACGCCTTGTCGCCGCTCCTGCATGACGTTTTCTCTTTGGCGATATGTCTGGACGGCTAGTCATACTGGTGCTCCTCCTTGTGGACGTTGCTATTGCCCAAGTAGGTGCTTTGCGTTTGCCCACTCTGCGGTTCTTCCTTTGCCTGGTGCAATCTTTTGCCTGGTGCAATCTAAAAGCTTTGAGTGCCTTTAAACATATCCACAGGAGTTGTCCCTTGGTCTAAATGGACTTCTCGAGGGCTTTGAGCTTGGTCATGGCTTTAGGGCCGCCTGGCTGAGGGCCGTTTCTCGGCCGCATTCTCAGCAACATTTCCCGCCTAAAACGGGTTTATCCTCTTCGTCTTCGGACAGCCCTCCGTCCGACAGCTCGCCGCACATTCGCGGCGATGCTGCGTTCCTATTCCATCCTTACTGCAACTTCACGACGTGCTGCAGCAGGCGGACCAGCTTAAGCCTCAGTTACCGCGCTTCACAATTTACAGCGAGGCTGGGCTCGGCGGCACCACCACCCCTTCTGGCTTGCGGTCCTCGCCCCACAAGTCCAGGCAACCCCTCCATCCCATGTCATCCGCCGCTTGACGCTCAGCCCCTTCTCCAGGGCATCCAAACTCGGGTGCAGCTGTCACTACACTCCATCCGCACGCAGCTGCTGCAGCTGGGCGGCACCATCGCTCAGCGTGCGCTTGCGGCACAGCTGCAGCTGCTCTACCAGCCACGCACAAAGCTACTGGCCCTCGCACCCGCAGCCCCTCCTCCATCTTTCCCCTCCTCCTCCAACTCCTCCTCCTCACCAGCGGTTTCGGCTGAGGAAGAGGCACAGCAGCACCCAACGGAGCCTGTACCAGAGGGACAGCGGCAGCAAACTCAACATCCACAAGAGGGGCCGGATGCAGCAGTGACAGAGGCTGGGACGGCCGTGGACAATGACACAATGGAGGACACAACTGCAGCGCCGAGTGAAGAGGCCTCCCCTTCCCCCGCACCAGCCCCGTCTCCAACAGTTGACCTGGAAACGACAGGGGCGGAGGCGGCTGAGCAAACACACGCAGGTGCTGCTGCTGCTGCTGCTGCGGAGGTCGCTGAGGAGGAGGCGGCTTCAGCCAGCGTCTTGACGCCACTCCCCGAGGCCTCGCGGACACTAGGGACCGCAGAGGAGGGCGGCGATGGTGGTGGTGGCAATGGTGGGCTAGAACTCCCTGACACCCCGAGAACCGCAAGGGGCAGAGGGCAAAGGGAACACCGGATACAGCAGGATGCTCTGACAGGGCCGGCGGGAGCAGCAGAAGCACCTGCAGACGGAGTCCCAACAGCTGTAACAGCCGATAGGGGTCGGGGCGGCGTTCTGGAGCTGGGTCAGGGCGGAGAGAGCGCTGCTGGATTTGGTTCAAGTAGCAGTAGCAGCAGAATCTGCCTTGTTGGGGGCGACGGCAGCGGCCTTCTGCAGGGCGTTGCAGTCGCGGTTGGGGGCGGCATGCCGGCTGAGCTGTTGGCTGAGCTGGAGGGGCTGCTGGTGGCAGGCGGGGCGGAGGCGCTGCTGATGCGGTCGCAGCAGCAGTGGGAGGGGGAGCAGCAGCAGCAGGACCAGCAGTGCGGGTGGGGACAGGATGGGGAGGAGAACATGCAGCCCCAGCAGCAGCAGCCTCAAGCATGGGGTGTCGTCGAGAGGGGTGCTGCTGCTCACGCTTTAGCGGCTGTCGGTGTCGCTACCCCTACCTCTGCTCCCCGCGAGGATACGGAGGCCGCTGGCGCTGCTGGTGGCAGTGACGACGGAAGACTCCATGCCGGGGCAGCCGAGGATAACACTGAGGGCGCCGCTGCTTCCGGCTGCCTCTGTACTGACGTTACGCACAATTTGGAGCAGCCGGTGACAGCGGCGCCGGACAGTAAACCGGGCAACGCTGGGTTGCGTACGGCAGTTATCGCCGTCGCCACTGCAACCGCAGTCGCGCTGGTTGTTGGTATGGCGGCTGCCATACTTCAGCGCAAGGCTGTCGCGGAGGTGAAACGCCGCGAAGCAGCGGCCCGGACCGCCCTTGAAACGGAGCTCCGAAACCAGCACGCGCGCGATATAGCTCGGCTCCGAAATCAGCACGGTGAGGAGCTTCAGGCGCTCCGAAACCATTACGAATTGAAGAGGATTCCAGATCTCCAGACGGAGTTCAACAGTCATTTGCAGGAGCTCCGAAACCAGCATGAGGTTGCCATCGGTCAGCTCCAAAACAAGATCTTAGAAGCTAACGTCGAGGCACAACGTCAGCTTGCAGCCCGGCGGGCGGCTTTACGTCTAGCAATTTCGGCGCGTCGCGCCGCAGCCGCGGCTGCCGTGCATTTAGCCACGCGGGTTCCGGAGCTCCAACGCGGCCAAGTGGCGCTGGCGGAGGCCCTGGCAGCGGCGACGCGGGAGTGGCGGCGGCGCGGCGAGTCCCTAGCGGCGGCGCTGCAGCGGTGTCGTACAGGCGCCGAGCGACTGGCGGCGTCGGCGGCGGTAGCGGCGGAACGCTCGGCTGCGGCGGAGCGACGTCAGTGGGAGGCGACGGCTGCTGCGTTGGCGGCGGCGGAGGCGACGCGTCGGAGCGAGGTGGCGGCGGTGCAGGAGCAGCTGGAAGCGGTAAGCACCTCGCTTGTATGTTGTAGCAGCTCATAGTCTTCTGTGAGGGCGGGGCCGGTTTGCGGCACTCAAGGGATTAAGTACCGGTAGCTAGCTAGCTCATGATCCGTCACCGCCCTCCCGCGCAACCCGCCATGCAGCCGTACATTTGGAACTGGGATCATATAACCCCCTGTGGGTGCCATGTGTATGCGTAACCCTACCAGGAGCTCGAGGACACGCGCCGTCAGCTGTCGTACACGTCAGCCGCCGCAGCGGCCCAGCGTGTGACGATTGGTACGGCACTAGGGGAGCTGCGCCGCCGCCACCGCAGCAACGTGCGGGCGTGGTTGGCGATGCGCGCGTGGCTGGGTGTCCAAGTGACGGAGCTGGCGGAGAGGGCGGGGAAACTGGTGAGACCGGGTAGGGGTAATACGGGGGTAGGCGTGTGGCAAGATTCTCTCTCCTTCCGCTGCCCTCCTGCTTAAGAGCATGGTACTATCGCCCTGTGTTTACCTGCCCCCCCCCGTGGTACTCTACTCTGCGTGTAACACCTCCCCTCCTCCCCACCTCCTTAGGCCTCCCAGCACCGCTCCCAGCTGGAAGGCGCCCGGGGTGCGGTGGCGGGTCTGCAGGCGCGGGTGGTGCTCATGCAGCAGCAGCTGGAGCAGCAGGTGGGGTCAAAGACCATACCAAACCATAGGAGACCACAAGTTAGGGCAACGCAATGGGGAGGTGGGGGGGAGGGGGTGGGGAGAGGTGAAATAGTAACCAACCCGTTCGTGTTAGGAGGAGAAGGGTGGGGGGATGGAGCACATGCCCTCCCCGTCCCTGCCCCTCACCCCCCCCTTACATCGCCAGGAGTCCGCTGTTTCTGTGATCCCCCCCCTTACCCCTCACGATGCCGCCCATGTTTATCCTTTACCCCATCACATGCCGCATGCAACACCCCATGTCGCCTTGCCGTGCGGTTAGTTACCGGTAGTGTCTTCCTCCCTGTCGCCTGTCACTCGCCGCCAGGTGTCTGCCGCTTGTGAGGCTCGCCGCACCAACGGAGAGTTGTTGGAGTTGTTGGGGGAGAAGGACGCGACCATCACGCTGTTGGAAGGGGAGCTGGCCAGCGTTAGGATGGTAGGGCGGGGAGGGGAACTGGGGCGGAGGGGTAGTGTCGGGGGGAAACGCGTGTGTGTTTTGTTGGACGGGAGCCCCGAACCCAGCCCCACCTCGTCCCCATTCCTCCCGCCCCCAGGCGCTAGACTCCCAGCGGGCCCAGTGCGGCGACCTGTCCCGCACCCTCACCTCCACTGATGAGGCCCTGGAGGCGGCCATGCAGGAGGGCAAGCAGCTCGCGGAGCAGCTGGAGGAGGCCGAGGTAGGGGGGATAAGAGGTGGAGGGCGGGAGGGGGCGGCCTGGCTGGACGCAGCCCGGTTGGGGTGGGGAGGGGGGGGGGTGAGAGATGAGGGGGCGCGCGCGGGTTGCGGGGGCTTCTGAGTGAGAAGGCGGCCGGGGTAATGCGGGTGGGAAGGCAGGATGTGAGTCCCCGGGGCCGTAAAGCAGCGGTGGGAAGAAGGTACAGCTGCTGCTGCGACTGCTGCTTGCCTTTGCATGGCGCCGCACCCCACTCCTGATGGCTTCCTCCGCACCTGCTCCCCCTCTCCCATCGTCCTGCCGCCTCCTCCCTCCAGGCCGCTGCTCGCGCGGCTGAGGAGCGGTCCGCTCAGCTGCAGGCAGCAAATCGCATGCTGGATGAAAAGGTGGGCGGGGAGGGAGCGAGGTGGTGGTGGAGGGGACGTAATCTGGTTGCTAAGGAACAAATAGAGGCAACGAGATTTCCGATATGATACGCGGTTCTGTGTGTTGTGGAAAGCCTTGGGAGAAGCTGCACCGTAGGGGTGTGGAGGGATGGAGGGAGGCAGGGGGCCGTGCAGAGGCTGCTGTGCCGAACGCATGTTGGATGAGGAGGCGGGAAAGGATACTGGGTAGAGTGCGTGTGTGCGCGGTTTAGGAAGGCGGGGCAGAGGGGGTGGGGAGAACAGAGGGGGGGTTAGATAGGGGCAGAGGAGGGCTGCGTGTTTCAGTCCTGCCAAATTACCCAGCTCCTCTTAACCCCCGCATCCCCCCACCCCCACAGCTCAAGGAGTTCACGGACATGGCGGCCACGCTAGCCAGGCTGCAGGTGGGAGCAGGTGTACGCATGTGTCGGCGTGCGCGTCCCTGCTACTACGCTGTGTGCTCATGATGTTTCTTATACATACATGCTGCACAGCTGTTGCTAATGTGTTCGTCTAAGTCCTCCCCTGCCGCGTCCCGTGACGTGTTGGACCAACTGGGGAGAAGCCGCGCCCCTTGCCGGGCTCCCTCCTGGTTCCCACGTGCGAATAGCTCACATGTGCTCCGTTGGCGGCCGACCTCTTCCTCCTTTCCCCCTCCCCTCTCCCTCCCTCACCCCCTCCAGGACACCTTTGTGGCCCCCGCCCAGGCTCGCGCCGCTGCGTTGGAGTCTCAGCTGGCGGCGGAGAGGGCGGCGGCGCAGGCGGCGGTGGAGGAGCGGGACAGCCGGCTTGAGGCGGCGGCGGCGGAGCTGGCGGAGGCGAAGAGGTGCGGGGGGAGAGGAGGGGTGGCTTGGGGGAGAAGGGGGGCGAAGAGGAGGGCAACGGGGAGAAGGAAGGTAAGTTGGGGGGCAATGGGGGCTTGGGCATGCGGCATGTTGAGGGGAACAGCACAGGTTGGAAGGGATGGGGTGGGGGACAGGGGTTCCCTGTTGCCTTCAATCCTTTTGCGCTCCACCCTCCCCTTCTCATCCCACCCACCCACCCACCCACCCTCCAGGGAGCTCGAGGCGCACCAGCGGGCGAGGACGGAGATGGCGGAGAAGCTGGAACGGCGCGAGCGGGAGCTGACGGCGTTGCAGGCAAGCGGGTTCGGGGCTAAAGGTGGAGGGTGGGGTTGAGGGTGGTAGCTGGTGGGGAAAGAGGGCCTCGGAAAGGTAGGGTGCGTGCAAGGGGAGGGTTGAGGGGTCGAGTGTAAACCCCAAACCCGCCCCGCCCCTCCTCCCACGACACGTTGCAATACGTTTTGCCTTCATACCACCACGTTTGCATGGTCCATGCATCGCATGTACTTGCCCCGCCTGGCTCCTTACAGCCCCACCCACCCAATAAACCAGGGGCGAGGCAGGTGCATCCATCATCACGAGTTGGCCCCTATCGCTAACATCTTGGTCTCTCATGTTATACCCACTGCACCACCGCCATCCTACAATCTCCCCTCCTCCCCTCCTCTCCCGGCCTGTGGTTTTGGTATACCTTTGCTATATATGGAAACCCACCCCACCCCCGCCCATACCCCGCCTCCACCTCCCCTAGGCCGAGCTCTCCGAGCTGGCTCGTCGCGAGGAGGAGTCCCTGGAGGCCGCCCTCGCAGCATCCTCCGCATCAGCCGGAGGCGCCCCTGGCCTGGGGGGTCTTGGCGGCGGCCCTACCTCCTCCTCCGCGCGACCCGGCGCAGCTGCCAGTCTGGGCGGCCTGAGTCACCCGCTGCTCTCCCTCCTGCTGCAGGACCCCTCCTCGGGGGCTGCCGCCGCGGCCGGGGGGGTTGGCGCTGCTGCGACCGCCGCAGGTCTTGCTAATGCCGCCGCCGCGAACAGTGTGCTGCAGCAGCTGCTGCCGCAACTGCTGCCGGCGCTGCAGCTGCAGCTGCCCTCCACGCCGCCTCAGCCGCCGCCTGCTGCTGCTGCTGCTGCGGGTGCTGTGCAACAATCCAACCCTCATCCTCAACCCCATCCTTCCCACGCAGCGCCACAACACCAGCAGCCATCCACCCATTCACATCCAGCTCACCCTCAACCTCATCCTCACAGCCAGCAAAGCCAACACCAAACCCAAGCAGGACAACAGTCACACCAACCACTCCAACCACAACACAGCGGCTCCTCCCCACTCGCACCCCATCAGCCGCAACAGCACCAAGTCCTGCCCCTGCTGCCCCTGCCCGCCGACACGAAGGGTTTCCTGGCGGCGGCAGCGGCCGCACCGCCCAGCAGCGCCGCAGGGGTGCTGGCGGCGGCGGCAGCAGCGGCAGCAGCGTATGGAAATCTGGGGGGCGCGGGCGGTGGCATGGGGGGTGGTATTGCCAGCAGCATAGCGGGTGTGGGCGGGGGAGCAACACCCGCCAGCAGCCATAGTGGCGTGGGGTATGGGCTGGGAGGGGGAGGAGGGGGGGCAGCGGGTGGAGGTGCGAGCAGTGCGAGTGGGGTTAGGGGAGCGACATCGTTTTCTGGGTTTTCGGGGCATGGGGGAGTAGGAGGTGGGGGCGGAGGAGGTGGGGGCAGGAAGTGAGTGCGCCTGCGGGCGCTTGCGGGTTACGTGCCAAAGTACGCGAGGAGTTCTCATTGGGAGGGGTGTGAGGCGGAGGCGTGAGTTCTGGGGTGTGCGCGAGTGCATGCGGTAAGCGGGTGCTATATACATAGCATGTCGAGCGGGGTGACTACCGGTAACAAAATAACTGGGTAGGAGAGGGTAGGAAGTTAGCTGTAGTATTTCGTAATACGGATTTGAATTTTCGGATCCCAAAGCAACAACAGGGCAACAGGGGGTCCTCTAGATTGTTTTGCTCCGTGTAGGTTTCTTTACGCTTTATGGTGTGGTGTGGTTAAATGATGTAGCTAGCTGCAGTTGGAGCTGGTTGAGACGTAAAAACGACGTCAATCTACGAATATTGGAAATGACATTTCGCAAGGGGATAAGCAGCGTGAAAGTGCATGTAGCATGTTATTGCCGATACTCTCTTCACAAGAATTGCCCGGGGTGGTGGTTGCACTGCGGCGTTGTTCGTTACTGTTCGCTGATAAACCACCAACGGCATGCGTCGCGTGCAATTGCGCGGCTTCCTCTTTTTTTACCGTGTACCTCAAAACATGCTGCGGTTGGCCGCTGGCAGTACTACTGGGAGTTGGTGGTTGGGAGTTCGTTGGCCATGTTGTACAGCTAGCATTTTTACTGATCTTTGACTTTGAATTTAGGGTTGTACGTTGTACCGGTAGAAAATGACATTCAGTGCTGACGCATCGATAACTATATCTATCCTGATGCCGCCAGCTGCTAAAGTTATTAAGCCATTGGCAAGGATGATTTGCCCGGAGGGCGCGGGTAGGGTGCTGGTGTAGGTTAGTAATCTGGCCGAATGTGGTTGGCTATATGGGTTTTGGGACCAGGCGCTACATGCGGAATGGTCTGTTGATGGGGTACATTGTAATGATGGTGTGCGGGTTTTGTCCGTTCCTTTCCAAAACCGTCCTGATCTCGGATAGGAATGCCTTGTCCCCAGCGTGCCACAGAGGGGCGTGCCCTACCTGTGAGATGTACATTACATGGAAGCTCACCCATGGCCTCCATACCTATGTATCCCCCCTCCCACATAGACATGAGAAGCAGACCAGCAGGTATTATTCCTTTACAGGAAGTATAGTAGAAGTACGATCCTACAACGCATATTGCAGCATTGTGACTGGATCTGTATGCTGAAAAGCTGACCGCTCAGCTAACCCGGACAAAAGGCCTTATATATTCCTTACCAAACTAAAAGTAGTTATTATTACGGACCACATGGGTCCATAAATGATCAGCATATCTCCCACTGACGTCTCCAAATCCAGACACGCTGCGTTATTTGCATAGCGCTTCTAGCACAGAAACAGTAGCAAAAACGCAGCTGCGTCCATCCTGCACTGCGTGTGAATATATTCCTTAACTTCCTCACGCAACCAATGCCGCAGGCACGTACGTACCACTACGACACGTGTGCGGTAACATCCCCTCGTTTATTCTGTGGAAGCGACTATAAGGTGAAAAGAGCCTCTCGGCTATGAACTGCACTTAACTCTGCCCAGTTCAGCACGTTCTCAAGCAAAACGTACGGATGATGATCCATGGGCGACGGACCTAGCGGTGCATCACCGTACGCCGTACAATTCCTATTTAGTTTTTTTGTAGAAAAAAGGAGAAAAGGTAGAAGTTGGCACAACCAATGGACTAAGGAACAGCCATCTACAACTTACCAACAAATACCCAACCATGCAAGCAACCTGACCCAACTCTACGCAACCCTGCCTTACGTAATCCACAACCTCAACTTAAGGAGGGGGCGAGACTGCATGCACGCACGCCTGCGTATGCACGGATGAACTGATAAAGATGTGCACGATGCTCACTGTATCACCTCCCACTCACAAAGACATAAAACACCGAACCCACACAGATGACATGCAACCAAACAAGCAAGGAAAGGGGCTGATGCAGCCCTATGTTAGATGTAGTAGGCCGTAGCGCTCGCCGCGTTAGTTATTAATGCATGTCCGCTCGCGTGGATCACTGAAGGGCAAGCCAAAGGCTTGGTGGACTTGATGTGTCTGCAAATCACAAGCCGCAAACAACAGCCCCCGTTGCCCAAACTCTTGTTCAGAAGAAGCACCCAAAGACGGCTCTCTGTTCCAAGCGCCTTAAATCACAGCATGCTCCAGCCTTTGCAACTCAGAAAGACCTAAGTGCGTATGCGCACATACCAGCAAGCATGCCGGCTCTAAACGTTCGTAAGGAAGGTAAGTATAGAAGGGAAGCACATCACATGTTTGCTTCTAGTGCGTAAAAGTATGTCATGTGGGGTATTAGGTTATGCCCATAAAGCGTAAGGCAACCTGAACATCGTGCTCGACTTATGACCTGGAATGCATCCTGCCATGCATGACATAAAGTGGTAAGACTCGAGGGAACCGTTCTCATGCACGCACTGCTGCACACACTCTTAGATAGGTGCTTGGGACGGCATACCCCAAAAGCATCATCACAGCAGCCGTAAACCCCAGCATGATAAACCCTGCTGCTAACGGTGTATGCTTCCGATTGTACGCTAATCAACCCGTTCAGCTCCTAGATTATTGTAAACCACATTTGGCTTTAGGCCCTAACGTATACCCATATCCTGGCACACAAAATGAAAGCACTGGAGATTATCCCACGTAGTAACCGTCCGCACGACGGAGAGCATACTCCACAGCAAATAAGCGCCGCAGTCAATCCTTATCATTACCTAAGCGGCGCAGGTGTACGAGAAGGCGCTGGCTGGCTTTGGATTGCACCAACCGGAGGGCTGGGTTGTGCAACGAACACAGCCTCCGGTGTTTGCTGGGTACGTGGCGAACGACGACAGCTTGCTCGTGCTGATGCCGCACAAGATGCAGGCTGTGTAGCAGTCGGTGGACAGCACCTTCTTGCAGGCTGGGATGGTGCATGTAGCCAGCTCCCTGCGGACCGCAGCAGTAGTCTCGTTACCTGAGGCTGAAGGCGTCGTCAGCTCAGCCGTTGGGGCTGCGTCGTCGACGGTGGAGGCGAAGGATGTCTCGGTTTCTTGGCTGCTGTCGGTAGCCTGGGATGCGCTGAGTAGGGCCCTGTTGTAGTCGACCTCAAAAGACGTCGTCGTAGGGCTGTCAATTTTGGGCCTGTCGGAGGCATCACAGTAATCCAGACTGTTAACAAGCATTGCGAAGAAAGTGTCATTAGAACCAAAACTAAAACAGTGTGCATTGTAGTTGTTTTCCACTGGCCTATCGACATCTGACGAAGCGCCGGTCCGATAGCCATATCTATCCTGACTAGTTTGTTTCATACACTCCAGCCTCTATGCGAAGTAAGCAGGGTGTCATGGCCTTTTGTTGTAGAGGCAAGCGGCAGTCCTCATTAGGACTCCTTCGGCATTCAGCAAGTTGCTTGCACGTACGTTGTAGTGCCTGCAAGTTGCTTAGTGGCAACAAACGCGTTGTCATCGCTGGCCTTGGCTTGCCCAAAGAGACAGCCGCCACGGAGCAGTCTTCCCACACAGTCGCGGGGTCCTGTACGGCAAGAAATAGGAGCAGCAGAGGGCAAAGGTCATGACGGCGCTAAGATAAATGAGGGCAATGATTGGGATAACTAGAGGGCAGTGCTGCACATGGATAGGTTCCTAGGTTCCATCGACCAGCCGGAGCCAGCGTAAACATGGCTCCCTTACCGGCATAAGCAGGACTAATGGCGAGCACCAGCAGCCCAAGGATTGCAAATACTGCAACCCGGGTATTAGCCGCGGGCAAAGATGCGAAGGGCGACATTATCGTCGTGCTGTTTTTGAAACTTCGTGGTATAGCCAAGACCGTTACAGAAGCTGATATTAGAATCTCGTTATGTATTGCGTTTATGTCCTGACTGGGAAAAATCGTATCCCCGGTGCCGTACAATCGGCCATGACGAGATTGTCAGACAGTGAGACAGATAACGAAAGCGTAATGGGCTGTAATTACAGTTCTGCAGTACTCTGGACACTTTCCAACCGCTGGCGCGCTGGCGTGCAGTGGTAGGCGGTATTGTATCTAGTCGACAATCAGGGAGCGCTTCGTCCCAAACTCCCTCGAGACAGAAGGCGCGCGTCTGACTTAGGGTCTCGCCAATATCTACAAGGGCATTGCGGGCCCTTAAGTTGCGTTGATAACCTGCGCTTCTCTATTGGGAATCGTTTAGGTCTGCTCACAGAGGTCTGGCTGACCCAGTCACCACTGTCAGCCGAAACCCTATTATACAGGACAAACTGCAGCAGAAAGCAGTCTCTGGGTTAGGGTCTAAGCGCATTCGTTAACATATAGCTCGCAAACCTCACTGATAGTTGTTCTTGGCGCGCCACGGTAGCCTACTCTGGCTAACGGTCCAAGCCCTACCTCGCAGAAGATGTCTTGCGTTTGCGGGGTCCCAAACCTCGAGTTGCACACAACACATCCATAGAGTGCATGCACACTAGCGCTTACAGTTCATTTCCCGGACACCCGCGCAACACCCCTGCGACGACAGCACTTTCATAGGCTTGTCCAACTCACTGGACATTGACGAGACACCCAGAATGCCATTTTAAAGCGGCCTCATTGCCTGCCCATGTATTGTACGTCCATGCGTCGAGATGCATGCATTGGCTGGGCTAGTGCTTGAAGGGGCTATATGTTCTGGGTTGGCTTCAGGGTTTGGCCGCACCTGGCGTCTGAGTGTAGGCGCTTTGCCGCTTCCTCCTGATACCGCAACTGCGTCAATTGGGGAGCATGGTCGTCCGAAAGCCAGAAAGGCTTCCATTCTGCTCAGCTCGTTGCCGCACACCAGGGGAAATTATGCTTTGCACGTAACCATGGCTTTTAGACGCAACATCGCTTGCGGGTAGAGATGGTTTCGGCTAAAAATCCATGAGCCGATAGTGCTATGGCTGTTTCGTTGTTTCCACGGCGCCGGCCTCGCGGAGCGCCTAGAATCAAGGGCAGGCCGAAAAGCCCTTGGATAGCCACACAACCATGATAGCCTCATGGCCGAGGCCGAGATTAACGTGAACTTAATCTGGACGTGCCTTTTTAGGCACCTTCGGCTCTACTTCCTGCACTAATAATACCGTTCCATGCTTTTCAATTACTTAAAAGAGAAGGTGACAAGGCGTTCCTGAACGGGCAGCTTTATATGATATTTCTTAAACAGGACGGTGTCGTACCGATAGGTGTCATATCGTAGGCATTTATTGCGACGTCTGGTCGGGGTAAATCCTGGGGGACAAATCGGTCGACCTATCCTGGGGGACAAATCGGACGACCTATCCTGGGGGACAAATCGGACGACCTCTACCCACCCACCTACAATCCTAAGCTACCCCTTTGTAGCGGGTTGTCCGGGTGGGCCCGGACTCGGCTGCTAAGGCCTACCCTAGCGACCCGTTTGCTCTTGATTCCCGGGCAACATTGCTGCATGGTAACAGACATACCAATGCAGGACCTACCGGTGTCTGCTTGCGTTTTGTCCCTAGTCAGCGGCACCTTACCTTCTTCCCTTACTTCGTTACTTGCTTCTGCTCGACATGAAAGCCAAGGCGGGTAGGTGGCATGGGAGGGCGTGTCCTGCTGTTCATCCTGGCCAGCAGGACCTTTCCATCTAGCAGCAGAAAACAGCAAACAAAGCAGCATTACCATTCCAGTACGAATGGCTTCGTCCAGCCCGTGCGTGCTTGCGGCCCCTACTGTGGTTCACCTCCTGACACCACCTGCTAGCAGGTCCATTGGGTCGGTACATCCATCTAAGTCACTGGGGGGCGGGGAGCTGCAGGGAGCAAGTGTCGCGCCCATACACCGAAGAAGTACGCGAGATAGCATATGGTGTCGTCATTTACTTTCATGCACACCCGCCCTGCCCCCATGTATCGTCCAGATCATCGTACTGCTCCGCAATCCAACGTCTGCTCAGTCGCTTCCTCGAACAGAAAGAACGGACCACGGGCCCGCTAAAAACGAGGTGAGGCGGGTTGAGAGCGGGTTTGTGTACGATTCTGCGCATACGTACATACATACATACGTATATGTACGACAGCTAGCTGCCAGGTCGCAGCTGTAAATGAGGTGTAGCGTTGGTGGCTTGCGCGTTGTGGTATCTTCGAGGTTGTCACTCAAGACACTTCGAAGCTCTGCTTGGTTGCGTGCTGCAGTTAGCTGCATGCAACCCAGCAGAGGCAAGTGTTGCTGAGTAGGATAGGGAGGGGATCCAACCTCCTCATGGTAAAGCCGAGGAGAGAAAGTGGCAGGTTATGGAGCTGCTGCGGCTGGATAACAGGAGTCGATGACATTCAGGGATACGCTGTCGAGGTGTGGCTTTCGCAATCCCCTTCTGTCTCTTGGTTTCCCACGTTCCGAACTTCCGATGGCCAAGCTTAACAATCCTGGTAGATATTCATCAAGTCCAACAGAAGAACGCTAGCCAAGGAACTCTCTAGCATATTTGGATATGGTTGCTTGGCGATTTGGTCCATGAAGAGCCAAGCCGCTGGCAACGGTCAAAATTCCCAAGCCGGATCGGTCAGAAGCGCAGCGGTCTGCATCGAACTAGGCATACTGGCCCATTCAACATGAAAGTATAGCTTCGTTTAGCATTGCTGGCCCACTTAAACAAAAGCGCATGATGTTGCAGCATTTACAGCGCACGACAGAACGTCGTGTCACAAGCTCACAATCTTGAAACAGCACCATACTGAGATACTCCATATGGACAAAGAGTGATAAGCTAAATCGAAATTTACGGTTTTTTTGCTTGCCATTAAAATGAACTTCTGTAGGGTGATGAACGTATACGAGTCCTAGGCGCTTGCGTAAAGGTGGCATTACTAGTTGGGAAAGATGGTATCAATGTATGGGCTTTTAGCGGCGGGAGCTATGCTCCTTTCGATGGCTGTCCCAATCGTAGCTGCAGAGCAGTCCTCCAACTCACTTTCCTACCTAGAAGTTCCTCTGGGAAAATACCGGCTGGAACACGAGGAATGGCTAAGTTTCCTGCGGCAAGTATATGAAGGAGGCTGTTGCTGTTGCGCGGCAGGACAGCAGCTCAGCTTGGCTCCACTTGGCTCTTGTTGTCCTGGCAGGGAAAACATGGATCCCGACTTTGAGTACTGGCGCGCGCGGGCTCCACTTAAGTCCGCGGATATCCTTGCCTTGCACAACAAGACGCTTACGGTGGGTTTAACCTCCTGCCACGAATCCCGCGGATCAACTCCTCAGAGTGCCATAACTCTCGGGGGTTTGCATGTCCACGGCTTGCCCTAAGGATTGCTCTCGGGGTTACCTTCGAAAGATGGCCTCAGGATAGCCCCTGTCGGGTGCTGACCTGTGACATCCCTCTTCTAGCAGCGGGGGGGGGGGGGTTGGGATGTGGTGCCGCTCAGGCTGCTCAGAAGTGCAATGGAGACGTGTCACGCCATGGATTGCATGGTGTGAGAGTGGGTGTGGACGTTTGAGACTTTGAGGTCCACACCCTTCACACTTTCCTACCTGCATGGGCCTCATACCCAATGTCACCAGAAACCTGCACTCATCTTCCATTCAATGGTCGGCTGCTTAACTTGCTTCCCCTTCCCCTTCCCCCTCCCCCTCTACCCCTTCCATGCCTGCCCTCCTTACCCTATATGTCCCCCGCCGGCTGCTCCCGACACTTGTACGACATGCGGCTGCTGCGGACGGTGCCTGTACAACATGTGGTAACGGCTCTGTACGGCAACGGCCATATTGGTTGCTGCAACCAACGCAAACTGACTTGGCATCCCACGCGAACTTCCGACACGCAGCGGATGTACATCCCAGCTGTTATGCAGGCATGCGGGCGGGAATTGGGTTGGGGGAAACACATCCGGAAGGGACCAGGGGCCCTTAGGACCTGCCCCCCAGTGGACTTGACTGTACCGGCCGAGGAAAGCACATCATACCACTGCTCAGCCGGTTTTGCACAACGTATGGCTAGGATAGCTCTCCTTTTCCAATCGAAAAAGGACTCTAGCAACTTCCGGGTGCTGTGGCAGCGACAGGGCGTGCAGCCGCTCCAGCTTCGCCCTAGTCTGGAGGGGGCGAAGAGAGGGAGCACAAGCATGCTGCGGTTAGGCAACTGAAGAACCAATGTCCCTCCGTCGTTGCGTCCCGTGGATCACTTTCGGCATTGTTATCCGCCATTAGCAAGCATTGGCCAGTTATTTGAACACAGGAGCCTTGCGGCCAGTTATTTTAACACACAGGAGCCCTCATGTGTTACTTACCTTACTTTACTTGCCCATGTTTGTACATAATCCAAGGTACTTAGTCCCCACTGGTCTGCGCCCTCCCCCCCCCATCCCCCGTACACACCTCCATTCCGCAGCTGGTGCTGATATACAACAACAAGGTCTACTGGCCCGCCAACCCCGACATGCACAGGGGGGAGCCCAACCGCACGTGGTCCAGTTGGTATGTGAGTGCGGGGGTGCGGGGCGGGGGTGCGGGGCGGGGCAGGGGCGGTGGTTGCTCCGCACGATGCCTCATTCCGCTCCCCCTTGCCCCATGAACGATGTTCCGTCTAGTCGTGACGCTTTTTCTGCGATCATCCACTTCCCCATAAAACCATGGTTGGGTCGGCTGTGCACCATGTTCCAACCCATGGGGGTGCTTGTCGCATGGGTATACCGGTAGCTTAGTTTCGTTGCCCCTGCACCGCATATGTTCGCACCTGCCCATCCAGTACGTTCCTACTCGCGCTCAGTTTCCTTTATACACCAGTTTCCTTAACGCACCCGCCCCCCTGTCCACCCCCCCGCCCCAGAACGAGATGTTCCACCGGCGGCTCGTCAAGGCCCTGGCCAGCGGGCGACTCAAGCTGCCCAACGCGCTTTTCCTGTACAACACGGATGATAACGCGTGAGGCACCGGGCATGAGACGGCAGTGCGGGAGCGTGCTAAGATGCACTGTGCTGACCGCGAGTCGGAAACTACTGTGATAGTGGCTATGTGCGGGACTGTGTGTACAATGTATGACACATGCTGTACGGCAGCAGTGGGGGAGTATGAGTACGGCATTGTACACGGGGCAGTCTGTAGTGTTGCAATACGGTAGTAGAAGTTAGCAGAAATGGCGGTCATCTAACCCACTCTCCCAAACCCAACCCTCAATCCCCGACCTCCCCCCACCCACACATGCGTGTTATTAGTGCCTCCGAATGCGCTCACTGCATGAGTCGGGATATGGGATTGGGACTTAGTTGTTTGCATTTCTTATATAATTTTCCCCCCACCCGCTGGGCGGGGCTGGGCGGGTCGGGCTGGCTCACATGTTGCAACCCATGTTGACGCCTTATCCCTCAGTCAGTTAGTTGTTTCCTCTTTACCCCCCCACCCGCGACCCCCGCCCCCCAGTCCCCGCTTTCAAGCCCCCTCCACGGATCCCTCCGTGCCCATGCTCAGCATCATCAAGTCGCTGGGGCTGCAGGGAGGGGACGACTTGGACATCCTGGTGCCGCAGGTGCAGGGGGGAGAGGATATCCAGTGTGTTGTGTGGCTGAGAAGGGACTGTCGTACGGGTTGTGCCAATGTGCGGTACGTATTCGGTTTGTATACGGCACTAAACAAGCTATGGTTTGCCCTGGGTTTGCATATATTTTCTGCGGTACCCACCCATTCCATCAGCACTATCCAGTTTGTGCGTGTTCCGCCCTGCTCCTTGCTCATTGACGCCGAAGCTGGATTGGATGTTTAAAAGTTCCTGCAATATCAATAGCCCTCCCTCAATATCCCTAACATTGTTTTACGCGGCCGGCGACTGCTCCTTAGCCCTTCCTCTCCGTGTCTGTTTTGCTCCCCGCTCTTTCCTACGCTTTTCCCTCCCCATCAAAACCCTAAACCCTAAACCCCACCCCCCCTGTTTTCCCCTCACATGCACGCCCCCTCTGTCCCCTGCCCCCTGTCCACTGCTCACCCCAGATGTTCAACGTTCCCAACTCGCTCTACACCCACCCCTGGCACCTCAAGCAGGACAGGGGTGAGTGGCAGGAGGTGGAATGAGAAGAAGAAGTAGAAGAACCATGCATGCGCAGAATGGTGGTGGGGGAAGGGTGAGGGGTGGATGTGGGCGGGTGGGGGGGGGTTGGGCACCTGCTACTTACATAACATCACGGCACACCCATCGTCGCACACGTTGCTGCCACACGGGCTATGACAACAACTAGCAAATCCCCCGTGCCGTACGCACATGCACACACCCGTTCCTGCAGCCTTCTTCCGCGGGATTGGCTTCTGCTCCAATTTGTGGCAAAAGCACTACGGTTTCGACGACGCCTGTGCTCGGCTGTACCTGTCGTATCTGACCATTAGAGATCAGGAACTGGGCAACGGTACGGCACTGGATGCGGCACTCGTGGAGAAATACCCCTTCTTTGAGTCTCATCCTAAAAAGGTGGGTGGGTGGGTGGGTGGGTATAAAATATGGAACAAATTAAGGAGATGGAAGAAGATATACCTTGCTGTGAACGATAATGGTGGGGCTGGGGGGTGGGGGTGATGCTACTCTTCAGGGGAGAAGGGTGGGTGAGGAGTGACGGGTAAGGGTGCTCATCTCTTGCGTCCTGCTAGCTGCGACCCGTTTGCCGCCTTGTCCTGTCCTGTCCTGACCAGCAATGGAGGGCACATGCGTGCTCTCAAGGCATCTCGTGGTGAATAAAGCCCACCGCCGCTGCCGCAAATCATAATCGATCTTTAACATGTGTCTAAGCCGTGTTGCGTATCCTGGGGTTCTCATGCCAGTGCCGATAAATATGCAAAGCGCTCTGGCACTTCTGTTACCACTATACTTCGCCTCAAAAAAAATCTCCCGCAAAATAAATCTCCCGCAGTCCGTACCTTTCGCCCTTCCCATACAACCTCGAGTTGAGTTTGGTGAGCATACGAGGTACAAATGGCTGCTGCACCTGGAGGGAATAACGGCCAGCAATCGGTTAGGACAGGTACGTTTCTACGGTGACGACAGTACGGCATGAGTGCGTTAACGGTAGTTGAGGCGCAATGAACGTTTGAATCTCTTGCACGCGGACGTCTGTAACAGGGTTCTGACCGCCCTATATTCCCACCACCGCAACGGAACATTCGAATCTTCCTCGCCCTCCAGTCCCCACTCCTCCTTCACGAATCCTGCACCAGGTCTCGAGCCAGATACACAACCTCCCTACGAGCATGCGCCTCAACCTCGCTTCCCCTTCGCTTCATTTCCTCCATGCCTCCCCCCTTCCCGCTCCCCTCCTCCCCCTCCACCCGCCAGCTCTTCCTGGCCAACAGCGTGGTGCTCTTCCAGCGCTCGCCGTACATCGAGTACTTTTACAGGTGCTGGGGGGTGAGGGGGCGGAGGAGGGGGGAAATATAAAGATAAGCAGCAACGTAGCCCCAATCCCGGGGAGTGGAAAAATAATGATATGTGCAGCAACGTGAGTGAGATCTGAGGGCCGGAGATAGGAGGGCAGGGTTGGGGCCTTAATACAGGGAGCAGGGCCCCTTCACCCAACCCAAACACCCCCTCTTCACCGCCTCTTCCCTCCCCCTCACGAACCAGGTCGCTGCGCCCCTGGCAGCACTACGTGCCCTTCTGGAACGCAACCGCGGCGGATGGAACCCCCCTGGGTGGGTCGGTGGACCCGTGGGTCACTGGGTGTGCAGATAGAGTACGGCAGATGTAGCAGCGGATGCCGTACAAGCAGTGCAAAATTGTCGTATACACTGACCAGCATGGAAGCTCAGTACTTCTTACCAAAAGAGGCTAACACACGCCCCTGTTCCTACCAACCCTGTTCCTTCAATGAAACACGACGCATTGATTAACACATACTGCGTGATTGGGGCCATGGGCTTGGGATTCATTTGTGCTTTTCACCCCCCTTCCCAACGCTTCTTCCCGCTCCCTCTCCCCCCTCTCACCCTCATGCAGGCATGGATGACGTGTACGGCACCCTGGCTGAGCTGCGGCGGTTGGATCGGGAGCAACCGGAGCGGTTGCAAGAGATGGTACGACACGCCAACAACTTCGCCATCAAGTGAGACGGGGGGAGAAGCTGTTTGGGCGTGCTGTTGCAGCTGTTGGGCGCGCACCCCCGCGGGTTGCGTGGGGGAAACCCCCATCCTTCACTTCCATGTTGCCGCTGCGTTCCGACCAACAAAGCGATCTATGAAGCGCCACGCATGCCGGACATACGTCATGTCGCGCGCCCGCATTTCATGTGTGCTGTGTTGTGTTCTTCGTATGCCTAATCTCACTCCCTTACAATTCGTCTTCCTCGTACAATACCGCAGCATTGCATGCACGGAAATTCCTTACCTGCGCTTACAGCGTGCGTGCAACATCGCAAAGTACGCTTATTCCTATGCTGTACTTTGGTGTGTCGTATTTTGCAGGTTCCTAACACCGTACGCCCGGTTCAGGTACTACAATGCCGTACTAACGAACTACAGGAAGCTGTTTCCCGATCACGACGCCTTTTTGGAGCAATACGTGGCGGGCCTTCGGGCCAAGGGTTGGAAGATTGATTGATAGGGTCTATCATAAATAAGCTAACTGTTTGATAAATGCGTTCATCATACGTGGTGTTAAGGGATAAACAAGTAGGGCAAAGTAAGGCAACAATGGACCGTTGCAAACAGAGGGTGGGGCCGTTGCAAAGACAGAGAGGAACGCGGTGGCCATATCGTGATCACCGCAACCATGGTGTGGTCGGCCTGAAGAGCGTACGGGAGCTGTAAGCAGCGGTTGGTGGCATGGCAGGCTGCACAGTGTTACACCTCTGAGTGCTCCCCCCAGGGTAAGCTGTAGGCTGCTGTTTGAGCTTCTGGCTGGGTGTTGAAGCGCAGAGCTGTTGGGTAGTCACCAGGGCCCTTCGAGGGGACTAAATCTGTGACCCCGTTTGCCATCCATGACTGGGGACCGGTCGGGATTTCGCCGTGCATGACAAGTCCTCGTCGTTGACCGAATGTTGACCGGTTCGGGTAGGGAAGTCTGGCTGGCGCAGCTTTTAGCTTAGTTGCACTTATAGAAGGAGTAGGAGGTCATTGGCTGCGTTAAACCTACTACCCTCATGAAGCTCGTCACACCCTGGTAAAGGTATACAGCCTGGACTTTGATGTGGGTACCAGTAGCCCAAGCGCGTCTTGACTCCTTGCGGGGTGCTCCCGTCAGTGCTTCCGCGGCTCAATCCATCTAATACAGGGGACAGGGACGATGAGAAATGTAGGTAGGATTTCACCGGGAGGGTTTGTGGGGGAGTTGGGGATGGGAGGGTTGGGTAGGTGGGGGCGGGAGAGAGGGGGAGGTGGGGACGGGAGGAAGGGGGGGTCGGGACGGGAGGGAGAGGGAGGTGGGGACAGGAGAGAGGGGTGGGTTGGGACGGGGGACGGTAGGGAGGGAGGGGTAGGTGGGAAAAAATTAAATAAGTGAAACAACGAGTCCCAATCCCATATCCCGACTCATGCAGTGAGCGCATGTAGGTGGGAGGGAGGGAAAGAGGGCGGGTGCGTGGTTGTGTTTGGCCCTCCCACGGGGGTGGGGACCAAGCATGCATGCCAATGCACGTCTGCAACACCAGGTGCGCAGGACGAGAGGAGACGCAGAGGAGCACGGACATCATAGGGAACCCAACGACATGCCACTTCACAGTGGGTCTACACCCCAAAAGACGTTGGAACTTTGTGCCAAAGGGAAGAGTAACCGCCAGCTTTGCCCCAATAAAAGTTTCGGTACAGCACGGGAAACTGAGTTAAACCAAAGCGTGAAGAGCAATGACCTCCGCAACTTGGGCGGGGGCTCTTTCCGCCCCAGAGAACTGCTGGAGAATGGCCAAGCACGGCTAAATAGGACGGACTGAGACACACTGAAAGGAACATCATGCTGCGTTCACAAGGTAGAGAGATTTAGGTCGTTAAGACCCCTCCTCCGCTCCGGGATGTGGGCAAAGAAGAAGAAGAAGCAAGACTCCGGGAGAGGCGTGTGCTGGGTTGGGGGTGGGCGCAGGGTGGTGGTTGCAACCGCGGCAGCTGCTTGGCAGTCCAAAATCAATTTCAGCAAACCAATATATGGGGTAACATTGCATATGTGCGTGCGAAGAATAACACCGCGCCAGCTTCGGCTGTAGTAGCACGGACGTTAGAAAACGTTTCCACAATGACAAAACAAAACATGGCACGCACGCCAGGCACAGAAATCCGAGGCTAGCCAACTCTTCAGCAAAGTCGCCAGCGCCTCACACGTCTTCCAGGTGATGGTCTCGTCCTGCCGGAAGCCGGGGTTTACGCGTTTACCCACTTTTCCTTGCAACCAGTTCCCCAAGAACCCCAGGGTCGCTATGCTCACGTCAATCAGTGCCAGGACAAGCGTGTGTCAGGAGTGGCCATCGTGTAGCTTGGGACAGCAGCGGAGCTTCAATATGGTTAACAGGCATTTGGCTTATGTGTAGAAAGGAGGTTGCCGCGGAGCTCCTGCCTGTGTATGTCACCAAGTCAACATCCCATACACAAGAACAGCACAATAGGAGCTGTTTTATGCCCATTCCTTACGAGCCTGTTACGCCTTGTACGGAGCAGCGGAACCACTGGAGCGAGTCAATGTCTTTACCCAGCTTACCACGTCTACAGCTTTCGGTTAGGAACGGGAACGTGGGTAGCCTTTCAACCCTGAAGTATTGGCATGCGGCCGCTGCAGCCGAGGGCCTGGCTTTCGGGCCTAGGCCAGGCTTCTCGTTCGCCATGGAGACATGAATCTGTTTCAAGCATAAGCAGCAGCGTGCGGAGTCCTGCGGAAGCGGAAGCGCAGCCTGCTGAGAGCGGCCTTGGTGATGCACAGTTCTTGCAGCGTAAGTTGGTATAGCACGTCTATTATGCTGTTATTCGTAGATAATGTGTGTTACTTTCCTGCGCAGTCTTGTCAAAGAGCTTCAGGCCGGCACAAATCGGCGACTCCGCGCCAGCCACGCGACCGCTGCTCGCAAATTTGCCGGCAGCTGCTGATCTTGTAAGTACCTACACATGCGTTTTAAAATGTCCCCGCTTCGCCGCGACTTACACGTTTGTCCTCCTCTCGCAGATGGAGCAGGCTGTGCCTCAGACACCGACCGCGGAACCCGTCTATGACTTGCCAACTTTCATGGCCTCCAACTACCCACACGTAAGGTTCTTAAAGGGCGTATTTCCTTCAGCCGTCTGCGCACTGCCGTGCCTTATGCCCTCCCCGCAATCCCGCATCTCCCCGGCCATCCATAGCCAGTTGCCACTCTCCAACTCAACACACTATAACCCCTCTCCTCAGTCCATCCTCCTTCTACAAAATCTCTCGCTCTTCCATTCCTCCCACTCTCAGCCAACCTTCCACCCTCCCTTCCATCCCTGCCCTGTCCCATCTCCAATCCCGCTCCCCAAACAGGCCGGCGTCCACCCTCGCAACCCCGCCTACGACTGGCGCGTATGGGCCCGCAGCAACCTCAGCGTGGCTCCCCGCGCCTCCTCCGCACCCCAGCAGCAGCAGCAGCGACTGGACGCGCAGCAGCAGCTGGCGCTGCTGCTGCAGGTGGATGCGCACATGCAGCTGCCGGCCTCACGCGAGGTCATCACGCGGCTAGCAAAGCTGGTGGGTTGTCGTCGGGGGCTGCCACGGGTTAGGTAGCGAGGGGGCGGGCTGGGGGGCGGATCACGGATGGTCGTGGTGTATCTGCTGTTTTACGGTACTTAATCTAGGCTGGACATGGCTGGTGGAAGTAGCTGATCATCATTCCCCCTCTGCCATCATCCCCTCCGCATCCCTCCTCCCTACTAAGCCGTGATTTGATCTATCTTTTTAATCCCCCTCTCCCTACCGATGTCGGTTGCCGCGCACCAATCCAGTGATATCTGTTTTGGGTTTCGGGCTTTGGAAACGTAGCCGGATTGGGTAGAGTTTCTCCTTCTTTACTCCCCCCATTTGTCCCCTCCTCCCCTCCCTGCACAACAGGAGCTGGCGCACCTGTGGCACTACCAGCAGCAGCAGCTGATGCAGGCGGGCGCTCCCGCGACCTCCGCCAGCCTGGGGGAGTCCGCAGGTGGGGCAGGTGGCGTATGGAAGGGGGCCTGCGGGGGTTACGAGTGGCTCCGGGGGGGAATGCATGGCACTGCAGAAGGGAAGGTTTGGGGAGGCTGGGGTGAGGAGGAGGTGATGGCAGGGGGCCTTGGAGAGGCCGCAGGGGCGGCGGCCTGGGGTGACTTGAAGTACAGATTGAAGTAAGAGGGAATCTGTTGTCTGAATCCGTCCGAACACGGGAACCAAGGTAATAGCCAAGGCAATGGAGGGCCTTGCGGTGTGTGTGGGGCCCCTCCTGGTCACGGGGACGTATTAGCGGCGGTGAGCTGACAGGCGCCATGTGCGGCACCTGCATCACCAACCCGCCGTCTTTTCCCTGCCCTCTTTTCCCGCCCCGCTTTCCTCACAGGATCCAAAGAGCAGCAGCAGCAAGCAGCCCCCTCTGCTGCCACTGCTGCCGCGACTCCTTCCTCCTCCTCCGCTGCTACTGCCACTGCGAGCTCCCCTCCTGCGGCAGCTGCCCCGGCTGCCAAGGCGGCTGAGACTGAGGTTGCTGCCGACGACGACGACATCTTTGCCGCGGCGGACCGTAAGGCCCGGGAGAGGCGAGCTGCGGCGGAGGCGGCAGCGGCGGCTGCCGTACAGCAGCAGGCGGCCGCGGGCGGCGAGACGGCTGCAGTGCAAAGCAGCAAGTAGGTTGGAGACAAGCGGCGTATCTTTGTGTGGAGAAATCTTTGTGTGCGCGGTGGAGGGAAGGGAGGAGGGGGCTGTTCGCGACGCAAATGTGTGCTGCAGGCATTGGCTGCCAGACCGGTGGCTGTGTCGCTGTGCTCAGCCACACAAGCGGCAGCTCCTGCTGCTGGCGGTGGAGCCACACCGCACTTACTGAGCACATAACAGATTGGTTGATACCTCCTTTGTTACCGTAAATGTTTAGGTCCCGCAATAACACCCAGGCGCGCTACTTACTGGTACCCATGTCTTCCTGCCCAGCCGACCTTTTCCCCCTCCTGCCTGCTCGTTCCCGCGCGCGCACAGGGACCCCTTCTCCTCGCTTCCCCCCGAGGTGCAGCTGCGGCTGCGGGAGCTGCAGCGGCGGGCGGAGGCGTTCGGGGGCAAGCGGGGCAGCCTTGCGGATGTCGTGAGGTGAGCCGGGAGTCAGGAAGTCCGCACCATGCCAAACCGCAAACAGCAGGAGTGGGGGCAAGTTGTGGGAGGGAGTCAGCGAGGTTGGTGTGGGGTTGGAGGGGTTGAGCGAGCTGCAACAGCGGGAGGAGAGAGGTGGCCGGGGACCGCTGGCAGCTGTTGCTCCCGAGTGACGGCGCGAGTGACCGTTCCTGTCAGCAAACACACCTGCCAACCCCCTCCCTCCCCCCTCCCCCTGTACATCTCTCCTCCTGCTTCCAGGGGTGTGGCCGAGGCGTTCGACGGGCGTGTTCCCTCGGACCTGGCCCCCTCCCCCTCCCCCGACCTGGGGGACGCGAGCGCCTGGCTGGCGCCTGCAGCCGCTCCCATTGCTAGTGGCAGGTGAGGAGGGGATGGAGGGGGCCCCGCGCAGTTCCTGCGTGGGAAGGTTGTTGGGCTGAATGGGGCTGGGTTGGTAGGGCTCTTGCGTCTGCTGGCATGCACCCCGTCGTGCTGGTAGGGGCAGGGGAGGAGGATGGGCAGGGTGCCACGAGAGGGTGCGGCAGGGTGAAGGGGGATAGAGGGGAAGAACGCTAGTCGCTTACTCCTCCTAATCCCAACGTCCGCTTGCCCCCCCCCCGGCAACATCCGCTGATCGGGCCCGGCTATGTTCACTGCCTTTCTTCCTCCGCCACCCCCCACCCCACAGGCCCGGCAGCGGCAACCCCGCGGATGTGGCCCTCTTGCAGCAGCAGCAGGTGGGGGTGGGGGAGAGGGAGGAGGGGAGGGGAGGGGGGAGGGGTGGGGGCGGTGTGTGAGGGTCCTCCGGAGATTCCTGGAGCTGCGCAGGGCAGCCCATTGAGTCCGCTGGTGCTGCTGTTGCCTGTGCAATGATGCTTACTGGACCGCTGCCTTCCTTTCCCCTCCTTGCCCTTGCCTACGCTACATCCCGCTCAGGCCAACCCCTCCGCGTCGTACTGGGCAGACCACCCCATGATGTCGTACACCGACCTCATTGTGGCGCTGGCGCACCGCGAGGGCGCAGCGGCGCGCAGGGCGGCGGCGGCGGGGCCGGCGGGGAGCGCCAGGTGGGGCTGTGTGTGGGGGGGGGCCGGGGCGGTGGGTGGGTGGGAAACATGGGTTGGCAGGGATGCTGGATGTGTCATGAGCTACTGAGCGGATAGGGAATGATGGCATGTGAGGAGACTAAGGCGCAGGCCAAGCACTGGTTAACTTTCCTGTCTCATAACAGCAACAATGTTTCGGTACTGGCAAGCCATGTGGCTTGCGTCCCACCCCTATGAACTCCCCCTTGCCTCCTCCCCTTTTCCCTCCCCCCTTGCCACAGCATTGCCGCAGCTGTAGCGTCCCTGAGCGCCTCCCTCCCCCGCGCTGGCAGCAGCAGCAGCAGTGCGGCCCCTCCCGCCACCCCGGTGCTGTCACTGCTGCTGGACTACCTGGGCACCAAGTACCAGGACCTGCTGCATGCGTGGTGGGTGGGCGGAGGGGGGAAATAGGGAACACTGATGCTGAACTGTAGGATGGGGCTTCACCATGGGTAGCTGATTGAAACAGGGGGGGGGCGGTGGGGGGTGCATGCACATGTGGGATGGGGTTAAGTGGAAGAAGCTGACGGCAAGCTGTATGCCAAGGCTTCACGCTTGCAAGGTGGGGTTCCTCTCCTCGCCCAAACCTGCACCCTCTCCTCCCCCCCACCCCCCACCCCGAGCTTCGGATGCTCAGCTTACCTCTCTCCTCCCCTCCTCCCCTCCACCTCTTACCTCCCCGCGCACACAGGGAGGTCGCTGCGCGCCTGGAGGCTGCCGCGGCCCGCTCCCAGCGCGCCGCCGCCCGCCAGTCCGCCACCGTCGCCGTGCCCGCCACACCCGAGGCAGCGCTACAGCAGCTGCTGCCGCCCACACTCGCGGCGGAACTGGAGCGGACATGGGCCTCCGACGGTTCGTCTTCTTCCGCCTCGTCCTCGCTTAGCACATGGCAGCAGGCGCGGGAGGAGCTGCTGCGGCAGGCGGCAAAGGTAGGAGCAGCAGGAGCGGCAGCTGTGGGTGAGAGTGACCCACGGGTCGCGGCGGAGCGCGCCATGGCGCCGTTGCTGGCGGCTGCGGCAGCTAAGCACCGGGCTCTGCTCGGCGGCGATGAGCCCGTTGCTGCTTCGGTCTCGGGCAGCGGGGTTGGCAGTGTCGGAGAGGGTTCAGCTGCTGCATCAGCGGTAGGAGCAGCGGGCGCTGCCGGAGTGGTTTGCTTCCGGGAGACGCTGGTGCTGGATGCGAGCTCGGCGTTTGATGACGGCTCGCATGACCCCAGGTGAGGGCGAGGTGGAGGAAGGGTGGGGGAGAGAGGGTACTGTTAAGAAACCGGGAATAGGAGAGCTGGGAAGGGGTGAGGTCGTGGAGGAAGGAGGGGTTTGGACGCAAGCTTGGTATTGAAAGACAGCTCATGAGACGTCTCTTTCCTCCACGCCCGCTGCTTCCCTTCCCCCCTCCGCGTCCCACAACTATGCGTCCCTTCCTCTCTCTCATACTCCTTACACCCGCACCTCCCCCCTTCCTTCCCCGCAGGGTCACCCTGGAGTTCAGCCCTGCCCGCCTCGCCGCCGCCTCCCCAGCCCTGGGTGGCACCTGGGGCGCAGCCTTCCTCCGCCGCCTGCTCGCACAGCCCGTGTGGGCCGAGGCAGCAGGCAGCACCAGCCGACCCATGGGTCGCAAGCGCCGCAGCGATGTCGCACGCTCTGCTGCCATGGCGGCGGCCTATCCGCTAGACGTGGATCGCAGCTACTGCCGCCATACGGATACAGCAGTGCTCAGTACGGCACGGTACGGCAGTCGGGAGGCGAACCGCAAGCTGCTGCTGGAGCACTATGCTGCGCTGCTGCGGGCTACGGCGGTGGCGGCTGGAGGGAGCGCGCAGTGAGAGGAGGGAGTAAGGATGGCAAAGGGAAGGGGGAGGAATGAGGGAAGGTGCGATGGGCACTCGAATGCTCATATGCGTCTCGCTGTTGTGGCGGAGTAGGGGATGATGGTGTCTGGAAGGAGGAAGCTGTGAGGGCGGTTGATTAAAATAATGGTGCGAGGACGAGGAGGGAGAGGCGGATGTAGGAGAGAGGTGGCGATGGTGTGGTCGTCACCCATACGGGTCTTGCGGGTCCTTACGGAGCCTTGCTTGGGATTGGACGAGGAAGGGGCGCACGGCGCAACGACAAATGCGGGCGTAGTTTTGTTCGAAATTGTTCGATGTGGAGGGGTTCTCCTGATTCCCCTGACTAGAGAGTTACAGAGGCACCGACTCAGGGCGGTGGCAACCCCGGCAGCGGTGTGTGCAGCAGGGAAGCTGCCGGTATTGGGACAGACAGGGGGACGTAATCATGTAAATGTTTTGTCAGCCTGCACAAGGGAGGCAGCAGGTTACACTGGGTCCCTGTTGGGGTCTGCCTGGTTTCTGTACGACGGCACAACAGCGACCTTCCTGAGGGTGTTATACTCTTGATACCACCTGTCATGTTACCTGAATACATTGATGGTGAGAAGTCCCTCACTTCCGGCGTCCACTTCAGCCCTCTAAAAGGCAATCCACTGTAGGGGCACGAGAGGTGGAAGTGCCGCCAGAAGCGGCCCCCAATCAGCCGTGCTTTGCCTTACACAACGGCCTGACACGCAATACGGTGCTTACATCGTTACATTCTAGTTTGAAGTGGTAGTAGGGTTCCCTCGTTAGCCCCCCAGCACCCATTGGTGTCTCATCAGAACATAACCCACATCAAGACCACAAATGCATCCATCTGCCATTCTAACCACCCCCCACCGGCCACCACCGGTAATCTCTTTGACTCTGGCCTCCAGTACGTATATCGTTCCTCGTTCATTTTCTTTGTTATACTCGTCTGTTCATGTTCTGTATCTCCCCCTAATGTTTCGCAATCCAGTCAACAGATTGATGCAAACAGTCTTGCTGCAGCTTTTAGCGTCCCGTACGAATGACAAAAAACACGACATGCACAACTGACCATTTAAGCATGGTAGCCGATATTGCGCCATACCTGACTTCTTTATTTAACGGCAATCGTGGGCAATTATCACTCGGCAACCATAAGAATCAAAATTTGCCTTCCTCCTTCCATTAGCTGAAGAGAAAGAATACAAAACCATTAACAACGCCAGAGTTAGCCCGGCGGGTCGTGACCAATCACCAAAACATATCACCATTCATCATGCTTATAACTGACAACGTATCACGACCACCAACGGCTCGCCACCAATGCACGTCCAATCAGTTAGCCGTACGCAGTACGCCAAGCGGCGGGCGGTTGGGCAATAATGCCGCGATCTGCCCAACGGAACAACCGTTGCATGTGCGGTCGGTAGAAAGCGGTTAGCCGGGCGGTTGCTTGAGTGAAAGCGCTATTGCGGTTGCCGTTGTTGCTTTTGCCAATATTTTCAACTGACATCAGAGCCATGCCGTTTCCAGCGCCGGTTGTGGTCGACTGCGGCTGTTGCTGCTGCTGTTGTGATTCGGTGGCGGTGGTTGTGTTGTCGATACTGTCGAGCGTGAGAGGCTGGACTTCCTCCTTTTGTTTGCCGCACTTCCAGTTCTGCAGTTGCAGTTACGCAGGTGGAAAAAGGGGGCAGGGAAGGGCCATGTTGGGTGGAAAGAAGAAATTCCGTTACGGATGACCGGCCTGACAGCCAATAACCTGTCCTACACCTCAACAACCAGTTCGACCGAGTTTTGACCGCATCGTTTCTGTCGTACGGCACTTACGTAGCAGTCTCGGCTGTTGAAGATCAGGGCCGATCGTACTTCATCGTACTGATGGTGTCGTACTCCCAAGAAGTCCTCAACTCGCCTAAACACCTCCAAGGGCTGAGAAGCCAGATCGTCCGTGTACAACACCATGACCTGCGTCGTACATTGCATACGGCATTGTACAGCACATTGTACGGCACAACTTGCAAAAAGATGTCACAGGTTTGTTAAAACAGTCAAGAGATTCCACGACGTGCTCCCAAACGTATATATTGTAATGTTATTCCCAACGACCTGCGTGCTTTATCGTACACCACATGAAAATAGGTGTGAGGACACTCCCCCCCACCTGCTGTTGCGGGAAGTGTGACAGGTAGTTCTCCAGGAAGACGTCGTAGACGGACCAGCCGAAGAAATCTGCATGCAGCCGGAGGGCGGCGGAGTACAGCAGGGTATATAGCCGGTACGACAACTCGTGCTGAGGGGTTTGAAGTCTTGGGTGTTGCATGCATAGGAGTTGGAAATGAGTTGAATTGGGCAGAAGACAACCGGCCCATTGTCCTTCCTGTTGTCCCTACTGCGAGCCCCCACCCGATCAACCAATGCGGCCCCCACATGCTGCCATCTCCCCTCCCCCATCGCACTCCTCCGCAGCAGCACTGCTCCCCGCTCTTGCGGCCTCCGGCAAGGGCACCCCGCGTGCAGCCCCCCACCCCCACCCCGCACTCACTCTCCCTGGCGTAGCACTGCGCCTCCATCCAGACGCCCATGTCCCACCCGGACCCCCAACCGGAGAAACTGAACTCGCTGCCGGCATCAGGTGGGGTGGGGCCCTGCAGGAAAGGGGAAAAGGAGAAGAAGCACCGTGCTTTGAACGGTGGTGACAAAGGAGCCATGTTTGATCCTGCCATGGTGTTACCATGAACGATGTTCTTAGATGGGGAGGGGGAGGGGTCGGGTAACACGGAAAGATGCCTTGGTGATGGCAATACACACACGGGGTGGGGTTGGGGGAGGGGGCGGACGTACCTTCAGGGGTGCTGCTCGAGCCAAGCAGCCCTCCAGTTCCGCGAGGAGCGAGTCGGTGAAGCTGGCAAAGGTGTGGTTGACGACCTGCATGGTGCGGGGGAAGGAAACGCATGGGAGGCCGCGAGGGAAGGCTGACCGTCGCAACTGAGTGAAGAGTGCTGGGGCAGAGGGAACCAAAGAACTAACTGGGTGAGGAATGTTGGGGGTGACCCATGGGTCACGGACAGCACACGCGACAGGGATGAGTGTCACGTTTTGGTGTTTCGGGCAAAACAGCTGAGGAATGGTTTTAGACGTGTGCGGCCCCGGATGCACATGATCTGGGTTTTGCAAGGACGACCCATGGGTCCCAGACAGCACAAGGGGACTGTACTGTCAGTCTGTCACGCGGCCAGTTACCTTACACGTGGCCTGACCTCACCTGCCTATGGAGGGGCAGATGTTTTGAGCGCTTCTGCTCCAGGAAGCGACTCAGGACCCGCTGCACGGGATCTCGAAGTACGACAATGATCTGGTGGGGGGAACGGAAGGGGGGAGGTGGGAGAGGGAAGGAGCAAGAGTAAGGCGGGGAAGCATGAACGTAAGGAACTGGCAGGATACGGGAAAGTGAGGAGGGAACATGGTAGAGAAGTGAGGTGAGGAGGGATAGATGGGACAACGGAGACTCAGGGCCGACGACCTGAAAGTTGCAAGAGACACGGGGGAGGTATGACACGGCCGCCTGCCCGAATCCAGCCCGCGTCCCGGGAAGTAACTAGTCAAATCCATATTCATGTTCCGCCGGGAATCCCCGGCCATAACCCTTTCCCTTGTTGTACCTTCATATTCGTGTTCATGGTTTTGAACACGAGCGGGCAGCAGAGGCAAGAGAAATGCGTGGCGGACCAATCTCCCATTACGAAATCCGTGCGGTTGTGTTTTAACCGTTGCATGGCCACGTGGGCCTGATAGTCTTCAAGGTGAGCATCGCACAGCGTGGTATGCGGGGACTCGCCGTTGAACCAAAATGTTTCCTGTTGGAAGAGAAAGTAAGCTGTGAGGAACCCGACTGGCAGCTTATGTGTGGGCAAATCCTGGGCGCAATCAAGGCGAATAGGGCGACATGACAGCAGGTGGGCAGCAAGGTGACCTCCGGCAACTCTCACCTTCACCATGCTAACCCACTTGACATCCGGGTGCGTGTTGATGTTGTTCCACAGCGTGCTAGTGCCGCACTGCGGGGATGGTGGATATTAATGTTAGACGACAGCCTTTCATAAGCCTTTCAAAGAAAATCAATCCCAACAAGTCAGCTGTGAAGTATGGCCTATGCAATTTAGTTCGCTGTATGGTCATGTGCATGTATCGCCTGTGGACTTTTGCAATGTAAATTTGCGCGGAAACAAACCGTCCGGAATGCTTCGTTTATGTCTTAAATAAAGCTCTATGCCTTCATAGGCATACATGTGAATACAGTTCAATCAGATGCGATGGCGCAAGGTCAGTACGCGCCTTTTGCTGGCCGACGACGGCGTAGTCCATGGGTTTATAAACATCAGCATAATTGGGGAGTGACCTATCTAAAAGTTCAGCTGACTGTCCTAAGCGAAAAAAGAGGCATAGAAGGGAGCCAAGTAAACAAACGCTTCCACACGCCATTACTACTTCGGCACGGTGTGAGTACGTACAACACAGCAATATATGTATTTGTCTTCGTCTACGTCCAAGCAATTATATGCCGCTGTGGTTGACGGTCGGCATTCGACTCGTGGTCGCTGTGGCGGTTTGTACGACGCGCTAAGCTCAGTTCGCGACCCACCGTCTGCTTTACCATGTACGCATGGCCTAGTGCCCTAGGCCTGTAACCGAACCTGGATAGTTTACCAAAATAGTGTACTGCAACATCAGAAGCGGACGCACGCGGCAGAAGGGAGACGGAGCGACGCTGCCCAAGATCCCGGCAAGTTGCTTCAGGCCCAGCAAACCGGCCACCGAAGACTATCAACTGTGATCTTACTTGTAAGTACCTGAAGCCACTGGAATAAAACTGTAGTCGGACGGTCGACATGCTGGTATTGCCTCCATTAGCAAGACTGCGCCCAGCATTTTCCACCGCACATTACAACACAACGCTAGCTCGTGCTGAAGTCCTAGATAGAAGTTCACGGTGCGCACTGCGCAGTATACCGCTGAAGCCTTCCCGTCCAGTTGTGACCCCTGGGCAATCCATCAACCTTGTCATCGAGCCCAGCCGACAGGCCCCAAACGCGGTTACTTTTAGCTGCCGCGGATAACGACGCCAACCTGACAACAAAGCACGCAAGGAAGAAAAGCGAGTCTGCCTGGTCCAGGAACTTGCGGTCAATCACGAGTTTGCAATCGCTTAAGGGCTCTCCTAGCAAAACAAGCGATGGGGGAATATGCTACCTGTTTGCCCTTAGACCCTTCCAAGCCATGGATTCCATCCAGGGCATCCACCCTCCATCCTTGCTTTGTGATATCCGGGCCTTCGCTCAGTGCTCCCCAACAGGAAAGCACAGGGCTGCTTATGCCGCCGGGGACCACCCCCCATGATGCTCCGACTATCCTTCATCAAGTGCCCCTTGTCGGCCCTGCCCCCTCGCATGCAATGCAGCACAGCAGCGAAAGCCAATTTGAGATTGGCTTTGCTGCAGGTATTGCCCTCCCTTCACCTGCCGCCTTCGCCCTGCTGGCCTCTTCACCGCACAGCTGTGTCCAGCTGTGTGAGTCCCCCCCATGCCGCCCCAGCGCCATGAGCCGCAGCAGCAGCTGTGGGATGAGCTCCTGATCAGCAGGTGTCCGATTGCCCAGACACCCCGGCTCCTCCCCATCACATGTTGGGCCCTTTGCGCCGCCATTGCCACCCTCCACGCATTTGACGATAGCATTGTACCGTATCTTACACGACCACTCACCCTTTTGGCGCTGGTGCAATCCTTGTGCGTGTGGCTGGAAGACCCGAGACCCCGGGGGACTCCTGGCGTCCTGGGTTGGGGACCTGAGGCGCTCACTTGGAGAGGGAACATGGGCCCCCTTGACTTCGCGGCATGGCCTACAGCAGGGCCCATAGGGTTGTGCGTCGCGCACGTGTCGTCCAGACTCCCCTAGGAAGGTGCATACAGAGGTCCTCAGCTCTTGTGATGCGGGAGGCTGACATGTTTTAAGGGAGGAATTCCTTGTAGGGTAATCCTGTCGGGCAGGATGCTTCGGAGCTGTGCGTGGGATTGGGGGAGTGAAGCCAGCTGCATGGAGGACGGAGCGGGAAAGGGGCAGAGGAGGCAGAGAAGAGGCGAGAAGAGAGGAGTTATTGAAGTAGAGCGATAAGGTGAAGGCAAGTGAGTGGATGAGGGCGGTTGGTGGCTCAAGCCGTGGAATTGACGCTAATAGTAGGTAAATCGAAGGGTGAAAACCTTTGGCGTGCGTTGAATGTGAACCAGCCCCTGCTTGTGGGGCTGGACGCATGCTGGGTAGGAAGGGTACAGCGCAAGGTAGCGCGCGGGACGCGACAATGATGGCCGCAACTGCCCGCGGTTTCTGCTAGCGGTACGTTTGCCTAGGCCGCCACAATGAAACTATTAAGGCCCCGCGTGTGAATGGAAATGGACCGGACGCACTGGAATTGTCTTCCTGAACGGATACGAAAAGCTAGCAAGAGCCAAGGGCGTGGTCGCGAGCAGTTCAACCGGGATTTATGGCAAGGAGCACGGATGGATGTTGCAACTCAAGTATCGGGTGATAAAATTCGTATCACAGTCTAGAAGGTATATGCGATGATACCTGCCTGCGCACCTCGCATGGGGAGCGCAACGTGTGAGTGATGTACGGCAAGTTCGAGGTATTAATGGAGGGAATGCCGCAAACTTGTCTCTTTACTTTCAGTGCCTGTTTAGTTTCAAAATGGCCGGCCAGGACTCTGACACCCAGCTGATTCAGGTCAGTTGGACGCCGCCTTGTGAAATATGCGCCGCCTCTGTACGTTGCGGTGCTAGCAGCGCTTAGCTATTGTTGAACATACTACTAGACGTGACACCTGCTGTTTTAGGTGGAAAGGTTACTCGATCATTAGTCCGGCTCCAGCGACGCTTCAACGCACCTTTCCCGCCTCCTCGCCTGCAGGCGAAGCTGGAAAAGCTTGGCTTGGACCAGACCCCGGAGGAGTTTGTGGCAGGTCTTGCTCGTCCCATTAGGCAGCGTGTGGAGGCTCTGCAGGGGCTGCAGGCAAAGCACGATGAGCTGGAGGCGCAGTTCCGCAAGGAGCGGGCTGAGCTGGAGGCCAAGTACGAGAAGCTTTACGGTGCGTCCTTTAATCTGGTATCTTTTCATGTTATTTCCGACGTTCACGTCGCGTTTTCTTGAAGACCTTAATGGAGTTGTATCCCCTATGTCTTTCCCCGATTGCCGCAGCTCCTCTGTATGTCGAGCGCTCAGAGATCGTCCAAGGGACGAAGGAGGTTCCTGCCAAGGAGGACGAGCCTGCTGGAGATGGAGATGGTAAGCTGAAGCCATGTGTCTTTGCGCAACTTTACTAGTGGGCAAACCACGAGGATGTCTGCAAATTCACTGCTTTGCAGAGAACGTTAAGGGTATCCCGGAGTTCTGGCTAACTGTCCTGCTCAAGTGCGATGTCACCATGGACATGATCAAGGACAAGGACATGGATGTGCTGAAGTACCTGCGCGATATCCAGGTACAGCCGCACATCATGTGGCGTGTTTCCAGTCGATTGGAATAGCTTATTGAGTTGTCCAGGGCTATCCGGCATTACTGCCCTTGGGTTCTTCCCACCCTGGTTGTCACTTCTGTATGTCGTCATCATACTCGCACATGACGCGTTCCCCTTACCATTTCTCCTTCTCCCCTACCTGTCCGCAACAGGCCGAGAGCCTGGTGATTGACGGCGTGTCACACGGTTTCAAGCTGCGCTTCTTCTTCGACGCCAACCCCTACTTCACCAACGAGGTGAGGGCCAGCCCTTCTGTCCCCTGTTGGCTGCTTCGTGGTTGTCTCCTTTTCGTTCCAGTTATATATCCACCGTCAGGGCTCCCCAAACTGCGTCCCTAGGGCTGTCAGGGCTCTGGGTCTTTTACCCGGACCTTCACTCCTGTCCCCTCCCATGCCCCTCCCGGTCCCCTCCCGCAGGTCCTGGAGAAGACCTACCACATGCTTGCGGACGACGATGGTGTGCTGGAGCGCGCCGAGGGCACCAAGATTGAGTGGCAGCAGGGTAAGGGGGAGCTGTAACGAGGGAGGACCCCTTTCCATGGGTGGGGTGGGGGGGAGGTGGGTGGCTGATGGAAAAAGAAGGCAAATAAGGAGCAACGATGGGTGGAGTAAGATGTTTGGCACTGGAGGTATGAGGGCTTACCAGGGACAGCAAGGGTGAGTAGCCAAGAGGGGGACTGAGAGAAGGACAGGGTTGGGGTAACAACCGAATGAAGAGGGGCAAGGAATTCGGGAGAGATACAGAGGAATGCAAAGGACATCTGGGTTGCCGGAGGGAGGGCGGCTGCTGGGGTGCTGCGCAAGACTCCCCTGACCGCTGACTACTCGACCTCACGTGCAGTGGGAGTCGAGCCCACCTTTACGCCCGCACCCCTCTCTTCACTCCAGCGCTCCTGATCACACCTGCCATCTCCGCGTCGTTGCCCCAGCCCCCGCTCCTCTTACCGCGCTCCCTCCGCTCTTCTCCACACTTGCCCACCCCAGGCAAGGACGTGACCGTCAAGATCATGAAGAAGAAGAAGAAGGGCAAGAGCTCGGCGCCGCCGCAGGTCAAGACGGAGCGGGTGGACTCGTTCTTCAACTTCTTCGACCCACCGCAGGTGAGGGGAGGGAGGGGGGGCAGTGGGGAAGTTGGGGAGTGAGGCGAGAGGTGACTGAACACGAGGTAGGAGGTGGGGTAGGAAAGCGGGTGAAGGTGGGCATGTCCGGCCAGCGCAGTGCAACATGCTGCGGAGCGCCCTGACTCGTATTCCCCTCCCAACCCGCCTCTTCAACTCCCTCGCCAACAACCCCCTGCCGGACCCCCCCACCACCCCCAGGTTCCCGATGGCGATGAGGACATTGACGAGGACACGATGGAGGAGCTGCAGGCCATCATTGAGGCAGACTACGAGGTGAGCACTCCCGCCCGCCACCCGCCCCGCCTGATGGGCTGCACCCGCATGCCAACCCCTCACCTCTCCCCACCACCCCGCACTAACCTGCCTCTCCACCCCCTTACCCCACCCCCCCAGGTCGGCGCCACCATCCGTGAGAAGCTGATCCCCGAGGCCGTGTCCTGGTACACCGGGGAGGCCATGGACGAGGACGAGCTGTTCCTGCCCGGGGAGGACGACAGCGAGGATGAGGAGTGAGTGGGGGCTGTGCAGGACAGGGAGGGGGGGAAGGATGCGGAAGGCACCGCACAGGGGAGGAGCTCCATATACGCCCGGTTGGCTACGTGTTATGTGCTACACTCTTGTTGCTGGCCGGCTGATATTCATGATCCCTTTCCCTTCCCGCTTTTGTTTGCGGCCCCCAGCTTTGAGGGCGAGGAGGGTGAGGAGGAGGGTGAGGAGAGCGAGGAGGGGGCCGCTCCCGGCGCCGGTGGAGAGGGGCAAGCGGCGGGCGGTCAGCAGCAGCAGCCGCCGGAGTGCAAGCAGCAGTAAGGGGCTCTCTCGCGGGGGCAGGGGCAGAGGAGGGGACTCTACCGCAGCAGCAGCAGCGGGGTTTGCAGGACTGAAGGTTGCTTGAATGCATTCTTTGCAGGCCGCCCGCGGCGGCGCTTTGATAGTGCTTTGATAGCTTCATGTAGCTAGAAGGCGATGTGCAGGGAGGAGTCGTTGTCTTGTCGGCTGTCCTGTGGATGTCGTTGTAAAGCCGTAATGCAGTTTGATGCATGGGGCACAGCCTGTACAGCCGCGCTGGGGCCGCAGGAGGGATCCCGCTTGTTAACAGCCTGCTGCTGGTGTTTGCTTTTGCGTCTGCTGATTCGTGGTGGGGCGCGAGGGTGAAGGCGGCAGCAGGGGCTTCTTGCTGCCCTAGTGTTGCTTGTATGTTGTATGTTTGGATGCAATCTTGTGTTACGATTGTTTCGCTTTTACGTCTGGACAAGCAGGCTTGGATTGCCGGATGCTTGCTGGCTTATGCTACATGCATTTGATGTGGCCACGGGATTGGATAAAAGACTTGTGTTGTGGAAAATCTTTTGCTCAACAAACGCTGACCTTTTGACTCAATGTCTGCTGGTTTGATTCCACAATACGGGTAGTGTTGGGTTAGAAAGACTTATAGGGGAATTTTTACTTGGTACTAGAAGAGGTGGTAGGGCAGTGCATGCAGAAAGCAGTATTGTGACATGGTATATGGCATTTTACCGTTTCATGACCTCGATGTTGACAATGGCCCAGGGAAATATCTATACCGAGCAGCACATGGGTAATGCTAAGTTTTAAATCCTCGGCGACGGGCCCTTTGCCGTACTGTCGCGTTGCGGCTCCTCTACTGTCCCACTTCAATCTAATCTGGGCGAAAGAGGATTTGTAAGGAGTGCGTTCTCATCCGATGTGCGTACAATTGACCAGCAGCGATACCATGGTCCCTTGGTGGGTTGTCACGTCTGTGTAGAGAAGAAGAACAACACCTTGCCTCGAAGAACCACAAGCCTCGGCTTCTCCTATTTTTCAAGGTAGGAGACGTGCCACCAGCCAATTTAGGCCACTCGTTCCCTGGCTTTCGCCAGCTTTCCACAAATGCGACGAGAACCACCTCCAAGCGCCTCTTGGTAACAACTAACGTACTGCAGGTCGCCATCGCTCGGCGCCCGTAACAGCAAGCTAGGCATGTCCAGACATGCAGGCACACGATCTGTACGACATCGAAATGCGGGCAAGCCAGGTAAACAAGTACCAAAGCAAGTCGATCGCACGACTTAAATACCGGTAATGGGGTGCCAGGCATGTCGCGTGTGCCATATACACATATATACATAAACACGCATGTACCCCTTTGCAAGCGTTCGCAAACACACCTCCTTTAGCTGCCAACCCCCCTTTCCATCTACCCGCAACCCTCACTCCTCTTCTCCCCCCCTTGTCCCGCTGATGCCGCTGCTGTCACCTTATCCATCTGCTGTGTGGGTGCCGGGTCAGTCAGTCCTTGAAGCCCCACACCGTCAGCCCCTCATATCACGAACAGCCTCTCGGCGCCCGCATCCCCCTGCCCCCTTTGTCCTGCCCTCACTTGTGGACTGGTGTTTCGGTGACCCCCGTCTCCTCCACCTCTTGCTCCTCCGCTTCCCTGTCTTCCTCCTTCTTTTCTCTCTAGCCGCCGCCGAGACAACCCCTTGCAGAAGCGGCGCATCACCACCGCCCCGCTTGACGCAACCGCCATCGCAGCCGCCGCCACCCCCACACACGGCTACTGCCACTGCTGCCACTGTTACTGCCACTGCCGCTGCTCGCATCTGACGACCGCTCTGGGAACCACTTCGAGGTCCGAAGGCGAGGGTGGTGGCATTGTCGCCGCTGCCACCGCTTCCCTAGCTGCAGCCGCCGCCAGCAGCACGGCTGTCCTCCCTTTCCTCCTCCCTCCGTCACCACTAGATAACGACCAACTCCCCCCCACTGCCCCCCTCCTCCTCCCCTTCCTCCTCCTTCCCCTCCCCGTGCTGCCAGCTGCACTAGATGATGACCTCCTTGGGCACCGGCTTGCGAATGTGGCGCATGGTGGACCCGGGCTCCTGCGGGGGGGGGGGGGGTTGGCGGGTTAGTTGAATGAGAAGCGAAACACAAAAACACGTCCGACCCCCTGCTGTTCCCAACCTCCTCCACCTCCGCTCCCCACATCAGCACAGCACTGGTTTGAGGATCTTGATATTGCCACACCCCCCACCCCGAGGCCCCCAAGGTCCCCAACCCCACCCACCACACCCTCCCCAACCCACCTGGGGTTTGAATGGCGCAAAGAAGCCGTAGGGTTTGGGAATGCCCAGACTCTCCGGGATGTAGGCGTTGGGCCGCGGCTCTGCGGACGACAGAGGCAGGAGGGCAGGAAGGAAGGGGGCAGGCAGGGGTTGGGAGTGGGAGCGTCGGAAGGATGCGGGTCGGGGGTCCATGGAAGCAAAGCGACACAAGGCCGCACAAGGTCACAAAGCCCTCTCTCGCACATGACCGTACACTGCCGTATACATGCACCACCCTGCTACATGGGTTTCCGCCACCATGCGCCGCTCCCCCGCCCACCCACTCCCTTAACCATGTCGTACAAGCCCCATGTGTGTCGTACCCTACCTCTCCCTGTCCCTTTTCCACAACTGTTATATCTGTCGTACTCCGCACAGTCACCACCTCACCTGCCGTACTCTGCACCTGGCTGATCCGCGCCTCCAGGGTTTCCGCCACCATGCGCCGCTCGTCGTCCAACACCTCCAGCGTCTCCCGCTCGCGTTCCAACCTGGTGGGGTGGTGGTGGTGGTGGTGATAACGATTGGGGGTGGACGGTTTGGGGGGGAGGGAGATGAGATTAAGAGGAAAGAAGTGTGGTTACTGAGATACATGCGTTCCTCGCACAGGGGTTGGCGGGGACGTGTTTTTGGAGGGGAGTACAGGAGGTGGGGTGGGGGGAAGGGAATGCATATCACACCAAACCCGACCCGAACGTGAGGACAAGTAGGGAAGGGACACAGGGGCATCGTTCCCGTGCCGGAGTGAAGCCGGTAGTGGTGTTGGGAAAGCTATGAAGCGAATGAAGGGGTCGCGGGGACCCCCTCCCTCTCCTTCTCCCCCCCCGCCGCACCTGGCCCACTCGCGCTCCGCATCGTCGGTAGGCGGTTGCCCCGCCTCCAACCGCTGCGCTGCCACGTCAACCGCCGCCTCCAACTCCTCCTTCTCCGCGCCCAGCTTGAGCGCGCTCGCCTGGAGGGGGGAAGAGGTGGGTTGGCGGGGAGGAAGGGGGAAAGGCGAGAGGCTTCACGAGGTGGAGTCTACATGTCGCATGGCTGCTTATCGGTACTTTCTTCCTCCCCCACCCTCCCCATTGCTCTGCCCTAACTTCGGCAGGGATTTTCTACGGTTTGGTGCGGTCCTTGTCCTTCTTGAACCTCTCCCCCCCTCGACCCCCTACCTGGTACATGGAGAGCTCCGACACGGTGGCCATGATCTTGCGTGTCACCGCCCGCAGCTTGGACTGGTACTCGTTCACACGCTGAGCCAGCTCCAGCGTGTCAGCACGGCCCTCGGCAGCCTGCAGGGAGGTAAGGAGCAGTGGGGGGGGTTATAGACCATATCGAACAACTAACCGACCGTGAGGAGAGGAGAAGGGAGGGGAAGTGAAGGGGCAGTTCGGCAATCACAGCAGTGCGTCCCGACTTTCTCTCGGGCAGTTCGGCAATCACAGCAGTGCGTCCCGACTTTCTCTCGGCTTTCTCTACACACACACCCCTCCGCCCGCCCCTCCCCCCTTATGCGCTCACTGCATGAGTCGGGATATGGGATTGGGACTCGTTGTTTCACATATTTATTTTTCCCCCCTTACCTGCACTCTCAGCTTGTCGCTGAGGCTGGTAATCTCCTCCAGTATGAGCTCCTTCTCAAGCAGCTGCTCCTTCTTGTCGTTCAGACGCTCCTCAAGAGCCTGCAGCAGGAGGGGGGTGGGGATGAATATGGATACATATTCCGCATTAGGCGAGGGAGGGGAGGGGAGAAGCAGGATGGGGGTTAGGCGGGGAGGCGGGGGGACGGGGTAAAAGGAAAACAATAAACTTTAGGCCGCGGGAGGGGAAACAGGGAGGGTAGCTGCGGGGTGGCTGTGTGGCTCCCTTGCCCACACCTCCTTGCAACTATGTACACCCCCTGACGAAGAAGATCTCCGTAACCCCGCCCCTCACTTGGATCGTACATGACGGATTTGACCCTGACAGCTGCCCCAACTAGCGTTTCCATGACGCTACACACAATCACCCATCGAGCCCTGTGCATGCATCTCCCTCGCCTCCCCCTCCCCTCCCCCTCGCCTCCCCCTCGCCTACCCCTCCCCCTCCCCTCCCCCTCGCCTCCCCCTCCCCTACCTGTATCTTGGCACTCAGCTCCTCCCTGTCTGGAATCTTGCCCTCCAGCATCCTCCACCGCCCGCTGTTGGCGGGGCTCTCCAGCGCCAGACTGAGCGCCTCCGCCTCCCGCCGCGCCTCGAACAGCGCCTTCTGCAGCGCCGCCACGTCGGTGTCCAGCAACGGCACGGAGGGCACCAGGCGGCGCATCACGCAGATGGAGCGGTCCAGCTCAGCGACCTCCAGGCGGAGGAGCCTGGGGTGGGGGAGGGGAGAGGAGGGAGGAAGGAGGGAGAGGGTGAAAAGAAGGAAACGGACGAGGCAACTAACAAGCTGTGTGACAAGGAGGGAGGGCGGGGGGAGGGTGAGGAGAGAAGGAAGGAGGGATACTAGGTGGCTGGAAGCCCCGAGCTGTGCCTGCCTGGTGCGGAGCGCATTGGGTGATGCGTTTTGGGTGTGCGTGAGGGATGTGGATGTTTAAAGCAGGGGGGGCAAGGAAGGGGCAGGGCCAATGAATGAGCGCCTCGGACGCAAATGACCTCGGCGTGGAGCGCTGCACGCCCTTTTGCTCCCCTCCTCCTCTCCAACCCATCCCGTCTTACCCCCCAACCCAACCCAAACCCGCCCCCCCCACCTGGCCTCGTCATCCCGCCTCATGAGCTCCAGCTGCCCCCCCTTGATCACCGCATCCTGGATGTTGGCCTTCTCGTACAGCACACACAGCTCGTCGTTGCGGTCGATCAGCATGATGCCTGGGGGGGTGGGGTGCATGGGGGTGGGGGTGCATGGGGGGTGGGGGGTGCATGGAGGGGTTGGGGGGTGGGGGTGCGAGGGGTAAGGAGGAAGAAACAAACTAACCGCATGATGTGCAACATGGGGGAGGGAGGAGGTGACATGGAGGGAGGGGTTACATGGGGGTAGGTGACATGGAGGGAGGGGGTGGATGTGCAGGGAAAGTGAGTGCAGGCGAGCGGGGGAAGGGCATGGGCCCATGTGCAGCGCACCAAGGGACATACGCGCATGCACACGCGCCCTCCTGTCCCCACAGACATATAACGTGTGCGTGTGTGACAGTACGTTCCTACTCGCGGCCAGTTTTCCTAACACACCCTGCCGTGTGCTGTCAGCGCTGCTGCTGCTTACCCGTGTAGTTCCTCGCCTCGATGACCAGCTCGTACTGCTTCTTGAGTCGCAGCATCTCCTTCTCGCATCCGTTGATGATGGCGTTCAGCTTGTCCACCTCGCTGATCTGCTCGTCCACCACCGACTGCTTGTCTCGGAACACCATGCCCAGTCTGGTGCGAGTGCGGAGAGTGCACGTGTATAGGTAGGGCACCGCGGGGGTGGGGGATGGGGGAAAGGCGGGGGAAGGGAGGGAGGGGGGACGAGGAAGGAGATGGGTGTTCTCCCCATGCTTTCACCCCGCTTCCCTCCGCTAAACAAAACACACATTCAAACACACCCGCGGCCAGTTTTCTTAACATGCATAGCTGTGGCCATTGTTGTAAACCCTAACACTCGCTCCCTCTCCGCCTCCCTCCCCCCACCTGCCCAACTCCACCCGCAGCTGGTCCCGCTCCGCGATGTTCGCCTGGTGCTGCGTGTGCTGCTGCTGCAGCAGTTTGTCCTTCACCGCCACCTCGTTCTGGAGGATGTCCAGCTCGTTCTGCAGCACCTTGAGCTTGTCCTTCATCTCGGTCGTACTCTGGCTGGCAGCCTGGAGGAGGGGAGGGGAGTGAGGGGGCGGGGGATGCGAGGGGAGTCGGGGGTAACGGGCGGGGAAATGTGTGTATGTGTGTGTTTTGGGCCTGTGCTTTGTGTGAATAGCGGTAACCATGTCGACACGTTAGACGTTACCCTTCCCTCCCCGCCCCCCGCCCTCATGCTCCTGGGATATGGGATTGGGACTCGTTGCTTCACTTATCTTTTATTTGCCCTCACCCCCCTCACCTGGATGAGGTTGACGAACTTGTTCCGCTGGTTCTTAACCAGGTCGTACAGCTTCTCGAAATCCCGGATCCGCCGCCCAACCTGCAGTTGACCAGGGTGCACACCATGCGTGTTAAGAAACCGGCCGCGAGTCACTGTGCATACCTGTGTTAAAATACCTGTGTGTGTGTGTGTCGTACACGAGCAAGGAAGAATAATGCACGATTGGAGGCTCGGGATAAGCATGATAGGTTTGATAGCATGTAAAAGGGTAAGCTGGCAGCATCAACCCTAACACCGTAACGCCGAAGTAACTGTCGTACGGCCAACGAACGAACCCCTTCCACAACCGCATGCAGCAGCAACTGCCGTACCTCTTTCCGGATCTTCTTCAGCTCCGCGAGCTCTACTTCCTTGATGCGTGACGTCATCTGCACCTCCTTCACGCGACTCAGCTTCTGAGCGATTGACAGCGCAATCCTGGGGAGCAGGGGCGGGGACCAGGAGGTTGGTGGTTGAGTTGTTGGCTGGGGTAGTTCGTTGGGGTTGTTCGTTGGGGTGGTTAACGGTACGTAAGGAGCCTGAAGCTTGGTGTTGGTTTCACGTTTCAGGCTCTCTGGGGCAGGTTGGGGCAGTTGATCACAGGAGCGATTGAATGCACTGTGCGCTTTCCACCCAGGTCAACTACACACCATTAGCTTGCATGCCAGCCGCCACACGCGTCGTGCCACACGGCCCCCCCCCCACGTTACCCCTCCCCTCCCCTACCTGTCCCGCTGGCTGCCCAGGTCCCGCAGGATCATGTCGCGCTCCGCCTCCTCGCGTTTGAGGGAGGCCAGCTCGGCCTCCAGCGCTGCGACCTGGGGGGGGCGGAAGGCGGGGGGCGGGGGCGGGGTTTGAGGATGCATTCAGGGGGCTGCCTGGCGAGGGGGGAGTGTGACTGAGCCGCGCGATGAAACACCGACTGCGGGCGTTATTGGTGTGGCCGGGGTGGGGGTGGGGGTTTCTTAATGAGGAGGAGGAGCAGGTGCAGGTCCTCCCCTTCCTCCCTGTCCCGGACCGCCCCCTTCTCTTTGGCCTCGTACTCAGGCACACGCGTACCGTCTTCCCCCCTGGCGTTATCCCACGGGGCTATTCAACGTCTTCCGGAAACCACAGTGCGTTTTCCTTCTCGGCCAGCGCCCTTAGCACACGCACGCGTACCCCGTATCCCCCCGCCCACACCCCGTACGTACCTCCTTGTACGTCAGTTGGAACAGCGCCACCTTGTCCTTGCCGTCCGCCTCCTCATGCAGGAAGGAGGCCATCTGGATGTCCAGCTCGCGCTTCACCTGGGAGAGGGGGACGGGGAGGGTGTAAGAGAGAAAGGGAGGACGATGCATGGGTTGTTGTCGTAACTTGTACTTGTACACTCGCTATTGGTGCCGCCTTCTGGGGTATCATCATACTCCCTCTACCCTCCCCCCAAACCCTCCAACCTCCACCCCGCCCCCCACCATGTTTGCTCCCCACGATGAAGCCTACATGTCATACAGCTCGTCAGTTTCCTCTTCCTTAGCCCCTCACTCCCCGCCCCCCCCACCTCTTGCAGCTCCCGCGACTGGGTCTTCCGCCGCGCCTCCAGTGACGTCACGTCCCGGTGCAGCTGCTCCACCTGGTGGGGCAGGGGGGTGGGGAGATATACCGGGACCACAGGTCAGGGAGAAAGCATTGGTGAGGTGGAAGAGGAATACCCAATGTGTTAAAATGAGGATGTCAAACAAGATGACACGCTCCCGGGGAGGGGAACGAGTCAAGGGCCGGGCGAGGGACGGGTAGAAGCGTTAGGGCGGTACGTGCAAGCGTCCCCCGGTGATGTGCGCCCCCGGTGGGAGTGGCCACACACCCGCAAGAGTGAGCCGCTCGCGCCTACAAACAAACACATACACACACGTTCGCGGCCAGTTTTCTTAACACACGTTACGTTCCTTACGTTCCGCCTCGCGGCAAGCTATCTTGACACACGCCTCCTCTTGCACCGTGTGTTACAACCCCCCCGCCCCCCGCCCCCCCCTGCCCTCCCCCCCCCCGCACGCACCTGGAACCTCAGGTTGGGCAGCGCGTCCCTCGCCTCCTTCAGCTGCGAGTCCGCCAGCCGGTACTGCCGCAGCATGAGGTCCTTCTCGCGCTGGCGGCGGTTGAGGTGGTCGCCCTCCGCCTTCAGCTCCACAGACAGGTTCTGAAGTAGGGGGGGAGGGGGGAAGGGGGAGGGGGAATACCAAACGTGTTGAGTGACAATGGCAAACCAGGCGAGAAGCTCAGGTTCTGAAAGGGGGGAGGGGGTAAAATTACCGGTATAGGTAAGTGCAACAAGGCAGGGGGTGGGGGTAATAAGAGGTGGGCCGTAGGAGCTTTCCTAACACACAGGGACAGCTGTATCGCCGTACCCCCACCCCGCACCCCCGTACCTCCCATCCTCCTTGTCTTGCCCCCACTTATTGCCACATGCATTCCTCCCGCACCCCCCCGCTTGTGGCTTCCCATGGTTTGGTAACCCCCCCCATTTCTTCCCCTTCCCGCCCACCCCCCTCACCTTGACCCTCAGGTCCAGCTCCACCTGGTCGGTGAGAATCTTGTCCGCCTCGATGCTGGCCAGCTCCACGTCCTTGCGAATGTCGTCCGCGTGACGCGCCTTGGCCTCAACCTAGGGGGCGGGGGGGGGGGGGGGAGAAGAGGAGAGCGATGAAGGTGAGCGGTGGAGGCAGGGAGGCAAGTGTGAGTCAGCTGGGGGTTGGCAAGGAGCGGGATGTCCTCCGCACCCGCCCCTGCCTACCGGTAACCTAACCCCCCTCTCAGCGTCTTCCCTGCCACAGCCCCCCTCGTTGCCCTCCCGCCCTCCTTTCCCCCTCTCGCCTGCGCCCACGGCTCAAGGGCACATCCCGCTCCCGCTCCCGTTCCGCCCCTCCCGCGCTCCCCGCCCGCCCCTCCCCCCCACCTGCACCCTGCCCCTCCCCGCCCCCCCCACCTGCACCCTCCCCCGCTCCAGCGCCGCCATCATCCTTCCGTGCTCCTCCAGCAGCTCGTACTCCCGCGCAGCTGCCGCCTTGAATGCCGCCTCGTGCTCCGACAGCCGGTTGTTGGCGCTCTCAAGCTGGGACTGTACGGCGGGGGGGGGGTGGAGAGAGGGGAGGGAAAGGGGTACAAGGAGATGATTAGGGTGCCGAATTGCCAAACTGGTGCAGTCGGGCCGGAACGGACTAGCAAGGGTCCCCCGCTCCTTCACCCACCCAAACTGCTCGCGCACTGCCCAAACCATACCCATATGCCGGGGACCGCCCTCGCACACCCCTCCACCCGCTTCGCCGCCGTCCAGCCCGCCGTTCAGTCCCCATCACGGCTCAGTTCAAGCCCACCCATCCCACCGTTTGGTTTGGTCTGCTCACTGATCTCCCCCCAGATGGTAAGTTTGCTAGCCGCCCAGACGTCGCACGTTTGGTTCGACTAATTCGAACCCATTCGCCAGAAGGATTCCAATGCCACCTGCCATTCTCATTCAACACATTGGGGTATTCTTCTTTCCCCACCCCACCCCGCATCCAGCCGCCGTCACCCCCCTCCCCCCTCCTCCCTCCCCCCTCCTCCCCTACCTACCTGCACGCTCTTAAGTATGGACCCCACCGCCTCCGCCTGCCTCCTCGCCTTCTCCGGCAGCGGGTCGATGCGCACCAGGTTGGCCTTCTCCACCGCCTTGCCCTCAGACAGGCTGGAGCTGTCGGACAGCACGGAGGACAGCCGGGACCTGGGGGGGAAAAAAAGAAATTCCAAAGTGTGGTGTGATAATGATGGGGGGGTGGGAGAGGAGGAGGGCGATGGGGTGCAGGTGGGGGTGGGGGGTCAAAGACCATATCGAACCATAGGGAACCCAAAAGTTGGGGAGGTGGATTACCAGATTACCACAGGTTAGGCCAAGGCAATGGGGATAGGCGGCCGCAAGATGCCACAAGAGAAAGGGAGGGCGAAAAGAGGAGTGTCTTGAGGAAGGTGGGGCGTTATTGCATGGGGGCGGAGTGCGTGTGCACACCGCTCCCTCCTTTGCTTCATGTCAACTCCGCCGTACCTCGATTCCCCCATCCCGCCTCCCCCACCCCACCTACCCGCTGTTGCCTCCCTTCCATCTAACCTCCCACCCAGCCCTGCCCGTACGCCCTCCTCCTCTCCCACCTTCCTACTACTACTCCCCCTTCCCTCCCACCCGCCACCTCCTCTCCCCAACGCCCTGCCCCATCACATTTGGTCTCCCTAGGAGAACACGCGCCACGTCTCCTCCTCCCCTTCCCCCCCCCGCCTCCTCCCCCTCCCCCACCTGGCCCCGTCCAGCTCCGCCCTGGCCGCCTCCACCTTCCTCCGCTCCTCCTCCACCTCCTCCGCCAGCGCCGCCGCCTCCCCCCTCGCCGCGCTGATCACCGGCTGCAGCGCGGCTGCATGCTCGCACGCCAGCTCCTCCATGCGGGAGCCCAGCTCGTTGCGCTGCCGCTGCAGGTCGGTCACCTGGGGGAGGGGGGACGGGCGGGGGGGGGAGGTGAATTCCCGGGCGGGAGGGGGGGGATATAGAGGCGGGAGAAATATAGAGGCGGGAGGGGGAGGTGAAGACGCAATGCGTTGAGGGGCGGGCGGGGCAGGGTACAGGGAGGACCAGGGGGGAGAGGGCGAGGGGTGTCCTCCGTCAGGAGGACACGCCCCTTGCCGCAACCACCCTTGCTACAGCAACCTAGGTCACACGTCCTCCTTCCACCACCCCCCACATGTCGCCGTCACCTCCCTCCTCCCACCCCCCCCCCACATGTCGCCGCACGGGACTGTGACCGCCCCCACCCCACCCCCCCAAGCAGGGTCGCGGGGGCGAGAATCGGCACCCCTCCCCCCCCTTCCCTCGCCTCCAGCTGCCGCCGCTCCTCACCTAGCGCTGCACCCCGCCCCCTTCCCTCGCAAATACCTGGCACCTAGGAAAGCCCCGAACATTGCATCCTCCCTCCCTCCCTCCCTCCCGGCCTCCAGCTGTAGCACCCCTTGCTCGCCCAGTTCCTCAACTTCCTCCCTCCCCTCTGGATACCACCCTCCTACTTCATCGCCCCCACCCCGGGTGCGTTGCATCCATACCCCCCCCCCCCCCCCCACCCACCCCACCGGGGCACCCCCCTACCCCAGCCCCGCCCCCTCACCTCCAGCTGCAGCAGCTGCTGCCGCTCCTGTGCCAGCGCCGCCTCACCCAGCGCCGCCTCCACGTCCTCGCGCAGCTGGTCAATGTCCTCCACCACAGCCGCACCGCCCGAGCCCGACCCGGAGGCTCCGGAGCCGGAGCCCGCGATTGCCATGGCGGCATCCTGGTCCTGGAAGGGGAGGGAAGGGTGTGGGGGGCTAGGGGTGGTGCTGGTTGCTGGTTATGGCGTGTGCATTGGGCATTGCATACGGGGCACGAGCCAGGGGGCTGGTAGAGAGGTGGAAGTGTTTGTTAAGGTGTGTCCCAGAACCCCAGAACCCTACGTTCGTGTTACCTCTTTTTGGCGCTTTAGCGCTTTGGCTTGCTCCAGCAACTCCTTTTCGGTCTGTCGAGAGGACACATGACACATGTGTTTTTATGTACGGAGCTCACAGCCAGTCCCAAGCCTAGCGGGTATGTAGGCTTCATTGTTACCTGTAGCGCCTTGACCAAGGCCCCATGCAAGATTGTGTACCGCGACTTTGCAGTGTCTGCTTGCTGGGCAGAAATGCGTCCAGCCGCGAGGAGTTCATTTAGAACCTGCACCAGAAGCTAAATCCTCAGCAATTGTGTCTCGTAATATAAATAAAACATCCAGCCGTGGATCCGCCCACGCGCCTTAAAAGCTTCGCTGCTCGTTACGTCCTCAAGCAGCGAAGCCGCGTCCCCTTCCATGAGGATTTGACAATATTTGCTATGTTTTCATGCTACATTAATGTGCGGCTAATTAGTCTTTTGCTGGTGAGCGCTACTGTATGTAATTGCTTCCAACATAAAGCAAGACACGCAGCAGGAACCTACTCATACTGTGTAAAGTAAACTTGCTTAAGCCCAGTAAAAATACAAAAGTAACTGCGGATGATAAGCAAACTATAAGGAGAAGCGTTCCGTCGGTGTCAGAGTGTAAGCACAAACCAGAAGCGACGAGTGAGTCGAGTTCTTTAGCATGTCCCTTGCAATACCTTTCACGTTGGGCAGTTGGGCAATGATTGCGTTGAGTAGTCATGCTGCCGTACGATACCGATCCCCGATGAGGCCTTCTGGTTCTTCTGGGCCTTCCCAGCTTCAAGCCTGTAATCATCATCATCATCATCAACATTATCATCATCCCTGACGACGCAGGCACAATAGCTCACGCTAAATACCCCAAGTACCTCAATAATGGCTCCGTCTCTGTAGGCGCAACTCTGCGCTCTATGGTTGAATTAATCGCTAGACCCTGCCTGCATCCCATGGGCGCACAACCGTTTCTGTTTGTGTTTCTATTGTGCTACTATGCAAGCCTTTATACTTCAGCGTGGGGAAATTTAGGCCCACTATTTGACGACAAACCACATGTGCGCACCCGGTTGCGCCCGGAGTTGAACTGGGATTGGGGCCATCATTATACACGGGTCTCAGTTGACAACCAGCGAGTGTCGAGTGTCCTTTCCCACGTATTGAACTACAATTTTACTCTCCCAAGGATTCAGCTGGAGCGTGGCTTGACATACCTCGGGTAAGTAAGCAGTTGATGGGCCCTGGACCGAAACCGCTGTCTATACCACGTCCGCATGCAAGTCACAAGTGCGATTGCAATCGCTCTGCTATAGACATCTTGTCGCTTCCTCCTGCCTCGCGCTGTACCAGTTTCCTGTGCACCTGTTCAACTGCTCATGGTGCCGATTGGTGCCAACTTGCAGCATCAATACCCACCATTCCTAACCGGGTAAACTCCCAACAGGTCAGCATGCAGACTCCGGCGCGTCGTGCGGGATCTGCTAATGGGCCGGGACGTCAAAATTGGGGTGGTCGGCGGAAGGTATGCGAGGAAATGTGGAGATGGAAGAATGGGCCATGGCTGCACGGCTTGGGCTCGTTGGGCTTCTACCGGTCATCGTGCGGACCCATTGCTCTGTCGGACATGGGTCCTAACCGCCATGACAAACACCTTATCTAGCTGCGTAAATCTGTAAGCATTGTAGCGAGTGCTTTCCTCCCTCTCTTCTTGTCCTTGTTCCATCCCTCTCAGCGTGTCATGGGGCCAGAGCGCCACACGTCGAGGCGTGACGGATTGGTTCAGCACGCTTTCATCGTACATGGTACGTTTCTGCGCGGCTCCCCAATGTTGTGCACAGATGCGATACACCTTCTGTTGCCGTACTACCTGTTACGCCATTCCCGACGTTTCGCGTATGTCATTGCTCGTTGTGTGGTTCTTTATTAGCTCGGGGATGCAACGAGAGAGGTTTGCTGGCACCCTCCGGCTTGCCTATATTCAACACGACACAGCAACACAAACAACTGCCACCGCTGCTTTCGCCGTTTGTTTACTTACTCGCAACACCCTTCACGCACTTCTATCTATTCCCTTTCATTCCACCGGCTATGACACTGTCTTCCGGGCCACCACCTAGCGACTGCCGCTTCCGCTGCCACGTTTGCACTTCACGTCCCGCCCACGCAACCACACCTCAGGTCAACGCCTTTCCAACCGCCAACATAACGGCACGTAACGGCTGCACCCCTGGCGTACCCTCGTCCTACATGATGTAAGGGGGAGCCCAACTAAACTGTACGATATATACAACTAAACTGTACAATAGCGATAACCCAAGGCACGCGTCTGCCGTAAATAGTTGAGCAGCACGACTTGTGACTTGTGCGACAGCGGCATGCAAGGGGGGTCGTCGCGCGGGCGGCGTGGCGAGGGCATGCAGCATGGGACACATGGGGACACAGCAGCAGCAATAGCAGCAACAGCAAGCAAGTGCTGTTGGCTTGGGAAATGCATGTAGTGCCGCCACCTCTCCCTTCCTGGCTATAGGAGAGATCCTCCATGCCTGACCGCTTGTGTTAGCGACCATCATACCGGTAGCTACACTGCCAGCATGCAGGTGGCCCTCCACTCCTCCACCTCTCTATCTCACGGTTAGTTCGTTGTTTCCTCTTTACCCACCTTCCCACCTCCTCTCCTCCACCTCTCCTTCCTCTGTTCCCGGCCGCTGCTGCAGCATGTGTTTGGAGCTGTCGGTGGACCCGGACGTGGATCTGGTATTCCTGGAATACACGCTCAAGTAAGTACGTAGCCCCAGTACGTACGGTTCGTCACCCGTGCTCCCTTTCAGGGAGCCGTTATAGCTGTCCCTCGTTCAGTCATGCACGGCAGGAGGATGTAGGGGGAGACAGACGGGCATGCATCTTGTGTTGCTGGCATCCACATCACACATCGGCCAGCAACGATGCACAAAACACCCACGACGCTTCAATCTGATGTGTGATGACCTGTGATGCTAACTGAATTCCTGTAATTTTCCTTTTCCCGTTGCCGCGACACAGTGACGGTCACGATGATAAACTGTACGACAACTCAATCGTACGGAACATAGAGCGACTCATCCGCCGCGTCATGGCACTGCCGAAGCGACCGGCGGTTGTCATCCTGCACCACATGTCACACTACCAGGTAGTTGGTTGGTGGTTGGTGGTGGTTAGTGGGTTGTTGGGCTGCTTTAAGAGGTATCGGTATATAAAGCGATATTACTAATGCAGCTAGGTTTTGAATATGGCAGGTATGGCGAATAAAGACGCTCCGCAGGGTATCCTGCATGCACGTTGCCGCATGTGAGGGTGGGCGCATCGCGCATGTGAGGTTAGACCAGCCAACTCGCAAACCGACACCCCCCTCTCCACCCCCCACCAGGCACACTATCCCGAGGGCCACCCCAAGAGCACGGGAAGCTTCCGGCCGTTCTACGAGACCTCGGAGGACGCACAAGGGGCCCTGGCGCACTACTACGACGTGCAGTCGCTGTCGCAGCGAACCGCGTTCTACCGACTGGCGCAACACAAGGAGGTGCCGGGCTTTGCATGGGAGGAGATCTTTGCAGGTGGGGGGGGGATGAGCAGGCTGGGGCTGGGGTTTGGGGTTGGGTTTGGGGCCTTACTATTGGTACTTGATGGGGTGATTAGGGACACATAGCGTACAATTGCCCATCTGCTATCGACATCCCTGGCTGCCGTATCCTCTCCTAGTCCTGCTCCGTCCCTCTCCCCTTCTCTCACGCCTCTCTCCTCTTCTTCTCTTCCTGTTGTCGTACAAGCACAACAATACTCCACACCCATGCATGCAGATTTCCACCCGGGAGATCACGGTCACAAGATGATGGCAGATCTTGCCGTACATCTCGTACAGCAGGTGGCAGTGGGCCTCGTGATGCATGCGTACGGTCCGGCTGACGAGGAGGTGGTGGGGGAGCCGCTGCCGCGACCCATGTATAAAGGTACGTACGGACAGCAACGTACGGCACGGGGGCGTCTACCGATATGTGACATGAGTGAGCACAAACCTTATATACAAGTCTCCTCCCTCCCGCCCGCCGCACACATGGGCATGTACGGCGCGCAGGACCTCGTATGCCGGCATGGTTTGGGTTTCATGCGCGCCTCTCTCCCCCTTTCCGCATCCCCGTCCCCCCCCCAGGCAACCTCCCTCCGGACACCTCCATGTGCATCATGAACGAGCGATTCAAGTAAGCAGCTGCAGCGGGGAAGCAGTGCTTCGGAGGGGGCCCTATTCCTGATACCTAACCTGTCTCATCGAACCTCTGATACCTGACCTCTGATATCTGACCTGGGGCAGTCTGGGAGATAACAACGGCCCCTACCTGCGGTTAAGCGAAGGCCGAGCGGCAGCTGACGAGCATGCGGCCCTTGGGGGGTGGGGGTGCCCTGGGAAGAAGTCCGCGGAAGGGGAGGTGTATGCATGGGTACACCGCTTCTTACGACCCGCATGCATGCCGCATGTAACCCTCGCTCCACGTAGTTCTCATCATCAGCACCGAACTTCAGTCCTCTCCCCCCTCCTCATGTCGTACCTCGTACAATTGTGTACGAACACGCCGCACACAGCCATTACTCTCAACACACCTGTTACTTTGCTTAACACCCCAGGTTAACAGTGGTGGAGTCGCGGGGCTGGGAGTACGTGAACGAGGGCACCCCGGAGAAGCCCAAACCCGGCTACGTGGCCAGCCTGCCGGGCAGTGTGCTGCGGGTGCAGATTGACACGGACCGCTCCGCGCTCGGCAGCACAGCGGCAGCGGAGGAGCCTGTGCACGGTGTGTATGGGGGTTCCGTAAACAGGAGACTGAGATGGGCTTGGTTGGGAAGGGCGCTTGATTGCGGTTTGTGTTTGCCAAGGCGGCGGAGCCCCTGCGTGGCGGCATGTAAGGAGCCCTCCCTCTCGGACGTTTTGCCTGCCTAACCCTCCCTCCCGTAGCTCCCCTCCCTCTCCGCCTTCCTGCCTGCCAACCCCTCCCGCCTCTGCCCGTCTCCCCCCATGCAGTGTTCTTCCACCACCTACGCTCCTACGAGAAGATGGGCCAGGCGCGATTCAGGTGGTGGTGGTGGTGTGAGGAATAGCCGCATGCAGCCGTGCATGTCGCAACAGGACTGAATGTTGGGCCAGGGTTGGGGCTCCATTCAGGGGGCCGGGGGGGGGGTCCTGTTGGGGCGCTTTGGGTGGGTCACCCATTAGCACAGTGCACAACGGTCCTTGCGTGGTGAATCCGTTCCACGAGATGTCGTGGAGTGCCGGAGCCCTAGCCGGGGGGCCGGGGTTGCTGTGGTGCAGCCGAGGTGCTGGTGAAGGGTCAGGGAAAGTACGGATAGGTAGATGGGGCGCCCCTCCCTCCCTGCTGACCGCTGGCTCACCTGTCCCCTCTTCCACCTCCCCTCCACTCCAGTGCTGCGGCTCCTCCATACGCTTGCTGCCCCTCCCCGCCCCTCCCCGCCCCTCCCCGCCCCTCCCCGCCCCTCCCCGCCCCTCCCTCCCCCACGCATTGTCATTCCCCCCCCAGCTGTGTGTCCGGCTGCTCCTGCAACGCCACCCACGTGGACGCCCTCATACGGGAGCGGGTCAGCCAGCTCTACCTGGCGGGCATGCAGGTACGACAGTACGACAGTACGACAGTACGGCGTGCGGTTACCGGTACGACTTGCCACCCGGGTCATCGGCACATTATCCGAGTCCTTCTGTTTTGTGGTTTTTCCTGCTTTCGGTTTTTTAACACTATAAGGCAAGGGAAATTCCTTACTGTACGGAGTAAACCGTCCACATTCGTTCCTTGTACGCTTCACCCTGGGGTGCAGGTGACCCAGGCCAAGGCGTGCGTCATCGAGATCACCGTTCTGGACCAAACCAGCGACCCCCAAGGCCGACATAAGTTCAAGGTGGCTGGAGTGGTGGTTTCAGAGCGGCCCGGCAAACCCACAGGTGTGTCGTACACACGTATGTACGGCGATTACATGCATGCATGGATGTGCGTGTTCGTACAATTGTACGACACAGCACGCAACGATTTAGTGTCGATGCATGTCATTGCCTTACTTTTGTCTAGTCACACACACGATCCCACCATGTACTACAACAGCCTGACACACAGCCCCACTCGCAATCCCGCCCCCAATTGTACAACACATCAGGTAAAGATTTGTTGTTAATGCCTTACTTTTGGCAAATTCCCACCATGTATGTACTACATTAGCCTGACACACAGCCTTACTCGCACTCCCATGTCCGCTCCTCCCGCCCGCCTACTGCCTCCCACCCTACTGCCTCCGCCCCAACTGATTGCGTATCCGGTCCGGCGGGTTCGGCATGACTTGCCCCGCACGGCACCGTGTCTCCATTCACACATGCCGCAAACCTCCCTACCTCCCTACCTGCCTGCTTACCGCGCCCGCCTGGGCCCGGTCCGTGTCCTAAAAACAAGCCACCATGCACCTGACATCTGACCGCTGCTGCCGCCCCTCTGGGCCCCGTCCCCAGGCATCACACCTCTGGGGGGTCACAACCAGGCGTTCGGGCTGCAACAGCACACGGGGGATGCGGAGCAGGTGGGTGGTGGGTAAAGAGGAAACAACCAACTGACTGAGGGATATGGCGTCAACATGGGGGTGGGTGGGTGGGTGGGTTAGGAGGGGCACACTAGGGCAATCTAGGTATTACTTACTCTGTGGCATTGCATGGCATCCCGAGGTTAAGCATGTAGGAACAGCCTTCATGTGGCGGGCCTGGTGGTAGCACTAGCGGTGGTTGTTGTACCGGTAACTTACCTGCCTTCGGTTCCCTGCAGCTTTTGGCACGGTACTCCTTACACCCTAAACATGCATGCATGCACCACCCAATGCAGGTGGTGATCAGCAAGGCCGGCCGGAAGGGCGTCACGGAGCGCCGCAGGCTCCAACAGCACCCTCAGGGTCAAACCCAGAAAAGGAGACAGAGACGGCGGCTGCGGCGGACATGACCCGTGGGTCACTGTTAACTAGGCAAATGTTTTCTCTGCAGCCCGCACATGGAGGGCAAGACGCATAAACGGAATTCATTTTGGGCGCGGTGGCTTGCAGTCATTTCGATAATAAGGGCGCCGCGGTCTGCACTCATTCTAGGAAAGGGTTCAAGTACGAAGCTCAAGTTGAAGACCAAGGAGGTTGGGGTTAGGAGCCACCGGGGCGGTGGCTTTGATGCATGGCGGTGGCTTGCAGGGATGTGCAGCAGGTCTGCCGGTCGTGCCCGCTATCGCTACATACCCTGTACCCTGTTTCCCTCGGATCTCCCCGGCGTCAGCAAAGGTTGGCGTGGTTGGCTGCTGGGCTGAAAGTTGTACGGCCGTCCGTTTGTCACTCGTATCCAACCAACGGGCTGCTTAGTGTTCATAACTACATATGCTGTGCGAGACTGAATGTAATGATGGGCGCAGGGTGGTGAATGGATTCACGAGGAAGGCCGCCTTGCAAGGCCCATGCCGTGCCGTGAAATGGACATGGCTAGGCGGGTAGGCCTTGTGATAATAGATGGCCGTTACAACCGTGTTGCTCAGGTGTTTGAGGAGATGAGGGACATGATGACGTGGCGACGCATTCATTAGCATACGACACCAATTCTATTTCCAGACCGTCTCCTAAGCACAATGGTGCAAAGTGTGTACTATAATTGTATACCGGTATATCACCGATGGGCTCAGCCATACATACATCACAAAAGGAGATCCTGAACAAGTGAACGATCCAAGGCGGCGCCCGTTTCAACTGCTGCCGTGCTCTCTTGCCGCGCGAGTCCTTGGCCGGCGGCTGCTCGGAGCTCCAAGCCGCACCCAGGTATCCATCTCCTGAATCCTGCGTCCTGAGCTGGATCCTCTTTTCCTACATCAATCAGTGGTGACGAAGACAAACCGCTAAGCTTCTCCTTCTCGGACAGGGCACCAGGGCCCCAGCCAGCCTTGATCCCGTAATAACACAGCCAGCTGCTGCTTCTACTGCAAGAGGCCCTCGACATCATCATCGTCATCCATCATCATCATCTTCCAATAATGGCAGGACAAAGCCGTCACCCAGCAGGTTTTCCGAAACAGCAGCTGGACCTGGAATTCAACCACGACCTGCCGCAAGAGCTGTTGATCTGCATCCTCATACGCAGCATGTCAGCCCAAGAAATCGCGCTCACCGGACGCCTCATCAACAAAGCTACTGCCGCGCACTTTCGTGGCCCTCAGTTCACTTCGGTGCGCCTGTCGCTGCCTTCTCCCCCGCACGCCTTCGCACAGCATTGGGGCCGTCCGGGCGCCATGCGCGGGCTGACGCTGGAGAAGCGCCGGCAGCTGCTGTGCCTCACCGCCTCCTCCGGCAGCCTCCCCAACCTCGAAGTGGCAGTAACCCACGCGGGATGCGTCCTGACGTCTGACGTGGTCGAGGCAGCTGCAGCCGCTGAGCAGCTGGAGGCGTGCCAGTGGCTGCGACAGCATGGCTGCCCCTGGGGTAACGCATTGGCTGCAGCTGCAAGGGCGGGGAGGCGGGCGGCCTGCGAGGGGCTGCTGGCGGGCGGCTGCTCCTGGAGCGCTGATGCGGTGTACGATGCGGCTGAGGGGGGCCATGTGGGCCTAATGGAGTGGCTGCTGCAGCTGCGACCGGAGGGAGATGGCGGAGAGTTCAATCCCGAGCTGTTGTTGGAGGCCGCCGCGGTGGGCTGCGATCTGGCCACACTGCAACGGCTGTACGGTGACTGGCGGGATGATGAGCAGCCGCTGCATCTGGCCAGCAACTCTAACATCATGTCAGCCGCTATCCGCAGCCCCACGCCCGACTGGCAGGACAAGGTGGTGTGGCTAGAGGAGCTGGGTCGCCCTATCATGCCCTATGAAATGTTCGCGGGAGCCGCCACCTGCTCGGATGCGCTTAGCCGTCTGACGTGGCTGCATCAGCGGGAATACCCGTTGTACTGGGACGTGTTCATTAGGGCGGCAGGCCGAGGCGACGTTGCCGTCCTGGATTTCCTCTGCACTGTTGACCGGGACCTTCCGGAAACGGACACGCCGCTGCTTGCCGCGGCCCGCGCAGCCCGGCACGGCGCGCTGCCTGCCCTGCAGTGGCTCTGCAGCCGCTTTGAGCAGCAGCGTGCAGACCTGGAGCCGTACCATGTCCTCCGCTCAGCCGCTCGAGGCGGGCACTTGGAGGCCGTTGCATGGCTGGTGGAGCGGGGGGTGGGGGAGGACATGACGGCCCGGGTCTCCGCGGCTGCTGCTCGGTCGGGCAACCTGGAGGTGATGAGGTGGCTGCGGCAGCACGGTTGCCCCTGGGATGCATGCACGCTCAGAAGGGCTGCGGAGGCGGGCTGCGAGGAGGCGGTTGAGTGGCTTGTGGAGCAGGGCTGCCCCTGGGGGGTGAGTGCGATGCGGGGGTGGGGCAGCAGCAGGGGCGCGTGGTTGTTGGCTGCAGTAGGCATGATGTTTGCAAGGAGGATTAGGTAAACTGAGCCGTAAAAACATGCATGGGGGTCAGCACAGATGTGAGTTGTTGGATGCTGCTGGAGCAGCATCCAACGAAGTAACCAGCTCGACCTATTCCCTGATTCCCGCCGCTGGAGCCGCATGCGACCCCGCCCCGGCATGCCCCCCCCCTCGTGTCCTCAATACACCACAGGAGGACGGTGAAGCCGACATGCGTGCCGCCCGCAACGGTGACCTGGCCGCACTGCGCTGCCTGCAGCGGCTGGGCTGCCCCTGGGGTTCGGCCGAGACCTTCACCACCTGTGTCTTAAACACTTTCCCGCTGGAGGCGCTGCGCTTGCTGCTGGAGCTGGGATACCCTGTGGACTGGGAGGAGGCGGTGGGTCGGGCTGAGGAGGTAGCACACGGGGAGGGGGTGCTGTCATGGCTGCAGGAGCAGCAGGCCCAGTACCAGCAGCGGCAGCAGCAGCAGCAGCAGTATTAGTTGGGGTAGTTGGGTTATCGGTAGTTGCGGTTGGCGAATAGGTACGTGCGACCATGTCGGGTGCTGCATGTCAGCAGGGCTATCCACCCACAGTAGGCACCGTGCACAGTGGTGTCGGTTGGAGTTGGTGGCGGCGGTCTATCGCATGCTGCTGCTGACGGTCTGCATGCTGACCGCTGCTGCTGCTGCTGGGGCTGTTATAAATGGGGCATTGTGCTTGTTAGCTCGGGGGGACTCGGGGACGCTGGGAGAAAGGGCGGTGTGGGCCAGGCAGCATCGCAGCAGCTTCCCACGACCATGCATGGGTTAGGACCAGGATGAGGTGATGAACCACGCACGGGGCTTCACATTGCAATCTGCAGTACCGGTACTTTTACCTATTGTTATGGGTGGCTAGCTGTTTGTGAACCGCTCGTGGCTCGTGGAGTGTCCGCGGGCTGTTGGTGCCGGGCAGCGGTGCTGGTGTACGTGTGGGAAGTGCAGTGCAATGGTCCACCATGAGTGATGCACTAGCGGACGGGTGCTGCTGCATGCTCGTGTCAAGCTGTTACGTACGGAGAGCTATGGGTGCTGGCTGGCTGCTGGTATGTCGCGGTGGCTGGGGAGGCCCCCAGGGCTGCGCTAGTAAACGTGGGGCGCTAAACCTGCATGTGGCGCGTGTTGAGGTTGGCAGGTTGGCAGCCTGATCCGTGGACCACTCGACCCGGATGGCAGATGCACTCTCATACACAAGAAGGGAGCTGCTGTACTGCAAGCAAGTTGGGAGGCCGACGGCCCTACATGACACAGCCATCACTCCGACATGAAATGAAGGCAGGTTGATGTAGCATAGTGTCCTCAACCGTCCGGCAACACTCACTCCACACACTCAAGGACATCCTCGTCATGGCAGGGACCCATGGGTCATTCCATACCACTGTAACCCCACTGCCAGCCCTTGAGGGAGGTGGCAGACACCCGGGGACCCGCATCAGGTCCCTGGCATGCAGTCGTGTGAGAGCATCAGCGGTGTTTGGAGTATAAGCACTAACGGTACCGGTTCTCCAACAGCGGCTTCTCAGTCCTGCCGGCCCCCGCTTCGGCCTCATGGTGTGGTATGGTGTAACGCAGTTGTGAAGCACGAGGGAGGTGATGGAGGGTGTGCTGCCGGCCCCCCTTCACGTCGCTTCATGCCGCGGAGTGGGCTCGGGGGCCGCCAGGAGCCCATGGCTACTACCTACCCGTATACACGCACACACCCCTCCTGGGGACTTCATCTTCCGACATCCCAGTACGTTCCTACTCGCGGCCAGTTTTCTTAACACACCCCTCCATGCGACCCCAAAGAAAGACGTATGGAAACGTCTGCTGCTGTCCCCGAGGGAGTCGAACCCTCCAGCCGCCAAGCCTTCACAGACAGGCAGCAGCCGCAGCTTGCAAGGGACAACCGAACATGGGCAGCAACGGAAAGTCCACACACGCGGCGCATGGCTGCTCGTGCGCAGCTGTGCAGCCAGGGCCACTCTCCAGCTGGACTGCCACCAAGGTCTCCAACCCCACCCGCCACAACCCGGCTATTCCAGCCGTAATGTCCCGTCAGCCGCGACCCGGGCTGCCTCCTTCCCTTTCGAAGCGAAGCAGCTGGCAAGCGGCCCCACCCTTGCCTGCTCCCTTCCAATTGCTTGCACATATGCTATCATGTGCTACATGTGCTAACCAAGCCCCGCCCAGTCCTTCCATTCATACGCTCCTACGCTCCATCCCGGCGACCCAGACCACATGGACCGCCTACAATAGTTTCGTTGTTAGTTAGCTGGTGTTAGGCGCACCACAATTGCGTGTGAGCAACCCTACTGCTGGAAGAGCTAGGTCTTTTCCTTCAGAACAGCAACTACAACAGCAACACTAGGCTGCATAGTGCAACAGGTCGATGGTTAAGGTCCATTAAGCGACAGGCGTCTACCCGCTGCGCGTAAGACAATACTCGTTTTCGTTGCTTAGCACATAGTAAAGGGTAAGGAGCAGAGCCCTGGCATTAGTGTTGTCGCCTCGTATGAAAAGCAATGCGGATATTAGGTCTGCAAGTAAGGATGATGTGGTGGCGTCGTATTAGTCGTACCCAATAAGAGGTTTGAGGCGAGCGAACAGAATGAGCTCTAGGCGCTTTCGTTACCGGCAGGGATTGCGATTAAGAAAGGACGCTTAGTGGTTCAGCGGTGCTTTTGGTGATAACTTGCAAGCTCTAGCCGGCAAAGTGTTCGGCAAGGTCTTGGAAGATGCAGCGCTCCTGCCAAAGCCCTCGTAGCACTGTACGCCAGAAAGGGCTATGCCGCGAAGTATGTGTAAAAATGCTGAACCTTCGTAGCAGGAGTGTTCCGATTGCCCAAAGCCCGCGCTTGTCAGCGGACGTCAGCAGCACTTCGCGTCGCTTAGCAGGTGACTGTCGGATGACTTTAACGCAAAATGGTTATGTGCGGGCTTAAGCGTATGGAAGGTAACGGTAATGCGATTGTGGGTTGTTTACACAGCAAGCGGAACGTCGGAGCAGAGCGTGCCAACCATGCGCGCCGTTCCGTCCTATGCGGCGATGAGAGCTGGCATCAGCGCTGCTGCAAGCTCGGGCTCTTTGGCAACAATCATGGGCCCGGATGGCAAGTCGAGTTCGCTGCGCAAGCTTGTTGTAGATGGCGTGAACGACTCTGGCAACGTCCAGGTATGCGATACGCGCATACTACCAGCATTAACAGTGCGTTGCGTGCGTACACCCTTGCATGCGTCGCGTCTTCTGGAGGACGGATAGGACAACACACCCCATAATTAAATGCTGCTTCCATGCGTCTTCAATAGGGCATTAACAGAGCTTAATTGCCCTATTGCGAACCTGAAATGAACGTGTAGGGTTTGCCACCGGGGTTACACCCTTCGCAACCTTGTAGGCATGCGTGGCTGTCTTGGTTCAAGCTCCTGTTGTGGCCCAGTACACATCCTTTGCGCCCCGTACGTATAGCTTGCCGTCTGATTCTCCTTACTCTCACCCATGCACTACCACTGCCACCCCTGCCTGTCTTCACATCTGACACCTCTTCAGCCGTCCTTATGTCGCCTAGAGCCGCTGCAAACCTTGTATGGGTTATATATCTCTACCCCGCAGGTCAAATTTTGCCTCAAGTATCGTACATCGTACGGCCAGTCAGTTAAAATTATCGGATCCCACCCCAAGTTGGGATTCTGGGATGTGAACAAGGCGTTGCCGCTCACCTGGACGGAGGGTGACCGTTGGGTCGCGACCGTTGAGCTTCCTGCGGGGTCCGTGTACGAATACAAGTGAGTGAAGGATGTGTGCGGCAGTGCGCGGCAGACCCTGACGGATCAAGACTTCATGGGAAACACTGCAGTAACACTTTCCAGGGGTTGTCAATAGGGGGCCGGAAAGTCGGGCCAGAAGCATGTACCAATCGTGGTAATGATTATCGTGGAGCATTTCGGTGTCTGGGTTAGCAACACTCACAATGCGCCACCTCGGCGTCCTCTCACCACCCGTCCCTTTTGCACCCGCTGTTGTTTTAATCCCGGCTCCCTCCCCCTGCCTAATCCCGGCTCCCTCCCTCCCTCCCGCCCTCCCCGCCCTCCAACCCCCTCTCCCGCCACACATTGGGTATTCTTCTTTTCCCCCGCCCAGGTACGTGCTGGTGGATCACGACGGGCGCAGTGCGCTGGCGTGGCAGGGCGGCGGCAACAGCGTGCTGGCGCTGGGGGATCAGGACGAGCAGCAGGGGGTGGAGGTGCAGGACAACTGGTGAGGGGGGAGGGGTGTGACGGGAAGGGAGGGGTGCTTGGCGGGGCGGTGGAAGGAGGGGTGGGATGCAGGGTAGTACCGGTAGGACGGGGTGGGGGTGGGGTTGGCAAATGGGGGCCGTCGGTGTGTGTGTGTGTGGGGGGGGTAAATGCCAGGGATGTGGGCCTGGGCTCTGGGGGGCAGGGAGGGCTGAGGGGGATTGGGGGTTGAGGGTGCTGTGGCGAGGTAAAGAGGAGGAGACTACCTGCGGGGTTGGACTCGAGGAGAGCAGGGCTATAGGGCGCATGGTGACACGATTGCATGGCTCTGTGACCCGTGGGTCAGGGGGTTGTCGACTGCTAGCAGCCGCACCGTCACGAGGGGACAATCCTTGTTCCTCACGCCAACCAATTCTGTTGTTGTTGCTGCCGCTGCAGGGGCAACAACCCGGGTCAGGCGGCGGTTATTGCCAACGGTCAATCCACAACTCGGGAAGGCAAGCTGCAGGCCTGGGCCGAGTAAGTGGCGGGCGGGCGGTTGGGGTGGTTGGTGGACATGACACACACGTGCATGATGGGGGTGCACGTTGGCTCTCGCTCCTAGTCCAGCGTAGCGCATCCAAGCAGACTCCTCCCACCTCCTCCTGCTCCTCCTCCTCCTCATGCTGCTGCTGCTTACTCCTGTTGCTGCTGCTGCTCGTCCCCAGGGGACCCCGTAGCAAACCCTCGCCTCTCCTCTAACCCGCTCCTCCTCTGCCCCCCTCCCCCTCCCCCGCGCTACCAGGGAGATGCGGCAGTACCGGGCGCTCGCTCGTTCCGCGCAGTTTGAGCTGACCCGCAAGAGCGAGGAGCTGCAGGCGTCCAAGGCGCAGGTGGGGGAAGGGCGCGGGAACTAGCGAGCTGTATGAATAGCGGGGCTTCACCGTTGGTGCGCTGGTGGGGGGGAGGGGGAGCAGCTGGCAGGAAAGGAGCGAGAGAGAGAGAGCTTGAAAAGCGCATGCGGAAGGGGGCTGGGGGCTGTTGCTTTAACCCCGCCCCTCCATGCTCCCCTCCCCCCCCCGGTATGGTCTTTGACCCCCCGGGTCGCCCCAGGTTGCTCGGCTGAAGATGGAGCTGAGTCTGAGTGTGAAGGCGCGGGACGAGCTGGAGGGCAGGCTGGCGGAGGCGGAGGCGGAGAACCTGTCGCTGCGGGCGCAGGTGGGGAGGGGGTGCGTGGGAGGGGGGTGGCGGGGAGGGGGGTGATTGGGGTGAGGAAAGGGGCGGATGGCCTCAGCTTTGGAATGGGAGCGGCGGGAGAGGCAAGATGCCAGGGTGGCTTCAGAGTTGGGAGATGACGAGGAGCAGAGGGGCACGAAAAGGGTGGAGAAGAGGAAAACATACCGGTATACACACACGCACGTGGCCAGTTTTCTGAACACACGCACGCAGCGTCTTTAACGCAGGGCTCCTTGAACCGGGGAGGTGGTGGTGGTGTGAAGACCCGTACCCTCGTCCACTGTCCCTGCGTCCACTGTCCCTCTCTAGGGGTCTCTAACTCACTTCCCTTCCCCACCCCTCCCTACATATTACGAACGCGATCCAATGTCGTGGTCTAGTGCGGATACCCATCCCCTCCCCTCCCCACTCCCCGCCCTGCAGGTTGCTCAGAGCCAGCTGGCCATGCGCAGTACCCTGGAGGAGGCGATCAAGCTGCTGCAACAGGGTGAGGGGCGGGGCGGGGGGTGGGAGGCATGTGGGGTCTATAAGAAGAACCAACTAACCGTGCGACAAGGTTATTCCATAGGCTGTGCCATGGTTACCTGCCACCCCCATTCCTTCTTGCTGAAGAAGAGTGAAGGGGTCGGGGGCATGAGGGGAAGGTTGAGGAGAACGGTCATTCTTGTTGCCTATGATTTTCCCTCTTTGCCTTGCCTCGCCCCTCGTCCGCCTGCGTCGTGTCCCACAATTCTCTGGCCCCTCGTCTACCTCCCACCTGTCCCCCGCCACCTCCCAGAAATCGACGAGGAGGAGGGCGACGAGGAGACAGCTGGCGAGCTGTTTGCCTACCAGCAGGGAGCGGCACTGGCAGCGGAGCAGCAGCAACTAGGGGAGGAGGAGCTAGCACTGCTTCAACAACAGCAGGAACAGGAACAGCAGGAGGCAGCGGAGCCTGTGCCAGTAGCTGCTACTACTGCGACTGCCTCCAACGGTAACGGCCATAAGGGTAGCTCGTCCAACGGTGGAGGTGTTGGTATCGGCAGCATGTGGGGCTGGGGCCGCAGCACCAATGGTGCGTCTACGTCTACGTCGACCAGCGGTGGCACCAACGGCAGCAGCGGCAGCAGCGGCAGCGGGGCATCTTCGTCCTCCGGAGCGGTGGGTTGCGGGTGGCCAGACGCACCTAAGCGCACGCTGCTGCTGTCTACTGCTGCTCCTGCTGTTGGCTGCTTTCATGTCGCTACACACTCGTCATACATACATAGTATAATGATGGCAGTTTACGGCGGCGAATTGTTGCTTAGGAAGGCGTGTATTGGTGTTGAGGACACTGCTTGCCCGGCCCCACCTTTATGCGGCGTGTAGGTGCCCGGCAATGGCAACGGGTCGCCCTTTGCTGAGCGGTTTGGGTTCCGAATGAGCGGCAATGGCAGTGCTGGTGCTAGTGGTGCTGGTGCTGGTGGTGGGAGCAGCTCGTTAGACGGCAGCGAGGGCGGCAGCAATGGCTACCACCGACAGGGGCTGACCAGGTGCGTGTGCGGGTGGTGGTGGTGGTGGCAATACACACACACCCTCTCTCGTTCCGTACCTTTGTTGGGCGCGGAACAGCACTTGTCTAATACAGAGGAACGCACGGGTCGATCCGCCAGCACGCGAATCTCCCGCATCCCGTTTGCAACAACGCTCCTCCCTTTGCCAGTCCTCCCCCTTCACCTCACCCACCACCATCATCGCTCTCAGCCCCTATCTCCTCCTCTTTAGCCCCTCCCAACCCAATCTCAACACATCTCCCTCCCCCTCTCCTGTCCCTTCCCTTGCCCCTCTCGCCTCCCCCTGCCCCCCTCCCAGCAGCTCCTCCCCTGCCTCCCCGCCTTCTCACCAACCGGGCCACCACGCCACCTCTCGAGCTGCAACACCCGTCACAACAGCCGCTTACATGACGTACGGACCCTCATCATCTGTAGCCTCCTCGTCCTCATCCACATCACCACCTTCAGAGCCCACCCTGTCGTCCCTTTCCTCCTCACCCGCCGCCTCCCCCTCCTCCTCCTTCTCGGCGCCATTTGGGTCACCAGCAGCAGCAGCAGCTGCTTCCCCGCTTCCTTCATCCTCTTCGACAGCCGGGTTGGCGGGTTCGCCAGCAGCCGGGGCCCAGCCAACGGCGGGTGGGGCGAGCCGAAACGCCTTTGCGGACTGGCGGTCTCGACTGGGGGGCAGCAGCAGCGGCAGCGCACAATGATGATGGGAGGTGCAGGAGGAGGAGGGAACGATTACCGGCACTTGAGGAGTTTGTGCAAGTAAGCAGCCGAATGCTTACCGGGATGCTTCCTGGGATGCAAGTAAGCAGCCGTTGGGTGCTTACTGGGATGCGACCGCGAACGAGCGATCGGCTTGTTGACCTACACGGGCTGCGGTGTGCTGACCCCGGATGAACGACACCACCAGCAGCATGGAAGGCCCTTTTGGTTTGCAGGGGCCCTCGCCTGCAGGGGTCTGGATCTGGGCCCTAAAGGGGTTCCGGTATCCGGAAGAAGTAAGCGATGACGCAGCCCTTGCTTCGGATGCCGCGTTTCTCAGCTCTTTGGGGCTAAGAAGGGAGGGCCTGTTGGTGCATGTGGCAGCGCTGTTGGCAGGCTCGCGCCGCACTGCGGGCTGAGGCTGCAGGGTGCCGAGCGTCAGGGATTGATGAAGCGCTTGTGTTGTGCTCATATTAATGTATTCCTGCATGTGTGTACCTTGGGAGTGTGTGTTTTGGAAGAAGCTGTTTAGGGTGCTGCTGTCGCGCTTGAATGCACGTCGTGGTCGTGGTGAAGCTTTTGGACAGTGCGGCACGCGGTTGGGCAACGCCGGCGATGTGGGTTATGTTTGCGCGGGTTTGCTGCGAACCCAGCAATGTCGGATGGAGGCTGGTTGGATGCGGCCGCGAGAAGACATGTACGACTGCTGACTCTGTGTGGCAGGCGGGCGCAGGAGGAGGAAGCCAGGGTAACCCGTTCCCTGTTCCAAGAGAGATGTGGGGGCGGGTGATGACGTTCGTGTGTCGCTGCTGTGTTGCGTGGGGATCTGTGAGTGCATGTTTTGAGTCTTCTTGCATCGCAGTGTTGTTAGGTGCTGGCCTGGTGCGCGTAGTCTCTTGGTGCGGGTGGGTGCGCTTGCAGACCTTTAAATCACGCTAGCTTGCAGACGTTTCGGCGGGACAAACTCTGTCCCTCGTTTTCCTTGGCAAGTCCATTTGGAACCATCCGCAGGGAGAATTACTGACATTGCTTCATTGGGGTCGGCGGTTTTGTCCTGTCTTTGAGAATATGCAGCGGCGAGGAAGAGCATAAACACGGCCGTACGGTGCCCGTTGTGTCCGTGTGTGAGCAATCTAACTTAACGACAGTAGAGGGGCTTCAGAAACGAGTTTTCGGATTTCCCGTGTGCTGCCCCCCCGGCTACTTTTCAAGAGGAGACGGGCTTGCTACAATTGCTTGCCGTCGGTTTGGAGAGACCTGTGACGTCGGCGAACGGGTGTATGATTACGCAGTGTTGTTCTGCGCATGAGCGGGCGACAGGCTGTTGTTATGGCTTATGGATGATGTGTTTTAGCTCTTTTGATAGCATTGAATGTGGATAGCACATAGGTCAGGATGAGGGAGCTGCTTCCTTGTGTTTTGTGTTCGTTTGTGTTCGTATGTGTCTGGAGGGCTGTATGACTGCAGGATTGTAAACGGTTTTATGTACGACGGAAGTTGTACGTGTTATATCGTGAGCTTGGAGGAGTGCTGCTGCTGTGTGAAATGTGTATGTATAGGATTTGAGTCGAGAATATGTAAATTGTGAATGGATGCTGCATGGATTCTTCGCCCCGAGGAACGTGACAATGAAACAGTTCCAGAACGTGGATCCTGAACGAACGGCATACGACGAACGAACGACGAACACGACACGACGAACGGCATATAGCATTGGTATCTCTCCATTCAGCTCAGGCCTTAATCGTCAACCTGAAGCCAAAGCGGCATATCAGGGAAGGAGGGGAGTGCGTTGGCATCCAAACTAAGGAAACAAAACATGGGCTGTGGTCCAAGGCGCAGCTTTTGGAAGTCGTTAAGCTTTGTAATTATTAGCTTTGTCAAGGCTGCACTACTGTTTCACAACATGCACAACCAGTTCCAGAAGCGGGGGTTGCAGGCGGTAGCAGTAAGTGCTGTAGGTGCAGTCGTTGAGGGTGGAAAAGGGAGAATTTTGATGTCTCGCTTTCTTGCCTGGCACAACACGCATGCAAATTCTTGACCGATGAGGAACGCCGCGAGCAGTGAAGGGGAATCGGCTGGGTTGTATACAGCTCACGACTGGCCCATCCGTTGGGGCGGAGTCCCCGCATTAAGTCGCTAGCTCTTGCACCCGGAATCGTCTATTGACAGCCGTAAACTATAACAGGACACATAGGATACTGCTGAACGGGGACGTCACTTTCATGGGTCGCGTCAGAAGAAAAGTTCGGACTGAAGTTCGGATCCTAGCTCGTACAAGTGTTGCAGTTTCATGCTGTTCGTTAATCGCTTGATGTGACTTTGCATTCGCAGCTGTGCCCCTTGTCTATAACACGGCTTAGAAGGATGGCAGCTCGTTTCCAACCTTGAATTTTACCTCGACTGTATCCTTAGTGCCCTTGTATTTCGTAGCTGCAGTGCGCAGCCAACTTGCTTACTTGCTAGGCGCGAACTATGCTCCTTAATTTCCTGAATAATTGTTTTGCGTATGCTAGCCGTGACTGAAAGCAACGATGGATGCGCTGGCTGGCCTAGGCCGCGGCGCTAAAGTATTTTATCGAAAAGATGCGACGTCATGGCAACAAGCGGAGTTTGTGTCCATCGCTGCGGACGGGCCTGCGACGGTTCAAGTTGGAGCGACCACGCTGACCGTGGCCGCTGACCTTGTGGTCCCAGCTAATCCATCGTTACAGGATGGAATCCCGGACGTTGTGCAGCTATCTTACCTAAACGAGCCAAGCATTCTATACAACCTCGCGCACAGGTAAGGCAAGACCGATCGGGGCAACTGCTATCGTGTCTAGTGGCAGCTATCTTCTAACCAATATCAGTGTACTACAACGTAATCGGAGTTGTTAGGAAGTTGGGCCTAGGCACAGCGGGATACCTCTTTGTGGCGGGCTCCATCCTGCTGACGTGACCGCTTTCATCGCCTGTATGAATTACGACGTTAAGCGGCATGTAACAGCGTTATAGCGGGCGGCGTTGTGCCTATTTTCCCTTACCCCGAGGCTGCGCTTTCCTCGAAACCTGTTGGCCCTAACTGCTTTTATACCCCACACTGCGGGATCCTTTTTACCCCCTCCAAATCAGGTATAATGCAGACAACATCTACACATGGGCAGGGCCGGTGCTCATTGCCCTCAACCCCTGCAAGATGCTCCCCTTGTACACGCCAGAGGTGGCATCAGAGTACAAACGTAAGTAGCTGCTACGGGACGTTGCGTGTCCCCAGTGCAATGTACTCCCCCCCTCAATGCTTGAAAGCCGCACGCCTTTAACCATGTTAGCCCTTGGAAACCGAATTCCCGCTTTGTTGGCTTTGTCCAGGTGTACCGACTCGCCATGCGCAAGTATATGCTCCCTCCCCTTACCCTGGTGCGGATCCTCCTCCTCTAACCACCTACCCGGTCCTCCCTCCCCCTCCTCTGCAGAGGCCTCTCGCGAGTCTGTCACCAATCTCGCCCCGCACATCTACCTGGTGGCGGCTGCGGCATTCAGACAGATGCTGCGCCACAAATGCAGCCAGAGCCTCGTCGTCACCGGGGAGAGCGGCGCTGGTGGGTATTGAGGAGGCTGTAAGCATTACCCATCTGGAGGGCGGGGCGTGGGCTGCACTCCAGTTAGGCTGTACTCGCAGCTAGACGAACGTACGAGCGGCTGACCGCTCTTCAGTGGGGCCTTGTACATGATGCAAATGGGGCTTGGGGGCTAATGGTCTCCCTGATCCGCTACTCGCCAGAAATCCAGTCCGAAGGGAGTTCACCTTTTTCCCGGGTCCCATTGACTGCCCTCATAGAGTGGTACACGATGCCTGTCCGCGTTGCTCCCCTCGCCAGCATCAACAGCACCCGCAAAGGGACTGGGCGCTACTTGGGAAGGAGAGACGCACCACCATATACCGTGCGTTGCCTCCCTTCGGCGTAATCCCATTGTCCACACACTATTTCGCATTCGCGCCATTGCGACTTCGCTGCTTGCTTGCAGGCAAGACGGAGACCACCAAGAAGGCCATGCAGTACTTTGCAACCCTGGCGGGCGGCACGGGCGTGGAGGACCAAGTGCTGGGGGTGAGCGAGGAGGGGTGGTGGTGGTGGGGTGACGGAGGAGTTTGGGGTAGCGGGGATTGAACGGGTGTGTACGTGATCAGCGGCCTGAAGTGCGCGCAAGTGGGCAGAAGGGGGGTGGGTATGCTACAAATGACGGGAGCTCAGGGTGTGGTATGCATGCATCCTGTGCTCCTCTGCGTTCCGTTGGGGCACCTGTGGGAATAGCAGAGTGCTGTTTGGGACGCCCGCGCATGCTGCTGCTTCTGGGTTTGCCGTCAACTATGTCGTCCCGGCGCCGCCTGCAGACCAACCCCATCCTGGAGGCCTTTGGTAACGCCAAGACGCTGCGCAACCACAACAGCTCACGCTTCGGGAAGCTCATCCAGATCCACTTCAACGGCAGCCACCACATCTGCGGCGCCACCATTAAGACCTACCTGCTGGAGAAGAGCAGGGTGGCCATGCAGGTGAAGAAGACGGCGCTGCATGTGTCTACACCTGCATGTGTGCCTGTGCGGCTATGGCTGTGTTCATAAAAATGGCCGCGAGTTTGTTGCCGTGTGTGCACGTTTCTGGTTGTCCACCGCAGCAGGAGGCTGCAAAATAAAAGCGACCCGTCACATGGCAAAGCAGCATCCTAGCGAAAGCCTGCACATCTTGCATGTGTGCGCTTTTCACCCACGTACCTGTCCCACCACCACCACCACCCGCAGCTCAAGGGCGAGCGCTCCTTCCACATCTTCTACCAGCTGGTCCGCGGTGTGACGGAGGAGGAGCGGGCCGCCTTTCTGTTGCCGCAGAAGCCTCAGGATTTCCACTTCCTGTCGCAGGTGCGGGGGGCGGGTGTACATGTCGGTGATGGGTGCTGCGGTGGGTGGCGCAGGCGGCCCTGCATGAGCAGCATGACGGTGAAGCGAGCTAGTTGTCAAACATGCACGTGTTATTATTAGCATTGTGTTGTTGACGTTAGCAGTTGCCGACTCCCAAACACATACACAAGCTTGCTCTTGTTTCCGCTCAACCATACACAAGCAGCTAGTTGGGAGATTCTTGGTCTTGTTGGCGCACCCACCCACCCAACATAGCATCCTACTAACCGGCCCCCTCCACCCCTTCCCAGAGCGGCTGCTACGACATCGCAGGTGTGGACGACGCGGCGGAGTTCCGCACCGTGCGGCGCGCCATGGCGGACGTGGGGGTGGATGCGGCGGCGCAGACCATGCTGTTCCGGCTGCTGAGCGGGCTGCTCTGGCTGGGCAACATCGAGTTCGAGGAGAGCGGCACGGGCGACAGCACCAAGGTGGGTGGGCTGGGCTTAGGCGGCGCGGCATTGCAGGCGTTCTGGGCTTTGTTGGACAAAGAGGATGCACCAGTTTGAAGCTAGGAAGTGGCACAAAAGCCCTATCCCATTCCAATCCCATAGCCCTATCATGTGCGCCCCTCCCACCCAACTGCTTACCGCTCCTGCCTCCCTGCCGCCTTCCCCCCGCGCCCCCGCTCCTCCCCGCCCCCCCCCACAGGTTCGTCAGACCCCCGCGCTGGAGCACTCGGCGGCGCTGCTGGGGGTCTCCCCCGAGGCGCTCATCACCGCCCTCACCACGCGGCGCATCGTGGCGCCCGGGGAGGTGGTCATCAAGCTGCTCAAGGTGCGGGAAGGAAGGAGGGGTTGGGCGGGGGAAGGAGGGAAATGAAGGGAAGGGAAAACGAGCCGCGATGGCGTGGGGTAGGAGGAGGAGAGAGGGAGAGGGCTCAGCTGAGAGAGAGGGTCAGTGCAGACTGCCTGTAGCAGCAGATGGAGGCGCAGAGATGGCACTACACGGCCAATTGGGTAGGAGCCGGTATACGTAAGAACCCGGGCATACGTAAGATGGCTGCGCGCAGCTGCAGGGCATGCTTCAGCACCAGCTGCATCTACTGCTGTCCCTCCTTCGTCCGGCTGCTGTGCTGGATCAACTGGCTGTGATGTCGTCATGATGCAGGTTGGGGACGCGGTGGAGGCGCGGAACTCGCTGGCTAAGGCCATCTACTCGGCCGTCTTCAACTGGATCGTGTCACGCATCAACGCCCGCCTGGGCTCTGGTGCGTCCTTGCGGTTCCCCTGCATGCTCCTCTTCATTGATGAACACGGCGCCCACCCTATCTTGCCATTCCTCCTCAGTTGTCATGCACTCTCCTGCATGCACATTTGGTTTCTCCCGGAACGTGGCCTTGCTTATGGTTTCCTTGCAAGACTAGGACTTACGCGTGCCCCTGCCGACCCATGGGTCACCCCTCGCAGCCAAGGCCACGAGCGGCATGTACATTGCCATCCTGGACATCTACGGCTTTGAGCAGTTTGACCGCAACAGCTTCGAACAGCTCTGCATCAACTATGCCAACGAGCGCCTGCAGCAGCAGGTGCGCTGCCCGGAAACTGTGAACCCAACGCTGGGCCGCCCTATCTGACGCAACTGAGTCGCGGAGAGAAAAGTGACCGTGACCGTAGGTGACGTGACCGTGACAGCAAGGACAAGAGGGAGTACTTCCGCTCACTCCCTCTTCAGCTTATTAGAGCCCAGTGTTTCAACACATTCAACAACGCCCGCTTTCACAGTGCGACTGCTACCCTTCTGTTGCTATGCGCCACCGCTTATGCATGGAGATTGTCCTCGCCTGTTTTCTACATGTTACCCAGTTGACTGGCTTTCGCCCTCCTCCTGCATATCTTCCTGCACCCTTCAACGCCAACCCCCTCCCTCCCGCCCCTCGCCAGTTCACGCATCACCTGTTCAAGCTGGAGCAGACGGAGTACGAGAGCGAGGGGGTGGACTGGACCAAGGTGGAGTTCATTGACAACCAGGACTGCCTGGACGTGTTTGAGCTCATGCCGCCAAGGGTGAGTGGGTGTACGCCTTCTCCGTGGTGGTGCGACAGCATCGGGTAGCGTGTCCCACTGCATGGGCTAGCCCCTCCTTTTGCGTGGGTTTGTGGCTGTTTGGGTTTGGGTACTACCACTGTTAGCTAGGGTAACATGAGTGGTAACATGGAAAGCTGCGCCAAAGGATGCCGTCGTCGTTCGAGCCTCCTTGTCCTAACCTCTGCTGTCCAATCCCCCCCCCCCCGTACCTTCACACCCTCCGCAACCTACTACCCCAACTCTTAACCGGCCCCAACCCATCCGCCATGTCCAAACCCTGTCAATCCATCCTGCCCTCTCCCTGCATCCCATCCCACCCGCAACCGTCACCTGCCACAGGGCCTAGGCATCCTCGCCGTGTTGGACTCGCAGTGCAAGTTCCCGCGTGCCACCGACTCCACGCTACACAACCAGCTGCTGGAGGCACTAGCGCCGCGCTCGCACTTTGGCACCAACCCGCGCGTGCCCGGCAGCTTCATTATCCGGCACTACGCGGGCGCCGTGCAGTACGACACGAATGGGCTGCTGGACAAGAACAAGGACACGCTGAGCGCAGGTGGGCGGGGTGCGGGGCGTTTGTGGTTGTCATGTGGTGTCGTGCGGCAACTGGGGTTGCTGAAGTGCTGCTTGTTGGCATGTGCTGTGTGGACGCATGGGAGTGACGCCGGCAGTAACACTGCTTTGTCCCTTTGGGATTGGGTTCCCATGCGCCTGTCCGCCTTGCCGCCAGACGGCGGCACTGTCATTTCACTGGGCTTCACAGCCTTTGTGCATGCGTGTATGTGCATGCAAAGCACCCATGTCTTCTCCCCTCCTCGTACCCACCACCTTTGCTACCTGTACCTCCTGATCAGCACACCCCTTCCGCCCGGGCTGCTGTCGCAGACCTGATCCAGCTGATGCAGGGCAGCAGCAAGCCGCTGCTGGCTGAGCTGGGCGCGGCGGTGCAGGAGGAGGTCGACCGAAGCAGCAAGAAGGGCCAAACGGTGCGGGTTGGTGCATCTGGCATGGGGCTCGGTGGGCTGTGCATGCGAGGGGCGAATGCTAGCGGCTTTTCGCATGGGCGGCATACTGGTCCCTTTCGCGCCGAGTAGCTGTTGCTTACGTACAGAACGTGGAGCAGCGCTATGTTGAGTACATAACGGCTGCTATCGCATCGTACGTTAGTTGCAACCCCATGCCAACTCAAACCCTTTTATGACACCCCCCCACACACACCCGCAGGTGATCTCCCGCTTCGGCCAGCAGCTCCGCGAGCTGGTTTCGGAGCTGGACACCACGGGGCTGCACTTTGTGCGCTGCATCAAGCCCAATGCGCAGCTGCTGCCCAACAAGATGGACCCCTCGGCCACGCTGCACCAGCTGAGGTACGGGGAGTGAAAGAGAGGAGGAGGGGCTGGAGGGCGTTGGAGCGGGATTAGCGAAAGCCCGCTCTCATCGTCGGTGCTTATTAAACGTTGATACACAATACATACCACGTCGTCAAGCGGGGGTGTTGGCCATTGCGGCGTTTTGCTCTCAAACATGCAACGTCAATGTCCCCGTCTTCACCCCTATCAAAACCGCCCTCCCGCTCCCTGACTGCAGGTGTTGCGGTGTATTGGAGGTGGCTCGTGTGTCAGCCGCCGGCTTCCCCACTCGCTACCGGCTGGAGGACTTTGCCAGCCGCTACAGCGTGCTGCTGCCGCCGGAGGAGCAGCTCAGCCTGGCGCGGCAGCAGAGGGGATCGGACAGCAGACAGGTGGGGGAGGGGCGGGGGCGGAGAACGGGGGTTTGAGGGAGCGAGGCATGTGTTGCACCGGTGGAGGATGGGCGGGGTGTTGCGGGTGGGTCGATGAGGAGCACGTTAGCTTGTAACACGTAACTCGTAGAAACACATGCCGTCTGGCGGCGTCTCGACGCCCTTGGTAGCCACGTATCGGGGCTGTAGCTGCCCTCGCACTCTGCCCTACTTTGCAACTCCGCGGCCGACATCCCCGGTTCCCGGTACCGCCTTACCATGCATCCGAGTCATGCATCAGGAACCGCAACAAAGGTGCAACAGCACATGATGGGGCTAATGGCGTGTGCTGTCCCTGTTCGCAGACCTGTCTGGCCCTGTTGGACAAGTTCGGGCTGAAGCCGGGGCAGTACCAGCTGGGGCGCACCAAGGTGTTCTTCCGACCCGGGGTGCTGGGCCTGGTGGAGGACAGGTGGGGGGGGAGGTTGGGTGTTAGGCACTCAAAAGCCCGATGCCATGTACATGGTCCTTGGACCAAATCCCCACCGGGGTATGGGGGCGGGTTATGCGTTTCTGGTGCCCAGAAGACGGGCAGGGAAGAGCATGCATTTGGATGTACACAAGGGCTTGGAATGTGCCAGCCTCCATAGTAGTACCACCCTGGCCGTACCACCCCGACCGCCTCCTCCCATCCCGCTTCACCCCTGCAGGTGGGCTCGCATGCAGGCGGCTGTGCTGTCGGTGCAGGCCGGCTGGCGCATGTACCGCTGTCGCTCAGCATATCTCAAGCTCCAGGCGGCGGCGGTGCTGTCACAGGTACGTGCGATCCATGGGTCATGAGCACCATGTGTGGTATGCCACACATACACCCCTATTCCCCAATTACACATCCTCCCTCCACCGTTGACCTCCCCACCATTCTCGGCCCTCTCTGCCTGGCCTGCCGCCCCCCCCCCCCCCGCTTCTCCACAGTCCCTCTGGCGTGCCCGCGTGTGCCGGCTGGCCTATGCGGAGCTGCGTCGCCGCCACTCGGCCGCAGTGGTAATGCAGACGGTGTGGCGCATGCACGCGGCGCGCAGCCACTTCCTGCGCGTGCGTGCCGCGGTGGTCACCATCCAGACCAAGGGCTACCGCACCTGGAAGTTCAGTCGCTGGCTATCGCGAGTCATGCAGGTGTGTGTGAGCCGCGGGACGGGGGGGAAGTACGGTACCGTGGTTGCAGAAGCGCAGGAGCGCGTTGAGTTGGGGCGGCCATGCGCGGCATCGCTGCACGGTGTACTATCGTCCGTCCTTCCATGAGAGGGGCAGCCATGCCTTCCATGCCCCTGCACCGCACTGCCCCTGCAACGCACTGTACTCGCGGTTCACATGCGAACCTATCCCAACTGCTTGCCCTTGTTCTACTCAACTACACATCCCCGCCGCACTGCCAGGCTCGTGACCGAGTGGAGTTTGAGGCGGAGGAGGCGCGTGTGAAGCTCAAGGTGGAGGCGGAGTGGTTCTCCGCGCTGCGCAGCGAGTACAGCGTGAGCATGGAGGACGTGCCCACGGCGCTGGCGGCATGGCGGGAGTGCGTCGTTGCGGGTGGGTGGATGGGCGTGGCCGGGTGGCTGGGTTCGGGTGTGGCTTTTGTGTTCGCAAGGGGCGTGTTATGCGTCGTTGGAAGCTTTATTACGCACTAACGCAGAGTTGGGCACGCCTGCGTGGTTGTTAGGCCGTGCCATGTTTGGCATGTACCTCCACGCCCCTAACCAACCCATGTGTGCTGCCCACAGGGGCTTCCAGCCTGGAGACGGTTCGCGAGGCGCTTTCTACCTGGCGCACCGCCGTGGAGAACCCTCACCTGCTGCAAGCACGACACAACCTGCCGCCCGGCCCCGGCGGCATCGTCCAAGTACGGCAGACCCGCAGCGGCTCCGCGCCCGATGTGGCCACCACCGGAGGGGCCCTACCCGCCCTGGGCAGCCCCACGTGGGGCCCTCTGGGTGCGGGTGCTGCGTTCGGGGTGCCGCCGGCTGCGGCGCATGGAGGGCATGCGGCGGGAGCAGTGGGAGGCAGTGGCGGGGAGGCGGGTGCTGTGCCGCCGCCGGTGGTGCGGCCGCCAGTGATGGTGATGACTCCGGCGGTTGTGACACCAGCGGTGGTGAACCGCTTCGAGCTTGCACAAGAGCTGGCCATACAGGTGGGGTGCTGCGTGTGGCGGCCTGGTTTGTTAACGCAGTGGATGGGAGTGTTTGTTTTTGTCGTCCTTTGAGCGGAGGGCTTGATTCCGGATACGTGCTGACTTTTCTTCCGTGGTCGAGGAAGTCCTGACGAGACGGAGATAAGAAACGTCCACTTATTGCTCATCACTGCCAGTTCATGTTACAGCAGGAGGGTCGATCTATGGCCAGCACTCAGATCCCAGCCACCCATCCTATAAGGTGCTTCCTTACAGGATGGGTGGCTGGGATCTGAGTGCTGGCCATAGATCGACCCTCCTGCTGTAACATGAACTGGCCGTGATGAGCAATAAGTGCTGGATACCGCTTATGCACGACTTCCTGTTCCCCTCTCTTCCGTCGCTTTCTGTTCTCTTAAATGCCTAAGCCCGACGAGCTGGGCGTTCTGGCCTCCCAACCGTTCTCGCCTCCCAACCGCTCCTGCCTGCCTGCCCCCAGGTCGAGCGGCTGAACCTGGAGAACGTGAAGCTGCAGAAGCAGCTGCAGCTGGAGCGCAGCCTCACGCAGCGCTACCAGCACAAGTGCGAGGAGCAGAGCGTCAACTGGCTGGAGCAGGTCCGACTGCTGCAGGCGTACATCCAAAAGGTGGGTTGCGCGTGTGGCGTACGTTGCGGCGTGTGGATAGGGCGCAGAGAAGGAGGGGGGATCATGAACATGACAAGGAACAGTCAATGCTGTGGACGTATTGGGCACAACGGAATTGTCGACGGCTTCTTGACCCTTTTCCTTCTGGAAACATTATATGAAGACATATTGTCAGAGCATAGTACCATCTGCAGGAGACCGTCAATGAGTCCTAAACCCATGTCCACCCAAACCCATCACCCCTCTCCCTCCTTGCGGCCCTCCTCCCCTCCCTCACGCAACCACAGTGCCGCTCCATGTTCGGAGACAACCAGCTGCCGCCGCTCCCAAGGCAAGTCGCCGCGCTCACGCAACCCGGCGACGGCCAGCAGCCGCAAGAGGGCGAGCAGGGCGGTGCAAACGCAGCCCTCACCCGTACGGGCTCCATCGGCGCAGTATCTGCCGTACGGGCCTCCCTGGAGCTGCAGCACTCCCTCAACTCCCAAGCCTCCAACACATCCGTCGCCGGCACGCCGCAGAAGCGCTCCTCCCAGCAGCAGCTCCTGCCGCCGCCGTCGCCCAGCGCCGTTGCGCGCGGAACGCAGCACAGCGTTGCGAGCGCGTCGCTAGGCACCCAACACAACGTCCCGAGCGCCAATCTGTCGACGCAAACGGAGCCCAAGCCTCCATGCGCGCAGGAGACCCAGACCGGTCCTGAGCTGCTGCCGCCGCCGCCGCTGCCGCCCAAGCCGGATACAACCAGCAGCACCACGCAGACTCCACCTCCGCCGCCGCCTCCACCGGCACTCACCACATTAACCTCTGCCACGCAAACAGCCCCGCCACCTCTGCCTGTAACGGAAACCGTCGCCACGGAAACCGAGCCCGTGGGGGTGCACACCGTAGCCACAGAGACGGAAGCCCTGGCGTTGGAAGACGTAACGACACCGCGTGAAGCGAGTCCCGGCAGCGGTACGGCAGCTGGCGGCCCGCGGCCCGTGTCGGCTTTCGCCACCCCTGCCGCCGGGGAGCAGCTGGCGGCGGTTCTGAACTCCCCCACGCACTCCACCCAGTCCGTGGAGCCGCCGCCCTCCTCCGTGGGCATGCAGTCTAGCTCGGCTGTGGGTAGCGACGTGCCCCGAGGCGTGCCGCATGCGGGGGCTGCTATCCAGCGTGGGGGGGCGCATGCAGCGGCGGTGGCGCCGGCTCCGGCCAACGCCAGTCAGCGCTACGTGGCGAAGCTTGGAGAGGAGCTAGAACGCGTCATGCAGGGTAAGGACGGCAGTTGCGCAGATGGCACGAGTCTTACAGTACACTTTGTTTACAAGCTTTAGTTGTGTGCATGCAGCCCTTTCTCTTCACTACTTTTTCCCGCCCCCACCTGTTCCCACCTAGTTCAATGCCCTAAGACGCTAAGAGACCCCCCGCCTGCCTGCGCACCCCCCTCTCCCGCGGCCTCCCAACAGTGCTCCCGGACGACGTATCCTTCATCCGGGAGGTGCACGAGGGGCAGGTGACCGCACCCGAGATGGACCCCGGCGTGGAGCTGTTCAAACTCAAGAAGAAGTTCGACGTGTGGAAGCGCGAGTTCAAGGAGAAGCTGCGAACCACGGGTCAGTGCATGCAAGGAAGGGAAAGGGTAACCCTCTTTATGCCTGTCATAACTTCGCATATTTTAGCGGTTATGACGTCATGAGCATTCGCAGGCTTCTTCTTCCATCAACCCCTTAACATTTTCCTTGCATGAAACTCTACTATCCCTTTAGCTATGCGCCTCTTTTGCTGGCTGCTTAACGCTTGTTCCCGACTCCGCCCGCAGAGGAGGTGCTCCGCAAGATCGAGATGATGGAGGGACGCAGCTCCGCCCACAACGACCCCCTGCGCCCCAGCCAGTCCGTACGCGTCACCGCGCCGCCCGTCCCCGTCACGGTGCGGCCCGTCACGGTGCCCGCCTCGCATCCCGCGCAGCCACACCCGCATCACCACCACCTGCAGCAGCAACACCCGCGCCCCGGCTCGCCGTCCGTGGACCCGTATGGGGGCGGCAGCGCTAACGGCGGTGCGGCGTCGCGTAAGAAGGGGGCCGGCAGCTCCAAGTTGCTCAACAAGCTGTTCAATAACCCGCGATGAGGGCGGTCCTGGGGGTTGCACGCTGGGAAGGGAGGGCTTGGGTTGGGTGGGGGTTAGAAAGGCACGAGGTAAAGCAGGGCCTGCACATCAGGCGGGATTTATTGGCTCGGGGCGTCTGGAGAGAGTCTGCTTTGACGTGGTACCGTCGTGGTGGTGATTGCTATCCTTGTTAATTGGGACTTTGTGAATGACTTGGGAGGGTTGCAGCGGCAAGGCGCAGACGCCATGGCCTGCAGGCTAGGATGTGCTTTTGTTGCAAATCAGTGCTCTTGTTCGGCCAGTTACTGCAAGAGTGGGAAGTGCGGCGTGGGAAATGACTTAACAGAAGGTGGCTGGGTTATGGGGATGTAGTCCTAGGTAGTGAACGAGACATGGTATTGTGCTTAGCTTAGTTTGTGACGCACTTAAGTATGTCTCGGCATGCTAAGCGGGGTTGCTGTACCCCATGTACGTATGCGCATGTGAAGGTATGACATCCGGCATGGTCGTGTGTCGCGTGCAGCGTGGTGAGGTTGTTTTCTCTTGTGTGTCGCTTCGGCGATATTTCAGTGCTCGCAGTGGTTAGAAACTGTGGTACAGGCATGGACTTCTACAGGTTGGGACACATTCAACCGTCTAGTCTTCATTTGTCGTGGAGGGCATAAAAGTGAACGACCGGGTGGACAGGTCTGGCAGCGGGCAGTCAATGTACACGTGTCTGTAACATGTAAGCATCCAAGAACCACATCCAAGTTCCCCAAACGTGCGACAAGCCAGCCATGCACCTTCAGGCCAAAGCCCAGTCCTTGATGTAGTAGTCACGCTCGCCCACAATATAATGCAAGCAGAGGAATACGTCAAAAGTTTTCTTGTCGAGGTCAAATCGTTCATACTTCGGTTGCATACTGACACCCAAGTCAGCAAACACAGCGGCGTGCACTGCATGTACGCAAAGAATGGCCCTGCTTATCACAGGAGGACCCGCTCATGCCCTTTTTCGCCGTGACAGGAGCGAAATAGTGCCCCCAAATGCACTCAATGCAGGAGCTCTTCCCGCAGCGCAATGATGACTGCAAGGAACGGTCAAATCCGGCAGCAGCAGTACATCATAACTCGACAGCAGCGGCCACGAATCCTGCAAGGGCCTGCCACAGCGCTTCAGGAGCCTCTGAACAGGACGCACTGCGCCATGTTGGCATGCATCTGCCGCATCGTGTTAGAACCCTCAGCGGCACACCTGCAGACAAGCCGCGAAAGCATGGCCGTTGCTCGCAGCTGCGCCTGTGCTAGCCTGTCGAGACGAATGACATGGCTAAGCCGTGAACGAACGCTAGTACGGATGGCGCCGCAACCCGAGCTTCTCGTTGACTCGCTCCATCTCGTCACACGACTCCAGCTTCATCGCACGCGCCTGCGCAAGTCGGCACAAGCCAGGCGAAGGACTCAGGGCTAGACATGACACCGGGTAGGTGTAGTGCAAGGACGATGGGACGGGGACTAAGCTCTTGTCATCGCGCCACATGCAGGTGACCCGGGTATCATTAAGCCGCCACGCAGCCTACGGTGCATGCAAAGGCACTGCACGCCGCGGACACGGAAAACAAAAGCTCCCCACGGGACTGGATGGGGCAGACCAGCCGTCCACCATCGGCGGCCCCGCGGCTGCCATGTCATGCGGCTGGTGCCGTACACCGTACCACACGGCACCCCTTTCCGCACCCAAGCCCGCCTCCCTGGCTCTACCCGCCCTCCGCTCCCACCTGCTCTCGGTTGCCCCAGCTCCAAGCCCTGTGTCGCATGAGCCGCTCCTGCTGACACTTGGCCTCCAGCCGCTCGTAGTAGGCGCTCTCAACCTGCAACGACAGCAGCAGCGGCGGGTGTAGCAGCAGCGTGGTTGAATCATCAGCTAGGAAAGCCGCAGTAAATTCGGCAAACAAGCAGCAATCTACAAACCCAGCGGCAACTGGTGGATGGCGCCGAGTGGTGGTTGCAGTACGTACGAACCGTCGAAGCGCATTCCAACCACAAACCAACGTCTTTAGGAAACCGCACGCGAACCAGCCAGGCGTCCCCGACTCCCCGTCCCATGCTCCCATGCCCTGCCCAGCCCGCACCGCCCCACCTGCCGCTCCAGTCTGTGCCTCGCGCCGCCTCCTAGCGGGTAGGAGCGCTCCAGCTCGCCCACGCTCTTCACGTAGAAGGGGATGGACAGGCGTACGGTGCGCAGCTCCACGCGGTAGGAGCTGTCCTGCACCAGGCTGTACGGCGGAGACTGGCTGCCTGCAATTGTACGGCAGGAAAATACGGCGCCAAACCCGCTTGTTGTTGTTTTGAGCCCACTATATGCGTGCTGTACCAACTGTTAGATAGGACATAATGAGAGAGAAGCCGCATGTGCAGCAGAGGTTGCAGTAGCCATTCAGCAGCCCAGGCCCCTGTAAGCAATGATGTACGACATGAACCGTTGTGGTTGCAGAGGGCTCACTTTGGAAGAAGGTGAAGACGACGATGAGGACGATGGGCATCAGCTGCAGCAGCCCGAGCATGGCCGCACGCTGCTGCTGCTCCGCGCCCCCGCCGCCGCCGTTCCCGCTGGTGTGACCGCCGCTGTTTGCACCCTGCGAGCTTTGCGGTTGGTGGCGCCGCTGTGGAGAGTACAAGGTAACGAAAAAGCAAAGCAAACCACCAGAGTTCCGTTAGCGGGAGGGAGCTAGCTGAGGGCGTGCATTCAAAATTGAGTACAAGCGACACAACGGTGGGACGGTGGCCTTTAAGCTGCAAATGGATGAGCACGTAAAGCGGATACAGCAGCGATGCAGCAGCAGCAGCAGCGGGTACACGTTCGTGGGCAAGGCGAGGATAGATAGACAACAAGGTAAGCAGTCTACATGCAAGCCACGGGAATGCAGGCGACTCAACGAAGCAGCAACCCTTGCAAACCACCTTCCCGCCCCCCTTTGCTTCGCATCTGCCCTCGCAGCCACCAAGCAGTCCTCACGCGTCCCACCTGTCGCGGCACCCCGCCAAACTGCGCCCGGAAGTGCGGGCCGGCGAAGCCACCCCTGCAAGGAGCAGCAACATCAACAGCTGCTTAGCAATTCGAAGTTAAAAGAGAGGGTATACAAGAACAGAACTGTGTAGGGCGGCTTAGGCAACTCTACAGACGCACTAAAGCGTGTACTATACTAGCTGTAACTGTAAACCTACAGACACGCGAGCCGCTGCTGCTCCGTGCCCCACTACTGCAACCTCACACCGCATGGGGTGGTTGAGAGAGTGTCGACCTCACTCAATCGTGGCCAAGCCGGCCAGCCACCCCAACCCCAACCCCATTACAGCAAAACGGAATTGGAAACGCACAGCCCTTGACCCAGATGCGCGCTCAGCAGCCGCAGCCGCAGCAGCAAGGAGGCTGGCAACCCGGACGTGCCGGCTGCTGGCCCAGATGCCCACAACACGACACAACACAACACAACACAACACAAGGGCCACATGCTCCCATCCCCGCTAGCACCCAGCCCCATGCTGCCGCTACGGTTAAGGTTGGCAAGCCTGCGACAATGTGGGTCTTCTGCACCTGGATGCTACCTCGCAACCTCCTCAGCACAATACCAAGCGCACCCCCAACACACGCAACACGCCGCACGCACCCGAAGAACATGTTGAATATCTCCTCCGGGTCGAACTCCTCCGCCGAGGAGGTGTAGTAGGTGTAGCCGCTGGGCCCCGCACCGCCGCCGCCCCGCTGCGCCGCCGCTGCTGCTGCCGCCTGACGTGTGGGTGGGAGCGAGAGCGGGAGCCGCAGCGGGTGAGTGCGATAGAGAAGGGGAATGGAAAGGAAGGGCAGAGAGAGGAACCATCAGCCGTCATGAGCCCCATTTACTGGCCCAGATGCATTGAAAGAGTACATGGGGGAGCAGCAGCATCGAGACGTACACGGGGCGCGTTGAACCGTTGACAGCAGGGTGACAAGTGTTCGGAGTGAATCCAACTTGAGCCCCAAACACCGTCAAGGGCATTAACGCCCAACCAAACCTAAACCCAACATCCCTAATCCCTGGGCCCCGGCCGGACAGAGACCCACATGGGTGGTCCCTTCCCACCTCCCCCTCTCACCGCCGAACTGCTCTCGTAGCCCGTGCGGTCATAGTACGCCCGCTTGTCGGCATCTGACAGGCAGTTGAAGGCGCGCGACACCGCCTTGAACGCCTCGTCGCTGCGGAGCGCCCTGTTCTTGTCGGGGTGCAGCTTCAGAGCGAGCTGTGTACGACAGGAAAGGGAGGGCAGTACGACACCGATGTACGGAAATGTGGATTTAGAAGCCTGAGGGGATGGTGGAGGCGTATCGCACCCTAGGACCCGGGGCCGGTAAGGATAGAACCTCGCCTTCCCTACTGGATTTACCGGTACGGCATTATACTGCTGCTGTCCTGGTGCATCAGTACCGCTATACTCTCACCTTGCGGTATGCCTTCTTGATGTCATCGTCCGTCGCGTCCTTCTTCAGTCCTAACGTGTCGTAGTAGTCCTTGGCTCGGAGCACCTGCGCCACCAGCTCCCGCTGCTCGGGGGTTCCCTGGAGGGAACGGGAGCAGGGAAGACGGAGAGAGGCGGCCACGGATGGGGGGCGAAGTCTTGCATGGCTCTTTGGGTTCTGGCAGAGTATGAGAAAACGAGTACTGGACCCGATCCTAGGGAAGAGGAAAGATATCCTTGTGAGGATACCAGTCTCAGGTGACGAGTATCAGGGCCGGTGTTTAGTAGGCTGCAGGACACTGAAACCCGCCAAGCTAGGATTTGGCCAGCAGTGGATCCCGCGCCCATCGTCAACGTGAAAGACTCACCGGGTCCTCAACAGGCGCAGCAGCCTTTGCTACCCTTGTTGGCTTGGGCGGCAGGTTTGGCCCCGCATCAGCTTGCCGGCTAGAGGTGTGGGCATGGTGTCTGCTGTGGCCATGACCGTTGGCATGCGCATGGTGCTGATGGGAGCCGCTTGTGCTTGGCCCCCCTGGCGATGGTGCCTGCTTTGCCGCCTTAGCACTTTCCAGCGCTTCCAATACGGACTGAGCCTGTGGCATAACAAAGTATGCAAGCTGGTTCAGAGCTGCCCAATAGGATCCGCGTGCGATGTGTTCGCCTCCAGAACAATTAAAGCGGCAGGTTCTTGTTTCTGCCCACCTCAACGCTAGCATAAAGTCGCTGCGCCTTTTTTGCAAACTTTTCAGCTTTCTCAAGCTGGTCTAACGCAATGCACTGCCTGGCTATTGCTAAACATTTCCTTGCTTCGTCTTTGTTAGCTTCAGTCATATTGAAGGGCTGCACACCGTATGAGTGGTTATAGGTATATGAGCAACTATGCACACAGTGCAGAGCCTATGTCTGAGATGAAACAATATTTGGAATACGCGCCCCCAACACCATTTCACTAATGCTCTCCTCTACTTTCCTTAGGAAGTCGCTTAAGGAGGAAATGGCCGGTTGAGTACGGCAACACCGTGCGACGTTACCCTGGCAGCGGGAGGCAGCCTGGTTTACCTTGTACGTCAAGCCTGTACAATTCCATGAAACGCTAAACAAACTTAGTGAGGAAGTTAAGTTTAAAGCCAACACAATACAATACACCGCATTCCAGCACTTCATGGTTACCGGTACTCGGACACGCTCCAACGCCCTCGGCGCAATCCGCGAACGCAGAGGCAGAACCGTGTCCCCCTGCCAGCGCTGGGGCCCTCGCCGTCTCCAACATCGAACATGAATTACAGCTAACAGAGCAGTCGACTACTGGGCCCGCTTCCTTCGCCTTTTCCCTCCTAGCAGGAACACCCAGGTGAGGCCCGTTGGCCATGATGCCATCGCTGCAGAAGCTAGGACGCCAAGTATGCGACTGCAGCATCCAATCTTTCGTTTCGCAGGAAGGGGGGAGGCCACATCCTCTTAGGTTTGTATCCTTGTGCATGCCTGCTGCCTGCTTTCGCAGCATTTCCTCCAGGGGAGCCCTCCGGCCCTTGGTTTAGCAAAGGTAGCCAGTAAGCCTTACAAGCAGGCCTTGGCGCTACGTACTATGAAGACCCGCTGGTTTGGTGGGCAACCGCAGCGCGTTAGGGGTAGGTTTGTACGGCAATGGCGTGCGCCGGCCCATGCTGTGTACGGCAAGCGAGCAAGTCCCATGGCATAAAGGCACAGCTGCAGTGCTAAGGGTCTACGTAATGTATTGAATGTGTATGTCGCGTGGATATGAAAGCAAACGTTGCTAGGTTGCAACTATCTGGGAGTCGTGGCACGTGCGAACGTTTGAGCTTATAGGGGTCTGTTAAGAAAACTGGCCGCGAGTGGTGAGTCGGAACGTACTGTGATTGCCGGCAGATGAAGTCCTCACAGAACGCCACAGGAGCTGAGGAGTATGGTGGCGTATGTAGAAATTCAAGTCCAGTAATGGTCCTGGTAGTAAGTAGGGAGGGGTCTGTGTGTGCTGCAGTGCGATTGTCATAGCACAAGCCATGGCCCTGATGCGCATAGCAAGTATGAAATGAGGGGTACGTAATCTGTAGCCTGATGTAGCCTGCTAGCACCTCGGGATGCTGTACTCTTTTTGCAAACACAGACGGGCTTGTCCGAAGCCTTGAGGGGAGAGGAGAGGGCCAAATCCCTAAATGGAGGGTTTGGGATACGCGGTAGGTGGCGCTTCTGGAATGGACGTTAACATGTAGTAGTGGGTCCTGTGCCAACGGTTGTTATCCTGTAACGGTTGGTGTTCCGGGAGTCCCTCTTAGGTAGAAAGCGTAGGGGGCAAGCCTTCTTCCCTAATAGACATGAAACTGATCTTGCACACATTTTAGCTGAGTTGAGTGAGTTGTTACAAGCTGTAAGGCTCGTAAGGCCCAGACGAGCCACGAGGCTCATGGACATTTTAGCTGGATCGGTGTCGTTACGTTGTCGTACGTCCACAAGCGTCACATCATCAACCGCAACAGCCACTAGGCTGCGATTCACTGCATTGCTATTAGCACAATTGCTGATACGTTTATTGTAACAATTCCTCAGCGTTTCCCACGATGTTGGGATTGACCAGTATTGTTGTCCTGCTTTCGGTTACTTTAGCTTCGTCTCAACCAGTAGATATAAATGCCCAGAAGGGTCAATACTGGGGCGAGAAGGGCCTCGCAAACCCTTCTCGCAGGCTACGTGAAATAGCAGATTTCGCGCTGCTTTACTTCAACGCAACTACTGAATTTCGCGCGGTGCTGTTATTCACTATTGCAACCCCAGCAAGCAAGGATAATGTCTTACCACGCCTTTTGGAGAACTTGGCGTCCTTCAAATCTCATGATCAAGTGGATACGAACGGGAATGACGCTACTAGCCTTGCGGAGCATACTATTGTTGGGACAACGAATATGGACACGCAACATGCCTGTGATAAGCTAGCTGAGAAGCACCGTCAGGTGAGCAACCTGCCAACTGTTGCACGGGCGCTAGCTTCATGTCTAAAGGCCGTCTCCTGCCCCTCACACTTTTTTGTTAATAACGCGTTAATTGGGGTTGTCATCAAGGGCTACTGAACGGGTCAGGGCACGGGGCTGCCTAAAGGGCTCCGAATTGCTGTTGAGGCGAGCACAGAGCAGGAGATCTCAGTATCCCCTCAGCCTATGCGCCATTAACGCTCGACATGTCCCACCACACTTCCTCCCCTCTGTACATGGCAATTGCCGTACACACAACCCAATGCCTTTGTCCGTACTCTCTGAACCCTTGCATTCCCCTTTCCTTCAAATCCACTATCACACCACACAACGGATTCTCTTCTTTTCCTTAAAAACCCCTCCAAACTCCTCAAATCCTGCAGAAATGCTATGAGCTGGATCACGGTTTCAACCAGGGAGCGCAGGGCCTGTTGTCAGCCGCCAACAGCAAGGTGCACGCCTACTCGGTGGGGCTCAGCCGCATCAAGGCGCTCATCGACCTCATCTCAATGGGTGCGTTGGGGGGGGGACTCCCTGCTTGATGCACGGCGTGTGGGGGTGTGGACGCTTTGCCTTAGCGACTAGCGTGGGAGCGGGATGAAGGGGTTGAGAAATGAATCCTGTTTCAACACTTGTTAGCAGATAAGCGGGTAGCGCGTGTTGCCATACGTTATGCCGAGGGAGGACGGGGCGAGCGCATGCATGTACGTTTTGTCATGAGGAGCGGACCCAACCGCAGCGTGGCGAGCCCCCCCGTCTCCTTTCCTAACCTCTTTAGCACTACGGACCTCTTACGTTGGCCACGTACTTCAACCACACCCTTTCTCCCTCCTTCCAAATCCTTCCACCCGCTGCCTCTCTCCATCCCAACTCCCCATATCAACCCCTATCCCTTCCATTGTCCCTCCCTCCCTCACGGCCCTAGGACCAATTATTTATCGCTCAAAAAGCGATCTATTGCTCAAAAGAAAAACACTGCCCCACACATGGTTTTCTCACGGCTCGCTTTACCTAATCCCCAACACCTCCCCACACCTCCCCACCATTCCAGCCTAATGCAGAATATGTATCCCTACCAATCGCCCCCCCCCCACCTCCCCACCCCAGGCTACGACGTCCTCTACTTCGACCTGCACCACTACTTCTTCCAGAACCCGCTCAAGTACATGTACTCCCACACGCGCGCCCCCCTGGTGGTCTCCGGCACCCCCTCCAGCGGCTGCCGGCAGCTGCAGTCCGGCCCCGACGGCTCCCTGCCCGACGACCACCACCGGCTGGACATTGCCTTCATGCGCAGCGGCCCCGCCGCCTTCCGCTGCATGTACAACTGGCTGTACTGGAGCACGCACACGGCGCACGACGTGAACGACCGGCCGCTGGACCACCACACCTTCCGCAACGTGATGCAGGTGGGGCGGGGGGGTGGGGGGTGACAGGGGTGAGGACGCATGCCGCGCCGTGCGTGGGATGGTGTCGGGGAGCTAGGTAACCAGCTCCTGGGGGGGGGAGAGGACAGGGGGCGGGGTACGGGTGGGGGTAAAAGGTACACAGTAGGGAGAGGAGGCGACGGGTGCCACGAAACAAGGGAGGGTTGGCAGGGTGGAGGGAGGCGTTAGGGAGGGATAGAGGAGGTGTTACGGTTACAGGCTGTACGCGTGGATATGTGGGCTAGCTGTGCGGGCTAGGATAACCGGCTGCCTAGGGTTGAGGGGGGATGCGCACGAAGACGTTAGGATACACGAGGGATGCCGTGAGCTGGGCGGACCTGCAGAACACCTAAATCACGTCTTCCCCGTCGGCGCCTCCCCCTTCCCTTCACCCCCTCACCCCCTTCACACACACCCGCTCAACTACACCCCCCCTCCCCTCCCCTCCCCCCCTCCCCCCTCCCCCCCAGGAGTGCGTGCTGTCCCTGGGCAAGCAGGTCATGTCGGTGGAGTACCTGAGCCCCGCCGCCTTCCCCTCCGAGTGCGCCACCAAGTGCGGCTGCAGGGCGGACAACCCCGTGCAGCCGGCGCCGGACGGCAGCTGCAGCAAGGTGGGGGGGAGCGGAGGGAGGGGGAGGGGAAGAGAGGGAACGGGGAGGGGAGGGGGAAGGTTGGAGTGGGGGAAAAAGGTTGCCTGGGTTGCTGCGGCCGCTGCTCGCCGGATCGGGGGATAGCGAGCTATGGCAGCGGCAAGTGGCGGGAGGAGTAGAGCCGGGTGGGATGGGAACGAATGTAGGGGATGTGAGTGCATAGGTCGGCGGTTGGCGGGGCATTATACGATGAGGGGCATACAGGGGGTGGGGTACCGATGGGAGATTGAGGGACCTAATCTAGGAAGCCGGGCACGCGGTTGTAGGTTTAGGAGAGGGGCAGTAGCTTGAAGCTGTGTTGAGGACCTGTGCTTGTACACCGGTAGCTAACAGCTGTCCACAGCTGCCAACCCTCCCTTCCTCTTCCTGCTCCTCACCGTCACTCCCTCGTTCCCTCATCGTCGGTTTTCAGTCTACCTCCAAACCTTCCCCAAGTGTAAACGGCCTTCCTTTTCCACTTCAACTCCGTCCCCCTACACCACCATACGACCAACCGCAATCCAAAGGTCCTGCCGACTATACGGAATCTATTATTCCCCTGCTTGTCTGTGCCTGTGCGGATATCCGCCTCTTCCTCTCCCCTCCAGTTCGTCAGTTTTCCTTATTTTTACCTCACCCCAAACCCCCTCCCTCCGCTCCCTCCCCCGCCAGGACGACATGTCCAGCTGGGTGGGCTACCTGTTCTCATGCACCCCCAACCCGGCCGACCTGGACGCACTGCTGCTCAAGTACGGCACCATGTACCGCAACGCAGGGATCGTCAGCACGCGCTAGGTGGTGAAGATGAATGAGTGAGTGGAGAGAGAGTGGTGGTGACCCATGGGTCATGCAGTCAGCAGTCGGATTCAACAATCGTACTCCGGGGCATGTGGCTGGTCTGCTGGTGATTACACATGTCGCAGTGTGGGGTTTGCCAGCACGAGCTGTCGGTGATGGATAGGTATAGGGTAGATGTGAGTGTCCGTGACCCATGGGTCGCGTTCGGCCGTTGCTTTAAAATTTATGGACGGCCTGCTAATTTCTGTGAGCAGTAACGCATATTGCAATGCTGGGTTGCAGGGTATGAAGTGAGAATGAGATAGGGAATTAGGGATTGGTTTATGCTAGGAAGAGGAAGTAAGTCAAGAGCGCGGGGAGGGCTTTGTGTGCAAGAGAGCGCGCTTACGGACAGCACGTGATGGGTCGCTGATTATGATTTTGCCCCTTGCCCTTGCTGCAACCAACGCCGCTACGCTTGCAGCCGTCGTACGTCCTGAGCCAATGCGTCCCTCGTGGTCCTTGTTCTAGTGAGAGCTTATCGTTTGATGACCACCCCGGGCTGAGCTTCATGCTATGCCGTAAGTGTGCGTGACCTCCACACAGTCTGAAGTAGTCCTGTAGTAGCGCATGTGTACGGATCCATCTGTTTGTGATTCTGTTGTACCTTACCAGTCATACGGCTCCTGCCTGCTCGTACCATTGTTTTGCTGGCCCCCGGTGGTAGCGCCCTGTCGCGAGTGCGGAACTGAAGGATGTACGACAGCATGCTAGGGCAACCCATTGTGATCAGAGCTTGTTCAGGGTTTGGGTTATGGACCAGGATTTGGGTCTGCCTTGTACAGCTTGCGATGGACTTTTCTATATCTACATCAATGACTTCCTCCTCTCTAGTGGCGTGCCTAGCTACGTATGCCAGCTGCCTGTTATGGGAATGCCATGGACGAGTGGGAGCGGCAGGGAGTCGTAAAATTCACAATCGTGCATGCTAGCCACCTGCCTTGAAGGCAGTCACTCAGGTGCGAGAACGGATTCCAGGGGCGCTGTCCTCCTTGCGACTCGGGATAATCGGCTAGAAGGGTGTCGAAACCACGATGACTATGAAAATCCGCCATTGACAGCCGTTAAAGTTCCTTTGTAAGGTGGTGTGCTTGTGACAGCTTGGCAGCCGTCGATAACTGCGAAGTTACTTGGTAGAGGACTGACGGAACAATGTGTTGCAATCCTCGGGAGGTTAGTTGTGCAAGGGCGACCTGCAGGGGACCTATGGAATTGAGAGCGGCGCGTAGCAACAATATGCTTGGGGGAAATGGTTTAGTGCCTGCTTTAGCGTTTGCAAGGTAGCAACCAACGGCAGCACACTGGATGGACAGCGGGCGGTAATGTTGGCACCGATCAGCAAGGAAAACATCAAAATTTTCACCAAAACACGTTGTATTACGGCAAATGCAGTGCGATCCGGTGTTTCGCGTTCGGGCCGCGGGAAGGAGGGCCTCCGAAACCATGGAAGGGCCGCGCCAGAATGCCGCTCGCAAGCTATCGCCTACGTTTCTGTTTCGCAAGTAGAGATTTTTACCTCTTAACAATCGTAGGCTATACCTAGCACAGTACAGCACGCGTCACCGAAGTGCTTTGGGGTCTAAGCATTTCCCGCTTCTTAGTATCTTTCTACTGTTTGAGTGCTTACAACAATAATTTAACATGGCGGTGAGCCTTGGAGTTGTTATAGCTGCGTAGCCGAACCTGATCGGAGTTTCTTTTCTGGCGGCCGAGCTTGATCCGTGGATGTTTATGTGCACTGCAGATGTCACAGCAGTCAGGCATATTGCAGCATGGAGCAACGGAGGAGCGCGGAGAAAATGCCCGCATGGTGGGATTGCGAAGCGCGGGAACCGTCGAAGTATGGGCGCAGCGATCAGAAACTAACACATGTGTGATTATGCAGGCTTCATTTGTTGGAGCTGTCGCTGTGGCGGACTTGGTGAAGTCGACGCTGGGACCTAAGGGCATGGTGGGTCAGATCTATGACATTCGGCCAACAGGGCTCGCCCCCGCAGCACGTCTAACTCCTGCATGACGCCGGTATGCACAGGATAAAATTCTTCAAAGCATGAGCCGGGGTCAGGATGTGACGATTACGAATGATGGTGCAACCATCCTGAAGGCCATCTACGTGGACAACCCAGCGGCTAAGGTGCTTGTGGGTAAGTTGCCACCCACGACAGTTGAGCGAAACTCTACAGGTTCCATGCCCTCTACGATCACTAGCTGGTTCGAGGGGTTCGCAGGTCTGCTCTCCCCTTGCCCTGACTTGGATCACTCTGCAACACAGCCTGTCGTTCACATGAGCCAGAGCCCTCCCTCCCCTCCCCATGTTGTTGCACCCACTGCATGAGTCGGGGACAGGACATTGGCGTTCCAGTGCTTCACTTCTCAATCCATTTCTTTCCTCTCCCTCCTCCCCATCGTGAAGCCTTACCACGCGGTTAAATCAGTTGCCTCCTCTCCCTCCCTCTCCCTGCCTCCGCCCTCCTCCTCCTGCCTCCCTCCTCCCTCCTCGCCCCCCAGACATCAGCAAGGTGCAGGACGACGAGGTGGGCGACGGCACCACCAGCGTGGTGGTGTTTGCTGGCGAGCTGCTGCGGGAGGCGGAGCAGCTGGTCAACCAGAAGGTGCACCCCATGACCATCATCGCGGGTACGGCAGGGGGAGGTGGGGCGTGTCAAGGAAACGGGTGTGTGTCGTACGATCCAACTGCTGTGCTGCGGGCGTGGCTGTCGTACAACTATAATTCATCCCGTTTCCTAGTTCTAACGGGGCATATAGAGCAGCAGCAAAGCAGCAGCAGGGAGGGAGGGAGGAACGGGCGGGGAAGCTGGGCTGTCGCCCCATGGTGCACCCAAACGATCTTTGTGGGTAGGAAAAAAGCGGTTGGGAGGCGGAGCTGGGCTTCACGGGGGTCCACCGGAGGGTTCATGGGAGTTGAAACGGGTGACAGGGGACGGGGCGGCGGGGCTCCTCTAGGACAGAGGAGGGGCCCGATGCGTCCCCTGACAGCGGCAGGGGCGCTGGGGGCGGGATACTGTTTTCCCAACCCTGGGCTACACGGTCCTGGAGCCAGTCCATCCGCCCGTCCATCAACCCTAGTGTACGTAATCCGAGCTCCCTCCCCCCTCTTCCCTCCCCCCCTCACCTCCCCCCCAGGCTACCGTGAGGCATGCGACTGCGCGCGTGCCGTGCTGGAGTCGGGCGCCTTCAACCACCAGGCCGACCCCGAGCTCTTCCGCCGCGACCTGCTCAACATCGCCAAGACCACCCTGTCCTCCAAGATCCTCACAGTGGTGGGTGGGAGCCACGCGGAGCCACTGACTGCCATGACTTGCTGTGAACGGACAGGCCTAGCGGTGGAGGGGGAACTCCTATCCTGCCCTTTACTTCGTTACGGTGGGGGGCCTCTAATGGGCAGGCGGAGCAAGGGTGGGGGTGAAGAGGCACGAACCGTACGACAAGGCTGTGGGTGGGGGCGGGTATGAGAGATGAGTGTGGTTGGGGTTGGGCAGGAACATGGGAAATGACATAACCTCCCTCCTCCACTCTCCCTCTCCCTCCCTCCGCCACCCAATCCTGCATGCTAGCTCCTGTGGAGTACCCCCCCTCCCCGTAACCCCCCTCCCCCCTACCCCCCCCACAGGACAAGGAGCACTTTGCCAATCTGGCGGTGGACGCCATCATGCGGCTCAAGGTGGGGGCGGGGGTCAAAGACCGTACCGAACCATGGGAAACCACAGGTTGGGCAAAACAATAGCAGATAAGAGCGGCGGCAGGGTGCCACATGAACACAAGATGAGCGGGGCCCATGTGGAAGTATGTGATTGCACTGGCGGCAGGAGGGTGTGTGGAAGGGGGTGTGGGGTGGAGAGCGCATGGGAGGGAGGTGTACATGCCCGCATCATACGGTCGGCTCTAGGTGCGAGGTTGCATGGAGGCCTAAACAGGAACTAACTCCCCGTGTGACACCCGCGTGACATACCATGTGCATGAAAGTGGAGGGGTGGGCGCGAGGTTGCATGAAAGGCGGGGGTGTAATGATACGCATGTGCTGTGGGGCACTTGGAGGGCTGGGGTGGTAAAGAGGAAACATCTAACTGACCGTGTGATAAGGCATCATCATGGAGGGCTGGGGTGGGGGTGCATGGGCACACGTGTTGCGGCCCATGTGACCCAAGTCCCCCTGCCCTCCCTCCCCCTCCCTCCCCCCCCTCCCGCTGTCACACAACACATCGGATAAATTTCTCCCCCCCTCCTCCCTTCCCCCTGGTCAGGGTCAGTGTTTCCGCGGCTCAGTTTATCTAATTCCCCTGCCTTCCCTCCCCCTCTTCCCCCTCCCAGGGCAGCGGCAACCTGGAGGCCATCCACATCATCAAGAAGACGGGCGGCACGCTGCAGGAGAGCTTCCTGGACGAGGGCTTCATCCTGGACAAGAAGATCGGGGTGGGGCAGCCCAAGCGCATCGAGAACGCGCGCATCCTGGTCGCCAACACGCCCATGGACACCGACAAGATCAAGATCTACGGAGCGCGGGTGCGGGTGGACAGCATGCAAAAGGTGAGGGGGGTGGGGCGGGGGGGGGGTTGCATGCCAGGTCTGGGTTGGGTGTGTGTGGTGGTGCACGGCCCGTGCGGAGGGGGCCCATGTGGGTTGCCGTCATGGAGACCCATGCCTGGTGTCGAGACCAATACCCTTGTGCCCATGCAGCCCCTGCATGTTGCCCATGCAGCCCTCCTCCCTGCCACCTCCCATCCCTCCCCGCCCGTTGGTTTGGGATTCCAGTGCTTCTCTTGTCAATTGCGCTTCCCTTCCTCCCTCGCTCCCCCTTCCGCGGCCCCTCCCATGCCACCTCGTTTCCCCCCGCGAAGGTTTTGCCCATTCGCGGTTTCCTGATTCCTATGAATTGGTCCATTTCGAACCCCCTCCCTTCCTCCGCTGCCCTCCCCCCTGTGTAGGTTGCCGACATTGAGGCGGCTGAGAAGGAGAAGATGCGTGAGAAGGTTCGCTCCATCCTCAGCCACGGCATCAACTGCTTCATCAACCGTCAACTGATCTACAACCTGCCGGAGGAGATGTTTGCGGACGCGGGTGAGAGAGCGGGGATGGTAGACAGGGGGGGGAAGTGTCATACCAATGCATAGGAAACCACAGGTTAGGGCAAAGTAGTGGGAGAGGGAGAGGAGCCGAGAAAGGATGGTTACCAACCGCCACGAGGGGTACAGTGCACGAGTGCAGACCAGCCTTATCCTTGATGCCCCATCCATCCACCCACTCCCCATGCATGCATGCAGGCGTCATGGCGATCGAGCACGCGGACTTTGACGGCATCGAGCGCCTAGCTCTGGTGTTGGGTGGGGAGATCGTGTCCACCTTCGACAACCCCGACAGCGTCAAGCTGGGGTGCTGCAAGCTGATCGAGGAGATCATGATCGGGGAGGACCGGCTCATCCACTTCTCGGGTGGGGGAGATGGGAGTGATGGGGGAGAGAGGTTGGGGGAGCGACCCATGGGTCAAGAGGGGAGGGGCCGGCTGGAGAGGGAGGGAATGGGATGGGAGGGGGGTTTAGTACGTGATTGGGGAGGACCGGCTCATCCATCCCACAATCCTGCCTGCCTGCTCAATTCCTCACCCCACAACCCCTCACCTCCTCTTGCCTCACTCTCCTTCCTTCCAGCCTAACGCGGAGTACACATCCCAACTAACCCCACTCTCATCCCTCTTCTCCCCTCCCCCTCCCCACCCCCCCGCTACCCCCCAGGTGTTGCGCTGGGCGAGGCATGCACCATCGTGCTCCGCGGCGCCTCCAGCCACATCCTGGAGGAGGCGGAGCGCTCGTTGCACGACGCGCTGTGCGTGCTCAAGGTGGGGGCGCAGGGGGGGGGTACCCGGGGTGGGGCCTGCGGTCCTGTGTTCGGTCCTTGACGGGGTAACGAGGAAACAACTAGGGGGATGAAAGGGGGAGGGTGTGACGCACATGGGTGGGTGCTGTGGACGCTTGCGGAGGTAGGCGTGGGGTGATGCGAGCCTTTTGGTCACGTGTCAAAACACCAAGTGTTTGGTCACATCCAACACCGCCTCCTCTACACATCAGCAGTTCAGTACGCCCTGTCGTGTGGTGTATTCATGGCATAAGCATCCGTCTCATTCTCCTCCATTCCGCTTCTTTCCCTCCCCTGCGCGGAACATCCCCTAAAATGTCCCCCAACCCCCCCTCCCTGAACCCCGGCTGCTGCTGCTGCTGTTGCCGCAGGAGACGGTTGCTGACGCGCGTGTGGTGTACGGCGGTGGGTGGCCGGAGATCCGCATGGCCAAGGCGGTGGAGGAGCTGGCCAGCAGGACGCCGGGTGAGGCCGGGGGGGAGGGAGGGAAGAAATGAGGAGTGAAGCTGGGGGAAGGAGGGGACGTAGTAGTATAGTTAAGCCTTTTGAAGGTCTGGCAGGGGATGTCAGGGGGGATGAAGGAAGGGGAAATAGAACTTCTTCCCCCGCATTCCTTACCCTTCTTGCATGCGATCACCTTTTTTTCACAGTAGCAATAGCACCGTTGCCAGCTCGTTGCATGTGTGTAACCCCACCACAACACTACCCCCTCTCCCCCCCCCCGCCCCCACCCGTACACCCGCCCGCAGGCAAGAAGGCGCTGGCCATGGAGGCGTTCGCCCGGGCGCTGCGTGCGCTGCCCACCACCATCTGCGACAACGCGGGTCTGGACAGCGCGGAGATCGTGACCAACCTCAAGGTGCGCACGCACGTGTGTTAAAATAACTGGCCGCGAGGCGAAACGTACTGTGATTGCCGAAAGATGAAGTCCTCCCACCGTGCGTGTGCGATTGTTAAGGCAACTGGCTGCGAGTAGGAACGTACTGGAGTGTCGGAGGGATGATATCCCGCGCGTGTGTGTTTTGGGTTTGGGGGAGGGGGGAAGATGGAGAAGGAGATGGGGAATCCCTGACCAACCTCAGCCCGTAGGTTGGTCCACTCTCCCCGCCGCCTCTTCCTCTTCCTTTTGCAACCTAGACTGCCCACGGCGCTCAACCCAACGTTTGTAGTTGCCTTCCCTCTCCTCTTCCTCCTGCTCCTCCCTCCTCCCTCCCACTCAAGGGCTTTCGCCACAACCATTACTAACCCAGTCTTACTCTTTATTCCTCCTGCCTGCCCCTCTCTCTCCCTTCTCCCCCCTCCCTCCTCTCCCCCCCTTCAGGCCGCCCACGGAGCCGACCCCGACAGTCGCATGGGAGTGGACGTGGTTCGTGGCGAGGCGGGTGACATGGCGGAGCTGGGCATCTACGAGGCCTTCCGAGTACGACAACAGGTGAGACGTGAGGGTGGGGGGTAAAAAATATTTAATGAGACACTGACGAAGCAACTGACGAGCTGTATGACAAGGCTTCACCATGGGGTGCAAACATGGTAGCCGGTCCATCCCACCTAATTTAACCGAAAGAACAAAAAGCACTTACCAAAATGTGGTACTTACCATGAGTCGGTGGAACATAGAAGGAGGCCGGGAAGGTGTGGACGATGAATCGAGGGTCGGCGGCCGCGCCCCCGGTGGGGGTGGGGGGTGGGGGGGAGACGAGGTGGAGCGACAGTGGTGTGCAGTGGTGGGGTGCAGGGGGGATCTGGGTGGGTGGGTGAGCGCGGCAAGTATATGGCATATATGGTATGGCTGCAAGAGGCGTGATTAGGGTTTGAAGACCTCCCGCTGTTCGCCCTCCCTCGATGTCACGGGTTTTTATTGTGCAGATGACAACCCCCAACCCCCTCTTTTCCCCTGTTTCCCTCCCCCTTCCGTTGCTGCACTTATCTATACCTCCCCTCCCCATCCCCCTTCCCCCCCGCCAGGTGTTGTTGTCCGGCACGGAGGCCTCGGAGATCATCCTGCGGGTGGATGACATCATCAAGTGCGCGCCCAGGCAGCGCGGGTGAAGCGGCGGGGGGAGCCGGAGCGGAGGGGGGGCAGGGTGACGCATGTGTGGGGAGGGGGAGGTAGACGTGCACATGGGGGGCGCAGTCGGTGGCGAGGATGAGGAGATGGGGTTGTGGAGGATATGAGTGGGCGCGCGTGGGGGTGGTTGTGGGAAGCGGGATGATGCAGCAGCAGTGGCAGCAGCCGGGGAAGGGCTCCACGTTGTAGCTGCTGCCGGGGTTGCGGAGGAGCGCCTATACCCCTTGGGCGGGTGCATGGGCGGGGGGGATGCGGAACCTAGCAAGCTGCTGTGACCTCGGCCATCCGTCTCGGCCACAGCAGCCTTCAAAATGAGGTGCCGGGGCGGTGCAACACAGGTGATGGGGGGCGGACCCGGTGCACGCGCTTTTGTGGTCCGTGTTTGACCATTTGCGTTGACCGGGTAGCAGCGGCGTTGACGTTTCGTTGACTGTCAGTGTGCACGGCTGCGGTTGCGGAGGTAGCACAGGTGTTCCCATGCGTGTCTGTGGGGATTACCGTTTCTTAAGTTTTGTGTCATGTCCTTGAGCTTGTTCTTTGAAGAATGCGATTACCCAGATCCCAAGCTGGGGATGCAGGTGTTTTTCGGTGATGGTGGTGGTGCTGGCAGGTTTTGGATCTACTACTTGCAGGGGGCCGGTTTGGTTTAGCTCTTAACGGCCGTAGGAAAAGCCTGAAATTTGGAAAAAGGAGATCCGTAGTTTTGCACAAAGCAGCAGCGCTGGAGGGCGTGCAGGCAGCTATGCATTATGATGCAAGTGGGGCTACCAGGGTGCGGCAAGGAAGGCGGTTCAGAATGTGCATGCACAACATTACAGCGTAATGTAGGCATCCGTCGTCACCCATGGATTGACTACAGCGTAGTTATGCCTGAAGTCATAAATGTAACCCTGGAAGCTGTGAACATGCCCCGGGGCAGAACAGAGATACGGACAACACAAACAGCTAGCTAGCTGATCTCCCTACCCAAGCGGGGTGAAAAGTACAGTACACCCAACGGGAAACCATCAAGGATATATATTAGGATATGCCATATGCGGGAACAGCACTCAAGGACTCCTATCCAATGCGCATGCACCATACGCATGCTGTGGCCAGCTGCATCGCAATGCAGTCAGCTTGCTTGACCCATGCGGTTCGTGCCAATTAACCAAAGCTCTACCTCATTGTGATGGCGGGCGATGTACAGGTAAGGGAGGAGAAACCCGTTGATTCTCCCTGCTGCAAACTCCACATGTCAAATTACCAGCAACAACAGGAGGGGTGAAAAATTTCAGCTTTTGGGGGTATGAGGTAAACTGATCCCAAAGACTGCTAGAAGTATAGAGGAGGTGAAGAATAGCCCTTTTAATCTATTTCCCGTCGATTTCGAGGGTGCTCTTGGGGTGTGGGGTGTGGGGTGGTCCCGGGGCCGGTCAACTTTTTTCCAAACTTTTTCTGACTGCGAATTTCAACGTAAACTTGCTATATTTAAGCTTGGCTTACATAGTTCTATTGATTTACACACCTGTCCTTCATATACATTTAGTATGCAAGCGCATAGTTGCCGATGCCATCCCAGACCTGGCAATGGTGAACCACCCGGTCGAAGGATGCTTCTGCTTCTGCAACTAGTGTTGATATATTTGCTTAAACTATTGCTACAAGCACCCAGGATGTCTCAAAAGCAGATATCGGCACAGCTGGGCAATCTTGACCGACCTGCTCCAAGTTCTTTACGCCGGGCAGCAAAGTCAATTATGAGAAACATGCTGGAAAATGTCAGCAACAGCATGCAGACAGGCCAAAGCGGGTCGCTAAGTGGAAGTGCCCGGATTGTCCTTGCGGCGGGTTTCACGACAAGGATGACCTCCGACCTTCATGAAGACTGCTAGGGGTACTATATACATCATAAGGAAGCTGTTTACACAGTGTCGTACACGAAATTCCCATTTTTGGCTGCTTTGGGGGTGGGTGAGTGGTCAAGGGCGGGTCGCCGGACTTTTTGCTCTTACTGTCAAATTTTTTTTCTTCTCACCCCTCCTGGCAACAAGCTCTACGAAGTCTGTAACACCACCATGAACCGTCAACCTACTCATGGTAAGTGTTGACCGTGGGATGGGCATAGTAGTGTGTGGGCTGGGCTGGGTGCAGGCCTGGGATTATGTGGCGTAAATTCAATCAGACCTATGAATCGCTTGACACACAGCAGGGACTGGCGCTGGGACCTAGAGTGTTAAGTGTTGACCAGCTCTTGAGAGGCGCCAGTCCCTGCTGTGTGTCAAGCAATTCATAGGTCTGATTGAATTTACACCACTTAAATCCCAGGCCGGCACCCAGCCCAGCCCACACACTGCTATGCCCAGCCCATGGTCACCTGCTCACTCATCGCACTGGAAGCTACCAGTCACATCCTTTTCCTTCTCGTCGAGGACACGGAAGGGGATGCACTTGACAGTGAGGATGCATGCTATCGCAGCGGCATCACTGAATGAGTGGCGGCTAAGGCGGATGGTGACAACCTTCTCACTCTCGTGGGCGTACTTGGAGAGTGTGTAGTAAATCGTTTCAACCGCCTTCTCAACAACCGCAGGCTGCAGGTTGCACTTGACTGATACACACTTGATGCATTGCCGCAAATCTTCCTGTGCAAAGACATGGTATAAATAAAGGCGTAAGTCCAGAGATACCCAAGGTCCACGTGCATTCACATGTGATTCGTTCCCTATAAGTCCTCCCGATGTTTCACGTACTCAGCGCATGCTCACAAATGGAAGAGGGAGCAGCAGAGCAGAGCAGAGCAGGGCATGTGGGACCCCCATGTAAGAAGGCAATCAAGTGGCTCTCATGAACCAACCCCACCTCACGGCGCTGCTGCATGGGCCGCATGTACAGCATGTACAGCTGCCAACTGACACTGACACCGGTAAACCACACAGAAACACACGTTCGCACCTGTGTCTTCAGGGCATCAGTCAGCACCTTCGACACTCCCGCAGACCAGTTCTTGCTGTTGCGGAGGCGGTGGGCCGCAAGCTCTGCAATGCATAAGCAGAAACCATTGCTTACCATTCGGTGAAACAGTATTTCGCCCGGGTAATATAAAGCGATTACAGCATACGTGAGATCGCGTCGGGCGCGCGACGGATCGCGTCGAGCGCAGGGTATGAGTAATTGCGCAGTAAACCACTAAGCAAAACTGCATTCAAAACTTGGCCCCGCTTAGCCCGAGCCCACACAGTCTGTGCTTATACATATCACATTCACACACAAGCATTTACCGACGGCGCCACGGACGTGAACCGTTTGCATTGATGAGAGCAATTCGCCATTCGCACTCAATAAGTCATGCTCACACTTGCTCCTGCGTTCCACCTCGCCCGTAAGCCTGGTCGATAGCTCCTGGTTGGCTGTTACTAGTTCCTGGATGGCTGTTATATGCTTATCCAGGGTTTTCATATACGAGGAAGGAAAGTTTGAACGGTAACGCCTCCGCTGTGCAGCAGCCCGGAGGACGAAGGGCCGTGCCACACAGTGTCTTGCTCCCAAAATTTTGTAGCAAATAGCTTGCTGCAACATGATGCAATCTGCAATTTATGATGGAGGGATGGTTTGGATTGAGAATTGAGGGAACAGCGCTCGCGGTATGGTATGTCCGGTATGGGTCGCTCCAGGTCCGGAGCGTACGGCACCCGCCATAAGGGTTCCCGCTTTCAAAGCCTTACCAGCTGCCCTGTGATTATTGAAATGATTGATGCACTTACAGCACAAACGACTATTGCTGCGTGCTCGCGACCGCGTCGTCAGTCCTCCCATCCAGCGAAGCTCAATGGCTTCCCCATTCAATGTTGCAGGGAGAATGTCTATGACATGGAAAACGTTTCTAGACGTTAGGCAAGACCAGTAGACCACTGCAATGTGTTTGTTCTGCGCCATGGTTCTGCGCCCGACCCGCAATAATGCGCTTGTAAAGGTGTGTCAAGGTATATCGAACCGAGTACCTTGCTGCAGGCGCCCATTCACCTTGCAACTATTAACAAGGCACAATCACTTGTTTCGGAAAGACTGGGAGGAAGGAAAGGACGATTACGATTACATGGTACGGTGTAAAGCCCTCCCGCCCTACCGCACAACCTCACGAACCATTCCGGTCAAGAGGTGCGACACAGACTGTTGCCTTACGCCTAGTTCGCTCCGGACGACGCATGCTCCGAATCCCATCATTCATGCTTGCAACAATCATGAGTTGCCCAACGGGCGACGCATACCTTGCTGCTCAAATATGTAACAACGTCCAATTAGGCTTTTGGGGTTTAGCCCACCATTAAGGTTTCAGCGGTTGGGACCCTGCGGTCCGAGCTGTCTTGACGTCACTTCGACTTACAAAAGCCAGCAGGCTTCTAGACTAACTTCGCAAACAATAGTTAGTAGCTTCTGGCCTTAAGATGGCAGCAGCAGCGGGCGGCGGCGTTGGATCGGCGGCAGCACGGGCTGCCGGGCTTGGTCTTGCATCGCTGCTGAAGTCTGGAGCCCCAGGAGCAGCTCGACAGGTTCTTGACGGCGTCTACGCTCACAGCCCTCCCGGCGTCGCGAAGTTCAATGTGAGCGACCCTGGGATCGGACCGACCGAATGCGCATGGTGGTGGGCAACCGCGCTCGCTAGGCGTTAGCCTTGGTTAAAGGCAGCTTGGGTATCCCCAAGCCAGGGCCCGGGTATGCCGCAGGGGGGGCGCTATGAGAATTGCTAAAGAACAGGGAAATGGACCGGGTGTCTCTTCGTAACTCAGGGCCCCCTCCCCTCACTTTTTTCCCGTTGGAATTAATAGCATGTTATACACACCAAACACAGTTCTCCGCTCTTTTTACCTGCTGCCGTACACGAAGCAAACCCTTATTTCCGCTGTTCCTGCCTTCATATGCCGTACGTACGTACATACACAGGATGTGGTGGTTGCCTCGGGTCAGGGCTGTTGGGTGAACACTACGGACGGCCGACGGTTCTTAGATTTCAGCAGCGGTAAGCAAGCACAGCACAACTGTATGACAGCGACACACGCGCGCGGGCCGCTTCAGCTTTGGATACCAACTAGGAGGGAATGTCCTGGCTGGGTGGCTGCTGGGTGGTCAGGTTTTGGGACATTTGGAGCGCAGTCCTCATCTTTCCTCCCTCTCTCCTTCACTTCTCAACTGTTAATCCTCCCTTCCATTGCCCTCCATCCCTCCATCTTCCCCTACCCTGGTTTCCCTTCGGCCCCCTGCCCTCTCCCTCCCTCCCTCCCCGCGTGTGCGGCACCCCCGCAGGCATCGGGGTGGTGAGCACCGGCCATTGCCACCCCGCGGTGGTGGAGGCGGTACGGCAGCAGGCGGGGAAGATCGTACACGCGCAACAGAATGTGTTTGGCGCACATGAGCCCCTGGTGGGTAGTTGGTGGTTGGATGGCGGTTGGTGGTTGGTGGTTGGGATTCAGCTGGAATTCTGTTGAGGTCTCTTTTGGGTGGGTGGGTCGGTTGTTGAATGACTCCTCAGTGGGTTGGTTGGGTTGTGTGAGGCTTTGTGGGACTTTGTATAACTTAATACTCAACAACCTTTCCTGTCTTCCTTACATCGCTCCTAACCTTAACCCTAACCCTTCCCCACCCCTCCCCCTCGCTTCCCTTCTCATCCCGGTTCTCATCACCATCACCAGATCGACTTGTACGACAAGCTATCAGCCGTACTGCCCCCCTCCCTGGATTCGTACTTCCTGGCAAACAGCGGCTCGGAGGCGGTTGACAACGCGCTCAAGATCGCTAGGGCAGCAACGGGGCGCCAGAACGTGATTGCATTCGAGGTATACGACACATCATCATGCCGCGCTCATGCTCATGCACTCCCGTACAAAACACAGCCCCGCATGTGCGCATGCGTGTAATACGGGTGAGCGTGCTTGGGCTTCATATCCCACATGAACCCACGTGTGTTGTTCACCCTTCACGCTCGCCATCAGCGTTCTAAACCCGTGTCAGCTCCTTTTAACAACGTAGCTCCTTCCCCTCTATCTCTCTCTCTCTCTCCTTCCCCAACTGTTCGGAACATCCACCTCCCCTTCATCCCTCTCCTCTCCCCCCCTTCCTGCTTCCCCCCTCTCCCCTCCAAACCCCCCCCCAGGGCAGCTTCCACGGCCGCACGCTGGGCGCCCTCTCCGTCACCAACTCCAAGTACATCTACCGCCGAGGATTCGGACCACTGCCATCCGGCGTGGTGGTGGCGCCTTACCCCTACTGCCTGCACTGCAAGGTGGGGGAGAGGGGGGGCGCAGGGGGGGTCAAAGGCTATATCGAACCATAGGAAACCACAGGTTGGGGCGGGAGGGGGCCAGGGGCAAAAAAAGGAAATTAACGAGCTGTATGAGGGGCGGGTGTGGGGGGGGGCGCCGGAGGGGGGAGCAGAGCGCGTGGGTGTGGGTGTGGTGCGGGTGTCAACGGGGCAGCGAGTTGTGTTGGTGTAGAGAAATAAACCAACTGCGATCTCACCTCACTCGCCAAACCACAAGCTAGGTTAGGAGGGGGGTGAGCGCCGGGGGGCTGGGTGGTGGGAGGGCGCAGCGCTGCATTGGGATACGGCACTGACGAGGCTCTCAGGTGGCAGATGATGGATGCCAGGCTTCCTCTGTGTGCCCCTCAAGGAAACTGGCCGCGAGTCGGGCCGTGTTCGTGTGTGTTTTGCGACTTGTTCGCCCGGTCCTGCACCGCGCTACATGCCTACATCCCACACTCTCTCGGCTCTCCTCCGCTCCTCTTTCCCTGTCCTGGAGCCCGCAAGGACCCGCAAGTACTGGTGCAACCCCGCTTACCCCCCCCCCCCCACCGCCTCCGAATGCGCTCACTGCATGAGTCGGGATATGGGATTGGGACTCGTTTCACTTATATAAAATTTTCCCCCCACCGCACCCTTCCCCCCCTCCCTCCCCCTCAGGCCCAGTGCGCCACCTGCCACTCCGGCTACCCCTCCGTGGCCCGACAGGGGCAGCAGCAGCCGCCCGAAGCAGACTGCTGCGGGGGACCGCTGGAGGTGCGGGAAGGGGGAGTGGATGGGAGCAGGGGGGACGAGGGGAGAGAACGGGGAAAATGAATGGGAGGTGAATCATGCTGAGTCTGCCCAATCCCATGTCCCATGACTCATGCAAGTGAGCGCATTAGGAGGCACTAGCCTAGGAACGCGCAACTCAGGGACTTACCGAATGTGTGCTTCGCTCAGAAGCGAAGGCGAGTTGGGGGAAAAAGACGAAGGAGTAGGGTAGAATAAGCCATGTGGGTGTGACTAGCTTGGTAAGGTGAGAATGTGGGTGTGACTAGCTTGGTAAGGTGAGAATGTGGGTGTGACTAGCTTGGTAAGGTGAGAATGTGGGTGTGACTAGCTTGGTAAGGTGAGAATGTGGGTGTGACTAGCTTGGTAAGGTGAGAATGTGGGTGTGACTAGCTTGGTAAGGTGAGAATGTGGGTGTGACTAGCTTGGTAAGGTGAGAATGTGGGTGTGACTAGCTTGGTAAGGTGAGAATGTGGGTGTGACTAGCTTGGTAAGGTGAGAATGTGGGTGTGACTAGCTTGGTAAGGTGAGAATGCGGGTGTGACTAGCTTGGTAAGGTGAGAATGTGGGTGTGACTAGCTTGGTAAGGTGAGGACCGGGAGGTTTGGAAATTGCAATGCTTCCTAGCGGTGCGAAGGGGGTGACGGCAGCGGCAGACCAGTTACCTCTCAGCCGAATGCGCAGTCTTGCCCGCCCGACCCATGGGTCCCTCGAGTCCCTCGCGTTCCCCCCTCCTCCGCAGTCCCTGGAATTGCTGCTGGCCACGCAGTCCTCCCCCTCCGACACCGCCGCGGTCATCATCGAACCCATTCTGGGGGAGGGCGGATTCCTGACGCCCCCGCCCGGGTTCTTAGCGAGCGTGCGGCGGCTGTGCAGCAAGCATGGCATCATGATGATTGTGGATGAGGTGGGGGGGGTGTTAGGGAGGGGTGGGGTGGGGTGAGGAGCTGGAGCCGGATGAACTTCCGAGGTATGCGTGCATGCGGGGAAGGGGAGGGCGAGGGGAGATATGGGTGTGTGTAACTTCTCACTGTAACTCGGCCCATGTGGCACCATGTCCTTAACCCTACGCGCCTTCCCTACTCCCCGCGCCTTATCAGGGGTTCACCACACGGTCAGTTAGTTGTTTCCTCTGCACCCCCTCCCCCGCCCCCCTATCAACTAATACCACTCCCCCACTCTCCCCCCCGCAGGTCCAAGCGGGTGCCGGCCGCACGGGCCGCTGGTGGGGGCACCAGCACTGGCTGCCGGAGGGGGGGGAGCAGCAGTACGGCAGCAGCAACAGCAGCAACACGAACAGCATCATTGGCGCCGACGGCGGGCCCGACATGTTGATTTTCGCAAAGGGCATTGCGAGCGGTTATCCGTTGGCGGGTCTTGCCGTACGGAGAGGGCTGGTGGGGGCCGACCGCATGCCGCCGGGGACACTGGTGAGTGAGGGGCGGGGAGAAGGGCGCATGGAGGGAGGGAGGGGGAGCAGGAAGGGGGGGGGGGGGAGGGTACTAACTGTGTGCGAGTGTGACCCACGGGTCGTTTCGTGCGTGCGTGTGCGTGTTTTTTACGAATGTGCGGTACGTGCATGTGACCCCTACCCGACCCCTCCTGCCGTACCCGTACCAGCACCCGTAAACCCCCCCTCCAACACACACATGCAGGGCGGCACCTACGGCGGCAATGCGGTTGCCTGCGCTGCCGCCGCCGCCACCATCGACGTCATCCAGCGGGAGGGGCTGCTGGCGAATGCGGAGGCGCGGGGGGCGCAGCTGAGGGCAGGTGAGGGGCGCTGGGGTGTGTGTGGGGGTCCACACACGCGCATGCCGGGTGCTGAGTAACTGTGTTCGTGTCCTGGGTGTGCCGTACATGGGAACGAGTAACCGCACGACAGCCGTACGTGAATTGTTGAACTAGCCAACCATGTGTTCTTGGGGATGTGCGGAAGAGGGTGGGGGTGAGGGAAAGGCACGTGGGGCACAGCTGGGACCATGTCCCATGTGACGCGCTGCCAAGCCTTACCCGTTTGCAGCCGCTCGCGTGCTACTTGCACCGCATTTCCCACGTCCTCCTTAATGCTCCATACCGCCAGCTTTCCATACCGCTAGCTTTCCAGCTTTCCATGCTTCCCTGTTTCCACGGCTGGCATCCTTCCCTGCTCCTTTCCTTCCCACCCCCTCCCTGCTCCCTCTCCACCCCCTGCAGGTCTGGCTGCAATCGCGGCTGAGCTGCCCGCGGGCCTGATCGCGGACATCCGCGGCCGGGGCCTGATGGTGGGTCTGGAGTTCGGGGGCAGGAGCGAGGGCGGCAGCAGCAGCGGGGCAGGTTGTGACGGCAAGGGCGGATGTGGAAGCGGCGAAGGCGGATGCGGAAGCGGAAGCAGCAAGCCGTCGCGCTTCACCCCGGCGAGCAAGGGTGTTGCGGCGGTGAGTGCGGCAGGAACCTACAATTCCATCATCGCTTGTTTTAAACGCCCTCGTAAAGGCTGTTCAATAAGCCATCATCTCGTAGCATGCTACTACGGTATTGTTGAGCGCATGTGCCACGCAGGTGTGTGTGTTTTGCACGCGCCTAACCCCCTCCCTCCCTCCCCTCCATTCCCCCCGCCCCACTTTCCCCACCCAGGCCATCACCCAGGCTTGCGGTGCTCGCGGCATGCTGCTGCTGAGTGCGGGTGTGCGGGAGTGCGTTCGGTTCCTGCCGCCGCTGACTGTGTCGGCGGAGGAGATGGACACTGCGCTAGGCATCTTCCGTGAGGCGTGCAGGGAGGTGCTGGTGAGGAAGTAGTGGGGAGGCGGGGGGGGGAGCGGTGGCAGGGGGGAGGCAGCAGGAAGGACACGCATTGGGATCGGCTAAGGGAACTGGAGCGAAGCTGCAAAGCTCGACTGACAGGAATGGCAGCAGGAACAAGGGCAGCATTTGCATGGACGACTAAGCAGGGCATGCATGCACGCATTGGGCGCTGGGTAGTACGCTGCAGACAGTACAGTTGAGGAAGACTTGAGAGCTGTGCTGCTGCTTGTGCTGAGGAAGACCCATGGGTCTGTCCTTGCGGCGCTTTCATCATGCATATCGGACTCCTGAAGGACGAAGAAGTTTGGGCCACGAAGTCTTTATGGCGTGATGGCTGTGAGGGAGTTGTGGCCAAGATATGACCTGGCGCTGCCATTGGTTTCGAACAACAACAACAAGCTGTTTTGTGAAATTGCGTGTCACTGCAACGGAGCATTAGCAAGGAAGCAAGCGGAGGAAGAATGCGGGTGTATGACTGGGTGGAAGTCAGCTGAGCCACGTTTGACCTGTGCTCGTGCACGTGTGTGGTGTGCTTGCCCTGGGGAGGCAGCTTGGCGGCCCGATCTCGTGTTAATAATGCCCCGACAATCTTCTGCATACAGCAACAATACTAATGGGGCAATTGTATAGTCTGATGTTACAGTTCTGCTGGCGCCCGAACCAAACTAAGTCTAGCAATCTGCCGAACATTTTTCCCGCTGCCGTACCGGTATCTTAGACCATGTACATACGGCTTTTCAATGCCCCCACACTTGAAGCCTTCCCTCCATACTGCTCAACACATTTCGTTTTCTTCAATGTCAATGTCACACACCAAAGGTAATTAGCCCCGCGACGCGACCCTCCATCAAGTTCGTACGACTGCATGCCAAGTATGCAATAAACATGCCGTATGCCGTACAGCCGGCGGGTGGATCTTGTCACGTCTCAATCTTTTCCTGCCTTCGCTCTTCCCCCAGCCTTCCCTTACTAGCCCCTCTTCCCCAATCACAGATCGTATGTGAGGTTGATCCGGCCCTCCTTGAGCGTGGCAGCCCAGTTGTTCTCGCGGGCTTGCAGGAACAGCGACTGGGGGGGAGCAGGGGAGGGGGAGGAAGGGAAAGGGGAAAGGAGGGGAGTAAGCGAGTAGACGAGTGAAGCAGAGGACAGGAGGTGACAGTGCCAGGGGAGGGTAGCACGGGAGCGGCGACAGCAAGAGGCATTAACGGCGTGAACGGATTCGAGGCGCCGGCCTGATACCCTAGCTCGCATGGGGTGCACTCTGGTGGCTCGGACGCTTTGAATGCGGAAGAAGAGACAGCCAAAACCAAAGCGCTTTGGCACACGCCCCGCGCAACGACCCCTCTCCTAGCCCCCCCCCCCCTCAAGCCCCATGACCCACGGGTCGCGGCTCCGTCCGCGCCCCCGGCTGCCAGTCCACCGTCATGCCCGCCGCCAGCTTGAGGTCCTGCCGCCGCGTGAAGCCGGGCAGCGTGTGGGAGAGCTTGACGAGGCCACTGCGGGAGGCCTGGGGGGGGCCGAGGGAGGGATTGGGGGAAATGAAATGAGAAGGGAGGTGAGGGTTGGGAAGGGGAAAGAAGGAGAATTGCCATGCTGTGGGATTGGATTGGGTTGGATGGATAGAAGAAAAGGAGCCAGAATGAAGCTGGGCGGTGTGAGGAAGGTCGTTGAGCGGGGCAGGCGCGGAGGGCTGGCGGACGGCAGGCAGGTTGTCGGTCGTAAGTAAGGCGAGCCAGCCGGGGGGGAGGTACAGACCCCGGCATGTATGATTCCAGCCATACCAGTGGTGTTTGCTGCTGTTTGCCGCCCCACAGCTGCTTACGAAGCTGCAGGGGACAGAGCATCTCGCAGTGCTTCAGTGGTGACCCCCCCTTCCCTCCCCCACCCTGCTTTCGGCTCGACTCACGGTTGCTTCCACCAGGGATTGTCAGCAACTTGCATCATTATCATACCACACTTTGGATTTCTTTTTTCCCCCACCCTGCTTCCACCATGGGTTCCTACGGTATGGCATGGTCTTTAACCACCCTAGTTCCATTAGAAACAGGGCAACAGACGTCATGCGCTCATGCCCCTATCCGCCCACCCCGCCCCGCCCCGCCCCCCCCCCCCCGCCCTACCAGCCGCCTGTCCGCCATGTCCCAGTCCGCCACCGCCCGCAGCGTGAGCACCGTGTTGGGGCCGTCAAGCAGCCCGACCTGGCGCGGAAGGGGGGGGGATACAGATAAGTGCATCAACGGAGTCCCAAGGGGGGGAAGAGGGGAGGAGGATGGGGGGGACAAGCAGGGGAAGGGGCAAGGGGAGCAATGTGTTTGAGCAGCGCCCAGCACAGACACCAGCTGCCGTCGTACCTTCTTCTCAGCTGACACAGTCAGCAGCGGCGAGGCGTTGGCGAACGGCGAGCGAGAGGCGCCAGCGGCGGCCGCGGATGACCCACGGGTCGTTGCGGGCTTGGCGGAGGAGCCGCCTGGACCCGAGACCACCGCAACACCGGCACCTGCGGGTGAGAAGAAGAGGGGCGAGCAATGGGCGGGACGTACTTACATCGAGCATACAACTGATGCGAAACCACGTAAGGACGTAACGCATGTCCACCATTCATGCTACATCGTCCACACTTCATTCGCCACGCTACCCCGGTCAAGCTACCCGGTCATGTTGTGCGCCATTAGTGTACGGCAGAGTCAACGCTTACCCAGTCGGAATGGCTTGGACCCCGAGTCCCGCAGCTCCGGGCCCGAGCCCAGCGTGACATGCTGCTTGAGGGCCGCACGGTAGTGGCTGTTGGGGTTGGGGGGCGAGGAGGAAGGGGTGGGTGGGGTTGGTGAGGAGTGGCGAGGGAGATTGTGTATGTGATTTCATGGTGTGCGTCAACCGGGGCAGAAGAGGTGTGGCGGGTGCTTCCCGGTAGCTGCTGTGCGCGCGTGTGTGTGTGAAGAAAGCTTGCCGCGAGTGTAGGCGTGTGTCGGGTGGATGTGGGTGGTGGTGGTGGTGGTGGGGAATAGAAAGTGAAGCACTGGTGTCCCAATCCCATGGCGTGGGGAGAGGGGGGGACTGAATGAGGTGTGAAGCAATCACATGGGGTAAAAGTGAGGCAACTGACGAGCTGGGAGAAGGTTGGTGGGGGTGTAAAGAGAGGGGGGCAGGGAGATGGTGCTGGTTGGGTCGGGCTGGTGATCGGGATGGGGGCATGCTGGGATGGGGTGAAGGCATGCAGAAAGGGAATTGCTGGCGGGTGACGCACAGGCGATGGGAGTGAGGGGGGAAACACAGAGGAGAGGAGGGAAAAGAAGAGGGAGGCGGGAGGGGACGGATGGTGGCGGGAAGATGGGTGTTGCAACTAGAAGGAAAGTATCGAAAAGGCCAGAGGGGTCAGAGGGGATTGGCAGACCATGCAATACCCGTTGTAATGGAAGTCCAAGTAGCAATCGTGGCTGTTTTGTGACCACCCATGTACCACCACGAGCATAATGTCCATGTCGGTTGCCATGTCGTTCCTAAGCGCCACGCCCTTTTTCATGGGGCAGGAACTTTCCGGCCACCAGCCCAAGGGGCACGTACGGGGACGTCACCATGCTGTCCCTTTACTACGTGCTTACCTCAAGCTGGCGGTAGAGGGGTCCAGCAATCCGACCGCCTTGAACTCCAGCTTCTGCTCCGTGCTGACGCGCTGACGCACGTGGAATTTAAGCTGCTTTTCCTGAAGGTCATACTGCAGGCGGGTCTCCATTATGCGTGGCTAGCGATGCGGCGGCCGGATCCACTTGGCGACGAGTGTGCTTTTGTCCTCAACACCAGTTAACCAAGCAGCTAATATTACGTTTACGCTTGAGTCGCCTATCGGCAATTTAGCTTCGAGGAAGGCCGGTGTTTACACAGGCTAATGTGAAGTGGGTCGAGACAAAATTCGTCGGGAAATCGTGAAAACGGATTAACAATTGTGTTTGGTGGGATTTAGGACTGGGCCAAATGGAATCTGTCGATTTTTCCGCAGTGTGGGGGCTCTGCTTGCACCGTGACCAGCTTTGCAACGCAGCCCTCTCGTGTCACAAACCATACCCGTCTAGATAAATTTGTTAAAAAATAATAATGTCTAGGACAGCTTTTAGCGGTTGGCTTAGATGTCGTGCAAGCCGATCGGCACCAGCGGCAGAGAATAGGACCCGCAGACCATGCAGCTGATGTCTCATGTGCATGTATTTATAGTTAACGCATGTAGCTAGGAGATCGGCCACTTTTGGTTCGTCATCCTCGTCTTCCAACGGTTGTGGACTAACTGCTGCTATCCAAGACAGGCTTGCATTGTAGCCGCAACTGCAAGGTTTGAGCTCGGCGTAGTAGACTGGTTTCTGTTTGGCATAAATGCGCTCCAATCTTTAGGGTGAAACCGATTACAGTCAGTCATTCAACTATCCTGCCTGCTTCCAGAACGTCGCGCGCAACACCTAGTATGGCTGGCCAGTACAAAACAGCCCCTATCATCCACGGTGACAGCTTCAGATACCATAGTCTTACCTCCCATGACAGACGTAAAGCAGCGAGACTGTTGCGCTCGGGGACGACATGGCCATGGTCGGGCCGAATCTTGCCTCGAACCGCAGCCACTGCGCAACCAAATACTCCAACAGATGGTCATCCCCTTCGCGCTAATCAAGGCGAGATCCGCACCTTAAAGGCTCGAGGTTCAGGCACATGTGGTAATGATAACGCGACCCATGTCACCTCGAGACCGGAGCCCACTTCTCCTCCTCACACAACACAACTGCCACCAGAAAACTACCAGCTATCTGATGATCCTCTAATTCGCAGAAGCCAGTTACTGCTGGCAGCATCGCGCCGGCTTCGTGGTGAGCAGCCATTCCCAACATCACCCGTCGATGTCAAGGCCCCTAACGAGGGTATCCTCCGTCCCAACAGCAACGTCTGCGCCGCTGGCCAGGCTAATACCTTTAATACTAATAACACTAAAAGCCAAAATGGGAATGACACGCGCAGCGACCCACCTCTTTGTTCTAAAGCATCCAGCTCAGTATCCTCAACTCCAGTAGCTGCAGCAGCCGCCAAGGCCGTAACAGCACCACCACCATACCCGCCATCCCCAACATCCCCATTCCCCTCCTTTAACGCTACTGACGCCAGCAACACCAAGCTGGCACGACAGACGCCCTCCATAGCCAACGTAACGGCTGCCGCCACCGCTGCCCCTGCAGCAGCAGCACCAAAATCAGCTCCACCATCACCATCGTCATCTGGCAACGCCATTAAGTATACCACCGCCGGAGGCTCGGTCGCCACCGTTGCCGCCGCTGAAGCATCAGCAGCTCCGCAGTCGCCGCCCTCTGAGCAGCCAATCAAAGGCGGCCGCGGCGGCGGAGGCAGTTCGCCATCTGGCCCGGAGTCCTCCCCCTCTGGTGGCGCCACAACCAGGAAGACCAGTGCCTCGCCAACCTCCGCAGCCTCGTCACCCTCCTCAGTTGAAAGCACCTTGGGGGTTGCTACTACTACTGCCGGCGGCGGTGGCGGCGGCAGTTCGCTACCCACCGCAGCGTACTCCACTGCTGCAGCCACCGCAGCGACCGCGACCATTGCTTGCACGGCAGCAGCTGCTGCTGCTGCTGCTGTGAGTGGTAGCGTAGGCAGCAGTGCCGCCGGCGCCGCCAACATTACGTCTGCCGGCGCCGCCACGGTCTCCTCGGCGGCCACCGCGGCTGCGTTCGGTTGGCGGGAGATAGAGGAGTTGTTGGCTGAAGCTGCGTACTCGCTATCGCAGCAGGTGGGGCTGACTTGGGATTGGGGGTATGTAAGGTTGCGAGGGTGGGTGCGGAATCATGTGTGTACGTGAGAACGTGAGGGTTTGGATACTAACCCCTTTGTTAGTAGCAACACCAGTAGCGTTTCAGGGTACTCGTTTTTGAAGTCCTTTCAAATTCGTTTGCCGTACATGCTCTGTGCAGATTCCAGATCTTACCGGCGCTAGCGGCAGTGGGAGATCGCCGTTGCTGTCGTACAGCTTGGAGCCCTCAACTCTGAGCGATGCAGCGGCAACCGTCGTACCGCCGTTGGTGGCAGCAGCGCTGACAACGACCGGTAGCAACAGCAGCAACGGCCTGCAAGCGCCGGTGACGACGGCAGCAACGGTCGGAAGTGATGTTCTGCAGAACATTCCTGACCTAATGGCGACCGCTATGCCTGGAGCGGACAAACTAAACCAGGTGTGTCATGACAAGGCAAGGTACCACATTAATACGGGCAGTCAATTGCGGACATTACTATGGTACCGTTTTACTGTTATGCGATACGTGTCCATGCATCAGGCTTGCTTACATAACCAGGCATCAGCATGCATGCACTCGTATATCGCCCATGACATAACACGAACCACCTTTACGTGCTTTTCGTGCACCTTTAGATGCTGGACGAGTTGTTGTACAGCGTGAGTCAAGATCTCGATTTCGCGGCTGCCAAGGATGCGGTTACCGCTACAGCCATGGGCCTCCTGGGCTCGGCAGCGGATCAGCCTGGTACGGCACTGTCGTCAGTTGGTTTCCGACCTGCTGCTCCAAGTGAAATGGTTAATACAGCAGCTGCAACTGCCAGGGGTGATTACTACGCTAGCAGCCGTAGCGAAAACGGCAGCAGCAGTGATAGCAGTAGCAGCAGTAGCGGCAGCAGCAGCGATACCGGGAGCAGCAGCGGCAGTATAGTTGACAGTGGCTCCTCTGCTAGCGATCTGTACGGCGACAGTGGCGGCGGCATCATTGACGATGGTACGGCAAACACGCTGCAATTCAATGACTATCATGGAGGTGACGCCACGATCACTAGCGGCGCAGAGAGTGCGGCAGCAGCAACACTTGACGGCGTTGGCAATGGTATGGCATTTACGGTCGCCGCACCGGGAATGGTATCGAGTGGTGATGTCGTACAAATGACGACGGCGGCGACGATGGCGACAGTTGGCGGCGGCGACGGCGGTGTCGGCGCATTGGAGGAGACGACGGCAACGGCAGCAACGGTATCCGAAGCAGCGTCAGCAATGTTGTCGGCAACCTCTTTCTTTGATGGCAATGATCTAGGGCAGTTGAAGCCGCCGGAGGACCGTTTAGAGCGGTTGACGAGGGCACTAGAGGTGAGAGTGACGGATGCGTTGGATATGAAATTCATGTCCTGACCAACAGAGCCTTCTTTCCGTGGCCCCGACCTCACCTGTCGACTTACCGCCTGTGTGCTCCCCACATTGCTCGCCGTCACTGCATTTGCAGAAGCTCAAGAGGGCTCGGGAGGGCTTGGCCAACTCGAGCGCACCTAAGGCCTCCAACGCCTCCGTTGCTGACGCGGCAACCGTCGCCGAGCCATCATCGCAGCAAGCCGCCCCGGCCGTCACTGACAATGCACTTGACGCGGCCAAGACCGTCGCCGTTGCAGCCACTGGCGGCGACGCTTCGTCTTCACCATCGCTCGTCGAAGCCGTCGCCAATGGTGCCGCCGCCGCCAATGTTTCGCCATTGCCGTCGATGCCGTCGACGAGCGACGTCGAGGCGGCGGCGAGCGCATTGACCGAGGCGTTACGTCGCGAGTTGGAGCCAGTGATGAGCGCAGCTGCTGCAACGGCGGCGGCAGCGGCGACTGACGGCGACGGCTCGGAGGCGTTACTGCCGGGAGATGCGGCGAGTGAGTGTGCGCGGTACAACGCCCGCTAGCTATTCCTGCACATCGTACATAATGCTAATCCTTTTGCCGTGTCAATCCTACGCTTTTACCCCCAAACCCCCGATTGGAACGGCGTCAGTTGCGTCAACCGACTCGGCGGCTCTAGCGGATGCGACCATACGAGCCGTTGAGTCGGCGTTCGCCTCACTGGACCCAACCGCCGCAACCACCCTAACCGCCCTGCCACCCGACGTCCGCACTCAGACATTGCTGGGGGTAAGCAAGGACAAGTAGGGACAGGAGGCTTGCTAGGCGCAAGCACCCTATATTCCTTCAGGTTCTTTCCTTTCTTGCGCGTTGTACCAGTATATTTGTGGCAAGACTGGCGAGGCATGGCTCCGTCTGAACCACACGATGCTGTACGTGCATCCTCCTTCCTGCTCCTGCCGTCAGGCTGCCGTACAATCTTGCTTGGATCTGCTGGATTCGGTTCTGGGCGCCATTCAGTCCGCGGATTCCACACTGGTGGGCGGAGTCACCCTTGCTGCCGTGCTTGCGCTGCTGATCAGGTGAGAACTGATGCGGGGGGTGCAAGGGGACTGCTGACGGTGGCTGTGTAGAGAGGTGAAGGCAAATTTGGACCGAAGGAAAGCTGCGGTTCTCTGAAATTCAGGGCTGGGGAGCGAGGTGGGACTGCAGGCAAGCGGCCTGCTTGTACCACGGATATCTAGATCCCGATGTATGTATGGCCACTCTTGAGTAACCCTTGAGTCATCATCACTGTTCTGGGTAAAGTGCAACAAGCAAGAATTTCCGCATGTTGCGATGTGCCGCTGCATCCCAATGTGCCGCAGGTCGTTAGTTGCCATCACAAGCTACATCTTAGACCGCAACGACCGAGCTGCCAACGGTCCCAACGGCCCCTTTAACGACAGCAGCGATGGCAACCGCAGCTATAGCGGCATTGACGATGAAAGTATCAATCTATTTCCACTGGATGCTAGCAGCAGCAGCAGCAGCAGCGGCGGCGGCGGCAGCAGGAGGAGCGGCGGCGGCGGTGTTCCGGCGCTTGCTGCTGCTGCCGCTCTGAACAACGACCCACGGGCCATCTTGGTCGACATCCGGTATGTATTTGGGAGGTCTTAAGATAATGCGTTTTACCGATGATTTGATTCCGGAAACCAGTTCTCAGCCCCATATATGAATTCACATTACTTTCGTAAGCATCGCCGGTTGGTAAGAACACGTCCCACAAAGTGAATCCGGATCCACCCTGGATCTCCCCCCCCCCAATTCGTGTCATGCAGCTCCCCTACTGATATCAAAGCCCAAGGCGTCCCGGACCTCCGGCCCTTCCGTCGGGGCCAGGGTGCTACCTACACCTCCTTGCCCTTTCCGGCATCTGCGTCCACCTCTAATTCCTCTTCTACCTCCACCTCTGCTTCAACGCAATCTGCACCCGCCGCCGGCGCTGCTGCTACAGCCATAACCGCCCTTGCGTCGGCGGCTACGGCCGCCGTACAGCGCATTGTGAAAGGCGGCAGTAGCAGGGTCGCGTACGGCAGCGACGTTGCCGACGGAGCCAGCCTTGGTGATGAAGGCGGTTCGGCGGACGACTGGCAGCAGTTACAGCGGAGCTATGACCGTTGGTTGTTCGTTGCGGAGATCAAAAAGCGGTTGCTAGACGGCGCTGCGAAGGCGGCAGTGGCGGCGGAAGGGAGGGAGCTGGGGCGACGGCGGGACTTGGAGGAGGCTGGCGACAGCAGCGGCGGCAGTCGAGTGTTTCTGTTAGATTCGTGAGTACCGATAGATTGTGCATAATGCTGTCGTGGGGGATTATAACATTCTACATACGTACCGGTATACCTTAATTGTGTAGGATTAGGCTTAAGGTACCCAATAACTGTCCTCTGGTCCCGGGGTTCCATATTTGTGTGCAGGTACGGCATTGCTGCCCCCGAGGTCGTACGGCTGCTGAAGTCGGACCCAGATTTGGCGCGATTGCTGGGACCGCAGGTACGGTGCAAGTTGTACGGCATACAACGGCTGGCAGCATGGTGGTTTGACGTGTACACCCGGCTCCACTCCCTTTCCGTGGCTTGCCTCCTCAGGGTCAGAGGATCAGCCACATTGCGAGCGGCTTCGCGGGGCCGGAAGGATGGAAGGTGAGGCCGGGCTTGATAACAAGAACCGTGAGCTATGGACATTAGCATAGGGCTACGAATGCCGTATTACACACTGTAAATGGCTGACACGAATGGTCGACAGCTGTAAGCGCTGTATCATCCGCATTTAGGAAGATAGCCCACACGCCCCCTACCTTCCTAGCCGACGCTCCTAGTTTGGCAATCCGCATGTTAACACCGCTTACGGTGGGCTTCTAGCCCAGTAGGCGACCTTTGAGTAAAAGAACCTTTGTGCGCAAAGCGCCAACCCGCTTCCTCCCCCGCTGGGCCCCCTCCCTCCGTCGCTCCACATGCCGACACATGCACGCACACGCACACCCACACCCACACAGCTCACAGGTCTGCCAGTGACTGCGGCCGCTGCTGACGGCCGCGGTGACGGCAACCAGGCGGCCGAACCAGCAGCCGCGGCTTTTCCGGGTGCAGAAGCGCTGGGCGGGGCTGGATCTAGCCTTGGATCCAGCCTGTCAGCTGTGCTGGGCACGATTGCGGAACTGAGACGGAGGTACGCGCACCTGTGTGAGCCTTGTTGGTGTTTGGAGGCTCATGTTGTCCTTCATGTGGAAGTAAGGCCTCGGGCCGCGGCGTGACTTGCAACCGCTGTCGTACATACACCGCATGCCGTACTGTTTGCAACTACTGCCGGGGCTGCCTCGCCGGCTATGCTATATATAGGTAGCCTGTAAAGGTTGCTCCGCCATACTCGTGCTCTTGTATAAACACATACACAGTGTACCGGTATGTCAAATTCTTGTTCTTCTGCCAAGGCTGCGGAACCTTTGAAACGCAAAACCCGTGTTCTGGACCGTGTAACCCAAAGCACATGCGCTACCAAGCTGCGTTGCATCCAATGCGCCTGATGTTGCACACCGGTCTCGAAACTCTCCGAAACCAGGTTTCGGAAAACGTAAACCTGCTGCCGTGCTGCCAACTCCCGTACATACACACGTACGTCCGAAACTTTAACACACATGAACACACACACGTGCGCAGGAACCCGACCCTCTTCAACCGCTTGCTGTTCGGAGGAGCCGCTGGAGGCGCAGGGGTAGCACTGGTCACGTCGCTAGATTGGGCCGCAGTGACCCGTGGGTCGCTTGGGTTGGCAGCGGTGTTGCTCCTGGCTGACAGGGCCCTGCCAGCCGACACGCGGCCCAGCCGTTGGCTTAGGTAAGGAGGGATAAAGAGTTGGCAGCCATTGACCCATGGATGGGTTATTAGATAGCGACCATGGCTTATTGAAAGGTGGTTTACGGCCAGTAACAGTACGATGTGGTCTACCGGTATTCCACGTCTCCACATTTCCAGGAGGATACCGCCATCCAGGCATGGCTTGTGCATGAACTCTCTTACCTTCCTCGGTTAGGTACACTCGGCTAGCTCCGCACCTTGTAACATCGCTCACATGACATGTGACATATCTTCTCAAAGCTCCACCCTCCTTATCGCAGGAATTACTTGGAAGCTCAGCTGTCCACACCACCACCTGACCCTGACGCCTCCGCCTCCGCCAACGTCACCACCATTACCACCACCACCACCGCCTCCGCTGCCGCCGCCAGCAACCACCGTCCTCGTCGCACGGCACTCCTGCTACTGCTGCTGCGCGTCCTAGACCTGGCGGAGGCGCTCGGCGACTCTGTCGTACGGGCTGGCGTCGCCGCCACCTCTGCGGCGGGTAGCGCCGCCAAAGACGCCCTGGCAGCGGCCACCTCCGTCGCATTCAACACCTCCAGCAGCGCCTCAGCCGCTTCCGCCTCCGCCGCTTCTCCCGGGACTGCTGCTACGACCGTCGCAGGGTCGTCCGCCAAGCTGGCCCAACTGCGAGCGCAGAAGAACTGGCTACAGCCGCCTCAGAAGCAGCAACTGCAGCAACAGCTGCAGCAGCAACGAGCGCAAAAGGCGGCATCTCAGCAGAAGCCGGGTGACCCACGGGTCGTCGGCACGCAGGAGCTGATCACTGCGCTTGCGGCGGCGAGCGCTCTTAGCGGGGCCAGTGTGCTGCCGGGGCTGCCTGCCGTACAGTTCCCCAAGGCATCAGCGGGACAGAGGGCGCCGCCGCCGCAGCAGCAGCCTCCTTCGCCGCAACCGCAGCCGCAGCCTCCTCCATTGTCGGCGCAGCTGGCGGAGGCGCCATTGACTTCACAGTCGCAGCTGCGACCAAAGCAGGAGCAGCAGCAGCAGCAGCAGCGGGCAGGCGTGCGCCCTGCCAGTCAGAAGGAGGAGGCTCTGGCGTATAAAGAAAAGGAGCAGGAAGTGCAGAAGCAGCAGCAAGCGGTCCGGAGACTAGTGGCCGCCTTAGGAGAAAAGGACCTGCAGCAGCAGCAACAGCAGCAGCAGCAGCGGCAGGAAGGTGGGTTGCAGATGGCAGCTTCGAAAGCGACGGCGGCAGCCGCAGCAGCCCCACTGCCGCCACCAGTACCGACACCACCAACACCAACACCAAAACCCCAGACCTCAGCAGGCTCCCGGCGTTCAGTGCTGGGGGCGCAAAGCCCCGAACCGCAGCTGACCACCGCTGTTTCCTCCGCCGCCGCGAGTAGTAGCAGCAACGGCAGCAGCGGCGGAGGCGACGGAGGCACCAAGACTAGTAGCCCTGAAGCCGACCCCACCACGATCACCACGCCGGGCACCTCCCGCCGCCAGCGGGACTCCGACGACCGCCGTCAGCAGCAGCAGCAGCAGCAGCCGTTACGTCGCACATTGTCGTCAGCGGAACGCGCCGCTGCACTGGCGGCGGAGCTCCGACGATTGCGAGCGGAGGCGAGTGCGGCGACGACGACGTCAGTGACGTCAGCTGGCCCGGTGGTGACGAGGGTCGCTCGAAGTCCTTCGGATTGGCGAGCTCGCGTCATGAGGGAGGGAGGGGCCGGCGGCAGCCTTGCAGGCGGTGGGCTTGTTGCAGGCGGCACCAGCGGCAGCGGCGGTGGCAGGTCCGGGGCCAGCAGCAAGAAGGACGGAAGCAACGGCGACAACGGTGGCACTAGCGATGGTGGCAGTAGCGGTAGCAGTCGCCGCCAGGTGGCGGTGAATGCTGCGGCTGAGAGGGCTGCTAGGGCTGCTAGGGCAGCACGGCTGCGGGACTGGAGGGCTCTAGAAGTTTGAGGCTCGGGCTTGAAGCCACATACAAGGACTTTGGGGTGTGGGGTGTGGACAGCAATGCCAGCCCTGCTTGGTGGCTGCTGGGATGGAGTGCAGGGATGGCGGCCCCTTGTTTGGGCGGGGGCTTTCTCCACAACGGTTAATTGTTGCTATTCGCTTAATTGGGCTAACTTGCTGGGGCATGGGACACGGCCCAGCCTAGCCCAGCCAAAGGCGTTGCCGGGCGTTAATGTTGCTGCTCCTCTCCGGCTTGGACGCACCTGCAGTGTGCGCAATGTCCGTATGATGAAGGGCTGAGGGGCGGAGGAAGAGTACTCGGCATCCCCCGGTACCGGTATCCCAACGGTCGTCGCCGTGCCCTGTGAGGGCTAACGGGGAGTGACAAGGTGCCGTGCTGGACTGTGGTTCGGGAGGTGTACGGAGTTTTTCTCCTCTGCGCTCTTTGTAGCGTAACAGGAATTGCTGTGTGGGCGGGTGACGTGGGGCCGAGCGTGTTGGAGGAGCAGAAGGAGATGGATTCAGGTAGCACCCAGCGCAAGTTCCCTCGCATGTTTCCTGCTGTGGCTCGGGGCCTCGGGCATGACTTGGGCAGGGCTTGAGCTTTCGCTTTAGGAGGTGTCTTGGTATGGCGTTCCGGCGGATGGTTCGTTTACATCTGGACATAGAGATAGGATATAGCGCGGAAGCTGCCGAGGATTGAGGGAAGCGGGAGCTCACCACCGGGCACCGGCGCTGAAAGGGCCAGCAGTAGCACGCTTGGCGCGCACATTGTGGATGCAGTAGTAATGTATTCAGTGAACGTTAACCGACTTGTGCACGTGAAGGTCACTCGATTCAGTAGTAATATTGTCCACTTCGTACTGTGCAAGACAAGCAAGCTCGTCCATACGTATGGCCTATTTGTACTGCCAGGCAGCAAAACGTCGGCTTTCTTATGCTGGAAACGAGAATTGCGCTTACATAGGTTCGCAAGCAATAGAAGCACGCATTTTGCCTTAGATGGTTGCCTTTATAATACTATGCTCTAGCGGCTCTTCATCTCCTTCACCGCGGCGCCAAAGATTACTCACCATGTAATTCATACGATAAGTGTATATGTAGGAAAACATCAGAGCCATCGTAATTGTAGTTGAAGGAAATTCCTTGAGGACTGAAAAGCTGTTGGACATGCGGGCCATCGTAGTTTCCCGGGTCACGTTAACGTGGTTGGCGATGGCGGGACTCATGGTCACGCTCAGCTCTGCCGCCACGTGGATCCCTAGCTTTACCCTGGATATCGAAAGCACGGATGGCGAGCATCCATTGCCGGACGTCTGCGACGAGGCCAAACGCCCAGTGAAGTTTTATGCCCGGGAACCAAGTCGCTGCTATGCTGACGACCGGAAGCTCGACATCGTCATAGCTTATAGCGTAAGTCATCACCCAGCGGCCATCCCGTCCCCGTTTTCTTTCATCCATTACCTCCAAGCCCTCCCGTCACCTCCTAGCCGCCCCTCATACTAAAAGCTTACCCCTTCTCGGACAACAACGTCTTCCTACTCTGTCGCTGCTTGTCGTCACTGCAATCCACGTGCAAAGAAACCCGTACGACAGCAATTCAACGCATGTCTGTGTACGGCATCCAACACCTTCCATACCATATCAACCAACCAGTCTGGCCATCCGGTATTGATTGCAGGTTGAGAAGACAACGGACGTGCAAAGCACAGTCGATTTCCTGCTGTCTGTGAGTTAGAGGCAGCTCCGCCCTTGCGCCAGTTTGCTTTGGCAATCGTGGCAGTCGTGGGGTTTAAGGAAGTAGGCCAGAGTTAGGCAGGAGTCTCTTTCTCGATTCAAGGGGTCCAGCCGCAACGATTCCCGTGTGCCATCATTCCTGCTTTTAGGGAGAACTCGGGTCCAATCTGCCTACTTCCCATGCTGCTAATTTAGGCCGTTTGGTGGACAACGGAGGATGTTGACCGCCCGAGACAAATGTCACTGCAACTGCTACTGCCACTGCTGCTGCTGCTAGTGCTGCTGCTGCTGTTTCTCATGTTGTTGCTGCTGTTACTGCTGCGATATCCAACGTGAAACAGGTTCCTCAACTGAAATCCGCATCGCCATGCGTGGTGATTGGATCCAAGATTCAAAGCGCGTCTGTCGTGCTCGACACCATCCGCGGAGCGGATGTGGTGTTTGAACTTGGAATAGCCGGTCGCGAGTGGGCGGGTGAGCATGCCAGCCTGCCATCACACCTTGCATGCAGCAACAGTTGCACGTATGCCGTTGCCATGCTGTCAGTAGCATCCCTAGGCCCTACCAGAACCCGCTGCCCCCGCCAAGCCTACCGTTGCCAATGACGCCCGTGCATGTGTTTGTACAGTCCCTCCCACCCCCTCCCTCCCCACAACCCCCGCTCGGTGGTTGCATCGTCAACTTCCTTGTTTTGTCCATCCCCACAAACCTCCCTCCCCGCTCTCTCCTCCTCCTCCTCCTCTCCCGCGCCCCCCAGTCTACCTGACCTACCTCGTGTCGTACTACGACCACTTGCCACAGCACGTGCTCTTCGTACACGGAAGGTAGGTATTGGGTTTAGGGGAATTCAGGTAGCTGTGGAGGGCATCCCGTATACGGTACATTCAGCAGCATAAACGACCCATGGGTCACATCTTGTTCTTTTTTACCTGGTGTTTATGAATCGTATTTTTTGTACTACAGTAAAGATGCTTTCTACCTTTTTGTTCTCAGTAGCTTGTTGTTCAATGGCCATGCTAGCTCACCCACTTTGCTGTGTTGCGAGAACTTGTGCGCAGGTGGCCACGCGTGTGCGCGTGCGTGTGTGTGTGCTTTGCCTGCCGTGTTTTACCCCAGTGCTCTTTCTTTGCCCCCGCCCCCCCAGTTCGTCATATTGTTACCCCGCGCACCCCTTTCCCCTCCCACCAGGCTCAACCTGCCCACCGAGGTGCTGGCTGCCCGCTTCGCCCTGTTCGGACCGCACACGGGGCTGCTGGGACTCGTGCACAACGGGAAATGCAAATGGTGGGTCCTCCCTCCTCCTTTCCTTCTCCTTCTTCTCCAGGCCAGGCCATGCCATGCATACCTTCTGCCCGCACCAGTCCTCCTCGCCCCCTTGCTGCATGGCCGGCCTCCCGCTTGCCCCTCCCTCGCATCTCCCCCCTGCCCTCACAAACACCTCGCACCCACCTCCTTTCCCTCCCTCTTCCATGTCGGCCCCCCACGTCGTTGCACGCACCATTGCTCCCCTCCCTTACCTCCATCCCTCGCCTCTTTTCCCATGTCGCCCCGCTGGCCCTCGCCTCCCCCGGATTGGGACTCGTTGTTTCACTTATATAATTTCCCCCCCTTCCCTCCCTTACCTCTCCGCTTCAACCCCCCCCCCTCCGCCTTCCCAACCAGCATCGGCTGTGCGCTGCCCGCCCCCGTCTTCCGCCTGCGCGAGCTGTGGAGCATCTTCCGACGCAGCTTCTGCCCGCAGACCTACCTCGCCTTCTTCAACGGGCACTACATCGTGTCACGCGCCCGCATCAGGGCTAACCCCGTGGAGCTGTACACGTGCGTGCGGGTGCGGGGTGCGGGGTGCGGGTGCGGGTGCGGGGTGCGGGGTGCGGGTGCGGGTGCGGGGTGCGGGGTGCGGGGTGCGGGGTGCGGGGTGCGGGGTGCGGGTGCGGGGTGCGGGTGCGGGGTGCGGGGTGCGGGTGCGGGGTGCGGGGTGCGGGGTGCGGGTGCGGGGTGCGGGGTGCGGGTGCGGGTGCGGGTGCGGGGTGCGGGGTGCGGGGTGCGGGTGCGGGGTGCGGGTGCGGGGTGCGGGTGCGGGGTGCGGGGTGCGGGTGCGGGGTGCGGGGTGCGGGTGCGGGTGCGGGGTGCGGGGTGCGGGTGCGGGGTGCGGGTGCGGGGTGCGGGGTGCGGGTGCGGGTGCGGGGTGCGGGGTGCGGGTGCGGGGTGCGGGTGCGGGGTGCGGGTGCGGGGTGCGGGTGCGGGGTGCGGGTGCGGGGTGCGGGTGCGGGGTGCGGGGTGCGGGGTGCGGGGTGCGGGTGCGGGGTGCGGGGTGCGGGGTGCGGGTGCGGGTGCGGGTGCGGGGTGCGGGGTGCGGGTGCGGGGTGCGGGTGCGGGGTGCGGGTGCGGGGTGCGGGTGCGGGGTGCGGGTGCGGGGTGCGGGGTGCGGGTGCGGGGTGCGGGGTGCGGGTGCGGGTGCGGGTGCGGGGTGCGGGGTGCGGGGTGCGGGGTGCGGGGTGCGGGGTGCGGGGTGCGGGGGCGGGGGCGGGGTGCGGGGTGGGGGTGGGGGTGCGGGGTGCGGGGTGCGGGGTGCGGGGGCGGGGTGCGGGGTGCGGGTGCGGGTGCGGGGTGCGGGGTGCGGGGTGCGGGTGCGGGTGCGGGTGCGGGGTGCGGGTGCGGGTTGCGGGGTGCGGGGTGCGGGGTGCGGGGTGCGGGGTGCGGGGTGCGGGGTGCGGGGTGCGGGTGCGGGGTGCGGGTGCGGGTGCGGGGTGCGGGTGCGGGTGCGGGGTGCGGGGTGCGGGGTGCGGGGTGCGGGGTGCGGGGTGCGGGGTGCGGGGTGCGGGGTGCGGGGTGCGGGGTGCGGGGTGCGGGGTGCGGGTGCGGGTGCGGGGTGCGGGGTGCGGGGTGCGGGGTGCGGGGTGCGGGGTGCGGGGTGCGGGGTGCGGGGTGCGGGGTGCGGGGTGCGGGTGCGGGTGCGGGGTGCGGGGTGCGGGGTGCGGGGTGCGGGGTGCGGGGTGCGGGTGCGGGTGCGGGGTGCGGGTGCGGGTGCGGGTGCGGGTGCGGGTGCGGGTGCGGGGTGCGGGGTGCGGGGTGCGGGGTGCGGGGTGCGGGTGCGGGGTGCGGGGGCGGGTGCGGGGTGCGGGGTGCGGGGGCGGGTGCGGGGTGCGGGGGCGGGGGCGGGGTGCGGGGTGCGGGGTGCGGGTGCGGGTGCGGGGTGCGGGTGCGGGTGCGGGTGCGGGGTGCGGGGTGCGGGGTGCGGGGTGCGGGGTGCGGGTGCGGGTGCGGGGTGCGGGTGCGGGTGCGGGGGGGGGTGCGGGGTGCGGGGTGCGGGGTGCGGGTGCGGGTGCGGGGTGCGGGGTCGGGTGCGGGTGCGGGGTGGGGGTGCGGGGTGCGGGTGCGGGTGCGGGGTGCGGGGTGCGGGTGCGGGGTGCGGGTGCGGGGTGCGGGGTGCGGGTGCGGGTGCGGGTTGCGGGTGCGGGTGCGGGGTGCGGGGTGCGGGGTGCGGGGTGCGGGGTGCGGGGTGCGGGTGCGGGTGCGGGGTGCGGGTGCGGGGTGCGGGTGCGGGTTGCGGGGTGCGGGTGCGGGTGCGGGTGCGGGGTGCGGGGTGCGGGGTGCGGGTGCGGGTGCGGGGTGCGGGTGCGGGGTGCGGGGTGCGGGGTGCGGGGTGCGGGGTGCGGGGTGCGGGTGCGGGGTGCGGGGTGCGGGGTGCGGGGTGCGGGGTGCGGGGTGCGGGGTGCGGGTGCGGGTGCGGGGTGCGGGTGCGGGGTGCGGGTGCGGGTTGCGGGGTGCGGGTGCGGGTGCGGGTGCGGGTGCGGGGTGCGGGGTGCGGGTGCGGGTGCGGGTGCGGGTGCGGGTGCGGGTGCGGGTGCGGGTGCGGGTGCGGGGTGCGGGGTGCGGGGTGCGGGGTGCGGGTGCGGGTGCGGGGTGCGGGTGGGGGGTGGGGGTGCGGGGTGCGGGGTGCGGGTGCGGGTGCGGGTGCGGGTGCGGGGTGCGGGGTGCGGGGTGCGGGTGCGGGGTGCGGGGTGCGGGGTGCGGGTGCGGGGTGCGGGGTGCGGGGTGCGGGTGCGGGTGCGGGGTGCGGGTGCGGGTGCGGGGTGCGGGGTGCGGGGTGCGGGTGCGGGGTGCGGGGTGCGGGGTGCGGGTGCGGGTGCGGGGTGCGGGTGCGGGTGCGGGTGCGGGTGCGGGGTGCGGGGTGCGGGGTGCGGGGTGCGGGTGCGGGGTGCGGGGTGCGGGTGCGGGGTGCGGGTGCGGGGTGCGGGTGCGGGGTGCGGGGTGCGGGTGCGGGTGCGGGGTGCGGGTGCGGGGTGCGGGGTGCGGGGTGCGGGGTGCGGGGTGCGGGTGCGGGGTGCGGGTGCGGGGTGCGGGGTGCGGGGTGCGGGTGCGGGGTGCGGGGTGCGGGTGCGGGTGCGGGGTGCGGGTGCGGGGTGCGGGTGCGGGTGCGGGTGCGGGGTGCGGGTGCGGGGTGCGGGTGCGGGGTGCGGGGTGCGGGTGCGGGTGCGGGGTGCGGGGTGCGGGGTGCGGGTGCGGGGTGCGGGTGCGGGTGCGGGGTGCGGGGTGCGGGGTGCGGGGTGCGGGGTGCGGGGTGCGGGTGCGGGTGCGGGGTGCGGGTGCGGGGTGCGGGGTGCGGGTGCGGGTGCGGGTGCGGGTGCGGGGTGCGGGGTGCGGGGTGCGGGTGCGGGGTGCGGGTGCGGGTGCGGGTGCGGGTGCGGGTGCGGGTGCGGGGTGCGGGTGCGGGGTGCGGGGTGCGGGTGCGGGGTGCGGGGTGCGGGGTGCGGGGTGCGGGTGCGGGTGCGGGGTGCGGGGTGCGGGTGCGGGGTGCGGGGTGCGGGTGCGGGGTGCGGGTGCGGGTGCGGGTGCGGGGTGCGGGTGCGGGTGCGGGGTGCGGGGTGCGGGTGCGGGTGCGGGTGCGGGGTGCGGGTGCGGGTGCGGGGTGCGGGTGCGGGTGCGGGTGCGGGTGCGGGTGCGGGGTGCGGGGTGCGGGTGCGGGGTGCGGGTGCGGGGTGCGGGGTGCGGGTGCGGGTGCGGGGTGCGGGGTGCGGGTGCGGGGTGCGGGTGCGGGGTGCGGGTGCGGGGTGCGGGGTGCGGGTGCGGGTGCGGGGTGCGGGTGCGGGGTGCGGGTGCGGGGTGCGGGGTGCGGGTGCGGGTGCGGGGTGCGGGGTGCGGGGTGCGGGTGCGGGTGCGGGGTGCGGGGTGCGGGTGCGGGTGCGGGGTGCGGGGTGCGGGTGCGGGTGCGGGGTGCGGGTGCGGGTGCGGGGTGCGGGGTGCGGGTGCGGGTGCGGGGTGCGGGGTGGGGGTGCGGGGTGGGGGTAGAACAGTACATGAAGAATGAAGCAACGGAGTCCCAATCCGGGGTGGTGTGGGGGTGAGGCTGGTGCAGGGTTGGTGGAGTCATGGGCGGAGGAAGACATCGCGCCAGACTGCCAACGGGGCCTTCCTCCATGCCCTCTGCCATCCCCATTGTCCCCCCGCCCTGCCCCACGCTCGCCGTCTCCCCCCCTGGAGAAGCCTCGTCATCCAGTTCGTTACTTTTCCTTATTATGTTTACCCCTCCAGGGTGCTGTACCGCTATGTGATGCATCACCCGCGCCACTTCCTGTCCGCCGACTCGCACGAACAGGCGGCAGCGGGGCCCTTCAACAGTGAGTGCGGGAGCGGGGGGCGGGAGAGGTGTTTCCAGATCGTGTGGGAGAGGGGAGGGCCGGGGTTTTGGGAGAAGACTGTCTTTACAATCCGCACAACGCACGCGATGGTCGGGCCGGGCCGCGGCCAAGGTCAACAGTGACCGAGCCTTTTACCGCGATCCGCCCGCAACCCCCCTCCTGCCGCTTCCTATCCCCAATGCTTTGCCCCAAGCTGTGGTTTCCTAGGGTCCGGTACGGTCTTTATCCCCTCCCCCCCAACACCACCACCTCCTCCTCCTCCCCCGTCATACAGTTCGTCAGTTTTCCTTATTTATCCCCCCCCCCCACACACACAACTCCTCCTCCACCTCCCCCACCTCCTCGCCCCCCACCCGCCCGCAGTTGACTTCGTGGAGCACCTGGACACGTGCGAGGACCGGCTGGGTGGCCACATCGTGGAGCGGGCCTGGTCCTTCGTCTTCAACTGCTTCAACCAACACTGGCGGGAAGCCTGTCGGAAGGCGGGCAGCAGCAGCAACAACAACACCATCATTAGCAATAGCAATAGTGCCAAGGGTACTGCAGCCGCTGCTGCTGCTGCTGTTGTTGCGTCGGATTCCCGCGGCTCTGGGGTTGCGTTCCTTCCATCCCTGTTGCGAGGTCTGCGGACAGAAACGGCAACAACAGCAGCAGCCGCAACGGCATCATCGAGTCAGGATGGGTGGGGAGGCGGTGGTGCTGGTGCTAGTGGTGGCGGTGGTGGTGGGGAGGGGCCAGCATTCGATCCGACGTGTGTGTATAGCGGCTGGCAGTGCTATGATGCCGTGCCGCCGTTTCCGCTGAACACAAGCGGCTTTGCCGCGGATGGCCGCCCCTTGTGGTGATCACATCAGTGGTGGTGGCAGCAGATCAGAGCAGACTGTAAGCTAGGAGCAGGTAGGGAAGAGGAGAAGGGAGTAGGCGATGTGGGCAGCTGGCCGGGGGAGCGGCAACAGCAGGAGCGAACGAACGAGTGGATGAGGAAGGAGGGAGGGAGGGAGGGAGGGAGGGCATGGGAAGCAGAAGGAGTGGCACGTGGAGGTGAGGAGAGGGATTGATGGCGGTTGCTGGCGGCATTCGAGGAGGCAGCTGTGGCCACTGTACGTGGAACACCACACCAAAGCAGGCTCCTCCCGGCCATGACCTGAGGAGAGCGAGGAGAGTGCACGATGCGCTACGTGAGCCGCCACCTCACATCCGCACAGCACGCCAGTTCTAGCTGGGAAAAGCTGTGGAGTGGCGGAGGCGGGGCCGAACTAGCGGTGCTGCAATACCGGTATCAGTATTCAACATGATGCTCTGCGGAGGTGTGCCGGAGTCTGCTCTCGTTATACCGGTATGTATAGTAAAGGAATGAGCTCCGTACCGTTCATGTACGTGTATGTAGGATGCGGACGTGGATGGGTGTGTTAAAATAACTGGCCGCGAGGCGAAACGTACTGTGATTGCCGGAAGATGAAGTTCTCCTCCGTGGATGGGTGTGCGTGCTATTCGGCGTCTTTTGAGAGCCGTACGTGTGTCATCACGCGAGCGTTCTGGGGGTGGTTTTGGTAGGACAAAAAGGTCAGGTTGCAGGTTGTCAGTTCTTCTGATTGGACCGTCCGTCCATACCCACCTAACAAGGCTAGAGCAGCAGCAGCAGCAGCTGCTGTTGCGTACTTCGCCTTCTATTTTGACGTGCCACATCTGTCCCTGCTTGCATGAATGTACAAACCCAATTTGATGTCCAACCACGGGAATGCTCGCCATGCTCCAGCATCCCCTCCCTTCGTGCATGTATGCCGGCATGTAACACCGGTATGCGGATACAGCGCATTTCCGGTAAGCCTTTTTCCCTTAATTCATCCCTTATTGTACGAACGTCTCTCGTCGTACAACAGTCCCCATATAAAGGATCGTACCATTCGTCGTACGACACATTCATACGACTCGTCACGAGCGCACTCACCATGCATAACGCATACAATAATACCCGCCAATACCCGCCGTTGACAACGTTATGAGCACATGTCTTTACGCAGCCCCTCCCCCCAGCAGCATGGAATTCAACTCCTCCAAACGTAGCAGCTGAATACCCTTGCACCTGCAAAATCCACTGCTGTTGCTGCTGATGCTGCTGCCCTTACTTGAGCGCATATCCGCCGGGTTTGGAGCCGCCTGCCGAACCGCCGCCCTCACCTCCCCTTCTGCTGCTGCTGCCGCCTCCACTGATGCCGCCGCCCCTGCAGGTGCACTCCAGGCAAGCGCTGCCGAACGCTCTTCCTCCGTGTTATACCCCCTGGGACGGGAGCGCAGAGGAGGAGCGGAGAGGAGCAGGTTGATGATGAGGGGGGAAAAGGGAGGAGGGAGCACCCAGCAGCTTTGCCCTTTTCTTACCATGCATAGGCGCATGCATGCTTGCTTGCTTGCGGGGGTTGCAGCGGTATGTAATAAGACCGGTAACACGGTTGTATGCGGTGGCAACACCCATGCCCTCAACCCTCGCGACATGCACGCACATGCATGCACGGCAGCCCCCTCCCCCCCTCTTTCCCCCCTCTTACGACTTACCAGTCCGCCAAATACAAGTTCCATCGGGCAGCTAGCTCGGGTACCCGTCGTACCGCTGCCAGCGTGTCGAGCCGGTCATCCACAAAGTGCAGGCGGGTGGCGGGGGAGCAGCAGGCGGGCAGGCGGGAGATGAGGCTGTGAGGGAGGGAGACGGGGAAGGGAGACACGGGGAAAGGGGTTGGGAGGAAGGAGCGGGGAGCTTGGGTTGGAGGGGAGTGGGAGGGCGGGGTGTGCGTCTAATGTACCGGGCAACCAGGGTGTTTGTTAAGAAAACTGGCCGCGAGTAGGAACGTACTGAATTGTCGGGATTGTGGTGTGGACGCCCCACCACGTGCGCCTCGCCCCAACCTGGAAAACGTTTCCGTCGGACGCCGTCGCATTCCCCTTTCTCGGTTACCAATCCTAACTCATTGCGGTTCCGTTGTACCATACGCACCACCCCCACTCCCAGCCACCCCCACTACCCACCCAAGCGCCTCCGCCTTCTTCTCCTCCGGCGGAAGCAGCGAGGCGAAGAGGCGGGGGCTGTCATGCGGCAGATCTAGATCCAGTACGGCAGCGGAGAGCGCGCTGACTCGGTGAGCCGCCTGTGCGTTTTAAGGGATGCATGGTGGGTTTGCTGTATCTAGGATGGGATGCAACGCAAGCTGCATACCGTACACTGCTAAGCCGCATGTATGCAAGTACGCGTGCGTTTATGCAACACACACATGACACGGCCAGTTTTCTTAACACATGACACAGGGCGCAAGGGCTTGCGTTGCGCAATGTGGGTCACGATAGAGATGGGGCTGCGTACAGAAAGAGAGGCCAAGCACCTGCAACTCAGTGTCCGGTACCCGACCCATTTGTGACCGTTACCTAGTGCAGAGGTCTATGGGCCCTCGTGGCCGAGCTGGGAATGTGGTGATGCAAAGTGACGAGCGCAGAGCTACAGCCCATCACAGCTACCGGTGTGGCTCTGTGGGCATCTTACTTTGGAGGAGGCGATGAACCAGGGGTGCGGACTGCCCCGCAGAGCCGCAGCCACGCCCTTGTACGGCTCCTGTAAGGTACGGAGGATATGTTGCTTTACTGCTGTACCAAGCTGGATTGCTGCAAGGTGCGAGGAGTACGGCAATGCACAGTCGTACAAAACAAGGAAAGAGCAAGCAGTACTCGTACGTGTGGTGTACGACACCCGCAACGCACGTACCTGTAGCGCCATCCAGGATTCCGCTCGATTAGTCATCCAGTCGTTCCGGACCGCCTCGAAAACCTGGGAGGCGAAGCGAGAGGGGGATTCACAGCGATCAGCGAGGAGCTCTTTAAGCCGGATGGTTTGATCGACGACAGCTGCCCTTCCCATGGGCCGCATACCGTATACTGACGGTATTCAAGGGAACAGGGGAAGTAGAAACAGGTTAAGGTAGAGGTGGAAAGCCGGAAGACAGAGTTGTGCGTGTCCCAAAGGTTACTCCACGGTACGACGCGTACTGCGCCTCAGCTGCCTGCCCTTGCAGTGACGGACAGTGGTCTGTTTCCCGTTGCGCAGAGCCCAGAGCTCCCCAGAGCCATCGCGACCGCACCAACCTGCGTCAACTCGTCCGCTGACTCGCCCCAGCTGCTAAGTGCAGCCCGCAGCTCCGATGACCAGTTGTTCAAGATAGCGCCCTTGGTAACTGCGCAAGAGGGATCGCGCAATAAAAGCCTGCAAAGAGATGACTTCGTTGGATTGCCCTTGCGGAGACCAAGTTTGACCCAGCCGCATGAGGCATGACCCACGCTGCCCTTGTCCAGCTGCCGCACCTTAGCATGACCATGCTTTCATAGCCCCGGACTAAAGCAGGTCGCACGGAGCGCATAGATTTCCGTAGCTGCGCTCGCCGATGGCCATCTGGTGGAAGCGCATAGTCACTGAAATGTTCAGGCCACCGGAGCGCGGCTGCCTCAAAAGCTGCCGCTGTTATCTGCAATAAGAAACAAACACACGAACAGGGGGCCATCGACGCCAGCGAGAGAGCAGAACATGCCCATGGGATGTAAAGCAACAGTCTTGGTACTACACAGAGCGCATTCTAAGCGGAAGTCCATATGTTGCACCTCTGGCTCTGAATCAACTACCACTCCGTCAAAGTCCAGCACGAAGACGTCCGTTGGCGACGCAAAGTGGCTAGCCGCTGCTCGCGCAGTTCGTTGCGTTGGTAGTCCGCAGCTACGCCGCGGTGATGGCACTGTAAAAGGGGCCTTTGAACATATTCGAGTAACATGTGAGCTTCTTGTTGCTTTGCAAGACTGCCTGCAGCCTAGGAACTTGTTCATTGCCGTTTGCAGGACACGAATGTGCGAGAAGAAACCGCTTACTCAGCTTACGGCCTAACGGCTAAGCAGGTAATCAACACTTTCACAGTGCATGAGCACTATGCCGTAGGGAGGGTAAACGTCAACCTGTACTTTCCTGCCGTGAATTGCCGTACTGTATTGCCTTAAACTGTTCGGCACGCCAGGCGAGAAGGATGATCGACGAAGACGGCTTTGGGTCGGAGCCTCTTCCACACGCGGTCAAGTAACCAACGGGTCTTCCTTGCTGGTACTCATCCAACACAAACACAACCCAAGGGGAAAAAGGTCCCCTTGGAACCTCTGACCTGCCAAGCGCATCCGCTAAGGCTCATTGGCGCGTGCTTGCTAGATAGGCATTGACTTAACAAGATTGCTAGGCCTGTACGCGGCATGCATGCCACATTAAATAATGAACAAGTTTACCCTCCTGACGCCATGCACTGTTACCTGCGCCATTCACAACCCCAAGGCCCCAACAATCCAAGCTGCACGCGGGGCAAAACGAAAACGCCCCGACTAGCGGAGGCAGTTAGGCTGACAGAGACTTCAGCGAGGCTCCCTGGCGCGGATGAAACAGGGGCAGCCATGCTATTGACCAGCAGTGCTCTTCACCCCAAAGCCTGCCTCTCAGCACACCATCCGGACCTCATGTTCGAGTGCCTGCAGGCTATAAGCACACCCGCACACTCACGTTCTATTCCCGGGACAAGACGACCGGCTTGACACATGACACTTGCGTTGCTGGAAAGCCTATCAACCACATATGTCCGCCAGCTCCTTTGACGAGTGCAAAGCGTCATTCTGTCGTACGTTGTACGATGTCCGTACCGTACAGTGTGTTTGTACGACCAGCACCACCACCAATGCCTCCGTCATTCTACTCTCTTTCCAGTAGTACAGTATTACTAAGTACCGGTACTGCAGATAACTGCGCACGGTATTGGTATCAAACCAGCTAGATGTTGCATCGTAGCAGTGGCCTGTACCATAAAGTTAAGTCACTCCGCAAACCGCACCTCACCCTCATGACAAAAAACACGGTACCTGTACGCTCCAGACGACCATGCTGAAACCAAAACCCTCTCAAAATGAGCAAGAAAACCACTTCTCCGCGCACTAGCCCCGAAACCAGGCAGAGCATTCGCAGCGTCCTCCCCAGGCTCCTGCCCTCCACTTGTGGAGGCACGCACCAAGCTCCTCCTGACCTTCTGAAGCCGCCCTCCACCTCAGTTTCCACCGAGCTTTGCTGTCCATATTGCTCTGTTTTTAGCCTTTTTACGTGGCTTTGCCTGTCCTTACCACCACCACCAGTTCCAGCTTGTTCTTACCACCACCACTACCAGTTCCAGCTGAAGGTTTCCCCTTCCCACATGTCAAGATTCCCTGCCACCTAGCTCCATGTTAAAGCCTTAATGAGGATAAAGAGGGAAATCGTTTTGTTAAAGGTCAGGGTTATAACGCACAGACACCCAGCACAAGCACCCTGCTAGGGCCGACTCTCAGTCCCACCTACCCACCGCCACCTCAACCTCCACTGCCTCTGCTCAACCTACTTCTTATTGCTTCCTCGTACGGCAACTCCCTTGGTGGTTCCGCCGAAGGTCTGGTGCAGATCGGTGCACTTCTCTGGCTCCCAGGGCTCCTTGGGGTGGCGAGCCTCGTGGTGCATCTGAGGGGAGGAGGGAAGGGTAGGGTGAAAGGAGGAAGGAAGATGAAGGTGGCAGCGCAGAAAAGAAGGGGAGGAGAAGGTGAAGAGGGAAACAGGGCTTAGGCGGCGCTCGTCTCATGGTAACTGGGAAGAGAGAGTGCGGGAACGGAGCTGCGAGTCTGCGCAACATGAGGATGGAAGGGTGGCGTGATAGGCAGGACCAAAGAGGTGCTGAAAGAAGGGGAGGGTTGATGGGAGAGGGGTTTGTGGGGTAGGCCTCAGGTGCTTCTGGGGGCCAAGGGACAGGTAGGTAGTTCGTAGACGTGCACAAGTGTGAGATCCGTGAAAAAACCGTTCAAAATTGTAATTGACGGGCGAAGCCGAACCAATGAAACCGTACGGCACCGGCGCATGGTACCCAGGCGCTGCCTGTTTTGCCCACACGAACCATCCCATCGACTGACGCCACGAGCCTTGTGGGCGTGCCCACCCCCACCTGCATGCTCTTCAAGTCTGGAGCTGCCTGCTTGCAGATGTGGCACTGGAACTTAGCGTGCCCCGCCTTGCCACCTTGCCGGTCCTCTTGCCCGGTCTTGCCGCCGCCCATGTTAGTCGTGGCAGCAGCAACCTGAAGTGTCCGCAAGCTCACCTATTACTATTGCCTTCCCGCATTGCATAGCTGAACAACACCTAGTAGTGCAGGTAGACTTGGCCACACTGCTAAATAAGCCTCGGCTTGCGCACCTTCATCGCGATTTCCTTAGCTGTATGCTTGGCAGGCTTAGCTTTTCCCATTTTGGCAGTATGCTTCTATAGAACAGTACAATTAGCCCACGCTGGTCCTTCTCTAGAGGCCTGGCGGCGCAGGACTGCGGCGCGGTCCAAAAAGGCGGCAGAAACCTAGTTAGAGCCCCTGGCACTTTGTGAGCACGCTAAAAGGACAAGCTTCTCTACGTAGTAACCCGTCAAAAGTTTTGCAGAGCGTAAACTTCTTCCAACAGCTTGTTCGAAAATTCTTTGGCGACAAAGACCAGCAAAATAAGACTCAAGAAGGGAGGGGATTAAGTGCTGTCAAGCTACAGCTTTTAGAGGCGGTGGTGCGGATGCGGCAAAGAGACTTGCCGTAACAGGTGTACGACAACCGTTGGGGACCCAGCCACGGACGAGGGACGACAATCGCAACATCGCATAACTTGTCTGGGAAATGTGTCATTGTCTGGGAAATGTGTTTAAAGACGCTCTGACATAAACCATGACCCGGCGACCCACGCCATTGCAGAGCACATTCTTATTATTGGTTTATTGCAGCTCAATACTAATCACAAAAGCACGTGATCCTATAACCACTGCGTCCACCCTTGCGGAGCACAGGAAAGCTTTCACTGCTGGGACCTGTCGCGGACTACATGACTACTACACTGACTTGCATAAGCGCATCAACAACGGCGAACAGGCGCAACGCTATTTGGTGTTTAAGTCTCCACCATCCGGTATTGCTGGTACGTTCCGTAGTCTTTGAGCAAAGAACCACGCTACTGCGCGTCGGAACCAATTTGCCTATCGGCCCCCGTGGGGTGACAACTGTTACATGCCTTGACTCAAATGCATGGATGGCATCTTACGGCATCTTTCATTGCCGCGAACGGCGTATAGAGATATTACCCAGCCTTACCCCAGCACGCATCTAGCTTCCCAGCTCATCTATTTTTCCTCTTCCGTACACCTTCCCCATACGATACCTCCTCAGACCGCCTAACAGGGCTGGTCGCCGCCTTCTACTTCGCGCTCCTCACCAGACGCGCGCTACTTATCCCACCCTACCCCATGCCCTACGAAACTCTGTACGACCAACCGTTCATCAATTGGACCACACCACCTCTCAACCAATCCATAGCCTGGCCTGTGACCTGGCCCCCTGGGAAGCGCACCTGCCTCCGATGCGCTCAACCCAAATCCACGTCCGCCTCACCATCTGCCGAACCTTCATCTGACGCATCCGCCGCCTTCTCCTACCCCGAGCTCTTCAAACCGGACCAGCACACCAACTGTCTGGTTTGCGAGGAGGAGGATGGTCGTACAGTGTCGTACCTGAATTGGATCAACCACCCACGGGCCCGCCTGTGGCATCGAGGGACAAACCTAACCGCTGTGTTGCCGGACGTGCACACAATCTACTACACCAGCAATCGAGGTGTGGGGGCGGGCACTGGGCAGGTTAGGAAACCACTAACGCGGGTAAGGGTCTGGTGCTAGAGTGGGTTGGGGGCATACTGAATGCACTGATCAACAGCAATGCCACGTACTCTCGCCCCCTCACCTCCACGTGGCAGCTGCGGTGCCCTGTCCGGAGTGTACGGTATGTCAGGCCCTTTCCCGCTCGTCCTGCTGTTGCCTTCAGCTCCTCTCCCGCCCGCCCCCAATCCAATGTGTATCCCGGCCCATCTTCCCCGCCCCCGTTGGACGTCTCAACGGGGCTTCCCAAACCCCTAATGAGTCTGCTACTCTGACACAAGCACCAGGGTGCAGCAGCCCCACCACGTAGTTGCCGTTTCCCCTTTCACGCCCCTCCCCTCCCTGCACCCTCCCACCCAACCCAACCCCAGGCATCACCATCTCCCTCTTCCACAACCGCTTCCACAACCGCCAACTAACGGCCCTAGGGCTACGACCCAGTACGGCATTCGGTTGTGCCTACAACTACCTGTTCTTCCCGCGGCCCGAGACGTTGGAGGTGGTTGCGGAGGAGCGGGCGGCGCTGCTGTCCGCGCCACTGGTGATCGGAATCCAGGTGAGCTGTGTCGGTATAGGGTATTGGGTATCGCTGTATCGGAATCCAGATGGGCATTGTCAGGTATAGCGAGTGGCATGGGTCATGAACGACCAGGGTTACCGGCCAACCCGTGGGACCCGGCCCCTCCCGGCCCCGCCCCCTTTCCCCTGCAATGAGCTGTTCGGATTGCTCAATTCCTTGCACTGCCACCTCCCATCCCCAGCCCTACTCCCTTACCACGGGAGTGCACAACCTCACTACACTTCGTTCCTTACCCTCTTTCCTTACCCTCTTTCCTTAACCCCTGCCGCCCCCATACCTCCTTCCCATCAGGGCTCGGCAGCTAGTTTACCACTATCACGCAACATATTGGATATTCTTCTTTTCCCCCTGCCGCCCCCATACCTCCCCCCCCTGCCGCCCAGATCCGCACCGACGACAAGCACATGCTCCAGGGGGACATGGAGACCGCCCTGGCTGCTAGGTGGGCTGGGAGGGGGGGGTGCGGGGCAGGAACCTAACTAACCGACTAACAAACTGTATGACAGGTAAGCTCCTTCTTGGGGGGTTGCATCACCTGGTTGCCGACCCATGGTGCGTACGGCATCCCTATCTGCTGCATCGATGTACGACACCCTGCATCGGTTGCTGCTGTTGTTGTCGTACGATACCACACGACTATCTCACAGAAATCCCGCACACGGATTCCGTTTGTACGTCAACTCCTGGCCAGGTACGATAACAACTTCCAGTGTGCAGCACAATTGGAGGCGGAATTGATGATGGCGGGTGAAGAGGAGGCGGGGAAACGACAGCACCAACGCCAACTGCTGCAACTACAACAACTACAACAACAACGACAAGCAGACCAGCCAGGATTGCTGTTGCAAGATCGGCAACAGGAGCAGCAGCAGCAGCTGTCCCAACGGCACCTACTGCAGCAGCAGCAACTGTCCAGCAGGGATGCGGAATTGCAGCATGGGCTAATGATGTCGAAGCTACAGCATCTGATGAATTCGGAAAGGATGAAGGAGCTGCTCGAGAAAATGCAAACAGACCAACAAGCAGGTGCAGCAGCGGCAACAACAGCAGCCGCACCAACCGCTGCAAGGTCTCAAGGAAGCGGTGTTCGTTGGTTTCTGGTTTCGGATTCCGGTGTAGTACGACGGCACGCGGCGGCCCGGTACGGAGACAAGGTTATCGTACATTTGAAAACCAAGTAAGCCTTCCTCAGTTGGGCTGGATCTCCGTACGCCTCATGTTTTGATGTCCTTGTTGTCTGTAGGCCCAGGCCAGGTGCATGCACGTGCCGTACATCTCTCCCGGCCGTCCAGCTGCATGTTCCATATGTTCCATCCTACATCCCGCCTGCAGCAGCAATACATCACAGCAACTGCCCTACCATACCTGGCTCCTCAGTCCTCACATCGTCTATCTGAAAACCTTCCAACCAACCAACCAACCACCAGCACCTAGCCACTGCTACACCTTCCCCCCTTTTGCAACCTCCCGTTGCCTCACCTCGCAGTCCCAGGCATGTATCACACACGGGCCAGGTCGACATGCACGGCTCGCGACTGGCGGCGGCGGAACACTGGCTGTTCGGAATGAGCGATTACCAGGTGCGGTGGGGAGTGGGGTGGTGTGGGTATGGGGTGGTATGGGGTGAAAAAATGCCGGTAAATGAAAGGTGAAGCAACGGATTCCCAACCCCATATCCTGACTCATGCAATGAGCGCATGCCGGGACACTGAAAGGGGTGGGGTAATCCAACTGAGCCGGGAAGATGCGGGTTTGGTGGAGGGTGCACTGCTGTAGTGCAGGGGAAGGGTGTGGCATGAGGGGGCTGGGGTGCGGCTTGTTTAGGAAACAGAAGGCGAGGCATCCGTAGCCTATCTAGCGACACTGGGGAGACGCAACCTGCATGCGGGACCGCAGCACCAGCGGATGCAAGGGGGGGGCTGTGCTGATGGCCGTGATGGGGGCGCAAGCGGCAGCGGGTAGGAGCAAGGTACGCATGTGGGGCTGCCCTTCGACCGCGTGATGCAGCCGTGTGGGTGTATTTTAAACACCCATAACCCTCCCCCCGCCCCCGCCGTACAACCCCACCCGCTGTTGCAGGTGATAAGCTATTGGAGCGGGTACGGTCGTACGGCAGCGTTGCGGTCTCTCCGGGAAATGAATGTGATTGTGCCGTCAGCAACAGCAGATCCAGATCCTAAATCGAATCCAAACTCAACTGCCGTACAATCGTTGATAGCGCCCAAGGTCGGTTGCGGGCTGGAGGATATGCAGGGTCCCTGGGAGCTGGGGGAAGGGTACTCGGGTGTACGAAGAAGGAGAGGAAGGACGAGGCGGAGGTAGGTGACCCTGCCATGGTGGAGCTGAAGGCCTGCTGGCTAGATGGACAGGCGGGGCGAGATGAAGTGCTTGGGCTTGGTAGATGGAGAAGGAGAGGGGAGTAGGTACGTGTTGCAGTGATCGGGGGAGGAGGAGGTGTCATGCTTTACGAAGGAGCGCCGTACACACACGCACGGTCGTTTTACGAGAGTGCTTCTTACTTACTCTCAGCACCAGTACTGGACTTACATATCTACATACGCTTCCACACTCCTCGGCTTCTGTGGCGGTTCTGTGGGGACTTCATCTTCCGACAACCACAGTACGTTCCTACTCGCGGCCAGTTTTCTTAACATCACATGGTAGCAGGTTGCGTGGTCAAGCAACCTGCTGTCTTGCGGTATGTGTAGCGCATCTCTTGCCACTGCTGCGGGTAGGATAGTAGTTCCGGCTGTGTAGGGGCTACCGCTAGCTGCCCGCTTAGGTCCGTCTGCGCGCGTAACAGAGGTAGGGTTGTCATTAACGATGATTCAAGCTGCTCGTGCACCCACTCTTGTATCTTACGCACCTTGACAACTGTTGGCTGCATATGCGAGAGTGCCTGGCTCGCTATTCATGGGGCCAGGTATGCTTCAATTGTACGGAGTATTTGGACTGGTCAGTATCAATCGGGGGTTCCTACCCATACCCATCTGTCTGCTAGTTGGGGCGCTACTGATTGCGCGGGGGCTGCTGGCTGCACGCAAAGGTGGTGAGTAAAGTCGTGCTGTCTACCGTTATCTTCATCGTCCCCGTCCATATCAAACCTATAGTGCGTCAGGAGGCTCTCCCCTCAGTTCAAAGCCACAAAGCATGTCGTGTGACAAGAAAGCGCTTAGTATTACAAATACCACGGCAACGTACCACGGAAACGTACGGCAGTACAACGGTTATTACCACCTAGACAACAGGGGCAAAAAGCTCTTAGTTTTAATAGGATGCCACATACGGCGTGAAGAACACGAAGGGGAAACGTACGGCAGTAACTGGGCACGCAACCGGCAAAGACAACCGGAGCAACTAGTAACAGCCCTAGCGACTGACTCAAACAGACTTCAGCAGCAGCAGCAGGCATACCATGGTGGATAACACAGTCACAAACACACGCTCGAAATGCCCTCGTATGGCACGGAGTAAGTATTAGCTAGTGCAGGAGAAACCGTCTTACTAGGAGACCCAGTGCGACAGGAGAAACACGCGCATCTTATCCATCCAGCAGGAGACCCAAGGTCCAGGGACGTACGACAGCTCTCCCTCCGAGTCCGCAAAGCAAGACGACTATCATGACCTTTTCTTTTTTTCTTTTTTTTCAACGTCCGTCCGTACCTATCACCAGGGCCCACAAGGGAACGGCACGCTGAACAACAAAAATCATCCACAACGCACACACGTCGTTTGATTATGCATGCCTTCATTGCACTCGCTCCGACGGCATGACATCTTTCACCTACGCAAGTGTGCTCATCATTATCGTTTCGTGCAACGACAGCAGGCATGCACTCATCTTCGTATCGGGATGCATGTGAATGCGTAATTGCTTGATTGGTCAAGCACGCATGCAAGTGTGGTCTGCACGCATCAAGTGCATATGTAACGCACGCAGGCGACCTAATTCGTCTTCTCACAGAACCGTGATGTCGGTGTGTGACATCCTGCCTCCTCTGTAAACCAGGATGTATTGATTCACGAACCGGCGCTAGCTAGACATGATGGGCGAGCGACACGCTTCACAAACACAAGGCACATCCACATCAATCGGGGGTGCCATGCATGCATCCTGCCATCCCGCAACATTCATCACCCTGCCTAGATGGAAACGTACGCTCGTGGTCCTCCTGCTTCACAACGTTTTCCTACGCCATCATCACGCATGAATGCAATTGCGTACCGTACGTGTATGCGTGCGTGTGCGAGTGCTTGCTTTGCCATGCATGCATGCAGCATGGGGGCAGACGCACATGCAGGCGCGCTCCTTTATTTCGGACGTTTGGAGCCATGAGAGGCAATCAACCAACATCTTGCTTCTCACGTATGCGGTGCAAGAACATACCACAACAGAAATAGGAAAACGGGGAGCAACACAAGATAGGCCAAAGGCAGCCATGGAAGGGGGACGAAACCTGCATTGACTAGGTGCTGAATTGAAGCCCGACTGCCGCGATATACGGGTAATCCGCCTTGGTAGTTACGCCCGGGTCGTTGTTGACGTTGATTCGTACGGCAAGCACCTCCGATTCCTTGACAAGCTGTTGCATCTCAGCTGCCAATGCCGTTACGGCAGGTTGTACGGCAAAACGGTTTAAGCCAGGGCACGTCAGCTGCTTGGGCGGGATGTTACCGTACAGCGTTACCCATTGCGAAGTTTCCTGCATGCATGGGCGGTTGGACGGTGGTTGGTTAGTCGTTGGAATTAACCTCGATTCTGTAAACGCCTTAGTCCTGTCCAGTATACCGCTGGCTGCAGGTCTTGGCGACGCGCTGGGCTCACTATGGCTGGACTATACATGCATGCATGCGATGAGCCGAACGGACTTCCCAAATCCCTAAAGCCAACAACAACAAACCGTCCATAGTAATACCGGCACGCAAGTAGTGCGACAACGCCAAACAAACCATGCATACCGGCACCTGGCCATCACTGGATGCCGTTTTCAGCAGTAGGTCAATGGACGTGAAGGCAGGGTTGAGGCGGCCGCGGCTCATGACGTACAACAGGACGCCGTCCAAGCGGTCCCCGGTGGCGGCTGGGGTCTGGTTGAAGTTTGCGACCAGCCAGCGGGGGGTCTGGCAGGAGGCGCGGGAAGGAGGGTAGGGCGGGTGGCGAGAAGTGAAGTGGATGGAGCGGCACGGGTATTGGGGGCGGAGGGGTTCAGTAGTTTGCATGCGCATGCATCCACGCCCGCCCAAATGCCTGCTGCATGCATGCATGCATCCCTGCCCGCGCACCCCATGCATCGGTGATGCTACACCTATCTAGCTAGCTGGGTCGGTCCCACTGCTGCCGCATGTGCAGCACCCTGGGCGCATGCACTGGCTCGCTTACCGCAATTCTTGGCATCCAAGCGAGGCCAGGGGCAGCCTTGCAGGCCTTGGCGTCGATGACAGCCGCACTGGGCGCGCCTACAATCTTGCTCACGGCGCCAGGTGCGACGCTATCGCCGTACGCGTCCTGTACGGCATTGTACGACGACACATCAGAGCCGCTTTTACGACAGTTGCGAACAATGAAAGGCAACACAGTTACTACCGGTATTACTTTGGCGTACGTTTCCAGCTGGCCAGATAGTCATTAACAGCTGACGGATAGCCGCCATTATAAAAGGAGGCTGCTGGCAATCAATGGTAGCCTACTAGCTAGTCCTAGATAGGCTTGGCACGTACGGCTTCCTGCAGGCACTGCATACATGTTTTGCATGTGGTGGACTCACGGAAGGGCCGGCGGCGGAGGTAGCCCAGTGCACGAACATCAGGGGCGGTGGTTGTGCAGGTGGCGGTGGAGGCGGAGGAGGCGATCGCCGGTGTAAGGAAAGGGGAGGCGGACGTGGAGATGGTGGTGATGGCGAGGGGGAAGGGGAAGGTGGTAACGGCATGAGGGCAGCAATGGGCGAGCCAGGGGGTGATGACGGCGGTGGCAGAAGGGGTGGCGGTGGAGGAAGAAGGGGAGGGGGTGGAGGCAGAAGGGGTGGCGGTGGAGGAAGAAGGGGAGGGGGTGGTGGCAGAAGGGGTGGCGGTGGAGGAAGAAGGGGAGGGGGTGGTGGCAGAAGGGGTGGCGGTGGATGCGAGGGAGGCTGCGGTGAGGGGGGTGCTGGGCTAGGAGGAAGAAGAGGGGGAGGATGCGGGGAGCTGGGGCTTGGGCTGGGAGGTGGTGGCCTTGTCTTAGGTGGTGGTGGAGGAGGTGGCGGGGAGGGACTTGGAGGGGGCGGTGAGGGTGGAGGCGAGGGGGGCGGGGAGGGTGGAGGCGAGGGTGGAGGCGAGGGGGGCGGGGAGGGTGGAGGCGAGGGTGGAGGCGAGGGTGGAGGCGAGGGGGGCGGGGAGGGTGGAGGCGAGGGTGGAGGCGAGGGTGGAGGCGAGGGGGGCGGTGAGGGCGGAGGCGAGGGGGGCGGGGAGGGTGGAGGCGAGGGTGGAGGCGAGGGGGGCGGGGAGGGCGGGGGCGAGGGGGGCGGGGAGGGTGGAGGCGAGGGTGGAGGCGAGGGGGGCGGGGAGGGCGGAGGCGAGGGGGGCGGGGAGGGCGGAGGCGAGGGTGGAGGCGAGGGGGGCGGGGAAGGCGGCTTGGGTGAAGGTGGTGGCGGCGGTGGCGGTGGTGGTGGTGGCGGCGGTGGTGGCGGTAAGGGTGGAGGCGTGGGTGGAGGTGATGGGGGCGGGGAGGGCGGGGGCGAGGGTGGAGGCGAGGGGGGCGGGGAAGGCGGTGAGGGTGGAGGCGAGGGCGGAGGCGAGGGTGGAGGCGAGGGGGGCGGGGAGGGCGGACTGGGTGAAGGTGGTGGCGGTGGTGGCGGTGGTGGTGGTGGCGGCGGTGGGGGCGGTAAGGGTCCTGCGGGGTGGTGTCAGCAGCGGCGTTCAGTGTTTGGTGTTATATGAATTGGCGGCTTTGTTGACTGCGTGGGATCTTTCTCCACAGGCACTCCAGCTTCAGATGGGCCCGCCCGATCACACAGTACAGAGTGTGTGCTACCGATTGCGAAAAAAACAATTGCAAAAGAGGTAGTGTGTTGATTGTACACCAAGCATGCCCACAAGCGATAGGCCGGTCCCTCGTTGCGACTCAAGCGATGGCACCCATACAGGAAGTGGGCCAACAAGACAGCGGTGGATAGGTGCTGTACATTTTTCGACATGAAGGTAAAACAAGTGCCTTCGCACAGGAGCTCACAGGGAGCAACGCTGGGAGGAAGTAGGTCATCACACGACATCTTTTGAGCTGGAGGGTTGCCAAGACCCACCCACCCATATCTGTTGAACGTTGCATTAATGAGCAGCATGGGCTATGTGTACCTTCTTGTCACTCAAACGCCATGCACGGCCAACCCCGAAAAACAACCCACACCACGCACTTTAGCACCTTACTTCACGTACTCAGACACACCAGCCCAGCCAGTGCATGCATCTCCACGCACGGGCGCACAACACCTGGGATGGCAGGCCATGAGATTGCTTCAGTCTGGCCATTGACTTACCTCCACCAGCTGTCATCTTCAAACTGCGCTTGCCACCGACAGGTCCACCTGTGATTTGGTACACAATTGCAAGCGTCAAGACTATACCTTTAAACAGAGAGTACCACCTGAATTGAACATACTTCCTGTCATATGCATGCGCGTAGTAGGAACCATTATGCAGGCATTTTGTGCTCGCTGCGCTCGCATCCGTGATGGCTTTTGTATCAGGAATGTAGGGACTGGCAGGTGGTTCGGGATTTCGCTGTTGGTCGGCCGTTTCGGCTGAGGTTGTAGGCGGTTGGCGGTTGGGGTGGGCTGGGCTCCAACCCCGGGGTTGGTACGCGAGACCATGACGAATGATAGACCGCCCGGTTCCCACCCGGTTCCCACCCCGGGTCCCACCCGGTCTCGGGTGGGATGGGTTCGCGTCGCAGATAGAGGCGCGGACGGGGTTCTTTGGATTTGGTGTTTGGCGTGCGCAGTCTATCTCCGTTTTTTGGCCGCTCTTGCGAGTCTTGCTTGATCGCTGTGTGTCTTTGATCTCTTGCAGTGCAAGGTCCATGTCAGGCAATCGCTGCCCCACGTCAACGGCACTTCACGGCTCGGAATGACTTGTGATGCCTTTTTGCGGCAGCTCCTCACAGGATACACGTGCGGCTGCAAAGCGATTGCACCCCATGCCGTCCTGTACTGTAGATTATTAAGACTATTGTAGGTAAATGACTGGGGCCGTGTAACAGGCGTGTACAAGTGTACGGGGCCAGATTGGCATTGCAAACGGGGAGCCGTCCATAGCTCCTTCTTGAGTAATCAGACGTCTTTAATTACGGTCGGCCACAACACGCAATACAGCATGCAAAAGCAAGTATTTGCGTCGCCGTACACGGTCTTTGAATGTGTGCTGGGGCAGCAATGTAACTAAAGTTACCCTTCATCTGCACCGTTACAAGTCATTGTTAAGGTTTCCTATGCCAACACAGCGCATCAGCTTCCGCAGGCACCGCAGAAAAATGAAATTCCTAGTTTGGGCACAACGCAAACCTTATTTACATTGTTTACATAGGTAAAAATAACATCATGTTCCGAATTGCTCATCCTTTTGCATCCTCTCTGTGCTTTTAGAGTGTACCGTTGGCGCTATCGGTTGCCTCGGTTGTCGGGTAATCTCCTGGAACGCTGTTCAACGTAGCGGCTTAAGAAGGAGCAGTCGCTAAGTATCAAACAATAGTTTTAAAGTGTCTCGCAAGCATGCACTCTCCTAGTGACGTCCGCGAGGAAAAACAATATTAGGGATCGGCTTTCAGTACCGCCACTTTTAGCTTAAAAGCCGCTAAAACGTCATTAAAAGGCAGGTGTTTCCATTGCGTCTTTTTAAACGGCTTTTGGTACAATGCGCGCATTTTTGTACCAATGTGAAACGCCTCCATCCTAGGTGTAAAATACGTTTTCGACTTAGAACTGTTATATACTACCATGAACCTATGCAAGCGACGTCTCCTCACCCTAGCTGTTTTGCCAGCTAGAATAGTTGTTCTGCTGGCTGCACCTCGAAAAGGGTGCACGCCGGAAGCGCGACCAGTGGGACGCACGTCAGCGCCCAGCCCGGAAAGAGCTTGATAGGCAGCAGAAACCCGGCCATGGGCTTCCTATGAATATTAAAGCTGTGTTGGAGTCGTCAAACGGACTAAAAGCGGTAGTCAACCTTTAACACCGGGCCGGTTTTGGAAATTGGCGGATAACTTCGCGAAAGCGAGTGAGCCGGTTTCCTATGCTTCTTGGTGGCTTTCTGTGTATGCAATGTTGAAGAAGATGCTAGATACTACGGTGGCGGTGAGACGCAGTGCATGGCATCAAGGGAACCAAACGTTTTAATGGAACTACATACAAGTACCCGCAGCATACTTCAATCCTTAGCCATACAATAGCGTCTCTGATGCGAGATGCGTCTTAGCGCTACCTTCATTTAGGCCCCGGACGCGGGAGTACTCTGTCCCTGTCCTAGCTGTTGGCCCGATAGGCGAGCCCCAACTCACCTGCAGCCGAGCCTGCGCTCACAAGAAGTAGCGCCGTCACGAGAAGCACTATCGGTAAGCACAGTGACCTGGTTGATGAAGCAAACGAACTTGTGCCATCTCGTCGGGCCCCCATGTTGCTGCCTGGGCGGCCGACTTCCCCGCCACGAAGAAAGAAACACCTATTCGGCTTTATTATTATAATAGCTTAACAAATGCCGATGTGGCAATATCCTGGTAATCGATGCACCGCTGAGCAACCTCTGCGTCGGCGAGTGCAATGCAAACGATGCACCAAGGGTCTATTACACTAGATTTATAGCAGGCTTGCTTCCCCGAGGCTTAGGTACATCATGCTATAAAGGCTCTGTCGACAGTTTCGGACATAAATCCCTGGTGCAGCCCTCGGTCACGACACTGGTGTACCGTATGTCGGTCAGAAGGAATAGGCGAAGGCGAAGTATCTTCGTGAAAGCCCTGTTCCTGTATGCTCTCGTAGCGCTCAATAAACACATTGATGAGTGCCACGCCTATGCCTTGCCTGCCTGACGCCTGTACTTGTCCTATTCGCCTTCAATGGCGGGCCGAGGGCGAATATCGGAATATAAAGTATGCCCAACGCCATTGAATGGATAGTTCACTTCCTTGGCTAAAACAAATTTGAGCTCTGTATTACTCCTAATCCCCGCCCCCCCGAGGTGTTAATTTGGAATCCAGTACTCGGCTGCTAGACTCGCGCCAGTGAGGGAAAGAAAAGCACCCATTTCCTTTGTGGTGTATCTGGAATTCGTTGGTGCTGTGGCGCAGCTATCCCAGGCCCCAGCGGCTACAAACGCAATTGCTGCTCTTTGGACGGTTCGCCTCGGCTGCAAAGTTAGACACTACCCGGCCCCCCGCCCTTACACGGGACATAAGCATATTTAGTGGCGCCGGCTGTGCGGCGTCTGTTTGCACTTTGGCAAATGGGTCGCGACCATGGTTGCCAACGTGGCAGCCCCCAAGCCAACAGTTCCTTCAGGAGAGTACTTTTATAGACAAGGATATGAGAGCTGTTGTGTCGCAGGTGATTTTGTGACCCACGAAAATTGTCGTCACGACTTTCAGCGCAATGTGAACTGCATTTGCATGCTGCGATACGCCTACCTAAGAACGAATTCAACACAGCTCTATTAATCGGCATACGTATGCGCAAGGAAAGCATGCATACTTGAAAAGCGAACCAAGTTTGTTGTCCGTTGGTGTCTGGGAAAACTATTGCAGACACACGCGGACACGAAGGCACTTTTATAGAATGCTCTTCAATAAAGAACTGTAATCCGTATACAATAACGTGTTCAAGAGGTGAGACGGGCTTCCGCCCGCCCCGCCATGGATCCAGGGCCATGCTGGGCTTATACGACAAGGATCGCTACAATTGCAAGCGCCCTGTAAATTTAGGATGGTTTAGATGTTCTTTTTTACGCTGCAGTTAAGGCTATCGCACAGCTGCAATGGCTGTTCTTTGCGCTAACGTGAATGCTGCACAGCTAAAGAGTTTTCGCACGCCATTTTAGCGAAGCTTCTACCTGCGAATGCCCGGAAATTTATCATGAAAGCTCTCACAGCAACGCAGTGATGCTAAACAGCTTTTTCTTGCACAACCGAGGAGGTAACGAGCGATAAAGGAAACACGGAAGGCGGGCGTTTTCCTGTTTGCACTACCTTTGTCGTATAAGCCCAGCATGGCCCTGAATCCATGGCCCTGACGGCCGGCCCCCAACACGCGTGCGACCCAACCTAGAGTTGCTAACATTGAACTCTGGTGCAACCCCTTCTACTTTTACTGCCATATCCGACAAGCCGTTATTTACATTCTTTGAAGCAGTGCTTTCGTGACGCAAGCTAGTTACCTGACTCGCAATGGAGAACGGAGCACCAGTAGTTGCACATGTGCAATGCGTGTGTTCTTCGCGCACATGGGCCGAGGAGCGATAATCGCAACGTGCGGCTACCGTGGGAGACCGTTGCCACTTGTAAATGTGCACGTTTGATGGATGGCCACCCGTTGCTCCTGCCCATCAAAAAGGGAACAACATTGATTAAGCATGCACAATGGCTGTTCTTGATGCACATGAGCCGATCAGCGATAATGGAAACGTGCGCTACCATGGGAGACATCGCCACGTGTAGTTGTGCACGGTTGATGGATGGCCACCCGTTTCTGCTGTCCATCAAAAAGGAACAGCATCAATTGCGCATTCATGATGTTGCTGTTCTTGCTGCATATACACCATTCGATATGCGTATGCTCAGTGTAAGGGCGGGGGGGCGGGCCATGTACGTTTTTTGCACGTGGAGCCGCTGGGGCCGGCATAACTACGCCACACGGCGTAAAGGCAACCGGTGGTTTGCTTTCCCTCACTGGCGCGAGTTGAGCAGTCGAATACTGGATTCCAAAAAATGATAACACCCTCGGGGGGGAAAAGTACATTATGAGCAACACCAAATACCCTTAGATAATATGTCCTGTCTGTGCAATCCTCCGCCACGCTAGAGACCACACTAGCTACCAGCGCCTGGTCCTCAATGCTCATGACAGTGACCGTATCCGTTTCCCGAGGAATACCACTTTCCCATACTCCATAGGCTTATGCTCAGTGTAAGGGCGGGGGGGGGGCGGGCCATGTACGTTTTTGCACCTGAGGCAAACCGTGGTAGTATGACGAACAGCTGTGGATACTCGTGAGCTTTACTGGCCTTTGACGATGGTCACGTCCTAACGACGGAAAGCGCAAAAGCGAGGTGGGTCAGACGGGGGTAACGTTTTCCTTTCATGTTTTCCGTTTTACAATCCGTTGCTTGGACTGAGGGGTGGTGCTCATGATGCGATGCTAAAGGACAGCGCGCAATGTGGGCTAGGTGACACTCCGCACCGAATGCTGTGTGTACTGCCTTACATATAGTTGCCCAACGGCTACCACCAGGCTACATCATGTACGGCACTCCTCCGTACAGCACCCCCCACAACATCCCGGCAGCATTACCACCAGTCCACCACGCTATCTATAGTGTGTACGGCACGCTCTCTCCCTCGGTGGCCGCTGCCGCCGCGTCCCAGTAGTGCCCCACCCCGGCGTCCTCCAGCAGCTGTCGGCCCGCGGCGGTGGAGCGCACTGTCTCGCAGCGGAAGTTGGGGAAGGCGCGGCGCAGCACAGTGCCCTGCCACACCTGCAATACCGTTGCGTGCATGTTGGGTTGCGGTTTGCGCGCGTTGCTTGGGGTGGGGTACCGTACGAGGGGAGCAAGGCAGGAAGGCAGGCCAGCATGGCATGTGTTCATACGGAAAGCGGTAGGTGCCGGAGAGGAGCACAAGGGGCACCATGCAGACATGCACTGCAGCAGCACCGGGTGGACAACCAACACAGGGAGGCAAGGGCACACTTGATGCATGGCAACGCGTGCTCCTAACACGCGTACGAGGAAGCAGGCGCCTCCTCCACCCACCAGCGTGCATATGTTGGGCGGCGGGCGCTCCTCCTCCTCCTCCTCCTCCGCGTCCTCGTCGTCGCCCATGCCGCCACCCCCGCGACCGGCCCCAGCGGCTCCAGCAGCAACAGCGGGTGCGGAGGACCAGTCGATACGCCGCATCATCAGCTTCATGTACCTACGCGCGTGCATGCACCCGGCAGGCGTGCGGGCACGGTGGCATACACGGGGCACGGGGATGAGAAGCGGGGCTAGGTAAGGTACCTATGCGGGGAATCCAGGCCGCGTCACAACAATGAGCTTCACGTACCTGCGTGCATGCGTGCGTGCATGCAGGAGGCGTGCAGGGGCACAAAGGAACCACCAGGCAACTTCGTCTAGCGCTGTGGAAGCGGGAAGCTACCAAAACACACCCTCCTCGCCCACGCGAAAGAAAGAAACGGGTGAGTGTTAATTCTGCGGCTCTGTTCATCCAACACGCAAATGAGAAACTCGGGAAGCACCCTTCCCACCCCCACACTGCCTTGGCCTAATTCACAGTTCTCCGAATGCGCTCACTGCATGAGTCGGGATATGGGATTGGGACTCGCTGTTTCACTTATTTAATTTTTTTCCCGTTCCCTGCTGTTCCCTTACCTGCGTGTGGCCTTCTCCACGCCCTCCACCACCACCACACAGAAGTCGTCGCTGATCACCACCATGCCTGCAGGCGCGGCAGCAGGCGAGCGGGGTAAAAAGAAGTAGTGAAGCACTAGAACCCCAATCCCATGGGCCCACTGCATGCAGTGAGCAAAGAAACAATAGGATGTGTAGGGGCGGGGCAGCGGCGATGGCGGTGGCAGAGGGGCGGAAGGCGTTATGCCCCCTTCCCGCCTCTCCTCTCCACACCGTCTTGCCCTCACTCCCGGTCTATTCTCTCCTCCACAACCCACCCACCCCCCGCCGCCTCTCCCCCCACGCAACCGCCTCTCACCCGTCATGTGGTTCTCCCGCGCGTTGGCGTCCACCTTGAAGCGGTGCTGCGGGTCCGTCATGCGCCCCACGCGGTACACGCTGCACACCACATCCACACCCGCAGCAGCCGCAGCAGCCGCGTTGGCAGCCGCAGCAGCAGCAGCCGCCCGGCCCGCCTTGCCGGCTGCTCCCACCTCCGCCACCCCGGCCTCCACGGCCGCGGACCCGAACAGCTTGCGCAGCTTCTTGTCGCGACGTTCCGCGGGGGTGAGCATGCGAGCCAGGTTGCGGTCGTCGTGGGCGGCCTAGAGAGGGGGATCGCAGATGTACCAGAGCCACAGGTTAGGTCAGGACAATTGGGATAAAGAGTGAAGCCGTTTGTCACCTGAACGAGCGGCAGGAAGGAATGAGGAAGCTGGGTTCCTGCCACTCTGATCCTCGCTCTCCCTCCCCTTCCCTCTCCCCTCTCCCCTCTATGAGTCGGGATATGGGATTGGGATTCGTTGTTTCACTTTCATACAATTTTTTCCCCTCTCCACTCTCCGCAGCCAGATGATGCAACCCATCAGGGTGGAGCGTACATGTCTCACTTTTAGCAACAATTCTCCCCCTCCACCTCCCTCTCCTCCTCCCTCCCTCCTCCCTGGTTTGGTACGGTATTCCTCAGACCTGCCCTGCCCTGCCCTCCTCCCTCCTGCCTGCCTCGCTCCCTCTCACCTGCCTCTCCGCCATCTGCTTGCGGACCTCCTTCTCCACCGCCGTGGGGTCCAGGGAGGCGTCCGTGCCCAGCACGCGGTGCAGGTTGGCGATGCGCACTTTGGGCTTGGGCGGCTCAAGCAGACCTGGCGCGGAAGGGTAGGTAGGCAGGTAGATAGGTAGGGGGCAGTAGGGAAGGGGGCGGATAAAGGGGTGGGATGGGGTGAGGTGAAGCACAAGGAGAAGCGGCTTGGAATGCGATAGCTTTATCCACCAACCATCCCAACCCGCACACGCAACCCGCACCCCAGCCCCACCCTGTCGTATCAGCTCCTGTTTCTCCTTGTCCCGCGCCAACCGCCGCTGCGTTCGCAGCTTCTTGAGCTCCTTGGCCGTCAGCTTGAGCGGCTGCGGGGCGGGCGGGGGCGCCTCCGCGGGGGGCTCCAGCGGCACGGGGTGCTCCACGTAGATCGTGAGCTGTGGGTCGTACGGCACACGGAGACATGGGGAAGGGTACGACACAATTTGGTGAGCCGCATGGCATACTAACCGTGACCGTAACATACCATACGGATATGCATGGGGCAGGGTACGTGCGGTACATGCGGAGCAGGGTTAGTTAGGAGGCACAGCGGCGTACGTAGTCTTAGTCAGTAGTAATGGGAGTGGAGTGCAGAGGGCGGGTGGGTGGGGCTAACCACGCCAATCCAACCCGGTGGGCAGGTGTGTGGGGGCACATACCCACACGACCGCACCCGGGGCCATGTGCACGTGCACAACGTTGTTCGCACACACCCCCAACTCACACACGACCTACCCGGGCCTCCTTCAGCTGGAAGGGCCCCAGCTGGCCCGCCGCCGCCGACACAGCCGCCTGCCGTACTGCCACCGCCGCCGCCCTCTCCGCCGCCACCACCTCCGCTGCCGCCGCCGCCGTCAGGCCTCCCTTCTTCTCCTCCTCCTCCTCCTCCTCTTTCTCACCATCCTCACCGTCCACAGCCATCTCCTCAACATCACCACTCGTGTTTCCCTCCACGCCGTCAACTGCCATGTCCACATCACCACCGCTAGCGCCGCCGTTAGCAGAGGCACCGCGCCGCCGTACGGCAGGAGCAGTGACGCTGTACGACAGCGCTTGCAGCACCTCCGCTGGCAGCTCCGGCACGTCTTGCTCCAGGGAGGCGTGTGCTAGCAGGCCGCGGTCCCACCACTCCACCGCGGGTACCGGGGGCTCCGCCTGTTGTTGTTGTTGTTGTTGTTGGAAAGAAGGGGAGTGATGAATGAGGAGATGGGGAGGCAAGGAAGGGGAGGCGGAGGTCAGGAGAGGACTGGAATCACCCCCGCGGTACCAAACTCGCGCAAACCCGCCCCACCCCCACATGCAGCCCCCCCCCGTCCCCCACATATGGGTATGCTTCATTCCCCCCTCTCCTCCCTCCTCCTCACCTCCGGCCCCGGTGTGCCCTCCCGTGACGCTCCTCCCTTGGCCACCGGCTGCCTCGTCCCCAGCGGCACCATGTTGGCGTCCATCGTCATCGCCGCCGCTGCCGTACCTGCTGCCGTACCTCCCAGGGGAATGCGACTGGGGCCGCCCAGGGGCCCGCTGACCCGTGGGGCGCCGCGACGGTAGGCGGCGGAACCCAGATGCGACTTGAGCCTGGGTGGGTGGGGGCAGAGGAAGGGGAGGGGGCGGGATGAGGGAGGGGGAGGAACAGGAAAGGAGGGAAGGGATTCAAGTCCATGTCTCCTGAAGCCAACCCGATAACTGTGTGCACCGTGATGATGCCGATGGCAATCTGCAGTGCAACAAGAATGGACAAACCCAAGAAAGCTTGCCTACCCTCCCTCCCTGCCGCCTCATTCCCCCAGTGTTTTGCCCTCGTTCGTGATTTCCTATGGTTTGGTCCCCCTTATTTTGACCCCCCCCTCCCCCTCACACATTGGAATTGCTTATTTCCCCCCCTCCTCCCCACCTGAACAGCTCCGCCTCCCGCTGGTAGCGCCCCTCCTGCACGAAATCGAAACCCGCACGCCGCCGCCGCTCGCCCCGCCGGGCAGCCGCCCCGCGCTCCAGCAGCGGGTCGTGGAAGCGCTCGTCCTCGGGCTGCGGCTCCGGAACCGCCGGAGGCAGGAGGGAGGCGATGCCGGCAGCCTAGCGGTACAGGGGAGAACGGCAGAGGGGATTGTACGGCACGGGAATAGCGTATCGCGGCCTTACCGCGGCTTGGTCTATCCACAACACCACTACCTCCTTCCTTCCACACGAACGGCACACAACACCCACCTGCACGCTCATCAGCCCCGGCGCGGGTGTCACGCCGCCCGGCAAGCGGCCCGCAGCAGCCAGGGCAGCTGCAGGGAGGGGCGGCCGCACCGCTAGCGTCACGCCTGCGTGCATGCCGGGGTAGGGAACACTGGTGTTAAAAAAACTGGCCGCGAGTCGGAACGTGCTGTGATTGCCGGAAGATGAAGTCACCGGTGTGTGGGTGGCGGGGATGGGGGCTTAATAGGGAAGGAGCGCGTGCCGTGATGACGCCACGCCGCAGGAAAGCGGGGCAAGGTGGGTCGTAATAAGATGACGACGAAGGAGACGAAGGCCAGTCAGTCAAGGGCGGGGTCAGATCGCGTCGTGGAAACTCCCATTCCTAGCCAGGATCCCAGGACCCAACCCAACCCAGAGTCCCACACGTTTTCCTGGAAACTACAAAGTCGGCCTGTGCAGGGCCTGCAGGCGGAATGCGTGTGCGTAGCGCCCTGCCCTCGTGGGTGCGTCATCCGCATGGCTCACCCGCGGGTCTCATAGGCACCACCCCGGCACCGGCTGCTGCTGCCGGGCTTACGGCAGAGGGTACGGCAGCTGCTGCTGTCGCTGGGGTTGCGGCTGCGGGAGTAGCGGCAGCAGCAGCGGAGGGCGGCACGGAGGCGGGTGGAGGCAGCTTGGCGGCGAGCTGCGGGGTTTGTGGCAGCAGGGGGCATCGTGGAGGGAAGTGGGCGGGTTAGGTGAGGTGCGGAGGGGGAGGAGGCGTGGCTGTCGTAAGGGCGTGGCAGCGCAAGGTTAGAGACTGGTGTCAAACCGCAAGTTTGCCAGACATCCAACATGCCTATACATGCAAGCGACATGCACATACAGATCGCGACTCGGCCTGTGAGACCATGTGCAAGTGCGGCGGCCATGGCCTTACCCCAGCCAGCGACCAACAGCACCATCACCGTCATCATCGCCGCAGCTATTGCCACTACCCAACAGCAACAACACCTGCCTGTGGCAACCGCGACTTGAGCTTTTCCTGAATCTCCTTTTGCAGCTGCAGCGCCTTCTTCGCCTTCTCGAGCGCATCCAAGCTAAGCGAAGCTGGGCGAGCAGCTGGGGTAGCTCCGGGAGCCATGGCACCAGCAGATGCTGCTCCTGCTGCTGCGACGGGCAGTTTTTGAAGTGCAGCGGCCGCTGCCTGCGCAACAGCTGCCGCAGCGCCAGGAGACAAGTGCGCGGCGGCAGCAGCAGCAGCTCCTGGAGCCGGCATGGCGACCAACCCCGCCGGCCGTGCAGATGGTGGCTGGGCATACTTGGCTGCCACGGCTGCAGCTAATGCTGCTGCGGCGCCTGGGTTTTGAGCGGGAGCAGGGGCTGCGGCTGCAACTGGGGCTCCAGCAGCAGCAGGGCCTGAATCCCACCTGTAAGCAGGCAAGGTTCGGGAGTCATATGGCAACGCTGATCTGGTGGTATGACGGTAACAAGTAGCCTGTGCAATGTGTGAATAGAAACATGCCGGTTGGGACGGCCAAGTACTGCGAAAAGCTAGCACTGGGATCGCGAGACATGCTTAGCTGCAAGCTCCCAGTATTCCTGGCGTACCTTCCACGCTTTGGAGCAGGTGCGCTTCCATCCCCATTTCCATCTGCTTGGCGCTTGTCCATTTGCAGCCAAGCCTTGACGGCAGTTCTATTCGGAAATCATAGATATCTATGATAGTCTATGCCTGTATCAGTTGCTATTCTCAATCGAAACCTAGCTGTGCAGAAGCAGAAGGGCTGCTAACATTCCCAAATCGTCGGTGCACTAGCTGTACGGCATACTCGGCTGCTGTCTATAGGGGCAGGGTCCGCGCACCTACTGATCTAGCAGTTGTAGCTTACTTAGTTAAAGATGCTGGCTCATCGTGTTCAAGCTTTTCGTGCGACGGCTGTCAGCCGGCGTCGTCTAACTGTAGTCTGCAAAGACTCGCGAATTGGGCGCGCACCGGTCACCATTCCAAAGGGCGTTACTGTTACTCTTGAGGGCAACCATGTTCGCGTGAAGGTTAGACAGCAACGACAGCATGCTTCCATATCTGTGGCTCACAGTCGTTGTCCTGGTCGCGCAGGGCCCCAATGGGACCCTTGAGCAGACGCTTTCTCCGCTGGTTAGGGTGGAGCAGGTGTGGTAACTTGTTCATGAACTTCTAGTTACAGCCACGAGAATGTGACAGCGCTGGGTAGCGACGTTCTGCTTTGGGCCCTTCGCAGGCCGATGGCAAGCTTAAAATTTCTAAGCTTGCGGACGATCGTGTGGCGATGTCTCAGCATGGGCTGAGCCGGTAAGGGAAAGACACGATGCCATAGGGATAGTCCGAATGGCCGAATTAAGGCGCTGCGTTATCTATAACTTACATTTCCTCAATTACACCCCTACCAGGACGCTGGTCAACAACTTGGTAGTAGGCGTGTCGACCGGGTTTGAGAAGCGCATGGAGATGGTAAGAACGGCCGCTCACGATTGTGAGCACAAACCGCCCGTTTCCTCGCCATACGACCGGACAGCAGCAATAGTTGACAATGCAAACTCCAAATCCATGACAGGTGGGCACGGGTTACCGTGCTAGCGTGGCTGGCAAGGAGCTCACGCTCAACGTGGGCTACAGCAAGCCCCGCGTCCTGCCCATTCCCGAGGGGCTTAAAGTGACGGTGAGTAGCTTGCCTGCTATCCCTCACTCAACGTGAAAGGGACGGGGCAAGGGAATAGCGGATTGGATTGCCTTTCCCCTCCTGGGATTTGGGCAGGAGGAGGACCGGGGAGCTGCTTAAACAATCCAACCAGGAAGGGGAGGGCGAATCCTCTGCCTTAAAGCGGCCGGGAAGTGCGATGCACGTGCGGGTCTGGAGGGTGGGCAAGTTGGGTATGTGGGCTTGAAGGGTGGGAGAGCAGCACGGGCCCGCAGAGCTTCTGGGGCGGCACGCTCGCGTGGGTTTTGGAACGCTTAGGGGTGCGCGGGGTGGCGGGTATGGGCGAAGAGGGTTTTAGGCAGCGGAGACATGCAGTACAACATGGGGAGTAGGAGACGAACGGAGCGACAGCGGGGACGTACGGTATGGCAGCGGCGGGAACACGAGGGGTTGTTGAAGGAACGGGGGGGGGCGGCAACCGGGGCTTTAGGAAGGGGAGGCTTGCGTAGGAAAGGGTTTGTGCTGTAGGTGTAGTGGATGGCTTGCGATGTCGGGAGGTTTAACGGAGACCCTTTCGGGGTTTCAATTCCACATGCCTGTGTCCCGTGCAGGTAACTTATAATGCTCTTACCCCTCTTCTGCGTGTCATCATCCAGTCCCTGTTATCGGCCATTGCCTTCCCCCCTCCAATCCCGATTCCTCCTCCCTGCTCCTTTGCTCTCCATTGGTCTCGTTCCATTGGTTGCGCCTTCCTCCCCCCAGGGTCGGGAACAACACCATCCGTGTCATTTCGGGCGCTCACTTACCCCTTATCAGCCCCAACACCCACTCCTCCTTCTTCCTTCCCTAATCTCCCCGCATCACTCCCTCCCCTCCCGCATCGCTCCCCATATCAGGTGGAGAAGAACACCACGCTCGTCATCTCCGGCGCCAACAAGGTCAGTGTGGGCGACTTCTGCGCCACCATTCGCCGCCAGCGGCCGCCGGAGCCGTACAAGGGCAAGGGCATCCGCTACACGGGAGAGGTTATCAAGCTGAAGGAGGGCAAGGGCGCCGGCGGCAAGAAGAAGTAAAGCAGAGGGCTGGTAGGAATAGAGCGGCTTGATGCTTGGCGGGGATGTTGAGAGGAAGTAGGGGAGGAAGATGGAGGGAGGGGAGCCGCAGGGGAAGTGAGGAAGTGGTGGGGGAGGTAGACGAGTTGGAGCAGAGGTATAGAGGAGCAGGGGTGCGGCTTTGGGGATTTGGGTTTTGGAAGTTTGGTGTGGTATTGCTTGGAGACTGGGGGTAAGGGAAAGGCAGGACGAAGGTAGGAAAAAGGGGGGGAGAAGAGAAAGAGAAGAAAAGGCGTTTGCAAGGAGGACATTTTTGGGTTACATAAGTGTGCGTTGGTGATCAGGCGGGGCCTTTTTGAGGGTGCCCACCCGCTTCACTTTGTACAGCGGTTTTGTTTTGCACGACGTTTTGTGATAACATTGCTGACCGCGGTGTTGCGGTTTGTAATGTGTACGCATATGTACGAATGCTATACTATCATGTGCGTGTAAGCTGCACCGCTGGGGTAGAGACGCACCGGGTTGGGGGGGCGTTCTTTCGAGGAGGGTTCTAGCGACGCTTGGTTGGTTGCTGCAAGGCAGCACATGTCACCAGCGGTTACACACGCCAGTGCAATCGGAAAGGGTTGAGCAGGTGAGGACAGAATGGCGTCCGCGCACGCAAAGGTAGCACTACCGTTGCCATGTTCGTCAATCAGCACATACTTTGTGCGTACACGAAAGGTCACGCATGGTACGACATGCCAAGCAGCTTAGGGAGGGGGGAAGGGCGCAACGTAGCAAGATCTGTGACGAGTGCGAGACGCCCCAAGCAACCATGTATATGGACGAGAGAATTGTTTCCTGTCCGAGAATTGCTTGCCGCTGTGGACGACCCGATCTGCCTCGAACAACCAGACACCCAACCTGTCCTGATCTGGCACAAGTGGTATGGCTATTCGTGGCACAACAAGGATATCGCAACATCCTGCCGTCCATGTTTTAAACCCACGTGACCTTTGGTTTCAGATGTCCTTATGCACGTGGCTAACCCTATACAACATGGTGGTGCAGTCCTAGCGCAATCCCAAACTGCTCTAGGCACCGTCCATGTTTTGATTAGAGCTGCATAACAAGTCGCTGCTTGACAACAGCAGGCGCATGCTTCAGGAGCAGACGGTGCGATGGACACCGTGATTTCACTTCAAGCAAACACCGCGATAGCAATGGACGTCATAAGTCAAGGCAATTGTAATCGGCATGCCGCATATGCCGTACCATAGGCCCCGTGCGCTTAACTCCAAAGGAATAGACTCAAATGGGTTGCATCCAGTTGATCGGTGACGACGTAAGGTTGAAGGCTTAGTCTTAGCAGCAAATTAGCTGCTCTTGAGCTGCAAGCCGCCCTGATCGTCGCACACGTGGCTGTGTAAACATGCTTGGTGAGGGAATTGGAAATGCCGTAGGAGCTTTGCATGTTATGAAGAGCAGCGCGACACGTGTGATAGGATTATCTCGGCGGCGAAACCCTTCCCTTGTTCGGATTGGAGCCCTAGGGAACCCTTCTCGTAGACGTTGGCTTATAGTATGCTTCCAGACCTTTACATCCTATGCTGATATTACATGATCAATATATACAGGACTCAAGGTCAACCAGCGCGTTGCTGGCGCGCGGGCCAAGCCGGCTTCCGTGCCGGCGCGGGCGCGCAAGCCATGCGTCTCCGTCCGTGCGGCAGCTGTGAACAAGGTCGTCCTGGCTTACTCCGGTGCGTAGTTTCATCTCCGGGTGCTCGATTGAAAGGAGGGTTTGTTACTGTAATGTGCAAGTATGATGGTCAAGGAATGACTGGCCAAGCCCACTGCATAATACTTATTTGTGATGCACTTCTGCTTCATTTGTCTGCATGCGGCTGGGTTACGCGAACTGGTTGTGACCCAAAACGTGTCACACGTTCTCCGGTTCTCAGGTGGCCTGGATACCTCTATCATCCTCAAGTGGCTTCAGGACACTTACGGCTGTGAGGTTGTCACCTTCACTGCTGATCTGGGCCAGGTGCGTAATGTCGCTTGTACTAGGACTGGCAGTGCGGGTTCGTCACATGTCGCAATTGCCGTTTGCTTGCAGGGTGAGGAGCTGGAGCCCGCCCGCGCTAAGGCTGAGAAGATGGGCGTGAAGCAGATCTTCATTGACGATCTGCGTGAGGAGTTCGTGCGCGACTACGTGTTCCCCATGTTCAGGTAGGTTCCAATCTTCCAGACTACCGGACATAGCAGCAACAACAGTTTCCTCGGCTAGAGGAAGGGCCAACGTGTACATCTGCTTGCTTTCTTCTACGTCTATGCTTCACAGCCGCCCTTTAAAGAGTAACAACTTGTCAAGGAGCCTACAGTCAAACACGTCCGTGCCTCTCGTCGCTTACACTCTACGCCGCCTCCCTGCGTCCTCCATTCTCCCTTCTCCTCACTCTCCCTTCTCTTCCCATCTTCTCCGTGCGCCCCCCCAAATCACTACTTTTGCTTGTCGTACAGGGCCAACGCGCTGTACGAGGGCACCTACCTGCTGGGTACCTCCATCGCTCGCCCGCTCATTGCTAAGCGCCAGATCGAGATTGCCAAGGAGGTAAGCACGACAAGTACGACAACAAGAGATGATGAGTGGGGACCGAAGGATTGCACGACAGCAGGGGGGTGAATAGAAACCAGAAGTTGCATAGAAGAGGGAAAAAGCAAAGGCGGACGGAGTGGGATGAGGTGGGTGGGACAAGTGCAGCGGGAAAAGAGGGTTGGGTAAGACGTAAGGGTACGAACGGCGTGGGGGTTTAGGAGTAAAGATGAAAAGGAGTCGAGCAGCAGGGGGGCCGTAGCAACCGCCCGCAGGGAGCTCTCCTGAAGGGTACCGTATGCCTCATCACTCAACCACGTTTCGTTAATCGTTTCCTCTTTGACCCACCACCTTCTGCCCTCCGCTCTCATGCTCTCGGTCCTATAAGACCACCCGTTGCTTCCTCCTCTCCTCTCCCCGACGCATGCACCGCACCCCCACCCCCTCCATGCACACGGTGCGGAGGAACACCCATGCCCTCGTAACCCCCTCCTGCATGCGCACATGCAGGTGGGTGCTGACGCCGTGTCGCACGGAGCCACGGGCAAGGGTAACGACCAGGTCCGCTTCGAGGTCGGGTGAGTGGCGGGTGGGCGGGAACAGGAGGACACACACTGTGTTGAAAGCAAATGGCAACTAGGGAGGGAGGGAGGGAGGGTAGTGGAGGGGACTTGCAAGAGCACGATGCACGACCCAGGAACCACCCGGGGTGGGGTGGAGGAGGTGGGGCTTGGCATGGCGTACCCACCGGGTTGGAGGCCCATGGGGGGTGGGGAAACGGGTTGGGGAGGGCACAGGTTCCCGCTTCAAGGCGTTGGGTGTCAGCGGCTTGTGGTAGTGGTGGTGGCGGTGTGGTGGTGGTTGAAAGAGGCAATTGACCAGTGTCCCCCCTCCTCCCTCCCCTGTTCTCCCCTGCTCTCCCCTCCCCCCCAGCTACTACTCGCTCAAGCCCGACATCAAGGTGATTGCCCCCTGGCGCGAGTGGGACCTGCTGTCGCGCACCAAGCTGATCGAGTACGCGGAGAAGAACGGCATCCCCGTGCCCTCGGTGAGGGAGGTGGTTAGCGGGAGTTGGTTAGGGGAAGTTGGTTAAGGGGTAGGCATAAGGGACGTGGTTACCGAGGTTGTGCTTGTAACCAGGAGGCGTGAAACGGAGGGCATCCCCTTGCCCTGGGTGAGCCAGGGAGCCTGGGAGAGCCAGGCTAGTTCGGAAGAGGGGAAATGATGTACTACGCGCCTTTTGTGATTACATCTATGGACGTTACCCCATGTTCGCACGTTATCACCACCCCCACCCAACCCACACCCCCTCCTCACCCGCCCCCTCAGTCCAAGCGCGGCGAGCCCCCCTTCTCCATGGACGCCAACCTGCTGCACATCAGCTACGAGGGCAACGCGCTGGAGGACCCGTGGGCCACCCCCGACGAGAGCATGTTCACCCGCTCCGTCTCGCCCGAGAAGGTAGGGAAGGATAGAGGAGATGAGGAGCGGCGGGATGGAAGAGGGCTGAAGACCCGTGGGTCGGTCATTCTCGGGCGATAGAGTGGTCGGGCTGTAGGGTGATGAACATGTCTTGAAGCGCACTCGGTTTTTGCACCAAGGCAATCGTTCCCACGAGGCCTCAGCGACCCTCTTGTCTTCCCGTTGTTTGCCGTACATTCCCCCAAACCCCCAAGCACCCACCTCCCCTCCTTGCCCCCTCTCCCCACCTCCCCCCCCCCCCACCATAAGGCCCCTGATCAGCCCACCGAGATTGAGCTCGCCTTCGAGAAGGGCAACCCGGTGGCCATCGACGGAGTGCCCATGAGCCCCGCCACCCTGCTCACCAAGCTCAACCAGCTGGGAGGTGGGTGGATGGGCGGGGTTTGTGTACGGCAGGGTTTATAGGGCTTTTGTGTACGACACTTGATAGTGTACGAAACGTACGACAGGAAAGGGTCAGGACTCTGGAAGGCTGTTTCATGTGTGTCCAAAGAAAACTGGCCGAAGTCGGAACGTACTGTGATTGCCGGAAGATGAAGTCATGGGTTAAGAAAACTGGACGCGAGTCGTCACGAGGAATAATTGAGCGCGTTGCACATTGCCTATTGCGAGGACGACCCCTGTTACCCCAACTTCCCACGCCGCCCACCCCACCCCTCCTCTTAAGATAGTGTCTCCGAATGCGCTCACTGCATGAGTCGGGATATGGGATTGGGACTCGTTGTTTCACTTATTTAATTTTTTCACCCTTCCCCAGGTGCCAACGGTATCGGGCGTGTGGACCTGGTCGAGAGCCGCTTCGTGGGCATGAAGAGCCGCGGAGTGTACGAGACCCCGGGCGGCACCATCCTGCAGGTGGCGCACAGGTAGGCGAGAGGAATGGGTGTACGACGGTTGGGGTTAAGGGGGAATGTGGGTGTACGGCACTGGAGGAGTCACGGGGTATGTGTGCGACAAGGGGAGGAATGAGGGTTTGGACCCGGGAGTTGCGGGGCACTAGGGCCCGTACGGTGCGGTATGCGAACATGTCGGAGCCATGTAGCATCAGTAGCATCAGTCGTGCGTCACCCGACAGTTATATCCCCTGCTGACCCCCTTGCTGGCCGCCAACCGCCCTCATGTTCTCACCACCCTCACTCCCCGAACTTGCACCTCCCCTAACCCTACCTCCTCCACCCCTTCCTTCCCCCACAGGGCCATGGAGAGCATCACCCTGGACCGCGAGGAGCTGCACATGAAGGTGGGTGGGTGGGTGTGTTCAAGAAAACTGGCCGCGAGTCGGAACGTACTGTGATTGCCCTATTGTGTGTGGGGAGAAGAACCATGCGTGGAATGTTGTGGGGGGAGGAAAGGGGGGCTAAGGGCGTTTCTCGGATTGGGGAGGCTGGTGGGGTGTATGCGGACTATGTGAGGAGGGGTGAGGGTGGGTTGGAGGGAACGAACCGTTAATGTGACACCTGGCGCCACCAGGTCTTGCAACATGTGGTCGCTGAGCCTCCACCCTCTCCATTACCCCTCTCATTGCTTTGCCCTGAGCTGCGGATTCTATGGTTTGGTCTGTCTTCTCCCTCCCCACCCCTAGTTTGCCATTATCATTCAACACATTGGGTCTCCTTCTTTTCCACCTTCCCCCCAGGACGACGTGATGCCCCGCTACGCCGAGCTGGTCTACAACGGCTTCTGGTTCAGCCCCGAGCGCGAGGCGCTGCAGGCGCTGGTGGACAAGACGCAGGAGTACTGCACGGGTGAGGGGGAGGGGAGATGAGGAAAGACCCGTGGGTCGGTGTGTGCTTTTTTGTTAGGACGGGACTGAAGATGTGGAGGCTTGGGGCCCCTTGTCAGCCCCTCGTTCGTCTCCCAACCCCATATCTTCCGCATATCTTCCCCACAGTGCGTAAATAACCCACCATCCTGACCCCGGTCTTCCTCTGTATTCCACCTCTTTTTCCCCAGGTGTGGTCAAGGTGAAGCTCTACAAGGGCAACGTGACCGTGTGCGGCCGCAAGAGCCCCTTCTCGCTCTACGACAAGGTACGACATAGCCGTGCGCGCGCTTAGCTATAGCTCTGTAGTACAACTCGTGTCGTGTGCCAATCCAGACTTCCCGCTCTTCCCGCGCCCAATTTTCCCGCTCACGCAAACGAAATCGATGCCTCCCTGCCGACTGTAAATCATATGTCCCCACGATCCACATGCCCCATAAATTCCACCCCCTGTCCCACCTCCGTCCTGCCCCCGTAAACTCACCCCCCCCCCTGCCCAACCCTCGCCTCAGGTCATTGCTTCCTTCGAGGACGACAAGGGCCTGTACAACCAGGCGGACGCGGGCGGCTTCATCAAGCTGCAGGCGCTGCGCCTCCGCACGCTGGGCGTCAACCGCTACAAGATGCTGTAAGTGAAGCGACCATGACCCATGGGTGGTTCTCGCGGGCGGCGGTGGTAGTGTGTGAACCGCAGGGGGGCCGTTGTTTCAAGGCGAAGGAGCGGTGTTGAAAGAGGGATGTTGCAGCTATGCCTGGGCTGCGGGATATGGCAGCAGTAGCATTTGCAACAGCTTGTCGCGAAGTGGGTGTGCATATGTGTGGGCAGCAGGGTTTGCAACAACCCCTGTGGCCTAGTGTTAGCATAGTGGCTAGCTGGCACCATTCATCCGGTATCGGAACGTTTTGCGCAAAGGACCAATGTGGTGGTTATTGTCCAATAATATGCCCCGTCCGAGAAGAGGAACAGGCAAAGGGACCCACGGGTCTGCGTGTCGCTCTATGCGTACCGCGCTGCGCTGAAGTGCTGTGCGCATGCATGTGTGTATGCGTGGGTTATAAGTTGTCGGACGTACGGCAAATGCTGTACGACCATTCTCTAAAGTCCGCGGAAGTGTACGGGCCACTATGTTGGTATTGGCAGATTAAGGGAACAGAGAGAAGATGAGATACAGGAGAGTGTTTTGCGAGCGACATTATATGTGGCGTATGTTTGGGTTTATGCTGCCGCGGTTCGCTGTGTCAGAAGGAGCAGGAGCAGAGATGTTACCCGGTCTTTCTGTCAACTGGCGCACCGCCCGCTTACGGTTATACTGTACGGATCATAAGCGGTACGACACGGTTGGTTGCCATACCGGGTCGTTTCGTTGCACATGTTACAGCTGTACGGACAATGCTGCGCGAAATGTGAGGGAATGCGGCGGCTTGGCGCGTTGTGAAAGGGTGTGGCGCTCGTGTGGAAACCTCTGTAACGGTTACTGCCGGTTGCTTGACCTCGTTGATCCTGGACAAAGGTATGCCCTGAGGACAGCACAGACAGACGGGTGCCCCGACGGGCCGATGTCAGATCCGTCCCACCGTGCACCGCAACTTTTCCCTAAACCCGTCCACGGGTTGCTCACAAAGTTGCTCGAAACCCCTCTTTCCAACTGCGGGCCAGGTAATCCCCTGCACGCTATGCCAGTGCGCGGGCTTAGGGCCTTACGGCTTAACCATCCCACAGCTGTGCGCCCGCTCTTCACTGTATCCCCCTCATCCCGCCCAGCCCACGATTGCTTTGCAAGGCAGGGTTTCATCCCCAACCGCCATGGCGTTGAATAGTTGCGCGTTGCTGGGTGTCGTGGGAAGTAGTGACTGGCAAAGCCGCAAGGGATCCTGGCTGGGTGATGTTTAGTTTGAGGTGGAAGTCAAACGCTGGCAAAATGTTAGGTTCAGTACTGCGGCAGGTGTAGCATGTACAGGGCGCGCAAGCATACTCCTCTTGTACCGAAGTGATTCTTAAAATCTTGCAAGATGCTAACACAACTAGCGCGACACGAGACTAAAAGCGCTGCAAAGCCCTAGGTCCCCTAAACGAGTCTGACTCACGATCGGATTGTCGTACATCAAAAGCTCCAGCAAAAAATCGCCCAGCAGCTTAGTTTCCTTTTTGGAACTTTACCTGAAGAGGAGATGGATCCGTCTTGTATGAAGTGCTGACTTCTTTTTACACGCCTTCCCGCCTTCTAAACGCAAGTATCCTGTCAGTGACCGTGATCACCAGACTGCAACCTTTTAGGAGTAACTATGAGTTGCCGCTAAGATGTTTAAGAGCTCGCTTGAGCTGAACCCAACCATGGATTTAAATTACTCTGTGCACCAGCTTGCTCCAGACGAAGATGGACTTTATGCACAAGCTTCTGGGAGTGGCAGCACCAGCGAGAACTTTAAGGTCCGTTTATACAGCTAATTCCTGATGTTTTCCGAGCACATCGACCATGACTTACATGTTCGCAGGTGGTTGTTCGCATCCGGCCTCCGTTGCCTCGCGAGCTGCGGGGAACAGGTCTACGTGCATATCAATGCACAACAGCGGTGGAGCCTGGAGATCGCAACATCATCTTATCGGAGAACTTGCTGGTGCGATGTTGCTACGGGGCTCCGTATCACTTGGCTTTTACTCAGCCATAATGAAAGGCACACCGTGATACAAGCCGGATGCCTCCTGGTGTGGTGTGAGCGTCGGTAATGAGGGATCCAGGTGGTGATGTGGGTTGGGTGAGGTGTTACAGTCAGCCAGGTCTTCAACCCAATTCGTAAGACACATGCCGACATGCGAGACGCCTGCTGCTCCAGGTGGTAGAGGGCAAGGGAAGAAGGGATATGGTGTGCGGCCCTTTCCGCTGCACTCCCCTCGGCGTTTACTTGCGCCCCCCCCCCACGCAAACACCTTCCCACGCTCCCTTGTCTGCCCCCTTTTCTCCCTTTCCTTTCCTTCCTCCTCCGTCCCTCTCAATTCCTCCCTCCCAGGCTGCGGTGAACCAGCAAGGCAGCTTAATGGTGGACGCGGGGGCACTCTACAACACATACCGGTAGGGGTGGGGGGCAGCGGGCAAAGGAGGGGGGGCAAGGATAAAAGAGCAAGGAAAACCGGGCAAAAGGGAATGGTGGAGTTGTCTTGCTGTAGATTGGGAAGGGCGCTGTACAAGACATTCGGCTGGGGGAGGTGAGGAAGGGAAGGAGGGAACATGAGTACCTAGCCCGGTCCATTAGAGAGGCAAATAGTGCGAGGACACTAGAGAAAAGGAGCGGTGGGCATTGAGGCAAAGGAGAGGTAGGGTGGGGCGCTATGGCCATACCGGGTCGGCGACGATTGGGGGAGAGGAGGGAAGGGACATGCGGGGGCTATAGAGGAACGGAGGTAGGAAAGTCGAGGAGAGGGGCGGGAGGAGGGGCATGGAGCCTCTACCGCCCGATGTGGGCCCCCGCTAGCGAGCTGCGCAGCAGGGCTCGCCGGCCACACGTGTCCTCATGCATGAGCCCTGACGTGCACTGGCCTTGCAAGTCAAACTGCCCCGTCCCAACCCGCCTACAACCGCCCCGCCCCCCGCCCAGGTTCACATTTGATTACGTGTACGACCAGCACTCGCCGCAGGACCGGGTGTACCGCCAGAGTGCGCAGCAAGTGGTGCTGTCCATCCTGCAGGTGGGGGTCAAAGACCATACCAAACCAGGGAGGGTGGGCGGGTGTGCCAGGCAGTGTGCGGATTTGGCAGGGGCCGATGGAGGACGAAACGGGGAGAGTCATGATGTGTGTGATCTTGGCGAGGGGGTCTGGGAGGGGAGGAACACGCACAGCAGATGGCGCTGTCCTGCTCATTATGCAGGTGGGTCAATGGGTTAGGAAGGCGAACAGCACAGTAGAGCCTGGGGCAAGCTTTGGGGGCGGGAGATCTTCAGCCTGCCCCAACCCAACAGGGCCCTAACCAGGCGTGGTGTGTGTTACAGTGCAACAAAAAAGAGGATATGCGGTGCGAGGGCAGGCCTAAGGAAGCATCGCGAGAAGGAGGGCCAGGGACTGGTACAGTAGCAAAGGCAGACGGGAAGGAGACGTGTGCATCGTACCCGGCGACTCCTGTGTGCTCGGTGTGCCGGGCAGGTGCGCCGAGCACGTGGGAGGTGGTGGGGGTCGCGGAAAGGGAGCCATGTCCGAGGGAGGGGTAAGAGGGCAGGGGCACGGAGGCAGGGGCTGGTGCCCATGGGTCGCCGTCCCTGCCTTTCTCCCCTCGCCTCCCATTACCTCCACCCCGCCCCCCCCCCCTTGTTGTGTCCGCCTGTTCTTTCACGGTTTCCTTTAGCCCCCTTTTCCTGCTCTAGCCCGCTCCCAACACGCACTCCTCCATTCCAACCCGCCTGCAGGGCTACAATGCGGCCATTATCGCGTACGGTCAGACGGGTACGGGCAAGACATTCACCATGGAGGGAGCCATGGAGGTAGGGGGGGTGGGGTTTGGGGGTGGGGGGATGTGTGTTTCGGGGCCATGGGGGAAAGGGAGTGGGTAGGGATGGGAAGGGAAGGCAAGATGGGAAGGGAGGAGGTATGTGGCTTGTGTATGCGTGCGTTGTGTGCCTGTGTGCACCGCAGATCGAAGTGACATTGTATCGCGCGCAGGCCCTGTTACTACCCCGTCCCCCTCTCCTCTCCCTGGTTCGCCAAGTCATCATAGCTGGTTTCCTGCCCGTTTACCTCCGCCCCTCTTTAGTTCGTTCCCTACCCCTTACCTCCGCCCCTCTTTAGTTCGTTCCCTACCCCTTACCTCCCCCCCTCTTTAGTTCGTTCCCTACCCCTTACCTCCCCCCCTCTTTAGTTCGTTCCCTACCCCTTACCTCCCCCTCTCCCCTGTGCATGCAGGGCCCGGATCGGGGCATCATCCCTCGCACGGTGGAGGACATCTTCACCTACATTGTCAACGACCCGGAGCCATCCAGGCAAGCGGGGTCAATGCGCGGTGATGCAGGCCATAGGAAATCAAATGGGGGGTAAAGAGGAAAGGACTAACGAACCGTGGGGGATCTGTAGGTGGAATATAACACCTCGTTGGCCATGGTAGCCTAGTGGGGAGGGAGGGGAAAGCGTTTGGAGGTAGACTGGGTTTCCAATGACACTGTGGCATGCATGGAAAGGGAGGGGAAGAGGGGCGTCTTAACTTCCTGCCACCCATGATGCGCCTGCTTGATCCATGACCGCCGAAGCCCCCTACCCTACCCTACCCTCTCCCCATCCTCCCACGCCCCCACAGCAAGTACCTGGTCCGCTCCTCCTACCTCCAGATATACAACGAGGTGGGGCTCGTGGGTTCTGTCACTGCTGCTCCTTACTGCACCTACGAAAGTAGCGCTACCGGGGTTCCTCCTCTGCCCTGTCTTCCTCTGCCCCGTCAAGCTCCAGACCCTAGCCTCTCCATGCCCTCACCCAGCCTCCCAACCTGCTCTCAGCTGGTGTCAAACCCGCCCAAGCCGCACATCAGCGCCCGGCAGGACCCCGCCTCCGCCCACCCCTCCCCTCTCCTCTTTCCCTCATGCCTCCCCGCCTCCTCCTCCTCTTCCCCCTCCTCACATTCACCTACGGCATGGTACTCTTTGTTCCTTCTTCCCCCCCCCCCCCGTGTGGTCTCCTATGATTTGGTATGGTCTTTGACCCCCCCTGTGTGCTGGCCGTTCAGACCTCGCACGCTCGGCTCGACTAACTCGGTTCGATTCCCCCAGTGCTTGTCGTCCGGTTTGCGTTCTCCTTTAACATGGAACGCCATTGGGAATCCCCCTCCCCCCCGTGTGTGCAGGTCGTGTCGGACCTGCTGAAGCCGGAGCGCTCCCCGCTGGCCATCCGGGAGGACCGGCGGAAGGGCGTGTACGTGGAGGGGCTGAGCGAGTGGGTGGTGCGCTCGCCGGCCGAGGTGTACCAGCTGATGCAGCGGGGGCAGGCACTGGTGAGGAAGGGGAGAGGGGGGGAAGAGGAAACTGAGGAAGGGGAGAGGGGGGAAGAACCGGAGAACGTGTGTGACATTACTGCCCGAGTGTATTTGTCGTGAGGGGGGGGGCCTTACACAGGCCCTTGCACGGTTGTGATGGATTGGATGAAGCGGGTTGCAATTGGGTGTATGGCTCTACAGGGATAAGGAGGTTCTTGGTCCTCCTTGCAACCGCCAGGGCCTCCTTTTCGTTCCCCTGGCCCAATATTCACGCACGCCAGTACGTTCCTACTCGCGGCCAGCATACGCCACCCCCTTTCCCCCTCGGGTTCTTAGTCCTCCTCACCCCCTGGGTCTCCCCCCCTTTCCCCCGCCCCCATACACACACACGCAGCGTGCCACGGGCGCCACCAAGCTCAACGAGGTGTCCTCGCGCTCGCACGCGGTGTGCGTCATCATCGTGGAGAAGTGTACGACACCGGGGGAGGGAGCCGGAGGGGAGGCGGGGGCGGCCTCAGCTGCCTCCTCAGCAGGGGGTAAGGCGGGGGAGAGGGGGATGTGGTAGGCGGTTTTGCGGGTGTGGGCGTAAGCAATTTCCTCACGCCCTTACCCCCGTGCCTCATTTCCTGGCATCTTCAGTGGGTGGTGTCAGCCCCTCCTCTATCTCCCGCACCCTTACGCCCTCCTTCACTCTTCCCATGCATGTACCCCCGCCACCCTTAGGCCCGAGCCCTGCCCATGCCACCCGTCGCCCTCTCGTGCACATTCCTTTGCCGCCCCCTCCCTCCCCCTACCCCGACTGGGACTCGTTGTTTCACTTATATAATTTTCCCCCCCTGCCCCGACTCTAGTTCCTTCACTTTTCATTCACTATCTTCCCCCACCCGCTCCCAATGCAGGTGCCCCTCCTTGGGCCCGATCCAGCACTGCCAGCGCTGCGGCAGGGGAGGTGTCCGTGCCCACCATACAGTCTATCAAGGTGGGTATGGGTATGGGTAGGTTTTGCCAGCGAGCGTGTGTGTGCATTCATTTCCCCCTCCTCTCTCCCCCCCCCGCTCCTCCCTCGCTCCCCCAGTTCGGCAAGCTCAACCTGGTGGACCTGGCGGGTAGCGAGCGGGTGCACGTGACGGGGGCGGTGGGGCGGAGGCTGGAGGAGAGCAAGAAGATCAACGCATCGCTGTCGGCGTTAGGTGGGAGGGGGGGGAGTGGGGAGGGAGGGGTCAAGCGGGGGTGGATAGCCCGCACTGGGCTGGGACCAAGGAACGCACATTCCAGACCCCGACAGCTGAAGCTAACACTCCGACCGCGTAACGTGTTTGCCCGTGCTTGGGGGGGCCCAAGCCTCCCTTACTTGCATGCCCCTGTCCTGTACTGCTCAAGCCCAGACGCTGTCACGCCCATGGCCCCATGCGTCATCCTTCCTAGACTGCACATGCCCCTGCTTTCCCCCTCTCCCCCTCCGCAGGTAACGTCATCGCTGCGCTCACCGACCGGCGAGAGCGCTCCCACATCCCCTACCGCGACTCCAAGCTAACCCGGTTGTTGGAGGATTCGTTGGGCGGCAACTGCCGTACAACCATGATTGCCACCATCGCGCCCTCCCTGGAGTCCTTCCAGGAGTCCCTCTCTACCCTCAAGTTTGCAAACAGGTATACATGGACAGGTGTGCCGGTGTTTCCTTCTTCATTTCCCACACGCATTTCATTCCCCTCCCCTGTTTCCTTTCCTCCCTCCTTCCCTGCCTCGTAAGCGCCAAGAATGCCCGAGGTGCATGCAATGAAGGATTCCACCAACGCTGATTCCCTTCTTCCCACACCGTGCAAACCCTGCTTCCCTCTCCCCGCTCCCGAAACTCAACAAGGGCCACGAATACCGTAATACCCTATCAGAAGTAATACCCTATCAGCCCCATGCACCCTTTAGACCCTCCTCCTTCCTCCTTCTGTCGTCCTATCTCTGTAGCATTCCACATTGATAATCAACACCGTTGACCCTCCCTTGTGGCACCTTGCCGCCTCCTGACCCCCTTGTCTTGCTCTCACTTGTGGCTTGGTGCTTCTTCTGTGCCCCCCTCTCCTTCCCGACCCCAGGGCCAAGAACATCCAGAACGAGGCGCACGTGAACGAGGACCTGGACCAGCGCACCATGCTGCGCAAGTACGAGCGGGAGCTGCGGCGGCTGCGGGACGAGCTGGCGCGGAGGAGTCGCAACGTGGTTGACAAGCGGGCGCTGCTGGTGGTGAGAGAGGAGGGAGGGAAGAGGAGGGAGGGAGGAGGAGGGAGGGGGGTTGGGGAGGCGATACGGGAGGGGACATGGGAGGGGAGGGGTTATGGTTTGGGGTGTAGGTGGCGGGGATGATGATTGAGGATCCGCCCCCCCACGTCGTATGTGTCCTTTCTCCCTGTACTTCTCCTTCCCCCACCTCACTTTCCCCTTTCACCTCTTCCCTTTCCACTCCCCCCCCCCTCCCCCCTCCCTCCCTCCCCTCAGGCCGAGGAGCAGGCCAAGCGGGCCGAGGCGGACAAGCTGGCCGCCCTCACCGCCCTGCAGGAGCGCAGCCGGGAGTTCCTGCGGGAGAAGGAGGAGAAGCGGCAGCTGGAGCTGCAAATCCAGGTGGGAGGGGGAGTCAAAGACCATACCATACCATACCATAGGAAACCATAGGGAGGGAGAGGGGGATTAGACACGCTGAGCTGCGAGGTACACTGATCCTGGCCGTAGTATACTGGAGGGGGAAGAGGAGGGGGCGGAGGGGAAGGCTGGCGCCTCGCCGGGACTCCTTGTTGCATGCCAACGCAGCTCATGACGTCCTGTCCTCCTCCCCCCTCCCCCCTCCCTACTGGCGCATGCAACTCCAGCTGCCCCAAGGAGCCCGACCCAGCACCTAGCGACTTCCCTCACGAGTCACGACCCCCTCCCTCCTGGCCCCCCAGTTCCGGTTCCCCCTCCCTCCCTCTGAGAGTAACCCCCATAACTACTGACCTCACCCCTTCCCTTGATTGTCAGCAACTTGTATCAATATCATACCACAGTTTGGAATTTCTTTTTTCCCTCCCTCCCTCCCTCCTCTGTTACTTCACTTTTCAATCATTTTTCCCTTCCCCTCCCTTTCCCCCCTCACCCCCACAGCGCCTGCAATCCCAGCTGCTGGGCGGCGGTGGCTCCGGAGCCGCCCTGCATGAGGTACCGGCGGTGCGAGCCATGGTGCAGCGGGAGGCGAACAAGGTCAAGGGTGAGGCCTGAGGCGGATCCGCTCACAGCACAGCACACAGCATGTCGGGTTGCATGCCTGGGGACTGTTCACCCTTATATGCCTCCCTCGCCGTTGGTTTCCGCCGTCCGCCTCTCCCACTCGCTCTCCCCTCCTCCTCGTTGTTGCATGTACGTGTTGCCCCTTGCTTTCCGTAACCCCTTCCTCCCGCCCCGTCCATAAGACTATACACATCATTCCAATTGGCCCAAAATGGTTATATCCCTCATGGTGATATCTCATCAGTTTATCTAATCCCCTCCCCCCTCAATCCTATACTCGGTGCGCAACCTTCGTATATTAGCCTACTGCGGAATTTCCATAACACCCTCCTCTCTCCCCCCCCGCTCCTCTCTCCCGCCCCTCTCCCCTCCCCCGCGCGCCTCCCCCCTCCCTAGAGCACTACGAGGCGCGCATCCGCGCACTGGAGGCGGAGCGGCAGGACGCGGAGGGCAGCGCCAGTGCGGAGGTGGACCGCTACAAGCAGCTGCTGTTGAAGCAGCGGGACATCATGATTGCACTCACGGCGCGGCTGAACGAGCGGGACGAGCGGATAAACAGCCTGCAGGTGGGGGTGTGTGTGTGTGGGGGGGGGTAAACAGGGGTAGGGGGAAAGATGGAACTGAGGAGGAAAAAGGAGGAAAGTGAGGAGCTGTATGACATGGGGTGCGAACATGGTAGCCGGGGGTAATGGGAGGGGATGGGTGGGGTGGGCGGAGAGCCCGAACAACTTGCAGGTGGGTGTGAGGGTGGGTGGTGGAAGGACCGCAGAGGCGCGGAGGGTGAGGGCGAGGTGGGTGCTGTGTGGGGCATGTGCGGGCTGAGGGAGGGGGCGCGTGTGTATGCGTCTAGCACTGCACCCGCCTCCCTGCTTACCACTCCCTAGCTTCTCTCCCTTCCCTCTGCAAACGCACTGCCTGTCGTACGGCATACCACGATACCAGTCTGCAATCCCAACCGACCAGTTAACCGCTGTCTCCCACCTCTTGACTGGCAGGAGGAGCTGGATGCGTACGACAGGTACCAGCGGCAGTTGGAGGATCAGTTGGACGCCAAAACCACCGAGCTCATCAGCCTGCGCAAGGTAGGGGGATGGGGGGAGGCAGGGTAGCAGTAACAGTGCCAGAAAAGCAAACGTGCCGCCCCCACGCTTGTGTTATCTGTGCATGTGCGTTGCCACCATGCTCGTGTGGCTTGCGTGGGTGTCCGCGTTTTTAATTCCCCTCCCCTCCCAACCCTTGTCCCTCCTCATATCCCCCCCTCCTCCCCCCTCTTCTTCCAACCACAGGCTGCAGTCGAGCACGCAGCCGCCTCCCCAGCAGGCCTCCGGGGCCCCGGGGGCGGAGTCGACCCCTCGGCGCTGCAGAACGCCCTGGGGGACTGGGGCAGCGGGGGAGGGCTGGGGAGGGAAGCAGGCTTGGCACAGCTGCAGCTACAGCTGCAAGGGCAGGGGCGTCAGGGGTACAGGTAGGATGGCAGGCGGAGGGGGGTACTGAGGAGGGATTTTGGCAGGGGGCGGGAAGGGGCGGCAACAGCCTCGGGACTGCGGTGGGAGGGAGAGGTGAAGAGACAGGCTGTTTGGGCCGAGAGGAGAGGCCGCCTAACCCCTTCCCGCGCTCATGTCGTCATGAATCCCACCCTCCTCAACCTCGCAAGGGGCTTTGCCAACCGATCGTCGCAGCGACTTCTCGCCAAACCCTTCGGGGCAACCAAGCCCACCATGTACTCCGTACCTCTGAGCCATCTTTTCTCTAATCTGCTTCAACCCCACAGAGCTTCCAGTCTCGAAAGCGACTCCTCCGCCGCCGCTGCCACTGCCTCCGCCGCCTCAGCTGCTGCTGCCGCCGCCGCTGCAGGCGCCGCAGGCAGCGCATTCGCCGCCTTGGCAGCAGCAGCGGCAGCCGGAGGGGGAGCAGGAGGGTTAGGCAGTGGTCGGTTAGGTGGCTTTGGCGGCCCCTCGCCCTTCCCCGCGCCGCTGTTTTACTCGGCGGATGGGACAGCGGTGGAGCTGCAGGTGAGGAGGAGGAAAGGGAGGGGCCGCCTGTGCCACCTGTGCGTGTGTTAAGAAAACTGGTGCGTGTGTGTGTGTTTTGGAGCACTAGGAGATCCGCAATAAACTCGCCAAGTCCTCTCCCCTCCCCTCCCTTTCCCCTTCCCGTTTTCCCTCTCACCTTTTCCTCTTCCCGCTTCCCCTTTCCACGCGCACCCAAACGCACCCACACGCACAGGGTATGGAGTCCCAAGAAGCCACGCCGCGCAACTACCCCTCCTCCGCCACAACCACCACCGCAACCACAACGGCCACCGCCACCACCGGTCAACCACCCTCCTCCTACTGGCGTAACTACCAGCTACAACAACAGCAGCAACAGCTACAGCACGCGAATGGGAGCGGCTGGCAGTACGGGTCAACGGTGAGTATCGGAGTTACGGCAGTTATGGGGAGGAGGGTGTTGTCATTGGGGCTCGTTGTTGTTACGATCGGTGCCGTAGGACATGAATCGGTGACAGGGTGGGGACCGTGGGGGCCATGCCGGATGAGGGAGGGGCCCCCGTGATGACTGGATGTCTCCCGCAGCCCCACAGCCCACTTAGGTTGCCCCCAGCCGCCCAATCCAAACCCCTCACAATGCTCCGCACCTAACGATGAACCATCCTGCCTTGCCGCTTCCCAATAAAGGTCCTCACCGGGACCTTCAATCTGCCCCATGCATGGCTTATAAATTCGTCCTTTGGGATTTCCCTATATCCAGACACTCACCAAAAGGTTGCCCGCTTGCCACCTAGCCCATCCCAAACCTTCCAGAGGCACCGCCCACGTCCCACCCCACCCAACGTTCCGCACCTTGCGGCAAACGCCCCTCGCCGCTCCCCAACCCTCACCAGGACTTGTACGGCACCCCGGGTCCAGGGCAGCTTGGTGGCGTGGGAGGCGGAGCAGCAGCGGGAGGAGGAGGAGGGGGGCAGGAGGGTAGCGAGGAAGCGGCTTCACCAGGTGGGGGGGGGGTAACGGCAGCTACTTGTATAATGACTAACTCGATTCAACCCGCTGAACATACCGGGCCCGATCCAAATCAGCCAATCCAAAACAGTCGATGTATTTACGCACCAGAAGGCTGAGACATACCGAGTGGGCGGGCAATACACCCCAAACGATGCTTCCTGACCCCATGCTCCCATCTTCTCAGCGCTTAGTCGAACCCCGCTTTTGCAATCTTCCTGCTTTACACACCCTTCCCCTTTCTAGCCCCCCTGGTATGGTTTGGTTTGGTTTGGTACCCTTACCTTCCTGTCCTGCCTCTGTACCTTTTTAAAAACGGCGGTTCCCGTGTTCGCACTGCTGTCTCCTCCTCCTCCTGCTATGCATGCACCCATGCATGCATGCACGCACGCAGGTGAGGTGGCTGAGCTGCGTGCAGCCGCCCTGACGGCCGCCAAGGAGCGCAGCGCGCTGCAGCAGATCCTGGACTCCAAAGTGCGGGTCATGCTGGCGGAGATCATTGCGGAGGTACGGCAGGGAGGGATGAAGCGGGGGTTGGCGGTAGCGGTTGGAAGTGCAGCAGATGTGTGGGGATGTGGCAGGGGTTGGGGATGTAGGATTGGCTGGGCAAGGGGACGGGGAGCTGTTTTTTTACAGTCAAGTGTTCCGCTCCGTGCCTTCTGTTTCCGCTCTTCGCACTCCTCCATACGGTACCATCCGCTCTCGCTCCTCCGCTTCAGGTATCCACCTCCTCTTCATCCGCCGCCGCCTCCTCCGGCCTTTCCTCCTCCATTGCTGCCTCTCGCACCCTCACCGCCTCCACCACGACATTACCGCCTACCCAACAGCAGCAACAGCAGTCGGCGGTGTTGCTCGAGCGGTTAGCGGCGTTGGAAGCACTGGTGACCCGGGTTTCGGAGGCGATAGGGAGCAACAGCGGCAACGGTACCGCTAACGGCAACGTTAGCGGCGGTTGACATGGGGCGGTTGAACGTGTAATTAACGAACACCGCAAACAGACCAGTGCCGAAGACTCCGGAGGATGTTGCCTCTTGTTGAAGCGGCTCAGGGCTGCGCTGGAGGTGGAGTTGGAATTAGGTTAGGGGTGATCCCTCGGGTCAATGTGACTCGGGGTTTCTAACAGGTGAATGGGAGTGTTCCATACCATGCAGGGCTATGGGGCTGCTAGTGGCTTGGGGCACGTGATTTGGTGGGATCTGGTGCTGTGACGATACCAGGACAATACGGTACAATAGAACTGATTGCGCACGTTTGGTAACCAGCATTCGCTGTACGACATTTGATTGTACCCAACAGTGGCACAGGGTTTGGTATGACGGATGACACGCGATTGTGGCGGCAGTACTGTCCTGTTTATCAGCGTTAAAACAGTGCGTTAAGGAAAACTGGCCGCGAGTCGGAACGTACTGTATGTGTGTGCGGACGTGGTGATGTTGTGGGCTTATGGCAGTTTGCGACGGTCACGGATGGCATTGCATGTTGTGGGGATGAAGGTGGTGGTGGCAGTGCTAACAGCTACCCTGCCTTTTACCGGAAGCTTTCTGCGTTGGGCATAGCGTGGAGAGTTTGTTTGTGGGTTTATGCATCGGACATGGGTTATGAACGTGATGACGCGCGCGCAATGTGTGGCAATGGGGCGTTACATAATGTGGGTCCTAACATTGTTAGGTTTAGTCACGCCGGGGACCCATGGGTCGATATCTTCGTCCACACTTGCACACACTGTGACAAATGGTGGCCATGGGACGGTAGTGTTTTCGGCCATCACTGGATCAAGAGGTTTAGGAAAGAAGAAACACACATACTGGAAGGGAAGCATCTACCGGATGGAGGGGTTGACAGGGATTGACGGGGGTTGCCTCTGCCACCGTATTTGCTGTACGGCAAAAGAATTGAAGTGACAGATTCCGTACAATGTGCCTGTGTTTGCAGCGTGTACTATTTGCTATTAAGATAGACCTAGACCGTGAAATGCGGAGGAGGGCGGTTGGGTTGGGGCGTATTTAAAGAGTGGCTTTTGTGGGTGCATGCGGTGTGGATGTTTGCGTCTTGCCGCAACCAGGACTGCCCGTAGTGGCATACCGGTAGCTGGCGGGCAGCGGCTGGAGGGGCAGGTACGGTCTGTCGTAAAGTGTACGGTTTGACTTTGAACAGGCGACATCATGAACAGGCTCCGTGGGACACTCTAAGTCACCAAACGGGTAGCTTTTGTTTCGCCTGCCCTCCCTGGAAGCACGGCGGATTCTGCCGGTCCGCAACCACTTACATAACAAACAGCTCCAGTGCGAAGCACGCCAGTCTCACAAAACTTGTCCGAGCACAAAAGCAAAGACGGAAGCCCGACCGAACAACACCAGCTGACCCAGACCAATTAACCCGCCTGTCACCACAACTACCCTAACCAATTAATCCGCCTGTCACCACATCTACCCTAACCAATTCTCCCACTCCCTCTTAAGCTCCCCGGGTGTTGCTAACTGGAAAAGGGGGGGGTCCACCACGGAAAGCTGCGCCGGCCCTGGCCGGCCGCAGGTGCCTCTGCCAAGCCGCTGCCTATTCCCCCGGATAGGCAACCGCATGCATGTGCACGAACAACCCCCTCACCCAGTCCGACCCGGTCGCTACATGCGTTCCACCACCTGCATGCGGATGGCCGGGGACAACCTTACGTAAGCCTGCACAGCTTCTGATCTCCACCGTCCATGCGCCTTGATAGCGTCCAGGCTCGCTCCGCCATTGGCCGCCGCAGTGGCACCACCGCGGCGGAGGCTGTGCGCCGAGAAACTACCCACGTCCAGTCGTAGCTGCGGGTACGTCAGCTGCAGGTCGCTCAGCAGTGCCCGCATCCGCCGGGTGAAGTCCCCCTTGCCCAGGGCGACGGGCTGGGCTCCCCAGTGCGCTCCCCGCGTGAACAAGGGATGATGTGGCTGCGCCCCCTCGGCCAAAGCGCGTGTCAGATGCCTCGCCACCACGCCCTCCACCGGGATGCCGCTGCCCGAATGCCTTGCCAGGACGACGAGTGCCCCTGCCCCAAATTGGTCCGTTTTGCTCCGTGCCACCACGAAACCCACGCCACCCCCCGGTAGGCCTCCAATTTGCCCCACCCGGAGGCCGGCGAGCTCGCTGCGGCGCAGCATCCCAAAGAAACCCAGCACCAGTCAGCAGGCGTCCTGAGCGCGCTCCGCTGCGGTCTCCGGGCTGCCCGTGTTGAGCCACGCCACCAGGAGGCACAGCAGCGGCGTGGGGAAGGGCGCCTTCTGCCGCGGGGCGGCGGGCGCGGTTTGCGCCCGAGCCCGGAATGCCTCCACCAGGATGCGGCGGACCATGGGATCCCGCCGCACAGTCTCCCCCGCCGGGACCCCGCGGGAACGCTGCCAGTCCACCAGAGCTGACAGAGTTCCCTCCACCGTCGACGGAGCAAAGCGCTGCGCTGCGTAGGCGATGAAGAGGCAGACGTGTACTCGATTCAAGCCCTTGCGGGGGTCTCGCGGAAAAACGCTCCCAGCAGTGAGACCCAGCCTCTCGGCGCAGAAGTTGAGGAAGCGCCGCCTGTGGGTCTCGTACGTTGCTGCCGAAGACGACGCCACCGCTAGCGCCCCCAGCTGCACCAAGCGGTCGGCCAGGTCACCCACCGGGCGGTCCCCAGGCTGCTGTCCCACGCCCGCCTCCAACAGTAGGCAACCTCGGCACTGAAACCAGCCGCCCGGGTACCCGCCCGCCGCCAGCCCCAGGCAGCGGCGGTGCCACCAACCCTGGCAGCGCTCACATTGCACGTCTGCCGCGTCCGCCCCGGCGCCGCACCCCTCGCAGCGGCAGGGTCTTCCAGCTAGATCACCTGCACCGGCTGTGGGGGGTACGGAAGGGAGAGCAACGCCCGCCACAAGGTTAGCCCCCAGTCCCCAGCCGGAGCAGGAGTAAGTCATAGGGTACCGGCCGCGCCTCGGCCCCCCACGGCCAACGACATAACCGCCCGCCGGCCCGTAACACCTCCGCCACCCGAAACGGTGAGTGCTTCCGCCGGACCCAGAAACGGAACCACGGCCTCTCCGGCCAGGACGGCACGAGGACCAGCGCCCGCGTCCGCTTATCCTGCTGCCAGGCCTGCTGCAGAACGCTCAGCACCTCCCCCACTAGGTCCTGAGGCGGGAACGCCCACAGGCGCTGCCCCGCCAGCGTCGGCCCCTGGGCCAGGACCGAGTTCGCTGCGCTGAAAAAGGTGCTGCACCCCGGTTGCGCATTCTGCCCCAGCGCGTCGCAGCAGCAGTCGACGGTCGGCCACCAACCTGCCTTGCGGCACAGCTGGAGGAATACCCCGGTCTTCAGCCTCAGGTTCTGCTGCTCGGCCCCCTCGAGCTGACGGCTCAGACGGTCCGCCCGGACGTTGTCCACTCCCCTGATATGCTCGGCGCGGACCTCGAAGCCGTGGCGCAGGGCCAGCTCGGCGATCTGGCGCACCAACGGTCGGCCCTCCCGCACCCGAGTGGCGCCGTGCATTACTGCCGCCACCGCCTGAGTATTGTCGCAGCGCACCAGCACCCGCTTGCCGCCCAGGCGCGGGGCCCATGACTGCAGGGCCCGCAGTATAGCCTTCAGCTCCAACCAGGCGATGTGCAACGACTTCTCGGCTGCGTTCCACTCGCCCTGCACCTCCGCCGGACCCCACGCCGCCCCAAAGCCGCTGCCGCTGGCGTCGGTGAAGATTACCGCCCCCTCGGGTCCCTCAAACTCCCCCACCACCAAGTCGAGGTCTGAGACGACGCAGCGGACGAGCCGGCCACCAGGACCGAGTGCCAGAACTGCAGGTCCTCATGCGCCTCCTGGGACAGGCGCACGTTTGGGGAGGGACGGCCAGTTGGGACGAACAGGCAGTCGTATAGCGCCTGTCAGAAGGATGAGCCCCATCGGCAGGCGCGGGCGATGAACGTGAGCTTGCCGACGGTTGACTGCAAGTCCGTGCGAGGCACCGCTCCTGAGCCGGCGGCGGACAGCAGAGCAGCGACGTCAGCTGCGTAACGCACACGCTTCTCTGGAGCGATGCGCATCTCCATGGCCACCGTGTCGAACAACATGCCCAGGAAATCGAGCTGCTGCATGGGGGCATCCCTGCCTCGGTCCTTCGCCGTTTTCCATTCCAATCCCAGGTCGCTGCCCACCTCGTCCAGCACCTCGAACGCCCCGACCACGTCTGCGTGTGAGTGACCCAGCAGCATGAAGTCGTCGACGTAGACAAAGATGCGGACCTGCAATCCCCGGCGGTCGCACTCCGACTGGAAGATAGAGCATGCGGCCTCGGTGAGCTCCACGGAAATGGGCGGGCTCTGGCTGGCGCCGAACGGCAGGACGACCCAGCGTTGCAGGGCGTTTGTGGCTGGGTGCCTGAAGGCCATATACTTGCGGGCTGAGGGGTCGAGCTTGACGTGGTGGAAGCCGCTGGCGAGGTCACGCTTGCCGAGGTAGCCGTTCCGGTGAAGGTGTTGGAGGATGGTACTGAGGTCGGGCAGTGGGCAAGGTAGGTGAGTCATGCAGTCATTGACGCCCGACGCTGACGGGTCGATGATGGGCCGGATGCTGCCGTCGGATTTGGAAACGACGTGAAGGGGGTTAATGACGGTGGCGAAGTTCTCCACAGGGCCATGCACTTCTGGGTCGTACTGCTCCGTGAGCCCAGATGCCAGCAAACGATCGAAGTGGCTGGCGAGTTCCTCCCGGTGGGCGGCGATTGTTGGATAGTTGCGTAGGTGGTGGGAGGGGGCCGGTTCCGAGGTGAACTCCCAGACTGCCGCATTCCGGATGGCTGGTGAATCATAGCCATGGAGAAGCCATGCCGCCGTATGCAACTTATTGCCATCGGGCCCGAACCAATCGGCCCCAGCGCACGTTTTCGCCTGAACGTGTTCCTCTATCTCGTCTGGGGGGGTGGGGAGGGGAAGGGGAGGGGGGGCATAGGGGGGGGCGGGGGGGGGGCGCTGCTGCGCGCTGTCCACATGGTCCGTCACAGCCGTCGGCGGCTTGTGAACAATTAGGAGGCCCACACGCGGGGATAGGGCCTATGCTCTGGACAAGGACAGGGAGACAGGCGGCCACGACAGGTGTTCACGGCAAGGCAGCATGTACACACGCACAGCGCAATGCCCTTCTCGCGGCATGCACACCCTTTACGCTCGCGGCGCAGTCGGGCGGGCCCTTCTCGCGGTACCTGCGCCTCGTCTCCCCCGACGGCAGGGCGACAACACACAACGCAATGCCCTTCTCGCGGCATGCACACCCTTTACGCTCGCGGCGCAGTCGGGCGGGCCCTTCTCGCGGTACCTACGCCTCTCTCCCCCGACGGAAGGGTAACAACACAGCGCAATGCCCTTCTCGCGGCATGCACACCCTTTACGCTCGCGGCGCAGTCGGGCGGGCCCTTCTCGCGGTACCTGCGCCTCGTCTCCCCCGACGGCAGGGCGACAACACACAACGCAATGCCCTTCTCGCGGCATGCACACCCTTTACGCTCGCGGCGCAGTCGGGCGGGCCCTTCTCGCGGTACCTACGCCTCTCTCCCCCGACGGAAGGGTAACAACACAGCGCAATGCCCTTCTCGCGGCATGCACACCCTTTACGCTCGCGGCGCAGTCGGGCGGGCCCTTCTCGCGGTACCTGCGCCTCGTCTCCCCCGACGGCAGGGCGACGACACATTACGCGGTGACCCACCTTTGCATTCGCTCTCCAAAAGGGCCGGCACCCCCGCCGCCCCGACCTCCGCTGCTGAGCTGGCAGCCAGGTCGAGCGGCCCTGCCTCCACAGGGCCGGTGCCCACAGGGCCTGCGGCGGGCGCTGCTGCGAGCTACAGCGGCGTGGTGTCGCGGGTATACTTGCCGTGGAGGTGTTGGTAGAGCTGCTCGTTGGCCGCGCGCAACGCCTGGAACTCTCGGCAGGTGCGGAACGAGTGGCCGAGCTTATGGCAGTAGAAGCAGGGCTTGCTAGCGGCTGGACCGCTGGCACCTCCTGCGCCCGCCACCGGCGGGGGAGGCGGCAGGGGCGAAGGGGAGAACCGTTGCGTCCGGGGAGGCTGCTGCTGTGAAGCGGTTGATGTGCCAGCGCCCGTCATCCCGCGGAAGAGGTGGTTGCGCTGGGTTTCCGAGAGCTCCGCGAGGCCCATCAGCAAGTCCTGACTGCGCTCGGAGCCTTTGGCCATGACGGTGGTGGCCTCCTTCCAGGGCAGCACCGTGGCTGCCTTGTTGAGGCGGAGGTGGGTTGCCTGCGCCCTCGCGGCCTGGCGCCATGCAGCTCGCGCCGCGTCCAAGTAAAAGGAGCGGCAGTCTGGGTCAGTCTCCTCCTCTGCCAGCTGGTCATACGTCTGGGCATCTAGCTCGTGTTGGCGGACTGTCTCCTCTGCGCGCCGCTGGAAGCTCTGCTGGTTACTGGCCGTGCTCTGCAGGTCCAGGACGTCCGCCACCTCTCGCATGAACGGGATCTTTGCCACTGCGTTGGACATGGTTTCGTCGAAAGCCAGGGACCGGAGCAGGTCATCGCTTCCGTTACCAGCTCCCCGGGCCGTTGCTGCTGTGCGTAGGGCGGCCAGGTGAGTACGGGGGAGCTTCGGTGCTGGGCGTGGGTCCGCGTCAACATCCTCGCGTTCCCTTCCCCGAGCCAAGGCTGGGGCAGCGAGGGGCAGATCATGCTGAAAGGTTGTCGCCAGACGTGCTGCCTCCACCGCCGCGGCGTTTGGCACGAAGGCGGTTACTGTGGGCTGCTGGGCTGGTGCTGGGGGCTGTTGCTGTTGAAACGGAACCTGTTGCCCAACCTGCGTACCTGTGGGGTCTCGGTCCGCCATCGCCGGTGCCGCCGCTGCAGCTGTGCCGGTGCGTCCATCGCTGCACCTGCCTGCCCGGCCACCAGTGCGGGAGCCGGCCCGGCAGCCGGGGGGTCTTGACCCTGCAACGGCGCGGCTGCCACGGCCATAGCTGCTGCCGCCAACTCCCGCTGTTTTGCCAGGCGCAAATATGATCAGAGTATTAACGCATTAATAGAAAACATAGCTTAAAGGAGTATGTTTCAAGAAGATTGCCGGTGTTCGGTAGCACGTGATTTGGACGAGCTTCCGAGGTCGGGCGCGCAGTAGGGAAGGCCTGGACATACATGAATTGCAAGGTCACAAACCTTATGGTAATATAGCAAGAAATGGTACTTCACACCAGTAGGGCATCACGCACGCGGAGACTACCTGTCGGGTACGTGCACACGCGTGCATTAGCGACCCTCCATATTCCCACCGGATAATTTCAGGATGACGAGTTGCCTAAACGTACTTAGTAGTTGCTAGAGCAATATCCTATATGCTGTATCTGCCAAACCGACATGCGGGTCAGAATGGACACAATGGGACGCAAGTGCAAGCGTAACGTGTTGCAGGACATGATCCCCTTTGACAGTCAGTTTTAGACAAAATGCAATTAATGTGACGCAACATGCTGTTCGTGGCCACCTGGACCTTGCTTGTTGCGGCAATTGCAGCATTGGCGCTGCCAAACAATGTCCCTCCTCGGCATCAAACGCCACAGCGTTTGGTATCATCGCTTTCGGACGATAGCCTAGATTTGCCGTGCAAGACGTCGGGATTTTGCTCGCTCGGTCGCGTGCGGCATTTCAGCGGAGATGTGTACCCGCTGCAAGGACTGAAGGACTGCCTGCGGGCTCGCGCCTACCGGCGCGAAACCATCCTTATTGCGGAGACAAGGTAATCGCAGTCATCGTCGACGACCTATAATGGAAAACCCTTTGCAACAGTCGCGCCCCATATCAGTCGCCCCGAGAAGGTTATCCAGAATCTGACTCATCCTACAGGTTGATAGCTGGATTTCAAGTGTATTGGAATGTCCTCTCAGTGGGCTACGAGCATATATCGGTAAGCATGGGAATACAATCGGCAAAGCAAGGCATATCCTTAGCTATGCCGCCCTAGTTTTGGATAGCGGCTTTGTTCTAGCCTACTTATAATAAAGCATGATGAACAGGCGACACGAGTCACTGCGGAATACAATGGCGTACTCGTCGTACTTCAGTCGCCGTACGACAAATCCTCCCAAGGCCTTTCCTAATCGCAAACATTGCTGTCCTTAAGCCTTGGGGCCATGCATATACGGAATATCGTGTCCATAAAGGTTTCTCCCTTATTATCAAGGACATCCAACCTTTCTCCCCACCACCACACCGCCATATCATAACCACCCCCTAATGTAACTCCAAATACAACCCGCATCCAACCCAGCAACCGCACTGCCACCAGAACCACAAAGTATACAGGTAGCAAGCAATCAACCACGCACCACCCCACTTCACAACTTTGAATCCCTTTCCCTATTGGAGCCTTGTCGCCCATCCTCCTCCTTACCATCGCCCCCCGCTGCAGCTCATGAGCACTCCCGAGAACTGTGCGGAGGCAGCCAGGGTGTGGCCGCAGCTCTCCTGCATCTGGTCGTCTCAGATATTCGCGTCAGGCCCCAAGATCCTGCTAGACAAGTGCGGACTCTCTTTACGTGTATGTCTCATGTGCCTCATGTGTATGAAGGGGGGTGCCCCGCGGGTTGCTGCCCAGTCCCCCATCTCTATCCCTTGCAAACGTCCTGCAGCCAATGCATGGCAGCAGCCCCTGCCCCTGCTGTCTCAGCGGTATCTGCTGCTCGTGAAGGCTGCTGCTGCGCTGCTGCCCCCACCCGCAACGTACTGCCCCTGCTGCTGTTGAGCTGCTGCAAGCTTGATGCGCCCCTGCTTCTGCCCCGGTCCTACTGCTGACGCACGACCCTGAGGTTTGACCCGTCCTACCCTACCCCCGCTCTTTCCCGCCTCCCTCCGCTCCGGCTCAGACATGCCTTCCACCCTCGGGCGGCTCGGTTGGGCTACAATGTGTTGGTGCTAGATAGGTATGAGGGAGGGGGGAGGTGGAAAAGGAAGGGCTGGGGAAAGGCAGGGGAGAGGGGAGCAATGGGCCATGGCAGAGGGGTTCGGGGGGTTGACTTTGTGTGTTTTCCCAGCACGTGGGTGTGACGGGTTATCACACGCTGGGCTCGTCACACGGTGCCTTACGGGAAACAGTCCAACAAGAGCGCGCCAGCCAAGAGTTGACGTCTTACAGCAGGCAAGGCGTAATTAGGAACGCCAGCATGCGTGTCGGGGCACAGCTGCCAGCTCAAAGCTGCCTGCTGCACCACTCGAGTGCCGGTATCAAGGCGTCTTCTGTTCCCATGTTTCTCCAATCGCCTTCGCCCTTCTTGCCCCCCATGTTCAGACCTGGCTTGATAGCATGGTTAGCATCCATCCTCTGGCGATACCGTAACCGGCGCGCCCATTCTGGCGCGCCTCCTCTTACCCCCCTCATTGTACCTCTAATACCTCAGTCCCCGGCATTGTCTCCCTGTCCCTCCCTCGTCCCTCATGCTGCCGCTCCTCCTCATAGCGACGTCCTCTTCCTAAACGTAAGTCATCTGTTTACCTGGGTTTGATCGCCATCCTCACCTGTCGTCAGCTGCTTTGGGAGCATGTCACCCAACACCAATAACCCCTTCTCCAGCCCAGTGCCATGCATGACCCGGCGTGTGTTAACAGCAGGGCAGGGCGTGTGTTGAGAACGGCTGCCTTGAGGAAGAAAGTACTGCAATTGCTGTTCCAATTGCCCCTGACGGCGCTATGCGTTGTTGTCTCCTCCTTTCCTGCACCCCTGCTCAGGACATCTACACGCATCTGAAGGCGCCCCCCCTCCGAGACTCCCAGTTGATGGCCCTGAGGGACCCCGCCATCGGTTGGCTTAATTCGGCAATCATGTAAGATACGTTTTGCCAACGAGTGGAAGTTATTTACGGATCACACATGCAAGAATATCGTTGGGTTACAGTGGTCGTTTGTTCAACTGTATGCGGCATTCTGCATACTGGGTACGGCACGCGCCATACAAGTGCTGTACATCATGACCTACGTGCCAGGCATGCCGCACCTCTTTATCTCTTTCCATACCCAAATCCGCATCACACCCCTCACTCCAGTTGCTTTACTTACTGTCATTTCCCCCCACCCCACCCCCCCACCTCACCCATGCAGCTACAACCAGGACACCCGGCCTGACGGTCCCGCAGTCTACATGCTAGCCGAGGTGATCGACCGGCTGGAGAGGTGGGGCGGGAGGTGGAGGTGGCTCAGTTGATTCAGGATCACACAGGTTACGATTTAACAGATTGCCCCCGCTATCCCCGTTGGTTTTTCCCCCTTGCCCGAAGTAACCTGTGGTATGGTTTATCTTTCACCCCCACTTCCCCCTCCAGATGGGCTGAGGCGGCCGAGTGGTTGCGGGAGAAGGGGCGACCCGCGGGGTGTTGGGAGCAGATGACACTCAGGTGAGATGGGAGATGGGGGCCGGTGGGGTGGAATGGGATGAGAAGCGCGCGGACCTAACCTTGTTGTGCCGTACTATCGGCATTGTCGTACCTTCCGCAGTGACGCGCTGCTGTCGGCTGTGAGCGGGAGGCCCATCGCGTACGGCTGCTGGGAGAGGGTGAGAGCGAGGGTGCTGCTGTGTGTGGGGGGGGGGGAGGGCGCCGGCTGGGTTGGTGGGGCTGGGGTAGCATGTCGGTGGCGCGGGGCCCCTCCGAGGTTTGGAGGGAGGTCCGCTTTGGGATGGGCTTGGTGTACGTGCTCTTGCTTGTCAGACTCCCAGCAGGGGTGTTTGGTGCGTTCGCCGGTCGGTAGCCAAGTAAGGCTGCTGCGGGGGCTAGCTACTGGATGCGCAATTTGCGGGACGTAGAGGACATAGAGGAAAAAGAGAAAATCTGCAGCCCCAACCCTCGTATCTCCCCTTCCACTCGTCATGCCGACCCTCCCACTCCGCCCCCTAGGTGCCTCAACACTCCCCCGGGCATCAGCCCAACACCTCCGCCTCCTCCGCCTCCTCCTCCCGGGAAGCCTGGTGGAAGGCGCACAAGCGGTTGTTTGGAGTGCCTCCCGAGGGGAAGGAGGGCGGCCTGACGGTGTGGCAGTACATGCAGGTGAGGTGCGCGTGTGTGTGTCTGTGTGTCTGTGCGTTTGTGTTTGTGTTTGTGTGGGGTGTGATCACGGCGAGGCGGGTTCATGCTGGCTTATGTCACTACGGCAATATACCCTCGTTCCGATTCTCCCTAAACATACCGGTACCCCCACCACACTCTTGCATTCCCCACACATGCAGCAAACCAAGGTACCCTGGCCCGCCTCCCTCGCCTCCCACGCTCCGGGTTTCAAGCCATTCAAAAACACTGTTTGGAGCCAAACCCTGCAAGTTCCCAACACACAGGTTGGTTGTGTATATGTTGGGTTGGGACGGGCCCCAGAAGCATGCCGGTTTCAATGTTTGTTGGCGAAACTGTTACGGTAGATAGGTTGGCTGCTTGGAGCTGACCTCCAAAGATCATCATGGGGTCGTCATGGGGTCAATCACTTCTCCTCCATGTACCCCATTCCTCACCCCGAATGTCTACCTAATCCGACAGCAGTCTGAATCCGACAGCCTGAATCCAATAGCCCGAATTCGACAGCCGGTGGCGAAAAGAGCTCCCTGAACTTGACAGACTGGATCCGACGCATCTTCGCTGTCCTTCAGCCCACCTCCATCTAGCTAATGCGGGTTGTGCCGGCCCAAGGTCGGCAACCATGGCGCAACCCATGGGGGGGCCTTACTACATGTCACATTGAATTTCTTCCCCTCTTCTTTACCTGGCAACGGACATTGGTACGGACATTGGTGCGGACATTAATTGATGCGCTTTACTTTCTCCCCGCCCCCCAACCAACCAGGGCACGTGGCCAGATGAGCTGGGAGGGCCTCTCTTCCCGCAGCAACGAGGGCCGCGGGCGCAAGCGTGGATAGATCTGCTGAAGGTAAAGGTATTAAGCCATGTTCCTGGGTAGGTTGCTTTCCGACTACCCTTGCGACCCCCGGGTGATCAGCCTTCTTGCCAGAACTCTTGTTAAAGGTTGTTTGCGATACGGCCAATGACACGTGGGCCACGAAGGGGCCATACATAGGACAACAGAAGCCGTGGTGGTCTATGGGTATGTCAGTACGCTGCATTAGCTGCAAGAAGCTACATCTGCTCCTCCCTCCCTTCTCAAACCCGTCGCTGCCTCTCTCCCTGTACTCCCCTCTTTCCGTTAGTCCGATGGTTGGCCGCTGTGGCCTGACCCTGAGGACCCCGCCCAGGCCACCGCCGCCGCAGCTAACCAAGAGCTGTTCGCATTCCTGCCGGGTTGGATCGGTAACGCCTACGACCAGAGCGGTACGACAGGTGAGTTGGTTGGTTGCATGCACACCTACAATCGCAAGCAGTTGCCTCAACTCCTCCTTGCCAATGATTCCACGCCGGTCGGTGAAACCAGCCCGGCACTGCTGAATTTGCTTATCCAGCAATACGCATGGGGAGTCACCGTGTGAGCTTTTACCCTCAAAGCTTAAGGTATTCGTTTGTTTCCTGCTTCCGCCGCTCTCGCAGGATGGTGGAACCCCGCACTCCTGGACTCAGTTGGGCGCAATGCGACGTCGCCCTTTGCGCTAGCCCACTTCTATCACACGCCGGGAGGATCATACAACAAGCTGACCGTCAGGGTGTGGGGGGCGGGGGGTTGTGGAGGGGAAGGGATCAAAAAGGAGGGGAAATGGGCGGGGGGAGACAGTAAAAACACACACTCAACGCGCGAGTTGCCTATAGCCATGCACTTGGTGGATTATGCTAAACACCGACCGGCAAGGTTGGGCGGGGAATGGGGTTTAAGGGGAGGTAGGGAAGGCTGTTGGCAGGGATGCTCACCGTTATGGCAGTGTGGGTTAGCATTCCCTCTCAGCCTGTTCCACCTTCCTTTTCCTCCGTCCACTTCCAGAACAGGACCCCCTTTCCTCCTCTTCCCCAACACAGATGGCCAACACCGCTTGGAACTGGTCCCTAGCCCACGCGCTGCGCCCCAACGGCGGCGTCTTCTTCGCCAGCACCCCCCACCATCCCGTACCTGACGTGCTGTCGTACACTCCGGAAGTGGAGGCCCGGGAATGGGCGTCGTACGAGGAATGGGACAATGCCACAAAGGTAACAAGAGTAACGGTTCCGTCGTACGGCCAAGCAAAACACTTGGTGTACGGCACATGCATGTGAAAGCGTCGTACACGTTAGATTACTGTGGACACAATCCCGGACGTGATCCTCGTAAATAGGCTCGCAGACCAACACATTGCACATTGCTGTACACCAACACATGAGGAGCACCAACAACAGTAACATGCAAGCCGCCCCATCACCAGGGGCGTACCGGTGGGGTACTTTCATTCCCCACACGTCCCGACGCGTTCTTGCGGTTGCGCAAGGGAGGGGCGGGGACCCAACCGGAGGAACGGGGAGATGCCTGCCCACACACCTGCGGTGGCGCCACATGCAGACGAGTCAGGGTCAGCGGGACACCCGACCGGCGGTCGCTCCCTGGCCCCTACCCTTGGGCCACATAGGGCTCATTGTTTCAAACTGTCTCATCCTAATTCGCCCCGCGGAATTGACCCAACGACTTTGGGTCCAATCCCCTCCCCTCCCCCGCTCGCCCGCACCGGGCACTCACATTTCGTTACCAGGCCCTGGCGCGCCTGGCAATGGAGATGGGTCGTGCAGCCGCCTACCCTGCCCCCCGCTGCAATCTCAGCTGGCTGGGGGGCCAGGACAACAATCACCTGCCGCTGGAGATAGTGGCGAAGCACAGGGTGAGTTGGGATGCGTGTGGTGAGAGCGAATGGGGCTATGCCGCCGTACGTATACATTCATCGACCCCCGGCTGGCTGGGCCCCATGCATGCAGCGCTGGACAATCCCGTACGCACGACAAGGCGAGGGCTTCTCCTCTCTCTGTTGCATGCTGGGAGGTTCACTCATGCAAGGTTGCCTGTCGGTCCGGTGGTGAGTGGGGGCTGGGCGAGGAGAGGGGAGGGGTGAAACGGAAGGGAGCGGGCGGAGCGGAAGGGAGGGAAAAAAGAAATTCCAAAGGGAGGGAGGGAGGGGGTTATCGAAGACAGCAACTACCGGCAGTTCTGTGATAACACGCGCAACAAGGAGGTGTGTCACACCAGGATAGATCAAACCGCCTCCTAATGCATGGGCTGCCCCATGATACGGCAAATCCTACCACATATGTTTGCTTCTTGCCAAACACACCGGAGCGTCGTAATACCAGCAGTTTCATGAACCCCGGGAACGACCGCCCGACCTCTCGACGTTCCGTCCCCGTCAATTAAACGCACGGCATCCTCCCACATAAACTCTTGAATTCACAGGTACTTTTCCGGGGGCCTCTTGGCACCGGAGTTTGACCACTTCCTTGATCAGTTCGTCTTCAAGGGCAAACAGCGACCAGACCTAACCGTCGCAACAGTTGTCACAACCGATCTCCTAATAAACCGATCGCCAACATGCAGCACCGGAAGCTGCATGCCTGGCAGCAGTGGCCCATGGGATGTTGCGGATCTTGCTGCTACGCTCATGGAGAAGTTCGGAGGGCCCGGCAGTTGCCTATTCCACCCAAAGCTGCTGGCGAAGACCCATGGGTCAGTCAGCATGCAGCAGCAACAGCAACCGAGGCCCAAGCTGTTACTGCTGCCAGAGGTCCCCAAGCTGAGTGACAAACTGGGCCCAAGAGATGTGTTGTATCGAGAACATGAGATGGAGGATTTTAATAAGATGTCATGCCCTTGGATCCAAGGGAAACCGTTTTGACGGCCGCAGCGTGCGTTTCATCGTATAGTTGACTGCAGGCTTATATTGTTTCCTTTCATATTCTTCTTTTGTATGACGTGAATGTCGCATTAACGCGCTGCTATGCTTTTGCTTGCAGCACGGATCTCAATTGTACTGTAGACTACTGGGACGCAGGAGCGGTCGGTTGCGTACCGGTATTATCGCTATACAAACCCTACCATGTACATAGGGTACTGAAATTAAGCGGTGCCAGCAGGACGTAAACAACCAGGCATGCATGCATGGCATCTTGGCATGATGTGCCGATGCATGTTGTAGCGTGGCGCTCCGAGACTTGGACTGAAGACGACGAGGGTCCGGAGTAATGGTATTGAGAAACACCGAGGCCTTACCTTTATCGGATTGGTTAGGCACCACGTGTGTAATGAATCAAGCCTCCCTTCGGTCGGGTGAGAAGGCGAAATCTGCTGGGCACACATGGCATAAATTTGTGTGTTTTCGAAAGCAGGACAGTGAAAGATAAATGGATGAGTCAAACAAAGGCCCGATGCCCGATGATGTGCAGGCAAGGAAAGTGAATTAGGTTTGTTCTGTTTGTGTATTTTGCCGTTCCTGACACTCGGACGGACGGACGGACACACGGACGTGGGCATCCCCCCCCCGAAGCCTGTTCGCGACGGGGGCACCGCGAAGGGGGCACCACGACGGGGGCTCCGCCTAAAACTGCTTTGGTGCATGGCTGCGAAGCGCCCCGGCTGGGCGAGTTACATTGCATCCCGCTTCAGCTGTATCACACACCGCCCCGCCTGGGCGAGGTATACTGCCCCCCCCCCGACCCCGGCTGGGGTGCATGGGTGTGGGAATGCCTGCATGTGTGGGAGCCAGCAGTGAGGCACAGCGGTGATTTGTTAAAATAACTGGCCGCGAGCGGTGATGTGTGCATGTATGGGTGGCAGAGATAGATTGCAGTTGACGTGAATGGTGGCAGCATGTGCAAGGGGAGTGCAGGAACAACGGGCTGTTGTTGCAGGCCTGCCGCTTATTACTCTTGTGACGCCTGAGCTCGGGCAGGGTGGGATTGCCTGCATGCAAGCGCATTCGCAGTTGGCCAGTGTGGGGACACCGTCCCGGTGGCGTCTAGGAAGGGTGCGCATGCTGTGTATTCAGGGGCCAGTGAGCAGGGCGGTGATGCGTGCGCACACGGGCGCTGATACCGTGGGTTGGGGCCGCATGAACACCATTTTAGGGTTTTAGGGGCAGGGATGCATGCTTGCATGGGTGCCAGGATAACTATGGCAGGACGGGGCACTCCGCATACTTGCTTGCCTGCGTGCATGGGGGTTGCTTGCAGGGATGTCTGCATACCGGTACATGGGCCCAGCTGTCAGGCAAAGCGGGGAAGGCTGCACGCACGGGTGTACATACTGCAGCCCATACAAGGTGGAAATGCATGCAAGGCTGTGGTTGGGAAGAGCAGGGAGCCAGCACGCGTGGGCGCTGTGGCATGGGCAGGATACCTGTGCGTTTGGGAGCCGTAGTGGGAGAGCGTCAGGGGTCCGTCTTGCGTCAGGGGTACCTGTTGATATGCCCATTCATGGGATGCCTTCGGCATGCCACATCTGTGTTGCTTACGCGCATACGTATGCGGTCACTCGATGCTGTCTTTTTGCTTGTTCTTGCTGCACTCAACTTGTGTTTGCGGCAATCGTCGTATTGGCAAGCCTTGAACTGTGCGAGCATGCCGGCACGCATGGGTACTTTGTACCGGTAGTTGCCTACACGTATGTATGGGTTTCGGCCGTTAAGGAAGGGTTGGGTAGCCTGCACGAACAGCAGGGCACGACGGGGATGCCTGCCTGCACACGTGCTTGGTGGCGTGCAAAGTGGAGATTGCCCTGCAGGCATGAGCGCTGTGAGTTGGGGAGAAGGGACCTGTGAGTTACATTGGCATTATACAGACTATGCATGTCTACGACCAACGGCGGGCTTAAGTGTTTCTGCTGCCGAAGTCTGGCTTCACTGGCTGACCTTCCCAACTTTATTCCGTTCTCACCCTCCCTCTCCCTTCACCCTTCCATCCCTTATCCCTCTTTCCGCTAGTCCGATGGTTGGCCGCTGTGGCCTGACCCTGAGGACCCCGCCCAGGCCACCGCCGCCGCAGCTAACCAAGAGCTGTTCGCTTTCCTGCCGGGGTGGATCGGTAACGCCTACGGCCAGGAGGGTATGTCAGGTGGGTTCCTTAGTCAGCTTCATTCCTTCCGTCTCGTTCTATCATACCTCCCGTCCCGCCCCGTTCCTACCTTCCGTCCATGCACACATGTTGTGGTCTGACTGGGTTTGCGGTGTTGCAAACCCTGAATAGATGTTACGCAATGAGCCGTCGACTTCAATCACCCATCAGATGGTCAGTCGATGCCATACTACCTCGGTCAATACCTCGGCACACCTCCATACCTCCAAACGAGCACTCTAACACTCAACGCGCCCCCTGGAACCTCCCTTGCCGTTGGCTTGTATGCAGGATGGTGGAGCCCGGCACTGCTGAACGCATCCGCAAGCAATGCAACGTCGCCCTTCGCGCTAGCCCACTTCTATCACACGCCAGGTGGCGCGCAGAACAAGCTGACGGTCAAGGTACGGTAGTGATCGCATGAATGACCGTTACCACAGTTCACAAAATAAGAATCGCTACTAATGACGGGGTCAGAGAGAAGTCGCTGTCATACCTGTCTCGACTCCTTTCCAGCTCCCTCGTTTCCCCTTCTCCCCCAACACAGATGGCCAACACCGCTTGGAACTGGTCCCTAGCCCAGGCGCTGCGCCCCAACGGCGGCGTCTTCTTCGCCAGCACCCCCCACCATCCCGTACCTGACGTCCTGTCGTACACTCCGGAAGTGGAGGCCCGGGAGTGGGGGTCGTACGAGGAATGGGACAATGCCACAAAGGTAACAAGAGTAACAGCACCGTCGTACGGCAAAAGCAGATGTAACAGGAACAAATGCAAGAGACAAGCAATGCCCACTCCCCCCGGGCCTGCTATGCTGATGATTCCATAGCATGGATCGTTTATGGCTGGACCTATCTGTTCCTTTTTTTGCATTTGACTTCTTTACCAGGCCCTGGCGTGCCTGGCAATGGAGATGGGTCGTGCAGCCGCCTTCCCTGCCCCCCGCTGCAATCTCAGCTGGCTGGGGGGCCAGGACAACAATCACCTGCCTCTGAAGATAAATCCGCAGCACAGGGTAGGTTAGACATTGCATGGGTGTGAACAATTAGGGGTATGGGTGGTGAAGGAAGATGCCGGGAAGGAGGCAGGAGGGGCAGGTGAAGAAGTGGAGCCCTGCCAACAGGCGCCCCAGGCATGCTGGCCACATAGCATGGAGAAGCGGGGGCGGATGAGGTGAAGGGTGTGGGCACAGGTGCAATCCCCGTGTGCATTACGTTCCTCCCTCCCGGTTCCTCAGTAATAACCAGTGCTGCGTCGTACCCGGTATTAACCCATGTCGTACAGTCGCCGTATGCAACATGTATGTCGTACACTCGCGGTATGTAACATGTATGTTGTACACGCCCTGACCTGCAGCACTGGACAATCCCGTACGCACGACAAGGCGATGGCTTCTCCTCTCTCCGTTGCATGCTGGGAGGTTCACTCATGCAAGGTTGCCTGTCGGTCCGGTGGTGAGTGGGGGCTGGGCGAGGAGAGGGGAGGGGTGAAGCGGAAGGGATAATTTGTCAAAGGAGAGGCGCGGAACAAGGCCACGAGGAAGTAGAGAGGGGGCTTTAAATGGGAGGGACAACTGGCATTGAAGGACCGGCAATAAGCTCCAAACATATCCGCAGTCCAATCGCTACATGGCTCAAAACGTATCTACCGGTAACGGGAAACGGGCATAACACAGAAGGCAAAAACGTCAAGCAAGCAATACGCAGATGCACACGTGCTCCTGGACGTCTGGAACCTACGCCCGTGCACATGCGAATGAGCCCATGTCATGGGTGGGGATGTCTTGCTAGTATGGTGCCAGGAAGGGGTGTCTCGCTATTAGGATTGTGTGCACACAATGTGTACCCCGACTGCCCTACATCATGCAGCCCCGTGTAGACGCGTCATAGCACCCCAGGTGTAGTTCGCGCGGCAATGCTTGTAGACCGGCCCACACCGACACATTCCGGTACAGGTAATCGGATATCGTCGGTCTAAAGCCATCGCGCCCAGCTACCCCATTCGTATGGAATTCCAATAATTGCTGTTAATTGCTGCGACGTGTTTTTGTTCATCGCAGGTACTTTCCCGGCGGCCTCTTGGCGCCTGAGTACGACCATTACATGGAGCGATTCATCAAAGGCGACGCAACCGAATCCGTTGCGGCAACCGCCGTTGTTCCAGCCGACCTCCTAACAAATCGTCCCTCAGATGGTGGCCCATGGGACGTTGCGGATCTTGCTGCTACGCTCATGGAGAAGTTCGGAGGACCCGGCAGTGGCCTATTCCACCCAAAGCTGCTGGCGAAGACCCATGGGTCAGTCAGCATGCAGCAGCAACAGCAACCGAGGCCCAAGCTGTTACTGCTGCCAGAGGTCCCCAAGCTGAGTGACAAACTGGGCCCAAGAGATGTGTTGTATCGAGAATATGAGATGGAAGATTTTAACAAGATGTCATGCCCTTGGATCCAAGGGAAACCGTTTTGACCGCGCGTTTTAATACGCAAGACTGAATTAAAGCCCATTAAGGCGCTCGCTTTAGCATTATGCCATGTTACGTCATGTGACAAGGAATACTTTGTACGACACCGCGTGTGCGAAAGCTGTAGGGGATTGCGGTGTATGGGTATGCGCTGGGAGTCCGAAAGCGGATTGTTTGCAGGGTAGAAGTGCTGCCTGCACGTTTTGGTATAGAGGCTGATTTATTTTTTGTTAGGATTTGAAAACCCTCTTGGGCGCAAGAAGCTGCGGCCTTGAGTCGCTTCCAGGAGGTGGTTATCTGTTGACGGAATGGAGGTCAGCATCGATACGTGCGACCATACTTTTGACGACAATGCTTTTGATGCTGATGTCGTGACTGATTAAGTTACATAGCCCAGCGAGCCATGACGCAGTGTAATGTATGGCACGTTGAGGCCTGTATGTCGTATCCCGATCACGCTCCCCTGCTTTTGTTTCCAATACCCTAAGAAGACATTCTCACAGTTAACGCATACGATTCCCCATGTACACGGATTCAACATGTACATGTGGCTTAGACCTAGGCTCCTGAGAGTGTAATCGAACCACGGATCCCTCCCTCGAATTGCACCCAACAGCGAAATGACCCGGCTGCGGGAATGAATCCTAAGCAACCCTTATTACGGTCGCCTTGGGGAAGGTGCCCCAGCCCCAACTTCTCCGTACCTGTTCTTGTGACCTACCACAGACGTGCAAGGCAAAGAAACACCCGGGTCATAGAACTACCAAACCACAAGTTAGGGCAAGACGCCGGGGAATGAGTTTGTCCAAGCGAGCCACAACAACCCGTTCGTTGCTGTGTTTGTTGTTACATGGGCCGCCCCCTAAACTCCCTACCAAAAGGGCACCCTATATGTAATACCATGTCACCGCCGCCCCGTCTTGGGCTGGTGTCCCTCTAACACACCGATTCCTCACTCTTATCCTCATCCCGTCCTGGGATAGCGGGTATGTCCCAGTCCCAACTTTTCTTTCGCCTGCAGCAGCGGCCTCACACGCTGCGCAATGTAGGCATCCATGTCACTAAACAGGGCCTTATACTGCTCCAGCGCTTTCTTAAAATACAGCATCTTGGCGTGGTCGCATAAGAATCGTGACGCAAAATCCTGGCCGTTGCTCGCGATGCGCTGCCCTTCCTCCACCGTCGTGTTGCGGATGACGTCGAGGACGTCGGTGGGCGAGGAGGAGAGGATGGGCAGGTAGTGCTCGTGGGGACGCAGGTAGCGCATGTAGTACTCTACCACGGGGCTCCACTCCTTGAGTACGACAGAATTGACGTGGAGGAGCTCCTGTGCGGGTTGGGTCGGGGTGCCGTACACGGAGCAAGGGGTGTCGTACTTTTCTACGGCGTGGGTTGTTGTACGCATAATACGCAGCGACTACCCACCAGCGACTACCTGCCCATCGTCTTCGGCATGAGGAGGTAAGGGGAACCCTGGAACCCAAGCGCATGCTCTAGGCGGGTGAAGAAGAAGCGGGCGGGGCTTCGCGTAAAGGCGGGTCGCGCTCTTACCTCCAACTTAACGCATCCCGAGATCCCTTCCAGCGCCAGAGCAAACATGTACTTGCCGTAGTCTTCAGGCCAGCTCTGACCGTCCGCGTGGAAGGGACCTACCGCCTCGTCCCATTCTGCGTTCATGCGGCACCAAGGTGGAAAGCAACAGCCATAAGCCATGTGACAGCTGCGAAGCAGGCTTGAAGGGAGTACCCCTACCCCGCAAAGCCCTGGTATCCCCGCCCCACCAAAGCCCTGCCACCCAAACTTTCTCTCTATTTCTCCCCAGAAGCGTCCCCCACCAACACGCCCCGCCAACCCAACCCAAGCCCTCCCGAACGCGGATCTCCTTCCGTCCCGGCGCTGGATACCCGGCTCCATAAATCGCACCCCACACCGCTTGACAGATCTATACCCGTCACCTCCTTCCCCAACCCTGCCCCCCCAAAACCCAAGCCCATGCAAACTCCTCCCCCCTCGTAACTTCACCCACCCATCATCTCCAGCACCCCAGCTCCCGCCCCCTTGGCTAGCTCCGTGTACTCCTTTCGGGAGCAGCGGGCAAAGGGGTTGGCGTGGAACTGCGGGCAGTGAGCGGCACCGCGGAAGATGGCCTGAGGGGCAGGAGGAGCATGTGGGCGAGGGAGGGGGAAGGTGTGGGGGTTGAAGTGAAGGAGGGGAATGTGGGACAGCGATACCGGTAGGAAGGGGGTTTGGGGGTCCCCGATGGGTTGGGTGGGACAGAAAGCCATTTCAAGAGCGAATAGCCGGAGTAGGGCAATGTGGTTAAGGCCTGGGTCAAGACCGGTACCCAAAACCCCGGAACCACAACGCATGGGGCATGGACGCTGCCCAAGACATCAGACATTGCGTAGTGAAGAATGTAAGAGGAGGAGGAGGAGGAGCGTATTTCCCATCCATCCTTTGTTCACTGCCTCCCTCGCGCCCGCCCACATTCCCTCCTGCCGTTCTTGCGATTTCACATGGTTCGGCTTCTTCCTCTTCACCCACCTCCCTCATCTTCTTCCTCTTCACCCACCCACCTTCCTCATCTTCTCCCCCCAGGGCTTGCTGACTAGCTTCATGTCATGAGAGTTGTGCGCCGTGTCCGGCACCAGGATGCTGCCCAGCCCGTGGGGGATGCGGTGGTTGTCGGCGGAAGCGAACTCGGGTGTTCGGAGCAGACCGAAGATTGCCAAAATAGGCGCCGGGCATTGAGCCTCTGTACGACATGTACCTGTGGGGAGAGAGGAGAGGAGCAGGGAGAGGACAGGGAAGGCGGGAGGGAAGAGGGGGGTTCGGTGCTTGAGGGGATAGCGAGGGCGATCCGAAGACGGCTGGGTTGGGGACGGGGCACTTGGCCTGGGTACGGCATGAGGTGAGGGAAAAGGCAGGGTAACAGGAAGAGGAGGTGAGGTTGTGGGAGAGGTCTATCCTGGTTTGACCAGCAACCCCTGCACCCCTTTGTTGGCTGGTTTGTATGGTTTGCCTGGCTGACGGGAGAAGGCAGCATCCCGTGCGATGTACTTGCCGCCGTTTTCGAGGTCTAGTAGGAATATGGAGTCCGGGAACTTTGTCTGCTGTGCCCATCTGTTGAATGCTGTTTGCATGGCTGTCATGCGCGGAGAACACCAGTCCTCGCGCCTTGAGCAGTTGGCGTCGTAGCCCCATTCCCTAAACGGGAAGTACCTGCGAGCAGGGATTCAGGTAACAGTGTCGGTCTCAGGAGGACTTGCGGGGGCACGATGGCAACATGTCAAGGGTTGAATAAAGCACATATATTTAATACTCAGCAAAACTGGCCAGTAGTGCTGGGTGTTGTGAGCATTACTGGCTCAGCTGTGCATGCGACGCATTAGTCGCGCCGTTCCGGTGTTCTGGTGGTGGATGAGAGGACACGGCTCTACATGGTACCCTGGAAAGACGCTAAAGCGTGCATAACAGCTTAACCTCGCATAGAAGAAGCGGTGGTAAGAGCACATGCCGCCAGCAAGCGTTGTCCCCAACGAAAAAGGCGAACACTAAAGATTGAAGCCAACCGGACGTGAAGCTCCAAAGCGACAGCACTTTCCACGCACCATTTATTGTCAATGATAGCCACTGCTGTAAACTCAGCATTGGCCATGCCGGTGCCCTCATCCGTCCACGGGTTAGTGTCCCAGGGCAGAGCATTCCGGCTAAACAGCAGCGTTAAGTCAGTTGAGTTCAGCTGCCTGGCTCCCAGCTTATCCTTCCAATACTTCACATCATTATTTAGGCCTTCATAGATCGGTGCTAGCTCTTCGTCCGTCTGGAACAAAAAGGAGAGTCAGGGCAGGCGGGATAGGTAAGAGCTGTCGAATGTTATACCTGTGCGCAGGACGCCTCGCCATAAGTGAGGCGTAACGAAGCAACTCCAACCAAAAGTGTAAGCAGCAGCCGCTGCATATTGTTCAAAAAAATATTGTCTATAAGCCCTGATACCCGCAGCTGCACACAAATGCTAGCCTGGAGTGGGGGCACGTTATATGTTGGGGCATAGATTATTATGGTGAAAAACGGTGACAAGACGTTCGTTGGGCATTTGCGCAGTCCCGAGGCGTCCAAGCTCTGTCGTCCTACTGATAATCGTCCGGGGTGAATGGCATTCAGCGTGCGCGTTCTGGCTTGCCTAGAAAGAGAGTTGGCTAGACGCAAGCACGCAACATTTCAGTATTACCGTGCCGTACCTACTGGCGTCCAACCGTTTGCGGGTGCTTGCAACGAAGGTACTTGCGACATAAAAATAAAACACTACGTGCGTTGTAATCAACATTTACAATCGCGTAAAGCTTATGCCATTCTGCACTTCGACACGTGGTCGCTTGCCATATTGACCGAGCGGCTTTCCCGCGTGAGGGGACCAAAGTGACACTCCTTCGATATGCATTCCAAGTTAAGATATGCGGAAGTGTCTCTGACATTGCTCTTTCAAACTAGGAGTAAACACGGCTTCAGGTACATATATGGATGCATGGATGCAATCAACATATGGCACACATAGTGGAGCAGCGGATGTGTGCAGCTTGCTGTAGAAAATGCAACCTGCTGCCCATGGTTATTGGTAGCACACCTGGACACAAAGTCATACATTTGACGTGTCTCCCCACCTCCCACAAATGCCTCAATAACCCAGCGTAGCTTGCTCGGCAGCTTTCATCAGGAGCATATGCGGGTCCGAATCTCTTCAGACCGGGCTTCAGGCCGAAAACCGGCTACAAGGGCAACGTTGTAAGTCTGGTTCGGTGCTCAACCGATGTCGTACGGCCTCCCGGGGCGTGTCATATATTCGCATGCAAAACCCGTGTGTCGTCACATCGCGCACGCCAACGTTTTTGGCCGGCACACATCTGTCGCCGCCTTCTAAACTCCTCACCCGCACCTCCGCCTGGTCACCGCTAGACTCACCAGTGAGCAATGACGCCAAAGCATGCCAGCCAATTGGCAGGCGCAGCTTCAGTACCGTAAGCACGCAAGACAGCAGCCGTACTAGTCCTACATGCACATTGGAGTACCGGTAAATGCGCTTGGAAGTAACTGCACAAGATTGTTGGTGCTTTCCCGCTTCACATACAGACAGGCAACGAAAGCAGCAGCGACCAGGCAAAGCAGCAGCATGTAAACACTCCTAAACAGCAAACCCCGAGCAGTTCACGGAAGTCCAATGAGGATATTCGCCTGCTGCGCGTAAGAGGCTCTAACCTCTAAACGTTTGCATAAATCAGAATGATTCCTAAAGTAGCGAAGACTTAAGAAATTGCGGAAAAGGCTAAGCTCAATACGACAAGAGTACGTACAACCAAAACCCGCACGGCGTTGGTATAGAATCGATAGAACACGACTCATGTGGCGACGAACCGGCCCTGCGGCACGTGCACAGCCCGCATTTCCGCCAAATCCACCCAGACCTCGATCCCATGCACTGCTCGCATCCGCCGCCAATCCCGACCTCCACAACCGCACCCAAATACAACCCAGCCAAACACACCCCAACTTGTGGGGGTCATTACAATGGACACGTCACGCCACACACACCGCTTCCATTAACACAGAATCGTAACACATTGCACATTGCTTTAACACAATCCTCAAGAGACGCACCTCAACGCTTCCCACCCCTGGTCCGCCCCGACGCCGCCCAAACCCCCTTGGCTCCTGGGCTCTGGGTCAGTGATGATCCGCGGCCCTCTCTTCAAGAAGTCAGGTCAAAAGTCACTCGCTTGCGAATAGCGCAGCAGGAGCAGCAGCGGCAGCAAGAGCAGGAGCAGCAGAAACAGCGTCAGCAGCAGCAGCAGCTTGCTCGGCTAGAAGTGGCCACCAATAGCTGCGCCGCCGCAGCTGCTTACACCTGCCTGTGTGGAACTTAAGTGGAAGCCGTCACCGTCACCGCTGCTTCCTTGCGCCGCGGCGCCTGCTGGTAAAACGTGCCCGCGAAGACCCTACAAATGGAAGCATGTGGCAGGCAGATACCGGTTAGAGGGGGCGGGAACAAGGTCGAGATGCACGGTGAGGTGGGCAAGTGAGGGTCAGTAGCGGCCGGGCCGGGCCGGGGGGCCTAACTATGTGCCGGAACAGTGAATGCGTGGAAAGAGTTGCACAGCCTCTTGTGAGAAGCCACATCCACCAGTAGTACAGGGGCAGTGCAGGGGCAGGATGCAGGGGGGGCTGAACTGCCACTCACGATATGAGGAGGAATCCGATGCCGGCTGGTGAGGCGTGCTTGTCCCACAGCATCACGTTGATGATGACCGTCAGCACCTGGCAGGTGGGAAAAGGGGGAGGGAGGGAGAGGGGGTAATATGGATGAAGATTCCGCATTAAGCTGGATTTTAGGATTGCGCATAGTCAAATTCGTTGGGTTAGTAGCAGCACACAAAGTACAAACCGTAATAAAGCTCCATAAGCTGGCGGCCGTGCTGAGATCATATCATTGGACGAATTACTGACGAGCTATAACCTGGCGTCTGAGCTCCACTGCATTGCTGAGCGCCAGTGCGCTGTAAGCTGTGGCTGGTATGCGGCTGTCTGCACCTAAACATCCCACCCGCCCGCCCGCGCAAGTGACCCCTGGGTCGAACTTTAGCCCAGCCCACCCACGACCGAACCCGACTAACCTGCGTAGCAAGGGAAAATTGTGCAACGAAGACGTACCAAATTTCGTTAATAGTGAGCGAAAAGCGTCCAGAGACACAAGAAGGCGGAGAAGAGGGAGAGGGGGAGGGAGGGAGAAGGTAAGGGATGGTGGGGTAATGCGGGATTAGATAACCTGAGCCGCGGAAGCAGGGGGCCCAGGGATGAAGGAAGCCAGGGAGGAGGACGGGTAAAGGGAAGAGAAGGGTGCGGCGTGGCAAGAGGGAAAGCGGAGAGGGGAGCGGAAAGAGAGGCGTGGTTAAGAGTCAGCGGTGCGGGAGAGAGAGGTACAAGTTATCCCCCTTATCCGTCATTCCGCCTACTTACAACGCCCACAGCGGCCCAACCCAGACCCCAATCCCCACCCACGTAACCCTGACCCACATCACCAGCCCAGATTCCGGAGCCCGAACTCCGGTTCCGCCCTCCCTATCTTGCATGTAATGCCCAAACATGAACCCCGTCGCGGACACCGCCTTCAAACCAGAACGGTACGACGCAACTGTTCGACTGCACGACTGTAACGCCCGTGACGCCCGACCCAGATCCCAGATCTCCCCATCCCGGGGAACCCCCACTGCCATAACCACACGTTTCAACAGTACGGCAAACCCAAGCACCCTTGCCCTAACCCAGACCCGGCAAGAGCCCACTGCTGACCCCAAAGCCGTCTCTAGAACTCCCAAACCCCACCACCCCCTCACAACACCATGCATACCCTGATGACCCCCTATCACACAGTCACTTTGTCGTTTCCTCTTGACCCTCCACCCCCCGGCCTCCCCACCTTGCACAGAATGCCCACAATGGTGAACGCCGTCGCCGACACCGCCTCCCTCAGCAGGTAGCTCGCATGCGACATGCCCACCCCCAGCGCGCACGACAGCGCCAGCACCGCAACCCTGCCCCCGCCCCAGCTCAGCCCCGCTAGCACGGCGGGCTCGCCCATCAGCGGTACGGCAACCAGCAGCGGCAGCAGCGCCAGCAGGTTGGCGTAGTAGACTCGGCCCCAGTTGGTCATGACGAGCGTGTCGCACATGTGTTTGGCGTATACCGTGTCAAAGGTGAAGAAGACGTACCTGGAGGGATGAGGGGTGGGTAGGCAGGTGGGTTTCGGAGGCCTCCAGCCTTCTTTCACCCTTCAGCGTCACCTCCCGTACCCGACCAAACCCAGAACTGCAGCACCAACTACACGTTAAGCACTGTGCATTGGGGTGCTAGTAGCCTACCATGCTGCCAGCCAAACCTGCATCCCCGCGTCCCCTCCTCCCTTCCGACCCGTAGCGACCCACGGGTCCACCCCGACCCACCATGCTGCCAGCCAGTAGTAGGCCTGCACCCTGAAGTCCGCATCCACCGCCACATATCCCAGAGAGCCGGCCAGCAGCACCAGCAGACAGCTCCAGGAGCGGGCGGAGGGCAGCGCACGGCCCAGCCAGATGTAGTCGCACAGGGACAGGACCTGGGGGCGTGGTGCAGGGTTGGAGGGGAGGGAGAGGGTAAGGAGGAAGGAGGCGGAAGGAATGGCATCTATTGCTATGGCAGTAGAAAGCTGGACAGGGACGGGTTGAGGGGTGAAAAATTTATTTAAGTGAGGGGAGGAGGCGGCGTGGCATCAGGGATTGTCTGTGAGGCTGGAGAGGTCAACTTGCTTGCATTACACGCGGAATGTGGGCCATGACGTACCAGGGGTGTTGAGGAGCGGAAGGTGACAAAGGTCTCCACATTCGCGTTCTGGAGGACCTTGATGTTCGCCAGCAGGGTGCCAAGGAACCTGAAGCAGAGCGACACGCGTTTTCGAAAGGGTTTGCAGCAAGAACAACGTTGTTGGTGATGGAGAGGGCCCCGCTGCAAGACGTCATTACAGTGGGGCGGTAAGTTACAGGCAAGGGCAAAGGCCAGGACGTACCCACCGTTGAGGATGTTTACTTACCCGATCACGACCCAGATGAATTTAGACACCTTGGCCCATTCAAGGTTATCAGCGACCATGACGCCCGCTCTGTCGCCAATCACGACGACAACGACTGAGACTAACAGCTGGATGCATAAAATTGACATTGGCGCTGGAATGAGATGGATAGCCGCCTTATTTACAATTAGCATCAGAGATGAGCATAAGGCATAATAAATGATAATCAGCGTTGTTGAAGATACTGCAAGCCGGTTCCTGGTAGTCGGAGGCTGGCGAAGCAATGGCTGGCTCTCGACATCCTCCCCAACACCCTTAGCCTCATCTGCCACTGTCATAGTGACAGATGTTTTATAAAAGGTTGCCGCAGCGTGCCTCCCCGTGTTTACAAGTGAGTAAAAGCAACTAACGCGCCTACTTGACGAACTGAAATGCCGCTGCTCGTCGATACGCACGTTAGAGTTTACTGCTTTCGATAACACTCTAAGCGGGTCGCCCTTTAAGAATTACTGCGATCCTTAGGCACGGGATCAAATAAACCTATGAAACAAACTAACAAATTGTTGAGTAGTTCTTACACAAGAACAGGAATGCCACTTAAGAGATTGGATAGCAACACGTAGCAAGTTTGGCCTAGCAAGTCCACTCCCATGGCCCCGAGATTACGTGTGTACGACGCTTAGTCTTACACCGTCTTGCACCGGCTGCAGGGTTTCTCCAATTCTTACTTCGAGACGACCGCAGTAAACAACTGATAAGTATTTACAGGCGAAACTGGTTTCCCATGAAACGATATTTACGACCTTCGCAATCGTCCATGATCGTTGACCATGTACTGATCCATGTATAAAACGGATATGAAAAAGCTATGAGGTATTATGGATCCTAGGGGGTGTAAAGGGCCGCTCATGTTGACGCATGCAGGGGTAACCTGTGGGTTTCCCTGGCTGTGACGCCCTAACGTGTGTTATGACTTATGAGACACAACATGTGCGTATGGGTGACTTATGAGGAAGATGGCAGTACTGTATGTAACGTGTTGAAGAGATCCCTTAAAGGGTTACTTCCACTCGTGCTGGCCACAGCCTCTATACCTTGTTGAGTAGCTGCCGTACAGCTTAGGCAGTTGGGTCGCGGCTAACAACTATTCCCCCAGCGTAGCATCCGCATCCTAACAACTATTTTGGGCTACTCTCACAGACGGGGTCTCGCTAGTGGGGTTCTACGCATGCACCCAAGACTTAGGTAACCTGTGACTTGCATAATGGGCTCGGAGTTTAATGCCCATGTGAGGGGGCTCGGAGTTTAAGCCGAGTTCCCGGGGGGGCGAATCGATGGTGTCAAAACCCCGTTGCGTCCCGTGCCAGCGCTGCAGCACCTGGACTGCCCTGGACACCCGGAAGGATGAAGTAACGTAACCGACACACGGTTATCAGGCAGCACATGCGGCATGTCACGTACCGGTACCGTACTTGCCAGGGTAAGAGGGACGCTTAGGTGTGTAGGTTTGAGTTGTTTGTGGGTAAACCCAAAGGCTCCGCGTTATCCGTAATATCCGAAAAGGGCGTGGATCTGGACTCCAACAAGGCCATCGTAGGATGGGGAATGGAGACTATGTGGCAGGTGGGTAGCCTGGTCAGCGGTCGGCGTCGCCCTCCAATGACCATAGGCGTGTCTCCCCTTTACCCATGCTCTTTATACAGGGCTAACCGGCGCAGATCGTTGTTAAAGCAAGCGTGCGTGTTGGGGTTTGCTAGAATTGCACCATGTAGCACGCTAAACATCGCAGGATGAAGGATGCGCAGCCACATAATAGCGACTCTAAACATGGAGGGAGAATTTCATACACATCAAACGCGAAAAGAATCCCGTGTGACCCGGAGTGTCGAGGGCACAATTGCCGAAGAGGAGCGAAGCCCGGGTGTAGCAATCAAGTTTTCTCGGTACTATAGGAATATTGCTATTAAAACACGCATAAGGGCACAGAAGAGGCTTGCGAATTTAGCGATTAAGAGCATGCACACAGGGGGTGTACAGCAGTGACGAGCAAGTAGAGGCTTCCTTCTTCACCTCTGTGCATACGCTAGTAGTATAGCCTAGGTGCCGGCTGTTTGACTTCCGTTCCCACGCAAAAATGCAGCGCTCGGCCGACATCGTGAGCGCCCTGCAGCGCGCCGGCGCTAGTCTGGCAGCGCCCAGCGTGGCACGGAACCTCAACACCCTGGTGGAGAAGTTCACCTTTGCTAGGCAAGTTGCGTGGAAGGGGCATTGCGTGCTGCACCACATTGTGTCGGCACAATCAGCATCAGAGTAAATATACACTTCTGCCTGCCCATTATTCCTTGCAGCGCCGTTGATGGCCCCACTGCCAGCCTGGGCAGCAACGTGAAGGTCAGCGTTAAGCCCAGCGCTAACAGCGTTGATGTTTCGGTGTCGGCCGGGACCGGGAGCGCAAAGGCTTCTTATGCCCCAGCTGAGCTGCGGAAGGCGGCTGCTACTCCTCTGGTTCTCCAGGATGTGTCCAGGCAAGCAGGGCCAGCCGCTGCTCGGAGCCTCTCGCGTCTTCCAGCATGCTGCTTTTCTAGCTTGACTGCTGGGGATGAGAGCTTTTTTCTATGGCAAGCTTTGGAATCAGCAGGGACAGGTTTTCTAACAGCGGGAACAAATTTACTTGTCCTGTAGGATCTCCACTGCTCACAGCGCGTTCATGAACTACCTGCTGACGCTCACGCACGAGCGCTACTCCGTGCTGGCGTCGTGGCCCGACTTCACCAAGGCGGTGAGTTGTAGTAGGAGTTTGGGAACGCAAGCTGGGTTTCACCACATGGGTATTGACGATGGCAGACAAGGCGTCGGATTTGGGGTATGTCTTGTTCGCGCAAAACATTTTGGGCAACATGGGGTACCCCAATTCTTAGCGCACACTTCGGCATCGGTAAAAATCATCAGCATCCATCTTTACGCAAGAAGAAGTCGTACCATAACCCTCGTCACATTGTTCCATCATCCGCGCCATGTCCACCTCACTTCCGGGGATCCCATAACGTCTCCGCACTTGCTAACATCGTCCCCTCCCCGAACCATTCATCGTTTCACAGTACGGCAAGGACTACTACTACCGCGCGCACCCTGAGGACCTGCGCAAGTTCTACTCCATGGTGGACGAGTTCCACCGCATGTGGGACGTTGTGACGGAGTTCGGCAGCCTGTCCAGCCTGGCCGGCCAGCTGGTGCCCGGTGAGATGAGGGAGGAGGGGAAACGTTGTTGCGAGCGAGGCTACTCGCGTCACAAGCAAGGAAAAGCGGCTAGGGGATGGTGGTTTTCAAGGCCGGGGGATAGAGGGCCATAGTGGCAACCGCAGTGTATAGGCGAAGTTTGGGCCCCCAGCCCCACATTAGTAGTTCGACTGTTGGCAGAGGGTCAGGAGGGGTTGTCTTCTCCGCTGAAGGGGAATTGGTAGGGGCAGCCGGCCTACAAAAACAGGAATTCGTTTACGTAAATACGCAAGGTATCAGCTGGCCCAAATACCAGCTTGCCCGTCATGCAACCTCTCCATCCAATGAAATTTCTCCCCCAAACACGAAATGCTAGTATCGTGTCGTGCTGGCTGTGTCGCTTGGTCCTAAACTCCTCGCTCTCCCCTCCGCCAGGCTACCGCGTGCGCCGCCACAACACGGTGCACCCCGCCCTGGGCGCCACCACCGCGGACGGCGCCGTCCTGCAGTTCCTGCTGGCTAACGCCAAGTAAAGAACTGACCCACGGGTCAGCAGCGCTTTCGGCAGCAGAGCTTCCTTCTGTGCAACTCTGGATCTTGGGTTTTGACGGCTTGTGGAGCGCATGCAGCGAAAGGGCTACTGAAAGTACCGGACGCAGGACTACTCGACAGCATTGGGGGAATATAGCAGCAGGCTGCTTCCCTTGCTTCTGTCCTGTAGCTGGCTGGCGAGCATGGATGGAGAGGGCTTTCGGAGCATATGGGTGCGCTAGGGTATGAAGGTCGGGACATATGCGGGGATGAGGTGTTTGGCGGGTGTATGGGGTTGGTACAAGAGGGACGTGCGGGTGCTTTCCAGGTTTGCTGGAGACCCGACGACCTATATGGCTTATCAAGCTGATAAAGGTGTGGGCTTCTCGGCACCGAAAAGATGATGGCAGCTGAATAGTTGCCTTGCAGTTTAGTGGCGGTCGAGCTGCCGTGGACGATGCAATGCTAGGTAATTGCAACGTGATTTGCAAGGAGCAACCTGGACGGCTGCAATCCGGTGTAAGGTGTCTAGGTGGAAGTCGCATCCATGTTCGCTGTCTCTGCTCACGACTATCCAACACATTGCCAAGAAATGCATGCAGCAAGGTTGCGCCACCAGGGTGTCAATGTACGATACGCAGTCAGCAAGTAAGCGTTCGAACGGGCAGGCAACGCCTGTTACCAACCGGGTAACTCGAAATTATGCCGCATACGTAGCAGAATAATAAGATAGAAAAAGATGTATTATCCACCCAAGCTCCGACTGCTCACCAGACATACCAAGCTCAACTAATTCCCAGGCAACGCTACAACAACCACCGAACCACAAGAGCGCTCCCGCAACAAAAGGAGCCATGGCACGGCTTGGGCCGCGAGCGCGGAGGGTTTCCGAACAAACCTCACTGCCCGAGCGTGTCGTACAACGCCTTGAAGCGGTCGCGCAGCGGCGCGGCCATTTGTACCCGACTGCCCGCCCAGCCGTTCCGGATGGCGTTGACGATGTTGCGCCACTTGTAGCGGAGCACTTTCTGTGTAGCGGTACAACGCGGAAGCCACACGGGATGGGGTAATGAGTTGTGGCGTTGCCATGGAAGTCCTACCCGGAGGCTATCAAGGCAGGGTCTAGACTGTGGAGCATTCACCTTGCGCACCTCGCAGCCATGCGTTCCGAATGCCGGTAGGGCAGACCCCCACTGCATGTAATGCACCCAGTGCAACGTGCTACACGTGCCGACTTTGGGCCCTCGTATCCCAATGCTATACCACCTCCGCTCCCCGACCCATAACAACCCAGATGCCGTGTTGCCGTTGCGTGGCCAATCGAGCCAACCGTCTTTTTTCCCTTCATGGAGAGATAGGACGGGAAGACCAAAACCCAGCGGCACCTTACCTGTTCCCGCAATCCGGTCTCGCGCTCGATGACGCACCACTGTTTTCCGTACTTCTCCATGGCGTCCGCAAGAGCCTCAACCTGCGTGGGGGACAGAGGCGTGTCCTCACATGCATGATTCCTCGAACAGGTCAGGCCTCTGCGAACAGACACATGAGCAGCGTGCCAACATGAGCAGCACAGGCGCGAGCTCGTGGTTCCATGTCGTACTCGAGGTACGTGCCCCAGGGTACAGGTATGGGTGGGAAGCCAAAGGGCTCCACCGTACGCTGACAGCACCTCGACCGAGAGACAGTGCCATGCGTCGAACAGCACACGACTTGGCAAACCCGTTAGCGCACGCGGCCCTGTCGCCCGTCATGCCGCCCCAAGTCGCCAACATGCCACCTTAGCACGAGTGCCCAGTGCTTCAATTCTAAATAACACCCACCTCCTGCGGCGTCCAGTGTCCGCGTTTACTCGCGTCTAGCAAAGTGCTGCCTCTGCTTCCGCCAGCGCCGCTGGCTAGGGGCGCTGCAGCAACCCCAGCGCCACGACCTTGCCCTCCTCTTCCTGCACCACCATCACCGCGACCAGCAGCAGCAGCAGCCCCTCCCCGGCCCCTCCCAGGAGAAGCTGCCGTACTGCCACGTCCGCGTCCACGACCCTGGCCACGCCCAGCAGCCGTAGACCTGCCAACTCTCCAGTCCGCATCATCGTCGTCGTCGTCCTCTATCTCGTCCTCCACAGCATCCTCCTCCTCCTCTTCCTCCTCCACTGCCGCCTGCACCTCCTCCTCCTCTCCCTCGAGCACCTCCACATCAGGCTCCTCCTCCGCTTCGTGCTCCTCATCGCGCTCCTCGTCATCGTCCTCGGTGTTCCCGTGGGCCCCAGGCCCCATTGCCCGCTGCCCAGGCTGCTGCCGCGGTTGTTGGGCTTGCTGCCGCTGCGGCCCTTGCGCCTTTGGCTGCTGCTGCTGCCGAGGCTGCCGCTGTTTCACCGGCGATGCAATCTGCTGCCGTCGATCCGCCGCTGCTGCTGCCGCCGTCCGGCGGCCAACTCCAGCTGCTTTTGCAGCAGCAGCAGCGGCCTCTTCTCCATCGCCATCCTCAGCCTCCTCCATGCTCACATCCTCAGCCCCGGCGGCTGCTGTACGACGCAGACCCAGATCCCCATCATCCGCGTCATCATCACCCTCGCCATCTCCGTCGCTGCCGGCGTCTCCACCGCTGTCTTCTCCATCATCAGCCATAACCACATCCGCGCTGCTGCCGCCAGTGCCCTCCTCCTCATCCTCTTCCGCCTGGTCCTCCGCTGCTGTCTCGAAATCTGGGTCGCGGCGCACATCGTCGCCGCCGTCGGACGCGTCATCGTACTCATCGTCCGACAGCGGCTCACCCTCACTCATGTCCTCCTCCCCATCCACCTGATGCTGCTGACCTGTCCGACCGCCGTCCTCCTCAGCCATTCCTTCATCCTCCTCCTCCCGCATGCCACCTCCTCCCGCAGCAGCTCCGCCGCTTCCACCACCTGCCCGGCTCGTCCTTCGCGCTGCCGCTCCTCTGGGTGTGTTGTTGGTGGGTGGGGTCTTGGCTGCCAACCGCTCCGCGGCCGGCGCTTCGTCTTCTTCTTCTTCTCCGTTTTGTTCTTCTTGATCTGCATCACGGCTGTCGTCATCGCCAATGGATGCTGGATCGGGCTGCTGCGCCACCTCCTCCACCTCCTCGTGCTCCTCCAGCAGACGCATGATAGACTAATAGGCAGCAGCGTCAGGCGAGGCACAAGGCGGGAGATATTTGGTGAAGCAAGTGGCACTTGCCGTACCCACGTAAGCGGGGAACAGGAGGAGTTGGTGGTCCGGGCAGGCGTGGCAGTGCAAGAAGGGAATTTGGCAGGATGTGCTGGAACTAATACAGCCACACGGTCGTTTTGGACTACTCCCGCGTGGCATGTGGCGTGTGAAGCGCCAAAGGGCAACCTGGGCGACATAGTATTGCGTCCCACCCGAGCATATGCTCCGCAACCATCTTACCTGAGATAACTTTACATCGACGACGTCACCTGCCCGCACACCAAAACTCTTCAGCGTGAGCTTCCGGGCCCTATAGCTTGAGGTGCTGGCTTTCCCAGCTGCCTCTTCGTAGTCGGTGAGCTCCCGTGACTTGAAGTACAGGTGCAGATGGCACGGATCCAAATTGCCATGTGCCAGCTCACATAGGTACCCTCGGAGGTCCTCAACGAAGCACTTCTTTGGGACGCGGAACTGGCCTGCTCACGCGCAAGAAACGACCCCAAGTCAGGATGGACGAATCGCTGCTAAGAAGGTTGGCCATCTGCCACCTACGTACTAAGCACCTACAGCGTCCATTCTGAGAGCATTCCGAAAGCCAAGGTTCCAGTCCTTGGGGAAACCGAAGCCAAACGGTGGTCATCGCCTGGCTGACAGTGAGACGGAGGCTTGAACACGTGCGTTAAGGATTCCTAATTTGAAAGAAGAATATTATGAAGGGTCTCGCCTGCATTCCACCTAGTGGTGCAAAAGTTCGGCAAAAATGCTCCTAAGCTGGGGTTGACGATGCAGGCCACACCACCTTTCATAAGACCTCTGGTTGATTACGAGGCGCTTTTGTAACTGTAGTCTAAGTAAGGGTGTAAGAGCGTATATGAATCGGTACACGCTTCGCACCGCATGCATAGCGCGCGGCGCACCTGCCATGTGACCATCGCCAATCCACGGTTTCGCATTATCATGCAGTAATTGACCATGCTCCTTAAATGATAACGTTCTGAAGTTTAGCCAGGCAATAAAACCGACACGATCTACAGTCCACAGAGTCGTCGGCCCGCCTTGAATTGTCTCGCTCCCAAAGCTCGTGGTGGTGCAGCAGGGGTGGCAAGTAGCCGGCGCTGCGGGACGAGCAGAGTGGCACAAGCCACATAAGCCACCAGGGTTCTGCTGCTGAAGGGCCCGCGACAGCAAGCTGCATGCGCTCGATCGGCGGAGTGACATCTGCAATCCCTGAATCGGCCCCAACGAACACCCCTCCTACGTAGCCGAAGGCCCGCTGTTTTAATCCGTGCCCTTTCCCCTTGCCGTGCACCAAGCTTTCCACACTGAATGTGTACCGGTACGTAAGCCACATACACACACACACCAGTTATTTAGTTACTACACACGCGACACGGACTTATTCTTTCGGCAATCGCAGTACGCTTCGCCTCGCAGCCAGTTATTTTTACACACACGCGACTCGCGGCCAGTTTTCTTAGCCTGCTCCTCGGCTCCTATGGCCATTCCGTGGGAACTTCATCTTCCGGCAATCACAGTATGTTCCGACTTGCGGCCACACAAATGAGACGTTTGTCGGTGAAAGCTGAGGGGCGAAGCTACGAATGGCGGAAATCAGGGTTGCGGCAAAGGGTGGTTACTGCAGCTGCAAGGTGAAGGCGCATAAAGCAGCTTGAGGTGGTACTGAACGGTTGTATGGAATTTGAGAACATGGGAGGATTGAGGCAGAGTGTCTTGAAAAAAATGGCCGCAGCGTGTGTTAAGAAAAATGGCCGCGAAGAACGTACAGCAGCGTGTGTGCATGCGGCTTATAGCTTGCTTGCGCTCCTTCAAAGCACGACTGTACACGGCATTTGGCCAACACGACTTAGAAGGCCGAGTAGTAACGGCAATCATAAAGAAGTCTCCCCTCCCTCCGCCCACCGCCCAAGTTGTCAGGCCTATGTACTCCAGCCTAACTAGTCTCTCCGTCACGTCACGTCGACGCATCAACACCACCAAACACCACTACCACCAGCTGCCAGTCCGACTCCTCACGTCGTCAATAGACGAGTACAGCACAATGACACCGCGACCAAACCCTCGCAATCTTCATGTGACATGACAATCATGACAGAGGACAACAGCAGCATGCGCGACCACATTACCACCAGTAAGCAGCTGTTGCCTTTTCATACCGTGCACCGAAGCAGCCGCACCACCGCCATCAAACCCCAGACCGTGCCGTATCACTGCCCCTCCAGCGGCTGGATTCTCCCCCAGCTAGCTCGGCAGCCAGGCTACCAACCAGCTGCAGGTGGTCGGACATCCGACCGGGCAAACAGCAGCATCCGCGGCTCTTGCACGCGGCGCGCGCGCAACAGCCGCAGTCTCGCATGCCGCCACCGTTCGGGTCTTCCCCATCCCCTCACCGCCCCTCCAGCGGCAGCCCCAACACGTCTTCGTCCACGCTCTCATGCAGGGAGGACACGTTGTGCGTGCGAGCCAGCTCGGGCCCTATGCCGTCGGAGCAGGCGGCCGTCCAGTAGCCCAGTTTGGGGCGCTCGGAGTCCGCCCTGCGGGTTCGATGCGACATTGATACAGGAGGTAAGTAAGTAAAGTGCAACCGGTACGAATGGAAAGGCGGAGAAGCGAGGAGGACTTTGCCGGACTAGGAAAGAGAGGAGGGCTACGCCGAACGGGAATGCTGGCGGTATGCATTGTACGGGATAACCCAATTAAGCCCGCCCGACGTCCCGAGCAATAAAGCGCGCTGCCCTCAAGCGCGGCGGCTCCTGTTTAGCGCGCCCATGCCCTCACGCATGCTCTAGGACCGGACCACGCCCAAGGAGCTTACCGTCGGAACTTTTTATGGCGGCCTTCTTTGGTTGCCGGGCTGTCAGGTCGGCCGTTGGGCCCTCCGAACAGGCACTCCGCCTGCGGCCCCGCCGCCGCTATCCCTGGCGCAGACAGACCTCCAGCGGTGTCGTACGATACTCGCATGGTCCCATCGAACGTCACTCCTCCGGATGCAGCACCCTGTGGTGGCGGCAAAGCAGGGGCGGGCGACGGCCCGGGCAAACCGACAGGGGGAAAGACAGGTGAAAGGCAGCTCCTCGGGTTGAACAACAGGCAGCCAGCATGATGTGAAGCTTAGGACCCAGGTAGGGCCCACCTCTCACCACCGCATTAAGATCAGGCTGGTGCCATGCGCCCTGCCGCACCACCCCGGACTGCGCACACTTTCCTCACACCTCCCTCCTCCCCCAGCGTGCTCTTCTCGCTTCGTTTCCTCCCCCAACCCACCTTCCCCTGTTGTCCCAGGCTGTGGCCAAAGAGCAGGTAGTCATCCGTGTACTCGTCCACCTCCTACAGTGGGTTAAACCAGGCCGGCGGAGGGAGGTGTTGTGAGGCATGGGGACCCGACCCGACCCGCATGCAACTCGTACTGGCAGCCACCCGGGCCCCCTCATGCATCCTACCAACCACATCTGCCCCCTAGCACCCTGACACCCAGCGCCCCACCCTCCTTCCCTCGCACCTTGGGCACCCATCTTGGAACCTCCAGCAGCCCCCCTCCGCCTCCTCCTCCGCTCTCCGCCATTGCACCCCCAGAGCTGCTCGCCGCACTGCCGCTCCGAGAGCTGCAGCTGAGGCTGCCAGCGTTCTCACCGCCCAAGCCGTTCGCCATGCCACCAGCAGCGACGTGGTGATGCTGCAGCCCCGACAGCGGCAGCATGGAGCCGCCCGCGGACACCGACCCGCCGGGTCGGCCCGCCCTGCTGGCCCCCAGCGACTCCCCTCGCGGCGTCCCGAGATCCATCGGCGCCCCTCCTGCTGAACCCCCAAACCCCTGCAGGTTGTGCTGAAGTTGCAGTGGTTGCGCCGGCTGCTGCTGCTGAGGCCCCCGGTCGGCAGGCGGCGGTGGAAGCAGCATGCCCCCGGACGCAAAGGGTGTGGAGGAGGAGGTGCAGGAGGCGGCGGATGCGCCGGGAAAGTCCACGTCCATGTCACTGGAGGGCCAGCCTGCAGAGGAGGAGGACAGCTGCCCCTGCCCCTGCTGCTGCCCCGCTCCTCCGGTTCCTGTGGTAGCGGCCCCTGCCCCTGAGGCTGCATGCTCCCGGGAGGTGGTTGCCAGGTCGATTTCGCCGGTAATGGAGGAGCGCTTGGCGTTGAGGCGGGCGGCCTCCGCGTCTAGCGGCGCGGGGTCCAACAGGATGCGCAGCTCCACCGGTTCCTGGCCTGTGAGGATCGCGAGGAGGAGGCGGCGAGGAGGAGATTACGAATGAGTAGGCGGAGGACGGAGGATGATACAAAGCAGCCCAGGTTAGGGTGTGCACAGGTGTGGGGTGTGGGTAAACAGGGCTGAGATCAACTGGGCCCTTCCTCCTTGCTACAGGATCGCAAATCCCTGTATAGTCCCAGCCGCTCCTTCTGGTGCCTTTCCTCACCTTGCCGCACCTCCACCACCGGCCCCGCGCCCTCGAACTTCCGCAGCTGCCATGCGGCCCGGTGCGCCGCCTCCGCATACGAGTCTGGACAGCCCTCCCCGCGCCACACGTAGGTGGGCCCCCCGGCCGGCGTCTGCGCAGCACACGAACACGGACGCGGAATCAGCAACACAGAGGGGCATGGAGTGGGGGTAACCCCCTCCACCTCCTCTTCCGCCTGCTCCTCACCTGCAGCACGAAGGCCCCCCGTGGGTCCAGGTCGCGGTGGGTGTTATGCGGGTACTGCTTGGGTGGCGTTATGAGCTTGGGAACCTGCGGGGGTCCAGGCGGGGAAGAGCGATTGATCAGGGTCTTGGCTTAGTCGGGGGCGGTGCTGTCGCATACTGGCAGCAGCGGCAGCAGCCATGCAGCCGAGCAAAGGCAGACACGAAAGACATGCTCACCAGGTAGGAAGGCGCATGCACACAGTGCGGCGCGATGCGGTAGAGCCGCACGCGCGTCTTGGCGCTCGCTGCCCGCTTCTGCCACTGCAGCAGCTGGCAGGTGAAGCCGATGTTGGGGTTGGCCACACCGCGAATCGCCTTGACCGCAGCAAAGATCTGCACAGGCGCACACCGGGGCGCACCATGGCAGACAGGGATGGTGGGGTGAGAGGGCAACATGGAGGGAGGGAGAGGGGTAAGCCAACGGAGCCTCGAGGTAACGCTGCCCGTGACTGTATGAAAGCGTTGAACGCGTTTGTCTTCGGCTCTGTCCTCAGCTCTCGCATGCGTGCAGGACAGGCCAGGAGCCCACCCATGCCGCATGCCCTTACCGTGCACCCGTATACGCCTAGCGCCTCCTACCCTTTCCCCCACATCCTACCGTACGGGCACCACCTTCAGCACCCGAAACACCCCAGCGCGCCGCTAACCAACTCCACCCCCTCACCTCATCGTAGGGTTTGCCGCAGCGCCACATCATGTAGGCGATGACGAGTGTTGCAGAGCGGCTGACGCCCTGGCTGCAGTGCACCAGGATGCGCCCGCCGGCCTGCAGCGCGCTGTGGATGTAGTCCAAGCAGTCGTACAGCACACATGAGATGTCCTCAGCGGGTGTGTCTGAAGGGATGGGACGGTGTGGGAAAGCAAGGGGGTGGGGGTGGGAGGATGGAGATGTGGTAAGAAGGGAGAGTGGGAGGCGTATGCGTGTGTGTAGCCGAGGCATGTTGTGCGGCATGAAGGATGGGTTCCCAGCGCGGGTGGGGTGCGGAGAAGGACTAGGCGGTGGGATGGATTGATGCGAGGCCGTTGGCTATGGGGCCGCACGGGGTTGCGGTTGGTGAGCGAAATGAACAGCAGGGGCGACTGGGCCATGGCATTCCATGCCACGGAAAGTAGATGGGGGCTGCAAAGATTGATAGGTGCATGCACGTGCGGTGAATAGGAGCTGCTCTCAGCTCGCTTGGTAACGGGTACGCACCTTGCAGATACAAAGTTTTGTAAGTCAACTCGTCCTTGAAGTACTCTTTGCAGATGAAGCCGACGCAGTTCAGGACATGTGTGACACCCGCTTGTCGCAATATGTCGCGGGTCTTTGCAACATAGTCGCCGGACAAAAATAATCCGGGTGACACCTCGGAGCAATGTTTCTCAAAGTACAAGTACTTCTGCCTTCGCAGCTGCGTCTCGCTTGGTGCAGTATCCTCTACTGGTAGTGAGCGGAGGTCTAGGGAACGCAGGTTAGGGCGCTGCGAGCTGGTTGGAGAAATGGAGGACGTGGAGGGTTCCGCGTCCTTAATCATACGGGCTGAGGAGCTCCAAGTAGCGGCTGCGCAATACCGTGCCCTGAACAGTGGGAAGCGCGGCTCTGGACCGTAGTGCGACTCAGGAGGTGGCTCTGCTGCCACGAGGGCCGACATTAGATGACGCCGTCCCCCTGGCCGTGTGCGAAAAGTATTGTCAGTTAGTCTAGTCGCCCTCGAAAGGGGCTGCTTTAGCTGTAGACCAAGTATAGTTCTTTTCAGAAGTCAAGTCACTTTGTAATTTATCTACGTCGAAGCGAATTCACATTATTGGGTGATAGAAACTCTTCATGGCAAACTATGCCTTTGCTCTTTGCAAGCGACATCCGTGAGGTCAAAGGTGGTGTACGACAGTACAAACGCTTTTTGGGTATGCCGCGGCCAACCCAATACGCAACGCTTGCAATCTGTCGCGCTAATGGTACCGCACAGGAAATAGCGGCACAAACTTACCTTACCTTGCGAAAATGGGTACCCCCTACCGTTGGAACTCGAAGCAGCAACTACAAGCCCGATGCATACAACCGCTAGTGCACCCGGTTCGCTTGGGCCGTCTCTATCATTCCAGACTGTATCCCTTTTGCTACCCCGCGCATCTATTGGAGGCCTGGAACTCGGCCGTACAGGGGTTATGAAGCAGTTTCGGCGTCTCAATGTGCTACATATGTTGCCTGGTTTAATGAGGTGACTGCGTCAGCTAGGTAGCTTACACTGTCGCGCTGTTCATAGAGCACCATCCTGGCCTGTGGCCTCTCGCCAAGCGAATACATGCCCAACTGTGCCGACCTAGGAACACGTACCACATCCGCAACCAATACAGCCATGATCATCGCCACAAGGGATAACATGTAAGGGCGCTGAACGTACATGCAGTGTGCTCGTTCCTGCCGAGCAGAAACATGCAGCAGACCTATCCCAAACGCTGTTTGGGTGAGGGAGAGGTTGAGACAGCCATGCAGGTTATATAAGCAGAGTTTGTATTAGACCTTTGAAGGAGCTCACCTAAACCTTAGGACTTCACTGCTGGACATGGCTCGCAGGAACGCCCCATGGGACAAACTCGGCTTACCCAGAGAAGATACATAGCTTAAATACTATGCAATAAAATACCAAAGCCAATCGATTATTGGTTTGTTACCTTTAAGGATGCAACTTTCAAGGAATTGTACTGCAGGATCTTGGACTTTGCTTGCTTGCGCTTCCCTTTCCCAACCTAATTCACACCTAACGCTTCCAGCTCCGCTATCAAGATATCCTATTTATCTGCCAGCTCGGTGTGCACTCAATACTAAACATGTATTCAAGACATATTATTTGATTGCATTTCAAGCTTCTAGTATGCGCAAATGAATTTAGGTTATTGGCAACGGTAGCGGTGGCCGCCAACCAGTGATGCTGGTGCCCCATTCGTGGTTGTGGCGTGGTGTCAGCACGCGTGGCCCCACCGAGCAGGCGTGCAGCAGCTACAGTAGATGTTCTCCAAACCTGCAAAAGCGTGCTCGCTTAACTAAGTCTGCGCGGAGACAGCACTCTGTGGATGTCAGCGCGTACGAGCCGGCAGCGGCCTTCCAGGTTGCTCAGAACCGGACAGACAGCGGAGTGTTAAGGAGTAGCGATGGCTATAATACCCCAGTCGATGATCCAGGATCAGGTGCTGCTAGCCGGGACCGTAATGAAGGTCAAGGAAATGCACCAGCGAAAGTCCTAAAGATCAACATCGATCTCCTTCTGGTACGTGAAATAATGTGTTGCCCCCAATTTATAAGCTCGCGGTTGTGGTGGGTAGGTGGCTGATGGCGCCCCGGATGCAACCCACAGTGGAGAAGCCGGACAGCGCGTATCCGCGCAAAGCTGATGCTTGACACGGCGGAGAGGAAGCAGCTATATAAGACCGCTGAAGAAGGACTCAGGTAAACTACGACCCATATCGGAAACCATGAACGACTGGTGTGCACGGATTCGCTGGTTTTCCTTACCCAATGTATACAGGACCCTGCATGTGGCATGAACGTCCCATTGACCTTCAAAGCTCCTATGCTTTGACCGTTCAGGTTTAGTCATCCCTACTCGCAGCTGTTTTCCCCCGGTTTGACTCTGTGTGACCTTGTTTGACTCGCCTTCCAGGCGCTGTTTGGCGCTGGATCCCACGGATCCGCGTGCCTACGTGGTACTAGGCAAGACGCTGGTGCAGCAGAAGCGCTACGATGAGGCACGGCGGCTCTACCAGGACGGATGCGCAAATACAGGTGCGTGTGCAGACATGTGTGTCCGAACGACGCAACTGTACTGATCATGGCTGTCGATTGAAGGGAGAAGCACTGGCGGCCCCCAGATCCGCCGCTTTAACTCCCTTGCCCTGCTGGTCCACATGTGAACCGGGCTTGGTATTGTTTACCTACTCCACGAATGCCTCCCTGGCTGCCGACGTCGCCCCCTATCTCAAACCCAATCCTCAAACCCGACCACCACCAGGCAACACCAACCCCTACATCTGGTCTGCTTGGGGCTGGCTGGAGGCCCTGACCGGCAACGCGGACCGCGCCCGCAAACTGTACGACGCGGCCCTAGTGGTCGACGGCACGCACGCATGCGCCTGGCACAAGTGGGGCATGCTGGAGAAGGGGCAGGGGAACTACACACGGGCTCGGGACCTGTGGATGCAGGTAGGAGGGGGTGGACAGGAGCGGGAGGGGGAGTACAGCCGGTTGAGGCGAATCACCTGGCAGGGGGATTAGGTAAACTGAGCCGTGAGAGGTACTGACCCTGACCGTGGTACCGGTATACCGGAGGATGATGGAGTCCCCAGGTGTCGAAGCATTGTGATACGCGTCAGAAGTAGTGTAATGGGCTACCCGCATGGGGGAGAGGGCTGGGTGGTTGACGAGGGAACACTTGGAGTGGGGTAGGGTGTGAAGCTGTCATCCTCTTCCCTAACTTCTACCGGCCTCTAAGCTCCCCCCCTGGTATTCCACCTACTGCCCCTCCCACCCACCTCCCACAGGGCATCCAGCGCTGCCGCCGCAAGCCCCAGTCCCAGAACGCTTACCTGTACAACGCCCTGGGCTGCATGGCGGCTCAGCTGGGGCGGGTGGGGGAGGCGAGGGCGTGGTTCGAGGAGGGCACGCGGAGTGCGGAGGGGGCGGCCAGCGTGGCGTTGTGGCAGGTGGGGTCCGGGTGGGAGGTGCATGCTTGTGCACCCCCCCCCCGGAGTCCTGAGCGCGCACTTCATGTAATCACATCACCTCACCACGCACACAAACACACCCTCGCCCCAACACACTCCCACCCATGTGTACCTTTCCCCGGTTGACACGCCAGTGGTCAACACCGCTCTGCGGCTCAGTTGATGTAGCTCACCCCTCCTGCCCTCCGCCTCGCAGGCCTGGGCGATCCTGGAAGCCCGGCAGGGTGACCCCTCCGCCGTACGCTACCTGTTCCGGAAAGCCCTGGGAGCCAACCCGCGGTCGCGGTGAGTGGCGGGGCGGGGGCAGCGTGTGTGTATGGGTGCGGTATTCCTGGGAGAGGGAGCCGAGGGGCAGGAGGTTCTGCAATTGAAGGAGATTCTGCGTCCGAGGGAAAGGATGTTACTGGTATGTTTACTCCCCTGCACCCCTCACCTTCGCACCACCGCAGCTACGTGCACCTGGCTTGGGGGCTGTGGGAGAAGCAGCAGGGCAACCCGCGGCAGTGCCTGGCGCTGCTGCAGCGGGGCTGCCAGCTCAACCCAACCGACCCGGCGCTGTTCCAGGCACGTAGGGTGGGGGTTTGGATAAAGGGAAACTGACGTCAGGCGGGGAGGTGTGGGGGGAGGGGAGGAGGAGTGTGAACCTGGGGCCAGTGTAGGCAGAGCAAAGATGGTGAGGGGGGAACGTCCTAGTAGTGCCGGTAGTGTGAACACACGGCTGCGCAGCGATGTATGTTGAACATGATGGTGGTCGTGTGAGTGTGCGTGTGCTAAGAAAACTGGCCGCGAGTAGGATGCGGGGGATGGGCATGGCAGTGCAGGGGTTTTCCCCAACAGATGCTGCCCTCTGAGGGAGGGCGTGTGGGTGGGTGGGTGGAGCCGAGGTGCCGGCCATGCATCCGATCCCTTGCACCCGACGCTCTGACCCAAGGAGGGGTCCTGGGTTCTTCGTTGGCGTGCTCGGAATGGGCATTGTGTTTTGTTTCCCACACCTTCCCCCCCTTCGCTGCACGCCCCTTTCCTCCCCCCCTGCTGCTGCAGGCCTGGGCCCTAGTGGAGAAGCAGGCGGGCCGGATTGACCGGGCTAGGAAGCTCTTTGAGCGGGGCTTGCAGGTGGGGTGGAGGGTGGGGAGCAGTGGGGACACTTGCCATGATGATGATGTGTGGCGTGTGGTAGGGAGTGACGGGGGCCTGGAGTGGATTGGCTGGCGGTGCGTGGGCACTGCATGAGTGGGGGGTGCTCGCTCGGACCGCTACGGTAATCGCTGTGGCTGCCCTTCCGGTAGGCCTGCACTTCACCCAGAGGTGTTACCTCCAGCTTCCGGTCCCCAGCCTCCTTCCCGGAATCCTTTCGTTCCCTTTGACCCGGCTCCCTCCCTCCCGGCTACCATCCTCTGGTATAATTCGGTCAGGGTCAGTGTTTCTCGCTGCTCAGTTTGCCTAATCCCTTCCGGTCCGCTGTCCCCCCGCCCCCCTTCCCCCCTGCAGGCCGACCCGGGCTATTTGTACCTGTGGCAGGCGTACGGGGTGATGGAGGCGGAGCTGGTGAGGGGGAGGGAGGGGAGAGAGGGAGGGGTGATGTGCATAGGGAGTAGACATGCCCCCATGTATCACACTGCCTCTTCCGGAGCGCTTAGAGCTCCCATGCCCGGATGGCCCCCCCTCTCTCCTGGTTGGAATTGGGATTAGGCTCCCAGTGCTTCACTTACACGTTATAACCTCCTTTTACCCCCCCCCCCCACATTCATGCTCACCCCAGGGCAACCTGGATCGCGCGCGGCAGCTGTTCCAGGAGGGTGTGTGGGCGGACCCGCGCAGCGCCGACACGGTGTATGTGTTCCACGCGTGGGGGCTGCTGGAGTGGCGGGCGGGCAACATGCAGACCGCCAGGGAGCTGTTCAGGGCGGCGGTGCGGGTGAGGGGGCTGAAGGGGAAGGGGGGGATGAACCTACCCGAAGGGGGCGGAGGGCCATGTGGGTGGGGAGGGGTTGAGCGGCAGCACAGGTGGAGAGGAGAGGACGGAGGCAATGCGCTGCCGTTTACACCCTCTGGTTTGGATGGGTTCGGCGGGTTCCCACCACACCCTGAAGACCCATCCCCTCTATCTTGCCCCCCCCCCTCTTCCCCCACACCCATTCAACGCATTGAGTTCCTCAACCGTCCTCACATTCTCCCCCCTCCCCAACCCGCCCCCAGGTTGACCCCAAGGACGACACCGTGTGGGCCACCTGGATCGCCATGGAGGCGGACCAGGGCAACGTGGAGCGGGTGGAGGAGCTGCGCATCCGCCAGGCGGAGCAGGCGTGGGAGTTCGTGGTGCCCGCGGGCTTCACCACGCGACCCGCGCCCGGACTGCTCGACACGCTGGCGCGGTTTTTCACAGCACGTGGTTTCGGAGGGGGAGGAGGGGGAGCGGGTTCCTGGCCCGGAGGAGGTGAGGGGAGGAGTTCCGCTTCTGGTGGGGGCGGTACGGCAGGCGCGGCGTCATCGGCTGGGGGTGCTGCTGCGGCTGCGGCGGCGGCGGGAGGGGAAAAGGCGCGGCCGCTGCGGTTGCAGGATGTTGAGCGGATGCTGGAGGTGAGGGGGGTGGCCCGGGGGGGTGCGGTTGCGCGGGTGGGGGTGGGGGGCGGGCAAATGGCACGTGGGTGTGAGAACAATATACGGAATGGGGGTAAAATAAGGGTGGAGGTGAGTTGGGAATTCGGGAAACTGGGTCTAGGTTGCTGCCCAACCGCTCCGTGACCTGCAACACATTCTCACCCACCAACCTCTTCACTCTATGCCCCCAACTTTGCCCCCTTGCACGCAGACGGGCGACCTCTCAGCCCTCCCCGACTTCGTGTCCTCTGATGACGATCTGGAAAACGACCTTCGACCTCCCTCCTCTCGCGGCAGTGGCAACAGTACGACACACGGTGGCAGTACGACAAACAGCAGCAGTGGCAGCGCTAGCAATGGTAGCAGCAGTGGCGTGCGGTCGCCCTGGCGACCCCCACCACCCATACTGCGGGAGTCTAGAGCGGGGCCACCCGCCGTAAATAACGCCCCTGCTACCGCTACGTCAGCTACTGCCCCTCCCTTCGCTGCTCGTGCTGCTACAGCCGCAGGTGCAGCAGCCTGTAGTAGTCCCACAGCTGCTACAGCCCCCACTGGCACCGCTACAGCTGCTGCAGCTACTGCCATACCAGCTGGCGATGCAAAAGCTGGCGATGCGGCAGCAGCTGTAGCAGCAGCAGCAATGGCAACAGCCGGATCATTACAAGGGCCTGCAGTACAATCTGGGTCGCCTGGGCTAGGTGCAGGGACGGGGTCCGGACCTGCTTTGGAGGCCTTGGCACGGCCGCGAGCGCCCTCCCTGGATGCGGGTGTGGACCTTTCCGCAGCAGAACGAGTGGGGCTGGGAGTAGCGCGGCAGGAGGAGGGGAAGGGCAGGGAGCTCGATGAGGAGGAGGACGAGGAGGAGGCAGCAGCTGTGAGGTTGGGGCTAAGCCAAGGGCGGCAAGCCCCTGGCTCGTCCTCTTCTTCTACAGCTGATCCATCGGACTCGCAGCGGCAACGGCAGCAGCAGCGGCAGCAACCGGCGCCCCTGCCGGTTTCCGCGCGTGTAGGCGGCGGTGGCGACAGTAACGACAGCAGTGGCAGTAGCAGGCAGAGCCCCGTCAGCTTGACTCCCAGACCATTGCCCAAGACGCGACGGAGGGTTGAGCGTTGAGGTTGGCTGGCTGGTTGGTGATGATGGTGATTTGGGTTCTTTCCTCGGAGCAGCAGTAGCGACGTATTGCGGTTTACTAGTGTAGCGGCGTATCGTGTACTAGCCGTCAATCGGAGTTGGTTGGGTTGCCGGATGCCGTATGTCCACACGTTTTTGTGCCGTGTGCACCGAAGCGGTGTCAACCCTTTTTGCTAACATTCGCTATCATTATTGTGCGCAATGGGGGTAGGAGAGAGAGAGCTGAAGCGTTGGGGAAGGGGTAATCGGGGCAAGCAGAGAACTTTTGATGAACGAGGTCTAGGAGGGTAGGAACACTGCAAGCATGGCTTGCAGACATATGCGTGCTCGCAAGTGCCGCCACGGTGTTCGTACATTGAGGGGCCTGTTTGGTGCCGTACATGCACGGCCGTGTGCCTTTTAGAGGGAGTGTAGGTTAGGTGTGCAGGGAGGAGGATGCGAGGAGGAGTTGCCGCGAGCAAGGCTTGACTAGTTGTCAACTGATGCACGATGCAACATACTGTAGGTGGTACGGAGTTGCGGGGAACCTTACATAGTTTCGCAGGTATTCCGCAGGCAGGTTGTGGCGGCCCCGGGCTGGGGTCGCATAGGTTTGACGCCGCTGTGTACCGTTAACTTGACAGCAAGCAGAGCGTTTGTTCCGAGACATGTGCTTTCGGGGCTTTTTGGGGAGCACGGTTTTGTATTCTTGGCTTCGCACAGTATCACAGACGCGTCGGTTGGGGATTATCAATGCGAGGCCCTCGAGGGTCGGACTAACGGAGGAAACTTGCCGCATGGAAATTCCGTGAATGCGGGAGGGTAGGACCCGTCATGTATAATGCAGTATGCAGCAAAGGAGACGCCGGAAGCAGCTCTTCGGGATCCTTACTTATACCGGTACGTGTCATAAGCCCTCGAGTGTGATTAAGGCTGTCCGGATGCACACCGCCTGGAATGCTGCAAATGCGATACCGGTCGTCGAGCTGCAGCCATAGCCTAGCCAGTGTACGGCACGGCTGTCCCACGACAACGAGTAAGCTAAAAGCGGCATACCGCTGATGCTGGAGCGCACATGTGCCGACATGCTGTTGACACTGCCGCGTAAAGAGATACAGGTGGACCCTGGTGAACCTAATTTTTGGCCACTCTAAGCGGTTAGCGCAATGTTGGGCTGTCTTATGAAAATGGGTTATCACGAATTCCTATGCAATGCGTCTGTCAATAATGGTTGTGCAGGGCTCTGGAGGATTACGGCCTGGCGTGCGGCGAAGGCAGGCCGAGAGCCGCGTGGATGAGAAAGATTAATGGATGGGCCCAACCAATAGGCAGACTTCGGACAACCTTGTATACTGATATAAACTGACAGCTTAGCCTAAGGACCTGCGCAAGCTGGTTTGCGCTTACGTACTTGTTATGCAAGTGGAAAACAGAGGCCAACATGTCCCGTGGACCCGGCTAGGCCCCCACCGCTGGCAATGTCATGTGTACAAAAGCCATTCTAGTGTTAAGCCTGGAAACGAGCAGCAGCGAGCACGGGAATACAAGCGGGCATAGCAACGTGTCCCTCCTGTGTACGAGTCGCTGTAGCGCAAAGCCATTGTTGTGATTGCTGCCATAGTTTGCGCTGAAGTTATTTGGTAGTAAACATAGGCAGTAACCCACACGCCTAGCTGCAGACAAGACATATCGAAGAGGGATCAAGTAGTCGCATCTTCCACTTGCCTTCTTTACGTGCTGAACTTGCCACCATGGATCTGGGCGAAGCTGTGAAGCCACTGCAAGACTTTGCCAAGAACAGTGCTCGGCTGGTTAAGCGCTGCACGAAGCCGGATCGGAAAGGTGGGGCGCCCGCGCCTTCTCATTCTCCGTCTGAGCCCCAGCTGAGCCTTCTAATATACCTTTTGGACTATCTCTGCAGAGTTCATGAAGGTCTGCTCCCGGACGGCTGTTGGCTTCATCGTCATGGGCTTTATTGGGTTCTTTGTCAAGCTCCTTTTTATCGTAAGTCCCAGCAATTATTGAAACTCCCTGTAAAGTGCATTGTTCCTTTCCCAGTTTGGATATTGACTCCATTCTCTGTGCTATGCCTTTGCAGCCGATCAACCAAGTGATTATGTCGTCCTAGGCGCCTGCAACTCAGCATCAAGGGACATTTGGGACGCTATTAGGTATTGCGGATGCAATGTTTACCATAAAGAGCGCTTTTATAGGAAGCGAACAGCAAGGCCGTGTTCGTGGCGCCGCGTGGTGGACCTTTGGGTCCCAATAGTTAGGCTTGTGTCTTCAGCTGGGCTTGGGGCTTGACCGCCGCAGCGACACACAAGTGACGCGAGGGAGAGTGGGTGGCGCGTTTGCCACGCCTGGAATGGTGTTTGTACGGCACCTAAACCTAGCACGCACACGCTTGTGCGAATAGTTTACCGCGACCTAGGTTATTGGAATTGCCTAGCTAATGTACAGAGTGACAGAATGACCGTGTGATGCTTTAGCCCTTCCCAATGATGGAGTGGCCTACATGACTTTGGGGACGGCCACACCCGTCCTACCTCGGATGCATACTTGCGGCGGCGTTGTGTGGAATGTAAATATCATGCTCGTGGAAAGCCGGACTGGCCTTGTTGCCATAAATTGGGTTCAAAGCAAATGGATTGATGGGAATCAAATTGGGGATCTGGGTAAACAACGGTATGGTAATCTGGGCCGTCTTGACATGCTATGGAGTGCCATGCAATTGGTTGTAAGCGTGCTTTGACGGGTGTGAGGGAGCTTCGGTGGGGGTGTATGGCTCACGTTGGTGATATGTAAGAAAGGTACTACCGAAGGAGCTTACAGGGAAGCCGTAATATAGCAACTCACAAGGCAGACAGAACGCTGACAGCGTGCTCCCTCAGTTTTCCCAAAGGCGTGGAATGGGGGCTTCGTTGCGGGGCATTGAGGCAACGCAAGCAAGTGTGGCTCAACATAAAAGGAAACCAGGAATGTTTTGCTGCTACGGTAACCCTGTAGCTTCCATTAGCCATGCCCATTTGTCCATTGCATCTTGTGACTTTGCAGTCAATGGAATATGGCCTTGGGATGACGGTCATAAATCTGTGATACCGGTACGGCACCCAGCGCACCTTTGGCCTTTGCCATGTCAGCCCATAACTGCAAAGGTAAAGAGACGTTTATACCGCTTTGAACAGGAAGGGCTAACCTTTTCCGATTTACTGGCCCTGTAGTGCACCTAACTCCGTCTTGGCCGTAGATTGCCCTTGGCGCCATGAGTAAACGCAAGCGCGAGACCACAACCGTGCTCGGCGATGAAGCCCCCGATATGCGGATAAAAGTTGCGGATAAGGAAGACCTCATCCCAGCTGACAGCAAAGTTCTCGGCTTGTTCAGCGAGGTCGCGTTGGGCCTACCCAAAGCCGCAGACGGCCGCCCGACGGTCTGGGATCTAAGCCGCGTTGTCCTGGAAGGCGAGTTGGAGCCGGTCAAGGGCTCTATCGTGCAGCTTTGGCTGGACTGTCTGTACTCGCGAGTCGACAGCTCACGCCGCATTAATATCTCAAGCAAGCTTGTTGAGGCCAAGCCGCTACTCCTTTTCGCTGACTACACCGGCACAACCAACGTCGTCCTTTTGAAAATGGGAAGAGAACTGGCTAAGAAGCCGCAGCTCAGCCTGACCGTGCCTGTTGGTCAGGGGCGTACAGTTGACCTGTTACTGCGCGATGCGATGTACTACACATCTAGTGACGAGCTCGTGCAGCTTACCGCATCAGCATCGGGCGGTGTTAGGAGCGTCCTGGTGGAGTCCACCGAGTTCCAGCCGCACAAAGAGCAATTCTCCTCGTCCCTGTGCGGGCTGTTGGAGGAGTGGCTCTACCTTGCCGGGCGTCTGGGGCTGGTGCCGCTGGTGCAGGTACTGCTCAACTTCATCGAGAAACAGCTGTTTCCCGATATCCTCTCAGTATGCTGGCCGGGCGTGGGTGCTGTCTTCAGCCGGCGGGTGCTGCAGGCTATGCCAACAGAGCTCATGTACGAGGCCTTCCTGCGACAACACATGTGCATTCGTCAGAGTGATGCTGCCGTGGTCGTTGAAAACGCGGACGTCCAAATCCGCTCGCAACATGCAAACGCCTGGTTTCCGAACAAACCCAACACCTTACGCTCCTTTGTGCGTTTCGGTGAAAGCCTTTCAGTATTGGAGCAGTCAGATGGCCATTGTGTACCGGCCGCCGTGGTTCTTGGCGGCATAACGGCGGATGACAGGGAAGTTGTCCAGGGTGAGACTCTCTCCAAGGCGCTAGGGTTGGAGTAAAGCGGCCTGGTCTGCACCAATCTCTCCCATCCGTTCCGTGGCAGCGTTGTAAGCGTTGTGGGTCGGAAGCTGTGGGGCAGGTGTGAAGCTGAGATGGGGTGCGGACATCGGGTTACGCTGCGGCCCTTGTTGGCTGTGCTTCGGACTGTGGTTTGGTGTGGCGGACGGGTCAACGCATGTTCCGGTGCAGGCACTTCACATGTTTGGCTGTCGGGATGGGCGGTCGGGGTTGGGGCCGATGGTATGGCTATGGGTCGAGCTGATAGTTGGTAGTTGAATAGTTATGGAGATCAATGACTGCCTCAAGCTGCAAGCTAGCTGGCTCATCCTGTTGGCGCATCCAGGTCCCTATCTGTGACCCCAACCTGGGTCGTCGTCAAGGCGACATGTGGTGGCCAATGCTAGAGTAACGGCTGATTGATTCGGCCTTCAACTCGGTAACATAACTGCCGCAACGCCGTCTGCAGGGTGCGTGTGTTGTGTTGCTGAGGCGTGCAGTGGAATGTGGCTTGTGGGATGGTTCAAGATGTTACCTGTTGCCGTGGCTGCGTGTTGTGAGGCATGCATTAGGTTGGAGAGCACAAACCGGTTACTCAGGATGGCGTCCTGCTAATGACAATGCAGCAAATGGGTGCAGCGTGGTGGCATTCACCCGTGGGACACTGAAGACGTAGTCAGCTGCATCTTACGGAGTAAGGGTTAGCAACGGTTGTCTTTGCACTACACTTATGCACCGTTTGTTGGTAGATTGTTTTATCCCGTTCTCCCTTAGGAAAGCTTCGGAAGGGAGCAGGATGGGCAACAAGCATGCTGGTTAGAAGTTCATCACATTCTTACGGTTGCCTTAAAGTTATGTGTATTATATTGCACAGGTATAGCGCAAGTCCCTCTGGCGAGTATAGTTTGGTCGCTTCGTCCTTCTCAAGCGGTGATACTTGAGGGCTCCGTCGCGCACCGTGCCTCGTTTGCCCAGTCAGCTTTAAAGCTGAACCAAATACTCATTAATCCGCGCCTCTCCGAAGTGGTATGTCGTTGCGGTTATGTAAATCCCTCACCCTAAAGTGCAAGCAAGCAATGTCGGTTAGCAACCCTTAAAACCGCCAATAGAATGGTTAGCGTTACGTGTCAATGACATGGCTTTCATTTACTAATTGAATGTTTCGCAGAGAGGTGACCCCTTGATGGTGTACGACAACAGCGCTTAGAACTATTCACCTCTTCTAGGCGAAGCACAGCTACACGAGATGGTAATCCACCTGAACAAGAGCAGCTGTTACGTATGACTACCTAGCAGACACAGTTCTCGCTTTGTGCAGAGTACATTGTGCTTTTCTATAGCGTAGGTAAAAATGTCACACACCGTACCCTCAGCATCAGGGGGCTTCGTATATAGAGCAGAGCGCATGTCACCAACCCGGACGCAGACGGCAACGCAGCCAGTAAGCAATCGACTTCGTCGAGATGTGCAGCTCACTTGGTTGGACGAGAGTTAGTTTATTATACAAACGCAAAACAAAACTGTCGCACATCTATTTATCCTCAGGCTGTTGGCCCGGGCGCCTATGAAATTGTGAGAAGCATCGACCCCAACCCGGCGCCTGTACCCTTCCATACATCAGCAGAAAGGTAATATGCATAACATTGCAACAACAAGCACTTTCTTGCCCGTTGGGACTGTAACCTGCCCGAAGTTTCGCTGCATGCATTCCGTTTGCGGTTGGTGGTCTATGTTGCTCGACGACGTCGTTCCTGCCCGCCAAACTTCATCGCGTCTTTCACGCCCCTATCGAGCTTCTTCCTGTCGCACTAATTACCTTATCACTCCACTCCACGGTGCACAGGGTCTTGGCTGCCAATCCCACCACCTCCGCCGTCACGCCGGGCCCGGGAGCCTACAGCGCCTCTAACAGCGCTCCCGGCTCCCTCGGGGGACCCGCCTCGCCCTTCGTCAGTGGAGTACCACGGCTTCCCGTAGAACCGGAGGGACGGGCCAGGAGGGAGGTGCCAGGGTGAGCTGGAAACGGGGTGGGAAAGGTCGACTAGCTGGGGCAAAGGCAGTGGGAGTGAGTTAATGGGAGCGGTGGGCCGCCACAGGGCAGGTGGTAGGGTGGGCAAAGCTTCTGCGGCATGAGAAAAAGGCATAATGCGCTGACTCTGTCAGCTATCGATAGGCGAGGGCTGACGTCTAGAAAGAAGGGAGGGTCAAACCTATTGCCATGCCCACATGCTATCACTTACTGCCCCCCGTCTCTTCCTCGCAAGCTTTCCACACACCTGACACACCCCGACCCTGCACCACTCCCTACAGCCCCGGCACCTACGACGCTGCCAACCAATGGGTCCGCGGCAGTCCGCACTACCGACCCGCGGGTCGCTCGCACCGTTCGCCCTCCCGCCGACCCAGCCACGCAGCCGAGCGGGTGCTGCAGCTGCTGCCGCGCCGGCGGCCCACGGCGCCCTCCGTGCCGGGGCGGGGGGAGAGCTACGGATATGAGGAGGAGGCGGACGGGTCGCTAGTGCTGCAGGTAGGGGGAGGGGGAATGCTGGGGGAGTGTGGGTGGGAGTGGGAGGAAGGGCACGGGGGTGGGGAGGGGGAGTGCTGGGCTGCTGGCCACCTTGGCGCATCAGCCCTCCACAATGCATGTGTGTTCCGCCCTGAGCATGTCCTCGGCGGCTGTGCTCGTCCTTCACCCTACGCATGTAGCCATACACATACACACACGCGCCCCAGTTCGCTCAACACACCGGCACGCACAGCAGGTTCCCACACACGGGCAGGCTTGCCAACACACACCAGGGCATGGGAGCGGGAAGCGGGGTGAGGTCTCGTATTCCCAGGGTGCCTCCAAGCGCCTCATCACAGCACATCTCGGCGATCCGTCGTCGGCCCAAGCGCCCCGGACAATCGGCCGCGCGCCACCGTTGGGAGCATGAGGAGCGGGCGCAATGAGGGGTGTAGGCGACGATGTCACCTCGTATGTTGGCGCTCTGCTGGCTCAGTTGCAGCGTGTCCAAGATTTGTAGCAGGACATCATTGGTAGCAAACGAATACAACTTAATTGTGTTCATTGTAACGTGCCATGAGCACAATTGAGATGTATTCGTCTGCTCGAAGTGATCTCCTGCTGGACACCCTGAACACGCAGTACCTGAGCCAGCAGAGGGCCAGCATATGAGGGAGGTGACATCGTCGCCTACAGTCCTCTCCCCGCTCCAAACTCGCCCCCCCACCTGATTCCCGTCACCTGCTCCTCCCTCCACCTGCTTCCCGCCTTCCCTTCCCCCACCCTGTTCCCCTCTCCTCTTCTGCCCTTCTCCTCTTCAACACGCTGGGTCTTCTTCCCCTCCCCTCCCGCCACCCTGCTCTAGGCTCCCCCTGAGAAGTCCCACACGGGGGTGGGTCGCGACACGGTGGGGCCGGGCAAGTACGAGCTGGGCGGCGGGGGGCCCTTTGCGCGGCCCGCGGGCACCGCCTGGGCCAACAGCAGGACCAACCGGGGGCTCAAGGTGGGGGGGGGGCGCAAGGAGGGGGCGGGCGGGAGGAATGGAGGGAAAGTAGATGAACATTGAAGTAAGTTGAGTCCCAAACCCGAATCCCGACTCATGGAAGGAGGGAGGGAGGGAGGGAGGGAGGGTGCAGGACTGCAGCGGGCTGGAGTTGGGTGCCAGGGGACCCGACTTGGGGGGAAGGCGGGCGCCGCTCGGCAGCCGCCACCCGCAAGGTCACGTCGCCAGGGCTCGAATAGGGTACCGCTTGGAAGCGGGGGAGCGAGGTAAAGCAGCTTTGGGGCGCGAGACCGGCTTGTCTGTGCGGGCTACACCGCACACCCCTTTCACAGTACCCAGCCTGCCTCCCCCTCCCCCCTCCCCCCTCCCTCAGGTCGAGTCCTACACCCCCGGTGTGGGCACCTACAACCTGGCTGACAGCGGCCCCCGCAAGCACGGCGCGGGGCTGCTGGTCACCATCGGCGGCGTGGAGGTGGTGTTCGGGGGCTCCTCGGGCACCAGCAGCTTCGTAAGCAAGGCGCCGAGGCCGCTGCAGAGGGTAGGGGGGAGGCAGAGGGGGAGGGGCGGAAGAGGGGGGAAGGGGGGTGAGGCAGCAAGGCAAGTCGCGGGTGGAGACGTGTGTGGCGGACCGGAAGCTGGGGGGTTGGGTTATGGGTGGGAGAGGAGGGAGGTACCGATGCATGCAGTCAGTGTAGTCACCCCACATTACTTCCAGTTAACCTCCCCTCACCCTTCCTCCTCTCTCCTCTCCCTCTCCATCCTCCTCCACCCCTCCCACAGTACCCCGCTGGCTCCCCCGGCCCCGGCGACTACGACAACCTGCCGGCCCCCACCGCCGCCTCCGCCACCTGCCCCTCCGCCGCCGCAGCGCTGCGAACCACCAGTGCGGGCTTCGGCACCACGGCGCTGCGGGGCTCATGGGAGGTGGACCCCACCCTTGCCCGCTCGGCACCCACGTACTGGAGGTGGGGAGGGGAGGGGGATAAAGAGGAAAGGAAAAAAAGGAACGTGGTGGGCTGTGTCTCTCTGCAATGCGCCTTGTCTACAATCATTTGTCTACAATCTGCGTCCGCACATCTGTTCCCTACCTCCCGCTCCTTCCTCCTTCCTCGGAATACAGCGCTTCAATTCTTTTCCTCACCTCGCCCCCACCTCTTCTCATGTGTCTTCAGGAACCCCGGTCCCGGCGCGTACGAGGACCCTCGGGCCCGCTTCGGCGCCAAGCCCTCACCCGGCCTAATCCTGGCCGTATCGGAGGACGGAGCAGCAGCAGCAGCAGCGGGAGCGGGAGGAGCAGCGGGGGCAGCAGGTGCAGGGGGAGGAGCTGCGGCAGCGGGCAGCGGGACGGGCGGTGTGGTGGTGCAGTCCGTCACCGCGATTGCGCCGTTCAAGACGTCCTCGCCGCGATTTGGGTCGTCGGATAACGCGGTGCCGGGGCCAGGTGGGGATGAGGGTGCGGGTGCGGGGCGGGGGGCGGGGGAGGGTAGTGAGGAAAAGTCAACCCCATGTCTTTACAATGCTCCAGGGCGGGGGATAGGTGGGGGTAAGGCACCCGTGCTACGAAGGTGTTGGGAGTGGGGAAGCGTGGAGCGGAGTGGTGGGCGAGGCGGGGCGGGGCAAGAGGGGTGGTCGTCGGGCGCGTCGTCTGGGTGAGGTGAGGCGCATGGGTGCCAAGCTTGGGTCCATTGTGGGGCATGACAGGACTATGCTGATGCATGGCTTGCCTTGCCTGCCGTACATCGACGACTCCATTCGTCCCATTCTCCCACTGCACATTCGGCCCCCCGTTCAGACTCCCAACAATACCTCTACACCAACACCCCTAACAACAACAACATAAAAAACGTGCGCAATCACCTCCGCTCCCACTCCTAACACGCCCGCAACCATCTCATCCCCTCCAACCCCCCCGCCCCCCTACCCCCACACCCCCAGGCGAATACCACCCGGACGCCGTCACCTCCCTGGAGTACGACACATTCAAACGTGTATCCGGATCTCGCCCCGCCGGCGCCTTTGGCGGGTCCACGGGTCGGTTCCCCTACAGTCGCGGCGCTTCATCGCCCGCACGACTCGCCGTACCGGGTGTGTTGGCGGTTCAAGAAGGCGAGGGGACGCCGGGTCCCGCACACTACGAGCCGCGTGCTGCGGGCGGCGGGCGTACGGGTGAGTTGCGAGGGGCGGGGGAGGGGTGTGGGCGGAGAGGGGGTTTGATGGTGGTGGTTGTGTGATTGCGGGGTGGTGCTATACGGGCTGTATATGCGCTGGGAGGGAGGCCCGGTGATGTAGGGGAGGGCAGGCGCGATGTGCGCTGGTGCAGCTTTTACCCTTCCTCAGAAGCAAGTCACAGGTTATTACTGTACCGGCTATTGCCACCACCTTCACCCCACACCCTCCCACCCTCCCACCCCCTTCCCTTCCCTCTCCTCTTCCCTCCCGCACCCCACCCCCAGTGGGTCGCGCCGGCACCTCCAACTTCGCCTCCCGCACCGGCCGCTTCCGCCCCGTCACCGCCCCGCCCGCCGTACCCGACCTGTCCGACTATGACGGCACCAACCCGCTCAGGTGCGGGGCGCTTGGGTGGTTGTGTTGTGTAGTTGTGTTGGGGAAACTGGCCGCGAGTGGGAACGGATTGTCAGAAAATGTTTGCACATGCTTGTGAGAGTTTCCGTGTGTTTGCGAGGGGGCGTGTGGGAGGAGAGGGAAGAAGCCAGGAGGGAGGGGCAGAGGGGAGGAAGGGATGGGAAAACGCAGAGGGAGGGAGGGGCGAGCGAGGGCGTGCGAAGCAGGGTCTGGGGGGCACCCGGGGTCCCACACGAGCGGTGCCACGGCATACACACACACAACTGGCAACACAGCCTGATTCAAAACCGACATCCTAGACCATTAACCACCAGCACCCAAGCAAAACATGTACCCGAATCATGCTGATATAACGCGCCTGCCCTGCCCCTCCTTGCTCGCTTCCTGCAGGGGCGACCCCTCGCGGCTGGGCCCTGGGGCCTACACCCCGGAGAGACCCACGGGTCGTCCACGATACAACCAGGCTCCCATGAAAATTGTACCTTTTGGCACCGACTCTCACCGAGCGAGTGAGTGCCCCGTTTTTTATTCTTGACCTTGGGTGCTTTTCAACTTCCCTCTTTCTGCTTGCGCTCCCTCTTATCGCCGGATGACCGGACCCGCAGCCTTTCCTGACCCCTCCAAAACCCATTCCCTCCTCCCCATTTCGCAGGAGTGGAACTGCCCTCCAGCTCCACCCCCGGCCCCGGCCGCTACCCCCCGGTGGACCCGCACGCCCACAAGCCCACCACCATCCCGCCGCCCAAGGCCGGCTTCAGCGGCCAGGCCGACAGGTTCGGCGCCTCCTCCACATTCACTCCGGGTCCGGGGGCATACGTGCCCACGCCGACAGGCGGATCCATTGTACGGAAGTCCTTCAATGTGTCATACAATGGCAGTACACCGGTTTGCGCAAGATGATGACTTGGAGGAGGAGGAGGAGGAGGAGGAGGGGCGGCGTTTTGTTGTGTGTGGCTGGTTGAGGGTTGGTGATGAGGAGGAGGGGTAAGATAAGGAACGCGCACGTGCGCAGACCTGGGAGGATTGGGAATAGCTCTGGGACATAGCAGGAGGTTAGGGTGGACGAGGGAGCGTAAGAGGGAGGAGCGGGAGAGGAAACGGGGAAGAGAGAAACGGACGAAGTGGGAGTACTGTATCGCACCGGGTATAGGTAGCAGCAATCGCAGTAGTGGTGATGATTCTCGTTACGGACATGGGAGTTAGCTGGGGCGGGGGGGCTGCCGAGGGGAGTCTGCGCAGGTGACACGCTCTAGCTCACCGCGTCGTGGTGGATGTGGGGGTGTGTGGTGGGTACGCGGCCGCCCGCACGCAGGCTTGACTCCATGCACACATGCATGCACGCAGTGGTTAGGGGTGGCTGGCCTCTCGTTGTGACTGACAGTCTGACGGAGGGCGCTCTCTATGTGAGAGAGGGCGCACTGAAGCGGAAGGGAGGGACGGCTGGGCGGACGTTCTTGGTATCCTGTTTGATGGCTTATACCGGTAGGTGGGTGGCTGGGTAACATAGGATTGTGCAGATGACCCGCGCCCGATGTCATGGACTTGAGGGGGGAGAAGTGCGTTGGCGTCATGTCACACAAAACTGTGCTGTGAGCAGCCGTGGGGGTGTGTGTGAGGGCGGGGTTGGGTGTTACCTGACGGCAGGTGTGTTGAGGCGGCAGGTGTGGGTGCTGGTTGGAATCGATGCCAGTGCTTAGCAGCAGCAGCAGCAGCAGGAGCAGCGGCGCAGGTTGTGGGGATGCGGCTGAATGTGAGCGATCAATGCAATTATGCGAGACATTTTGGGTCCGGGACATTTACGCACTCTAGACTGGCTCGCTTTGGTAGCCTCCTACGCATTTATTGTCGGTATGTTGTTCTTTCGCGGGATGCAGGTTGGGGCGGGGGTGTCCGGGATGGCAATGCCGGTGCTAGGCCATGGGGCATGGCGGTGTTTACCGCAACAGCGGCCTTACCCTCCGCAAACGTGCATGGGGGCCCAGTTGTTGACTTGGTTCCATGGCTCTATCGCGTGTCGAACTCTTATCCTTGCTGGTTGGCGCGGAATGCTTTTACCGTAAGCCCAGGCGAGAGGCGGGAAGAGAGTGGTGATGAGGTATGGGCCAATGCGGTGTGTGGGGCTTCCGATTTGGCAGTGGTTTCCGTGCAGTGCGCGTAGATATTGTGTATGTAGTTATTGACAGCTACATCACGCAAGGCACATATTATTTAGTTACTTGCTTAGGACAGCTTGACTTGGCTACCCGCGTGTTTCTAGAAACAACGAACCACGTAGCCGGTGTGACGTGCACGGGGGCGTTCCCAAGTACTGTGCCTCCAGTCGGCCTCAGCCCAGGCAACCTGCGTGTGTATTAGGGTGCTTGTAAACTAGAGGACTGCGGCTCACGGGGTGACTTATGTTGGGGTGGTCAGACATCAGGACGCGGCGGGCAACTGGACGCCGAGCCGAGCGACACAACCATCACCGTATTTCCGTTCGCCGCCTCCTCGGTTTCGCCTGTTTCCCCTTGCCTCATCTCATTGGCTCTGGTGTCGTCATTAACCGAGGGTTCATACCCTACGAGCGCGCTGCCTCTCGCCTATCGTAGCCGCTTCTCCCAATATGGCCGTGGGTCAGGCCAGCAGGGCGCAAGCGCAACCGAGTACAGCTAACACATACAGCACGGGCCTTCACGATATGCCAGCGGATCCGATCTGCGGTGACATCGTTCAATAGGCCCCAGTGGCCACGTGAACCCGTATTGTTAAAGGCGGTCAAATTATACACATGAAGTGGGGCAATCGAATTGAGGGGCGCTGTAACCGGTTCATAAACTGGTATTTCCTTATTTTCTTCCCCAGTTCTCGGCAGCAACGTCCTAGACATCAGTACAACGAGGACTGAAGAGGAGTGCCACTGCGCTCTATCCGTAAACAGGGCAGACGACAAAACTTGAGGGTGTTTTCCGAACGCTACTGTCAGTGTTACATTCGTACGCAACACGCTTAAAAACCCGCTAAACGGCATTGCCCTCAGTTCCCCAGACTGCATCGTGTACACGGCTCAATGCCAGGGCGTCCGTTCGGTAACGGTGGCAAGCTGTCGCGGAAGCAGCTCATCACCCGGCTGGGCCCGGCACTCGGAGAGGTTCTTGACGCAGTCTCCGCAGAAGAACTCGAGCTCCACTTGAGCTCCGGCTGAACTCAAGGGTCGTCCGGGCGCTGTTTGCCGTCCCGCTTAGGTCGTACTCAAAGATGGCCATTGTGGCCAGGTGATCCTTGAGCGCCTTGATGCGGCCGCACACAAAGCAGTCGATTTATGTTAGCTGGGTCTCCTCTGGCTTGAGGCAGCATGCAGGTGGCAGAGATAAGTCAGCCATTGGGCAAGAACATCTAATGGTTGGGTTAGTCCCGGGGAGGCGAAGTGAAGTGTAGTAGTTGTAGGGACTGAGCAGGGATTTGTACGACAAGGCTGCTCCGAGTACTTAAGTTCGTTGCTCTCTGTGCACAGGCATTCTGCCTTCACTTTTGAGAGCACTCACATCGTTGTGAGTACCGACGTTCCCGCCCATTCACCCAAGCCTCCCGGCTCGTGCCCCACCCATTTCTCCTCCTCAGGTGCTAGCCCAAGTATCCATGGGCATCTTCTTGCTTCCCTGGGGGCAGCTTCACCAGCGGTTCCAGGATTTGTTCGTTGACTCACTGCCGTTCGCGTGTTAAGGCTCTTGGGCTGGTGGTGGGGGTCTCGGTCGTTCTTGGCGCTTTGTTCCAGTCCGAGCCTACCTGGGCCTGGCTGGCTGCCTGTCTAAACGTAGGTGCCGGCCAGAGAAGCGAGGGTTTTCGCTTTGTGTGCGCCTGTTCCCGGTTTTCACTCGTTGTGCTCGCTCCGTGTTGGCTTTTGTATCAGGAATGCAGGGGCCGGCAGGCGTTCCGGGGTTTCGCTGTTGGTCGGCCGTTTTGGCTGAGGTAGGCGGTTGGCGGTTGGGGTGGCTCGCGCGCAATGGCAGGGATGTCAGGAGTCCTTCGGTTTAGTGTTACACGCTTGGCGCGCAGACTTCTTTTTTGGCCACTCTTGCGCTCCAGCTCGTTGGTGGTGTATCTTTGCGCTCCTGCACTGTAAGGACCATGTCAGGCAATCGCTGGCCCACATCATCGGCACCTCACATCCTACTACAGGTGAACCGGCCATATTCCGTCGGCTACCACGCGAATGGTCATAAGTTACGCACCACTGAGCTTTACAGGGTCGCAAAAGTTGCATCGGGGCCCTCTTGTAGTACACTATCAGGTCCCAAAGTCGTGTGACGCCTTATGAAGGTTAGGTCCACTTATACCACTCATTACGAGGACCTATACAAAACAGCCTGCCTCGGAAATCCGGGGTAATTCCGTCCATCCGAAAAGTAGCCCAAACCTAGTCCGCACAACCCGCGGCGACCTGCCATTGACATCCAAACACCTTCATATGATACTAGAAGCCATCCAATGCTTAGTGGCGCTACAGGATGATGCCTGACTGGGTTGGTCGGCATCATCATGCATGCATCCTGCAGTGACAGCAGGTAGATGCCTAAAACGCCCCCAAATGGCAAACTTTCTTTTCATGCATGCGCTGTGACTAGTATGATATGGTGCAACGTTTCTTTGCGGCCCGCACAGTGGCCTCGCCCTTCGCTACCCCATGTCACTGCAACACCCGTCCACCCGCTCAGCCTGGAATCTCCTCCGTGACGTGCTCGCTGTCCCCATAATCAATACCCCCGCTCTCCCAAAGCTAAGTATGGCGTCTGACACGCTTGCCTTGGTGCACCAGGCCTGCGCTTGCTGCTTAGGACCCCTGTCCGCCGTCCCGGTCCCCATTGGTGAAAGGGTCTTGTGCTAACTGCGCAACCACACGCGCTTGACGTCCTAATATCTATCTTTTACATATTTAAAGTTAGATGAAGCGCTTGGAAGGTTCATTTCCTTGTTTTCAGTTACTGTGTGCTCCACCGCGATGTTCCATGGGAATTGTCGATACGCGCACGGAGGCACGTAAAGTAAAGTGGATCATCGGTCTCAAACCTTAGCATAGATATAGACAAGTGCGGAATTAAGGCTCTGGGACGGCTACATCCCGTTTCGGTGACCTGTTTGGCGAAATCTTATGTCAAGGCGAGGATGTGGCTCCGGGTACATAACTACCTTTGGGCGGCTGTCTGCCAGCCTTAAAACACTAGTACAACTTAATACTAAAAGGCTATAAAGGCGCGAGCGCTATCTCTTAATAGAGAGTACAAACTTTGGGTGGACGGAATTACCCCCCTGACGGAATTAGGCCGGGTCACCTGTAATGAGCAGCCGCTCAGTGCCAAACCGGGAGGGTGGATGTATGGTGCGCTCAGTCCGTATCTATTGAGCACGAGGAGGGTGGAAACATAGAAGGTGCGTACCACACATAGGCATAGGCGTTGGGCGTGGGGGCAAAATGTTAGGTTACGTAACACATACACGTCTGGGTCCTACATGGGTCATACCCGGAACCACTTACGGCCCGCAGTAAAACGAATGCTAGACGAATGAAATTCCTTGCAGGGTCCGTTGGCTTTTAGGACTGCAATGTTGGCGACCCATGGAAGAGACCCATTTGCCAAAGTGCGTGCAGACGTCGCACAGCTCGCGCCACTCAACACGCTTATGTTCAGTGTACAGGGGCGGGGGGGGGGGGGAAGGTGTCACCTCTTGCAACCGAGGCGAATCGTTGCCTGCCACCATATTATTCAACATACAACAGAAAAGGAAAGGATGGTTTCCTGTCCCGCACTGGCAGGCGTTTAGCGGCCGTATACCGAATAACCAAAACTTTTAAGTGATAACACCCTCAGGGGGAGGGGGACAACTCGCGCCTGGCATATCACGGGGCCGAAATGACTTGGGACTTACATCCCCCGACTAATCCTGGGTGTGTCAGCGGGGGCGGTGAATCCCCCCCCCCCCCCGCTGACGAAGTGCTGGGCACCCGCACGCTGGCCAGTTGTTAGTGATGCTTGTTTCTACACGTCTATGCTTAGGGCAAAGAACAGCAGTAGTAAGAAATGCAAGCGCTGCTGTTCCTCGGAAATCCACCGCTTGCCTTTACGCCTTGTGGTGTAGTTATGCCGGGCCCCAGCGGCTGCACGTGCAAGAAACGTACATGGCCCGCCCCCCCGGCCTTACACTGAGCATACGCCTATCGAGTGGTGTATAGTTGAGTAGGACAAGAGCATAGTCGAGTACATGCAGCAAGAACAGCAACATTGTGCATGCGCAATTGATGTTGTTCCCTTTTGATGGACAGCAGCAACGGGTGGCCATCTGTCAACCGTGCACATCTACAGGTGCCACGAGCAGTCCTTACACAGCAGCAAGAGCTGTTAAAAGACGTCATGAGCCCCCCTCATACAAAGATGGTTTACATCCGACGGTATTGCCGTACTATGCAGTGCGGCGAGACGCCATACTATTGTGCATCGTGAAACGCAACAAACGAGACGAGGGAAGACACATAACATACGAATGCTAGTACAATTCCGATTATGACAGGAGCAAATGTAGATATACATGTGCGGGTCATACAAGAGGGTAGAGGCGCTTGCCGTACAGTTTTCATTGCCGACGGCAACAGCAGTGGTAATCCGGAGAACGTCTCCATCCCACGCCGCACCAGTCGCTGTGTCATGCAGGGCTCTTTCGGCCGCCCTGCATGTTTTATAACTGGATGGCATTTCTAATCATGCCATGCCTTTTATCAAGGGTGTCCCTCCACGCCACTCCATGCCTTGCAACCCTCTTGCCAGCACAACCTACTATGTAATACGTACAACTGGCGATGAAAGCAGTCCCATCTACTGCAAAAGAATACACAAAACACACGACCACCTCCACTACAGACACATGTTGCATGTCAAGACAAAGCTACATAGCAGGCCAGACCCTCAGGCCAGACCCTCAGAAGTGCAAACAAACGCGACGTACAGCAGCATTGCCGAGGACCGAGGGTCTTTCCATTACAAAAGACCCACCGTCCTTCAATCGGCCCACGTCCGCTTAAGATCGACTCACGTCCGATACCCATTCAGCACAAGGCCTACTCCTCCTCGGGCCGCGGACCGGACAGCACAGGAGAGGCTACGGGTATGCCACCCCTCCCGCTCACAGGCAGCCGCGCGCCTGCAGCTTGGCGGCGATGCGCGCGCCGAGCTGCGGGTCCGCCTGCGACCAGTAGCCCACCCAGATGCGCCGGATCTCCTGCGGGAGAGGAGGTTGAGGGTGGGTTTACGGAAAGGAAAGGCGGTGTGAGAGGAGGAAACATTAAGACGGCGTAAGGGCTGAGGGCGAGGAGGAAAGGAGGCGAGCTAGGTACGGTGAGGGTTGAACGCCTCCCTACGCCCTCCCTATCTGCCTGCCCAAGACGGCCCTCATTCCCTCAATGCACGACAGATGATCCCGCGCACCTGCGTGCAGCGCGCGTCAGCCAGGAAGTCGTACGCCTGGCACACGAAGCGCTCCTGACGGGCCGGGTCGAACGAGCGCCAGCGGGCACCCGCCTGCGGGATGAACGGACCGAGGGGGCGGGGCGTAAAGACCAGGGGAAAGGAGAGCCAGGAGGAGTACTGGAGCGCAAGGGAAGAAGAGACTCATGACGCTCCTACACCACAAGACCACATGCATGCATCCTTCCCGTACGTAGGGACAACATGTTTTTACCTTTGCAGCCGCCTCCTTTGCGCTTACTCATTCCTTCCCCATCCCACCCCTCCTAAAACCTCCACCTCACTCCCGACACACACAAGATCAATGTCCCCACCTGCGCAAAGTTGTTCTCCTTGGCAATCACGATCTTCTCGCGGCGGCCCGACAGCGCCGCAGTGGACACGGCCGCACCCCGCTCGGCGTTGCGGACCGGGTCAAACCTAGCAAGGGGGGGGGTCAACGACCAGACCAACATAGAAATTAGGGCGAAGCAATGGGGTGCGAGCCCGGAAGCGCATACGAAGCAGTCTGTCAGTCCCATTTGCGTCATACACCACAGGGGCGCTGGCCCAACCTCCTGCTTACACGCTTCCGTCCACCCCACCTACCTGGACGGGAAGTAGTTGATCTCCTCGTCCCGGTGCATGAAGTTCATGAAGCCTGGCGGACGAGCGGGAAGGAAGAGCACACTTGTTACCGCTTTTTAGACGCCGTTGCAAACGCCAGGCGCTCACACAAAGGTAACGGACGGGTTGGCTCACACCTCAGGTGCGTCACCAGCCTTTTACACAGCACCGAGATAAATCAGGAAAGACCCATAAAGTGTCTCGATACGACAAAATCCATGCATGCACAATAACCATAAAAACCCCTCCGCCCCCCTCCCCCTCACCCTCATGGTGGTTGTTGTGGTGCGGGCACTTGGGCGCGTTCACGGGCAGCAGCAGGTAGTTGGGGCCCAGCCGGTGCCGCTGCGTGTCCGCGTACGAGAAGATGCGCGTCTGCAGCAGCTTGTCGTCGCTGTAGGCAATGCCTGCGCGGGTGAGGAGGGGGAAATTGACAAGGTCGACAAAGGGAGGGGGAGCGAGAGAGTACATAAACGCCTAAAGCTTTCTGGACTCACGCCACTGGTCGCGTCATATCCTTCTCATCTCTTAAACCAGCCCAGAGAGCCCCGAACCTAACAACAGTTTCGTTCACCAGTTCACCGCAACCATCAGAAGACTTGGTCCTCCCGCCACCCAGCCCCTCCCTCCCTCCTCTCGCATGGCTCCTCTGCCCCCTCCCCCACTCCTCGTCCCCCTTCCTCACCCGGTACAATGATGGCGGGGCAGAAGGCGACCTGCTCGTTCTCCGCAAAGAAGTTGTCCGGGTTGCGGTTTAGCACCATGCGACCCACCGGCTGCAGCGGGAACTGCTCCACGGGCCAGGTCTTGGTCACGTCAAGTGGGTCAAAGTCGTACCTGCGCGGGAATTGGGAGTTCAGAGAGGGCGTCAGGAGGAGTACAACATAGCGAGGGGTGGGTGAGAGTGGTGGTGTCAATGTTTGAACGCTGGCTGGGAGAGTACAGATGCCGGTAGACCAAGCCAGCCTTCCGCAATGAAAGAGCAACCCTTCAGCTGCACGCCCCTTGGCCCCACCAAACCAGCGGTCCCCGCTCACTTGTCCTCGTCCGCGGGGTTCATGGTCTGGATCATGAGGGTCCACTCCGGATAGTCTCCTGAGGGAGGAGAGAAAGGAGAGGAAGGGGAGCAAGAATGGATACTTGTTTCACTAATATCTGGGTACAAACCAACAACGTATGAAACCCACATCTACCCCATCCTTGTCCAACTGGCCTCCAAGCCCTCCTGCAAGCTCCCATGGTCGGCAAATCCAACCGCGTGTCTCGTAAGTTATACCTGCCGCACCGCTCTTATGACCAAGCCCCCCATCCCCTGTCGTACCTACCCTCATGACTAGTCCCCCCCCTCCCCCATGCCGTACCTGCCGCAATGGCGTCGTACAGGTCCTTGGTGGCGTGCGAGTGGCAAGATCCGCCCACCATCACCGCCTGATCAGGCAACAGGTACTTCTCGCCTGCAGGAAGGAAGTGGCGGGGGGAAGAAGAAGGTTACAGGTTATAGAGTGCTAGCTGAGGAGTAAACCCTGAACCCGGAATATAAGGGCAAGAATGGAGGTCCCCGGCTTGCAGCAGGTAGCTTCTCATCAGCTAGGAGCCATCAGCCATGCGAAAGAAAGCGGCACCCACTACTGCGGCATCACCCATTGGCGCGGACGATATGAATGACGGCACCTGACCCACGGGACACCTCTCTTGGTCGTACACCTACCGCACTTGGGTACCCAGTGGAACTTGACGTACGTCTCCTTGCCCGCCTTGTTGATCAGCTTGAAGGTGTGCACTCCGAAACCCGGCATGTGGCGGTAGTTGAGCGGAATGCCCGCGTCGTCGAGCAGGAAGGTGAGCTGTAGCCGGGGGGAGGGCAGGAAGGTGGCGGGTCGGGAGGAGGTAAAGGGAATGGGACGGGTGGGAACGTAAGACTCATGCGGGCACTGCCCAAAAGTGAGATGCATTGGGTGCGGATTATCGCCGTGTGCACACTGAACGTAAGACCCGCCCCAAGGCCGCACCCCGCCCTCTTCAGTGCTCCACTCCTCATCCATTCCATGGCCCCCCCCGCCCCCTCACCATGTGAGCGCTCTCGGGGATGTGCGACAGGAAGTCCATGATGCGCCAGTTCTCCTGGATGTGCGTCTTGGGGTTGGGCTTGAAGGCGTGCACCAGGTCCGGGAACTTCATGCCGTCACGGATGAAGAACACCTGGGAGGTGGGTGGGCGAGGGGACACGACGTCGGGTGGAGAATGAACGAGAGGTTAAAAGCTTAGGAGCTGACGTGCCATGGGGGAGGGTGTGGGTCGAAGCCCAATGCGCCCAGGTTGAGCTCTCAGGCAAGCTGGGCGAGGGCAGTGGCGGATGTTGGGTAGGGACGGAGGAGGAACCGAAGAGAGGGATCGTGACCCAAATCACCTAGGCGACCCAAAACGCCTCGATAGCCCGTCGTTGCGATTTGGGTCGTCCCGACAGCAGATCTCAGTTTTGATATCCGGACCCGGGCGCCCTCCAACCTTTCCCAGATCAAGAGTCACCCCGCTTCCCCTCCCTCACCCCGAAACCCCCTCCCCGCCTGCCCACGCTGCACCCTCACCGGCATGTTGTTGCCGACCAGGTCAAAGTTGCCCTCACGTGTGTAGAACTTGACCGCAAAGCCGCGGGGGTCACGCAGGGTCTCGGGCGAGCCCCTCTCGTGCACGACGGTGGAGAAGCGGACGATGAGGGGCGTCTGGACGCCTGGGGCGCGCAGGAAGTCGGCCGCGGTGAGGTGGGAGATGTCGTGCGTGACCTGCGGAGGGGCATGCGAGGGGAAGGCGGGAATGGGGCACGGATGGGCAGGTGAGGTGTAGCGACCAAGTGAGGAAGCTCCGGAAGGTGTCCTCCTTTCGATTACGAAACCTGAACTCTAGCCTAAGCAATCAAGGAGGGCCTGCAGTAGGGGTGGCGGCGCTGTTGCCTACCAGGCCACGCCTCCCAAACCGCCACAAAAATGGTAACATGAGCGGCAACGCTACGTACCTCGAAGAAGCCCTTGGCGGTGGCACCCCTGGCGTGGACGACGCGCTCGGGAATGCGCTCACGGTCAAACTGCGCGAGCTTCTCGACGAGGTGGTAATCCTGAGGGTTGGAGGGGGTTTGGAGAGATGGTGCTGAAGCAAGCTTGAGTAATAAGGGTACAGGTTCCCGTGAACGCTATCACCAGTTAATAAAGGTAATACATATGAGCTGTAGGGAAACATACTGGACAACAAGACAACATACCCTCGTCGGCTTGAGAGTTATGTTGTCGAAAATCATGAAACTTTCTGCTTCACAAGCCCAACGCTTGCCCACATTAGGCGTCAGTCTAATTCACTGTACCCTACGCCACGAGGCCGTATAAACGCCGTCCCCCTCACCTCAAGGAGGATGGGTCCACGCGGACCAACCGTCAAGGAGTTGTTGTTGTTCCATACTGGCGCACCGTAGTTGGTTGTCCAGTACGGCGAGTTGAAGGCTGAGCTCGGACGCACCTGAAATGTCAAGAAAAGTGATCCAGGTCAGGTGCTGAGGAAAGAGATGCCGCCGAGCTGATAGCCTTCCGGCGCGTCAGCGACGTGGAAATGATATCGAGCATGCAGCCGAAGCGGCCATAGAGTCCGTCGGAAGAAACAAATAAGACATCACGTCAAGACGCCAAATAAGCCATTGCTGGCGTGGCTTGACCTAGGATAAACGCAAATTCGGCCAGATCTGTGGTAAGCCGCTATTTCACAGGACTAAAGAAACGAGCAGGCCGCACTAAAGGGCCTGAAGACGCTGCTATACCTTGGTGGGATCCATTGTGTCCGCAACGAGTAGCCCAGCTGATGAAGCTTGTAGCGGCTTATAAGGGTATTGGAAATCCAGTAATGCACCGAATGTTTGCACTTAAAAGTATGCCTTTGCTGGTGCCGGTGTTAAAACAGTTGATGATGTGGAACAACTGCTCCTCCGAGACCACATTGGGCCCTCCATTGTAGCGGTTAGGGTACGAGACCAATATCAAGAGCTTTTCAAGCAAAGAAAAGTAACTGAAGAAAGCGAGTAATGCACTTTTGAAAGACACGGTGCTTTGACCTCTAGGTGGCACAGGACACCACTTTTAGCTGTACGTGCGCTGTGTGCAGTAAATTGCTGTTCTTAAAGCTCCCAGTGTCAATATGTCTTCAATGCAGACGAGCGGCTAAAATTATGCGTGGGACGCAACCTCTGACAAACCGTGGCCGCAATTGTCATTCCACGCTTGTCCAAGTCCCGCTTCCCATGAACATTTTGACCCATGGCATTTAATCCATAAGACGGTGGTGCCTGTATTGGCATGCTGTGAAGATGCAGAGTGGGGTCTTATATGCTTGCCTTCACATCCTCGACAAAACGCGGCTGAGCTGTTGCTTTACAACCTTTGTCCTGACAGATAGAACAAAGGTTGCTATCTGGGAGAAACTTTAGGTAAATACAAGGCACTGACCCTAAGAAGGAAAAAGTTGCGCTATTCTTCTGGCAGTTCACATGCTGAGCTACCGGTACTGGTATTGACTACTAGAAAACACCATGATCTGCGTTGCCGGGATCCTCATCGAAGCCCCCGCTCCGCACAGGCAGGCCTCTTTAGGTGAACCCGGTGCCGCTGCCGATCTAGAGCTACATTGCTAGCCACCCTTCAGATCTGACAAGTTGCCAAGCTCGACAAGCCTTAGACTGAATGAGTGACTGTTCGATGCGTGATGGGATTACCCACGATGCGCCTGAATGACAATGATCACACCCACAGTATACAAAAGTGCATGTTGGTGGATGGCCTAGGAGCAAGCGTGCTTATACCAGTAGTACACCTGGGCTGCTCAGTGCGGACCTCCCTATCTGCACTGGGACGAGCAACATGCATCAACGTATGTACGTATACTCCTGATCCCACACATGACATGACATGTCGCATGTTTTGCCGTGATAGTTCCGCATATTCCGAGAAGCATGAAGCGTCCCTTCAAGAGGCGTATCCACCCTTCCTTTCCGCCTGATGACCCATGGGTCGCATGGGACCTACAGGATGCAATTCATGAACTCTCCTCTGCTCTCTGCCTGATACCATGACCAAGACCCAACAGTCAGGAAATGTCTAGCTAAATCACTGTTACGGAAAATCGTTCGTTGGGGCTGCTGCTCTAGCACGCACCAAACCCATAACTTATCAACGAAACAGCACTGTCAAGAAGCGGTGTTGTCAACACTGTAATACGATTCCCTCTCGTGAAACCAACAAACGGAATTCGCTACCCTTCCCAGTCTTTATTCCACCTATATCTTCCTAGCCGCTGCCTCTGCGGCACCCATCATCCCCGCCGCCGTCAACCCCACCCCCACCCCCAAGCCTTGTTTTAATCTTTCGTCACCACACGTGCTCATTACGCATCACAGCGGCTGCGTGAAGAACACCGGCGGCTGGCTCTCCATCACGAACCCCGCGGCAGCAGCCTGCTGCTGCTGCTGCTGCGACTCCAGGACTGCCGCCCCCATCTCGCCGCCACCCATCTCGCCGCCCTGGGATTCCCGCCTGCGGGCAGCATCACCACCACCACCATCAGCTGTACCCGCCGTAACACCATTGCCACTGGGTTGTCCACCACGTTGAGAAGAAGCCTGCTGCCGCTGCTGCTGCTGCCGTGGCCCCGGCGGCGGTGGGTGCTGCTCATCGCTGCTAGCGGTCTGCCAGCTTCGCTCTGATGTGGCAGCCCCCGTGCCGCCCCCACTGCTCGCAGTCTCGGCCTTGCTGCCATCAGCACCCCCATCCCCACCACCCCCAGCCTCCACCCGGTCAGCAACCCCTCCACATACCCCCGCAGCCGCCTGCGGTACTCCCCCAGCCGCCGCTGCTGCTGCCGCACCTGCTTCCGCGGCTTGCACTGCCGCCGGATCTACCTCCCGCAGCCTCTTAGCGGTCGTCAGCGACACAGCTGCCGCCATCCCCACAGCAGTCGACTTTCTCCGGCGCTGCTGCCCCCCTCGGCACCACGAACGCAGCTGCGGCGGCGGCGGTCCCAGCACGTCATGATGCTCCGGCAGCTCCTCCTGTCCCACAGGTTCCGTGGGCAGGTCGCGAGGCAACCAGGAGTGCCCAGCCTCCTCGTCCGCCTCCTCCCCTTGCTCCAGCATCTCCTCCTCAACAGCGACTGGAGCTCTAGCAGCACCCGCGCCGTTTCCGTGGCCTTTTGCAGGTCGGCAGCAGTCCACCTGCTGTCGCTGCTGCTGCCGCTGCTGCCGCTCGACCAGCTCCAGCACCACGGTCAGGTCCCTTTGGGAGGTAATGCCCACAGCACCGTCTTTCAGGTCCAGCACCTGAGCATCCGGATTCGATCGTTCTGCCCCCCATCCACCTCCCGCTTCCTCCTCCTCATCATCATCATCACCATCGCCGCTACCCATTGCTTCGTTCCACTCCCGCACAGTCAGTCCGCGCTGCAGCACCCAGTGCTTGCCACAATCAGCACAGCCACCGCTGCCGGCGCCAGCGCCCTTCAGCCACGCCTGCGCAGCCTTCAGAGGCAAACCGCCGCATGGCAGCATGCTTCCAAAGCCTGGGACCTGCTCGCACAAGGGCGACGGCGGGCGCTGCTCCACCTCCACTGCCGCCTCCTCCTCCTCCTCACCCGCAGACCGTACCGGAGCCTGGCCCTGACCTTGGCCCTGCATCTGGGCCCTCGTGTCCTGCGGGGCTCCGCCGTTGACGTTGTCCTTGTCGCCACCGTCGTTGCTGCTTTCATCGCGGACAGCAGGCTGAGCCGCGTGTCCAGTGGCCTCCGTGACAGCGCCAGCTGCTGCTGGAGCTCCCCCCACGCCTGCTGGGCTAGGAGCTACATGCGGCGGCCTTGCTGTACCCATTGCGGCGTCAGCAGCCGGCGCCGGGGCAAGAGGTGGAGCCACAGCATCCGGCTGTCCTGGAGCCGCCGCTGCTACCGTCGCTGCTGGCGTGGTGACGGCCGCAGCACGTGCCGCAGCGGGCGTAGCACCCTTTGCAGCCGCTGCCGCCTGGGCAGCCTCCAAGGGCCTGGAGGGGCGCAGCGGCAGCTGTGGCTTCTGCAGGCCACTGCTGACACGTGCGCCGCCGCCCCTACCTCCGTTGCCTGGCGCCTTTTGTGCGGTCGCCATTGTCGCCGTCGCCGCCGTGGGCCCCCCCGTCGCGACTGCGCCCACACGGGAAGCAGGAGCAGCAGCAGCGGGGGGAGCAGCGGACATGGTCGCAGTCGTGCCCAAGCCCTGTACAGATAGCGCAGCCGCAGCCTCCCGCGTGTCCGCATCTTGGGGAGTACGGCTGAAAGACTCCGGTTTCCGCCGCTTGTGCTTCGGGCCCTGCGGCTGTTGGGGCTGCTGCTCCTCCGGCTGTTGCTGCTGCTGGGCTCGGTCTGCTCCAGCTACCGGTACCGCAGCCTGGGCCTCCGCAGCGCCACCTGCGGCAACATCCGCGTTAGCCTCGACAGCAGCACCCGCATGACCCGCATGACCTGCGAGCCGCACCTGAGCATCCTCGCGATCCCGCTGCTCCTGCTGCTGTCCTGCGACTGCGCGGTCGGTTGCAGCAGCAGCAGCATCTGCAGCAGCTGCTGCTGCCCTCCGCGCCGCTAGGAACTCTCCGAGCCGTCTCATGCCCTCAGCCACTTTGGCGGAGGTCCTGATGCCGGTGCTGCTGACCTCCTCGCCACATTCTTCTTCTTCCTCCTCCTCCTCCTCGTCGTCGTCCTTGGGGAGTGCCGCAGCCTGTTTGCGTGTGATTCGTGTGCTACGCCGCCTCGGTAGCGGGGCTGCGGCTGGGACCGCTGCCGCTGCCGCCGCAGCAGCTCGTGCCCGTGTGCGCGGTGCAGCTGCTGCAGTGGTGGTGGCTGCAGCCGCGGCAGGTGCTGCGGCTGCAGCGCCGGAGGCGGCGCGACGCGCTTCCTTATCCTCCTCATTCATGGCGGCGGCTGTGCCGTTGTCCTCCGCTTCGGACGGCTGCTCCTGTACGTGATAATGGACAGCGGGGGGTTGGGAGGGCACCGGTGCTAAGGGGGTAAGCAACGTTGTGCCCAGGTAACACGGGTGGCATCGCGGCGATGGCAGTTGACAATCACGGTCGACATATGACCTAGGATTTCCTCTTGAGCTCCAAATGAATGCCTCAATACACACAGCGTTGTCGCTTTCCTCCGCGCCCTTCCTTACCACTCGACGGCGCCTTTGCTGCTGCTGCAGTTGCTTTGCCCCGACCCCAGCAGAAACAGCCGCCGCAGCAGCCTGGGCCCCAGCACGAGGTGATAAGGCCGCCGGAACTCCCTCAGGCTCCGGACCCTCCCGAAGACGCCGACGCTTCGACTCAGACCCCGTTGCCGCTGCAGCGCCCCGCGCACCTCGTGCATCCTGACCGGCCGCTGCCGCTGCTGCCGGCGGTGTTGCGGCTGCTGTCCCTGGGGAAGCACCTCCAGCAGCGCCTGCATGCACCTGCGGTTGCCGCTGTCTTCCCTGTTCCGGCTGGAGGCGTGCGCCTGCCGAAGTGCCGGCTGCGACCGCTGCCGCTGCTGCTGCTGCAGGGGGAACAAGCCGGGGCCGTCGTGGCGGCCGACCGAACTCCTCTTCTTCCCCCTCTTTCTCTTCCTCCTCCTCCTCCCCCTCCTCCTCCTCTTCGCTGGCATTACCGTCGTGGCGGACAAGGTCATCAGAGTCATCATCGTGGTCACTGCTGATGACGATCACCTCCTCCTCCGCTTCCACCTCCTCCTTCTCCACCTCCTTCTCCGCTTCCACCTCCTCCTCGCTCTCTGTTGCTGCTAACGCCGCCACTGGTCGCCCCACAGGAACCTTCTTCGGTGCTTCCTGCTTCCGCCGCCCTCCCTTGCGAGCTGCCACGGCTCCGGGGGCTGCTGCCTCTGCCGCTGCCGGCGCAGGGGCCTTAACCCTACGTGCGGGGTTCTGCGCTAGGGCTTCATTGCGAGCGAGGATCCGGGCCTCCGCCTCGGCCCGGAGCAGCTCCTGCTCCTGCCGCAGCTTCTGTCGTTCCTGCTGTTGCCGCTGCTGTTGTTCTTGCTGCTGCCATTGTCGCTGCTCCTGCGGCTGCCGTTGTCGCAGCTGCACTTGCTCGAGCCTCTTCTTCCGCCGCTCCTCTTGCTTGCGAGAGTAGGCGCGATCGAAGGCTGCGTGGAAGGCTTTCTCGATAGCCGCCACAGACGCCTGAGGCCTGCGGCCGGCCAACAGAAAGCGCAGGGTGGAGGGAAATGTAATAGAGCTGACAGAGTGGCAGGATGAAAGGAAGCCTTGTCAGCTAGCATGGACTGCACTCGGCGGCTCATTACGAAGGATCTTACGTAACGCAGGGACGGAGGAGTGGAAGGCACAGAACGCCCACCGACTACTTAGCACAGCAGCCCTCCGCAACCGGGTAGCGGTTTGCATTGCAGTTGGGCTGTAGCAATGCATGAGCCGCACAGCAGCTTCCCGATCCCGCTACCTCTACCCAAGCTCCGAATGGGGCCTGCCCGCCCTGCCGCCTCACCCGTAAGGCCCCCGCGGGTCCGGATCACCCTCATACACGGGTGGAGGGCGCCGCTGCTGCTGCCCGCCGGTCCCTGCAGGCGCCGTTAGACTACCTCCTTCCTGCTCCTCCTCTTCTTGCCGCTGCGATGCCTCCGCCTCCATCACCTCGTCATCATCGACTCCATTGCCGTCATCAACCGCCGCGGCCCCTGCTGCTGCGGTCATTGTAGTTGCTGGTCCTCGCCGCTGTAGCGACATGCCGCCCTGCCGGGCTCCTCTCCGGCTGCTGCTCCTGCCACCGCCACCATCGCTTGCCGGAGTCTCCAGTGGGGCCTCTGAGACTCTGTGTCCCTCAAGCGGTGACGTCACAGGAGAAGGCGGTCCTTTAGGCGAGGGCCCTCCGAGGGGTGACGGACCCGGCTGCGGCGGCAAGCTCTTCCTCCCCCGCTGAGGACTCGCCGCAGCGGAGGGTCGGGTCACCGCCGTGGCCTTCCTTGCACCAACCGCAGCAGCAACGGTGGCAGCGGGGCCGGCGGCAACCGCTGTTGCATCCGGCTCCTGCGCTACCGCTGCTGCAATTGCTGCGCGAGCTTCTGCGAGGTTGACGGGGCTGGGAATCTCTGCGCCCGCAGCTCCCCCAGTAGCGCCTTCCGCTGCCTGGATTAGCATGCGGTAGGGGGTGACGTTCCGGGGTTAGTTTGAATGGCCCAGTGGAACTGACACTGCAACTTAGGTGCATATTCCGCGTGCTGTTGAGCTACACCACGAAGATGTCGCACTGCACTTTCTGGCATGCGGAGGTGGTCACCTTCGTGCGCACCAGCTGGAGGTGATTGGGGCTGGTGGCAGAGCCGATCCTCACCTGCCCTTGCGCAGTACCGCCGTTGGCAGTCGCAGTTCCCAGACCGACCGGCGCTGACCTAGCCGACGCCGCTGCATGTTTCCGTTTCTACGCATAGGGTGCGGATGGGGGAAAGCGTCGCAGGCCTGGCTAGGTCAAGGGCCTCCCCAGGCAGGTGTGGGACCTTACCTGTTCTAACCTGTGTTGCTTCACGGCGGTATCATAGACATCATTTATTGACTCTTCGTCCACAACGTAATCCAACTCGTTCACTACAATTGGCCATCCAGCCCAACCTCTGGGTGGGACAGGCTCAGAAGCTTCACAAGGAACACGGACGCGGACCTCCTGCACAAATCGAAGCTTTATATTAGTTAATAGCTTATAACCATCTTACACGGATAGCCGGGCCCTCACATCTATCTTTTTAAGGATGACGTCCATCGCATACTTGACCAAAGTGCGAAAGTCGCGCTAGTCAGCGGGTACTCATTCGATATACGGATTAAGTAAGTAGATCATCTTTATTTCTATGCAGCTTGCGTTGCATACTTGGCAGGGTAACGCCCCTGGCCAAACGCAGCGCAGGAATTGATGCCGCTTAAAGCTTAAAGCTAGTAATTGTGCCTGTTAAGAATATAAATAAAAGCATTCAATCGCATTTCCACGTTATTTGATGGAGCATTTTGCCTGCGATGCCCTGCTGTGCCCATGCTGTGAAACACGAATCCACGCTGCACGGATCCCACCACCCGCTATGCATTAGAACACTTTCCACATACATGAGAATGGTTAAAGCATTAGAGAATATTGGCCAACAAATTTCTAGGGTAATTTCATTTCCTGCCGTCACCGTGTGCCCTCGCGTTGCCAACAGCTCTTCAAGTGCGTTAGAGCTACGTGTGAATTACAGCCGCTTGGTATATACGTGTACCAAGCATAGGGTAACGGATATCGCGGCATCATAACCCTTCTGGCCACCCGCATGGGATAACGTCATCTGCCATGCGCAATATAGTCGACAGGCGCTCCACGATGCCGGAACACCTCGAGGAGCTTATACCAGTACCGCCCAACTCCGGCGGTTTGAGCCGCATGACGTGGCAGCTGCTCACAGGTTACACCGGTAACTTGTTTGTCGTGACGGTCGTGGCATGCTTATCGTGGTACCGACGGCAAAGAGCTCCTTCTCGTTGCACCTCCTGGAACCGTCCGCCGCCCTCTCCTTCCCCGAACTACGTAACCATCCTCTCGTACAACCAACTCCCACCAACCAACACCAGCATCATTAACTTCACTACGAACCCCACTCCCCTATCACACCTCACCTCCACATAAATCCCTGCCGCCTTCCCCACGCTAAACCCCTGGGGCCCCAACCCTCCCCCTCACATATGCAGCACCGGAGCTCCCGACTGTAAGTGAGCCGCCATGTCCTGCACACAGAGCGGCCCAAAGGCAAGGCCCTCCGGTATCGCATATCCATGCAACGTCCGGCCCCCATGCGCCGCCTGATACGCAGTCTCGTTCCTCAGCAACGACCCCACGTGCCGCAACATGGCGATGAAGGGCTTGGGCCGCAACGTGAGGTGCTGGTCGCGGGCCCGCGCGTCCTCCCCGCCCCTCAGCGGCGCCAGCGGCAGGCCGGCGGGGTCTGGCAGGGTGGCAGCGACTTCGTAGTCGCTGGGTGCGCACTGCGCCGGGTCCTCCACGTTATAGGCGAAAAAGCGGATGACCCCGCCTGCGCACAAAAGAGGATGGAGGGTCTGCTTGTTTGGTCGGAGCGGAAGGAATAGGAATACCGATGCGCAGGCGTACCACACCGCATCAGAGGATCAAACGATGAAGGGTTAACACTACAGTGATGGGGTCTGGTGGTTTGTCCCGCACGCAGCATGAGCAACACAGTGGTGGCCGGGAAGGGGGGCAGCAAAGTGTGGGCAACTGCAACTGAACCCGGTAGCGAACACAGCCCCTTTTCACACCCTGCAGGGTCGAAAGCACACCGCAATTGCCATGGCCATCCGCTACAGGCCCCAAGGGGATTACGGTATCGCCCGATGCCTCGCTCTTACCTGCTTGCGAGAGCTGCGATTGCATGTAGGCATCCGGCCAGCCACAGTGCTTGGAGCCAAAGCGGCCTGCGGGAGGAAGGAGAGCGGAAAGAAAATGATAAGGGTGAGCCGTCGTATCGGAAAAGGGGTCGCTCGGGCTTGCAATCGGCAGCTGGGCGTGTGGTTGTTCGGGCGGCTGCGCGTGCATGCAAGAGGTGCAGGCGGTGCTGCTTACATGGCCGGATCTCCAAGAGTGCGGTTAGGCCGTTGTCCGGTCGTAAGAAGAAGCAGTTGGCTGCACCTGCGATCAAGGAAGCAGCGCGAGGCAGCAGCTGCGTCAAAGGGACGTATGGTAAATAACGGCTCTGCGCGGCGGAAACAGCGCCACCTTCCTGCTTTCCCACGCCGCAAGGTGCAGCTTAGCGCGACTGGCGTTGCAAGCAAAGGAAGGTCAGGAAAGTCTGCAATCCCCAACACCTCCTCCTGCAAACCCACCTGCTCCATGAACTGCAACCAGCACATGCGCTGACCGCACCGCCCCCACCGTCGCGTAGAAGCGATCCACTCCGTTCAGCGAGGGCGTGTCAGCGGTGTTCAGCACCTTGCAGGAGAGGCGGCTGAAGGAGCCGGCGTGGAAGCCTTCACAGGGGGCGCGGGGGGCAGGAGGTGCGGGGGGCAGGAGGTGCGGGGGGCAGGAGGTGCGGGGGGCAGGAGGTGCGGGAAAGCGGGACGCATGGGGATGGACCGGGCGGTGGGAAGTGATGGGCGAGTTGTGAAGGAGCTACGGCATTAATGGTGACGGGGTAGGAAGGCGATCCTGTTAAATGAGGTTAGGTAACGGTCGAAGACGAGGGACTTCAGGGCGAGGATGCTCGGCCGCATCAGGACGCAAGGAAAAAAGATACCGACAGCAGTCTGCATGACCCCCGGGTCACCAGACCAGTCGCCCTCTCCCCCCTCACCTCTCGCATTGGCCACCTCGCACGCCTCCACCAGCTGCGCCAGGTTGCGAATGGTCCTGCCCTGACCCGACCGCGCCTCCAGCAGCACACGCAGCGTGCCGTCCGCAGCCAGCGCCGCATCCCCAGGCAGCTCCACGATGCCCCCCGCTGGGGCAGCGAGGGCGGCAACAGCGGCAGACGTCGCTGTCGGCGTGGTGGCCGGGCCTGCGGTGCTGCCGCCGGCTGCTGCGGTGGAGGCGGCTCCGAAGCCCAGTGGGTCTTTCGGTATGTGCGGTGCGATGTGTCGCAGCACCGATTGCGAGGTGGGCAGCAGGTTCTGAGGGAAGCCGTGCAGCTTGCACAGCACCGCCTGATGGAGGAGGGGGGGAGGAGGGGGAGGAGGAGGTTATCAGTGAAAGCGTGGGCAAGTCTATGGCAGCATGGCCAGCCACGACGAGTGGAAGCGCCGTAGCAGCAGCAGCCCCAGCAAGGCCGGAAGCGGCGTCGGCAGCGGGGTGGGAACTGCCGGCGTCGGCTGCATCTCGGGCAGTAGCTCTGTCACACAAGCCATAAGCCCCATTTCCCTTCCGTGTCGCCCGCAACCCCCCCCCCTGTCGCCGCTGCCGCTGTTCCGCATCACGCGCGCCCCGCCTCGCTCCCTGCGCCCTCTGCCCCGCCCCGCCCTCATCTGCCCGGCCCCCTTCAGCCCCGCCCCCTCCCCCCCACCTTCTCGAAGCACCTCACATGGTGCCCCTCCGCCGACCACCCCACCCGCCGCCCCTCCTCCGCCCGCTGAGACAGCTCATCAAAGGACACCGGCGGGTAACGCGAGTACGGCGACAGCAGCACGTGATGGTATGACGTGGAGGCCAAACCCAGCGGCGTCGACACCACAATGGTTGCCGAATCATCTGCAAGAAGGCGTTGTTCAGTCAGTCTGGAGACAAAGAAGGGCGAAAAGAGGCGAAGGAAGGAGTCGCCTCGATTGAGCGATGGTTGGGTGGTGCGGAAAGAGCAAGCTATACGAGGTGCCCGGATTGGTTGGGCCGCAAGTGATGTTTGGCAGGCGCGATGAACTAAGAAGCATTATGTCAACGATGGCCGCTTCACCACGTTCGTTTTGTCTACGCCGCCTGCACTCTACCGTACCTAACATCTTCTTCTGTCGGAAGTACACGTCAGCAATGGCGGCTAGCTGTGCAAACACTCTGCGCGCACGTGAGAGGACAGCGACATGTGATGTGGTGTGATGTGAGATGTGGGGGAGCAGCTGAGGAAGGGAGCAGCAGGCGCCATCCTGGGGGCCCCGCGGCTGCTGCATCTCCTGCACCCTCTTTTAAACAGCACCGGCAGACGGAACTGACCCACTCACTCGCCCATGTTGTAGGGCCTGCAAGGGAACAAGCGGGGGCGGGAGCGGAGTCCAGGAACGGTGCGGTTTAAGTTGGTTAAGGTTGGCTACTGTTACATGGTGCATTGCGGCCTCGCCAAGCACGCATGGGCCGCCCCCGTGCCTGCACGCACACCTCTGCATGCATCACTGGATGATGCCTGCCCTCACACGCACACAAGGCCAGTTATCTTTAACACGAAAGGCGGCCAGTTTTCCTCACAGCCAGTTCTCTTAACACCAGGCGGTCTCACGCGGCATGCGACAGCATGCGACTGCATGGGGGCCCCGTGGGTCGAACCACGCTGTAACCCACATCCCACAGCGGCCCCGTACTTTTGGGGCTAGCTAAGTGCTGGTCATCGACCGCGCAGTCCGCGTGTTGTGCATCCCACGTACCACACGCGGACTGTCGATGAACAACACGCGGACTGTATCACATGCGCTGGACATCTTTGACCCGTGCTACCCGAGCTACATACCTACCAATCGGTTTCCAAGATTACTGGCAGTGTACATGACGAGAACACAGGCTGCTGCAGCTGAGACGTGGCCTCAAGGCGGCTTGCAGCACGGATAGGAATGAAGTAATTGCGCTACAGACAGGAATTGGGCACAGCGCAGTCAGCATCGATGTGCAGACATCTCATGCCGCTGGACCGCTGTCGCATTTCAGCAGCGTACCAAACCATGGGGGTTTCCCTTTCCCCTTTGTCGCACCTGGTGCCCCACAAGGGCATCGCTGTTTGCGCCTCCTCGAGCTGGGAAATTCCTGGATGGGCCCTTGCCATGAGCACAGCCCGTAAGGGTCCAATTTGCATGACACAAAGATTTACCATAAACCATGCTGCAACTCTAGGCGCCCGTAAGGATTGCCTCGTGAGAAGTTCTCCGCGCGAAAAGCCTCATCGAACGACACTAAAGTACCGCTATCTGCGCAAACCCTATGAAGTACTATACATTCACCATTAGCTCGAATATCATTGATGATTGAAGTGTTTAGGTTTGGTTGTGTGCATCCTTGAACCTTAGGAGTGAAGTGTAATGCCAAGGGGACTAGGGCAAAAAGTACCAGTAAGTTCATTCTGAGCAGTAAGATCACATGTGAGCAGCGTTTTTCTTTGTTCACGAGTGCGGGTGCACAATAAGGTTGTCCAGTGCGGAAGTGGACCCTGGAGCCAGATGGCGCAGAGCACAGCATGCATAGCACACTAGGCAAGAAGCCAAGTCTTGACACGACAGTGCTTCTATGGCGCTGTAGATCAGGCTAAGGGTTCGGCCTATCCCGCCGAATGCCAGAGTTAGTCATACCCTTGATGAAATAACCGGATCAGTGCCAAATCCTCGTTAGTCGTTGCGCTCAGTTGACTCCTAGAGAACCGGCACCGGTACACCCTTGTCCATGCATGGTGCAGGACGGCGAGAGCGATGGTTGCGCAGTTACTCAAGGGGCGGGACAGGGCAGTGCTTGTCGGGGGGTCGGGGCAGGGCAGGGGCACGTGGGTCCAGTTGTGGGGTGCGTCCGGCCCATTGTTGCGTCCGGTGCTCCGTCCGAGAGTGACAGGCCAGGGCGGTAAGTCCGAGGCTTCGGATTGACAGGGCGCTCTCTTACAGACACCCTACCGTACACCCCGCCGTACTGGCGGAGCGTAAGGGCTCCTGGCAGCGGAGTGCAACGTGGGAACTAGCGCTTCCTCCTCCTGGTGTTCGCCCGGTTGCACCTGCCGCTGGGTGTGCAAGGTCAAAGCGCGTCCTGACGGCATCAATATAAAGAGCTTCCAGCCGCTATGAGCTGGCGTTGACTTTGATGCGTTTGCGCCTACCACCCGCACTGCCCGTGTGCGCGCCAGGTTGGCGGTGGCGGCAGTGAAGCAGTTGCACTTCCGCCAGTTAAATGTCACAACAGCTGTCTTGGGAGATTGTTTGCTACGATGTGGACGAGTGGTTCTTGGTACGGCAGCCCGGTTAGCTTCTTGTGGCTCAGTCGCCTTGTGGCCGGGCTAGGATGTCATGTATACTGGAAGACCATCCGTATGGTTACCGATACTTGCCACTGCTATTGCGCTTGCGAACAAAGCACGGTATGCCACACCGACAAAGCCGTGCGCTTTTGCAGCCCCTCTCATCTCATTTGGAACCCGCCTGTGTTGCAAACGCCACGGCGCCTCCTCCAATCCTGCTGCCTCCTCCAACCCATCCGACTCCGCAAACTCCAACTCGTTACCTGCGCACCGCACTCCTCACTTGACTGAGAGGATGGGGGAAGCGAGTCAGGATGTGCGCGACAAAACACACCCTGCCCTATGCCGTCTGCCACACCCCCACCGCCTCCACACGCCCTCTTGCTGGACGCCACCTTTTCAAACTTCCTACCCTATCCACCGCTCCTTCCCACCTTGTCCACCGCTGCTTTCTACCCTATCCACCGCTGCCTCCTACCATATCCACACTAGGCAAGTCAGGCCGGCGCTAAACGCATTCGAACGCGGTACCCGCAAAGCTTCCTACCGCGTGCGGCCACCACTTTCCGTTGTTCCAGATTGCAATCCACTGCTCCATCCCTACCTGCTCCACACGTATTTGCAGCAGATCCTTGCCGCTTTGGGGCGCAAAAGGCGAAGTACTCCAGAGCAAGGCCTATAACACGCTGACAGCAGAAGCCCTAACTTAAGACTCTCAAGACCCACTGTACATGAGTTGTGTTAGCAGCGACACCATAATGAATGCCTCGACGAGCACAAAACAAGAAGGTAAACGGCAGGGAGTATCACGAGATGAATACCAGAGTGCCGCACACCGGCACGCGCGCCAACCGAACACACACATTACTGCCATACGGAACCGGTATCTTCAAACCGGTGCACTACGGCTTGTAGGGTTTCATGTCAAAGTACGTCTTGCTCATATCACCGTTCTTCCTCGCCTCTATGATCGGCATGAGGACCTCATTAACGAAGTCCTTCATCGCATTGCGCCCGTCGTGCCCGTTGAACATCTCCATGTACCTTTCCAGCATCCGCTTAAAGTAAAGCATTCGGGCCTTGGGACACAGATATCGCTTGGCAAACGCCTGGGAGTTAAAGGCTATATGCTGTAGATCCCGCGGCCGGTCACGCCATTGCCGTACAACGTCTAGTACGTCATTCGGCCCATTCTTGAAGATGGACAGGTAGTGCGTGCCCTCCTTCAAGGCGCGATAGTAGTACTCGACCCACTCGGACTGCTCTTTGAGGATTACCGAGTCGGTGTGCATGAGCCTCGCGAGTCGGCCCGCGTATGTGACGCCATCCAAATTCATGACGTAACGCCTGCATTGGGGCGGTACAAGAGAGCGGAACCCAAAACGGAATTCGATTAGTCAGTAGGTAGGCCGGGGAACGACAAGGAATGCTCCATGGGAGGTGCGACCCTTGCAGCACAGCGCCAAACAACCCCACCCAGTGAAAGCATGGAATAGGTGGCGTGAATTGATAAAGGCGAGTGACAGCAGCATACGGTCAGCATGCAGGCGAAGATGCGGCACACACAGCATGTGAGCAGACCGCGGCCGGCAGTCTACCAGTACCGAGTTTCCTTGCGTTGCCTTGCCTTAGTCTACCGGTACCATTTGCTTGCCATCATAGCAGGTCTCTGTACCTTCCCAACCATCCCTCCATGCCCTTTCCGCACCCACCATCGCGCATGCTCCCTCAGCGGCGTCTCCTCCGTCACCCAGCGCGCCCCCGGCACCAGGTTGGGGTCCCCCAGCAGGGCGCAGTAGACCTCCTCCGGGCAGCTCATGCTCAGGTTGGCCAGGTGCTTGCGACCGAAGAACATCTCCGGCTTGCCGTTGACCATGAAGGTCTTGGGGCTGCCACCCCAGTTGGGTCGGCCCACGAAGAATGCGCGGTCGTGTTTGAGTTGGAAGGGGAAGTTGTAGAGCGGAAGGTCAGAGGTGACCATGAAGGGGAACAGGAGGTCCAACTGCGGGCAGGGGTCAGGTGCGGTGGGGAGCCCGGAGGGTCGGGATGCAGAGGAAGGCCGGCTGAGCAGCAGAAAGCTTTGAAGCAGCCAGGGGCCTCCAACATCACCCAGCGGCACCCAAGCCTCTCAAACTGTACCTTGCCCCGCCCGCCCCCTCGCCCACCTTGTCTGGGCCCCTTTTAGCAATCGACATGGCCGGAATGGGGCAGTCGAACATGCTCTGGCACCAGCCCGAGTCCTGGTCACTCAGGAAGAAGAACGCATCTGCGAATGCAGTCATAAAGATGACCCAAGGGTCGGGTCGAAACACTTACGACAGAGGAAGCTGCCCAGGGATGCAACAAGTAAGGTAGAGGAAACCGACCCCTTTGCCATATCATGCCTTCACGCCACGCAAAACTCGCATGGGGCATGGCGCAACCCTGCTTCAGGTCTTCCAACTGCAGCGACCCCAGCCACACCGCAGCGTTGAGCTTCCTAAGGCCGCCCTACTTGTGGCGACCCATGGGTCCATCCACCCATGCCGAGCCCGATCGTACTGACACTAACGTACCCGGGAACTGTATCTCCGATGCGAACCTCTGGAAGTAGTACTGCGTGGCCGTCACCCACAGCGTGATGCCGTCCTCGTAGTGGTCGGGCGTCTTCTGCGTGTGATTCCAGTGGTAGCTGGAAGATGAACGGCCGGGGCGGCAATGGCATGCGAAAAGGAAAGAGCGGGCGGGCAGGGGGCCCAACGGTAGGCATCACTGGCGGATACGTTATGAAGCAACGTTAGGAAGGCTATACAAGGCTATGCGCCTGCTACTGCAGTATAATGACGACCAGAGCAGAGCGGACGGGGACAGAAGCGCAGCCACGCGTGGCCCCCACCCGCTTCAAGGTGAAGGCGCACTCACTGGAACGGGAAGTACCACTTGTTGTCCTTAATGAGGATCATGCTCTGCTGGTGCCAGCCGTAGCCCTTCCAGCGGTCCATGAACTTATCTATGTGCGTCCTGTGGCGGTGGGTAGAGGAGAAGGGTGGGGGGGCAAGAAGCGGGTGGTGGAGACACTACGAGTGCACGTGGAGGGTCGTGGCAGTCATCATGATGGAGATGTGCACGCATTACATGGCAGGCAACATAGCAACACAGCTAAGGCGAAAACCGAAAACGCAAGCGATTGCCGATGGCTTCGGTCCAGCTTAGCACGTGCTCCATACCTGTTCAGCGGGACGTAATCCTTCCAGTTTGCAAAGTCTAAATCCATGGTCTCGTTGTACAAGTCCTGGAGCTCGGCGTCGCTGGACACGCAAGGCAGCATTCCTGGGTTGCCTTGTGGTTCCGGGTTTTCGTCAACCTAAGAATGCGTGTGAGTTCGATGTTAGTCCCTTGGCCTGATCGTTGGGCTACTAGATAACGCAAGGGTGCAGCTGTCCATTCAACCGCTGTATGTCTGTAAACGGTCAGCCTGAAGGGAAGCGTCCACATACCAGCAAGACACCTTACCAGTAAAGATAGGTGACAAGCATGGTGATGAGGTACTATAGAAGAGTTCGGAGTGCTCAGCGCATCTGATCGGCAACGCCGCGCCAGTAGCAAGGAAGCTAGGACTGCTAGCAAAGAAATAAGCCTCAAAGCCATTCGGGAAGAAGGACGTTTGCGCCGCATCCGGTCTAGGAGCTAGTTGGAAAACCCATTTGGGATACAATTGTACAAACGGCCTGGTGAGTCTTTATCTTTCCTTTGTAGTGGTAGAATAATTGTAAACACAAGGTCCAATAACGAGAAAGTGTCAGGCTTGGCGTTCAGAGCGCAGGAACATGTCACTAGAATACCGGTATGATTTCACAAGGTTCTTGCTAGCAGGCTTAAACATAGCATAGTAGAGCACCCGAACACAACTACAAGACAATCCGTACTGCAGCAACACTCCTATTTCTAAGCTGGGCTGCTCGCACGGCGCTGGGTCCCTTCCGGACCGCCGTACGGCTTGGCGCCATACAGGCCAACAGAGAACCGCTAAATAGAGCTTTCTTTTAACCAAAGACCGACTCAGGTGGTCTATGCCAAGTATTGGGTGGTTGTTTCTCGATTTGTTGTAAACTTTGCGCTCAATCTCTGATAACCACACCACCTAGCTGCATTGTAAAGCCCAAACCGGTGCAATATACCTCAGAATCCTCCTTTAAAAAATACTGATTAATTAGCTTGTTCGTTATAGCAAACGGCGATTAACATGGACACCCCCCGATGAAAGAGAACATGGGTTCTACACCCATGTCAAGCCCATGTCCATAGGAAATGAGATTTGAAGTTTTGAAACTTGCAAGGTTGAAGTTTGGTATTGGACCGGGGTAATTTGCAAGCACGGCATGTGCCATGCATGCGACAAGGGAATCAGGAAACACGATTTGAGTTTATTGCAGTTGCTTGTTGTAGCCATTAGATAGAGTAAGTGAGCGTTTTTCCCGTCGCGAAATTCGTTCTGGCTAGCGAGCAGCATGCAACCGCGTTTGCAGGGTATTAGTTGGAGGGCCCTTCAGGGCAGGGTATGTGGCTGGTCCGGGACAGGGTCGCCATTAACGACGCTAACCCTATGGCAGTAAGAACCCATATGATGAGGACAGACTGATGCCGTGGTGATGCTGAGGGAGTGTCAACAATAAGTGCGCGGGGCTCACGGCCCGTCCAACTTGTTTCGCCTCCCGCCAGATGCTACCGGTACTGGATCCTTGATGGGATTGGAGGTCATGGAAATCTTGCCGGAATACTTGCTATAGAGCCAAGCAATAATCCCAATTTCCCCATCAAGCTTTGTAAGGAAACCAAGCAGTTCCAGTTACAGTCCGTACCAAGCTTATCAGGATGCTTGGTGGCCACGACAAGCTTCTGCTCACTGTACATTGGGCTGATACCGGTATATTGGGATGATACCGGTAATATTCATGAAGGCGGGCTAGTGGCCGGGTGCAGCCGTGTTGCTGCCCCTAAGTGGTGTGGCAGGAAGGGTGTCAGCTAGGTCCTGAACGTCTCCACCATGTACAGTTTGGGAAGCCTGACATCCATCCCCAACACCAGCCGGTGCTGCGCCATTCTGCATGTCAGCCGGAACTTGGCCAAGAGGAGCTGCTGACGTTGCTGCCCCTGTGAGTCTAGTGAACTAGTGAATCCCAAACCCCACGTCACCTGTACAAGACAAGGAGAGGAGCTAACAAGACCTTAATATGCCGCCCGCTCTTCCACGTGTCTGGTAACTGGGTAAGTGGCTTGCGTCCTTAAAGTCGTCCGAGTCCCCCTCGTCTGCTGTAGCATAGCCCCCACTATCGTCGCTGCTAGTGTCGTCGCCATCGCCGTCATCGCTTCCAAAGGAACGCCGGCGATACAGAAACGATATAATTACATCTCCATCCCAGTCATAGTCCTCCTCGGAATCCTCATAAGGCAGCTCTGGTTTGTCGCTGGACATGACGCGACAGGCTTCAATTGAGGCTACCGTGACACTTTGCTGAAGGAGACATTACATCCTACAAGCTTATGTTAAGTTGCAATTAAATACAAGTTTGGGCTTTACTGTGGCAGCTTGGCGGTGCCGGTGTCAGAGAATGAGCTCAGAGTTTGCAGGCAAAATGATAAATAGCCACCCACTAATTTACCTAGACCCCTGAGCCAATATTAAGGTTAAAAGAGCCATCATTTGGCAGTTCTCTGTTGGCCTGTCCGTCCAGGGGGGGTGTAAGGAGAGCAGGTTCCGATGGGGCTCCGAATAAGGCCCGGAACCATGCCGTACAACCGTAAGCGCTAGCGCGCCTGCTAGCGCGCCAAGATATAAACCGCCAAGTGGACTTTCTTCAACAACTTGACAACTGCTGCTTATTATCTTACAACGGTGTTTCTAAACGCCACCGTGTACACGACTATTAGGGTAGTAACTTCGTAACAGGGGGCCAACAGAGAACAGGGACCCAGCGCCGATCATGCAAGCTGGGCAAGACGGTCGCTGAATCGTCGTACGCGCAAATTTCTCTTGTCTCCTGGCTCGTCTAGAATGCGAAAGTTACAAGGGGGACCGGAGTTCCTGAAAGCCTGAGAGCCGTACAAGAGACCCAATCGCTAGCGGTACACGCTAGGCAGCCGCAACAAAGCAACCTACCCCAGGGACATGCCTTGCAAAAAACAAGGAGTCATGCCAGACACAGAACCACCTGAAACCAAGCCCGCAAGGCCACAGCTCCACAAACACCAAGCCCACGAGGGGGAAACAGCACTCAGGCGAAGCCCGCGACAGAAGCAACAAATACAGAGCAACTGCCAAGCTGCTGCGTTGTGTCACTGCAGTGCCCAACTGTCACCAAGTCTGTCGACAACGGCGGGAGCCTAAGGTAAGAGCACCCATAGGGGTTGGCAATGGCAAAACAATCCAGGGTCAGGGGGAGGCCGGCGGGGACGCAGTATCAGGCGGGCCAACAAACCGTACACGGCCAGCCGCATTTGCAAGGAAAGGGTGAATAGGGGGAACACAGTCCCAGCCGCGGGGAGGCACACCTAAGACAGCAAAGGACTGGAGGCGGGACCAGAAATCAGCAACAACACGAGCACCCAGCACAACAAGGGCTGTTTGGGGAGGGGGGTCCGGCCACTGTTGTCAGCATACAACCACCTACGGGCCTGTTCAAGAGCCGAAAGAGCGGCCAGCGCCACGACATCCCACACACAACCATGCACACCGTCTGGAGGGTGGACTAACCACAAAAGGCTCGTCTAGGCCTTACGAGCCTTTAGCTTGTAATCAGCATCATCAATGTCCGGCCAAATACCTGGCTTGAGTTGTAAGCTGTAAAGATGTATATGTACATGCGTATTTATACATGTTGCAAGGCTAGCATAGCCATATTTAACTTTGCAACATAGGCATCCCACGGGTCAGGAGAGGAAGGTACGTGCTAGTGTTCCTAATTTGCACCATAATTTGCTACCGCCAACGATCAAGTGTCCGTTAGGCTTCTTCGACACCGCCAGGCAACCTGAAAGTCTCGGATCCGCGTGTCTCCTTACGTACGAAACTCAACTCCTGAAGTCCTTGCCTTTGGTTCGTTTCTCCGGCCATCACATCCGGCCCAAAGCCCAGGTCCAAGAATCCTGCTACTTGCTAAGGGCGACACTTCCTGCTTCGCCGTGTGACCCCAGGCCGCTTATCACGGCTTGTAGGGTTTCATGTCAAAGTATGTCTTGTTCATATCACCGTTCTTCCTCGCCTCTATGATCGGCATCAGCACCTCATTTATGAAGTCCTTCATCGCATTCCGCCCGTCGTGGCCGTTAAACATCTCCATGTACCTTTCCAGCAGCCGCTTGAAGTACAGCATCCGGGCCTTGGGACACAGATATCGCTTGGCAAACGCCTGGGAGTTAAAGGCTATATGCTGTAGATCCCGCGGCCGGTCACGCCATTGCCGTACAACGTCTAGTACGTCATTCGGCCCATTCTTGAAGATGGACAGGTAGTGCGTGCCCTCCTTCAAGGCGCGATAGTAGTACTCGACCCACTCGGACTGCTCTTTGAGAATAACCGAGTCGGTGTGCATGAGCCTCGCGAGCCGGAACGCGTACGTGACGCCATCCAAATTCATGACATAGCGCCTGCATGAGCGGGTACAATAGGGCGCTAATAGCACTGAAGAGGAAACGCAAGGAGGGGTGGCTGCACACAACAGCTCCAGCTACTAGGCAAAGGCTCGAAGGGAGAGCCCCCAGCTATCCGTCCATACTCGATCGCGCATCACCCGACCCATGGGTCCTGGGCTCCTGGCGGATTGGGGTCCGGAGACAGGCTAGCACATATTGTTGTCGTCGACAAGCTTGGCGGCAAGGTGTGGCAAAGCTTACAGGCACGTGACGCCGCAAACTCTCATGGCAGTACATGTCTACACAACATACACCGCGACACCCGAAATAATACCGTCTGCCGCCCAATTGTTCCCTAGCTGCCCCTCCCCCCTTCCACACACCATCCATCCCCCCCATGTCACTTCCCGCTTTCCCGCACCCACCATCGCGCATGTTCTCTTAGCGGCGTCTCCTCCGTCACCCAGCGCGCCCCCGGCACCAGGTTGGGGTCCCCCAGCAGGGCGCAGTAGACCTCCTCCGGGTAGCTCATGCTCAGGTTGGCCAGGTGCTTGCGACCGAAGAACATCTCCGGCTTGCCGTTGACCATGAAGGTCTTGGGGCTGCCACCCCAGTTGGGTCGGCCCACGAAGAATGCGCGGTCGTGTTTGAGTTGGAAGGGGAAGTTGTAGAGCGGAAGGTCAGAGGTGACCATGAAGGGGAACAGGAGGTCCAACTGCGGGCAGGGGTCAGGTGCGGTGGGGAGCCGGGAGGGTCGGGATGCAGAGGAAGGCCGGCTGAGCAGCAGAAAGCTTTGAAGCAGCCAGGGGCCTCCAACACCACCCAGCGGCACCCAAGCCTCTCAAACTGTACCTTGCCCCGCCCGCCCCCTCGCCCACCTTGTCTGGGCCCCTTTTAGCAATCGACATGGCCGGAATGGGGCAGTCGAACATGCTCTGGCACCAGCCCGAGTCCTGGTCACTCAGGAAGAAGAACGCATCTGCGAATGCAGTCATAAAGATGACCCAAGGGTCGGGTCGAAACACTTACGACAGAGGAAGCTGCCTGAGGATGCATGCAACATGCATAGAGGATGTATAAACTGGCCCTCATTCCACTTTACATCCTTCCAGCTGTGTATCAAGGCCGGAGCGCCGGACAAACTAATTGAAACAAGAAGCCTAGCAGCACAGCCGCCAACACGTGCCGCAAGCTGCACAGCCGCCAACACATGCCGCAACTGCGAACATTGCTATGACCCGTGGGTCCATCCACTCAACAAGCAGCAACCAACCCAGACGCACCCGGGAACTGTATCTCCGATGCGAACTTCTGG